TGCTAGCTTTCTACTTGTGGGGATTTATTAACTTTATTTTACACAGGGGCATGTACAACTGAAGTCCACCACAGTCATTCTACCACATCATTCCTATCTCATTCTTTCACCTGTGTAGACCAGGTCTTATCCCTAAGCAGGGAGGAAGAGGAGAGAGTTTCCTCACTGGAAAATCCTTTTTCTTTCCAGTCTTAGTACATCCACCACCCACAGTTCAACCTGCAACTTCCCATTTTCTAATCCCATGCAAAGATAAGACATAAGGCTTCCTGCCTCTTCAAATATCCATTAATTTGTTTAACTGGGGGGGGGAGCAGGTTACACAACTTCACATAGTTTATGTTCATTCCATAACATTTTTAGCCGAATCTGAATACTTGGTTTTTGTTTGTTTATGAAGTGTTTTCGAATCATTTTGGATTATGTGGGTGCTATGGTGTGTCACCCAGTTAAAGGAATCTTAGCCAACTAATTGTGTGACGTTTACTTCGTTTTAATTAAATTTATTTGCATATGAATAAAAATAAGAGTCATGAGGAAAGTTGTGCCTCATCCTAGAGAGATTGGCAACACGAGAAACAGGCCCTTTCTGTGGTGGCTCCCCGACTGTGGAATGCTCTCCCCAGAGAGGCTCACCTGGTACCATCACTACATGTCTTTAGGCGCCAGGCAAAAACATTCCTCTTTACCCAGGGCTTTAGCCATTTAAGAAATCTATGGCCTGCTAAAGCTGGGGGGACCAGGAGGCTGTTATTATGATCATTTTATTAGTATGCTATCTGTTATTGTGCTTTTTATTATAGATGTTCCATGAAATGTGCTCTTAATGTTGTGGATCACTCTGGGATCTTTTGATGATGTGCAGTATATAAATACCATTCCCACTGTGTGGGGTGAGAGCTGTGGTCATTCAAGGAGCACTCTCTGCATGCCCAGAGGCGGCCTCTTTATTACGTCTTCACCTATAATCCTCCCCCCCATTCGCTTTCCTCACAGGGGTGGTTCCAGACTTCTCCTCAGGTTCCGAGCTCCGGCCGTGGAACCGGGTTCTGGTGCCTCACCTCCAGCCGGTGTGACACCTCAGCTTGCAAATAAGCCCTGTTCACTCAGCACTTTTGGCAGTCACCAAGGAGGAAGAAAACCACGATGCAACACTGCATCATGGGAATCGGTTCGCAGGCGCCAAAGCGCTTCTGTCAGCCATGAAGGCCCGAGGCCTCCGCAGGAGAGAGAAGACCTAGCAGTTTTCTGACTCAACCGAGGAAGGCAACCAACCGTGTCAGGGAAGCCAGTGCTCTATAAATTGTCAACTGAAACCCCAGAGCATTGAGGCAGCCCCCCCAGAGGGGATGGAAACTCCTGCGGCTGAAATTCACCCAGTCAAGCAGGCAGCAGAGAAAAAAGCCAGTCAGAAATATGATGTGATTCCGGCTTCCAAAACCACTTACAAGAAGTGGGCCTCGTTCCTGCTTGCAGGGCAGAGCGGGAAAACCTAGAGAAAAAGCCGTGTTGCAAATAACTGCTTGTTTGTTATCATATGTGCCAACTGCTTGGGGCAGCCCATTTTCTGTCTCTGGGAAACAAGGAGGACAAACTAGCTGCGATGTTCGTCATGTTGTTTGTGTCGCTATTTCCCCCCTTGCTTTTTAAAATTTTATTTTACTAAAAGATGCTGCGCTGTAGAGTACTCCAAGCAGGACCATGTTGGTGAGGGGGGGAGGGTTAAGTCACCCCTCCGTGACATGTCCCAGTCTGGCTTGACCCTCTCCCTACACACCAGCAGTGCAATATGCCAAATTTAGTTTGGCTCTCATGCAGTGGACGCTCAGGTTGTGAACGTGATCTGTGCAGGATGCAAGTTCGCAACCCGCAGCGTTCACAACCCGCAGTGGCAAATCTGTACATGCACAGGTTGCGATTTGGTGCTTTTGGGCATGTGCAAAGCGCGATTTAGCGCTTCTGCGCATGCGCGACTGCCGAAACCCGGAAATAACCCGTTCTGATACTTCTGGGTTTCGGCGGTCCGTAACCTGAAAAAACGCAACCTGAAGCATCTGTAACCCGAGATATGACTGAATTGCCCTTACTGTCTTCTCTGGAAGGGGGAATTTCAGACCTGAGGGCCAAATGTGAACCCCCTGGCCTTTCTATTTGGTCCTATGGATTTCCCCCAGCTGTGCCTGTTTACCAGGCCTGCTTCCCACTTCCACAGAGTGGTTTTTGTTGTGGTTGTAGTTCTGGCGGGAGTGTGTCCTTGCACTCTGATCATGCCTCTTGCTTGCGTAGACGCAGGATGGAGAGGGGTGTGTGTAGTGTCTACAGAAACTGGCCCAGAGGTGAGATTTGCAGTCACCGTTCCATCCATTTTGGCCCAACTGTTTTGTTAATTTGTTCCAACTACACTACACACAAGAATACATGTTTGAGGAGTGAATTGCATTTGGCTGCAATCTTCATTGGAACCGGTAGGATTTACTTCTGAGTAGACATGTTTTGGTATCGCACAGTTAGTCTCAAACACACGTAGAGGATAGTTCCATTGTGGCACTTTAAAAACTAGCAGGTGTCAGGGCCAGAGTCAGACACACGAAAGAAGCAGAGCTCCCTTGTCAGTGAAGTTAACTCTTTATTCAAAGAAATGGCATACTGTACAAGACCTTACTTGGAAAATCAATACAACCCAGGTGGTTAAGAAAGCCCAACAGAGACTCCATCTCCTCAGAGTATTGTGAAAGAACGATGTCAATCAACATTTGATTATCTCCTTCTACCGGTCCACAATAGAAAGTGTCCTTTCATACTGCATCACGGTGTGGTACGCTGGTTTGACATCATCTGACAGGAAGTGCCTACAGAGGGTGGTGAATACAGCACAAGATATTATGGGCTGTCCTGTGAATCCGCTGGATGAAATAGCGGAAGAACGTTGCCTCAGGAGCATGAGGAAAATTCTCAGGGATGATTCACACCCTGGCCGGCACTTTCTGGATCTCCTGCCCTCGGTCAGAAGATATAGAAGCATGATTAGTCGCACCAACAGGGTAAAGAACAGCTTCTATCCATGGGCCGTTAGGCTGCTGAATGAAAAGATAACAACAGGGCAACTGACTTTCGGGTTTGGTGGGTGTGCGTCAGTAAACGAGGGGAATTAAGACTAAGAGAGCTGAGTGGGGGGTGCTTGTGTAATCTCGCTGTATACAAGTTGTACAAGAGACAATAAAGTATTTCAATTTCAATTTCAATACAACTCAGCAACCCTTCCCAGCAGCTCCTGCCCCTATGGACTGAAGTTCTCTGCCCCCCACCCTCCCTAACACTCCTCTCCCAGATGTTTCCTAAGCAGTCTCATGTTGCATCTGCGCACCTCTGGTCTGCTCTCATTACTCTGCACTTTCTTGGAGACGGGGCTGGAGCTTGTCGCAGCAGGAGAGGGAGACTCCCTGGATTCCCCAGCTGCCACTTGACCCCCCCCCCCCGCTTCAGCCTCAGAGTCTGAACTGCTCTCTGTCACAGGCTCTTCCTGCTCACTAAGCCCTGTTGCCCCTTCAGCATCCCTGTTGCCCCTTCAGCATCCCCTGACCTCTCCTTAGTGTCCCACCACCAATCCCTGAGCTATGAGCCTTCCTCCTCTAGGGTTTCCCTTGGGGGTTCCCTAGCTGGTGCCTCCCACAACTCCTCTTCATCCAGCCAGTTCCTGACAGCAGGTGTATTGAGACATTTTGCTGTCATATGCCTGCTCTAATAACTGTGATCTCTCTGCTCCATGCCCTCCCCGCACTTTTCAATGCTACTGATTATCTGCAGGGCCAAACTACAAATGGTTGACTGACCACCAGTGCGATCCTGAACATTTTCTGCTCAGCATTTCCACTGGATATAATGGATCCTACACAGAGTAGACTTGTTGAAGGCCATGAACATGCCTAAGTTAGGTGCATCAATGCATCTGAGAAATAAATTAGCTGGATACAACCCATTTACAGTGCATGCTTCCACCCCACAGGAATCTTGGGAACCATAGGGTCTGGGAGAACTATGTTTCCCAGGATTCTTTGAAGGGAAAACATGTGCTTTAAGGGCAGGTCATTATTAGACATTTAAAGCACATTAAATGTGCATAACTCTCCCCAAAGAATCCTGGGAACCCTAGCTTGCATAGGCTGCTGGGAACTGTGGTTCTGCACAGGGAAAACCTGCAATTCCCAGTACTCTTTGGTGGGGATGTCATGTGATTTAAATGTACAGTACAGGTACAGCAGGTGTGGGGGACCCATCAGTCCCTCTGAGCAGGGCAGCAGGGCTCCGCCGCACTGGGCGCTGAGCCTAGGGGGCACCTCAAGTTGTTGCAACTATGACATAGTGAACTGAGCAGAATAGAAGGCAAGAGGTGTGGAGGGTGTGTGTGCCGAATTTGAAAGACCAGGTGTTGCTGAACTACAACTCCCACCTGCTCCAGCAAGCCAGGAGTGCTGGGAGTTGTAGTTCAGCAACATCTGGCGGGCCAAAGCTTCCCCACACCTGGTGTGTGTGTGTATATATATAGCAGGCACATCCAACAGGTAGATCGTGATCTACTGGTAGATCACTGGACATCTGTGGTAGATCACAGGCAGATCACTGACTCCCCCCAAAGAAGCTCAACAACTGTCTCCCCTAAAAAAATCTCAACATTATTGCCTTGCACCCCCCAAAAAACGGGGCTTTCCTCCTCCCTTAAAAAAACTTTGACCTGAACCCCTAAAAAACGGAGCTTTCCTTCCTAATAAAACCTCAACCCCCCCCCCAAAAATACAGGGCTTTCCTTCCTAAAAAAGAGCTCAACAACTTTGACCTGAACCCAAAAAAGGGGGTAGATCATTGCCAGTTTTTAACTCTGTGAGTAGATCGCAGTCTCTTGGGAGTTGGCCACCCCGATATATAGGATCGCACGGATAGCGCCACCCTCACCTGGAGATAACAGAACTCTCCTGTGCGTGCGCTGCCCCTTTAATATTTACGGTTCTCCTCCCCGCTGGAAGTACAGTACCGCCAACACCAAGCCGGGCTCCTCCGCAGTGGCTTTTCTTCCTCTTAGGATGGATGAATTGAAGATGTAAGCCTGCCCGACTGGGGACTATGCCTAGCTGGGGGTGTCTCCTGGTCAACCGTGAGGGAGAGGAAAAGGAGCCACCTCCTGCCGTTTGGGGGGGAAAGAGCCAGGATTTGCCCCACACCCAGGAAATCTCTCCTGCCAAGGACCCCCTCCCAGGGTAATAATATTATTGCAGGAGACCTCCTTATGGTTACTAGGGTTTCACGCGCTAGATCTTCCCAACTAAGTCCATACTCAGGAGTAGACCCACTGAAGTCAATGGACGGAAGCTGGGCGTGAGGGGCCAGGGCTTTCAATGGGTCTACTCTTGAGTAGAAGCTTAGTCGGAGGCACAACTCACGGATCTCCTTTTCTCGCCCATTGCATCGCTCAGGAAGCGAGAGGTGGGGGAGCAAGGAGTACTGAATCTCACCCAAAGGTGTACATCTCCAGGCCTTCTAAAACAGAGGTTTGGTTGAGTGAAAACGAAATAACGTTTGCAAAAGGAAATAAAACGTGTACAGAGGGACTACCCTGCGTGGGATCTCTATAATAATTGTGTGGATGGTTTATTATCCCAGCAAACCCCATTCTGTCTTCCGAACACCCTGTGATTATTCATTATTTCTTACTATTCCTGCACAGAAATAAGTATAATTGGTGTCACCACTCGCTGTCATTCCCTCACTTCCAAAATTAAAATTTAATTTTGGGGCATAAATGCACAGTTTACCTGGGAGTAGATGTCATTGAACTGGGTGAGTCCTACACCTGAGTAACTGTGCTTAGCACTGCACCGTTAAAAGGTTTTTATTTTATTTTATTGAAGTGGCGTTTTGGCAAAGCTATGAGTTAGCGTACAACCAGGGTAATAAACCGATATTAAAAGTATCTCGCACACATCTGCCTGTCTAGATATGATTATATCTGGGGGTTTGTGCAAGGAAACCACAGGTATTTTCCTTTTTTGAATGAGGGAAATCCTGTGGACCTCTTTCACTTGCTGTGGCAAAGATCTTTGCTTTTTATAGCAGAATGGTGAAATGGTTTTGTCAACAACATGCTTCATCCAAACACAGCGGGGGGAGGGGGCAGCCTGGAAGGCAGAGATTATGTTTTTCCCTCAGGTAAATAATTGGCTTATAACAGGGATGCAGCAAAAGTTAACAGTGCAGGTGGTTCTCCCCCAACAATATCTTCAGATATTTTAAATAGCTCAGTTGGTGGACCATGAGACTCTTAATGTCAGGGTCGTGGGTTTGAGCCCCAGGCAGAAGATTCCTGCGTTGCAGGGGGTTGGACTAGATGACTCTCATGGTCCCTTCCAACTCTACAATTCTATTCTTCTCCGTGTCTTATGTCATGAAAAGAAACATGCAGCAAAGTTTGAAAAAAGTGTGCTTGTAATGCAATAATAAATGCAGATGGAAGGCTGTGCCCTTTGTATCTGAAGTATTCAGATTTATCCAAAAATCACAGCCAAACTTCAAAGATGAATTCCCCAAATACTGGAACCCAAACAATCCCTGTGTGCCAATGAGCAGCTTTGCGTTTTTATTGTTTGCACTCCAAGCCAAGGCCTGGTTACTCCAAAGTAAGTCCCACAGATTTCAGTGGAATTTACTTCCATGTAAGCACACCTGGCCATTGCTGTATTATCCCCACAAGAGGCGTGAGGTAGAATTCTATTTAACTGCACCAACTGTCTCCTTTTAAACTGAAACATTCTGAAGCAACGTGATGCAAAAGCAGTTCTCTGTTGCAGCAGCCTATGGGGAGAAGAGACTTATTTGCATATGTAACACGATTGGCTACCTTTTATACCAGATTCTTTATTGGAAGATGCTCGTGACCACTTTGGTCTATGGTCCCAGGAGTCTAAGAAGTGGTTGTTATTACCTTGGGGTGACTAAGAGAGATTTCTTTATTTATTCATAACAAAATTTACATATCGCTTGATTGTATGAAAACCTCTGAGTGGTTTAAAAAAAACAACCAGCCACGTTGGGGGTTAGTAATGACTACCGTTCACCAACCCACCCTCTTCCCATTAAGTAAAACAAAAGCAAAATACAGCCCCACAGCTGATATATTTTGTTTATTTCATACAATGATTTCCACCCAAGACCTCAAGGGGGTATATATGCTTGCTTACTTTCTCATTTTATCCTTGCGACAACCTGTGAGGTTGGAGAGGCTGGGAGATCATTGTTGCTCCTTCACTCCCTTACCAGGGTGGCAATGGGTGGCGTGGCTGAGAAGCCGCTACATAACGAGTGAACTAGGCAATGGGTTCCTTCTATGCCCTTTCAAGCATCCTTTTTAGTGCTCATTCATGATTATTTGGGTTCCTAATGCTTTTGGGATGGTCACGTATGACCCCACCCATACAGTGATAACATACTAGCATTGTGGAAGCGTCACAGAGCGAACGTAAACAGAATAATTCCACCACCAGTGCTTCATTTTACTATGTGAAGAACACGTTGCAGAAAACACCAAAAATTTAATGCTTGATTTTATCTAGATCTTGCCAGATTGAACGCAATCTAAAAAAGAGCCCTGTCCAATGTAGGAACTCATTTCAAACACCTAACTGGACGGCACAGCGTTTACACAATTAGCAACTGGGATAATGACTTTTTGAAGTAAATTGCAGGCAAGGGAGCCCTGATCTGCATTGGGACCCTGCTACTTTGGAGGGCGGGGGGGGGGCGCAGAGGGGCTTTAAACCTTTGCTTCTTGCAAATGTTCAAACCTTTAAACCTTTGTCTCTGGTTGGAAATGAAGCAGTATGGCCACCCCAAACTTTTTGGAAGTGTGGATTGCATCAAAAACAGAAGTGTGTATGACCCCCGTTAATAGCACTGTGAACACAAATGATCATGAATGTGTGATAAAAAGGCATGGGGCGAGGCCATAGATACAGAGGAGCAATATCCTGATCTCACCATGGCTAACCAGATCCCCGTAGGAATACCAAAACAGAAGTCCGCTTTTGTTGTCTTGCTGTTAATCCCCATGCTACGGGAATATAATTTAAAAATACGCGGACATCTCCAAATATCAAGGGTTTTGCTAATGCAAAGTTGATGCTGACAACTTTGGACCAAATATAATTTATCACTGGAGAAGCCCGCCTCATATGCCTCAGTGAGGCATTCTCAGAAATGCTGAGAGGTGTATCACTTTTCATAACATCACAGCGTGTTTGTTTTTAATTTTCATTACCGAAGTTGAGGACTATAGGGCAAACAGCAGGATATCAGTGGGGTATTGATAACAGAACGCCAAAAAGTTAAACATTCATTTGTGAATAAGTGCTACATAGAGAAGCCATATATATATATAATGTTCCTTAAATAAGAACCAGACTGAGAAACATGGAAATCTTAGAATCAAAGAATTATAGAGTTGCAAGGGACCACGAAGATCGTCTAGTCCAGCGGTTCTCAACCTGTGGGTCCCCAGATGTTATTGGACTACAACTCCATCCCTGCACTTGCTAGCTGGGGTGATGGGAGTTGTAGTTCAACAACATCTGGGGACCCACAGGTTGAGAAAGGCTGATCTAGTCCAACCCTCTGCGGTGCAGGAATCTTAAACCCATGGCACTGTGATTAAGAGTCTTATGCTCTACCAATGGCGCTGTTATTCCTGTAGCAACAGCACCAACAAAATTGGTCTTTGTGCTCTTTCAACAGGTTATGAGAAGGAGATACTGTTGCTCCTACCTTGGTGGAGTTTTGTAATACCAGATCCGGTGGATCCCTGAGCGCCCCCTTAATGCGCAATGGAGAAATCTCAGCAGAAAGACCGAAAAAACCGCAAATCCTCTAAACAAGATGCCCAGCCTGCTGAACAGAAGTTTGACACCGGTAACCGAGGGCTGAAGAAAGTGAGCAACAAGACCGTGATAACAGGAGGTGCTGGCTATTTTGGCTTTAGCCTTGGCCGTGCCCTTGCCAAATCAGGAACCAGTGTGATTCTCTATGACATTAACCAACCCCTCTGGGAAATTCCAAAAGGAGTAGTATTCGTACAGGTATTTATCATTTATTATTATGATCGTAATACCCCACTTTTCTTTTCCATAAGCAACACATCATGTAGAGAGAGATTATTATCTGCTGTCAGGTGTAAGGCAGGTAAAGTGTGGTTGTGGGGGAAGGGTTTGCAAGCACCAGTGATCAGTGGCACCTGCTGCAATGGGGGTGGGTGGGGTAGGTGACTATGATCTCTGCAAGATCGGGGGGGGGGGGTGTCCAATCCTGCCTGTTTTGAACTTTCCAAGGACCAGGAAAACCCTCATTTAAAGGGGGGAAGTTCCAGTACAACACTATGGGATGGGAAGGACAACCTGTGGCTATCCCTATATTAATGAGACAGGCAAGTGCAAATCCAGAGTTCTCCAGTATGGACAAACGCTCTCTCTTTCTGCACAGACACCCGTTGGATTTGCTTTGCAGTCCTTCCATCAGAGGGATGGATGGTGTGTGAGGCCTCCTCCAACTCTTATGATGGCATGATTTGTACAGTATGTTTCGTGACCCTTTGCAATGACAGAGAAGATCTGCATGATCAAAGAACTGGGTCCTTGCCCTCTCTTCCCTGTTGCTGGTGGCCTTAGAGTGTGTATCTTGGCTTCTCAGCATCCTTTGTTGTCTGTTGCCTGGGGAAAAAATATTGCTGACCCCCCCAGCCCCCACTCAGGAGTATGTGATCTCTGTGTTCTAGGCAGACGTGAGGCACTATGACCCGCTTTATGCAGCCTGCGAAGGGGCAGACTGTGTCATTCACGCAGCTGCGTACGGAATGACAGGATTAGAACAAGTGAGTTGGCTTCTCTTCGTCTTGAGTTTCTGCAAGGAATCAACCCCTTTCATGTGGCTTTTCCAGATTGTGTTGAACAGATTTTCAGAAAATTTCCTGCTGTCCTAAATCAAACAGAGATCTGTTGATAGCTTTTTCCAGGGCCTGCCCCTTTCAGAAAGGAAAATAAAATACACTAGACTCTCAGGCAAAGAAGCCCTGAGTGGATACAGACAGTCTGGTATAGCTCAGTCTGTAGAGCATCTCAGGGTCGTGGGTCCAATTTGGCAAAAGAATCCTGCACTGCAGGGGGTTGGACTAGATGATCCTCTGTCAAAGAGCTGTCAGGCAAGCACAGGTCATCCACAAGTCGGGAAAGAACTTGAGACACAGAATGCAATTAGCTTTTAATTCACAGAAAGGAAGCAACACAGCAGCGTTCCTCTGGCTTGTCTCACCTAGCTCCTTCCCCCTCTCACTCCAGATCTCTCCCAAGCAGATGTAAAATACGGCAAGGGGGTGGGCTCCTTCTCTGGGCCTGTCTGGCCCGTTGCTGAGCAGCTTGCAGGACTCTCCTCAAGTGGGGAGTCTGGGGAGGAGAGCCAGTTTCTTGGCAGCAGAGGCAGCCTCGGACTCTTCTCTCTCTGAGTCTGCACTCGCGCTGAGACTCTCAGCACCTAGCGCTGTCTTGGAAGACCTGCCTTCTCCTGACACACACACACCCCCAATCACCCAGCCCTCCTGCATCTAGCATCTCCCAGCTTGACACTCCTGCACACTGGCCCCCTGTGTCCCACCACCACTGTCCTGGGTCTAAGTTGTCATCTTCTGTGTCCTCCCTGGAGGGGTCTCTTGGATAGGCGGCGCCCAACACTCTTCCTCATCCGGCCAGACCCTGACACCCTCATGGTCCCTTCCAATTCTATGATGCTTTGAAAAAAGATGCCTGAGTGATGCTGAATTAGATCACAGACATTCTCTTAAGCAAAGGCAACAGTAAGAATATGTATATTTTTTAAGAAGAGAAATGTTTTATTTTCAGTAAACAATGTACTGAGAGGGGTGCATAAGTAAATTATCATTTGTTATTCCACATCCACTTTTGGCCCCACCTAGAAACATGTGACCTCTGGAGGACTATAAAAGGTTCCCTGTGCTGGATTTCACCCAAGACTAACTAGTGGTTCTCCAGGGTCTTGGGCAAAGACACTTTCCCATCACTTGTGGTCTGAACCTTCTAACTGAAGATGCAAGGGAACGTACCTGGGACCTTCGGCGGGTACACAGCCTCTGAGCAATAGCCCTTCTTGACTGCTTTTTTCAGATGATTTTTTTTTCTTTTTTCGAAATTCAACTTTTACAAGCTGGCCTTCTTGCTGCCTAGGGAGCAAGCCAGGCCAATTCTCCAGAGACCAAAACAAGCTAAAGCAATTCATTTTGCTTTGATTGCAGCATCTGGTGCAACATTAAACCTCTTCCTGCTTTTCCTAGATGCACAAGAGACATATTCGGTCTGTCAATGTCGGAGGAACCAGTGTCGTCATTGAAGGTGCGTACAGCCTCAGTGCTTTGTTTTGGATGAGCCCAGGCTGAGGATCGTCGATGGTCGGCTTGTTTACATACCACATCTCCCACAAATAAATCTGTGCTCAAAAGCAGTTCGCACAAAAGCCAGTCTAAATACGATAAAGAATAATAATGGTAATTTATTATTTATATGCTGTCCACCTGACTGGGTTGCCCCAGTCACTCTGGGCAGCTTCCAACACATTAAAACACAGTAGGACATAAGACATTCAGAACTTCCCTATACAGGGCTGCCTTCAGATGTCTTCTAAAAGTCAGATAGTTGTTTATTTCCTTGACATCTGATGGGAGGGCGTTCCATAGGGCGTGCACCACTACCCAGAAGGCCCTCTGCTTGGTTCCCTGTTACCTCCCTTCTCACTATGAGGGAACTGCCAGAAGGCCCTCGGCGCTGGACCTCAGTGTCCGGGTTGAATGATGGTGGTGGAGACACTCCTTCAGGTATACAGGGCCAAAGCAGTCTAAGGTTTTAAAGGTCAACACTGACACTTTGAATTGTGCTCGGAAAAGTACTGGGAACTAATGTAGATCCTTCAGGACTGGTGTTATAGGGTCCCGGCGGCTGCTCCCAGTCATCAGTCTGGCAGCTGCATTTTGTCTTAGTTGTGGTTTCTGAGTCACCTTCAAAGGTAACCCCACGTAGAGCGCATTGCAGTAGTCCAAGTGGGAGCTAACTAGAGCATGTACTACTGTGGCAAGACTGTCTGCGGGCAGGTAGAGTCTCAGCCTGCGTACCAGATGGAGCTGGCAGACAGCTGCCCTGGACAAAGAACACAATAAGACAAATAACATCACTGCAACATAATGCAAAAAATAAAAAACAAGAATCAACGATTAAGAATTAATTTAGCAAGGAGAAACATTTAAGAAGTAAGTATACAGCTTACTAATAGTTTAGGCCAAAGTATTCAATAAGCAATTCCCTTCTGCAGGCTCCTAGGGCTGGAGGGTGGAGCGAAACCAATCACCCCCTGATAGCAACCCCAGAGTCTCCCCCCCCCCCCCACGGTTCTTTCTCTAGAAAGAGCTCCCTTTTGAAGGCTCCTGGGGCTGGAGGATGCTGTAATGTGAGCAGCCGGGGCAGAATAATTTGTTGGCTGCTGTTGCTCGCAGCCATCCTGAGATACCAGCCCTTTCCCTCAGGAAAGCAGATTTCCATTTGCCTCCTTCCGTCAACGAAGTGCTTTGTGTTTCCTATGTCTCTGCAGTCTGCAAGCGACGAAGCGTCCCCAGGCTGGTCTACACAAGCAGCATCAACGTGGTGTTTGGCGGGCAAACCCTTATTGACGTCGACGAGCAGAGTGTGCCTTATTTTCCTTTAGCAGAGGTATTGGGGCTGCTCCCCTTTTTAGCATTTGGCTGCAACCGACGGTGTGAGGGGCAAGAGAGAGGAGGGCTGAGTTGTTTTTAATGACCTCCCCACAACACAAGAGAAATTACGTGTTGTTTTTCCCCAGCCTGTTGCTTTGGATCCAAAGTGTAGGGGTGGATCCGAAGAACTGGCGGAGGCTGGTCTATTAGCCCTCGGTCTGCCTCACCCCCACTTCCACCTTCCTGCCTTCTTGCTTAGAAGCTCATAGATAAACTATGGTACTTTAGTGTGATGGCCACTAACTTGGGTGGATTAGACTGTGATGGCCTGGGACTTGGGCTCGGATTCGGAACCAGAGGAGACACAGTCTGCACTGGATCCTTTGCCTCAGGCATCATCTGAACCAAGTCTGGGGCCTGATCCTGAAGAGCCCCAGTCTGCACAGGTTCCCCTGCAACAAACACCAGCTGGGCCGAGTCAGGGGCCTGAGCCTGCCCTGGCTCCAGATGCGGGGATTACTTCGTTGCCTTCAGCTGGGCCATCACTTACAGCTGCTCCACTACCAGTTGGGTCAGGGGAGGCTGAGGCGGCCCCTGGGTCTAGTAACCCACCGACGTCTCCCGAGCTGCAGAGACTGAGGTCTGAGAGAAGAAGAGACTTGCTCTTGAGCAGGAGGAGTGCTCGCCTTCGGGCGAAACAGGGAGGTGAGTCGCCGGGGGATCAGAACTGGCCACTACCCCGACAAGATAAAAGGTTGTCGGACCTGGGGAGGTAGGTTGCAGGAGCAACGTTGCTGTATATTAGATCCTGCCGGAGATCCTGTACCTGTCCTTGCCTGGTTTTCTGCCTCGTGTCCTGCCTTGGCCCTGTCGGACTGTCTCCCAGTGGAACCTTCGGATTCTGGACCGTATTTCATGCGTTACCCCCGGGCCCAGCACATAGACAAATTCCCAGAGGACCAGGCTATCAAGGACTACTAGCCATAATGGCTCTGCTCTGTCTCCATGGTCAGAGGCAGCAGCGCTTCTGAATACCATTTGCTGGAAACCAGAGGAGGGGAGAGGGCTCTTGTGCTTGGGTCCTGCTTGTAGGTTTCCCACAAGCATCTAGTTGGCCACCGTGAGAACAGGATGCTGGACTAGATGGCCTGATCCAGAAGGTCTTAGAACCAGTCATGGTGTGCCCCTGCCTGTCTGTCGTTGGGTTTGGCTACTGCTAGTCTCCTCGCCTTCTGTCCTACCAGTCCTAGTAGGCACCTGCCTCTTTTTCCTCCTCCTCCTCCTCCTCCTCCTCCTCCTCCTCCTCCTCCTCCTCTCTTCCCCACTAGCCAGTGGTATATGATGGGTTGCCAGTGCCCAGGGACACGTGGAGGGGTTGGTTGGATGTGAGGGAAATGGATGCTTGCACATTCAGCTGCTTAAAAGCGTCCGCAGTCACCCAAGAGATTGCAGCCACAGAGATAAGGAAAAAGAGCTCTTCCATTGTCTGGACAGGTTGTTCCCAGTTTGCATGGAGAAGCCGTTTTCAACGGAGCCCAGTGATAGAAGCGTGCGGCTGGATTGAGGCAGCGCTGGGTGTTGAAAGTGTCCAGGGAAGCAATTTTGCACCCAGGGCAACCACCCCTGTGCTATCTGCTACAACACTGCCACCAGCTTTTGCTCCTGCTACTTCATATGTAGACTTAGGTTACCACTAGAGACCCTTGGGCACGCTGGAATTAAGAAGAGCCCTATTTTTCTCTCCGTATGATCCCTGTAGGGTTACACCCCATGCTTTGGGGAAACTGAATTGCATCTTCTCACAGGTCTGTTAGGAGTAAGACATGTGGAATTCTTTTCACACGACATCACTTTCCCTACTGGTGTCCCATACTCCTGTAGGGCAGACTGACCCCCTCCCCGCATTATTTTCACTCTTTAAAAAAAAATGTTATTACAGTCTTAGTTAAATCCTAAGGGAGAAAGTGTTCCCTAGATTCAGGGCAGCCAGAAAAAAACCCCTTCCATCCATCGTCTAAGTTGGCACATAGAGGTGTTCTGTGTGGTCCTCCTGCAATTGTGGAAGACCCTCTGCTGGGGATTTACCCATAACCCCGTGGTAAGACTTGGAGCTGTGATTAAAATCTCATTATATGGGCTGTTCCTTGGCACCGGGGATGTAGATGGTGACTGACTGAGTGGGAGAAAAACGTATTATTTGTTCAAGCAGAGCTGTTGGCTTACGTGCTTTGGTATTTGCTAAATAATCCAAACTAATTAATTTGATTTCTTTTTAGCAAATGAACGAGTATTCCAGAACCAAATCAATTGCAGAACGGATGGTTCTAGGAGCAGACGGAGTGTCCTTACCAGGTACTTTTCTGTGATCTTAGCCTATGGCAACCTTGGTGGGGGAATGATTTTATTGTATCTTTCGTGACCCCCAGGGTCAAGCAGCGATTAAGGTTCAGACTCAAGAGGCTCCAGCTATGAAGTTGTTCCAGGTTCACAGCTCTGGCCCTGCTCTTGGAGACTGAGAGACGCAGAGCCTGGGGTTGGCAGGCAGGAGTCCGCAGAGGACACTCCCACACCACCAAGGCCTGTAAGCTCAGAACCAGGACCTCCGTGGACACCTGCCCTTAAACCTGAAGAAGCCAGTGCCTCCCATTGCACCTCACTGGTCCAGCAGCACAGAGAGGGATGCTCACCTTCAGGATAGAAGGTTGCCCCTTTAAGACTCCAAAGCTATCCATCAGAGGAGCCTAGAAGCAGGTAGGAGGAGGAGCCGGGAGATGCTGAAACCTCTGGCCTCTCTTGTCCCATGTGGTCCAGTATCAGCCCTAAACATGGCGGTTTCTTCAATTGACGTGTTCGGAATCAGCCAATGGCTTCTTGTCCTGTTTCCTAGGAGGTGGCAAGCTGCACACCTGTGCTCTTCGACCGCCTGGCATCTATGGGCCGGAAGAACAAAGGCATTTTCCCCGGATGGCCGTACGTATTGTGACTTGCTCAGAACACTCTTCTGTGAATGTGGGGGGAAACACTACCATATGAACCTACCCAGACCCCGAGGTCATCTTCTGAGGCCCTCCTTCGTGTGTCTCCTCCTCGAGAGGTCCGAAGGGTGGCAACACGAGAACAGGCCTTCTCTGCAGTGGCTCCCCATCTGTGGAATGCTCTCCCCAGGGAAGTTCGCCTGGCGCCTTCATTGTACACCTTTAGGCGCCAGGGAAAAACATTCCTTTTTAACCAGACTTTTGGTTGATCAGATTTACATCCTATGCCCTTTTAAAATGTGGGGGGTTTTTGGGGGAGGGGCTATTGGGTTGTTGCTTTTATTTTTATTAGGTATTTTGTGTTTTTATATCTTGATTTTATTCTGTGAACTGCCCTGAGGCCCCTGGGTATAGGGCAGTATATAAATTCAATAAATAATAGTAATAATACCACCATGGGATGAGACCAGTTACAGTTAGGTACCAGAGAAAACAAGCCATGCAAGGAAAGGTTAAAACAGCTGGATATGTTTGGCCTGGAGGCAAGAAGACCGGCGGGGGGGGGGGGAATGATAGCGCTCCTGGAACACAAGAAGGGTTGGCACATTGAGAAGAGCAAAGACATGCCCTGGGTTTACTCTGCTTGGGATACCTGAATAGGGCTTGCTTTAAAAGTCTCCTGTTCCTCAGCTCAGGAGAGCCAGTGACAATTCTGCACTAATTAAAGCCCTAAATGGCCTCGGTAAAGCCCTAAACAGCCTCGGCCCAGTATACCTGAAGGAGCGTCTCCACCCCCATCGTTCTGCCCGGACGCTGAGGTCCAGCGCCGAGGGCCTTCTGGAGGTTCCCTCATTGCGAGAAGCAACGCTACAGGGAACCAGGCAGAGGGCCTTCTCGGTAGTGGCGCCCGCCCTGTGGAACGCCCTCCCATCAGATGTCAAAGCGATAAATAACTACCTGATATTTAGAAGACATCTTAAGGCAGCCCTGTTCAGGGAAGTTTTTAATCTGTGATATTTTACTGTATTTTTGGTTTCTATGGAAGCCGCTCAGAGTGGCTGGGGAAACCCAGCCAGATGGGCGGGGTACAAATAATAAATTATTATTATTATTATTATTATTATTATTATTATTATTATCACATCTCGTTTGCCCCTCGTTGTAACTGGCAATGTTATGCTTCAATCATACCTTCCAACAGTTGAATATTGAAAGGGGGATGTTTGTCTTCACATTTGGGGGACCAGAGACCCGAATGAACTGGGTTCATATCAAGAATCTCGTGCAAGCTCACATCCTCGCCATGGACGCTCTCACTCCTGAGAAGAACTACATAGCTGTAAGTATATCGTTACACGTGCTCCAGTTTTTCAGGTGCCGAACATTCTGGGGATGTGCAGAGCGTTTCCTTGGCGTGAGGCCCCTGGAGGGCTATGGCATTTTCGGGATAATTGATTTACTAAGCAGCTTTTCGGCAGAAGTTGCTAAGTAACGCTAAGAAACCCACAAAAACACCAGTGTGGTTTTGAAATCAGTGGTTAACATCAGTGCAGCACCAAAAGATTCAAGTCCACCATGTTGATTCAAAATGGCTTCCAGGTGTATCCAGACATAGATGATGAAGATGATGATGATGATTTATTTATACCCCGCCCATCTGGCTGGGTTTCCCCAGCCACTCTGGGCGGCTTCCAACAAAATATTAAAATACAATAGTCCGTCAAACATTAAAAGCTTCTCTAGATGAAAACCTGTTCCTTGCTCTCATGCAAAATTTGGCTATAGTAAATTGGGAGGTGTCCAACTCCCTAGAAAACAAATGTTCCAATATATATATACAGTGGTACCTCGGGTTACATACACTTCAGGTTACGTACGCTTCAGGTTACAGACTCCGCTAACCCAGAAATAGTACCTCTGGTTAAGAACTTTGCTTCCGGATGAGAACAGAAATCGTGCTCCAGGGGCGCGGCAGCAGCCGGAGGCCCCATTAGCTAAAGTGGTGCTTCAGGTTAAGAACAGTTTCAGGTTAAGAATGGACCTCCAAAACGAATTAAGTACTTAACCTGAGGTACCACTGTATTAAGTTTACTATATGGCTCACTGCTATAACTAATTTCCCCCATGAACTTTCCCTGACCCTGAGGTCATAAACTGAGATTCTTCTCTGTAGCCCACCTCCAAGGAAGGTCTGAAGTGTGGGGATAAGAGAGCAGGGCCTTTCTATCGCATCCCGCCATTTATGGAATTCTCTCCCAAGGGAGGCCCACCTGGATCCACCCTTGTCCTCATTTTGGCGCCAGGCAAAGCACAGGCATTTGGATAGCACCAGTGAAATGACGTTGCACTGTGAAATCTGTTTTTGATATGTTTCGCCTGTGTTTATTGTTGTATTTACACTTTGGCTATATATCAAACCATCAGGGTTTTTGTTACTGTTTTGTTTTGGTGGGCAATAAATTTAATGCACCTAAAGCTTCGGAGTTTCCAGGAAATCATACAGTTCTCAGCTGAGCACAAAGGTGTCCAGGTAGGTTATTTTCCTTCCTAAGGCTGCAGGCAAACCGTACATGTAAAGTTCATTGCCAATGTGTACCTTGCATGATCGTTGGCCATTGGGGCCGAGGAGAGTTTAATGTCCAACAATGGTTGTATGGCCACAAGTTGCCCATGTCTATTCTGATCTCTTTCCCCTGTGTTCTTTGTAGGCTGGCCAGGCATATTTCATCAACGACGGCGAGAAGGTCAACCTTATTGAGTGGTTAACCCCACTGGTGAGTGCAAGAGCTGTTTGTTATAGACAGAATTGTGCTCTAAAACTTCTTAAGCTTATTGGCTGTGGTGGTTGTGACGGATGGGAGTTCGAGTCCAGTATCCTCTGGTGGGCTTCAATTTCTCCGTTTCTTTTTTAATCTGCCTCGAGTCTCATATGGCCTGATGAGATGCAATAATTAATAAAGGCAGCTGTATAGTGTTGGGGGGGAATCAGGTGAATATGGGGAGGGACCCCCTTACAAACCATAGATGACTATGTATAATGCAAACCTTTGCTGAGTATTTTACCAGTGAAAATTTCCAGACACAGAAGTTTTTTTTGTAAGAAATTCAATAACAGTTTTAATTTGTTTTGGTCTTAAATTGACTGCGATTTTAACCTTCTCTGTATTTTAAATTATGGTTGTAATCTGTGAGCGTTTTATTGTTTTATCTTTCTCGTAAACTGCTTTGAGGTTTTCCTACAATCAAATGGTACAGAAATGGATAGATCGATAAATGAACAGCTGCATTCAAAGCTGTCTGGTTTCAGTATTTCAATGTTTCTTTCAGTTTAAAGGATTGGGTTGCAGCAAGCCATGGATACGTGTTCCTGTTCTTTTTGCTTATTTTTCAGGTAAAATATTTCCAGTTGTTTGCTCAACAGTTGTTTGGGGTTTGCTTGTTTTTACAGTAGTTCAGACAAAACCTTGGGTTTGCACTCGGTGTGAATCAGGAATTTTATCTTGCAGCAAACCATGGCTTGAGAAGCTGGCTTGTTGAATCGGCCATTGTGGTAAACCATAATGCTTAAACTGAGATGTTTGGAAGCAGAAGCTAAACTCTGCAGAAATCCTTATCCCAGTCACAAAAGATCTGAGTTTCTGAAGCTCGACAGCCATTGTTTAGCGTTACGTGCAGATGAGCCCATTGCACTATATCGGCGCCCATCTCAACTGAGACCTGAGGGGGCAAAGGTTAATGTTTTTCAACCCTGATGTTGTTCCATAAAAAACAGCATTCTCCGTGCACACACACCCCTGGCCACAACTGCATTGCCTTGTGGGTGTTGGGATACTGCCAGGGAGACAAAGTCCATCATGGCCCCAAGCCGTCTGCCGGACGATCCATCGATCTCCCGTAGGCACGCAGTATCAGCAATTAGTGACATGAGTTTCTAGAAAATATCTTGCCACATTCCAGAGCTCATGCACACTCTATCAGCAGATAATGCACAGCCAAAGTCGCACTCAGGAGAGCATTATTTACAAGTTTATTCAGCGTTGATCAGAACACAGAAAAACATGACTGCCTGCTTTAGTGTCTACGACACAGAGAGAAAACGAAAGCAACAGAAAACATAAACATCCTGTGAACAGGAAATACGCAGACTCTGTGACTCACAGCCTGCTCCCTTTTAAGGTGGAACGGAAATATCCTAACAGTGGGAAGGATGGGGAAAAGTTTCTGTGGGGAAGTTCACTCCTATGCAGGTGTTGAGGAGGGGAGGAATTTTGATCAGGACAACAGCAAGTGAAGAGAAGGATCAACCTTTCACAGCACGGCCTCAGCCCAGATTGCGGCTGCCCATGGTGACAATTGTCTGAAACCCAAATGTTACATTACATATTTTATTTAATGTATAATTTAACCCAACCTTTTTGGAGCTGCGGGCACAGGGAATCTTATTAAGGAGACAAATAACAACCCCAATGACAGAGAACAGTTTAACGGCAGCTCTTTTTAGCAATATAAACAAATAAGTTGCTAAAGTTAGACTTGAGAAATGCAGTCAGGGCTCAGCGGCAGAGTGTGTGATTTGCGTGCGGAATGTCCTTGGGTTCAATCCCTGGTATCTGCAGGCAGGTATTGGAAATATGTCTGTCTGAATGGAGCATTGCTGCCTGTCTGTACTGAGCTAGACAGACCCAAACATTTGACTCACAGCTTTGTGCATGCGCTGCTATTTCAAGTGACCATTGTATTTATCAAGTGCTTTTTTTTCTTTGTACAGCTGTGGCAATGGAACACTTCCACAACCTGTTAATGCCCATTGTTGAAATCACACCTTTGGTCACCAGAAATGAGGTAACGCATGCCTACGTTATTACGTACTGGGTTTGTTTCATAGAATCAGGAGTGTAGAGTTGGAAGGGACCATCAGGGTCATCTAGTCCAACCCCCTGCAATGCAGGAATCTTTTGCCCAACATGGGGCTCAAACCTACAATACTGAGATTAAGAGTCTCATGCTCTACTGACTGAGCCATTTCTTGTAGTAACTTATACTCTACCCTTCAAGCAAATTACCAGGGTGGATTACAAAATAGAAAAACACAAGAAAACAAACTTAAAAACATACCAAGAGCCCTTGTAGTGCAGAGGGAGCTTTGCAGTCTGGCTGGCTGGCTTTTGTCCTGCACAAAGAGCCCATTTTACAGGTGGAGAAATCTCCCAGGTCACGTCCTAACATTCTAACCATTACGCCACACTTCTTTCCCCTTCTAATTTTTCCTTCGTCTTTACTCTGTTGTTACTCTTGGCTTGCCTGACATACGTCTGATGTTCTTAATGGTATTATGAATTGGCATGCTGCCATATACATTTTTTTTGTTGATCATGTTGGCAGAAATTCTAAAATAAACTATTGTGCTTTTCAAAAAGAGGGTTCAGCAGAGTTGTGGGTGAGAAAGCAATCACTGGGTCCTATCACAATAGCTATGTCCTGCCTCCATTGGATGCCTCTTAATATCACCTGCTGGGAGTCGCAAGTGGGGAGAGGGCTATTGTTCTGAGCTCCTGGGCTTCCCATAGGCCTGTAAGACAGAGTTGTTCCGCCTGGCCTTTGGCTTGGAGCCAGTTTGATTCCCTCCCCTTCTTTCTTTTTTCTTTTTCCTTTCTCCTCCTGTGATGAGGCTGCATTTTAATGTTTTAGTGTTGTATTTTAATCTTGTTTTAAAGTTGTATTCATTCAACTTGTTTTTATTATTGCTTGTTAGCCGCCCTGAGCCTGGCCTTGGCTGGGGAGGGCGGGGTATAAATAAAAATTATTATTATTATAGGCATCTGGTTGCCCACTGTGAGACTAGGATGCCAAGACTAGGTCGGCCTTTGACCTGATACAGCCGGTGCCTTCTTAGGTTTTTACGAAAAGCATCATTTTAAATGTGCGATGGAAACGATGATGGGATGAAGGGAATTGTGGTGCAGTGGCATCTGGAGGGCACTGAATCTGGGAAGCCCACCCCAGACCAGGTACCCTCCATTGTCGTTTGCTCTCATGTTGTTTCAAAACAGTTTTTAAAAGAAACCCAACTCCTTTGCTTTCGCTTCGCAGGTGTACAACATTGCTTACACGAACACGTTCAAAATAGATAAAGCCCGGCAACAGCTCGGCTATGCCCCCAAAAAGTACTTGTTTGCAGACTGCGTGGATCATTTTTTGAAAACCAGGCCCCGCAAGAAGAATTATTTCATGCTGAAAAGCTTCGTGGTGATAGCCCTGTTCATTGCCCTGATCATCCTGGCAGTTTACCGTCAAGAAGTTTGGGAATTTGTTCACAAGAACTGGGGAAAGTATCAGCATCTTGTCGTGCGATAAACCAGCCGTTCTCAGGCACAGGATCGGCCGGGGGAACATTGCGCTTGGATCGCATGGTCTGTTTTTCTTAGCTCTAAAGTAGTAGGCAGGCAGGAAGGTACATTAAGAGGAATAAGAAACATACAAGGAAATCGTCCTGCGGTGGCTAATGAACAGAAAGCCAAAATGGCCACCGAAAATCACACTCAGGAGACTCACGCAAGGGGAGAGGGTGTTGTTTTTATATCAGTGGTGTCTGCATTCAGTTGGTTCCTCGTCTTTCGTCAAACTGAAGAAGAGAGGGGGGCTTTCAAAGGCTGCGTACAAATAATCCTCCACAGACACACCAGGACGGCCTCTTGCCTCTCCAGGTCATGACGAGAAAACGGGGCCCACGAAGGTGAGAAAGAGATCCAGGAGAACAGTGCCAACAGCGAACCGTTTTGCGCGGCACCGGATGTCTCTTGCCAACTTTGCAGCGCGAGCTGAAAATAAAACCACACCTGAAAACCTGCCTGTGTCGCTCCAAGGGCCGAAGCTGACAAAACTGGCCTGTGGAAAAGCAGGTCCACTGGTCTCGCCATGTTTACATATAATACGTGGTTGGAGAAGGCGGTGGTCTGCCCTTTACATGTGAATAAGCACTCTTGAGGGCAGGGGAAGGTTTCTCTGTGTTGTTTGAAAAGGGATGGAGGGGGGACCTGTGACCTTCGAAATGGCGTTGGACTACAACTTCCACTGGCCCTGTGACGTAGTGAATTGAGCAGAATGGAAGGCAAGAGATAGGGGGTGGGACAGGCCGAATTTTGGCCTTGCCCAAGGTGAAATTTGAAAGACCAAAGACAATCCCCGGAGGTTGTCGTTCCAACACCACCTGGAAGGCATTACAGTGCCCTCTGGTGTAAAGAGGGGAGCGCATCTGCCTCACCCATCTATTCTTGTTTCTTTTTATGTGTTGACTCCTCTGGTTGCTCGTTTTAACGGATCAATTTATAAGCCCCGCCTTTCAAGAATCAAGGTCCTTTCCAGCATTAAATGCTACATTTAATAACACTGGTCTAATCATCAAAAATACAGCATGAACTGAGACCAGGCCACACCATCTCATCCCTTAGCCGTAGTCTGTTTCCGTTAAGTCCAGGTAAAATACAGTGGTGCCTCGCAAGACGAAATTAATCCGTTCCGCGAGAGTCTTCGTCTAGCGGTTTTTTCGTCTTGCGAAGCAACCCTATTAGCAGCTTAACGGATTAGCGCTATTAGCGGTTTAGCGGCTATTAAAGGCTTATCGGCTTATCGGATTAGCTGCTAAAAGGCTATTAAAGGCTTAGCGGCTTAGATAAAGGGGAAGCGAAAAAAATCTCAAGACTCGCAAGACATTTTCGTCTTGCGAAGCAAGCCCATAAGGGAAATTCGTCCTGCGAAGCAACTCAAAAACGGAAAACCCTTTCGTCTAGCGGGTTTTCCGTCTTGCGAGGCATTCGTCTTGCGGGGCACCACTGTATTAGGGTTTCAAAATATATTGGGATGGGGCCTGCCTAATGCTGCTGTGTGTTAGTATTGCCCAATTGTGGGGCCACTGCCAAAAAGGCTCTGGCCGATGTGTATGTCAGCTGAACTCCCTTTGCTGGTGGGCATCTGAACAAGGCTTTGGATACAGGTCTGGAGTTAGGGGCAGGCATCTATGGATGTAGGTGAGCCTTTAATTTCAAGGTCACTGCCAGTATTTAAAAATGGGCCTGTAAGTGCACCGATAACCAGTGCAACTGGTACAATATTAGTGTAATACGCCTTGCTTGCCTGGTTCAGGGTATTAACTTGGTACTGCAGTATCTTCAAGTTAATGTTTGGGGGGGCATATTTTTTGTTTTAAAACACCATATTTACTTAAATATAATGCACCCCTTTTTTTGGCCAAATTATGTTGCGGAAATTAGGGTGCACATTAGATTTGATGACACCAGCCAGCAAATCCTTTTTTGGTTTCAAGGTTTTTGAAAATTCGATGGCGCATTCAGTTTGCATAAATACAGTAGATGTGATTGGGTAGGATATGGCAAATCCATAAATTGGATTGTGTTCCATTGAAATACATAGACTAACAATCTTATGGTATATAATTGTAGTGTTTGAAGGGACCCTAAGGGTCATCCAGCCCACCCCCTGCAATGCAGGAATTCTGCCTCCTGCTGTCCCTAGGTGAGCTCTAATTCAGTAGGGCTTACTCCCAAGTAGGGATGGGGGAAGAAATTCGGTTCAGTTTACATTCAAAGATGGATTTATCAAAATCACCCTTTCCGAAGCTATACAAAATTCATGCATTATATTCAGGGAAACCGATTGCAAAAATGTGTGGCTTAGTCAAAAACCCACATAGGAACAAAAAGCGGTATTTTTAGGAGAAATTTGCACTAAAATACTTAAGTGTGTTGGTGTGGTTTCTTTTAATTAAATAAAAAGTTGCTGTAGATATAAGGGGAACTGAAGATTGGGGAAATGGGCAATGGAGAGAATCGAAAGCGACAACCGAAATGGGCATATCGTTCCATTCCTACATGGTTTTGCAGTTCGTGTTATGTTTAGTTCACCGTCTTTCGCTCTTCTCCCCATTGAAAACGCGTGGTTTTTGTCTAGGCAATGAACGGGCTGATATGCATGTCAGGCCTGTTTTAGAACAGCGAGAGCTGCGAGACAGGACAGTATTTTCAGTCCCCGGGGGGGAAACGACGAAATAAAAAGCGAAGTATAAAGGGAATTTCACCCGGCAGCCTTGCGAGTCTGGGTCTCCCAGCTGCATTCCTTAAGAGCATTGCAGGGATCGCAATTGCATTGCAAACGGCAGCTCATCACGATCCCGAAACCCGGGATTTTGGAGAGCAGCAAAATCTTTCAAGATCACCTTTCCAATCAACGGGGAGCAAATTACCGAGATTTCGGGTGGAAGAGAGAGAGAAGGGGGAAAAAATAAAAAAGATGTATCTTGGCAGCGGTGGGATTCGAACCCACGCCATCGAAATGACTGGAGCCTAAATCCAGCGCCTTAGACCACTCGGCCACGCTACCATCCGATTGCAGAGAGGCTCTGAACGGCATATAAGGGACGTCGGGAAATACTTGCAGAGCTATTTCCGGCTTGCACGCTTTTTTCCCCCCTTCCCCGTTCATTGCAAAAGGGAAGGAGCTTCGCAGCAAATATTCCCCTGCAATTCTCTGTTGCTCGCCGCCGCCCTTCCTGCCAGATAAGATGGTTTCCCCGCTGCTCCGAGCAGAAAAGCAAAAAAAAAAAAAAAAAAAAAGGAACCACTGTGCAGACTCATTGCACTAATGGCGTCCCTCGCACCGAACTGCAGACGTGGACCTGATTATTGCAAGGGTTGCTGTTGTTGCACATTGTGGGCACGGGGTGGCGCTGGTGCTCCAGCATTTTCCGCCCGGGTCGCAGAGTTAAGAGAAAAACGTCCACTAGAGACTACTGTATCCTTTGCTTCATCCTATTTTCTTGCCCTAGTTAGTTAACTCGCCACAAGTCCCAGAAGCTTTCATGCTGATTTCTAAAGGAAGCTGGCCGTGTGTAGATAAAGTGGGAACCAAGGAAAGGACAGTGCTGCTCTTATTTTCCCCCACCCTCTTCTCAAAAAATGCATGCAAGCGTATTGCAGTTTGCATTTGCTCCCATACAAATGAGTGGGTCTTTATTCTTTATTCCCCCAAAATATTTTTTTTCCTGGGGTGGATGAGGGTGAACAATTGAGGCTATATATCATGGGTAGGCAAACTAAGACCCAGGGGCCGGATCCGGCCCAATCGCCTTCTAAAACAGCATGTTTTTACATGAGTAGAATATGTCCTTTTATTTAAAATGCATCTCTGGGTTATTTGTGGGACATAGGAATTCGTTCATTTATTTTTCCGTCCAAAATATAGTCTGGCCCTCCACAAGGTCTGAGGGACAGTGGACTGGCCCCCTGCTGAAAAAGTTTCCTGACGCCTGCTATATGTCCAGATAATAAAAGTTGTACTAGCATGTATGAATGAATTGTTGGTTTGCTACAGTCACAGACCAACAGGATTAAATGCACAATTAAAACCATCCATCTCCTTAAAAGAGTTTAAAACAGATATATGAAAATATGCTCGCTTGCTCTTTCTTAAATGAAGCCGGCAAGACAAAATTATCCTCATCTGCACTGAAGTCAGAAACTTATTTACCGTATTTTTCGCTCTGTAAGACGCACCAGACCACAAGACGCACCTAGTTTTTGGAGGAGGAAAACAAGAAAAAAATATTCTGAATCTCAGAAGCCAGAACAGCAAGAGGGATCACTGCGCAGCGGAAGCAGCAATCCCTCTTGCTGTTCTGGCTTCTGGGATAGCTGTGCAGCCTGCATTCGCTCCATAAGACGCACACACATTTCCCCTTACTTTTTAGGAGTGAAAAAGGGAGTCTTATAGAGCAAAAAATATGGTATTTATTTATGGCAAACCTTAAGCAAAACAACACCGATCTACAGAAGAATAAGATATTCCTGGGAGATTTCTTAATGGGGGAGAATCAGCACATTATACACTGAAAGCACTTAGAACCAAAAAAACTGTAGAGTTGGAAGGGTCCCCAAGGTCATCTAGTCCAACCCCCCGCAATGCTGGAATCGCAGCTAAACAATTCCTGATAGATGATGGCCATTCAACTTCTGTTTAAAAACCTCCAATGAAACCCTTGCACCCACAATAAAATGCTTCTGGGAATTGTAGACTTTCTGGGTGCTGGAAATTGTAGCTCTGGGGAGGAGGAAACTACAGTTCCCTAGGATCCCTTGGGCGGGAATGTTTTTCAAAGGCACCTTTCTATACCCAAGTATTAAGGACATGGTCAACAGACTCTATTGCTCCCCATTTGTAGCAAATTTGCTCCCTCAAATAATTCTGGGCGCTGTCGTTTGTTAAGGCTTGGTGAGAGGGGAAACTACAGTTCCCATAATTCTTTGAAAGAACGTGCTCTGAATGTGCTTTAAAGGTGTGGTGTATACACAACAACAGATAGGACACAGACATTAGTCAATCAGAAGAGAGTGAGGGTGATAAAGGAAGAATATGACAGTTTAACTGGCAGATAGGGCCTGGTTAGCAAAAGAGCAAGAGGTGCTTAGGGGTCTGTCTGGCAGGATAAAGCTCTTTATAATTTCCTGAGGAAAATGACCTAGAAAGGAGCTAGAGGCAAATTAACTGCAGATAGCCATTCTATTATTATTATTATTATTATTATTATTATTATTATTAATCTATTTTTCCCTGACAGGGGCTCAAAGCGGCTAGGAAGCAATAGATTTAACAGCAGCCGTTCCGTTGTGGGGAATTATAAGTGAAGCTCTTGTTTAAACCCGAAACAGTGTTTCTGACAGAAAATGACCACGCATTCATGAAACTATTTATAGTCCGCTATCTCATGAAGAACATCAAAGCAGTTTACAACAAAAGCACACGAAAACCGCATAGTAAAAAAAAAAAGTCTGAAAGTGTGTGTGGTGAGGGGAAACCCACATGTGTCAACCATTGTGGAAAAGATGTACGTATTCTTAATTTCCTGACTAGGCCTGGTGGAATCATGCCTTTAAAAGTGAGGCTGTCTAGTTTTATCCCTCACCGGGTGTTAATAAAATTACAATTGTCATAAAATAAATCATTTTTAAGGCAGTTCTTGTTGCCATCCGTGCCTCAGCTTCAATTTGCACCTGGTTCAGGGAATAAGTGGTCACTGGGAACCCCAACATCAAAGAGTCCTGCTCTACCGCATAAACTTATTTAATACTGTACATTTACGCCCCACCTTTCTTTCAGGGACCTCAAGGGGGCCTACATACTCCCCCCTCCCCGTTTGACCCTCACAACAGCCCTGTGAGGCATGGACATAGCCAAAGGGGGGGCAGGGGGGCAGTTGCACCCCTAAATCAATACAATGCAATGCAAATCTTAGGTTTCCCCAAAAAAGCAATCCTGGCTACGCACCTGCTGTGAGGTAGGCTAGGCTGAGCTACAGTGACTGCCCCAAGGTTTCCCAAGCAAACATCACGGCTCAGCAGGGATTTGAACAAGGCCCACGTCCAGCGCTCTAACCATTATGCCACACTGTGGAATCCCCGGTTTCTTGGTTGCTACTGACAGGGTGCGGCGACCAGGGCTGCAACCAATGCCGGATATATGTATAAACTAAACAAGCTATAGCTTAGGGCCCCACTCTCTGTTCGAATTCCGGCTCCATGATTGCAGTCATGGGATTGTTGTCTTTCACATGACGGTATATGTTTTGACCCCACAGAGTGGGAAGTGATGGAGACGGGATGTTTGTGTTACTGTGTTCCGTGAAGTGGGACTATTGTCCTTTGCCCTTTTTCTCTTTGCTGTCTGATGCTAGAGAAAGAGGGAGCCATGTTGCAGTGCTCCATGCGTGTTTATATGTAAATAAAGTAGATTAGCCAAAATGCTGAGTTGCTGAGGTCTGTCCTGTGAACTGCGCAGACTCTGTGGATCCCTAAATGTGCCGGTGTCGGTTGGCATTGGTCACTGTGATGTTCGGGCTGAAGAAAGCTTATGAAGCTCCTGAACAATCGACCAGGAAGGAGAGAACATGCCAGTCAGGCATGTGTCTCTGCCAGGGTCCTACTCGAGTGTAGGCTGAACTCTTGACACTCTCTTGGGAGCCCCAAAAAAATTTAAAGGGGGGAGGGAAACTGGATGTACATTTCCAAAATATAAGATAAAAAACAAATAAAATAAAACCTACATACAGCAACAGTGTTTTGTGTTGTGTAGGTTCCTATGGTGTAATTAGGTCCATAAATTACCATATAGCATATATTCAACGCAAAAAACATTTGATGTTGACAAAGGACAGCTGGACATATAAAGGGCCCCATTAACTTCAGTAGCTTAGGGCCTCATCAAATCTAAATCCGGCCCTGGCTGCAACCACCCTAGACTGTGCTGCCTGCTACCCAGCTCCGACAAGGCACCTCGTCTGGCACTTTAAACGCGCGCTCGATGCGCTTTCAACCCGGTCTGCATGCGGACGCCCCGAAGCCCCGCCTGGCTCGGCTTGGAGAGCCGCCTCTTCCCTCCTTCCTGCTCCAGCAGCTCCTCCTCCTGCTCCAGCCCGGGGTGAGAACGAGGCGTGCCGTCGGATCCCTCGCTGCGTAGGGAGAGTTCAGCAGGGAGGCTGCAGGCGCCGCGCTCCGGAACGTGCTCGGTGCGCCCCAGTCCCGTCCCCGGGGGAAGCAGCAAAGCAGCAGCAGCCGGCGCGCGCGGCTCTTGCACGTCGCCTCTGCTCCTGGCACGCTTGCAAAAGCCTGGCCCGCCTCTCTGGAGGCGACTAGCTGGGCCGTCCTTCTGCAGAAGAGAGAGCGAGAGGGGTTGGCGAGGTGGAAAGCAAGCAGGAACCTTTGCTGTTTTGCAAAGGTGTGGATCTGCGTGGAAAGGTAGGCCCGGGGCTTGCAATTGATCCTGTCGTTTGTTTGGGGCGAGCAAAGCAAGGGAAAGCATTGGCATGGGCCTCGTGTGTATTTGTGTGGGTTTAGGTCAGCTTGGGTGCATAGGGGACGGTTGTGTTTGCAAGGCCGCCTTAGCTGCCTTTGCAGACGGCCCAAAGCTCTGGTTAGCGGCAGAGCGGGAGGTTTCTCTTCCTGCCCCTCCTTGGGAGCGGGTAAATGCAAGCAGCGCCCGGGGTGACCCTCCTGCCATCCTCCCCTCCCGCCTTCTTTCGCTGACACGTCTGAATTCGAGAGCTTTCCTGGGAGCGTCCGCGCTGCTGACCTCAGTGCTGGCGACTGGGCTGTAGGTAGGGTTGCATCAACACACAACTGTGCTCTGTGTGACTGTGGGGGTTGCGAGCGGCCGTGTGGACAGAAACAACCGTCTATTGTGTTCCTGGCTGCACAGTGGGCATTTTGTTTTATTTGCCTCTCGTGATTCGTTCTGTCAATCATCGGGATCAGGAAGGGTTTGGGTGAGTTTGCGCATGTGTGTGTTGGGTTTTTTAATTTTCTAAAAACCAGGATCATGATCAGCTGAGTGTTTTTATGAACCGATCTCCAAATGCATTGTCATTTAATGAGAACAGATGGGGGGGGGAGGACAGCTCCTCCAGAGTATCTGTTGGTTGAATATGTCTCCTAATTTGTTTGCAGGGAGGTTAGACGAAGTTGGCCATTTGTTGAGGGTTTGTCCTCATCTGTTTGCGGGGAGGTCTGATGACAATGCATCAAGCCTTATCCCACGCTTTCCAGTGAACCTAAGAAGCTGCCTTCTACTGAGTCAGAAAATTGATCTATCTAGTTCAGTATTATCTCCACTGACAGGCAAGGAATACCCCTAGCTCTCCTTATTGGAGAAACTGATCTTTTGGGGAAGCTGATTTCTCTTGTAGGAGATCTCCATTTTTTATTGCACAATTCAAATTTGCTGCAAAGTGATTGAATTGCACCCGCAAATAGCACGAGTTTGGAAACACCTTTGGTTGCATGTTTCCTTCCTTAGAGTTGTTGGGTTCTCTCTCCCTTTGGATCTGACTGAACACCATATTTGGGTGGCGGAAGGAATTCTGTCTCCGATTAGACCGCAGTCCTATGCACAACAACTCGGAAGTAAGACCCATCAAATTAGGAATTAGTTATATGATTGCCACTTTACAGCACAATCCTAGGCATGGCTACTTAAAAACAAGTCCCGGTGTGTTCAGTAGAGCTTAGTCCCAGGTAAGTGTGAGCAGGATTGCAGCCTTAGTTACTTTGTTTTGAAATTAATATACTGTACAGTGGCGTAGCGTGGGGGGTGTAGGGGGGGCCGGCTGCACCGGGCGCAACATCTGGGGGTTAGGGTTAGGGGGCGCAAATCCATGGGTTAGGGGGCGCAAATTACTTGCCTTGCCCCAGGTGCTGACAACCCACGCTACGCCACTGATACTGTATACTGCTTTATTCAACTATGGTTGACTGGTGATCCTCGACTACTTGTTCTGTTTAAAGGAAGGGATTTTCTCTTGTGGCAGAGAATGTGCTTTGCATATGGAAGGTCCCAGGATTTTACCCTCAGCCTTTCTAGGTAGGAATGGGAGTGAGCCTTGGACAGTTGTTGGCAATTGGTTTAGACAGCACCGAGTTAGATGCAACCGTCTTCAGATTTGGTACCCTGGACTGATCTGTGAGGAGGGCTTATATTTTTCTTCAGGGATGAGCCCAATTCTCACGTATCACCAAACCATGGCTAAGCGTGAACCGGTGAGTGTGTGAATGCACAAAGCAAAAACTGTTGCTGCTTTCAACGTCTGCCTCCTGCCGCTGGTACACTACCTGTAGATAAGCCATGGTTTGGTATAGCGTTGTATGCAAACCTCGGCTTGTGGGTTGTCTCGCTCCCAACAAACCACAAACTCTGACCAAGATTTGTTCTTGGGGGAGACAAACCATGAGCCTGGGTTTGCATGTAATCAATCATAAGCCAAACTATGGCTGAGCAACATCACCCCCGGGGGAGTGTAGCAGGCAGGATTTCTCTCAAGTACGTGGGCGTTATCCCTCGTTCATGCCTGACCATGTGTTGAGTTTCTGCTTCATGTGAACAGGTCTATGGACTCTCCGTTTCCCCTTCGCTCTGTAACATCTGTGTTAAAACCACTGTGATGTTGACAGTCCCTAGCTGTAGCTGCAGCAGATTAGGAAAAGGCTGAGCAGGCAGAAAGTCATTTTGTTCAAGATTCAGCTATCCCAGTGTAAATGCTCCCAAAAGACAGGACGTTCGGTGCCTAAATGATGGGTAGCGTTCTGCTAGGGTGCTTTGCAATAAGGAAGCAGCCATTATCTTTTAAGGAACGATTCCCTTCATGCTGCTATTTTCCAAAAGTGCTGTGTTGTGAAGCCTTGTCTTCTAGTACAGACACTAACCAGCTTGGAAACTTGTTTCTGTGGGAGCACATTTGAAAGTACAGTGGTACCTCGGGTTACATACGCTTCAGGTTACAGACTCCGCTAACCCAGAAATAGTGCTTCAGGTTAAGAACTTTGCTTCAGGATAAGAACAGAAATCGTGCTCCGACAGCGTGGCGGCAGCAGGAGGCCCCATTAGCTAAAGTGGTGCTTCAGGTTAAGAACAGTTTCAGGTTAAGAACGGACCTCCGGAACGAACGCACGTAGTTTTTAGAGGAGGAAAATCCGTAGGCATGCCACCCGCAGGCATTCCCTCCATAACACGCACAGACATTTCCCCTTACTTTTTAGGAGGAAAAAAGTGAGTGTTATGGTGCAACAAATACGGTAAGTACTTAATCCTAGGTACCACTGTAATGGAGAACAAGAAGGCTTCATAACTGCTTGAGGAAGGAGAATGGGCGAAGGGTTTGGAGTTGTGCTGGAAATAAGGGGAATGAATGCTGGTTTCCCCCACAATGCCAGCACCGTAAATTAACACAGAACATGGTTGGGAAACCCAAATGAGGCCTTCCAGGCCTCTCCCCCCACCCCCAGCCCTTGAAATTATCCCCAGGCCAAACTCCACATTTTTACCCCCATGTAACGTGTGTCAGTGGATTCTGGTGATGCCCCTTGCTTGTCTGGAGAGAGAATAGGGGAGCTAGCCTGCTGTTAGGCTGGCAAAATCAGGAACACTCCAGACCCTGAGATTTCAGAGTACAAACCTGAGACCTAGGGGTGGCCCTGGCCCCTGGTGATGTCAGAGGAGTAGGGCTTGGAGACAGAGGTTAATTGGGAGAAAGGAGTGGAGGAAGTGCTTGCGCTGCAATTTGCAGCTGACTCTTGGTGGGTTGAAGCTTGCAAGTTGCATCCACAATCTGATAGGTAAAGGTAAAGGGACCCCGGATCATTAGGTCCAATCGTGATCGACTCTGGGGTTGCAGCACTCAGCTCGCTTTATTGGCCGAGGGAGCCGGCGTACAGCTTCTGGGTCATGTGGCCAGCATGACTAAGCCGCTTCTGGAGAACCAGAGCAGCGCACGGAAACGCCGCTTACCTTCCCGCTGGAGCAGTACCTATAACGTGCTTTTGAACTGCTAGGTGGGCAGGAGCAGGGACCGAGCAATGGGAGCTCACTCCATCACAGGGATTCGAACCTCCGACCTTCTGATCGGCAAGTCCTAGGCTCTGTGGTTTAACCCACAGCGCCACCCGCGTCCCATACACAATCTGATAGATAGGTAATTAAAGACACTCTGGTGGACCTGGAGATTTAAGCTTTCCACCTGGAGGGGGACCAGGCAAACTTGGAGACATCAGGTCTGACCTGCAGGTCTGGCAACCCTGCTTACTGTACCAGGGTATTTGTCTGAGAAGCATCACTGTAGGACACCAGAGTGTGTCATTAGTATGGTGTTTGTGTTGTGGAACAGCGTTTTAGAAACTGCAGCACCACAGTCCTGTACATGTTTACTCGAAAATAAGTCTGGCTGAGCTTTCTCCCTGGTGAGTGTGTCCCACTGAACACACTGGGACTTCTCCTGTGAGTAAACATCCTTAAGCTCACTGTGCAAAAGAGCATTTACAGTAGGACGTTGCTGGGTTTTAATGCATCCAGTGTTGCGTAATGGAATTAAACATTCTGTAGTTGGAACAAAGGCAGGGATGATTCTGATACCCAGGAATAGCCATTTGTGTTTTTCCAAAAGTAGGCTTCTGCTCACCGGCATAAATGACGAGATTTCAGCCTGCTTCCTTTTCTAAGCAGAGAATGTTCCTGGACTGTTTGATTGCAGGTTGTTGATGTAATGTCATGGCAATCAAAGGCACTCAGTCAGCAGATCTGCTTATTGACAAGCTTGGATATGTTCACATATTTATGGGGATCTGAACATGGAACAGATGGAGGAAGGGGGGGATACTCCCCCCCCCAAAATGGCTGCACAGTACCAACCTCCTGCACTGTTAAATGTTATGCAATCGTTGCCATGCCAACGCACCAAAGTGTTGCAAAAATAAATAAGTAAATAAACATTTAACTCCATATGTAGATATCTCATCATGTCCTACATTACTTGATCAGATTATAGCTTCATGGGGACTGAATCAACATACCTATCAGGTTTTAATTCAAAGAAAACCATACTTTGGGCTTACAACTTATGACCTGCATCACGTACAAAGATGAATACGAATTTGAATTTTCTGCATGGTTTGTGCAGAGTCTACTTTGCATTCAAACACTGCATGATTCCTTCACTTTCTGGGTGTTACAACCCAAGAGATTGTTGTGTTTCCTAAAGCTCGATGCACACTGGGTACAAGCCCTAAAGAAGAAGTAAAAATAAATTTCCAAGATACGAAATGGGTGGGGAATTGTTTCCGACAGTATTTGTTGGAATGCTGTGTAAAATAACCGCTGCTGTTTTCAACATAAGGTAGCAGGCTCTGGAAACCTCACGGGACAAAGACAGCGTTCTGACTTACACTGTGAGCGCAGGCAGGAAGAAATGGAAATGACGGCCATAATCATCATTATAATAATTGATTCTGTGGTTTGGGAGAGAAAGTAGTTGTTGTCTCTGCAGATTTACTACTGAATAAATTTTGAAAGTAGCATTAAAAGTATTCTGTAACGCTGTTTCCCTCCCTCCCTGCTAGTAATTCAGTCAATCAGTCAATCTTTATTATTACAAGTAATTATTATTTTGTAGCTATTGTAATGCTGAATTTAGAGCGCTGTTGCACTGTTCAGGGTGCAGATATCTACACACCTAACCTGGGCACAAGCCCCTGAGTGCATAGGCAGAGGAGAACAGTCTTGTATGCTTTTCTGTACTCTGTTAGATATGGGTGTTTTACTGCGTTGCATTCCTGCATTGCAGGGGGTTGGAACAGATGGCTTTTGGGGGTCCCTTGCATTTCCTTAGCACAATTATAGCTTTGCAGCTCTGATCCTGGCAAGTAACAAAATGCACTTTCTAAATTCCATACCGAATCGGTAACCCATTGAGACGGCAATCCTAGGCACCTTGGAGTAATTCCTAGTGGACTTGATACAACTTTTTTTCCTGAGCAGACATGCCTAGGGTTGTCTCGAGCCGCTGGGTCTTGTACCATTCCCAACTTGCACACTTTCTCAAGATCGCGGGCAACATTTAGAGATTACACAGTGTTTCCAGAGAGTGCTGAGAAACAGTTTTGGACAAGACAGTTCTGGGAACCAATGCTTCTGGTCGGGTAGGGGTTTTAATATGTAGGCAAAAGGTGTTGTTTTAATGCAGTGGTGGTGAAGCCATGGCTATCCAGACATTATTGAACACCAGGTCCCTTCAGTTCCAGCTAGCATGACCCAACAGTCATGGATGATGAGCCATGTTGTGTATGTTGCATGTTGTATGATAGTTTATCATACATCTGGAAGGCTATAGCTTCCCTATGCTGGTTCTAAAGAAATGTGGGTTTTGAGTTAGAGGAGAAACTGCATAAATCCCACTTGCTTTCAGCCTGATCTCTAGATGTGTCTGGGTTTGTTTTTATATATAAAAAAATCATAGAGCTGGAAAGGTACCCCATGCAATCCAGCAATCGCAGCTGAGGTTGTTTTGATTGATTGTGTTTATTGTAATTGGTTTTAGGATTTATGCTGTCTTTGTAAGTTGCTTTGAGTCACTTCCATGAGTAAAGCGATGGAGAAAAAGATAGTCTCACCTTTGCTTATTTGGAAGTAGGAATGGGGTAGAATTCAGTTCACACTTACGCATATTTACAGGCAAAATTGTAACTCTGAAGAGTAAACTATGGAGCCCAGAATGACACCTGCAGAATGGCAAAAGCAGGAAGTGTACAATTTCCAAATATCGCAGCAGGAAACCTATTTGTTGGTCAAGGCCCTCAAGACCTAATTTGGGCTTATCAACTGACAGTCTAGGGGACCTGTCTCAGAACACCTTCCTCAGTTCTGAGATGCAATTTTAAACTTTGGCAGAAAAGTGGTATATAAATGTAGTCAGTAAATAAATAGGCTGTGTGTACACAACAGGCAGAAACTGATAACGGGAGCAGAAGTCAGCATTCTAAGAATTTCACCTTTTACTATTCAAGTTTCTAGTCCTTATATTTTTGAAATTCAGGAAAGGGGCAAAAATGTTGCAAAAAGGAGCGTATACAATTAAGTTCCATCTCTCATTATCTATATCTCTTGGAGAATTCACAGAATTTGGGGGAAGCAGAATTTGGATTATCTTATTTTGCGGGACGAGGGAAGCACAGAATATATACATAGCACCATGATGAAATATCAGGTTGACCATCAACAATAAGAACCTTCTTGGAGCTGCCAAAACAACTCCAGCTTGAGCACAGGGCAAGTTGCCATCCTTTTAGATGAACCTTTTAAATAAAAGGTCTCTGTCCTCTTATTGGCACAAGGTAGTGAGACCGGCCTCATTGCACAGGCTCATTGAGGTCTCGAGCAGCAGAATGACTGGGGGTGGCAGGAAAAGAGTCTGCTCATTTGGCACCTGTACATGGCTGCCTCCTTAAAACAGAGAAAGCACAGGATGTTCTCCTGGAAGCAAACAGCTCTCTGCTCCTACATGCCAGGAAGATAAGGCCTGGAATTGGATCTGTTTCAGAAGCATGTTCAGTACTGCTGATGGTGCAGCGTTAGTACTCAAGCTTAGAGCACAAAAAAGTGCTACCTCGGGTTACAGACGCTTCAGATTACACATGCTTCAGGTTACAGACTCTGCTAACCCAGAAATAGTACCTCGGGTTAAGAACTTTGCTTCAGGATGAGAACAAAAATTGCGTGGCTGTGGTGCGGTGGCAGCGGGAGGCCCCATTAGCTAAAGTGGTGCTTCAGGTTAAAGAACAGTTTCAGGTTGAGAACGGACCTCCAGAATGAATTAAGTTCTTAACCCAAGGTACCACTGTATTCTCTGCATGAGATTTCCAGTTTTTAATAATAAAAATAAAAATATTGGTCTCCACAGTTGTTGTTGTTGGTGTGTGTTCTCCAAATCTTGGGGAATATACATGGAAGTCTTTGTTGTTGTTTAGTCGTTTAGTCATGTCCGACTCTTCGTGACCCCCTGGACCAGAGCATGCCAAGCACTCCTGTCTTCCACTGCCTCCCACAGCTTGGTCAAACTCATGCTGGTAGCTTCGAGAACACTGTCCAACCATCTTGTCCTCTGTCATTCTCCTTGTGCCCTCAATCTTTCCCAACATCAGGGTGTTTTCCAGGGAGCCTTCTCTTCTCATGAGGCGGCCAAAGTATTACTGGAGCCTCAACTTCAGGATCTGTCCTTCCAGTGAGCACTCAGGGCTGATTTCCTTCAGAATGGAGAGGTTTGATCTTCTTGCAGTCCATGGGACTCTCAAGTGTCTCCTCCAGCACCATAATTCAAAAGGATCAATTCTTCGGCGACCAGCCTTCTTTATGATCCAGCTCTCACTTCCATACATCACTACTGGGAAAACCATAGCTTTAACTATATGGACCTTTGGCTGCAAAATAATAATAATAAAAATAATAAAAAAAACCCAAAAAACCAACGCTCTGAATAATTCTCGCCCTGGTTTTCGTAATCTTTCATCATTCTTGTAGTTCTGTGGCTTGGTTTAAGGCCAGAAATCAAACCAAACAAACTTGTTCCTGTGGAAACAAGGAATGTCCAGAAAGTTACTTATTACTTTATTGTTTAGTGACAGTTACTTATTAGGGAATTCTGGCCCAAGCTTAAGGAGGTGCCATTTATACAATTGGCAATTGCATGGGCGACTTTTTAACAGCAAGCAGGGGAGGCTGATTTGAATCAGGTGGCAGGAAAGGATTAAAACCCCTTTGTGCTCCCCGCCCCTGCCAGGAACCTCCTGGTTAGTATTGCCCCCCCCCCCCCCCGTGCCTGCTACTTATTTTGTAAAATGAAAAAGTAGTTGTGGTGTGAGAGCCAATATGGTGTAGTCATTAGCGTGTTGGACTAGGACCTGGGAGACCAGGGTTCGAATCCTCCCTCCGTCATGAAGCTCACTGGGTTACCTTGGGCCAGTCACAGTCTCTCAGCCTAACCTACTTCACAGGGTTGTTTGTAAGGATATGCCACCTTGAGCTCTTTGGCAGAAAGGTGGGGCAGAAATGAATAAATACATATAAATCCATCCATGCAATTGCTAATTGTCTTCTCTATGTGTTCAATGCTGGGGTCCTTCATTAGGGCAGGATCAGTCCAGCCATGACGGCAAACGAGGCAGCTATCTAGGTGGCTCCCCGCTTTTCAGAAGTTGGGGGGGCGGGATACATTGGTGCCATCGTTTGTTTCCTTTAGCTTGATATTTTCTGCTCAGATTGAACAGCCTCATTGAAAGTTGTTCTGCTTTTCTGCAGAGAATCACATATGCACTTGCCTTTCACTGGGAAAATACCATCTCTAATTTTAGCTTGTGTCTTACTTTAGAAGAGGTCAGAGGAGCCTTGCACTGTGCCTGACGGTGAGATTTGTGGCAGGCCACCTCTTAGCTGTAGTGGTGGCTAACGGGGCATTTTTCTCCTTTACCTACAGGGTTATAGTTTTTACAACTGCTGGTACTTCTCTGTGGCCTTCTGCCTCACTCCATTCCTGCCACGTGAGGAGGCTTGCGTTCAACTTCTGCTGCCGGAAGTTGATCCACCATAGGTAAGCGCCTTTCCTTCTTATTGACTTTTAACTGTAGGGTGAATTCACTGCGTGGATCTTCAGCAAACTAGTCTCTGTGCCTGGGTTTCCTCATCTGAGATAAAACGGAAAGGTCTCTTTAAGGCAGTACCTTGCTTTTGCACCAAGCAACCTGGGAGTCATTGATGATTTGTTATTTAGTGATTAAGCAGGGTCCTTCACTGTGCTCTTTTTGGCGCCTCCTAAAAAAATTCTTGCTTTGACAAGACGACCCAGATGTTTAGAAAGCTAAGTTATTCTAATCTGTTTTAGTATTTTAACTTTTGTATGCCTTAAAGTATGGTTGTGTGTGCAAGAGCATTAAGGTATAAGAACATAAAAATAAGATAATAATTAAGCAGAAGCAGTAAATAATTAAAGAACCAGAAGGGGAAGTTGAGGGAAGTCACGAGAAGGGGGGGGGGCGCTTCTTTTTTCTTTTATATGATAAATGTTACATTGTGTTGTCTGATTGAATATAAAACTGCAAACATTCAGTAAAATTTCATAAAAAAATAAAATAAATTATGGTTGTGGATTTTTCTCCCTGTTATCACTTTATCTTTTTGTAAACCATTTTTAGGTTGTTGTTTTTTTACATCCGAGCACTGTGTAAATGTTACAAAGCAAGTTAGTAAACAGATAGATTAGAAGAATGAATAATTCCGCCTTTCATTTCTAGAAGAAATACCAGTTGCTAATCAGAGACACAGTATGGAATCAGTTTGAGAATGTGTCTTTGTTGTTTGTTCAGATATGTTTCATGTGTAGAGTACTGATGGTCTTCAACAAAATGTGCTTCTGTAGCCAGCCAGCCAGCTATAACCCCCTCCACAATACTCCATTGATTCCATTCCCTTTCCACCTAGTGTTCCATTCACCACTCAAGACAGTTTTCTGTACCCACTGAGCATGCTCAGCCCTCATCGGACTGTTTGGGGAAGTCACCCTCCTGTTAGATTCCTCCCCTCCCTCGCCCCGGCTAATAATTTATTGTACTTCTGAAAATCTTGGGGTTTCCACCTAAGGGTTCTTTTATGTCTGTAGGTGGTGGCATTTTGGCTGTGCAAATTTTGGCATGTGCAGCCTGGACATGGGAAATAGAGGGAGCGATTTACCCTCAGACTAGGTTTGATGTGTTTGAAATGTCTTGGATAAACACCCACCAAAGTGCTGGCACTAATTGGACCAGTTGCTCAGCTGGAAAGAGTTGCGGCGAGGTCCCTTCCCAAGAGAGTTGGATTGAGAAATTTCTGGATGCATTGCACAATTTAGCCTTTTGCAAGTAAGCGTTTAAGCTCCACCCACCCACCCCAAATCTTCCCCAACCTTTTTAAAAACGAGTCCTGCTCAGAAACAATGATGATCAGATGTATTATTTACCAGGCGCCATAGAGAAGGTAGAATTACATCACCCTGCCCTCAGGCTTGCAATCTCATAAAATGAGAGTGAAATAAAGGCATGGAACCGGAGGGGGAGGAAACCAGATCAGAAGTTAGCTGGAAAAAAGGCTAAGGGAAGTCTCGTGTTTTTAAATGATGGAAGCATGCCTCAACGGTATATGTGGAATTCATCTAAGACACAACTATAGCCATAGAGGAGGGCTGTAGCTTAGCCATGGGTCATCTGATTTTGTACGCAGGAAGTCCCAGGTATGTCCAGTTAAGGGGCTGGGAGAGAATCCTGCCTGATGCCCTGCAAAGCCACTACCAGATGGTGTGTAGAGCATGGGTAGGCAAACTAAGGCCCAGGGGCCGAATCCGGCCGAATCGCCTTCTAAATCCGGCCTGCGGACGGTCCGAGAATCAGCGTGTTTTTACATGAGTAGAAAGTGTGCTTTTATTTAAAATGCTTCTCTGGGTTATTTGTGGGGCCTGCCTGGTGTTTTTACAGGTGCTCGTCCGGTGCTGTGGAGAAGGGAGGGGAGAGTCGGTTGAGGGGGTGGCTTATAGTCCGGCCCACCACAAGGTCTGAGGGACAGTGGATCAACCCCTTGCTGAAAAAGTTTGCTGACCCCTGCTTTAGGGGAAGCTGTGACAGTTTAAAGTCGCATAACACTGCTTTAAATTAATAATGTGGATATGGCCAGGGTGCTTTTTTCAAGCCAGGAGGTAGGAGACAAATTCCATGCATACGGCCTGTATCGTCTCTGGTTGGTGGGTGAGGCAAGGCATGCCTTCTCCATTGCTGAGAAGACCTCTGCTTCAGCCCTCTCTGCCTCCCAGGAAGGTGAACTGCTACCCCACCTGGGAATACAGGCCTCAACAAGAAGACACTTCATATTTATCCAGGATCTGGGATATTTCTCCAGGTTAGGATGGAGCCCCACAAGCCTGAGCTTGCAGGTAACTTCACCTGTTCTCCCCCACATAATGAATGAAGAAACGGCAGCAAAGAGAAACGAGAGATCTCCGTTGGCTCAGGAACTGCACTCTGCGATAAAAGCAACATTCAAACCGTCTCATCGTTTTATTAACCACCACGGGAACCGCCCAAATCTTTAAAGGAACGCCACAAACAGAATGCAGCTGTTTTCACACACTAGGCTGATTTCATAAACTCCTTTCCTCAGCGTAATTTTTAAAAGGGATATATTGGCGTGCGAACCTCTCCCAGCCCAAAGACTGCCTCGCCTCATTAATTTCAATGGGTCTACTTGGAGAGGAACTTAGCTGGATGCAACTCAGTGGGGTGTGAAAAACGGCATTTTTCTTCCAATTAATGCTAACCTGGTACACCTGAAACAGGGCAGCCTACCTTTCCATACCACGTGGGTCACAAGAATACTTTGACATAGAACCCACGGGCCGCACACTGCTTTGGGGGTGAGCAAGGCCAAAATTAGACGTTCCCCCCTCCCTGAGTCCTCATGCTGCCTTCCCAGAGCTGGTTAAGTGAGGGAGCGGTCTTTGGGAAGGAGGCAGGAGGCCGTGACAGGATTCTAGAGCCCTCCCGTCTCCTTCCCAAAGCCCACCACCTTGTTTACCTGGCTTTGGGAAGGCAGGATGAGGGCTGCAGGCAGGGACAATCAAATGTTGCCAAAGGCCACCCCAAAAAAGATATTGAGGACCATATGTGGTCCTCAGGCTACGTGTTGGACTGCCCTGGTCTAGAGCATCAGCTAGTATAGAGAGTGTGCAGAGCTACAGATAGACACATAGGAAGCTGCCTCCTACAAAGTCAGGCCATTGGTCTATCCAGCTCAGTATTGTCTAGACTCTACCAGGGGTCAGCAAACTTTTTCAGCAGGGGGCCGGTTCACTGTCCCTCAGACCTTGTGGGGGGCCGGACTATAAGCCACCCCCTCAACCGACTCTCCCCTCCCTTCTCCACAGCACCGGACAAGCCCCGGTGGCTGCTTACCTGTGTCTTGCGAGCGGCAGGGGCTGGCGGTGGCAGCGGGACGATGAGCGGCGCACGAAAGGGCTCTAGAGAGGGGCGGCTTAAAATGGCGGCCACTTGAGCACTGTTGCTGCTGGCACCAACAAAGCCCAGCCCCCTTCCTCCTCTAGGCAGGGTGGGGAGAAGCCAGGAGGAGGGAGGGAGGAGGAGGCGGTGCCAAAGGAGGGAGAGGGGAAAAACACGTATGCCGGCGATCCATGTGGCGATTCCCAAACCATCCGCGGGCTGGATCCAGAAGGCAATTGGGCCTCATCTGGCCCGTGGGCCTTAGTTTACTGACCCATACTCTAAAGCAGGCATTTCCAACAGGTAGATCGTGATCTACTGGTAGATCACTGGACTTCTGTAGTAGATCACTGGCTCTCCCCAAAGAAGCTCAAGAACTTTGGCTCCCCTAAAAAAAGCTCAAAAACGTAAACCTGAACCCCCCCAAAACAGGGCTTTCCTTCCAAAAAAAAACCAAACCCCTTTCAGAGCTGCAGTTCCCAGGGTTCCCTGCGAAGAGGGATTGATTCTTAAATCACTCTGGGAATTGGTGCCTTGGGAGGGGAATAGGATAAGGTTACTAGACGTCCCCGTTTCCCGGTACAGTCCTCATACAGAATCCATTGAAGTTGCAAAGTGTCCCCGGATTCATTGAAAAAAAAATATGGTAACCTTAGAATAGGAGTCTCCTAAGAACTCTCAGCATCGTGTTGGCCTTCAGGGCCATTTTCACCAAACCGCAGCCACTCGCCCCCGCACCTGGTGCCATATGCGAGGTCAGGTATGGGACGGTTACTGCTGTGGCTTCAAAGGAGGAATAGGGAGCTTGAAATGAGCTCCTGATGGTTCATTTCCTGGAGGAAGGCATGTTCCCACAGCGCCTTACACTGGGATGGGAATTGGTTTCCGTTGAAACCACTGCTAAAATGGAGATACGTAGAACGTTGTGTGTTTTAATTGGTTGTTAGTTTATAATTGATTTTTATTAAATGTCTTAAACAGCTGTTTCTTACTTTTTACTGATGGTTTTGTTTTATTCTTTTTTTGCAAACTGCTTTCAGGTTTATTCAGGGTTTGTTTTGTTTTTACAACCAAGCGGCATGTAACTTTTATTAAATGAACAAATGTAAAGCCTAAAGATTCCTACATACTGACCCATTCCCCCCCCCCCCCCGTTAATTCAGATATTGATCTCCCGCCTTTCCCTTCCTTAGGTTCCTTCATTTGTAATACTGGCTACTTCAACCCCCACAAGAGCAAAGCCACTCTCCCACCAGTATGGCGGAAGAAGACCTTATCTTTCACATGGAATGCTTCGATAACACCAAGCCAGCGAAAGCAGTCTCTGGGAATTACCACGACACCGATAGCGAGGATGAAGATAATTACTATATCTGCCCGATAACAGATGACCCTGTTGCAAACAAGGCAGCTGGTGACAAAGTCAGCAACTATTACACCAACTTGATGAAAAATGAGCTGTATTCATCCAGCGCTTCTCCTAGGAGTTCTTTTGACATCAAGGTTAGTCCACACCAGTCTCTCTCTTTCCTGGCTTTTCCTGGGCTGGCATGAGGTCAAAACTTTCTTCCCCTGCTTTGTTTCTTGTAACTAACTACTGTGATGTACAACTTGCGTGTGTTTTACCCAGACCTGTAGCTGCTCCCAAGACAATGGCCCACCCCTTTAGACCAATTTGCAGTTTGCTCATTTCCTGTGCGTAGACCGAAGTGTGAAGCCGTAAACATTCGGCACAGAGCTGGCTTGTGTGTTTGTAAATACGCAGAAGACACAGGTTGTGGAGCTGCAAATGATCATGGCCACAAATGTTGGCAAAGTCTGTTAAATAACCCAGACGGAGTCCGAAGAGAAAATAAATCCTGGTAATACTTTGCTGAGGAAACTGAACGGAAGGCAATGTATAATTTGAAGAGAAAGGTACAGACATGTCTTTCTCTATCTCCAGGCCTTGTACATAGCAGGGAGGTGTCCAAGCAAGCATACAAAGGAAAACTCCCTCAAAACTACACAGCCTATCAAGGCAGTGTGCCACCTCAGCAAAACATCATTCCACCTGAACTGCAGCCCTTGTTGAGCTGGCTTTGGTCCTAAGGCCTCCATTATTATTATAATTATTGGCAACTCTCCATTTTCAATTATAATTACTTTCCGTGATAACAATGTATTACGTACTCTTCAGCCATTGCTCTCTGTGTGGGATGTGAAGCAACAAAAAGCTGCAAGAGTCACAATAAATAAAAGCATAACTAGTTGCAGCAAGCTGTTTCATAAAAGCAGCATAAACGAGGTAAAGCCAAAAGGTATTGGCAGGTAAAATGGGTTTTCACCTGGCAAACCTCTCTGGGAAGGTGTTTTCCCAGCTAGGGTGCCATAGCTGAAAAGGCCCTGCCTTCCACCGCCATCTCTCTTCCTTCTGATGTCAGAAGGACATGGGACAAGTTTACTGTGTTTGCCTCTGAAAAACACCACTCTGTGTGCAGCAAACATAATTGCCATGTGACTCATTTGAAAACTCTGGCCCTTGCAGTTAGCTTCCATATAACTATTTCACAATGGGATGTTGTCACTGATGTTTCTTAAGAAGTATCACTGTGGGCCAGAAGTTAGATGTCTGTCAGTGAAAGGTTGTTAGGAAGCAGAGGAGAGGAACACCAGTTGAAAGAGAAGTGAGCAGGATTGTATACTAGATGATCATAGAATTGTAGAGTTGGAATGGATCCCAAAGGTCATCTGGTCACAATCCCCTGCAGTGCAGGAATCTCAGCACGCGGTCCCCCATCCAATTTAAAACCGTAGTGGACCCAGGCTGCATTGGTGGATCAGATGAAAGGTAGCATAGAAAAACTGGCTTTCAAAAACTTTCACCAAGCACAATGGATGTGTCGATTGTCTTGAAAAGTGACTTTCATTTAAATGCTATTTTGCTCTGTTCTACATGCTTACTGTAATTGTTTTCATGTATGTCCTTTAGAATGGCACTCAGCAGCAATCTAAGCATGGCTCTGCCATTGACCATAGCCGGGTAGGTCAAAAATGAATGCGGTAACATTTTAAAATAAATTTCTTGTTTGAGGTGGGCGAGTGGTTTAAAACCCAAATCCCACCATTTCCAGAAAAATCATATGCAGCTTTATGCACAGTTCTCTCAATAAACACAGTTTTGTATGCCGTTTCCCCTCACATAAGCATTTTCACTATTACGCACATTTTGTGCACAGGGTTGGGCTGAGTGTCTTGGAGAATGAAACAGCCATTTGTCTGGAGTTGTAATATTCATCTGCATCCTTTACATACTAACATGCCTTTTGCTTCATGTGGTGAGCTGGGATTTTTGGTTCATTTTCAAGCGGCTTTTGCTTCTCAGTTTGATTATATGTAGCTTGTTTTGTGTTCTCCCCGCCCCCCCCCCCGCCCTTACTTTTTCCTCAAGAGCATGTTTGAGTTTGACTGTATCACTGGGACATTAAAAAATAAGACTAGGAATGCCTGAGCAGATCCAAAGAAAGGATGCATCTGGCTGAGATTAGCGGTCAAGGGGCACCAGCTGAGACAGTGACATACTCCCAAAATATTTTGTTGTAAAAGAAAGTAACTTTGCATTAAAAGAAAAACACGAGTTCAGTCTTGGCTTTCGTGTTGATTATCATTTTTTGAGCAAATTAAGTTAATTTGGATAGGCAGAAAATATTAAAAATACATTTAAGGAACCGCAGAAATAGGGGGAAGGAAGTCAAGTTTTGAAATGTTGAAATGACTGTAAAATGATTGAAATGTATAAAATTTAAAATCATAAATAATATATGTTTTTTAAAAGAAAATTTTAAAAGAAAAATGCATCCAACAGAGGGCCGTTGGCCTGAACCAGTAAATCCTTACACATATTTACCTCCCCACTCCTTGATGTCATATTATATATATATATATGATGTGATGTCAGAGTAGTGCAGGCAGGTGTGGTTTTTCCCAAACAGGTCCAAATGTACAGGCTGGCCCACGAGACTTGTGTCCGCAGACAAATATCCGCAGACAAACCGTTTTCAGGGCTCTCCCTGTGTGCTTCCCTTTGCAAGACTGAGGTCCAAAAGTACGATGGGAGATCAATGATTGTGCATTATCTCTGACGGCCTTTTGTGAATAACTCAACACTTTTCAACTTCTGCAGCAAGCCTGGAAGCACGCCATTGAGAAAGCCAAGCACATGCCTGACCCATGGGCAGAATTTCATCTGGAGGACATTGAAACGGAAAACGCAACACGTTACAGGTTTGTAGGCACTTCTGCTTCTATTACTGATGTTGCATGTGTGCCCCTGTGGGCTTGGGTGGGGGATAGGGGCACACCCACCAATGGTGGCACAGATTTCATACAAGATCTTGCCTATTTTGGGTGAGATCTTGCCCCAAATCACATGAGATTTATTTTTATTTTTTTGCTCTACAAAATCTTGTGCGATTTCGGGCAAGATCTCGTCCCAAATGGGCACAATGTTGCCCGAAATTGGTGCCGATTTGCAGCATCACTTCTCTGCTGTTGGCAGAGGTCGCAGGCCAGGCGGGAGACCTGCAGGCAGGCAGCCTGAGGCAGTGACTTCACCCTGCCCAACGGCTGAGCCGGCACTGGCAGGGCAGGGCTATGTGTCAAAGGGGTTTGTTTCTTTTTCAAAATAGTCCATCTTGAAGCATCTTGAAGCATAGGCAAATATTAATATCTCTCTCTCCCCCTGTGCATGGACTTTTTAGTGGCACCCTAAGATGAAAAATATGTGATCAGGAAGACATTAAGAGGCTTGCTGCTGATTGATGTGCAAATAGGTTAAACATAATGGGCAATAACCACATTACTCCTTTTAATTAGTTGTTGTATTTATGGCTCTTGCCTATATGTCCTGATAGGTTCTTGCTTGCGGGTGTTCTGTTCTATTTCACATTTTTTTATTAACTTCCATTGGAGGTTTTTAAAATAAATACCAACCAACAGTTTAGGTAACCTTTATCTGAACCGGAGTTAAGCTGGTAATCCAGAGTCCGTGTGGCTTGTCCATTACCGCCCCCTGCCTCACCCCTTGTCTTGCACGTATCCTGATTTTTGATTCTCCAAATCTTATCTTTTTCTTCTTTGTCCCAAGCTACAATAGTGAGCTCATTGGTGTTGTCTTAGGAATTAAATCTTCATAAGGAAGAAAGCTTCCAACATGCTTTTATGCAAAGCTATAAATAGTTGGGCCTCTTAGTAACGCGCTGTGCCGTTCTTAAAATAGTGTTTGCTTTCTCTCGGGTGTGCGTGCTCCTCTGCTATGCACAGCCAGAATGTAAACCTTTAAAAAAGGACCAGTGCAGGCGTGCGCAGAGCAGAACTGACCTCTGACTTGTGTGCGTTCCTGCTGGGCAGACAAGCTCATCGGAACATGCTGTACATAATGCACATCTGAAGTGTGCATTCGCTGGGTGTGAAATGAGTTCAGCTAAGCATCTTATGGCAGGATTACATGAGGAAAGGTGGAAGAAAACTGTCAGAAATAGATTGTTGCCCAACACATTTCAATTATTATAGCTCTCTTTTCCTATTAAAAAGATCTTGAATCGCAGTCTCTGCAGAAAAAGACAGATACTGTAATATTTGAAATACATTGGCTGATAAATGGTCTCCTGCGGGACTTTAAGGAAAGTGTTGGACACACCCTTCTTCCCAGGTCATGTCAGTCCTTTGCTTAATCTGAAACCCCCTTTCCATTATAAACAAAAACCTCAGGAAAACCAGTCATGCAGCTATATGGAAATCTGTAATCCCTCCATAAAATATTATAAGCACATGAAAACACTTTTGTTTCGACAAGGGTTTCCAGATGGATGAAAAAGTATCCACCTTAGGTGTTTATTCTGTACTGTTTTTCAAACTTCCATTGTTTCATACTGTATTTTAAACTACTTTATGTTGCAGCCCTCAATGCCACCTCCCCTGCCGCCACCAAATGCTGTCCCAAGATTTCCCCCAACCCTTGGATCAGATTTGGGAATGGGGGCAAGGGCTGTGGAAGGAAGGGGGAATAATAGAAAATTGCCTCCTAGTACCTCTTCATAGAGGCCTCCACAGGATAAAGGAGCTTCTGTGAATGGTTGCAGTTGGGGGAAAAACAATGGCTAAAATGTTTTGATTTGAAAGACAGTTAAATTGATCTTTTAATCGACAATACCTGATGGGTGCTTATTTTTATATGTTTTATTACAAATATTGTGCATGTGTGTTTTAAATTCTATTTTCCCTCTCTGGTATTTGGGGGGGGGTTGTTATTGGGTTGTTCTTGTTTTTATTTTGATTGTATATTTTGTGTTTTTATATTGTGATTTTATCCTGTGAACCTCCATGAGACCTGTGGGCATAGGGCGGTATATAAATGTTAATAATAATAAATTTGTGGTATGAGACTCACATGAAAGGCAATTCACAAGATAATGGCACAGACCAGTTCCTCCAGTTTCACATGTGCTTCATGTGTGTTGCATAGCATGTAGTGATAGCAACATGTGAATCCACATGTACAGAATTGCACATAAGCCAGATTGTGGCTGCCTCCACACTATACATTTAAAAGCTAATTTAAAGCACGCACACGCATACACACACCCAAATCCTAGAAACTATAGTTTTTACCCTTCACAGAGCTACAATTCTCAGCTCCCTTAACAAACCAGAGTTTCCAGGTTTCTTAAGGGGGTGGGAATGTGCTTTAAATGTGCTCACGGAGGCCTGGTCTCAGCACGTCTGATGGTGTTTGCTGTGCTGATCCTTTAAAGGAAAAAATAATCCACATTCTTGTGCTTACAAGGGAAAGTAGAAACTATTTCAAGTATTGTGTCGTGCGCGTTCCCAAACCCTTATGCACAGTCACATGTAGCTCTGCAGAAGTTTTAAGGACAGAAAGAGACAGCATTTCTCCCTAGCTGGTGCCAAAGATATGCAGATGATGGCTATCTGTCTCTGGCAACATTGCTGTTTCAGCTGAATGTGAAGCGACCAGTTAAAAGAAAACCCGCAGTGAAATCACACAACTAAAGCAAGAATGTTGTTCTCCCCTTCACAGTCAGAGGGAGGTGGGGGGGAGGGAACCCCTAAAATCTTTGTTTCTTGTTCAGCCAAACAGTGATTAAGGGTGTTGAAAGTGGGCAGTGGTTTGTATAGCCAAATATTGTTTTCTCTCTCAGCTTCCATCCGTTGAATTTTATTTCACTGAGAGGAAAACAGAATTGCATTCTTCCCTTCAGAGTTGTTGTTATATATATTTAGTAGCTGATTTACTCGCAAAAATGAGTCAAATTGATTTACAAACACAACAGGAATACTAAAACCAATTATGATAAACAGAATCAACAAAAATCTAACAAACACATCTATTTGTTTTATCCTGTTCCAACCAAAGAGGCCACAAATACTTACAAATGCCTCAAACGAGGGGGTGGAAACCTGGGTAAAACTCCTCTCCCCCCCCCCCGGCTCCTAAAACTAGCTAAAGAGGGTTCCAGGCAAGCCGGGGGGGGGCATTTCACAAGCAGGGAGCCACCACCGAAAAGCCCCTTCTTGTGTTGCCATAAATCTCCTTTGAAGGGGGAACATGGAGAAGGGCCTCAAATGATGATCACAAATATTTTTCTGTCAATTTAAAAAAACTGATGTTTTTCATTTTTAATGTTGTGTTATGTGTGTGTTTAAATTGCTTGATGTTGTTTCTGTGAGGCTCCTTGAAAGGGCTTGTTTTTTGTCTTGAAATATAGCGTAAGTGTATCGAAATAAACAAACAAACAGCGAACGATTCGTTATTACTTCTACTTTGACCCCTACCTCCAGAAGGTTATCTTCCAAAGTATATATGTATATATTAATACGTAAACACGCATAACTCCCTTGGGTGGGGTACACAGATAATATCCCAGTAGGCCAAATGACTTGGTAGAAAGTGAAATAGCAGTTTTGCTAGGCAGCCTGCCAAGGAAAAATTGCTGCTCCTGCCCTTAAAACAGTGGCATGTGGCTGTACCTAAGGGCATGTCTGAATTATTTGCCACTTGTATACTTAGTCCCATTTTCATTTGTCCCTCTTTGTTTCTGTACTGCTCTTGCTTATTCACACTAGCAGGCCAGCCGCCAGCACTCTCCAGCCTCTAGACTAACCCACGACTGACTCATGTCTTTAGCATTTTTTTCTCTCTCCCAGACCTTCCAGCCAGCTTTGTTTGGGAGACGTGAGACAAGAACAGGGACATTTCTCTTCCACTCTCTGTGGAAGAAGTGTCTGGTTGGACACTGTAGAAAGTAGGATACCGGATTCTGTCAGCCATCAAACTGACCCATGAGGGCTCTTCTTGTGTTCTTAATTTTTGTTGACTACTGTAATTCGCTCTACGTGGGGCTGCCCTTGAAACTGTCCCACAAACTCCAGCAGGTGCAGAATGCTGCACGGGGTCCCTGCCATGGGAGCAGATTCACCCAGTGCTTTTCCAGCTGCACTGGCTCCCGGTGGAGTATAGGGTCAGGTTCAAGGTGCTGTTCTTGACCTTTAAAGCCTTTTGTGGCTTAGGGCCCTCGTATCTATGGGACCGCCTCTCCTGGTATGCCCCGCAGAGGACCTTAAGATCCATGAATAACCATAGTTTAGAGGTCCTGGGTCCTAAGGAAGTCAGACTATCCACCAGGGCCAGGGCCTTTTCAGTGATGGCTTCGACCTGGTGGAATGCTCAGTCCCCTGAGACTAGGGCCCTTCAGGATTTAACCTCCTTCCGTCAGGCCTGTAAGACAGAGCTATTCCGCCTGGCCTTTAATTTGAATTCAGCCTGATCTTTTATTTCCCTTCTCTTCCCTCCCCCTCCTCTTTTATGAAGATCACCCACTCTGAGACCCCACAGCTAATTCTCCACTGACCTCCTCGCTGGCCCAAGTAGGACCAATTCAGCCAGCTAGCCCTGGGGATTATCGAATTGATTTTTTATTTTTGAATTTTATTGTTATTCATGTTTTTATACCCTATTTTATGCTGCTTTTATAATTAAGTGTTTTAAAGTGTTTTAAATTTGTTGTTAGCCACCCTGAGCCCGGTTTTTGAACCGGGAAGGCCGGGGTATAAATAAAAATTTATTATTATTATTAATAATTTCCCACAATGCCCCTGATGTAGCATCACACTGGGGCACTGTGGGAAATTCAAAAGCGAAAAGCAGACCCTCTCCATTTAAAGCCTGGCAGTGTGGTTAAAACAAATAATAGTTTCTTTTTCTTCCTTGGTGATTTTTAACTATCAGACCCATGTTGTTTCTTACTTGGCAGATACAATGCTGTTACTGGAGAGTGGGTCGAGGATGAGGTTCTGATCAAAATGGCTTCACAGGTGAGAACTTCGCAAATTCTTGGCTTCCGGTCCCACCTGCCTTAATGGAGGCAGCCCCATGACGGCGGGGGATTGTCGGCGAGTTTATTTATTTATGGCATTTTAAAAGTCCTGCTCTTCCTCCAGGATACATATTAGCCCCCCTGCTTTATCCTCAAAACAGCCCTGCAAGGTTAGATTGGGCGAAGAGTTAGTGATTGGCCCAAGGTTACCTGGTGAGCATTATGGCTGAGTGAAGACACATGCCTGAGTCTCCCCTATTCCTTTTTTAGCCATTTAACAACCTCCACAGTGTTGTGTAATGGTTAGAGTGTTGGACTAGGATCAGGGAGACCCAGGTTCGAATTCCCTCTTGGCCATTTGGAGCTTGGGCCAGTCACTATCTCTTAGCTTAACCTACCTCACAGGGTTGTGAGGATAACATGGGAATGAAGAGAAATGTGTTTACCGCTTTGAGCTCCTTGGAGGAAAAGTGTGGAATAAATCCAATAAATAAATAAACGGGAGTTTGTACTGAGATTGTTGTTGCTTCAGATTGTTCCATTCTGAAAATACTTTTCCACAGAAAACTCTGGGTATTGATACACCCATTTATATTCAACAGGGAGTTTGCCCCTTTTTGGCTGGGGAGGGCAGTAGTCTCCTGTCTCTCACCTGCCGAGTCTATTTCCGAGTCTCAGTACTTGGCCTGCAAATTCCCTCTGGACCTTTATTGCTTGGAGTAAATCTGTGCATTACCTGTTTTGACTGGGATGCTTAACCCTTCCCACACCCGCTAATTTTCTCAAGCAAATAAATGCCTTCCCATGGTTTTTCCTCTCAGATCACCTTCCCATCTCAGAGCCCAGTTAAGGGTGAAAGTGAATTAATAACATCTGGGAATCAATAGCATCTTGAGGGGGATACTTGCTGGAAAGAATTGGATGGGGAGGGACACTCATTGCTTCCTTCCCACCAATTCTAGCCTGCAGTTCAACCTCCAAAGCAATTATAAAGCTTCTGTTTGTGAGCTACGATAAAAAATAAGTGTACCCCTTCTAGGGCTTAACTCATGCTTAAGATAAAAGGCGCTGTCTACATATTACAGAATGCTGTGAAAAGAAGCCATTAACTCCCACTTTAGTTCTTTCTTGCCCTCCCAGTAAATTTAAAATACAGTAAAGTAACCTAGTTCAGGGCGGGTTTTTTGCTTGATGAGCCTGTTTTCACATTGTTTGATTTTTATATTGCTCTTTCATTATGGGCTGGGATGTTCTTTACAGTTGCAAATGGCTGCTCTGAGTAATATGAGTGCATTAGAGGGCAGGAATCAGGATATAAATATTTGAATACACATGTAAGGAAAACATGGACTTGTATTGGAGTGTATTTCCAGTACGGATGCTTTAGCTGTTGTGACAGTTCTCTGCATTCTCAAAAGGATGCCTGCAGCTCGTAGGATTTTCTTTCAGTTACTTGGGAGTACAGGCAGAATTTTTCAAATACAAATAACCTTTGGATGAGTAACGATTGATCATATTTATATTGATTTTCAGCCTTTTGGCCGTGGAGCAATGCGGGAATGCTTCAGAACGTAAGTGTATCTCTGCTTATAAATATTCTTGGGCTGTATTTTGCAGGATGGGAGTTTGAGCCTAAAAGCCATGAAAAGAAAACAATCAGGGCCAGAGAGAGAGAGAGATGTGAGGCCACATTTGGCCCTAGATCTGAGATTCCGCATTCTTGCCCTACAGGCTATGGGGTGAGAACCCAACAAATATAATAATGTCACCATATTGCAGATATTATCCTGGCTCCCATGCTATCATGTTTTCATAGAGCATTAAGTTCAATTTTTTTTCCTATTTCTTGTTCTCTCTTGGTCTTTGCTCTTTCAGGAAAAAGTTGTCTAATTTTTTACACACTCATAACTGGAAAGGTGCCTTCAACTATGTTGCCAAGAGATACATAGAAACCGTGAACAGGGATGTCTACTTTGAGGACGTGCGACTCCAAATGGAGGCCAAGCTGTGGGGAGAAGAGTATAATCGTCACAAGCCCCCCAAGCAGGTACTTTGTTCTAAGTCAGTGAGCAAAACACCACCCCCACCACTCAGGGGAGGCAAACAGTTCATTGAGTTTCTGAATTAATGCCAGTTAATTACGACGAATAAATCCATGACCATTTCACTGGCAGCTTAATGCAAGTTGAATTCTGTGGCGATCACACACAGGGCCCCCGGACGTTTGACGGTCTATTGACCCTGTGCCGCCACTGCGATTGCTTTTTCCGCTGCCACCACCCCATATCTCACGGGGACACACGGAGTCCAGTCAGTTGTTAACATAAACAAATAATCAAGTTTATTTTTAGATGCAGGAACAAGCTTATGGTTTCAGTTAGTTTTTCTTGACAGTTTCTTCATCTTAGTTCCTAACAACTCCAAACTGATTATTCCATCTATCTATCTGACTCCACCTAACAATTCCTCTCAGTCTCTCACAATACAACTCTACCAACCCACTTCCTATTCCTCCCTCTTCCTTCTTCAACACCCAAACCTCAACTCTCAACCCAACTGACTTTCAAAACCTCCCACTCTAACTTTTATTCCCCCCTTGCATTCTCACTGGCCAATCACATCACACCTATTTTAACCCTTTCCTTATGACCCATCCGAGGAGGCAAACGCCACAAATTCCAAAAAAAGCATTCAGTGGAACTTGCTGTGATTTGTCTTCCACAATGGAGTGTGTAACAAGGGCAACGTTCCTGATGGACTGGGCGGAAAGAGTAATTTATAACTGGCTGCAATTTCCTCTGTTCTTTAAACAGAAATTTGAATTGTTTTCAAGTGAAGGCACTTAGCTGTTTGTCACACCCTTCTGCCCAAATGCCATAAAGCACATCAGCAATTCTACACTGATTTCAGGAAACGGATCCTCAGCATTTACCTGCATACGTTTATTCTGGGAACTATAAGTCCCGTCAGGGGAAAAGGCAGAGTATAAATAAACACCGGTATATTACAGTAATAATAGTACGTTTGCCCCTCACAGAACTACAGTTCCCAACACCCACAACAAACTTCAGTTCCTACAATTCTTTGGGGGGAGTGTGCTTTGAATATACTTTGGAAATATGGGGTGCATGCTGCAGCCCGTGTTCCTTCGTAGCCTCCTTTTTTGGCCAGAATTTACCATTTGACGGGAATTGTGTGGGGAGGGGCATCCTCACTGTTTCTTCAAAACTCCCTTGCTTCCTTCCTCAGGTGGACATAGTCCAGACCTGTATCATTGAAATGAAGAACAGAGCTGGCAAGCCTCTCTTCCACCTGGAACATTACATCGAGGGCAAATACATCAAGTACAACTCAAACTCAGGATTTGTGCGAGACGACAACATCCGCCTCACCCCGCAGGTGAGACTTTCTTGGTAACTGGATTAGTTTTAGTGAGCTAGCTGTGGGACTTTTCGGTCTGAGCTGGCTGTCACCAAAGGCAGTCCAGAAGCAGACGCCCAGCCCCAAGTGTCCAGGCAGGGGGTCAAGATTCGAGGCAGTGATTGGAAAAGTCGAGCAGCAGCTTATGCTCTGTCCTCAAAAAAGAAGACCAATGTCACTCTGAGATAAGGGCTTTACAGGGACCAAAGGACAGGGATTGGCCCCATTGAGGTCACCACACTGAGTGACCCGGCAAGCTGGTACTGCAGTGTAGATGGCGCTCACACTTTTATGGCTACCCCTGCTTTGACTTCCTGTCTCTGAACGGCAGACTATCTACATGAACACTCCCTGATGCTCAATACGCCTGTTACATGGGGCTCTGTGACATTGCTGCCCTTGTAATGCTTTTTTGCTGAGTTATTCTAGTTTGCCAATCTGTTGTAGTAATAATAATAATAATAATTATTATTATTATTATTATTTATTATTTATACCCCGCCCATGTGGCTGGGTTTCCCCAGCCACTCTGGTGGCTTCCAATCGAGTGTTAAAAACAATACAGCATTAAATATTAAAATATTACATATTAAATATTAAAAACTTCCCTAAACAGGGCTGCCTTCAGATGTCTTTTAAAGATAAGATAGCTGCTTATTTTAATACCCTTTAAGCTTTTATGGTTCAAGCTTTCAAGGTTCTGTTACTTTTTAGTTAGGAAAATGGGAATACCTTGGTATCTGCTTAATGAAGGCAGGAGTTCTAAGTCTGCCTTCTGCCTTAAGTTGTCTTGCAGCTGGTCCAGATGTTATACTCGTACCTTGGTAGCTTCTGAAAAGTTGGAAACTGTGTGGCCAAGCCTTTGTGTGGGAAGTAATTAGTGTGCAGAAGTTCCTAATCCAAGGGATGAGCCTGTTTATCCATTGTGCTGTGGCCTCTAATTTTGGGGTGGTTGAGCCTCTGTAGGTTGCTTCCTTGTGTGTACAGCTTCCCTGGTGGAGGATTCCCCTTCTAGTTCCATATTTATTTGGAGCAAGAGCTGTAGCTCCGCATAGTTCAATTCCCAGCATCTCTTGATAGCACTGGGAGAGACACTTACCTGAATTATCTGCAGAGCCACTCTATTCAGCATAGATTAGGTGTTCCCAAACTGAGGTCCACAGACAAGCTTCATTCAGGTGGTTCACGGTGTGTCCGTGAATTTGTGGCTGAAGACGGGAAACAGTGCATCCATCTCTTGAAATATTCCTCTTAGCTTCCAATTGCATTTTTATTGCTTCTTCTGTTTCCTGTATTGTATCTTACTGTATTTCAATTTGCGTTCTGCAGAATCCAAATTGAAACACAGTAAAATGCAATGCATGAGAAATAAACGAAGCAATGAAAATGCAATTACAAATCACATGGCATCTAGCACAGAGCATTGCAATTGCTGCAGACAGGCAGAAAATCAGTAAGTGGTCCGTCAAGAACCTCCGCAATTCTCAAGTGGTTGGGGGGTGCGTGTGTGGAAGTGGGAACTTTGAGAACGCCTGGGGTAGACAGTGCTGAACTAAATGGACCAGTTGGTCTGACTAGATATAAGGCAGCTTCCTATGTTGCTAAGCTTACAATTTCCTGCAGGCTTTTAGCCATTTCACGTTCGAACGCTCGGGACACCAGCTGATTGTCGTTGACATCCAAGGAGTCGGAGATCTTTACACAGACCCTCAGATCCACACAGAGAGTGGCACAGACTTTGGCGATGGCAACCTAGGTAAAACCTGGCCTGTCATTTGTGTAGCCTTGGTAGTTTGTTAGTGAAGCGAATAATGGAATTGTAGATTTGGAAGGGACCCTGAGGGTCATCTAGTCCAACCCCGAAGGGCTGACGGGCTTTGGGACTGATGCCGAGGCAAACTGCCCCTTACGTTGCAGCCATTGGTCAAGGAGCCCTAATAATGTGGCTCCTTGTGGCTTATTTCCCTTGAAATAAAATTCCATAACCCTGTTTAAACGCGCCATTATTCATGTGCAACATTTTGAAGTCCCAAGGTGTTTTGACAACAGTGAGAAATGCCTGTTTCTGCACAATTTCAGTGGGAGGATTTAGAACTTTGTGTGCTGAAATTCTTCTTTTGATACCCTCAGGTGTGCGAGGGATGGCCTTGTTCTTTCATTCTCATTCCTGCAACAAGATTTGCAAAAGCATGGGACTGACACCTTTTGACCTCTCCACCAAAGAGAAAGATGCCTTATTTCGAAGCAATAAATTGCTTGTAAGTGCTGCCTCTTGTACCGCTAAACTGTGACCCATTTTGCTATCATATCTAGGTCTGCTTCTAGATCTAGACAACTAAGCAGCATCTAATCACTGCTGTTCCATTTGAGCTGGAAATGGAGCGTATAAATTAAAATGATGCCTCTGGTTATTCAAGAAGCAGTTTTGTTGCGCCCCCCCCCTCCCGCCTCTGCCATGGTCCTGGCTCTGCTGTTCGCATTGGAAGGAAAGCTCTCATTTCCACCAGTGCAGTCTTTCTTCCCAAAGCATATAGCACCCAATTGAGATTGGGACAATTTTACCCCTTTGTCCTTAAGGGGTAAAATTCCTCTTACTCCAGGCACAGAACTTGCTATTTGCTATTTTCTAACCCATTCTCACAATTTCTAATTGCATAAATAAGGACACATCCACATCGTACGTGGCTTTCCCAAAATAATCCCAAACACTGTGGTGCTGGGAATCCTAGCTCCGTGGGAAAGGAACGACGGTTCCCAGGATTATTGGGGGGGGGGAGGCCATGTGTTTTAAGTATATTGTGTGGATGTGACGCATCGAGTCTAGTTTGGGCCCTGGGTCTGTTTCAGATGTTTTCCTTCATTGTCCCCAGTCTACATCTTCCCTTGAAATGGCTGGTGAGGACAGGGCAGCTCTTTATGACTGCATAGCAGCAGCATTTCCCATGCTGACTGGGGCTGATGGGAGTTGTAGTCCACAATACCCAGAGGTCACCAAGTTGGAAAAGGCTGCATCGGGCCCGCCATGCCTGGAACGTGTCACTGGATCGTGGTTTGTCTCTTCAAATGCTGTGAAGAGAAAACGGGAACCTGATATCTGAGGCACTTCATGTGGAGTTTTGTTTTGTTTTGCCAAGGAAAACGCTCAGACCATTCTGCGAGGCACAGAAGAAAAATGTGGCAGCAGCCGTGTCAGAACCGTCTCTGGCAGCCGGCCTCCTCTGCTTTTCCGTTTGTCCGAAAACTCTGGAGATGAGAGCATGAGTGATGTGGCCTTCGACTCGTTGCCCTCTTCACCTTCTTCAGCAACACCCCACAGCCACAAAACTGAACATCTGCGTAAGTGATATATAGGGTTGTCGGAGGATTCTGGCTCACTCGGCATATAGGGATGGGCCTGCCCATTTTGGCCACCCCCAGACCATGCACGGATCGGAACAAATGCATGTGGATTTCCCCCCTATATTCTACGAACCGATACATGCATGCGTTGCAAAACCACAACTGATATACCTAAAAGCTGTGCTTCCTTTATTTTTAAAACATTTTACAGCTGCTTGGAGCAGTTGGTAGCTTCAGTGTATTCACATGGTAAAACGATCTTTTATAATGCTCCCCGGAAGCCAGTGTATGTCTTAAGCAAAGGGAAGGTTCTATATTTCATAGAATCATAGAACTGTAGAATTCAAAGGGCCATCTAAGTCCAAACCTGCAATGCAGGAATCTCTTTTTTTAGACACCTTGCTGCTGATTTTCTCTCACTTTACTTTTTAATTTGTATTTTATTATGTATTTCCAACTGTTCTAATTGTATTTATGTAAGTTTTTTGTTTTTACCTTGTGCGGATAGCATTGATATTTGTGTTCGGTGTTGTAAACTGCAGGCTCTTCCACCCTTCCGTTTGCCCTTCTGCTTCTCCCTGCAGAAACCCACAATTTAGTGCTGAATCGGAATAAACTGCAAGCAGGTTTTCCACAGAAAATAGTTGGTTTTCTGAGGGCGAGCAGCGGGGCAAAGGCAGAACTGCCCAGCTCTGTGCTCCCTAGGCATGGGACAAGCAGAAGTGTGGCCTTTTGACAAATGGCAGTATATAATTTTTTAAAATTTATTTCTAAAGTGCAGGGGAAGTGTATGAAGAAAAAGATGGCTGCCCTCTGTGTGCCTTTGGGGGCTGACATCTTTTTCCCCCTGTACCAGATCCCTGGTAGCCTTATTGGAACACTGAAAATGAAAAAAACACCACCACCAATGACTGCTCCTTTTTGTGGGGAGTTTAATTTGAGCCTAAACAGGCTTTGTGCATATTCCCTTTTCCATCGGTGATGTACAGCGCAGGTTGCCAATCAGTTGTACCTTGGTCCTGTTTTAGGTCTAGTTGTTCTGGCCCTGAGATATTTTGTGAATCGAGACTCTTGCCATTGAGTTAATACGTAACATTTTGCCCCCTAGACTGGCCGGTATTCAATGAAGTGGATAACTTGGTTCATGATGGCCTTGACAATCAGCGGGTAAGTGCCAAAGTAGATGTGATTGTGGCAGTTGTGTGTGTGTGTTTAAGTTTAAGTGTGGAACGTCATATAGACACCTTGTGGGCCTCTATGAGACCAGGATACTGGTCTAGATAGGCTTTTGACCTGATCTAGCCGGGCTGCTCTGATGTTCTTAAGAGCTGCCCCAGCCACACAGAAAGAGTGAGATAGGAATCTGATTTTAAAAGCAAACAGGCGTGCACCTGAGGAGTGCAGTATCCTCATCTCACCTTTCATTTTGTCCACTCAGCCCCTCTCCCCAAGTGCTTTTCTTCCAACCAGAGCTACTCTTTCTGTGGCAGGGATTGCTATTCTTTTTGGGCCCGTGGCCACACATGCAAACTGGATAAACCGTTGTGTGCATCGTTTGCATGCTTCCAACACACACTCATGCCCTGTAACCATGCACACACATGCAGACTCATCTCCCACCACCATTTATGCTTGGAAAAAGTGTTTTTGCTACTCTCCCCCCAATCCTAATTTACTGCCAGAGGGTGGAGGGTGGGTAGAAATATCTTCCTGAAGAATGCAGCTGGTGAGGCAAGATACAGTCATACCTCGAGTTGAATGCTCTTCGGGTTGAGCGCGTTCGAGTTGCGCTCCGCGGCAACCCGGAAGTAACGGAGCGCATTACTTCCGGGTTTTGCCGCATGCGCAGGTGCTCAAAATGGCGTCACACGCATGCGCGGTAGCGGTGAAACGCAACCTGTGCACGCGCAGACGCGCCGTCGCGTCCTGCGTTCCGTTCGGGATGCGAACGGGGCTCCAGAATGGATCCCGTTCGCATCCCGAGGTACCACTGTATAATCTTTATGATCCTGAATTCAGCAAGGTGGAGTGGGGTAGGTGCCTGCATGCCCTAGGGGCAACCTCTGAGAACACATGTGAACTCACAAGCCCCACAGTGGTGACCCCTTTTCAATGTGATTTCATCAGTTCTCATGTATTTAAACATGGGCGTTGGTTTGCCATGTCCAGTTTGAGCCCAACATTCTATGCAGAGGGCCTGTATAAGCTTTAACTGTTTCAATTTAAATATGAGCTCGAAGACACTGTACTCCATACAGTGTTTAGGCTTTTAAAAGTACAGTGGTGCCCCGCAAGACGAATGCCTCGCAAGACGAAAAACCCGCTAGATGAAAGGGTTTTCCGTTTTTCGATGCGCTTCGCAGGACAAATTTCCCTATGGGCTTGCTTCGCAAGACGAAAATGTCTTGCGAGTCTTGAGATTTTTTTCGCTCCCCCCCCCCTTTTTCTAAGCCTTTAATAGCCGCTAAACCGCTAATAGCGCTAATCCGCTAAGACGCTAATAGGGTTGCTTCACAAGACGAAAAAGCCGCTAGACGAAGAGACTCGCGGAACGGATTAATTTCGTCTTGCAAGGCACCACTGTATTTATTTTAGTTTTCTGTGGCTGATTTCAGTTTCAAAACGTAATAAAAGCAAAAAACAAATGTAATGTAAGACCCTCACTCTTGTTCCATGCAATTGTAAAATGCCACAAAACTCTCCTAGTCAGAAAGCAGAAGGATGTTGAAGAATTTCAGAAAAAGGAGTGGAAATGGCTCGTGTTCGCATATTTAGCTCGTGTCCGGAAAGGAAATCAATACAGTGAATATGATCGGTATTTGCTGCCGCCGTTGCTTTCAGCCAGCAAATGATATTAATTGATTATGCCTCCCTTGCATTGGGTTTCCTTTGCACTGAAATGAACAGGGTGGTATAACATAATTACATAAATTATAAAAGTTATTTTGCCACAACAAACAGTGAGGCTGACCTGTGGTGGAACGGAAACTGTTGCATGTAACGAATACAGTGTGGAATGGAAAATAAAGCCATCTTGCATCCCTGCTCTAGAGCAAACATCGTATCTGTGGTGGGCATTCATTTCAGTATAGACTTAGCAATCTGTAGTATAGACAAGCAGGGATCTTTATTACCTGCTGCTGCTTCCACACACACACACACACACACACACACACACACACACACACACTTTCCCAGTCATCTTGATTTTCCATCATTGTGCCACTAGTTCCGCGAGCTAGTTAGGAATACTCTTTTCATGTCTAGTTTGTTGTGTTGAGAAAACAAGGTGCAAAGCTGCTATATGACTGTCCTGGAAGGAAATAGCCGAATTTATAAAGCAGGAGTATTTGTACTGCCTTTGCACATTGAGAGTTCAGAGAAAGTACTGGCATTGTATCCTGTTATTTCTCCGTAGGACTCTGAAAATGGAGGTGACAGTGGATACCCCAGTGAAAAGAGGAGTGAACAAGAAGACATGGATCACCGAGAAAAAGTAACGCCTTTTCCCTCCAGAGTGAATAAGCCTTTCCCTTGCCCCCTCATCCTGTTCTGTATTATATAACCCATATATAATTTGCTGCTTGTTTTTCATTCTGTGAATTTGAATTGTGAGCAGAAGCTCACAGCACGCAACTGGGAGGGTATCAAGCTGTAATTTAAGGGCACCATGACCTGTAGGTCTGGAAAAGGTAAACTGAAGTTCCCAGTATTATTTGTGGGAAGTCAAGTGTGCTTAAATGCATAGTGTGATTGCAGCCTACATGAAAGAAACGCCATGTTGTGACAGGTGCCTGTCTCCTCTATCCATCTCTCTTTTTCCTGACCTTAACATCAGAGGAAAGAGGACAGGAGGAGTGTGGCAAAAATGAGGGGGCAGACTTATCTGCTCACCTATGGGCAACTGCTAGTCACCCCAGGTGAGGTAGGAAGGGACACACTTCATGTCTCTTCCAGCTATTGTTATAAGAACCAGTGCTTTCCCCCCTAGAAAAATAGGTCGGTACCATGAAGTTGTTACAGTAAGTGCCCCACTTTTTAACAACAACAAAAAAGAGGTGCCAGTACTTTGTACCCTTGAGTAACCCCTGAAAAAAAGCACTGATAAGAACTAACATCATTTTTACTCATTTTCTGCTTCCCTATTTGAAATATTTAACTTTACTCATATTGAAATGAATGCATCACTCCAAAATCTTGGGAAAGGGGATTGTTTCCTAATGCTGCAAAGGTTCTTAGCAAAATGTGAGTCATATTCTGCACCTTTCTTTTCTTTTAACAATAATGTAGGGGCATTCCAATTGCAACCGGAGACATGAATCTGACGAAGACAGTTTGGGCAGCTCTGCACGGGTAAGTACAACATAAAATGTCTTCAGGCAATAGCTGATTGCTGTGGTTTGGTCCTTAAACATCATATGCATATTAATGCACTTAGCTTTTCTCGGAGTAATATTTCACCCTGACTTTTTAATTCTTTTTCCTCCCTAATTAGAGAAATGCTGTTGTAAATAAATCCTCTGTGACAACTAAAACCAGTCTCCAGAGCAAACTGGTGATTCTGCATGAAAATTTCAGTTACATGCTGTTATTTGCTTTAACTTTTTCCCCGCTGTTTGGTTTTGTTTTCATTCTGTTCTGCTGTTGCTGCTCTGTCCACACTGTTTGAATGTTTCTCTACAAAAGGCTCCAGATCTTGGAGTACGCAAAAATCTCTCATTACTGCTGCTCTTTTTATTCCATATTTCCTTCTATTATTATTGTTAATTCAAATGAAACCTCTTTTGATGCATTCATTCATTCATTCATTCATCCTTACTCATGATTTTCAACAGCAATTTTTAAAACAACCTACCAGCTCATTCTAAACTAGAAGAAAGATAAGCTAGCTGAAGCCTAGGGTTGCCATATTTCAAAAAGTACATTTCCTGACACCCGCAAAGTTGTTTAGCTTTTGGGGGGAAACCTCCCCCCAAAATAGTAATTTTAAGCTTCTGGAACTGTTTCTGCTACTTTTTTCCATCACGTTGCCATACATCTAGGTATTCCCTGACATTTTGCTGATTTGGCGAAATTCTCCCATGACATCATTTCTACACCCCCTAACAAGGACGTGTCAGGAATTTTCCTGACGTATTACAAGCCTAGCTGAAGAGTTCTCGTTAGCTGCAAATCTCTCTGAAACAAAGGTATTGTTTCTAGCTGTAAGAAGCAGCTAGAGGTTGCTAGCAAAAGAGAAGTCTTAATTAAAATACAGATTCATTTGTTTTTAACTGCCAAAGGAATTGTGAACAACTTAAAATAGCTGAAAATAGGCATTTGCAATTCATTGGCGGAAGTTTCCAGGCATTTGTACTGATGGGGACAGATGGACACATTGAAATTACCACGTTATTGCCAAGCCACAGTCTGAGACTTGAAGAGAACAGCATGCTGTTATCTAGCCTGCCTTTGCCTGCTTATCTGCAGCATTTCAAGAGAGATTGTTTCAATGGTTACTGTCCTGTTCCTGCTTTCCTCAACCTGGTTCCCTTCAGGTGCTTTTGACTGCAATTTCCACCAGCCCTAGGCAGCATGGCCTTCGATGGTGGCAGTTGTATTCCAAAACATCCAGAGGGTGGGAATGTTTGGGGAAGGCTGATTAGAGGGCTTAAGCATGTGCCTTGGTGTGTCCTCTCAAATTTCTACATAATGCATTTCCTGCATTGCAGGGTATTGGTCTAGATGACGCTTGGGATCTCTTCCTGGAAATGGTTCCTTGCCTTTCAGGCTGCTGTGGTTTTGAGACTATTATTTATTCCAATTATTATTATTTATTTCTCACTATTCCTGACCCAGGACGTGGGTGGCACTGTGGGTTAAACCACAGAGCCTAGGACTTGCCAATCAGAAGGTCGGCGGTTCGAATCCCCGCGACGGGGTGAGCTCCTGTTGCTCGGTCCCTGCTCCTGCCAACCTAGTAGTTCGAAAGCACACCAGTGCAAGTAGATAAATAGGTACTGCTCCAGTGGGAAGGTAAACGGCATTTCCGTGTGCTGCTCTGGTTTGGCAGAAGCGGCTTAGTCATGCTGGCCACATGACCCGGAAGCTGTACCCGCTCCCTTGGCCAATAAAGCGATATGAGCGCCGCAACCCCAGAGTCGGTCACGACTGGACCTAATGGTCAGGGGTCCCTTTACCTTTTTTATTCCTGACCCACCTGTGTTTTAGTCGGTTTTCACTAGAGACCGAGCCTTTAATGAGGCAAACCCTGCATTCTTGAACTCCCTGCTAGTGAAGCTTGGCAGGAACCATCCCTCCCATCCTTTAGACATCTTTTGGAAACTTTTTTGTGCGCAGACAGGCATTTACAACATTTTTTCTTTCAACCAATCAGTATATTTTTAATGCTGTGAACCGCCCTGAAATCTATGGATGGAGGGCAGTTGACAAATCCAACAATAAAAATAGAGATGATTATTTATTTTATTAAAAAAAAAGATTCTTAATGGCTCTTTTGTTGATACTATCCTTGTACATAACCTTGCAGCGCTTTTATGCAAGTGTGGGTTATGAATTCAGAAAGAAGAAAGACCACAAAGTTGCCTAGGGTACTGGTGGCGAAAGCTTCTAAGGACACTTTCCAGGCCTCTGTGTAGTGCAGCATTAAACCAGGAGTTTGTGGGTGTGACCTGCCTGTTCTCCAAAGTAGCCTGAAATTCTGGTTGTGGGCAGAGAGTTGGGTGTTGATGTTGTTTTCACCCCTTTGCTGCTGTTCACATTTCTGTTTTGAAAAAGCCCAACTATAAAGATTTGCTGATCAAAACTCATGGCACAAGAGGGATCTATCCGTTGGCACTGTTTGTTTAGACAAGGCAGCACGCTCTCTCTCTTTTTCCTTTTCTTTTTCTTCCTTCTTTTTCTTTTTACGTTTCAAACTCAAGTCACGATGCATTCGCCCTGTTTTAGGTCAGTGTGGAGAAATGGAATCTCTACAACGCTTCCAGAGTTCACATTCACAGACCCTCCTGTGTGGCGGTGGAAGTGCAGAGACTCAATGCCTTGGAGCTTGAGAAGAAAATTGGGAAGTCCATCCTTGGGAAGGTTTGATCACCACACAGTCTCTTGCATCCGGCAGGCACCAAGTATCACCTGAGCCCGATGGCTCACTCTGCAGAAAGAACGAGGGTTTTCACATAAATTGCTTGTCTCCTTAAGTAAAGAGGACCAGCCTGGTTCTAGGGCCAGAAAAAGGAATAAACCTGTCATCTGTGCATCAATTAATACTTAATTTTCCATTGACAATGCGTTTAAACTTGCTGGGTGACTATGGAGTTGTCAGCGTTGCCAGGGATAGGACAATTTAGATTAGAGAAAGGGCATCAGAGAAAGGAGTTAAACACCTCCCTCTTAGAGCCGCAGTCTTCCAAACTGCTCAGTGAGACTAAAGATTAGTAAAGCAAAACAAAAAAAAGTTTATTTTGGCCTTAATACTCGGGGATGAGCTGCTGATATTTCCTCAGGGGCAGCAAATGGCTAGGAGATTTATTTTTCCCCTGGGGAGTGCTTCATAGTATTTTTGAGGAGGCTTAGTATTGGCACCCGGCGCCCATGGGCAGCTGTTCATCCATATTACAGCCTTTTGAGGACTGCATTCAAGGGGAGCAAGAGGATCTGTGCAGGGCACCAACAATGAAGCCGTGTCTGTCCGTACAGCATCAGTTGCAGTGCAGAAGTGACTTTGAAAGCATTCAAAATGTGCTGTTCCTTCCTCTGGTTAGCATGGGTGTTCCTCTGAGACAAGCTAAATACATGGTGGCGTTAGGTGAGATAGAGCATGCATTTGGAGACCGCTCCACACATCACTCTTTCTCCAGCTTGAATAGGAGGGAGGGGGGAAATATTATCCCAGGCAGTACTAAGATAGTCCTGTGAATCCACTTCCAGGAATTTACCTTGCTGGCTTTTAAGGTTAAGAAATTGCTTCAGGGCTTCACGGAACAATGCCCAGTGTTCTAGGTGCTTCTGGTGTGGCGGCATTGCTAACACTAAACATGGTGTGGATGTGCTCAGCCCCCTAGATGAGAGACCACTATCAGTTCCATGTAAGAGCAGACATAACATACATAATCATAAAACGATTCCTTGAAAACGTTTTGCAGAACTGAACAGGCCATCGGGTTATTCTTCATTGGGTCATCTTCCTTTCTGATTTCTTCCGTTCTCTTGATGTCTCTCTGTCTCACAGGTGCACTTGGCCATGGTTCGTTATCACGAAGCGGGCCGTTTCTGTGAGAAAGACCAGGAGTGGGATGAGGAATCGGCCATTTTTCACCTGGAGCATGCAGCTGACTGTGGAGAGCTGGAAGCCATTGTTGGCTTAGGGCTCATGTACTCCCAGCTGCCCCATCACATTCTCTCTGAGGTCACACTAGAGGTAAGCGAGGCAGTGCTTAAAGTTGCCAAAATCTGGAGAGGAAACGGCTCCTGCATGACCATTCCCGCACCTCTGGATTCGTGTTTGAACACAGAAACAAGTCAGGGATGTTGGCTATTGTAGCAGCGGATATTCTGCATCTGCAGGGGATTGAACCAGATGACCTTTGGGGACGCTTCCGACTCTTGTGAATCACATTTGTCTGTACACCTTAAAATGTGAAGTGTTAATAAGACCAACACACGTATTGTGGTACATTTGAGTGAATGAATGAATTTTATTATTATGGTCACAGACCAGTTTCGGCTCACTTACAATATCAGGAAAATCATGAAGCACAACAGGAATACATTGAATTGCAATTGGGTATAACAGAGGCAATTCAGATCTAGTGGTAGTTAAAAATATATATTAAATCTTGATCACTAAAATATAACCTAAAATTATCATTTAAAACCTTAATCATTTTGGTAGTTCAGCTTGTTCCCTAAGTTTTATGGCAGTTGCACATATTTTGGCCACCCTTAGCGTGATCTCTAGATCCTTGTCCTCTACCAGGAATTTTAGACATTGAAGTTCGGACCCATTTAGAGATTTTTGTATGACAGGAGTGATAAATACTGAGCATATATCCCCGTAGAAACGGCAGCGTAAAAAGACATGAGAGACAGTTTCTACCTCCTCCAAGCCACAGGGGCAGACTCAGTCCACGTATGGTTTACCCTCGAATCTGCCCTGTAATAAGGCAGATGGCAGCATGTTGAATCTAGTGAGGGTAAATGACCGTCTGTGGTACATTTGGGTAATTTTAGAGGATCTAAAGAGGGGAGGGGCTCTTTAGATGCTAATGTATCGTACTGCATTTATTTCAAATATTGTTGAGGGGACCCTTTTGCTCGTTCAGTTGAGCTGGGCTCTGGATGTTGTTCCAGAGCCTGACCTTGGTATTGCTGCTGCCCATGTATCTTACAAATACTGTTGCTGAGCCCTGATTTGCTGCCCAGGAGGCAGTTTGCTCTGCATAGTGTGTGGAAGCCTCCCTGTCCCCTCAAATGGGAATGATGCCAACATCCTTTTGTTACCTGTCACATTCAGCATTCCACAAATGCAGTGTCTCTTCCTGGCAACCTGATACCCAGCTGCAGTACAGTAAGACAGAACACCTCTCCCCCCATCTCTTATTTATCTGTGGTATGCACAGAGGATATTTGGTGAGGTGGGGGTTGAGCTGGGAAGAGGGCTTGTGGGGAGGAGCTAGGAGTAATAAACTCGTTGAGCTTTTCCCTGAGCCTTCTGCACGTTCCTACCACTCCAGGGGAAAACTTTCTGGGCTCCTGACCTTACGGGTCCTGCAGTTGCCCACTCTGTCCCTTCACCACCCATCCGTTCCATATCTTTAATTAATATGATAATACACAATGTTCCAAGGGATGCGGGTGGCGCTTTGGGTTAAACCACAGAGCCTAGGACTTGCCGATCAAAAGGTCAGCTGTTCGAATCCCCACGACGGGGTGAGCTCCTATTCCTCGGTCCCTGCTCCTGCCAACCTAGCAGTTCAAAAGCACGTCAAAGTGCAGGTAGATAAATAGGTACCGCTCCGGCGGGAAGGTAAACTGCATTTCTGTGCACTGCTCTGGTTCGCCAGAAGCAGCTTAGTCATGCTGGCCACATGACCCGGAAGTTGTATGCCGGCTTCCTCGGCCAATAAAGCGAGATGAGCGCCGCAACCCCAGAGTCGGCCACGACTTGACCTAATGGTCAGGCGTCCCTTTACCTTTACCTTACACAATATTCCAGTAGATTAAGATCCCATACAAAAATCTCTTGACAATAGTTCAGCTTTTTCTACAAGCAGATATGGCAACTATGATAATTGATGGTTATCCTCTTTTTGCTTTTACAGGACATCAAGGAAAATAGAAGCAAAGGGTTTGATTATTTATGCAGAGCATCAGAAGCAGGAGACCGTCCTTCCATGATTCTTGTTGCTAGAGCATTTGATACAGGCATGAACCTTCCTCCTGACAGGTACTATTTTGTTAATGGTCTCTGACAAGTGGCAGCTGTGTGTGTTGATTCTTAAATCACTTTAGGAATTGTAGATTTATAAGGGGAATAGTGGTCTCCTAACAACTCTCAGCACCCTTAACAAACTATAGCTCCCATCATTCTTTGCGGGAAGCCATGACAGTTTAAAGTGGTACCATAGTGCTTTAAATGTATACTGCCATTTTTTTATCACTCGCTCATTCTGCCACGTTTTTCTCCTTTTGGCCACCACTTCTGTTCCCTCTCTCTTATTGCCACCTTCCTCCCTTTCTCTCTGTGCCATCTCCATTTTAAGCCACATGAAATAGGCCGAAGCCTGCATGAAATTAGGGCACTTTTCCGAGGACAGATTGCCCACCCCTGTTGCAGAGTTTGGCAGATCGAATAACAAGACTCAGCAGGATGCAAGATCAAATCTTTAAGCAGCTCCAAATGTATATCCCCCCCCAAAAAATTATCCTTGGAGTTTTCCATGATTGATTTGTTGTTTAATTACTCAGATGCCGGGACTGGAAGGAAGCCATACATTGGTACAATTCGGCATTGAACATGACAGATTATGACGAAGGAGGGGAATACGATGGGACCCAGGATGAGCCCCGGTATCTACTCCTGGCAAGGGAAGCCGAGATGTTGATGACTGGAGGGTTTCATCTAGACAAGGACCCACAGAAATCAGGTACAGTTCTGGCTTTTTTTTTTCCTTTTTCTTTTTTTAACTTTCTGTGTTTCATCTGTGCGTGTCTTAATCTTTATAAGATGCCTTGAATCCAATTGTTCGAGACTTACACTTCTCTGCATTCTGCAGTGCAGTTCTCCAGTGAGGGAATGTGTACAAAAATGCATATACCGGGGGAGCGTTTGCATAGAAATGCACATCTCAGTGAAAATAATATACAAAAATGCTTTCGTATTTGTTTTGTATGTGTTAGGCAAAATTGCGTGCATGTGAACGTTAGCAGAAACTTGCATTAATTTGCATTCATTCAAATTTCAAGAGGATTTTTGTTAAAATCATGAACTGATGTGGAAACGGGGAGAAGTAAACTTAGGATTGAAAAAAATGAAAAACAGAGACAACCCGCAACTGACAGATCCATGCATTCCTATTTAGAACTGCCTTTCATGTGATCCTTCATCCTGTTTTCTTTAAAAATAATAATTTTATAATAGTACAGAAGGAACATTAAAACAAACAAACTGATATAAACACACAAAACATTCCAAAGATCACATTGAGAAAAGGAATACACAGGTGAACCACACATCCTCATTACACACTTTGAAAAGTATACATTTATAAATTGCAAATGTGTAGCATCAATTGCAACAGTGAAGTTAACAACCACCTTCTTTAAACCTTGGAGAAATTCTGGGACGTGATATCTAAATAGAAAATCTAGAGTATTGAGATAACATACCTCTCCAAAAAGAAAAGTGAATAGGAGGTTCTTCTGGTGAGGAATTAATGAAAGAAATGGAAGCTACTCATCTTAAAATTTATCTCTGCTACAGTTGTCTCTGACTACTCAGCAATATTGTGTTAGTTTGCCTACAAGTGCAACCTTCCAAAGCCTATCTTACCAGTTTTGCATAGTTAACAAACGATGGCTTCTCCGTAACAGTGGCATCTCCACCTAGGCTGCTTCCAGGAAACAGATTATCGATGACTTAAATTGACAGATCCATCCATCTCTTAACTGGAGACATCCTTCATGTGCTTCTCCACCCATTTTTCTTAGGTGAGCTGTTTACTGAAGCTGCGGAAGCTGCTATGCAAGCCATGAAGGGAAGATTGGCCAACAAGTACTACCAGAAAGCAGAAGAGGCCTGGGCCATGATGGAGGAATGAAACTTGAACCAAGGCTGTTTCCGTGTGTGTATGTGTGTGTGTGCGCATATCAGTATAGATGCTTTTTTAAAAGACTCTTCTTTTGTGCAAGGTGCACGGGGGGTGGGAGGAAATTTCAAAAAAGGTTTTTTTATGTGGTGTTAACTGATAATTGTGTTTTTCATATGACGATTTTTCTAACTCTGTTGGAACAGAAATACAAAGCAGGAGCGGTGAAATGTACTGTTACTGACATTCAGAGATGCAATATCAGTTGCTGTCGATAATTTTGTACAAATGGTCCAACCAGGGAAGCCTGTCTCTTCATTTGGAAGAAATAAAGCAGACATCCACTTTTATGGTAGGCACAATAGAAAGTTGCTTCATGTTTTACTTCCCTCTTCTATCTCTGCCTCCCTCTATTAGGAAATGCAGATATTTTTGCATTTGGGTCTCTTTTGTTAGAAATGCATGCTTGTTATTGGTTCAAGATTTGATCCTCCAGTCTAGGACATAATAGATGTGAGGAACTGGGGAAGGTGGACCTTCTATCCCCACAGTTCTTGACTCTATGGTGATGGGCAGGAAGGCAGTCTGGGACCTCCTTCCTTTGAACTTGGAAGAAGCTGTAAATTAGGAATACATCCAAGGGTGATACTTTCTTCATCGTACAACCACTGTTGCCTGTTAATCATGGAGCCAGGATGGTGGTAGACTCCTTGTTCTGTTGCCACAGGGAGCAAACCTTTCCCAATTTCCTGCAGTCTGCTGATTTTGTTTCCCCCCCTGCTCAAGCTTTTAAAATTCTTTGAAAAGAAAAACCCTGAGAAGTGATTCTCCATCTCATCCTGTTCTGTGATTTAGGAGCCAATTTAAATATTCAAGAGGTCCATGAGGAACAGTCCTCTTACAGTGTTTACATTTGAAAGTGCTGTGTAAGTCTCCCTGCAAACTGAGCTAGAAGCTTTCAGCCTGATTCATAATCCTTTCATGACTTTGAAGAGTAAGGAGATTTTGATGTGATGTTTTGATCAATCAGGCAAATTATATTCCACATTTTGTTTTGAGGAGATGCAGCCTTGTGAGAGAGAACCTGTACCATATGCCTTTCTGTATGTTTGAATAAGTTCTTAATGAACAATGGAAAGAAACCGAAGAACAGGAAGAAGGAACAGAATTCTGCTCATGACATGTTGTTGCCAGGTTGTTGTTTTTGTTCATTGTAATAACTCATCTATCCTGAGAAAGGGACCTGGTAAACATGGAATCCTGGGGTTTCATGTCTTAGTGCAATTTAACATGATGGCTTTCTTGACTCTCAGCCTTTACATTAAAACTGGGATACTGTTCAAGTCAAGCTGTCCAAAAAACCAAACTTTGATGGCAGGTGTCGCCTAATAATCCTTGGAGGTATACAGTGCAGAAAAGAACTGATGCCTCCTTATATTCCTCAATTGGCTTTCCAGCACAGATGACAAGGACAACAAAATAAAGTAGATATAAATCAAGGGTGGGAAACCTTTTCAGACCAACGGCTTCCATTTCCTCATGGGCAACCTTTGGGTGTCTGCATGGCAGTGCTGGGCAGGGCCAGAGGTGAAAGTGGGCGTAGCAACAGGTGTGGCACTTACCTGTTGTACAGGAGACTACATTTCAGCCACACAAAATCCAGCTATATACATAGACACACACACACACACACACACCCAAACACATTTCTCCATCCAGGCAAGCAAGGCACATATTATCGCAGATGAAGGACACATACCAACAAGGCAAAAGCACTAAATGATGTGGAGAAGAACATGAGGTGGGTGTATCCTGGGGGAGGGGGGGACACACAGCGTGGGGAGAATTCGGAGGACCAGGCAAAGCAATCCAGATGGTCACATTTGGCCCCTAGCCCCAAGATTCCCCACTCCGGGTGTAAATGAATGCAACGGTAGCAAATAAGGTGCTATTTTTGCATATCCTGATGGAAATGAAAGTGTACGGACATGGCTTCCTCATTAGAGCCCTTTCAGAGGAATTGCTTTTCTGCAATTAGCTGGAAGTGAAAAGGAGATCCAGTATAGCAATTAATAAGCACTATTATTGTATAGCAATGTCCTTCTCCATAGTCAAGAGCCATCTAATGTTTATGGTACTCACAAGTAAGTCCCTTTTCAGGAAAAGGCCTTCTGCAGTGTTAATTAAAAGCTCCTCGCAGGTTTAGCCCATCTTACTGCTTCATGTTCAGTGAACAGGAATTAGTAATGAATTTCCCCTTTAATCAGCTTCTCTGGGAGTGAACTTCAATTAATAGTTTCTCCTATTTTGTGTGTGATTTTTATAGCATAATACCACTTTAATATCAATGAGATCACTTTGCTATGTTAGCTACCACTGCCACCCTTCACAGAACACACCTGGCTAAATGAGGAGCAATTGGGGTACAGTTCGTTACTAATCCACCAGTTGTGCTGAACAGGATGTAATAAAACAGGCAGAGCCTGCACAACTTCCAGTTAAATGCACATTTGTCCTTAAAATGCATTGCTTGTGCACACTTGGACAGGTTATTTTATTAGTAATATATATCTCGAAAACAGTAAATACAATTAACTCCCCGTGAAAAAGTAAGTGAAGAAGGGATGGCTATTTCAGAGAAAAGTTTGGAAGCAACCAAAAATGATCTTAATGTCTCCAAGATTGCAATTTTATATGGGCTTTCTTGGAAGTAAACCCCACTGAACTTGGAGGGATTTACTTCCCAGTAAGCGGGTGGCGCTGTGGTCTAAACCACAGAGCCTAGGGCTTGCCGATCAGAAGGTTGGCAGTTTAAATCCCCGTGACAGAGTGAGCTCCCCTTGCTCGGTCCCTGCTCCTGCCAACCTAGCATTTCAAAAGCATGTCAGAGTGAAAGTAGATAAATAGGTACCGCTCCAGCAGGAAGGTAAACGGTGTTTCCATGCGTTGCTCTGATTTGCCAGAAGCAGCTTAGTCATGCTGGCCACATGGCCCAGAAGCTGTCTGCGGACGAATGCTGGCTCCCTTGGCCTATAGAGCGAGATGAGCGCGCAACTCCAGAGTCGTCCGCGACTGGACCTAACAGTCAGGGGTACCTTTACCTTTAAGCATAGATAGGATTGGGTTGCAACAACTTTTCTGACCTCACTCTGCAATACAGTCCTTGCTTGTTTGTCTATGCAAATACAGTGGTGCCCCGCAAGACGAAAAACTCGTTAGACGAAAGGGTTTTGCGTTTTTTGAGTCGTTCCGCAAGACGAATTTCCCTATGGGCTTGCTACGCAAGACGAAACGTCTTGCGAGTTCTTGCGAGTTTGTTTCCTTTTTCTTAAAGCTGCTAAGCCGCTAAGCCATTAATAGCCGCTAAGCCGCTAATAGCCGCTAAGCCGCTAATAGCCGTGCTTCGCAAGACGAAAAAACCGCAAGACGAAGAGACTCATGGAACGGATTAATTTCGTCTTGCGAGGCACCACTGTAATGGTTTTGTGCTTTCTTCCATGGTAGCATCACTTTTTCCTGCCTGCTTTATCATCATTAGTGACATCTCCATTCCCAGTGAAGTTCTCAGAAGCCTCTGGCCCAATTCTGATGGTGAATCTCTATCTAGACTTCAAACTGCATGCTTTAATGTTCATGCATTTATTTATTTATTTTTAAAAACACCTATATATAGAAAACTAGATATCAGGGAGAAGGCTAGAACTAGGACCTAGCATCTAGATTTCTACATTCAGAGTAATTTTTTATTTTGTATAGAGGAGCACTCAGTCATGTGATCCCCCACCTGCAATCCAAAGTTGTAGACTCCTGACTGCATCTACTGCATGTAACTATTGGGCCTCTGGCTCTCCATTCCTTAAGAAAACATTTTTGATGTGACAGCCAGACTTTCAATTAAGTAGCAGACTGTTAATCATTAGTTAATTAACTTTGTCGCCTTTGTACCAAGCCACTCAAGAGATGGAAGCAATTTCTAATAACACCTGCTACTTCACTGCAGAAACAGAAGACCCTATTAGTAAGTTCCCTACAATGTTCATTCATCTCAGATTTTCATTACGCACCTTAATTTGCCGTGTCCACTCTCTTTGGAGATTTCACTTGTATCCTGATTTACTAACCTAAAAATCCTGAAATCACCTTCCAGCTGCCACCAGCACTTCGCTTTTGAAATATTCTCCTTCTGGATTTGATCTTCTTTGGGGCATATTCCACAGCAAGAATTGCTGGAGGGTACTTGATGGTTACGAACAAGTCTCAGAACTTGTTAAAGATTTTGCTGAGCTTTGTTGCAAAGCATAAGAGGCTTGAGTTCCTGTATCATGTTTACATTGCCTGACGGAAAGGAAGAAGCACAAAAATGTTGTGATAGGTACATTTTCAATAAATTTATGAGGAAGAATCTTAACCAAAGCTTGTGTCTTTATTTCGGGACTCTTGTGTCAGGAATGTCGACTTCATTATTGATCCGGTGTCTAATTGCATATACACAATAAAAACCATATAAGGATTTGAAATTATGGATCATCAGCTGACTATTACAGAAAATATTTTTATTGTCTGCATGATGGTATGGAAAAGTTTTCAGCAAACATTTAAAGGTGAATATGGAAGATGCCTGCTGTATCACTTAACTGGAAGAGCATTCTACAAGACTGGGCCAAAGAAATGAAAGGTTGATGTTGCCAAATGAGCCTCATCAACTCAAAAGAAAAATCAGTGATGCTCCTGCAAATGATCTTGATGGCTGTGCTGGGATATTTGGGTTCAGATGGTGCCTAACGTACTTCTGTCGTTCAGGGTTTTGTAAACCTTGAACCTTGCTCAGGGGTAAATGGATAGCCACTGTAGATGTTTCAACAAAGGTGTTGGCCATGTGCCTCCATCAGCAGTCTGGCTTCCACATTCTGCACCAGCTAGAGCTTCTGGGCCAGGTCCAAGGGCAGCCCCATGTAGAGTGCATGGCAGTGCGATGCTCGTGCCCTCTGTGGGTTTTCCCACAGGAATCTGGTTGGCTTTTGTGAGAAGAGAATGCTGGACTCAACAGTCCATTGAATTGCGCCAGCAGGGTGCTATTTCATTCATTCAAGTTAGTATATTTCTAATCTGCCAGTTTCTGGGCAGGATACAATATAGTTAAAAACCACCCTTGGTGACCTTGGCTTGGACAGGATATTGTTGTGGGGTGGCTAGGAGTTGGGGAGAAGTTAGAGTAAGGCAAACAAACCAAATCTTTGCTTTCCAAAATAACACAAACTAAAACGGCCATCCTTTGAAGTTTGCACTTCACTGAATTCTGCAATGCAGTTCTCCAGCCAAATAATGTGTACAAAAATGCTTATACTGGAGTAAAGTGTCCATAAAAATGCATATAAGTAATGTACAAAAGTGCATTGTATTAGGGGAAATTCCTTTGCCAAAAATTGAATATATGAGAAGAAATTAGCACTAACGTTTGCATTTTCATGTGGACTTTTAAAAATTGTAAACTTCCATGGAAATGTGGAGAACTGAAAACCGTAAGAAAAAGAGAACAAAATTGGCAGATTAACCCATCCTTAAGGTCCCCTAAAAGGCCCTGTCACGGGTCTCTGCCAACTGGGCAGCCCTGGTGGTTGCACAACCAAGGCCTCACCTGTTGTTGTATGTGTATAATGCCCCATAATCCCAGGATTCAGGAAAGAAACACTTCGACCGTTCCAACCTACTTTGTCATCTCGCTTGAGCAATAAATGCAAGTCACTATGTAGCATGCATTTTCATTGGTCAACCCTTCGTCAAATCAAATGAACTGGGCTGCCACAGGGCTTGAAAGCACTTTCTGAAGAAAACGTGATCTTCATGCTTCGAATCATAGAATTGTAGAGTTGGAAGGGACCCCAAGGGTCATCTAGACCAACCCCCAGCAATGTAGAAATTTCAGCTAAAGCAGTCATGACAAATGGCATGTACCCAGATGAAATGCGCCCAGAATCTTTTACAATTTTCTAGAAATTAACATTTTAAAATTGTGTGAGAACCCTGGAAATTATTTATTTATTAGACTTTTAAAGTCGCTAGTTACCTGAAGTTCTTCAAGCAACTAACAACACATTAAAAATATAAATATGCTAAACCAGGGGCCAGCAAACTTTTTCAGCAGGGGGCCAGTCCACTGTCCCTCAGACCTTGTGAGGGGCCGGACTATATTTTGGGGGGGGGAAACTGAACAAATTCCTATGCCCCACAAATAACCCAGAGATGCATTTTAAATAAAAGGGCACATTCTACTCCTGTAAAAACACGCTGATTCCGGGACCGTCCGTGGGCTGGATTTAGAAGTCGACTGGGCCTTAGTTTGCCTCCCCATGCGCTAAAAAAACATCAAAACAAAAATTACCCTGTAACAGCTGTTATAAGAATTTTAAGGTCTTATATAGATATAAAGAAGGGACGCGGGTAGCGCTGTGGGTAAAACCTCAGTGCCTAGGACTTGCTGATCGTAAGGTCGGCGGTTCGAATTCCCGCGGCGGGGTGAGCTCCCGTCGTTCGGTCCCAGCTCCGGCCCACCTAGCAGTTCGAAAGCACCCCTAAGTGCAAGTAGATAAATAGGTACCGCTTTATAGCGGGAAGGTAAACGGCGTTTCCGTGTGCTGCTCTGGTTCGCCAGATGCCGCTTAGTCACGCTGGCCACGTGACCCGGAAGTGTCTTCGGATGACGCTGGCTCCCAGCCTCTTGAGCGAGATGAGCGCGCAACCCTAGAGTCGGTCACGACTGGCCCGTACGGGCAGGGGTACCTTTACCTTTACTATAGATATAAAATAGATGTTCATAAATGTACCAAGCAAACACATACAAATATGTAAACCACATGTCTGAAACCCACAGAAAAGTCCCGAAACCATTTTCTCTCTCCCAAAATGACCTCAAATATTTCTTTGCAAGGTCGAAGGAAATGGGGAAAAACCTCCCCATTGTCTCTGCGCTCGCCAAATCCTGCCTTAAGGGCACATTTAAGGTGTGAATAGGGTGAACCTGTGACCTGTGACCTGGATTCAGAAATTACCGTATTTTTCGCTCTATAACACGCACCCGACCATAACACGCACGTAGTTTTTAGAGGAGAAAATCCGTAGGCATGCCACCCATAGGCATTTCCTCCATAACACGCACAGACATTTCCCCTTCCTTTTTAGGAGGAAAAAAGTGAGTGTTATGGTGCAAAAAATACGGTAAGTAGTTATAATAACAAGAGAGTGGCCAAAACCCACATACTGCAATCAGGTAACCTGCCAGACAGGAGATAAACAACACACTCAGGATTCTGTTTTAGACCTCCTCCTGAGATGTATGTATGATGTTTCTGGGGGTGGTCCAGAGTTTGAGGGTGGGCAATTAAAAAAGTCTATATAAGGGCGGGCACACCATTGTTCTGGGTTCCTCCTCTTTCCTGCTTGTGGTGAGTGAGGACCCTGTTGCAACAGTTCAATAAAGATCAGGCTTACTAGCTGCTTTGCTTCTCAATATTCTCTGGTTAGTCTCTGTTATTTTATCCTACAGATGGGGAACCTACAAAAGGACTCTACTGTATATGGGTTATTGGGTACCCCATAAGGGAAAAGGAGCAGATTTTTTTCTCATAACACAGCCATGGGAAGTTTGGGCAGCACCCTAGTAACAAAACATCATAACTGTAGTCTATCGAAAGCCTGGGGGAAACGTTAAGTCTTTTATCTGGTGCTGAAAAGATGTCAACAAAGGCACTAGGCACACACTGCTGTAAGATTATGGCTCAAAAAACCTTTTTTGCCTGGCACTGAACCAATGGAATTTATTCTTTATTCAGAACTCACACATTTCTGCTGTCTCATGGCCCAGAAGTCATGTTTTCTTAGTATGTTTGCACAACACCAGGCCACAATATCTTTCCTCAATGTTCTGAAAGTCTGCTAACCTTGCCATTTTATTTTTTTATGCACTTATGTGTAATTTTCTGCACAATCTGCAGCCTCTCTCTATTTCACAGGGCTGTAGCCATAAAGAAACAAGGCAGAGTCCTGGCTCCCTCAGAGATTCTCTAGGCCTCCTTGAAGAATTTTCACCTTTCAGTGAAAATAGCAAGTTTTTAGACCTTTTACCTGAGAGATAGAAGAGAAAGCATGTGCACAGTATTCTATGTGATCCCTCATTAAGACAGGGGTGGATAATGTTTTTGTCAAACCGAGGGCCGCATTCCCTTTTGGCAACCTGCTGAGGGCCATATGGCTATAGCCAGCAGAGCAACAAATGTAAATTTCTACACACACCTTTTTATCTTCCATTCAACACCCAGGGTGGAGAAGCAAAGCCAGTGAGGCAGAGGAGGAGATGACTTGGGGAACATTCTGAGGGCCAAACAGAGGGGCCTGGAGGGCCACATTTGGTCCCTGGGCCCGAGAATCCCCCAGGCTCCACTAAGTAGCAAAATGTTTACAGGGCAATCCTTCCATGTCTACTCAGAAGTAGGTCCCATTCATTTCAATGGAGATTTCACCCTGGTACCTGGGCATAGGATTGCAGCCTTTAAAGACCTCTAAACATTTTTGGATAACTGTTATTGAAATACTCACTGTTATTTAGTCACACCTTCTCCCTTAAGCCGGCCCTCACCGCAACATGGAGACTACGGCCTTCTTGCGTCTCTATGACAACAGTGGCGGACAGGATCTTCCCCATCTGTAGAAACAAAATTGTGGGGGTTTGTTTTTTTAGACATGGAGTGAGGAGTGCAGGATCCCCTCTGCACCTTAATTCCCTGAAATTACTCTCCTTAGTGCTTTTCTTCTGAGCCAAACTGCAAACCAAGGAGTGATGTTGGCTGATGGGGCAAAAAAAGCTTGCAGAGAGAGGGGCTGTGGCATTGCCAGATTGCCAAATAGGCAGAGTAGGCACCAGTCTATGGGTCCCATGCCTTTTAGGGGCCCCGCAACAACAGACCAAAATAATATTGATTTGATCTTGAAAGAAAATTACAATCATGCTTTCTTAGTTCACTGTTATCCCACTAGAGCATCACACACACACACACACCCCGATTTCGACTGCCATGGGGCCTCCACAGGGTTTAACCCGGGACTGGGCTGTGGCGAGAAAAAAAGTGGCATAGGGATGTGCCTAGAGAATACCAGGAACTATAGTTTACCCCCTCACAGAGCTACATTCCACGGCACCCTCAGCAAACTACAGTTCCCAGAATTCTTTGGAGTATTCCAAAGAATCCTGGGATTCAATGTGCATTTAAAGCCAATGTGCATTAAAAACCTTTCTGGCAACCAGATGTTCCCCAGGAAGACCCTCAAGGTGAGGATGAAGACAAGATATTTGCTCCCACCGTCAACTGGTATTCCAATGTACGCTGCCTCTGAATCTGCAGGTTCTATTTAGCGACCAGGCTGATGAGAACATTGGGTGCTGGGTCAGAGCCGAGGAGCAGCTGAGTCAGGATCCTGCCTCTCACCAATGCCTTTGGGAAGTCCACACAAGCAGGGGAATGAAGGCAATTGTTGCTCTCCCCATCAACTGGTATTCAGAGATATATTGCCTCCGAATATGGACGCTTCATTTAGCCTTCATGATGAATAATTGACGGAATCTTTCCCCAAAGAGTTAGCTGGTAGCCTAATTCTGATTATAGAGTTGCTTTCCCTCCTGCAAGCTGACCAGCCACACAAAATAATAATAATAATAGACTTCCATAGCATAACCGTTAATTTCAATGCACCTATTGTTATTTCATGCACTGTGCTATCTGCACAAATACAGCTCTGTCTCGTTTCAGACCTTGATGGGGAAGGATAATAAAATAATAATAATAATGATGATGATGATGATTATTATTATTTAAACAGGGCCAGGTAAGATATGGAAGGTGAACTTGGGATCTGGATGGAGAAGGAAAATTAAATTACAGTATTAAGGTAAAGGTAAAGGGACCCTGACCAGTATAATTATGATGGCAATTATTTAAACAGGGATGTCTAAAGCATGGAAGGTTGACAGATCTTGATGGGAGAAATAAAAGTATGATTATTCTTAAAACAGGGCCAAGTATATGGAAGGCCGACTCAGATTCTAATGGGGAAGAAAAATTAAATCAAAGCATTAGTATTATGGTGATTATTGTCATTTAAACAGGGAAGAATAAAATACGGAAAGTCGAGCTCTACACCTTGATGGAGAGAGGGAAAACAAAACCATAAACTTTTAGTATTATTCAAACAGGGATGAGTAAGAAGATATGGAAGCCGGTCTCTCCCATCTCGGTAGCGTGGCCGAGCGGTCTAAGGCGCTGGATTAAGGCTCCAGTCTCTTCGGGGGCGTGGGTTCGAATCCCACCGCTGCCAGTACGCTTTTGCTCGCTTCCTTTTATTCAAGGGAGCCTCTCCGTGACGAGCCGGCGACGGCGAAGAAGCCTGCGCACATAGCGCCCCCTGGCGCCCGCGTCCTAGCAGGCCGCTTCCCCGGCGAGCATTATGGGTAAGAGGAGGAGCCGAGGTGTGTTTCCCCCCCCCTCCCACGTGCCTGCCGGAGTTACACCAACATGGCTGCTGGCTGAGATTTCCCCCCGCCGTACCTGCAGGCACGTTGCCGCGAGGAGGAGGAGGAGGAGGGGGCCGGGAAAGGCAGCCTCTCCCCTCCACCCCTTGGAGCCACGAGGTAGGAGAAGCAGCAGCGGCGAATTGCCTCCCCATTCCCCGACTTTTGCAAGCTTCTGGGGTTGGTTGCATGCTGCTCTTTTTTGCAAGGCCCGGGTCGTGTGGATCCTCCTCTCCCTTCCTCCTCCCCCCACCTCTCTCTCTCTCTTTCCCCCTGTTGCAAATCGTGGGAGTGGGGGGAGCAGGAGGGGAAAGTAAGGGGGAGGGAAGACACGCGCCAGCCCCGCAATCTTTGCCTAGCAAAGTGGGTGGGCCCTATAATCTAAGGGGGCATTTCAAGGGGGGGGGGGGTGAATTGCATATGTGGCGAGGGAGCCTTCACGCTCCTTTTCCTTCTCTCCAGCAAAAGTTACAAGGCCAGGGGTTCGAGATCCAGCGCTCCCCATCTCTCTCCGCACCCCCCAACCCCCTCCCAAAAAGCAACCTCCCTGAATATGTGTGAGCTCTGCAAAGCCTTCCCATTGCTGCATAGTTACATCAGCCACGCTCCTTCCCGGCAAGGAGCCTTCAGGAAAATATAAAATAAAATAAATAATGAATGCTTTGAGTGAGTTTTTCAGGCTCTCCTTCCTGAAGTCTTCCCTGGGAATATTCTCTCCTGATCAGGGAGAGAGTTGCTTCGGCTGGAGCAAAAATCCGTTTCCTCTTTCTCTGCTGTATGGGTTACATCAGGGTGACTTGACTTGGGAGGTTTAGTCACTGCCAAGAAAAGGAGTTTGTTTTGGTTTTTTTAAGTGAGCAGGTGCCAATGGACACCTTGCTTCTTTTCCCCAGACCAGCGGGGTGGGGGGAGTTATTAGTAAAATAGAATAACCTCAGTTTCCCTCAGCCACAAGTTCTATCTTACATTGCAAACTTATTGAGATCTCCTGATAGCTCTGAGAGAAAATAATTGTCGTCCAGTTCAGTTTGAGCTTTGCAGTCATGGCAGGTGATTTATATATGTGGAAGGGTTCTTAGATAAATGACATTGGCGTGGCTGTTTTTCATCTTATCCTTGGCTGCTGCTCTTTTACCTTTAGGAGTTGAATGTGGGTTTTGAGTGTTCAATGCTAAATTACTTTAGAGCAGGGAGTGGCACTCTGTACTTGGGCCCAGCCTTGCATAGCAGTTGCACTGACAATGAATGAGCTTTACCAGGGAGTTCTTGGTGACTCACTGACCACCTGACCTGCCCTGGCTCCTGAGTTGGCTTCTATTTATTACGCTGCCCTAACACAATATTGGATGATGGCTGTCCAAATAGATTCCTCTGCTAGGGTTGCCAACTCTCCCCACCCCTTACAGTCCCTGGTTGCTTCTGTGCCTGTAGCAGCACTTCGCTCAGCAGAGCTTTGTGGGCATTAACATTTCACAGGCTGCTGCCAAGAAATTAATCCACTCTGAATTCTGCAGATTGAGCAGCTGACCTTAGCAGGTAATTTATATATATATATATATATATATATATATATATATATATATACACACACACACACACACATTATTTTCATAAGAATACAAGGACTGAATAAAAAACAACAGCCCTGTCCCTACCGATGTGTCTTACCTCAACCCAATAATATTTATTATTTTTTATGCGTTTATCCCACCTTTTCTCCAGGTGGTATCCATGGTTCTCTTCCTTCCTAATTTATCCCACAACAACCCTGTGAGGTTGGTTAGGCTGCGAAACTGTGACTGGTCCAAGGTCACCCAATGAGTTTCATGGCTGTGCAGGGATTTGAACCCTAGTCTCCCAGGTCCAACACTCTAACCACTACACCACTTTGCCAGGGGTTGGGGGAGGTGTTGCTGGGTAGTCTGCCATGTTCATATACATAAAAAAAAAAAACCATTCCTCTCCCCAAGTCATTGTCCTATCCTCTTGCATCTCTGAACTGACTTCTCAGTTCTTCTGCTGTGACAGCTCATTAGCAGTTAAATATTATTATCATTATTTGTTTACAGCATGGAGACAAACTTTACCACTCATGAAGTTCTGCGCATCAAGCTGCTGTTATGCCAAGTTTGCTAACAAATGAGAAAAGAGAGTCCTGGCTTAACCGAATTTTGTTGATTTCTCTTTCTTTTCTAGTTCTCTCGAAACAATACTAGCAACACCATTTTTCTTTCCATGCTACTATGGCAAATGAAGAAGATGACCCAATTATACAGGAGGTAAATAGATACATGTCTTCCATTTGCATTGGCTTCAGGACAGATTAAAGAGCATTGTATGTGTAAGGGTATCAGGGGGTTGCTGGAGAGCAATCAGGCAAATGCCTCCCTGGTCGGCTGTAAAGCCTTGTTATTGGTGCCAAAAAAAACCTTCACCATCCAGAGCGCCACTATTCCGTGGCTGGCTCATTCACTGGCAGAATCTGAGAGTGGGCGTTCCTTAAACCTTCCCCAGCAGAATAGTTTCTTGACGCCCAGTCTGCGCTTCACCTCTCTGCGCGGAAGCCTACTGCGCAGGGAGGGCGTGGGTAACGGAGGACCTCTCTCCTCCCCGCTTTGCTCAGGCAAGGTGCCCTGGCACCGCCTCGCCTCCCCCGAGCCCTGCAGCTCCTCTCCTCTGAAGGCGTGGTTACTCTCCTCCGCTGAGAAGGTGCTGCTTCCCACGATCTTTGGGGGCTCTCTCTAATCCATCCGGCTTTTCCCCTCTCACCCCTGAGCTGATGGCAGTTCCCTGACAGTATGTTTTGGGGTTTTCAGCTTTGTGGTGGTTTTGGCCATGGAAATCGGTGGCGAGTAATCGGTTCAGGTTGGGCTCCATGATGAAGCACTCTAAATATGGTGCTGAGCCTGAGGGGCTGCCAAAGGGGGTTGTATCGTTCTTGGGGATGATTTTGTAAACTTCTGTGTGCTAAATATAATGTCACATGCCTTTTTTTTAACCCCCTCCTCCTTTTGTTAGATTGATGTGTACCTGGCCAAAAGTCTGTCAGAGAAGCTGTATCTGTTCCAGGTATGTTAGTTGTCGAATTAACCTCTTTAAAGGGGAAATGAACTAAAGCAGGGGGCAAGGAATCTGTTCTCCTTCAGATCTTAGACTTCGGCCAGGGCTGCCTCATTGGGGGGCAGAGGCAGTGGTGTCTTCCAGCAACAGCAGTGCTGGATTTGCTAGGATGGAGAGAGGTGAGGCAGCAGCGTTGAAGTCAGGGGAGCTTCAGGGCAGTGGCTCCACAGGTGCGCAGACATCTGTGGGAGCCCCTGTGACAACCTGGAGCTTCCCCAAGCTTCCTGTGACTTTACCTGACCTCCACTTACCCCCACACAGTGAGTCACTCCTGACTCCCAACCCTTGTCACTTCAAACCAAGCATGGCCAAGTGATCAGAGTCGAGTTGTCATTCAACATCTGGAGAGTGAGAGATACAGGTGGGGTCCGGGCAGCAAGACCAAATACTCCCAACTAAAGATATAAAGGCTAGTTTCTAACAGTGAGGAGAAGGGTGCCAGCACATCTCAAATCCTACAAATATATAGGGTTGTACCCATTGTGGCTGTTGTGCTCACTCAACAGGACTTCTCCCTCTGCTCATCTTCCCTGCAGGCAAAATTTGCTCCAGAAGGTCAGGGGGAACCCCCAAAACGAAATTAGCGAGAGAATGGGGAAGCCCCCTTATGAAGCATTGGATTTCAGCTGGAAATCAGGGTTCACTGGGAGGAGGCTGCATCTTCTCACCCCCCCCCATGTGAATGCCCCCAGTGACAGGTTTCCCCCATTCTTGCACCAAAAGTGGTGGTTTGTTTTAGCCTTAACAGTAACAACATCTTTGTGTTTTCATAGTATCCCGTTCGCCCAGCTTCGATGACGTATGATGACGTAACTCATCTTTCGGCAAAGATAAAACCAAAGCAGCAAAAGGTTTGGGCCTATTCTCTTTTTTGGGAAAAAGTTGTTTAATAACCAAATCGAGCTGTTTTCAAAAGGTTATGGCTTAGTCGAACCACTGCAGTCACCGTACCAGACCTAGGACAGCCGGGGTGGGGCATCACTGGGTAAGGCTGGGGGCATTCTTTATCCTCAACCCTTGGTAGGCTGCTGCCAGTAAATGGAGACTGTGTTGGGCTAGATGTACAAAGTAGTCTGGCTATTTATTTCATATTCCATAGAATTTGTATAACTCTTGGTCATAGGAAAAAACCTCAAAGTGATCTACGAAAGGATAAAGCAATAAAATGATCACTAAAATATTTACAGTGATAATGAAGAGCACAATAAACCACAGGTAAAGGTAAAGGGACCCCTGACCATTAGGTCCAGTCGTGACCGACTCTGGGGTTGCGGCGCTCATCTTGCTTTATTGGCTGAGGGAGCCGGTGTACAGCTTCCAGGTCATGTGGCCAGCATGACTAAGCCACTTCTGGCGAACCAGAGCAGCGCACGGAAATGCCGTTTACCTTCCCGCTGGAGTGATACCTATTTATCTACTTGCACTTTGACGTGCTTTCAAACTGCTAGGTTGGCAGGAGCAGGGGCCGAGCAACGGGAGCTCACCCCATCACGGGGATTCGAACTGCCAACCTTCTGATCGGCAAGTCCTAGGCTCTGTCGTTTAACCCACAGCGCCACCCGCGTCCCCTAAACGACAGTAGAATAGACTTAAAACAAATTAAAACTCATACAAACTTTTTAAGCACCTGAGAAGGGTTGTCTAAATAGGAATGGATTCAGCAGGCGCCGGAAATAATACAGTGACGGCGCCTGTCTGGTATCAATAAGGGAGTTCCAAAGTGTCGGTGCTGCCACACTAAACAACTGAGTTGCTGCAGAGGCAGTGAGAGCACTTGCAGAGGAAGAGGCGTGTGGGGGGGAGCGCACCGCAGCACGATCCTGGTGGGGTGCCATTGCGGCTGCCCCCCTGCCTACGCTGGGCGCCACGCCCCCAGGATGCATGCCAGCCCCGCCCCCCGGTGCCAGAGCATGAAGCTCCGCCACTGAGTGAGAGTATTATGTGGCACCTGTAAATGTGCCAGTTCCACCGATCGAAGCTGTCAACCATTCCGATCAGGCTTGTTTTCCAGACCCTTGATCATCTTGGTTGCCCTCCTCTGCACACATTCCAGCTTGCCAACATCCTTCCTAAATTGTGGTGCCCAGAATTGGACATAGTATTCCAGGTGTGGTCTGACCAGGGCAGAATAGAGCGGTACACTTAACGTATTTTTCCGTCTATAAAACGCCCCCTATTTTGGGGAACTCAGATTTAAGAAAATGGGAGGAGATGGCCCCATGTATAAGACACCCCCTAATTTTTGACATTTTTAAGGTAAAAAAACCTAGTCTTATACATGGAAAAATACGGTACTTCCGTTGAAGTGGACACTATACTTCGGTTGATGCAGCCTAGAATAGCATTAGCTTTTGTATGTTGTCGCTCTTGAAAACCTAATGCATTTTTTTAAAAAAAAAGATTTAAACACTTTTTTTTCCTTTTCCTTTTTTTTTTAAAAAAAGATCCCTCACTCCTAATACAGGCTAACAGTTACTGTTACAGATTTTAATCAGTCACTTTGTGTTTTGGTTCATCTTTCCCTAATTATTATATTCTCCTTATTAATTGTCAATGTACTGTTGATCTACTGGTGCTTAGGTTGAGCTGGAAATGGCCATTGACACTTTGAACCCCAATTACTGCCGCAGCAAAGGAGAGCAGATTGCGCTCAACGTCGATGGCACGTGTACAGATGAAACCAGCACGTATTCCTCGTAAGTACCGTTTTTGCTATAGATCGAGGAGCTGGGTTTTGACTCCACTATTTCTTGGCCAGCAGAGTGAGGCAGTGGAGATGTGCTGGGCCTGTAACCGAGACCCCAAAGCCCTAAAGCGTCCATCGCTGGCATCTCCTAGGAGAGACTCCTTGTCTGCAAAACCTGGGCACCAGCTGCATGCCAGTGTTGGTGATATTGAGGTAGATGAACCCCTGGGTCTGGCTTTTGGCATAAAGCTGCTTCCTGAATATAAGATCCTGAGCGTTCTGCGGGACGGCAGAGGATCTGCTTTGCAGGTGCAATCCCTGGTGCCTCCAGAGAAGGCCGTGGAGAGCTCCTGCCTGAAACCCTGGAGAGTGGCTGCCAGTCAGAGTAAACAACACTGAGCTGTATGGACCAATGGCCTGACCCATACTAAGGCTGATTTCCGTGTTAAAATCAAAATATGCATATAGCCTGAAAGCTGAGCAATGGAGCAATTTGTTTTGCAGCTGCTCAACCTGTGGCTCTTTTATCACGTGTAAAAAGATACGTCTGGGTTCTTTCCCTCTTCTGAACACAGAGCATCCTTCCACCCATTCTACACATCATTGTTTTCTCTAGTAGAGTTGCTTTCAATTATCATCCTCTACTTGAATCTTTGGATCCAAACTTAATTACTTAAACGTAGGTCTCTCTTTCTCCTCCTCTTCCCTTTTCTCCCTCTGTCTTGGAGTGCATTTCCATAGCAGACATACTGGTTTAGCAGCCACCCCTCTTCCCTAAAGAACTCTTTTTATTGTTTGTGTATGTGTATGTGTGGTAGAGATCTCAAAACAGCAGCTGGCATTGACAACCCCCCAGCTTTCCAGGGTGGAGAAGCCAGGTTTAGCTATAAAGATCTTGATTGTGTCTGCTCTCTCTTATCCCCGAACTTGACTTCATATTCTGGTTTGAAGTCGGGAATATAAACCACAGTTTCCTGGTTCAAGTTTCAATGTAAACAATGGATTGAGAAACTCAGGAAGCATCGAATTGCGATACTCGGGGAGAAAGTTCATGGGCCCAATGCTCATTCCCAATCTGAAAGACCATGGCTAATCGGTTATGTCAGAGCTTTCCAAACTTTTCATGTCAGTGACACACTTTTTAGGTGTGCATCATTTTGCGACACAGTAGTTCAGTGTCGCGTCATTTCACGACACAGTTAATTCAGTTTTACTAGCAAACTAACCCCTTTCCAGCCCCGGGAGGAGTATGGGGAGTATTCACATGACACAGCTACACATTGCAGCCATCACACTAAATGTGTGGCGACACACAGTTTGGAAAGCTCTGAGTTATGTAATTTACAGGTTGTTAACATCTGAACTGGGACTTTGATTACAATCCTGTTTGGGGGCAAACTCTGCAGGCTTTACTTCTGAGCAGACATGCAGTGCATAACTAGAATGTATACATTTGTACTGTGGACATTTCCCCTGTTTTTCCTTAAAAAGCAGTGAATGAGGTCTGATGCTGGGCTGTGACCTGCTAGTAGAATACTACTGCTCTGGTAGATATAATTGAGGTAACTTCCTGTCCTTGCAGGAAGATGATGGACAAGCAAACATTCTCCTCCTCACAGACGACCAGTAACATATCGCGATATGCTGCTGCAATCTACAGAAAAGGTTACTTTTTAAATTTAGCTTTTATTAAGTATTTTCTTGTGTAACAAACAAGCAAAGAAATAAAAGTAGAAAAGGTGACACTTGAAATCTCAAGACTTGTACCAATTTTGGTAGAAGGGATGGGGAACCTGTGGCCTTCCAAGTGGTTTGTTGGACTCAAATGCTATTAGCTTCAGCCAATCAGACCATATTGGGAGTTTGCCAGTGAGCTTCCAGCCCCAATTCAAGGTGTTTGTACTAGCATGCAAAGCCCTACATGCCTTGGGATCCTAGTATTTAAAAGAGCTCATTCCTCAGTATCAACCATCTTGATACTACAGTTAGCAGGTGAGGCCTTGTTGGTGGTGGCACTATTGGTTGACCTGTGGCAGGGCTTTTTCTGTGGTGGCTCCCCAATCGTGGAATGCCCTCCCTAGTGAGGTGCATCTGCCTACATCCTTATTAGCTTTCAGGAGGTATTTGAGAATCTTCCTGTTGATGCAGGCATTGGGTGGCTGAAGTATATTGTTCCTGGCAAATCCAAGATCACTGGATGTTTTTAACTATGACTGCTTTTATTTTATTTTTAAAAGATTTTTATTGGTTTGGCATATGCTTTTAGAATCTTTTAAAACTGTAATTGTTCTTAGAATGTTTACGGTTTTTGTTTTTCAGTTGTGAATCTGCCCTTGTCTCCTTTTAGGAAGAAGGGTGTCATATGAACAAACAAATTTACTAAATAATTGAAATAAAGAAATGCACTAAGTAAATACTAGTCCAGATGCCCTCGAAAGGCCACAGATTCCTCATGATTCCTTTAACAATTCAAATACTTGAGCACTCGTGTGTGTGTGTGTGTGTGTGTGTGTGTGTGTGTGTATATATGTGGATTTTAAAAATGTGATTCTGTTAATGAGATGATTGGCGACAATATTTCCATCATCCTGCTTGCGTGCTCAGGGGCGTGGCTCTGCCTGCTTGTTTCTTTCCCGAAAAGTGAAAATGGCTGTGAAAATGCCCATCTTTTTCCTCCAGGTGAGCTCCACCTTACGCCTCTCCATGGAATCCTGCAAATGAGGCCGAGTTTCACCTACTTGGACAAAGCAGATGCCAAATACAGAGAGCGAGAAGCTGCTAATGAGCGTGAGTGACTTGCTAGGCTTTCTCTGTCCACTGGCTAGTCATAGACTATGGGCCTTTCTCAGCGGTGGCTGCCAGCCTAGATGGCTTTGAAAGGAGGATCAGAAAAATTCGTGGAGGAGAGAGAGGGCTTGTCGACAGTTACTAGCCATGTTGGCTGTTCCTCCTCCACAGTCGGGTGGCAGCTGTGCTTCTGAATACCAGTTGCTGGAAGCTGCAGGGGCGGAGGGTGCTGTGTTCGAATCCTGCTTGTAGGTTTCCCCGCAACGAGTCGAATAGTTGGCCCCTGGGAGAACAGGATGCTGGACCAAATGGGCCATTGGTCTGATACAGCAGGCTCCTCTTTTAGGGTGCAAACGGCTACAGTCTTGGACGGCTCCAAAAGTGTGTTTGTGGAGGATCATCCCATCAAGGGAAAACTCAGTGATGAATATATATTGCACACAGAGCTGGAAGCTATATACGAAAGAACAAATTGTCATTATCATTTTTATTAACATTTATACTGTGTCCTTTCTCTCAGAGGAGGGTGGGTGGCTATTGCTTTTGTTATTATTATTATTATTATTATTATTATTAATTATTTGTACCCCGCTCATCTGGCTGGGTTTCCCCAGCCACTCTGGGCAGCTTCCAACAAAGATTAAAAATACATTAAAATGTCACACATTAAAAACTTCCCTGAACAGGGCTGCCTTCAAATGTCTTCTAAATGTTAGGTAGTTGTTTTCCCTTTGACAACTGATGGGAGGGCGTTTCCCCAGGGCGGGTGCCAATACCGAGAAGGCCCTCTGCCTGGTTCCCTGTAGCTTTGCTTCTCACAGTGAAGGAACCACCAGAAGGCCCTCGGAGCTGGACCTCAGCGTCCGGGCAGAACAATGGGGATGGAGACGCTCCTTCAGGTATACTGCTTTTGTTCTGCTTTTGAATCTCCCAGAAACAGCAAATTGATCCCTATAGGGAAGCAAAAACGCTAGATTAGATAGGCCTGTGGTCTGATCCAAGATCTTATATCAGGGGTGGGTATCTTCAGACTCGGGGGCCAGTTGCGGCGCTGTATGCCTCTATACCTGGCTCCTGGGATTCTCCCCAGGCCTCAGCCCTCGCATGCCCCTGCTTCGAACCCCCAAGCATATTTTTCTGGTTGGGACATACTCTGGCTTGTTGGGGTGGATGTGGATGTGAGGAGGGATGTGTGAATGTGTGTTGCCTACTGTGTACCAAAGTCAACATTTACATTTGCTGCTTTGCCCCTTCTTGGCCTCTGATCCTTCCCACCACCAGCATGTGGCCCTCAGGAGCCCATTCAGAATGGAACGCGGTCCTCATCTGTCGTGAGGTTCCCCTGGCAACTCCAGAAAATGTAATGGCATCTGTCTTGGAGATCGCACATCCCTGCCTGGAGAAATGTTGGCTGTCAAGGCATTTTAGTAGTGATTTTCACGCTCCCTTCCCCCTTGTTAACAGCTGGCGATTCTTCCCAGGATGAAGCAGAAGAAGACGTCAAGCAGATCACGGTAGGCCCAAACTCCCTGTTTAGCAGCACTTCAGAATCTGTAGCCTAGGAATGTATGCAGGAAGCTGCTTTGTACCAGCTTGGACTATTTGTTTATCTAACCCAGTAATGCCTTGTCTGACTGGCAGCTTCTTTAACAGGAGAAGCTGGGGGCTGAACCTGCGACATTCTGCCACAGAGCTAAGGCCTCTGTCTCCTTAAACTCCCTGTGTTTCTTTAACCAAGAGTGTCAAAACTACAACTCTTCCAGATATAAGGAACGTAGGAACCTGCCTTATGCCATGTCAGCCCATTGGTTCATCAAGCTTAGTAGTGCCTACACTGACTACAACTCCCATAATCCCTGGCCCTTCAGCCATACTGTCTGGGACCGAGTCCACTATTGACTGGAGGCTACAGCTTCCTTGCTTTAAGGCTGTGCTTCTCAAAGTTGGGTCTCCTAGCTGTTGTTGGACTACAACTCCCATCATCCCAAGCTAGCAGGACCAGTGGTCAGGGATGATGGGAGTTGTAGTCCAACAACAGCTAGGAGACCCAACTTTGAGAAACGCTGCTAAGAAATGCAGTTGGCGGGGGGCATTAAACCCAACCTTTCGAACCTATTTCCTGGATTAGTTGAGTCTCATCTTCCCTTTACTATCAGTCGCATCCCTTTTTCTAACTTCCTGGCCTGCCACAAGTCGTCTTCTGCCTCTTCCTTCGCCATCTTGAGTATGCTAGGACAGTGTCCTTCTAGACCAGCCTTTCTCAACCTGTGGGTCCCCATATGTTGTTGAACTACAACTCCCACCACCCCTAGCTAGCAAGGCCAGAGCTCAGTGATGATGAGAGTTGTAGTCCAACAACATCTGGGTGCCCACAGGTTGAGAACCGCTGTTCTAGACAATGTTCTTCAGCACCATCCCCAGATGTTGTTGGACTATGACTCCCATCATCCACAGCAATTGTAGCCAACAGCCAGGGATCTTGGAAGTTGTCCCAACAGCACTTGCGGACGCAACGTTGAAGAACGCTGGTCTAGGAAACCTCCTTGGGCTCCTCCCCTCCAGCTGTGTGCTTCCTAACATGTGCATGCCCACATACATGCACAGAGAGACATCTCCATCCCCTCTGCTTCCTTATCCTCTCCACACTCAAGCATATAGTCCTGTATCTCTGGGCGTCACCGCTTCAGACAAGGAAGCGAGGGATCTCATAATGCTTCTCAGTGCCTTTCACCCTGCACATAGAAAACTTGGTGTGATGCCTCGGTCTGCATAAAAGGACTGTGAAAGAATCTGGAAATAATTCATAGGTGAGAACAGCGTAGGAAAGTAGAGGCAAGTCGCGTCAATATCAGCCATGAGGAACGCTTTTCCTTCCAGAAAACAGGAGTAATAACAGGTGGAGCTGTGAAAAAGTGCAAGCAGTGGCTCCGGCCGCAGCTGCATTGCCAGTAATTTTGGTTGGCGCTCTTATTTTTTTAATTGTTTGTTCTTTATTGAAGAATAAAAATGACAGAATTACAAGTGCACAGAGTAAGAGAAGACACAAAGAAGAAGAAGAAACAAGAAATAGTGCCCATGTAGAAAACAAAACAGAATGAAAAAGAAAAAATATATTGTGTACATTACAAAAATGGGGGGGAATTGCTATTGTAGTTAACCAGACCTCATGGTATTTATGAAAATGAATTTCAAATATTGTTTAAAGTCATGTTGATTGTCTCTATCACCTTCTGCCAGAATTTTTTCAATGTAGGACATTGTACAAATACAGTGGTACCTCGGGTTAAGTATTTAATTCGTTCCGGAGGTCCATTCTTAACCTGAAACTGTTCTTAACCTGAAGCACCACTTTAGCTAATGGGGCCTCCTGCTGCCACCGCACGATTTCTGTTCTCATCCTGAAGCAAAGTTCTTAACCTGAAGCACTATTTCTGGGTTAGCAGAGTCTGTAACCTGAAGCGTATGTAACCCGAGGTACCACTGTAAATGTTTTAGGGAAGAATTATCCCAGTTGCAGCTAGATGTCTTAGAGATACTTTCAAAAACAAGCTTTCTGGCTTCAGTACATTTTTAATTCCTTGCGTACCACTGTGGACTCAGAGAGGATTTCCATACATGGGATTGGGGCTTTGACTAGGTTTCTTCTGACTGACATTTTTGGCGCTTGAATCCTGTGGCTAATTGTGGGGAAATGACACCTTTTCCAGGTGAGGTTTTCCCGCCCCGAGTCGGAACAGGCCCGGCAACGTCGGGTTCAGTCCTACGAGTTCCTGCAGAAGAGGCAGGCGGAGGAGCACTGGGCTCACTTGCATTACTACGGTTTAAAGGTAGGCGTTTAGGCACATCTACTTGTGTTTCTGCTGCAAAAGTGGATATGCTAAATACGCTTGAGTGTTTGCACAGTGAGTTTTACATTTTACACTGCCCCCTTTGCAATAAACAGAGAGCTGCAGTTGCATGCAGACGGGTCTCTGGCCTCGATTGATTGAAGGCCGCTGGACTAGACTAACTCTCAGGGTCCCTGTGATACTAGCAGCCTGTTCCTGTGAAAGTTTACTTCTCTATATGGGGCAGCTGCATATTCCTGCGTTGCAGAGGGTTGGACTAGATGACTCTCAGGCTCCCTTCCAACTCTGTGATTATGTTGTCTTTTCGGCACCCGCTAAAGATGTCCTCCTTTCAACAAACCACCTAAGGTCTTTATCCAAGATGGTATCTGTCTCAGACTTGAGCTGGTTTTACATAGGCGCTGTCGTCATTTTAAATTGTTTTTATATATGCAAGTGTTTTAGCTGCTTTTATTTATTTTTTCCCAGTTCTAAATTTATTTATTTATTCAAAGATGTATAAAAATACACATCCATTGCAAAGTATATGTATTTTTTATAATATGCTGAGATAAAACAGCTACTTAGTCTAAAAGGGAACAAAGTCAGAAGGAGGAAAAGTCAAGGAAAGTTTAAAGCTAAAGAAAGAGAAAGCGAGAGAAAAGGAAAAGAGAGAAAAAAACTAAAGAAAAAGAAGAATGTTATACTGTAACTGTTTTATGTTGTGACATGGATTGCTTCAAGATGGGAAGCCATTAATAAGTGAAATAAATATAAAAATAGTGCGTATTTTTGAATACATTAGAGATTAGTTCCAAGTAAGCCTAAGTAATACTTGTACAGTGTTTTTTCCCCTCTCCCCCTTTTTATACTCCCTTTTGGTGGTGATTTGGGGAGAGGGGACTGAAGACTGGATGGCCAGGGCAGTGCTTCTCACGCTATATTATGTGATGGACTGACATTCTCCCCCGCTCCCCCACAATTGTGCCAAGGGACCAGTTCACTTGGTAGACCATGAGACTCTTAATCTCTGGGTTGCGGGTTTGAGCCCCACGTTGGGCAAAACCATTCCTGCATTGCAGGGGCTTGGACTATATTACCCTCCCTTCCAGCTCTACAGTTCTATGATTTCCATGATCTTTGAAACATTCCACCAAACCTGGACCGCGGTGGAGTTACTGCAACCAAAAGCCGGTGGCTCAAGGACCAGCACTGGAGTAAGAGTTGTGTGACACAGGAAGTGTCCATATACTTCTGGTTTTCTCAGTGCATCCAACAGGACTTGAAATTTGTAGGGGATGTGGGGGAAAGCTTTGCTTTCAAAACCCTTACAAGTCGTATCTTACAGCAATTTGAGGGGAATGCCAGCTATTCTGTTTCATATTATACGGGAGAAATGTGCAGATTAAGCCCAGTGGGGATCTGAGCCGCTGTTCACAGAGTAGCCCTTAAGCCTCTAAGCATTGCTTGGAATCTGTACCCCATCATGAATCTTGGGCTTCTAACCCCTTCTTTCCTAGGACAGCCGTTCCGAACACGAGCGCCAGTATTTGTTTAGTCAAGGTCATGGCATGGCTGGGAACACGGAATTAATTAAATCTCCAAGGTAAAGGTCTTTCTTTTAATTCCTCAAATTGTTTCGTTGGGGGCAATTCTGAAGTCGGGGGCTCACAAGCGCACTTTTAATGCATTTTTTATTAGCATGGGAAATGGCATGCTTACAGTCGCCCCCCCCCCCCCCCCCGGCTTGCATTTAGTAAATTCCAGGCCTGACAAAAAGCTTGTATACGTAGACTTTCTGCCAGCTTTTCCACCTCTGCAAAGTTAAATGGCCAATTCACAATGCCTTGGGCCTCATTCTGCCACTGCTACCGTCTCCCCAGATGATGTTTGCTGCTGTTGCTTTCTCACAGCTGTTCCCCTAGGCCTCAAATGCGTTGTGCTGGCAGGTTTCGTATTCCTTGTGTGTGGGAAGGCAAAATGGGAGATGAGTTTCTTTTTTAAAAAATGTGTTTTTATTAAAGGTTTTCTTGATTTACAAAGGTATGTGCAATGTCTCTCGGGAGACGAGTTTCTGAATGAAGATTCCCTAGACTCGGGGGGTGGGGCGGAGGGGCTAGTCAACCTGGCGCCCTTCAGATATTTCTGACCACAATTCCCATCAGCCCTCAACATCGATCACCCCAGCAAGGGATCATGGGAGTTGTTGTCCAGGCCGCCATGTTGGCTATCCCTTCTCTAGGCAAGCAATGTGACCTACTCTTTCTCTTTCCCGCAGTGAGTACTTGATGATGCTGGTGCCTCCGAGTGTGGAAGATGAAAAGTAAGTAAGCCAAGGGCCACATTCTGTTCTGACCCATCTTCCAGGGGCCGCATGCCAGTAGAGGGCAGGGCCTGGGGCAAAAGTGGGTGGGGCAGCAAATGTAAATTTTGCCTTGTGCAAGTGCCTGCTTTCTACCCAGGCATTCTTCACATCCAGGGGAGCAAGAGGCATTGGAGTTTTCAGGGACACTTTCTAGGCAGGAGGGACACGGGTGGTGCTGTGGGTTAAACCACAGAGCCTAAAACTTGCCGATCAGAAGGTCTGCAGTTCAAATCCCCGTGACGGGGTGAGCTCCCGTTCCTCAGTCCCTGCTCCTGCCCACCTAGCAGTTCAAAAGCACGTCAAAGTGCAAGTAGATAAATAGGTACCGCACTGGCGGGAAGGTAAATGGCGTTTCCGTGTGCTGCTCTGGTACGCCAGAAGCGGCTTAGTGATGCTGGCCACATGACCCGGAAGCTGTACACCGGCTCTCTCGGCCAATAAAGCGAGATGAGCGCTGCAACCCCAGAGTCGGTCACAACTGAACCTAATGGTCAGGGGTCCCTTTACCTTTACCTTCTAGGCAGGCAAAACAAATCAAACAAAGGGGGCATTTTCTGTGAAGCTGACCTGTTCCCATTTGTAATAACCATGGTCACATCTCCTGCTCCCATGTCCCGTCCCCCCCAATCTGTGCTGATTGGTTTCTCCCAAGCCAATATGGTGTAGTTGTTAAGAGTGGGGGACCAGGGTTCAAGTCCCCACTTGGCCATGCAGCTAACCGGGTAACCTGTAACCAATTGCTCAGCATCACCTACTTTGCAGGGTTGTTGCGAGGGTAGAAAGGGAAGGGGGAGAGCCACGTATGTCGCCTTGCGCTCCTTGGAGTATAAATGAAATAAAACTCTTGCTGAAATGGGGAGGGCAGCTTTCCATAAATCGCCAAACCTCAGTTCTCTGTGGTGGTTTCCCAAATGGTACCTTTCTTTCCTTACGTAGGGACAAGCCTGTAGCCCCAAGTAATGTGCTTTCCATGGCTCAGCTGAGGACTCTGCCCCTTGCGGACCAGATCAAGATCTTGATGAGAAACGGTATGCTGTTCGACATTACGCAACTCACACAGCCTCTGTGAACTCTTTTGACTTCCTGTGTTACCAGCCTCTCCTGCTCCCGTTTCCTGGATAATGGATACAGCCTGCCATATTAAACAGGGAGACACCGGGCCCCACCTGAAATACATATTTAAAGCAGTATCTTGCCGCTAGAAGCAGTCATGGCTCCCCTCCCACAGCAAAGGATCTTGGGAACTGTAGTTTGTTAAGGGTCTGAGAGTTGCTAGGAGACTCCTATTGTCCTGACAGAGCTAGAATTCCCATTCCTCTTCCCAGGAATTGTTGCTCCGTGAAGGGGAATAAGGGTCTCCCAACAACTCTCAGCATTCTTGACAAACTACAGCTCCCAGCATTCATTGGGGGAAGCTCAGGCAGTAAGAGCATGAGACTCTTCTCAGGGCTGTGGGTTTGAGCCCCATGCCGGGCAAAAGATTTCTGCATTACCTGGGGTTCTTTCAACTCTTCAGGTATATGATTCTAGGATGGTTTAAAGTGGTATGATGATGCTTTAAATGTACTAGGGCAGATGGGCCGTATTTCACTGCTTGCAATTATTTGCGCTCTTATCCTATGAACGTTTAACTTCAACCAGAGATTGGAAAGCCTGCAGACATCCAGATAATTGCTAGACTCCAGCTCCCATCAGCCCCAGCTGGTATGGCCAAGGACAATGGGATTTGCAGTCCAGCAACGTCTAGAAGGCCACCGGGACTCCATCCTTGACTTAGGTATTTGAATCTCTAAGGAGTATTTGCATTTTCTGCTTTCCCCCCTTCTGCAGTGAAGGTCATCGCTTTTGCAAACCTGATGAGCCTCTTGGCTTCTGGGACGGATCCTACGGCAGCCTTGCGGTGCATACAGCAGGTGGCGCTGTTGGTGCAGGGAAACTGGGTTGTGAAAAGGTAAAAATGCCTTTTGTTCTTCAGGGACTCACCCCTTGCAAAGAACGCCAGTCCATTGTTCAAATTACGGCAGCTCTTATTCTTGTTGTTGCTGCTTTTTTTACAGTGATATAAACACAATAGCACACAATGCAAAGCATGACAGTTTGTTAATGCGAGACAAGGGTGTATTGCCTGTGTGCCCATTGCATATTTTCAAGCTGACTCCTTGTTGGATACAAACCAACTCCTTGCGGGATCCTAAACAGTGACTCCTGGCACCCAAAGATCTCAGGGATCAGGCAGGGATATAAGCAGTCAGGTGACCCTTGAAGTATCCTGGACCAAAGTTGTTAATGGCCTTGTAAGTGAATGCAGGAATCTTGGAACCTCATGCAAGAGTTGTGCAGTTGTATAAGTTCAGAATTCTCCTTGGGAGTTTCTGATCAGAGGGAACCGCTTGTACGTAGACCTGTAGAACCACTGTTTCTTCCTCCTCCTCCTTTTCTTTTAAAATTTAGTTTTGAAGTTATTTACTACACCGTCATTGTACACACCTGCATTGCACACACCTTTCTGGTTCTTTCAAAACCCTGCCAAATAGAAACCGGTCGTGTCACATGCAGTTCTATGTAGCTTTCACTATTGTGAAATTCTTTCCAACTTTAATATATACAAAGCGTTTTGGTTTCTCCTTGGAATCCCTTTAGCTGGTGGCTTGCAATCCCAGGCAACGTTTCAGGGTGCCATTGGATGGGTGCCTGGAATCTCTGTACATGTATTATTATTCGGTCGCACTGTGGTGTCCTGCGGCTAATAAATGGTTTGTCTTCAACAGCGATGTCCTCTATCCAAAAGATACCTCCAGCCCGCACAGTGGAGTCCCGGCGGAAGTGCTCTGCAGAGGAAGGGATTTTGTTGTGAGTATTAAAAAATAAAAACAAGGAAGTCAAATATTCCTTTCGCTGCAACAGCATTGCAAAGAAGTTTAGGAAATCTGTTTGCCCACTTAAACATTGATCTTCTCAAGTCCAGAAACCCTTGAAAGCCACTCAACACAAAATTTGTGTTCTCTACCAACCCTGCCCTTGGGGAGGGTGTTGTTTTGTTTTTTAAGTGTTCAGAAGCATTGGGGGAGTGGGCCGGGGTTTGTTGGTCCCTCTCAGACCTCCATACAAGGCTGACTCTTGTCCAACTTTCACTCGGCACTTTGGCAGGTGCTCACCAGATTGAAATGTGTGTTTGCACACCTGTGGGCTCCTGCTTGTGTTAATCATTTGAGGTTTAAAAAGTGGAGGGGGGAAGAGCTTAGGATGGAACCCAACACAGCAAGGCCATTGTTCTGTCAGCACAAGGATTTCTGCTTGTTCAACAGAACATTTGCCCGCTCTCTCCTGTTGGTGTGTCCCCTTCAATCTATCTGTCCAAGGATTTCCCCCAACCCTCTGGAGCGGCATTGGGTGGGAGGAAGGTGTCTTGTTGCGTAAGAGGAAATCCTTAAATTGGTGGGACTGCTTAGTAGAATAATGCCCTTTTCCTTAACCGTTTTTTGCCCAGAGGAGGCCTTTACTTCCTTCCAGACTGGAGATTCAGTACATCAGGTTCAACAGCAGTTCCCTCATATTAACTGTTGTGCTTTTTTTTAAGATTGTGGCTGTATTCACACTGGAGAACGGCCTCTTTTTAATACGATGGTGTCCTTCTCTCCCTTTCCCAGATGTGGAAGTTTACACAAGACCGCTGGGTAGTTCGGAAGGAAGTAGCGACAGTTACAAAAGTGAGTTCCTTTTATAATTATTTTGCTTCGTCCAGGACACTCATCTTGGTTCAACCTTCTGTTTTCAATCCAGCGCTTTGATAACTTCTTTCAAACCGTTCAGTATATGGTGAGCCTCCTGCCCCACAGCAGAGTGGCGAAAGGGGCCTACAGTTTTATAGGGGAGAGCTATAAAGAATTGGGCCTTGCTGATCTCCCCCTATGGTGTAGCCTCCTAAAGGTAGAGGCCCAATGTGCTTCCCTTCAGCTCTCCAGTCCAAGGACAAAGCTGTTCTCTGGGTCTTGAACCTCCTTGCCAAGCCATCTCCCCCCAAAAAGGAACAAAAAAAAATTCCACATTTTCTGCAAATAAAATTTGCAGCCGTGACAAATCACACTGATCACGCACGCTTGTTGCTAAAACGTTTTGTCATGCACTCTCACGTACGCAACGTTGTTGTTATTATTTTTAAATCATCAGGCATAGGCAAACTCGGCCCTCCAGATGTTTTGGGACTACAATTCCCATCATCCCTGACCACTGGTCCTGTTAGCTAGGGATCATGGGAGTTGTAGTCCGAAAACATCTGGAGGGCCGAGTTTGCCTATGCCTGATTCAAAACAATCCGCTGCATCTTTTGGTACATTAACTTCGCTGCTGCCGGTAAATATCCAGGTAATGGTTTAAAAGGAACAGTCGGGTTTTCCCCTTGCAATGAATTCAACAGGGCTAGCTCACTTGACATTTGTAGGCACTCATTTTGCAGATCTCTATAAAGGTGGACTCCCAAAATATGGAGGAGTCTTTGTCATGTCCCCACCACAGGAGTGCAGGAAGGGTCCCTTAATTTTGCATGCACACACCACAATGCCACGGGGTAGGAATCGGATTAATATGTATGAGGCTTAGAGGAGCATGTTTCTACTTCTGAATAGTTTCCAGTGCATTTTCGTTATTTATTTAATTTTTATTGGAATTTTATTTACAACATAACACAACCCCCAACCCCAATACACTGATCAACCCTTATTAAACGTGAACATAACATACAGTGGACATAACATACGACAATACAAACAACCAAATAAAAGACTCCCTTTATCCTGTATCTGGCCTCCTTATTTACTTCTTATAAACTGTTTCCTTTATGAATAATTATTAAGATTTTTCTAACTATAACTTAAATATCCACAAAGTCTCCTGCATTTTCTTTAAATGAAGCGGCAATTGCTTTGTAGGGGAATTTTGCCTTTCCATTTGTATATGCGCTAGTTTTACGCCCTAAGCATAGGGATTGCACAGGCAAGTTGGAGCTGGTTTATCTATCGGACTTAATGCCTTCTCTGAGTTTCGGCTTCTTGGAGGTGCAGTTTAGCCTCCCATGTTTTTCTTGCGGGGCCACACCCTGGCGCTTTGTGTGGCCACCGATCTCATTTAAAAAGGGTTTTGGTTTCTCCTAAGCAGCTGGTTATATATATCTATTGCTTTGTTTGTGCAGCTTGGCCCAGAAGATGTGAAAGATTTCTTGGAGCACATGTCTTTCCTGAGGATAAACAAGGGCTGGGAATTCAAGCTCCGTTATGACGAGGATTTTGTCCAGAAGCACCCAGATGTGGTCCAGAGGCAGCAGATGCTCTGGATGGGCATTCAGGCCAAGTAAATGGTTTGCTTTTCCTTGGGGGCGGGAACAAAGCCGAGATGGGAAAGAAAAAAACGTTGGTTTCTCCCTTGCATCTTCACGCTACCTGTTGCAGTACAGTTACGTAAATGGAGGCCGGTTGCTTAGACGGATTTAAGGGTTTATTTTCTGGATCCTATTACATACGCCTGCTTGGGCCCGATCTTATTTACAGCACATGGTGCCAGCAAAAAACCTCAGGAACTTGTAAGACCATCTGCGCACACCTCAAGTTACATTCAGAGATTCATAGTGTTAATGCCAAAAGAGAATAGGCCAAATTGCACATGGCATTAACACTATGAATCTCTGAATTGGAAAGATCGGTCCAGTATACCTGAAGGAGCGTCTCCACCCCCATCGTTCTGCCCGGACACTGAGGTCCAGCTCCGAGGGCCTTCTGGTGGTTCCCTCACTGCGAGAAGCTAAGTTACAGGGAACCAGGCAGAGGGCCTTCTCGGTAGTGGCACCCACCCTGTGGAACGCCCTCCCACCAGATGTCAAAGAGAACAACAACTACCACACTTTTAGAAGACATCTGAAGGCAGTCCTGTTTAGGGAAGCTTTTAATGTTTAACAGACCAGTGTATTTTAATACTTTGTTGGAAGCCGCCCAGAGTGGCTGGGGAAATATTATTATTATTATTATTATTATTATTTGCTGAGCAACACAGCTGGGTTGGCCAGACTTTCTGTGACATCACAGCAGCTAAGCCAGTGGCAACTCCAAGAGCCATGGCACTTTCACCTTACCAAACCCCATTGGTGAACATTCTGAGCAGAATAAACAAGTGGTATTAGGAGAAGCAGGGACGCGGGTGGCGCTGTGGGTTAAACCACAGAGCCTAGGACTTGCCGATCAGAAGGTCGGCGGTTCGAATCCCTGCGACGGGGTGAGCTCCCGTTCCTCAGTCCCTGCTCCTGCCCACCTAGCAGTACGAAAGCACATCAAAGTGCAAGTAGATAAATAGGTACCGCTCTGGCGGGAAGGTAAATGGCGTTTCCGTGCACTGCTCTGGTTTGCCAGAAGCGGCTTAGTCATGCTGGCCACATGACCCGGAAGCTGTACGCCGGCTCCCTCGGCCAATAAAGCGAAATGAGCGCCACAACCCCAGAGTCGGCCACGACTGGACCTAATGGTCAGGGGTCCCTTTACCTTTATTAGGAGAAGCAAGACAGGCAGAGATGTCGAGCCTTGCAAGACCTCAAGGACCGTCCCCCCCCCCCCCCGGAACCAACCTGGAACCTGTGTTTGTTGTTTGAGGCTCTCTTCTCCATGCTCCCCTCCAAGGGAGTTGGGGAGTGTGGCAACATGAGGACAGGGCCTTTCCAGTGGTGGCTTCCTCCTTGTGGAATGCTCTCCTGCGGAAGGCAAGCCGGGCACCATCCCTCCTATATTTTTAAGTGCCGGACAAAAACATGTATTTTCACTAATGCTTTGTGGTCCTTAATTAGGAGGGCGTTAGGTATACCTGTGTCCTCCCCCCCCTTTTTACTGGGGTGGTTTGTGTTAGACCCACCTTTTTATATACATTACGGATGTGTTTTTAGATTCTGTTTCATTTTGGTTTTAATGTTTGCACCGTTTTTCAAATCACTTTTGGTATCTTCCTGTGAAAAAAGTGGCTCTAATAAACGCAAGAAACATAAGCAGCAATAACCAGGTTGGATTCCATGAATACAGACGCTCGCCTTCCTTTCCACATCATTGCCAGTCTTCGCAGTTTGCAAAATGTGGTGCCAGAGGTCTCTTTGGCTTCGTCGACCTGGTGGGCACCAGGTCAATGCAGTCTGCTCTAGCACACCTTGGCTGTTCCCTTACTTGAAAGGCTACTACATTTGCAAAGCTAAGCAGGGTCCGGTATGGTGTCAAATTGGATGAGGGACCATATGTTGATTCCTGCATTACAGGGGGTTGGACTAGATGGCCCTCGTGGTCCCTTCTGACGCTGTGATTCTGGACTCCACTGCTGAGAATGATAGAATTTTAGAGTTGGGAGGAGTCTTGACATTCACCCAGTCCACTGTGCTGCTCGAGCAAGAATCTGCCACATTGCTGACAGATGCTTAAATACAGTGGTGCCTCGCAAGACGAAATTAATCCGTTCCGCGAGTCTCTTCGTCTTGCGGTTTTTTCGTCTTGCGAAGCACGGCTATTAGCGGCTTAGCGGCTATTAACGGCTTAGCGGCTTTAAGAAAAAGGAAACAAACTCGCAAGAACTCGCAAGACGTTTCGTCTTGCGAGGCAAGCCCATAGGGAAATTCGTCTTGCGGAACGACTCAAAAAACGCAAAACCCTTTCGTCTAGCGAGTTTTTCGTCTTGCGAGGAATTCGTCTTGCGGGGCACCACTGTACCTCCAGCAGGAGAGAGCTGACCACCTCCTGTGGCAGACTCTTCCGCTGGCCGGCGGATCTTACCGTGTTAAGAAATCCCACCTAATCTTGAGCTGCAATCTGCTTCCCGGCAATTTCCACCCATTGACTCCAGACCTGCCCTCTAGAGCAACAGAAAACAAGTCTCCACCAACATCTACATGGCAAACCCTTTGGTTTTCTTTGCTCCAAGCTAAGCAACTCCTTCAGGCTGCAAAAGTATGATCGGTTTTTAAATGCATTCCTCCATTTGTGTTCTCCCCCACATATAGAAAGCTAGCACATCAGTGCTGGGCTTGAAACCTTTCTTCCTAGACCCGTTTTTGCAGGCTGATGTGGTTCTGTGCAGGAAGGAACCTTGCTGTGTGGCTTGGCTATATGACACAACTCCAGAAAGATGTATTTCATTGGGTGCTTGGCATTTCCTGGATTTTTCCTTAAACTGTATGGCGGCGGGATAAGTTGTTAATGTTGATGATCTGGGTGTAGCTATTCGCAAGGCACTGAAATGCTCCTCCCACCCAATTTCAGGTTGGAGAAAGTCTACAGCTTGGCCAAGGAACACGTAGCACCAAAGAAACAAGCTGCGCAAGCAGGTGAGCCAACTTGATTGTTTTTATTTTATTGCATTTATATCCCCACTTTTTCTCCCAAGGAGCTCAGGGTGGCGTCTCTGCTTCTCCACCCCCCTCATGCAGTCTTCACAACAGTTCTGTTAGGTAGGATAGGCTGAGAGTGAGTGACTGGCCTGTGGTCACCCAGTGAGCTTCATGGCTGAGGGGGGATTCGAACCCTGGTCTCCTAGGTCCCAGTCCAACCATAATGCCACACTGGGAACCAGAGGGTTTGATCCAGATTTTGTAGGTCGGTCGATAAGTTCTGTGGACATCTAATGGTGATACGCTCTGGTCCCCGTCCCCCCCACTTTTTTCCTTAACATAAGGGCTAGGTGGTGTCTGGTTTTCAACATCACAATATATCACCAGCTCAAACATTGCGATATATCAATATATCACCAGGTCTGAAATAAGAAGGTGAACATGGGCTTGAATTCTCCAAAGGACCTTGTGTGTGTGTGTGGGTGAATATGAATGATTAATTCTGTTTTTTAAATCAAATTTATACCCCACCCTTCTAAACAAGTGATAAAACAATAAACATATTTTTTGGGGGGGGCGGGACCAATCTAAAGAAGGCATCTGAAAAAATCCTATAGAGATCGAGACTGAGAAAGATTTCAGCTTTAAAGGCTTGTTGAAAGAGGGAGGATGCAAAAGAGACAGCGAGGACAGCTCCTGTCTAATATTCAAGGGGAGTGCTTTCTAAGGGGCAGGTGCCACCACACTAAAAGCCCAACGCCTGCATTCTGTAGAGCAGACCTCCTGATAAGGTGGCATCTGCAGGAGGTCCTCACATGTGCTCGATTGGGTATATAAAGGGGTGAGGCAATCTTTCAGATACAGTGGTACCTTGGTTCTTGAACAGCTTAGTTGACAAACAAATCGGCTCCCAAATGCCGAAAACCTGGAAGTAAGTGTTTTCTAACGTTTTTCGGAAGCCCAACATCCGATGCGGCTGTCGGCTATTGGTTCTGGGGCGCCTGCGCCAGTCAGAAGCCGCGCCTTGGTTTTGGAACGTTTTGGGAGTTGAACGGACTTCCGGAACGGATTAAGTTTGAGAACCAAGCTTCCACCGTATTATGTTCCCAAGCTCTGTAGGGCTTTATGCACCAGAACCAGCTGCTTGCACCAGCAGGACTCTACGTATGTTGTATGCTAGAAACTGACTCTTCTTCCACCAATCCCTTCCCAGGTGTTTTCCTTGGTGTAATCGAACTTGCTCCCTAGACACCCTACCTTGCTTTTCTTTCTCAGGAACTCTTGTGTGGTCTGCCTCCTTCTCACATGTGCAAGGATGGGGAACCTGTGGCTTTGCACATGTTGTTGTCTTCCATCTCCCAGCAGCCCCTGCCAACATGGCCTATGGTCAGGGATGGTGGATGAGAGCCAAGGATTACTCAAACCACGGTTTACTCTCACACCCCTTCCGCTTGTTTTTTTGTAGCTGCCCCCTTGCTGGTTTCTGGAGAGCAGCGGGTCAGTCTGGCGAAAGCAAGAGTCAAGCAGACCTATGGGCAGTTGGAGCAGGACTTCCAGAAGCTGAAAGCGGAGGGCAAAGCCAGCCAGGGCACTTGCCCGGTGGACATACTTGGCGTCCGTATAAAAGAGGAGCCCGTGAGCGATGAGGAGCCTATGGACACCTCTGTCTGCGACGGCCTCAATAATGGACTGGCCAACGGCATCCATTCGGAAGAGAACTCTGTGGACTCCGTGAACGGCCTCTTGCCGGTCCAAGAGAGAGTCACGCAAGAACTCAGAGCCTTTGTGGCGGCGACGTTTAAGAAACAGTATGTGCTAACCCTGAACGAGCTCAAACGGTTATTTAATCTCCACGTGGCTAGTCTGCCTCCTGGGAATCTCCTGTTCAGCGGCATTTCTGACAAAATGTTGCAGGACATGGTGTTGGACATGGGCTGCAAACAAATTATGGTGCCTGTAAGTGATTTTTCTGCTCCTTTTTTTGTTTATAAGTGCCTTTGCAGGTTGTGAGTGGCAGGTTCATTTGATGTGGCAGGGGGCTGGTGCAAGAGGTGGAGTCGTGGTATTTCTGTCCATTGGCTTGGCTGCTGTGATGTCATGGAGGTGCTAGGCAGCCATGGTTTGGAAGGGCCCTCATGAGACCTGGTAGCTGGAATTCTACTTCTGTTTTAATGTGCTGCTGAAATATTATCTGCAGGCTTTTGGATGCAGATCTGTTGTGCAGTTCTAGAGCCTTTTAATGCAAGCTATTGGAGGGGCAAGACCTGGTGTTAGAGCAACTGTTTTGCATGCAAAAGATCCCATGTACAGTCTCTGGTATCTCCCTGTTTAAAAGGCTCAGTTGTTGTTGGCATCTGTCTTGAGAGACAATGGCGTGCACCTCTGGGGGTGAAGTCAAACCATTATGTTATCAACACTAAAGTGACCTTCCTGGGGTGCACTCCCGGGCAGGTGGGTATGGAGGTCCTGGGCTGCTCATGCAACAAACCCTCCCTTTTGGCCTCACTGATGTGGTCCAAAGGAAAGGTTTTTTTGCTCCATAAGACACACTTTTTCCCTCCTAAAAAGTAAGGGGAAATGTATGCGTCTTATGGAGCGAATGCAGGCGGGAGACTCTGCTCAGCGCTCCCTTTCATGAGCCGCGTGGAGCGTGTGTGCGGCTCTTGGGGGCTTTTCCCTGAGGTGGGAGAAGGGACTGACAGGCTGCCCTCTGTCCCTTCCCACACCTCCCGGAAAAGCCAGCAAGAGCCGCTGCCAGGCTCTGCTCAGTGCTCCCTTGTAAGGGCTCCCTTTCGTCCCTCATCCCGCTTTGCTGGGAAGCCAGCCGAAGAAGAGGCGCTGCGCAGCTATGGCTCTTGCTCTGCTGGCTTCGGCGAGAGCTGTGCAGCTTGCTCTGCTGGCTTCTCAGCGAAGCGGGAGGAGGGACGGAAGGGTTTAAAGCAAGAAAAGCGAGAGCCGCTTACATGGTCTGCGCAGAATATTTTTTTTCTTGCTTTCCCCCTCTAAAAACTAGGTGCATCTTATGGTCAGGTGCATCCTATGGAGCGAAAAATACGGTGCATTTGGCGCCAGCTTGGCTGCAGGAGTTTCCGGAAGAAGGCATACAAGGTGTCATCCAACTATCTCGGGGACTCCATTCCGGATTCGTGGAGGGTTTACTCCTTAGCCCTTTCTTCTCCCAAAAGTATACCACAAAGCGGCGGAGGCTGAGGACCAGAGTTTTTTTTCTCCTAGTTAGGCAAAAACTCCATAAAATAGTTTTTAAAATGGCTCAGAAATCTCAAAATCCTTCAAGCATTAAGTCCTTTGAGGCCAGGGGCAGGGAACCTCTGGCCCACCAAATGTTGGACTCCAATTCCCCTCAGCCCATCCAGCATTGTCAGTACTTGGGGATGATGGTTGTTGTCGTCCAGTGATATCTGGGAGGCCAGCGGTTCCCCAGCCCTGCTTGAGGCAAAGACTGCTCAGAATAGGTGAGTTCTGAAGGCCCACTCAACATCCATATTGTAGCAGCCATACGTAATTCAGTTGGGGGGGAGTGCCATAACAGAGGGGCCACGACTGAGAATGCCCCGTCTCTCATGACTGCCGCCCTAAGTGATGTTTCTGATGAGCACGGAAGCAGGGCCTCCAAAGTCAAAGGATGCTGCTCTGTACATAAACACTCTCTCCATCAAAAACTAGCTTAATAGCTTTTTTAAATGGCCTAGTTTTTACAGAGGTGGCAAATTCCATGGGCTTACCCTTTCAGGCTGCAGGTGAGCTCTCATACAAAGGAATGCTTCTCCATACCACCACCCCACACACGCAAAATGCTTCCCTGATATGCTAGTTTTCTGTGTGCAGGGAATGTTAATTTATTTATTTATTAAGGAGTATTCCAGTATCTGAGGTCCCCACAGACTTTTAAATCCACCTTTGAAAAAGGCAGGTTTCTCCACTTTTTTACTTGCATACCCAGTACTCCCTCCTGTACTTGCGTGTTGTCGTTTCGTTTGATCTGTAAGGAAGAAGGCGGCGCCCGTGATACATAACTGCAGGTAGCTAACTGGAGTGGAACAAATGCCATCTTGTCACAAGGAAGGGTAGCTGATTTGACTGTGTATATCTGTGTCTATAACAGTAATTTAAGGAAGTTACTTGTCTAGCTGGAATAAAACGATCATGGCTTAAAGGCGCTGGCATGTTGGAAGGGAGTGACTATTTCATCGGTCTTTGTTAGTCAGAGCTTTGAGGCGTATGCCCTTTAAGCTGGGAGAGTTTTATGATGTTCCCTGTGAATGAGATTAATGCTGTTGCCTCTGGATCGCAAGGCACTTCCGCAGCCACAGATGTGATTAAAAAAAAATCCCACTGAGTAAACTTTGAAGAAAGCCAGACTCTCTTCTCCGCATGCAAAGCGACAAACAAGTATTGACAGTTACAAGTATTGAAAGTTGCCTCTTTTTCCATGACCTCCAGGAGCAGGGCTTTTGGCAAGCTAAACCATGGTTCTAAGAAACCAGCAAACCCTGGTTATCACTAAGGTTTAAAATGTTATGTCTGCACAGGGCCCTTCTTGGACTATTTTAAACCAGGATAAAGGACTAGCACATCCCTTTTAAAACATAGGTTTCTGATCTGCCACACTGTCCCTTTCCAATCCTTATATCTCTGCATGCTCTTTGCTCCTTGTGTTCTTTATCTCTTTCCCTCTCTTAGGATTGTGAGCTGCCTGGGCAGTGGGCAGGATGGGCTTCACTTTGTTAAACAGCTCATATGTGTAAGGGACCGTATAACCATTGGAATTGGAGAGGACAAGGTTTCAGTTATCCCACTAAACCGTGTTTAAGGAATGTCATTTATGGTTTACTGTGATGTCACGTCAAGCTAGGGTTTTTTGTAGACCGCAAACCAGCGTCAGGATTGTATTATTATTTGTATTATTATTATTTATACCCCATCCATCTGGCAGGGTTGCCCCAGTAACTTGGGCAGCTTCCAACATAATATAAAAACACAACTAAACATCAAGCAATTAATGCTAACCACGGTTTGGTGTGACTGCTGAGCCATAGTTATGGTTCCAACCCCTCTTCCTAGAGGTACCCACATCCTAGAAATGAGAGTGAAGGGAAAATGGAAAGACACAAACTATTCTAAACCACTGTTGTATCTCAAACACTCCACAGATAACACCAAAGGTTGGTTTGTGCTAACCATAGTTTAGGTTCAAGCCAAAAGTGCAAACAAGTAACAGTTTGCATGGTTTTCCCCCTTCCTCAAAAAATCCCCACGTACTGTCCCAAGTAGTGGGCTTGGTGGATGGAGCAATGACCCAAACCATGACTTGTTGCCTAAGATGTAACTCCCAGTTACAGTTTACCCAAGCTCTTGTTTATAAGAGCTTGCTCCACTTCCCAGCTTGGTGGCCACCTGCGTGCCATAATTAGTCATGCAGTTTTGATTCATACATTGCAGCAAGCCATAGTTTGATGTTGCACCTGAATCGTCTTGGAGGCCTGATTCAGGCCTCATGCAAATCTGTAATGGTGGGGAAGCAGATAATGCACAGTTCCTGTTCCTATCAGCCTCTGGGGGGGGGATGATTTGAATTGTTGTCCCAATAACATCTGGAAGGCCACAGGTTCTGTGCCTGTCTGTTCTCCCCACCCGAGTTGGAAAGCTTCTTTTTAAGCAAACCAAAGTTCCCTGGGTCATCTGAACCCCTGGAACTGTGGCTTGTTTAAAATTGGAAGTGAATTCTAGTCTCCTCTTGCTGGCATGTGAAAGGGGAAGGGGAAGCCCAAAGCTTGCTGTGGCTTGTTTAACCTGTTCTAGGTTAAAAATCTAGGAGTGAGGCACAGAAACCTAAAATGAAAAGAAGAAACTTGTTCTGAAAAATACCAACTAGGTGGATTAACTACAGCTCCGCTGTGTTCCTTTAGGAGGAATCTAAAACTTCCAAATTATGTAGGACAGAGTGAAGCATCTTGCACAGTTATTGCTGCCCATCTTGGCACCATTTGAGATGGCTCCTGAAGAAAGGAACCCAGGGTCCAGAAGGCATTGGGCTGTAATAAATCTCTGCAGATGGCACTTCGAAGGAACAGCATTCTTTCCTACTTGAAGCAAGCCAGTATATTTTGGCGCAGTGTCTGAATTGAACCCAAACTGAGCTTGTTTCAAATGCAGGAAGTGAGAGACAAAGGAAGTGGTGCAGTCGAGAGTGTGGTCCTTTCTTTTAGGAGACCGGCGAATTAGATTTATCGCATGTCTGCAAAACTGTTGCTATGAATGGTGTTTGTTTTTAACAAGTAGGGGTGGACTCCTTCAGAAAGGCAATAAAACTGATTCACATCATAGCATACAACAGCTCTGGGCACTGCTTGGCCTGGAAACCCATCTTTTTGCCAGTGCGCTGTTAATAGGGAATGAATTCATCTTCTCGTTGCCATGAAAGCAGCTTTAAATGTTTTAAGTGCGCAAATTGCCGCTCCTAGTTCCTGGGTGTTTGAGCACGGGTGTAATTCTGGGAGCTGTAGCTTCTTTAGAGTGCTTAGAGTTGATAGGAGACCCCTGTTCCCTTTGCAGAACTACAATTCTGAAGGCAGCCCTGTTTAGGGAAGTTTTTAATGACTGATGTTTTAATGTATTTTTAATCTCCTGCTGGAAGCTGCCCAGAATGGCTGGGGAAATCCACCCAGAGGGCCGGGGTATAAGTAAATAATAATAATAGCAATATTAGCAATAATTGTTATTACAGTGGTACCTCAGGTTAAGTACTTAATTCGTTCCGGAGGTCCGTACTTAACCTGAAACTGTTCTTAACCTGAAGCACCACTTTAGCTAATGGGGCCTTCTGCTGCTGCCGCGCTGCTGAAGCACGATTTCTGTTCTCATCCTGAAGCAAAGTTCTTAACCTGAAGCATTTCTGGGTTGGCGGAGTCTGTAACCTGAAGCATATGTAACCTGAGGTACCACTGTATTGCTGCTATTATTATTATTATGACAATTCCCAGAATGGTTTAATCCCTCTTCACAAAAACTCCAAGAATTGTACTTCTGTGAAGGGGAATACAGACCTCATAAGAACCCTTAAGAAACTACAGCACCCAAAATTCTTTGTGGGAAGGCGTGACACACCCAGGTTGCAGGTTCAGTCCCCACATGGGACAGCTGCATAGTCCTGTATTGCAGGAATCAGACTTGGTGATCCGCAGGGTCCCTTCCAACTCTACAATTCTATGATTCTATGGCTGTATAAAGTGGTATGATACGGATTTAAATGCAGAGTGCAGATGGGAGTAGTGAGGGCCAGCAATAACTGTCTGAGCAACTGTGAAAGGGACTCCCGCTTACTGACAGCGGTGACACAGTGCTTGCAAAAGGGTTGGGGTTATTTTATATTTGGCCTCTAGAGTTAACGTATGTGGTTAATGTGACTTGCTGGAATATTACAGCTAGGTAAACATACAGGGTTGCAGGCAGCCAGCTTAAGTTCTGCTCAGAGTAAATCCATTAAAATTAACAGACTTAAATTAGTCATGCCCGTTTGTTTGAGTAGGTCTTCTCCGAGTAGGACTAGCGTTGAATCCAACCTATAATCTCTCCATCAGACTGTGTATAGAAATCATTAGCTATGAAAGAACAGAGGTATTCAAAATCTTTACAGCAAAACGTTCTGGCTTCTGGTGCTCATCACATTAGAGAAGCTGAAGGTGGGTGCCAAAACGTTTTGCTTCAAGATTTTGAATACCTGTTCGTTAGTCACTGTAATAAAGTATATGGTGTTGTTGGTGCTTAATTACATCCTTCCAGGACCCAGAGCAAACCTGTCTGAAGTATGGTGTGATGATGCTTTTAAAAAACTGTGTTGTTGTGTGTCATGCGTAACATTTGACTCCGAAAAGACTGACAACCTGCTCTTTCCTTTCCCTAATTACAGTGCTCTGGAGGCATTATGGCAGCATTATGCTTTTTAGGCTTTTTAGACCATGCCCCAGGTTGAAGCAGAGCTGTAGGCAATCTAAAGCAAATAAATAGGGTGTTTTGTCTCAAGGGGTGTAGGAAAACCTCCCCAGCTTTGGCGCTAAGAGTCCTGTTGAGCCCCCACGAGACTGGTTCAAAAGTTCTGTATTTGTCACCTGCCACCATCTAAGCACATGTCTGACGCGCGTGTCCCCAGGCATGAATGAAGGTGACGTAGAAAAGCTTAGACCTCTTCGTCTCCAAGTGCTGGCAAACCTATTTGCTTGGGTCCAAGTGGGGTGGCAGTAATACGATCAGAATTGTGGGGGGGTTTTCCTGTGAAAATGATCAGGCACTAGATGCTAAAGCTTTGTGGTGTTTGTTGGGCAGGCTGCCATTGACCGCCCTTTGCTTTAATCGCACAGAAGCAAAGTTTGCTATGTAAACAAGTTTTAAGTCCTCCTTATGTCCTCAAGATACAGTCTTACAGGCTTTCCGCTCAACTGCTAGACTCTTGCCAGAGGATACCAAGTTGTTGTTTTCCCTGCATTAAGTTGAAGCTTAAGATTGTAGCCTCTGCGTTCTGTCCCCCCGGGTGCAAAATCCTAATTGAATTATTCTTTTTTCCAATCCTGTCTTTAAATACCCTAAAGCCAATAATCCTAACCAGTGCAACCTGTTTATTTATTTATTTATTTTAGTTTCCCCCGCAGACGACTGCGTTGCTGGATGAACAAAAGGTCTTTGCACTTTGGGAAGCTGGCGACATGTACGATCAGGTAAGCTGGTAATTGGAGCTGTTGCTCCAGCAGAGTCCTGCCTAGAGCGAGGGACATTGGCACCCGGCAGCGTTTACGCATTTGCTCAACCTTCGTCCAGTCAGCAGCAGTGCACTTTCAGCTCATTAGGAAAAAAGACTGGTCCAAGAGGCGGTTTTATCCTCTGGGGCTCAGCGTACCATCCACCCTTGATGATGTGCTGCTTTGATCGTATAATTCCTCCTGGATTAAATGATAATTTTAGGTTATATTTTAGTGACTTAAGTTTTAATTTATATATATTTTTAACTGTTGCTAAATCTGTATTGTCCCTGTTATAAAGGTAAAGGGTAAAGGGACCCCTGACCATTAGGTCCAGTCGTGACTGACTCTGGAGTTGTGGTGCTCATTTCGCTTTATTGGCCGAGGGAGCCGGCGTAGAACTTCCGGGTCATGTGGCCAGCATGACTAAGCCGCTTCTGGCGAACCAGAGCAGCACACGGAAACGCCGTTTACCTTCCCACCGGAGCGGTACCTATTTATCTACTTGCACTTTGATGTGCTTTCAAACTGCTAGGTTGGCAGGAGCAGGGACCGAGCAACGGGAGCTCACCCCGTCGCGGGGATTCGAACCGCCGACCTTCTGATCAGCAAGTCCTAGACTCGTGTGGTTTAACCCACAGCGCCACCCGCGTCCCTGCCCCTGTTATACCCAATTGCAAATTCAAATGTATCCCTATTGTGTTTTATGACTTCCTTGATATTGTATGTGGGCTGGAACTGGCCTTTGACCGAAATAATAAATTCATTCATTCATTCCTCCTGCACAGAAAATATTCGCTCTGCCCCTCAAGCAGAAAGTCATGGGGAAGGGCTGTGACTCACGGGTAGAACGTATTCAAAATCATAATCTGCTTTGCATGCAGAAGGTTTCAGGTTCAAGCATATAAGGCAACTCAGTTGGTTAGAGTGTGGCATTGATAACCCCAAGGTCGCAGGTTCAATTCCCATATGGGACGGCTGCACGTTCCTGCATTGCAGGGGGCTGGTCTAGAGGATCTTCAAGGTCCCTTCCAACTCTGCAATTCTAAGATTATAATCCCAGGCATCTCCAGGCAGGGCTGGGCAAGAACCCTGCATGAAATCCTGGAGAGGAGACAATACTCAGCTAGAGGGGCAGTGGTCTGGCTTGGTGTAAGGCAGCTTCCTGTGTAAGGTCCTAGTTTCAACCCTGGCATTTCCAGTTAAAAGAGCCGGGTGGCAGGTGGTGGAAAAGACCTGAAGGACCCCTGCCAGTCAGGCAGGACGCAGGGAGGCTGGAGTCTGACTTGGGAGAGGGGGGCAGTGGTCTGTGAGGACCTGTGCCAGCCAGGAGGCAAGAATCAGCGGCAGGGGAAGAGTCAGACCTGGAGGAAGAGGAGGAGGAGGAAAAGGCAGGCAAGGCAAGTGCTTCTCCACTCTCCCCTGCACCACTGTCTCCCAGACCCAGGAGAGAATTGAAGTGGGAAGAGCAGAAACAGCTTCCATGTAGGTGTCATGTCTTGCAGTGTGAATGCAGCCCATCAGGGGAAGAAGGAACATAAACTGGTCCAGGGGAGACGTCCCCAGTTGCTGCAACCGCTCCATAAAGCATGGACCTGAAAATAGTTGCCTAGATGCTGTTGTTGTGTTCCAGAGCAGTAGAAGCGACTTGGTTCCCTTTGACAATGAAGAATTAACACTCTGCTGTGTGCATTCCTTGGTTGTGAAGGGCCAAGGATGGTCATACACCCTGGTTGAGCCCTATGGACATTGCATTACTTCACAGTTGGCACAAACCAGGATCTACTTTGAGCCGGACTTCCCAATTCTGACTTTCCAGCTGGTTTCAAATCGTGGTTTGTCCACTTAGGCACCTGTCAAGCCTTGCTGTGAATTTCTGAACTGAACCGCTCTAAAATTAGTGCACTTAAGTTGTTGTTTTTCTCGATCTTGCTCTTCTGATCAGTGCAGTGGGATGAATCCCTTGCAGCCGGCTGAGACTTGGCTAAGTCAGTTGTTTTGCATGATGCACTGAACAGAGCAATCGGTTTCTCGATGCTGATAGACCTTCCTGCTGGTCCGGGATTGATTAGAAGGAATCTGCTGAGAGGGGCAGTTTCTATTCCTAAGTCATCAAAGAGTGGTGCAAATTATACTTATGCCTCTAGGTTTTGTTTTATGCTGACATGAGCTTTTTCTCTCTTGTTTCCCTCTTGTACTAACTTGAAGTTCACTCATTCTCTCTCTTTCTCAAAGCACCGGCAAATTTTGCTCGAAATCTTTTCCAAAAACTACAGAGTGCGCAGAAACGTCATCCAGAATCGGCTGGCCCGGGAATACGGAGAGGAACTAGATAAACAGGAGATCGATAAAATCTTGAAGGTATATATTGAATGGGATGCGTGCAAGCAGTTTTAAAAGGAGACACTCAACGGGCCCCCTGTTAATAGGATCAGTCCCTCTCTAACCCAGGGATGGTAACCTTCCAGGCTTAACTGGACTACGATTCCCATCATCCCTGCCCATTGGCTTTGCAAGCTGGGGCTGATGGGAGCTGAGAGTCCCGCGGCATCTAGAGGTCACCATCCTTGCTCTTAATTCATTTTGCAAATAGAGCTAGAGAGGGAGTAGACAGACTCTGGGAAAGAAGAGAGGTGGTTGGTATTAGGGGTATGAACGTAACATTTGATAGCTGACTTCTGCAGAGTCAAACCATTGGTTCATCTAATAGCTTGGTATTATCTAGGCCATGGGTAGGCAAACTAAGGCCCGGGGGCCGGATCCGGTCCAATCGCCTTCTAAATCCAGCCTGCGGACGGTCTGGGAATCAGTGTGTTTTTACATGAGTAGAATGTGTCCTTTTATTTAAAATGCATCTCTGAGTTATTTGTGGGGCCTGCCTGGTGTTTTTACATGAGCAGAATGTGTGCTTTTATTTAAAATGCATCTCTGGGTTATTAGTGGGGCATAGAAATTTGTTTTTGGTTTGTTTTCAAAATATAGTCCGGCCCTCCACAAGGTCTGAGGGACAGTGGACTGGCCCTCTGCTGAAAAAGTTTGCTGACCCCTGATCTAGGCTGATGGGCAGCTGGCATCCAAAGTGTCCTACTTGTGTCTGGGATTGAACCCATGTGCAATGCATGTGCTCTACTATTCAGATGCAGCCGCTCCCTGAGTATCTCTTCAGAACCTGTCCATTCCCGATTGTAGAGAACAGACCACTACCTGCTCTTTAGATGCAAATTTCTAATGATTTGCTAGAACGTGTTTACACACGTGTGTGTCCAGATACTTGCAGATGCATTGATGTCTGGGTGATAACACACTTAGCTTTATTACTGGATTGCTTTGCTCAAGGCGATTCCCAAAGGCCGCTGCCTTTTAAGTTTACTTTTAATCCATCGCCCTAATTGCATTGCATAACTGACTTACAGCAGGTCTCTACCTGGGGCATCTATATTGCTTAAGCTTTAATTAAAATCACCTTTAAAGATTATTTATTAGATTGGCCAATTAAGCAGCCGAGCAAGGGCCAGCTGTGGTATTGAGGCTGGAAGGTAGTGTTTGAAGCCCTGCAAAGCTTTGAAGTCCCCTTTTTCTCGAGCTGTGACCCTCTTTGCAGAGTGGCTGCTATAGGTGCAGTCAGTTGTGAAATGCTGTTTTATAACAAACTATAAATAGCTACTGTTGGGTGGGAAGAAATAATAATAATAATAATTTATTATTTGTACCCAGCCCCTCTGGCTGGGTTTCCCCAGCCACTCTGGGCGGCTTCCAACAGAGACCAAAAATACACTAAAATGTCACACATTAAAAACTTCCCTGAGCAGGGCTGCCTTCAGATGTCTTCTAAATATCAGGTAGTTGTTTATCTCTTTGACATCTGATGGGAGGGCATTCCACAGGGCGGGTGCCAGTACCGAGAAGGCCCTCTGCCTGGTTTCCTGTAGCTTTGCTTCTCGCAATGAGGGAACCGCCAGAAGGCTCTCGGCACTGGACGTCAGTGTCTGGGCAGAATGATGGGGGTGGAGATGCTCCTTCAGGTATACTGGGCCGAGGCCGTTTAGGGCTTTAAAGGTCAACACCAAAACTTTGAATTGTGCTCAGAAACTTCCGATATTGCAGATTTTTAGTGTATGGTTCTTGGTTTCACGAATTCTTGGAAATCTTGCTGTTCCCATCCCTAGGTAGGCTTTTAATAACCCTGGAGGGTGGGGTCCCATTGATGCCCTCACACCTGTAGAATATTCTCGGAGTTCAGGGACCATTTTCAACCCAAGGACCGCATACACTGCTCTGCAACCTTCTGGGGGCCACATACCGATGGTGGGCAGTGCCAAGGGCAAAAGTAGGTGGAGCAACAAATGTAAATTACCTTCGCTGTCCTTTGTACCTTCTTTCCAGGCAAGCAAGAGGCATTGGAATTCAAGGTCACATTCCAGCCAGGCAAAAACAGAGCAAACAGGGAGAGGCCAGAGGGCCAGATAGAGAGCCCTGGAGGGCCACATTTGGCCCTCAGGTCCAAAGTTGCCTAGCCATATTCCCCCTCACTTCCAAACTTCAGAGGTGAATACCAGTCCTCATATAACCAGAATGGGATATTCCATGGATATATGAGCAGGCTTTGGGGAAAACCCCTAAGGCTTGCACAAATAAGGATCCCCCATCGGCAGAAGCTGAAAGGGCATGCTCAGTGAATGGTCATGCTACGCTGGGCAGGTGGAACAGCATATTCCCAAAAAGGTACAGCTAGCTGGGGGGATTCCTTAACTGGGGTGTGCTATACACTGCAACGTTTTGTTTCAGATCCCAATCTAGTGTCTTAATTTGACCGGTTTTGTTCTCTAGATTTGGGAGCTGTATATAGCACGGGTTGGTGGGGAAGTTGAAAAGGAGACAGGCCAGATGGCTGGATGAGAACTCTGGGAGTGCATGCGCTCTCGCTCTCTTTAATCTGCATTCAGACGGCTAATTAGTTAATTGCACCAATTAGCGGATTCATGCTTTCTGGTCTCTAATAGCGCTTCCAGCCAGGTAACGAGTTGCAATGCTGTGTTGTGATTGTTTCTGTAGGAGGTGGGAAAGGGGTGCCAAATGATTCCCATTGGAAGTGTTACCAGGGCAGGTTGCATTCTCTGAGGATCCTTCTAGTTGCCTAGATTGTATCAACAGAAGTTGGCTGCAGGCACCAAAGCAGTTGCTTTTTCCAGCCAACAGCTCTTCTCTGTGGCTCCCCTGGGTTGCTGCCTCCCTTGAAGCTGCCGCCCTGTTCACCTCATGGGGAACAATGAGGGAAGGTCCTTGGAGTTGTGCAGTTTAGAGGAGCTTGGCAAATAGCAAGGGTGGCAGTGAATTACACACACACACACACACACCATACCTTTTTTTTAACTGCTCAGGGCTGTTGAGAATAATGGCTTCTTTTAGTTTCTCAAAAGTACGTGTTGGAGGCACGTGTTGAGAATCCTGGGTTCGTTGAATGAGCATTGACAATCTAGTTAAACCCGCCATTCCTAACCTTCTGGGGTCCACAGATCCACTTGCAGTGGGTGGGGGGCTGATTTCCTTCGGGTGACTGTGTCAAGCACAGAAAGGACAGCCTCCATTTCTCCTCTAAGGATGTAGAGCTGGGGAAAAGCAGGTATCAAACCCACAGACTAGCCCTCCACTTGAGTTTTAGAGCTGGAAAAGCAGCAGGCAGATTGAAGGTGCTCAGAAGTCCCCCTGATGTTGTGCTGGACAGGGACAGGGCTCAGGTGACCACAGTTTTTGTTGGCTCCCAACATCCGGCAGTTGCTGCCTCTTTACCTATTTTGCATTTCTGCATCCTTGTGAAGTGTGCAAATGGTAAAGCTTTATAAATAAGTTGACACACTTTATTTAAAAAAATGCTATGCAGTGTAGAGTTTGTAATGAAAATGGTAAGAATTACTGTATTCCTTCCCCCACATTCTTGGTATTCTCAACTTAGAGAGGACAATGGCTGCCTGTTCACTCTTCCCTCACCCCTCCACCCCACCTCACTGACCTTAATTCTGGTGGTATGCAATTGGGGGCAGAAATCTTCTGTTGCAAGTCTACTTTAGAAGATTATAACAATACTTCTCAACAGCTTTCCCCTTTCTTCCAGGACTGCTGTGTAAGCCAGGGTGGCATGTGGTATCTTAAAGGGACAGTACAGCAACCAACATCTTGACGAAAGGGGTTTTGCTTTAATCGCATCGGATGAACTCCAGGACTGAAGCGGAAAAGGTGGAACAGGCAGGAAAGCAAAATGATGAGGGGCAGAACCTGTTCTCACAGCCCTATGGATGGATGAAGTTATGGACACGGAGCTGCTCATTTACATGTCTGCATGGCATCCAAAATGCCCGTTCAACACAAAGAGAAAAAATGGATCTTTGCGAGTTGTTAGGTTAATTTGGGATTCCTAATATATTAACTTCTCATCACAAAAAAGGAAAAAACCCCACCTACTGACCCAGATGTTACAGATCATGATCTAATGTTTTATTTTGTAACTAATGCCAATAAATTGCAAGTTTACACTAGATAGTGGGAAATTATTTTTAAAATCCCAAACGTTCTTACTTCTACTTTATCCCCATCCCTTCATTTTTTTGGAAAGCAAGGAACAACCCTACCTCTGGTTCTAGGGAAGATTTGTGGTATTAAATGCTGTCTCAAGTATGAAGCTGCCAATTGTTTCTGGAAATAGGAAGATACATTATGGTTGGGGTGTGTGTTCTTTTTTTGCATAGCTAGCAAATGGTGCCTCAGCTACGTGCAGTTTGAATCACCATACTTGGTGCCAGTACAGAGCCTCCATTGCTTCAGATAAAATTTTACCTTGAAGGTTGACAATAGCATTAGCTTGAGCACCACCACGTTCTACCTTTGCCCTGAAGGTGGGCTTTTCCTATGAATCATAGAATGAAATGCTGTAATAAACTGCAAGTGTAGCTAAATGTAAGGGTTTTCTCTGCTGCTAGTTGGGAAATCTGTCGAGATTTATTCCAGAACAAGTGGGCTTGTTAGCAGCTATGTATTTCATTTTAAATGTATAGGGTCGTTGCTAGTCATCTTTCATACAAAAGGTGCACTCTGTAGTTGTGATTTTAATGATCAATGATAACACAGCTCATCAACCTCCAAAAAAACATTTAGGCGCATGAGCTGGACTGTTCTGAAGTCAATGCAGATGGAGAGACTTTATTCTTTTAAACAGACATTTGCTTAATACAGCAGCAATACCAAGTATACCAGTGATAGACTGAGGCTGCCCAGAATATCCTTCCCCTTAACTACCCCCATAGTTCTAAAGGTATTGAAAAAAGCATTAAGTGGTTTTTCTACATGATTCCAAGCACCTAGTTAGTAATCAACTGGCAAATCTCACTTAAACACAGACATGCACACACAAACTTCAGAAGCTTGTTTGTTGAAGGGATTTATTTGTGATGGGATTAAAAAAAACAAACCAATATTCAGAATAGCTTACAAGTCTTTAAATAAGCTTAAATACAGTTTGGTGGAGTGTGTCCATATCCAGGAAAAACATGTAATTCAAGAACAAGAAGCCATTCCCATTTTACATTGTACATAAGGCAGAGATGTTTGCAATAGCAGCAACCAAGTTAAAGCTGCGATATCCCTTAAGCCGCACATGTTCAGTTTAACTAGTAATGTAATCACAACACTACTGTTGACAGGTACAGTACCTTGTCATCTTATGCAGTACTGGTAAACCCTTCTAAATCCTCAGCTCTGTTACTTATCATCTTTGTGTATTTGAGAGCAACTTTAGGGAACAGAGGTCTGTTCTTAGAGCTATGTGCTCAGTAATAGAAAAGCACTGCAATAAGATTTGCTTTCAAGTTCAACTTGTAAACGCAGAAGATTCTTTTGGGAATAGTTTTGTACAGCCTAGAAAATATGCATAGTAACACCTACCTATTCCTTTTACAGCTTGTTCAAGGTTTTCTAGGCTACATGAAGCCATCCTCCATGTTAAATACAATATTCTTAAGACAAGTGCACAATTACATGCATGTGGTCTTGGCAACAAATGCCATTATTAGCAGCAGAATAGTGTGTTGAACCCATAACCTTCTGCTATAAGACAACACTCTATACATAAAATATACCTCAAAAATACCCCCCCATCACACCGTAGTCCCTTTTACATACAGAACGTTTGCTACTCCAATGACAACTCCATGCATAAGAGGCATGGTCACTGGTTCAGGCAGCTATGATGGGGCCCATCTGATATTCAAAGCATTAATGTTCAAAATCTTACCAATTTAGTCTTAAACTAGATATGTAATAGGGGTGAAAGATCCAGGAAGAGAAGCTTAAGCTGCCAATTCATGTGAAATCAAGGTCCTGCATGAAGAATTCTCTGGCATTTTTCCTTTGATGTGACATTATAATCACTTTACCTCATAAAGTAAGCATTCAGCTCAAGCCTTGTTTAGTTCAAAGTACTTAATGTTTATGCAGTGAGAAATCCTGCCAATAGAATAGCCCAGGCTTCCTCAACCTCAGCCCTCCAGAAGTTTTGAGACTACAATTCCCATCATCCCTGACCATGCCAGCTAGGGATCATGGGAGTTGTAGGCCAAAAACGTCTGGAGGGCCAAGGTTGAGGAAGCCTGGACTAGCCGGACCTATTTAAGATGTTCAGTGAAAAAAACTGCCCATATTACACAGAACAGTGGAAGCAATCTCAGCTCATCTTTTCAGGGGATGAAAGCTTCCAAAACTCCCAACTAGATGCTTGCTTCCAGGAGCAATTTGAACTAGCATACACATAGAACGGATACATACAGAACACTTGTTACCCAAAAGTAGCACACTCAGCAATGGCCACTTCTCTGTTCCAATCATTCCTATAGCAACAATTTCTTCTGAAGACAGCAGCTGTACTTTATTTCCAGAAGAACCAATGTCCACCTGCTCAAGCAAATTAAACCAGTGTTTGATCTCTGCATGGACGTTTCTTGTTAAATTTATTACTTTAAATCACAGGTCTGACAAAAACAAAAAAATATTCGGAGTCAAATATTAAATGCAAGGAGGTTGCCTTTTAAAAATGTACCAGACTTGCAATTTAATTTCATACCATGTTTAATAGCCGAATTGCCATTGTTGAAGATAAACACAACACTACAGAAGAATTTCAACTTTCCAACTCGACCGCAGAAAGAATCCAAAAACTAGACCTCCATAAGTGACAACTCTTTACATGCAGTCACTGGGTGGTTTCCAATTCTCCAAAATACAACTTTTATTACCAGGCATTAGGTGCAGTTAGCAGAGTCACGTAACTGTTTCATTTGCCAATTTAGCATAATCTGCAATGTCCTGAGCAAATCAGTGGCAACAACTGTGTCAAACACACACACACCCAAATCAAGTGGACCCAACCCATCCTACAAGTTCAAAAAGTCAACCTACATATACCCTAGCAGAACAGACATGCAGCAATGTCTCAAGTGAAACATTCAGACAGCTACTTCAAGAACAACGGTTTTCTAAGGTAGTAGTGATGTACAGAAAGTTTGTTAAGGCTGAGAAGGAAAGGATTTATACTTTGCTCGGTGTTCATCTATTTCCTGTTTGGTTTTCTTGATACAACTAAAGATTTCCTTAAAGAGAAGCTTGTATTCGGGTGGAGGGTTTGAAGGCAAGCTGGCTGGGGCTGGGTCAGCATTTGTGGGTTCAGCTTCTCCAACACACGTGTCCAAGGATTTATTCCCCACTCTGACATCTTTGGAATACTGTTTAGAAGTTTGTACAGCTTTATGTTTCAATGACTCCTCATCTAGTTGACACTTCTTCAGGAGGTCTTCATACTTGACCTTCAAAGCGTTATACTGTGCATCAACCTCATTAAGCAGAGAGATGCCCCTTTGCTTTACAGCTTCTGCCCGCCGGATACAGGTTTCTTCATGGCCCTTTATTAGAAGATCCCCACCTGCAACACTGCCAAGGAAGGTCTCGCTGGTGCTTCTTTTGAGTGCCCTTCTGTCGGGTTCTGGGACAGTTAAAAGAACCCCATCAGAAGAGCTCCAATCTGAAGGGCTCTGACTCAGATCTCTCTCTAAAGAATCTTTGAAGGAAATAAAAAAAGACTCTGGAACAAGCTTTTCCACCCCATTAGCAAAGCTGCTTTCAGACTGAAATATCTGCTTCATTTCAGCCACTTCAAACTCAAGCTCTTCAGCTCTGGCTCGGTATAGATCAACATCCACCAACCTCTGCTCAAGATCACAGTTCTCCTTCAGCATGAGATTGTACTCTTCCTCCATCGTCATCCTCTTCTCTTTTTCCATGCTGAGCTGTGCTTGCAAAAGAGTCATTGCCTTTTTTAACCTCTGGTTTTCTTCCTCCAGAGGACTCAGTTGGCTATCCACAGAAGTAATTTTTTCCGCAAAAACATGGTCATAAACAAAATACCTAGACACAAACAACAAGAGCCAATGAAAAGCATTAGTTTGCTCTTCCCAATAACTCGCTTTTTTGTATACAAAGGGTAACTTTATTATCATGGATGAATAAAGCACAGCAGTGTGTGCCAGTTTCTAGACATGAACCCTAAAGTGAAAGAGCTGCCTGTATTAGGTCTCTACAAAAACTAGAGATTGTACCTTGCCTTTGTAAAAGGCTAGAAATACCTAGGTAAGCATTGTAGAGTTAAATCAACAACTTAGATAATTTTCTTCAGAAAGAGGATCTGGGTTGGACAATTTTACGGTTTCCACTGGCCTGAAATTCAGAGAACGCACATCTATATCAACAACTTGTAACAGTCACCATCAAGTCTCCATCCCTATGACTCTCTACCAACCTTCTGAAAGCCATACTGTTTGTAAGGATACAATACCAGTTCTGACATAAGGCAAACACCTTAATGGTTGACCTTAAAGAAAAAGGTCTGTCACTAGTTGGCCTGATGAGAACAGGAAATAGGCTGATTTAGAGACCTTTGAAGGGCTAATGAAAGAGACCTAGATTTCCCAGGATCTTCCTTTACAAAAATTCCCAACATCGTTTTCAACTAAAGTGCAGAAATCAGCCCAAAGTCATCCAGAGCATCAAAAGGTCAGAAAAATATACACACGTGTCTATATATGACAGGTTCACTTAAGAGCTGATGAGGACAGGCCTTCAATAATCTTTGCTTAATCATATGCCATCACTAAACTTGACACATTTCCTAATCAGAATATGCTTGACTTTTTTTTTACTTCTCTACCAAAACTGAACAACATTAAATAACTATTCCACAGAAAAAGACCGCTTTTAAAATGAACTTGAAACTTACTTGCGAAGGTCATACAGTTCCTTCAGACATGCAAAACTATGAACAGATCTTGGATGCTCACACCGTTCACGATTCGCGTACCCTTGCCCAGAATTCTTCAACTCTTCCACTTGTCTCTGGAGATCATCAATATGTGCTTGAAGACTTTCAATAGTCTCAGTAAGGCTGGGGGGGAAATTGCACACACAGAAGTACACAAATTTATCAGCATAAGTCAAGCTTGACACATCAACAATTGTTTAAACTGCAGTTTTCTTTGAGAGATGTTTGTGTTCCAGGATATTGACTCTGGGAGTCAGAAACTCGGTCTTTTGGCTATTACTTGATACCCAAAGTATGATTGGGAGAAGGCATCAGGGTTCATTCTTTTCCCACCACCATCCTGTGGAGGAAAAGCTAACAAGTACCTCCAAGGCTCCATGTCACTTTAACATACGTCTCCCTCACCCAGATAAAGACTCTGCTTTTGTAGTGGATTCCATTTTGCAAATTAGAAAGAAGCTATATTCAAACAAGGACGGAATCTTTCAGTTCAGCTGTTAACTTAATGAAAGTGGTGGCGGGAGGGATATAGGAGGACACAGGGAGAAAAGTCAGTACCTATTCCCAACCTCAGCCCAGGCAGAATCCAGGAGGGTCAAGCAACAGTTGAATTATACAGACATCGTTGGAGTAAAATATGCATTATTATATATATGGTGCACATTAAGGAAGGGAAACAGTGTGCCACAGGAGCATATTACCTTATTATCTTTTGCTGTGAGGCTCTACTGTCAAAAACTAGCTTTTGATTAGCATCCTCCAGTTCTCTGGCAGTGACATCAAGCTGTTCGTAAACTTTGGCATGTTGATCATTCATTTGACGCAGAAGTTCCACCTGCTTTGTAAGATACTACAAAATAATGTACAGTTAATGTTGCAAATGTAATTAAAGAACGGTTCCACAACCAGCAGTTGAAATTGCATTATTTTTGCTGCTTTCCTTTGTAATCTCAAGCAATGATAGTTAAGAAGATTAGCATGACGATACTGAAGTACATACGCTTTCTTCTTATCTCAAATGAGAGGCACTATGCAACTAACCTTTTTCAAACAACTTAGGCCAGAGTAATCCCTCAGACCGCTAAAGGTCTCTGCAGGAGTAAACACACAGCTCTCCCATTTTAACTCTCCAAGCACACAAGTCATGGTAAAGTTACGTAACAAGGAAGATAAAATTAGGCCTAGAATTCAACATAGTTGAATGGCCCAACAGGCTTTCTATCTCAAACATGACCCCCCCCCTTCTCTCCACCATGGCAAATCACTTTGGAAAGTGATGGGAGCATAAAGTTTGAGACTGACTAATCTCTTGTTCAAAGTGAAACACTCCACTGGGCATGCTTAACCCTTAGGCACACTTGAAGGAGAGCTTTAGATTTTGACTTAAGGGTTTATTTCTAAAACTACAGACCCTTTCAAGAAGCTGAAAAGACACAATGGGTAAATAGGGCAACACTGCACAGCATATCTTGTCAGCTGATAGTGAGTTCCTACTTTCCCCTTTATAAATTGAGTTACTCTTGCAATCCCCATCAAGGGGCTCCTGTTTTAAATCTATATTAAATGTTTAGTGCAAGCCTCTTTATTCAAGAAATATAACAGGTGGTTTATTTTTAAAGCTGTGAAAACTACTTTCAGAAAGCCTAGGCTAAGAGGTGTCCGGCATAAGAATACTAAACCATTAACTTTAAGCTGCTTTGCAAGAGAGGCAAACTCTGGATTTCCGCCTCAAACGCTATTCAGTCGCATGCTCCCAACTATGAGAAACAGAAATGCAGTAAAATGACTTGAGATCACTGGTGAGAACAGTTCCATTTAGCATATTTCAAGTGAATCAATATGCCAAAGAAGTTGCACAGGAAGAATTATGATAACTGAATGCTGGAATTTTGTACACATTGCTAATACATGAATCTTTCGGAGAACCTGAAGTTTAAAGCCACTACTCTAAGTAGCCTAGTAGCCTATTGATTATATAATCAAATCTTCTGTACTGGAATCTTTTTATTTCCCTCATTAAAATGATTGATAGGCTTACATTTTGAGAAGTCTAAAGCAGGATTACAAGTTAATCTAGTACCACCCGCAACCTTTACCCTATTAGAATCAATTAGACATATTACCTGTTGCAATTTATAGTCAGCCTGCGAGCAACACAGTTTAGCCAAGGTTAGCATTAGCCTGAATCTCAGTGTAAACATGAACCAGATTAATTCTGTCTGCTATTCTGAAAGCAAGCTGAAGATCTTGTTATAATAAAGCTCTGCCAGCTAAAATGGCATCTACAATGTCATGTTATCAGAAACATGGAGAGGAAGCTTTCAAATTGATCAGAGCCAACTTGTAGTTGAGAGTGCAACTAGCAATGCCATCTTGTATATTTTTGCTTAGAAGAAAGCCCCACTGAAATCATTAAGAGTTATTCCCAGGTAAACTGGCAAGGTTGCCACCAAAACCATTTAAAACATGTTTTATGTACAACTTCAAATGAAGTACACATAGATGCTCCACACCAGCTTTCCTCAACCTTTTGCCTTCCACATGTTTTGGACTTACATTCCCATCAGCTCTGACCAGTGGTCAGAGACGATAGTTGTGGTCCAGCAACATCCAGAAGGCACCAGATTGGAACTTTATTCTGTACTCTTCTCATTCTGCAAACTTCCATACTCTAGAGGAGCCACATACTCCTTCAGCAGAAGCAGATTTGCACCCTTGGTTGGTAGATACAAAAAGCTGAATCCATGTAATTGAACAGAAAACACCGCCCTCAATTGCAAAGCCTTTTACTGGGGGAACAGGCAAACTGTTGTGTTTATTTGGTACATTCATATTCTATTTTTAATTTTTAATTTTTTAACTATTATTATTATTAATTGAATTTATATACCGCCCTATAACTGGAGGTCTCAGGGCAGTTCACATAATAAAATCAAAACATAAAACCACAAAATACATAATCAAAATAAAAACAACCACCCAATACCCCCCCAAAAAAACCCACATTTTAAAAGAGCATTCTACCCATTAGTTCTACAATTCCCATGTAGAAGTTAAACATAAAAAAATTAAACATAGAAACCAAATTGATAGGCACTGAACACTACAGCTAACTTCAATAGCTGGTGTCCTTTATATTTATCTGTTTTTAAAAATGCATTCATACACCAACATGTTATATCTCCCCTAGAGATAGAAAAAAGGAAGGAACAGGAAAATCCTCAGTGCCTTGTACACATCGAGCCTAAGATTAGCAATATTAAATATTTGGCTTTCATGTGTTCAAACACTTCACTTCCATTATCTTGCAGTAATTCTAACCATGACCCCATAAGGAGTAACCTAATATTGCAGGTAGGCAATGGGGCCATGTGAAAGCTTGCCTGGGGCATCTGTGAGTTCATGGCTGAAGATTCAAATAGAGCACTTTCTGGTTGGAAGTACAGTCACTGCTCTAGGCCAGAATAATGGGCATATAGCCTTTGGGCTGTACATTATTGCTCACTTGCACCCAATGTGAAGCTGTTACCTCTATCTCCTGCAGTTGCTCTTGATTGGTGGAATACATCTGCTGCAGGGATGTCTCCAACTCTGTGTTCCGATCCAGGAGCGTCTTCCCAAGCTCAGCAGCAAGATGGAGATCTAAAATGAGTTGTGTGTATTTAAACTGGTGCAATGGCTACTGTGTTTTTCAAGGACAAACTTTGGTAACAATGGTTACGGCACTTTTTAAAAAACAACAACAATCCTACAATTCCTAAGAACAACTAATCACAGCTCACATTTTTCCGTGTTTGTGTGTGTGTGTGTGTACTTTATGGATGCTAGAGTTCTGTCCATCTCTTAGAATCATAGAATCATAGAGTTGGAAGAGACCACAAGGGCCATCGAGTCCAACCCCCTGCCAAGCAGGAAACACCATCAGAGCACTCCTGACATATGGTTGTCAAGCCTCTGCTTAAAAACCTCCAAAGGAGAAATTAGTGATGCCCTCCTAGGACTTGCCTATTTCAAGTCATACAGTTTGAAAAGCAGATGCTTCAAGTACTCTACCCAATTTCCTACCTGTGTTCTAGTGCACTAAGGTGCCACCTGACCACTAAGTTTTCAAGTTCAGGTATAGAGCTGTAGTGATGAGGTACAGGTATCAGAGAATGCATGTTATTTAAAAACAGGTCAACTTCTGTTGATACTAAAGGCTTACAAGTTCCAACATGCTGAAATTCAACAGATTCTTAAAACCTGCACACCCTAAATACTATCATGAGATGTCAGTAAAATCAAAATCTGTCATTTTAGCCATTTATCAAGCTCAAGAGCACTCCCTGCCATCAGCACCCCTTTTCCAACTGTGAGAGCTTACATATATTCATGCTGCCTGTCTGTGATGTGTCAAGAATCTTGTATAACCCTTAAAGATGAGTTTTGCTTAGATATCATGCTATTTGTCAACATGACATTTCTCCAATTCATTTTTGAAGCGGTGCTCCCTTGAACAGCATCACCTAAGCCCACAGTTTGTACTATTTCATACACATTTTTATCCTTTTTTGTTTCCAGTTTTTAAAAACATTTAATAACTAATATGCACATTTGAAGAAGAAGAAGAGGAGTTTGGATTTGATATCCCGCTTTATCACTATCCGAAGGAGTCTCAAAGCAGCTAACATTCTCCTTTCCCTTCCTCCCCCACAACAGACACTCTGTGAGGTGAGCGGGGCTGAGACTTCAGAGAAGTGTGACTAGCCCAAGGTCACCCAGCAGCTGCATGTGGAGGAGTGGAGACACAAACCTGGTTCCCCAGATTATGAGACTACCGCTCTTAACCACACTGGCTTCTCCTAGCAGTATTTGCAACACTTAAAAGCAGATAATTTGCAACTGTCTGAACAAGTTATTCTGGTTACCAAGTGCTTAGAATACACAATTTTATTTAATGCTTTTCCTTCACAGCTACATAGATCAGCATCTTAAAATATATCAGGAAGAACTCACAGACTTAACAAGTTGCCTTCTCCTATGCCAAGTTAGCTTTTTAAGTAACAAGTGACCATTTTTTGCTCTACGTCAAAGTTAAACTAAAATATATCCAAGCTAGAATTCAACACAATCCTCTAACAATTTCTGGAACTGCCATGAAGACAGCTGTTATCAGGTTTGGAGGAGAAAATGAAGAAAAATGCAGAACCTCTGTTTAAATGCCACCCAGAAGAGTGGCAATACAAGGAAACTTGATTAATACTTGAGACACAACCTTCCTAATCCATTACTCAACCATAAAATGCATTTGCCTATGCTTAACAGTCCAAAGTTCAGTTACTCCATCACTAACAATTTCCTGAACGTGGTATTAGTTTCCCTACAAAGCTGCATTCAAAAATTAAACAGCAACAGGACAACAATCCCATTTCAACTCTCATTTTCTACATCCATCGTACTGCTAGATCTATGACAACACTGCCACACACATGCATAGTGTAAGCAAGTGCGCAATCACTGTCACACCCATGCAGAGCCAGTGTCGTGAAGTGGTTAGAGTGCTGGACTAGAATATGGGAGTCCAGAGTTCAAAACCCCATTCAGCCATGAAGCTCACCAGGTGACCTTGAGCCAGTCACTCTCTTTCAGTCTATCCTACCTCACAGAACTGTTGTGAGGATAAAATGGAGAGGGCGGGGGGAAACAACCATGTATGCTACCTTGAGTGCTTTGGAAGAGAGAAGGAACAGAAATGTAATTTTAAAAATGCACACTGGGGATGTAACTGTTAAAAGTTTAGATCTGGAGCAACCACTGGGAATCTGTGACCCTCCAGGTTCGTTTATTTCATGAAATTCATATACCTTTCTACATGACTCTCAAGATTCTCCCTAGGCCTTGCCCCCTCACCTTCCTCAAATGCTTTTTTTGCCTGGGTGGAATATGCCCTTGATTTGTGTATAGCTGGAATGTGAAGTTAAGAGTAACCTACTGCTTCACTCACTTTCCCCTCTGTCCCAACAGTGGCAAGCAGCCCCCTCCCGAAGGTCCCCCATGGGGGAATGTGGTACTCTGGATGAAAAAGGTTTCTCACTCCCGTTCTGAATGCTTGATAAAATGATATCTTTAATAACGATTCCATCACAACAGATGTTATACCAGCTGGCCTGCAGTTCCCTTGATTTCTTTTTAAAAATCAGTGTTCTATTGGCTGCTTTCCAGTCCTCTAGTACAGAGGTCAACCTTAGGGACACGTTACATATTTTTGCTATACAGTCAGCAATTTCATATTGGAGTTCTTTAACTCTAGATGCCAGACAGACAGACTTGTTAATTTTTAATTTATCCATGACATCAAAGAACTTCGTCTCTTGTCACCACTGTTCACTTGAATTCTCCACACGCTCCACCTGCAAAACTACCGTAAGTTCAGGCATCTACATCTTCTGCAATCATAGTAAGGAAGCCATCACTGAGACTAAACAAGGAATGCTTCTGGAAATTAAAGCCTCTTTGCAAGTTTATATTTCTCCACCAACATCTTTAGTGCCTGGAGAATTACCAGTTTTGCAATTTGTCATTCCAACTAGATTAAACAGTATTGAAGCAGCAAGGCACAGTATGCTGCCTGAGGCTGCAAAATGAATCATAAATGCCACATTCCAAATATTGAAATGCATTAGCAGTATAATAGAGGGGAGACTGAAGCTGTTCAAGACAACTGCTTAGATAATGAGACATTATAAATCATTTGTCCACATGGTGCAAGACAAAAATTACAAAGCTTAAGGCAAAGTTATATGTGTTTATTGAAATCTTCCACTGAAGAGACAAAAGCATTTATTTTAACTTTTTTAAAAATTAGTAATACTTTGAACTGGAAATTTCAAACAATGGAAAATCATTTAAGTGTCTCAGAAACTTAACACTTTGGGTGTGGGTGTGTGTTTTCTAAATCACACCTTCCCTTTTCCACAGCTTGAAAATGTCAATTTAAAATTGAATGTTGGCAGAAGAATGGTTAATTGACTGCAATAATGCAATAAAGTTGGACTGTCAATGCAAGAATAACAAAGCTGACTTATTAAAGGAGCTACATATTCAAACAGTTGTATAACAATGCAGTGAGCAAGAGCTTTGAATATATAAACACATCTCAGACGTGCCTTTGACTGTCCCCATTTCCTGGCTATTTCGAGGTTTTTAAACTGGGTAATACAAGTCCTAGATACTATCTGAAGAAAGAGCTCTATTTTTAAACACACTGCAGTTTATTGGCTTATGTAGAAGTAATGTCTGTTGAAGTTACTGAAACTACAAGAAATGCTGTTACGGGAGCAAGAATACATATATCACATCAGCTTCTGCACAAACCAATATAACACAGAACAAAAAATAAAAATTGGAGAATTTCAACAGTTACACTTCTAGCATCCAAAGGTGAATTATGTGACACCCTCAGCTTCCTAGATACAAGTCAGAGTCTTAATTCTTGGTCCCTGAAAAAGCCAAGCAGAGCTGTACTGTAAAATATTGGCTGCTTTTACCATAAGAAAGGCACTCTTTCTACCTCTGTACCCCACAAGCCTCCTCCAGACTGCATACCAAACTCATTTTTCTTCTATGCATACCCTACTCAGCAGCAAAATCATGTCGTTGCCAGCTTTATGGCACATCTTATAGCACAACCTGCTTTATTCCTTGAAAAGCTATTTATTCTAAATACGAATACATGGGCACCTGTAGTTTTTAATATTTAGGATGCAAGAACAGGGTCTGAATCTTTCTATGGCTTACTTAGTCTCACTGAAGTAAGTAGTGCTAGAGTAAAATCTTGAAGGTCTTCCACCAACTGAATTTCTCCAGTTTAATTTATATTCGTTAACCTAGAATAACTCATACCCCAATTTGATCATGAATTCAGACTAGAACCAGTGCTTATCGCAAATGTGCATTAAATGGTGGGAAAACTGCATGTTTAATTTCACTAGTCTGTAAAGAGCTTTCCAGAAATCTAATTACATACTGTACATGTTTATTTGGAAGTTAAATTTCACCATGTTCAAAGGGCTTATGAGCCTTTTAGGCACCTTCACTCTTGAGAAAGTCCCACTGGAGTCTGAAGGATTCAATTTCCTAATAAAACTTGTAAGGAATTGGCCTGTACCTATATCTTTAGAAGAATCTAAACAGATTTAAATGCCCCTGAGCACACATAAGATACAGATACTTTTTTATGCAACCACAGACCAAACAAAATAAAACCAACAACTGTACAAGTAAAATACAATTGCCTACAAAATCCATTAAAGTGGTTTCCAATGCTGGGCACGCATTTTGAGAACCATGCCTTCCTGACTTTCCATGGTCCTCTCCCCTCATCATGCATCCTCAATGCGTATTCCACAAGTTGTCTTGTCACAATTCCAGTTCCTCCCCCCACAAATAGTTGTAACTGGTGTCCCCAAATCCCCATTACTCTTCCCCAGACCACCGTCAAGTAACTTCTCTCTTCCTAAGTGTTCTTCCAATTGGACTTCAGTCACCCTCAAGCCACTCTTACTACCTCCCAAGCCTCTACCCCTACATCCCTGTTTTTGTTACTTTCTCCCTTTAAGTTCTCATTACTTCTTCCCCCCCTCTCCTTCTCTAGCCCCTTTGGTGTGCTTTTATTATGCCACAAATCACATTTTGGGGTCTAAATGACTAGGGATACTCACTTATGGTGGAGATAAATAATTAAAGCTGAATATAAAATGTGCTTTGATGATGACAAAAGATATGACGGGCGGGGGAACTAAACCCATTAAGCTGATGGGTGAGGGATGGGGTGACAAAGAACTAAGCCTGTGATCCTAACCATGTGTACTCAGAAGTCCTAATGAATTCAGTGGGGCTTATTCCCTAAATCACGAAAAGGTGCAGGTGAAAAGCTTGAGATGAATGATGAGGGATACACCCTATAGATGAGCTAGTTGGGCGGGAGAAAAAGCCATGAGCAGGTGAGCATGAAAGGCATGATAGAAATACTTATTTGAGACCAAAAGAAAAGAAAACAAGAAGAGATAAACTATGACTGTGTGAAATAAAGGAAAGACAAGCAGGGACCTATTGCTGCCAATATCCATTAATTGCCCTTTGCTACTGAGAGGCAGCTTGGTGTAGTGGTTAAAGTCCAAGCTTTCTCCAACTTGGGTCTCTAGAGGTTGCTGGACAACAGTTCCCATCATTTCCAGCCAGCATGGCCAGTGGTCAGGGGTGATGGGTGAAGAACATCTGGTGAACCATGGTTGAGAAAAGCTGGGTTAGACTGCTGGACCAGAACCAGTAGAAAGGGATTTGTAATCCCCACTCAGCCATGAAGCTTCCTGGGAGACCTTGAGCCAGTCACTCCCTCTCAACCTAACCTCCTTCACAGGATTGTTGTGAGCGGTGCTTTTTTCTGGGCGACTTTTTTCTAAGTTTGGCCTCATTGAGGGCATTCTTTCAATAGGAGAAGGAAAATGAGAGTACCCCCAACAGTTTTTTTGAAAAATAGCACTGGTTGTGAGAATGAAATGGGGAGGAGGAAAACTTATGTATATTACCACCATTTCATATTTATTCTTATCCCACCAAAGCGCCTTACCGCTAAAATAGAAACGTAGAATCCAATCATTAAAAAAACATGGTATCCCCTTCCGCTCTTTGAAGGAAAAGCGGGACACAGTACTGTATAAAGAAAGAAACGGGCGGACACAGGCTGTGCTTTTTACATCCCACCGCCAGCCTTTAACGCCAGCCTTCGCTCTTCTTTCGCCTGGGCGCCCGGCGTCTTCTCCACACGGGCGTGCCCCACGCGCATATACCTGCGACACGTGAGGATGGATCTCCGCGCTTCTGAAACCCGCTAGTCCTCAGTGAGGCGCCACAAGGCTCTTCACTTATTCGAAAAATTAAAGAAAAACGGTCTCCTCGACCGTTTCATAGGCTCTCTCCTCTCTTTCCCGCAGTTTCCACCTCGGCTCCCCTCAGCCATTGTCTTCCCCCCCTCCATTGTCCCAGTCCCACCTTCTTCCCTCTCCGGCGGCTTCTCCTCGCCGCCTCTTTCCCAGCCTCCTGACCCACCCGCAGCCCCTCTGGACCCTCGGCCGAGCCGCTCCTCCGCCGCCGCCGCCCTCACCTTGCTGCAGGTCCTGCTGGTCGTACCACGGCTCATCCTCGCGGATCTCGAACTCCTCCACCAAACTGTCGGTGAGCATCGCGGAGCCGCCCTCGCCCTGGCTTCCCAACCGGAGAAGTAGCGCCGCGAGCCTCCCGGGACCGATGCCCGCTCCTCGCCGCGCCTCTTTATCCCCTGCCCGCCCGCGCTTCGCCTCAGCAGAGCGCTCCGCTCGCCGCCGTTTAAACCCGCTTCCGAACTTTCCCGAGCGCTTCCGGACTGCGCCGAACACCCCTCCCGACCAAGCCCGGCATCACAGCCGAAGGGGAAAGCGGGGGGCGGGGGGGAAGGACGCCGAACAAGGAGACGGGCGGCTGTTAGCAGAGCAACGTGGCAAGAGGCTGGGGCGGTAGCGATTCAAAACACGGAGTCAGCCGGAGCCCACCCTGAGAAGAGCCAATGGCCGGCCGGCGTCCGCGGCTCCTCTGGCTTATCCCGTGCGGGCCGCTCCCGGTTTGGCCAATGGGGTGGAAAAGGCGGGGCCAGGCTCGAAGGCGAAGACCCGCCCTCCGAGTATTTCTGAGCGGCCCAAGCGCGAAGGCTTGGTTAGTATACGCGGGTCGGAGGGGGGAGGAGGGTCGGGTTGGGGTGGTTGCTACGAGGCGCGCGCGAAGCGGGTTGCTAGGGAGGACGGGCAGGCGGGGTCCGGGCGCGGTGGGCTTGAGGGGGGGCGATGCTGTGCACCCTTACCTGCGAGTAGACCGCGTGCACCACGGTGCGGCTTACCGTCGGGTAAGGATTTCGTGTGGTTTTCAGAGCTGTGGGGGAAATGGACGCCTTTGGTCGGGCTCCGGAGTAGGGCTCTCTTATCAAATACCGTTGAGGAAATAAGCCTTGCAACCCCCCCCCCCAAAAAACCCCAACAACCTCGTCACATATTTTTGGAGAGGACCTAACTAAAATTGCATTATAAAATGTTTGAGGAGGTTATGTGGTGTCCTCTTGTATCTGTTTAGTCGGAAGTAAGTCCCAGTAGGGCTTTACTCCCTCGTAAATTAAGATTTAAATAAATACATTTAGGGCCTAGGCGTCACAAGGTAGCTCACACAACAAAATTCTCAAAGCCTGTTAACAAAAGAGCAGCTTAAAAACAAGGCCAGAGGAGCTCTGTTTAAAAATGTTCATAGAGGTTTTAAAGCAACTCAGCACTGGAGCTTCAGAAATGGAAGAAAAACAAGAGTGTTGTATTTTCAGAAACAGCCTTATGATAGAAATGCAAAATAGATTGCTTTCCTTGAAGTAGCCAGATAATGCTGTTTTGAATTGTGGGTGCCTGGTTCTCCTAAATTCCTGAGTTTGATAGGTGTTAGAACTTAATCAGTGCTTGGAGTGTTAAAAAGGCTGACAGACAGTGGAGTTAGCAATATTAAAATACAGGCCAAACCAGCTTCCAGGTCAGGAAACCACCTGGGAAATTAGTTAAAGACAAAGGAAAGGCAACGGCCATTAGAAATGTAAGAGAGACAAGACTCTGGGCCAACCAGCAAACAGGCAGAGCCACACCCAGAACTCCGAGATAGTTAGCTGAAACAGAATAGTTGCAGTCTGTAAAGTGTGGCAAGATGGAGAAAGGGCGAGCCTTGGCTGGTGTCTTTTTTAATCCTAGGCTGTTGTGGCTATGGGAGAAGCCATAACCTCTTGGAGTGTAATGCTGGGAGCCCTCCATTTCAGGCTCAGGTTGTATATACGTATAAATAAACCATATATCATAAAGACACCACAGTCCCTGCTTTTCCTCATTTCCAGACCCTGGAACCCTTGGGATATCACACAGCTTGGAGATTGGGGAGGTGTGTAACAATACAATTACTGTAATTGCTTTTTGAAATGGACTGTCAAGTCCCACTTGTAGATCACAAATAGATTTTAAGTTACAGAAAGTAAAGAGTTGGCAATAGTGAACAGTTCTCCAAATGGAGAAAATGGAGTCTCTTTAGGATGGGTATTGGAACAGTGAAGCGACTACATCTTCCCACAGGCGTCTTGTGGGCCACTGTGAGAAACAGGATCCTGGCCTGACGCAGCAGTTCTTATGTTCACTGCTGCTACAATAAATGTTAAGTTTTAAGGTACTGCAAGATTCATAAAACAACTGTCCCTTTTGTTAGAGACAGCTTGTGAATCAGGGTAGCCATATTAAAGGAGAAGAGGAGAGGGGCCTCCTGTATCTTTGATAATTGAGTAGAACAGGGAATCACGGCAGGACAAGCTGCACCTGTCAAGCTTTCCTCTTGTATGCAGCTATTAATGGGCAACCTTTGTACCTTCAGGTGTTGTTTGATTCCCATAATTCCTGACCATTGGCTGTGCTGGTTGGGGCTGATAGAGGAGCTGGAGTCCCAACAGTTTCTGAAGGGCCGCAGCTCCCGCCGCCCCTGTATTTAAAGGTTAACGGCAACCTTTTTATTCTGAGAGGGGGCAGCCACACCTCCTTACAGCAGAAACAGCAACAAAAAATTGGCATTTCAAAAACTGGGGAATGTGTTTGAATCATAAGCTTTTACTGGATTAGAGGTCACCTTCAAATAATTGCATTCTTCAGTTTTTATATTTAAATTGCTTTTTCCTGATGAAATTATTTGAACTATTCAGGACTTTTCTGCCATATGTAAATAGCTTTAAGTAGAGTTCCTTCATCTTTCCAGTGACGTTGGAGGCTTCTGCTATTCATACTTTTTGTACAAGCCCTTGTTTTATACAATACATACTGTGGCATTATCAAAAGACAGAGTTTGAGTATAATGGAGGTTACAGAGAAAACCTGACTAGTGATCACTGTTCCTTGTGTTGATTATAATGCCATTCATGCTTACCTCAGGCATCTGTTTAAATGGAGGAATCAATTTACTTTAATCAATGTCATTATATGTCTACTTCATCTGTTGGAGCTAAATATTGATAAAGGTCACCTTTGCCATCCGATTAACTGTTTTTAGATTGCTGTTTCACCATTCTATTCAAGCGTTTCTAACAGTTTGTTTTATGGTTCAGGTGGATTCAGTATCCCAGTTTTTGTTACAGTATCCTAAAAAAAGATACATTGTTACTCCATCTTCTCCCCCACCCACTGCCCCAGATAGGTGGTGTGAGAGAGAGGGAGAGGCGTTCCCCTTTTAGTTTCACCTTCCATGATTATTATTTTTTTACTGGGAGACGTTACTGAAGAGACTACCACCAGAAAGCATTTAACTACACAGATATGGGATAGAAGGGTTTGATCCTGTTCTTGTCAATTGTAAAGTGGAAGCTGTGAGGGCAAAATATTTATCACAGTGTGAGACAAGGATAAATAGATGAGAAAATGTTGCCCTCTTGTGGATCATGCGAAGCGACTAATCACACATAGATTTATGTCCTTTGACAATATTCATCTTAATCCATGGAAGGCATTTTGCATTTACGGATATTAACCAGGAAAAATAAAAACAGGTTTTTTTACTAGATTTGGAGTGGTCATCTTTGTAACTTTCAAAATAATCAAATTTTGGCAACTGCAAAAAACCAAATGTAAAGCTTAAGATTTAAAAAATACTATGTATATATTCCATCACTTTAATTTTGCCTTGTACCTTTCTTCTGTTCACTCCTTGTGTGCAGGCATATACACATCCATCTCATGACAAAATTATTCCTAAAGGGCATTTCTTATTTTTCACAAAATCGTGGTTAATAGACTCAGAATATGAATCCATATCTAACAGTGACTGCCCTCTTAAAGCTGCATTGGAAATGTGGTAATGCTCACAGTTAAATTTGCAAATAAAAATGGAAAACTCTCTTCCATACAGCAGTAGATCACACAAAAGTGTTTCAGTTTATTAGGTGCAACTATTCAGCAGCAGAACAGGGATAGACTCTCCATAAGTTGTTTGACTACTCCCAATGGCTTTAGCTGGCAGGACCATGGTCAAGGATAATGAGAGTTGTTCTCTATCATCTGGAGCTCCTTGGGTCCTCTATCCCTGAAGCAGAGCCATTTGTGACGCTATAGTTTTAAACTGAACAAAAGAGCCCTGCTGGATCAGACCAAAGGCCCATTTCGTCCAGCATCTTGTTCTCACAGTGGCCAGCCAAATGTCTCTGGGAAGCTTCCAAAGGGGACTTGAATACAGCAGTACTCTCCCCACTTGGGATTCCCAGCGCTAGTGTTTACATAGAGACAATGGAATTGCACATAGCCTGTAGTTACCCATAGGCTTACCTGCTATGGATTTGTCTAATTCCCTTTTCAAGTCATTTAACATGAGCAGCAGGCTTGAGGTATATGATCCGCAAGCTGATTTCCAACTCTAAAATTCTGTTGTTCTATGTAAATGCTTTAGATAATCTGCAATTTGCCTTTCTGTTTCCTATAATAAAGTGTCCAGTCATGTGCCATATACTATAGTGTTGCTTCCAGTATTGTGATTTTGTTGTTTGCTGTTTTCCTCCTCGCAGTCCTACAAACATTGCACAGATATGCAAATGCCAGAAAATTATCCAACTTTTCATTGGAATGAAACTACAAAAATCTATACAGTATAATACATCCGAAGGCAAAAACTGGAACTGTAACAGCCTGTAACTGTTTTATCATATTATTATTTACCTCCTAGGGGAAGAAAAATACCACTGTGGAAAAATGAAGTTTTTTTCAAGAATTCATCCAAATGCCCTGGCATACTCAATGACGACTTTAGGTGCTGGGATGATGAACAGCATATTTAATTTTTATTATGTTAAACTCTTTTTAAACAAATACAAGATATCTGAAGCAGCATTCCATCAAGCACAGGTACAGTCAATGCCAACATTAGTTTTTCTGTTGTTTGGGGGTGTTTCCCAGGTCATTATTTTGAATACAGAATTAGCAGTGTCTTTTATTTAATGTAAGCAATTTCTATACTGCTTTTCAAGTCCTCCCAAGGCAGCATGCAGTAAAAAAAGTCACAGCAAAACAATGAAACCATTAATACCGTATTTTTCGCCCCATAGGACGCACCTAGTTTTTTGGGGGGGGGGGAATAAAGGGAAAAAAATTATTTCCCCCCCCAGGCGCGGGGGCTGGCACGGGGGAAGCCTGAGATTCCCCAGCCCCCAGAACAGGCTGCCGCCCCAAGACTTGCGCGCGAGGCTTATGGACATCTGCCTGAAGCAAAGGGCGGGCTCCGCAGCTGGCCCCCTGCTTTGGGCTGCAGGCTGCCGCTTCAAGCCTCGCGCGCCCGGCGGGACCTCCCACCGGGCACGCGAGGCTTGCGGACATCTGCCCGAAGCAGGGGGCGGGCTCCGCAGCTTGCCCCCTGCCTCGGGCTGCAGGCTGCTGCCCGCAAGCCTTGCGCGCCCGGCGGGACCTCCCGCCGGGCACGTGAGGCTTGCAGATAGCTTCCTGAAGCCTGGAGAGCGAGAGGGGTCGGTGCGCACCGACGCCTCTCGCTCTCAAGGCTTCAGCGAAAGCCTGCATTCGCCCCATAGGACGCACACACATTTCCCCTTCATTTTTGGAGGGGAAAAAGTGTGTCCTATAGGGCGAAAAATACGGTAATTACCAGCACAATTGAAATGAATATGTTATTTTAATCAATAAAAACAAACCAGCAGCAGATTAAACCATATAAAACACCACTGTCTGCTCCCTCATTGCCAGCTCAGGATACTAGCTATCCTAATTCGACTAAATGAAAAGCTGGTTGGAAAATAAAAGTTTTATGGCTTTCCTAAAAGAAATCAAGGACACTACTGTAATTCATTACTGTTTGTATGGTTATGTGTTAGTTTGTGTTATGTATTCAGTGGTGTGGGCCTCAGAGGTGGCCTCTTCAGCCGAGAATTGTTGATAATGCCTTGTTGAGGGTGCACTTAAGGGAAATGACAATTGGGGTCTCCCATCAAGTGTGCAGAACTGGCTCGAGGAGCCCTTGTTCAATGAGGTGATCCAGCTCTGCATCGATCTTAGGCTTCAGGGCGAATGGCACCCGCCAAGCCTTCATGCGGATTGGTACTACAGCTGGGTTGAGGCTCAGTGCAACCGGTGGATCCTGAAATGTTCTGTGATTGGGTATCATGTATTGAATCAGAACACGGGGGCTCATAATCCTTAGTCCAAAACTCAAGCTCAGGCCAACACAGATCACTGAATACATAACACCTTGTACATATGTTTATGATAAAAAAATATAAAAAAATAAACTATTACTGACATTGCCTTGCGACATATGAGGAAAGTGGTTAATAAATTATAAATTTTAGTTGGAATTTTATTTAATGCTGCTGTTTTAGGTACTGTATTTTTTGCTCTATAAAACTCACTTTTTCCCTCCTAAAAAGTAAGGGGAAATGTGTGTGCGTCTATGGAGCGAATGCAGGCTGCGCAGCTATCCCAGAAGCCAGAACAGCGAGAGGGATCGCTGCTTTCGCTGTGCAGTGATCCCTCTTGCTGTTCTGGCTTCTGGGATTCAGAATATTTTTTTCTTGTTTTGTTCCTCCAAAACCTAGGTGCGTCTTATGGTCTGGTGTGTCTTATAGAGCAATAAATATGGTAATTGTATTTTTATATTGTTATATATGTCCCTTTGAAAGATACATACAAATATTTTCATTGTACAGTGGTACCTCGGGTTAAGTACTTAATTCGTTCTGGAGGTCCGTTCTGTTCTGGAGGGAAACTGTTCTTAACCTGAAGCACCACTTTAGCTAATGGGGCCTCCTGCTGCTGCCACACTGCCAGAACACGATTTCTGTTCTCATCCTGAAGCAAATTTCTTAACCTGAGGTAATATTTCTGGGTTAGTGGAGTCTGTAACCTGAAGCATATGTAACCCGAGGTACCACTGTATTTCCTCATGTACCACTGGTATATTTTCCAGTGGGTTTTCCAGAGTCAAGAAAAGGCCCATCAACATATGCTTTTAACTTGTAATTTTGTTGGCCCGCTCTTATGCCCCTTATTTTGTCATTATTCCTTATATTTTATGTGAATACCTTCAAAATCAAAATAAACAATAACGGAGACAACAGGCATCCTTGTATGCTTCCTTTCATAACCCTACACACCCCTCAGTTGTTGTATTACATACAATAATATTTGCACGTTGTTCAGTATATATTGCTTCTATGGCCTTTAGGAAGGTTTCCCCCAGGTCCACTTCCCTCAAAACGCTTTTCATAAATAGCCAAGTCATGTTGTCAAACGCTTTCTCCGTATCTAAGAATATCAACACTGCCTGTTTTTCGTTACGGACTTCTAAGAATTCTATTATGTTAATTATATTTCTAACATTGTCTTTTAACCGTCTGCCAGGAAGAAAGACTCCTTGGTCCTCATGTATTAGATCGCTCATAATTTTTTTAAGCCTGTTGGCCAATATTGCTGCAGACATTTTATAATCGCAGTTTAGTAATGAAATCGGGTGAATTTTTTTTTTTTTTTTAAATAAATTTTTATTAATTTTCCAAACACAAAATAAAAAGACAAACAATACACAATACACCGACATACAAACATATAAACATGTATAATTTCATAACCATTTTTTCATAAACCTTACTTTCCGGACTTCCCCATACCTCCCCTTTTCTGCATCCTTGTTTTATATTTTTTCAGCAACTCCTCAGTCAACTAATTATTCAATTCATTTTCTTTTAAATTCTTCTAATATTGTTAATTACAGCTGCAATTCTCTGTTTCCCTACCCCTTGACATTTTAACATTCCTGAATTTTACAACAAGTTCTAAGATAAACTTTGAATTTCTTCCAATCTTCTTCCACTGTCTCTTTCCCCTGGTCACGGATTCTGCCAGTCAACTCCGCCAGTCCCATGTAGTCGATCACCTTCGTCTGCCATTCTTCCAGTGTGGGTAGTTGTTGTGTCTTCCAATACTTTGCTAGAAGAATCCTTGCTGCTGTGGTCGCATACATAAAAACGTCCTGTCCTTCCTTCTCACCAATTGGCCGACAATGCCCAGGAGAAAAGCCTCAGGTTTTTAGGGAAGGTCCATTTAAGAACCTTCTTAATTTCATTATAGATCATTTCCCAAAAAGCTTTTATCCTCGGGCAGGTCCACCAAAGGTGATAAAAAGTACCTTCAGTCTCATTACATTTCCAACATTTGTTATTGGGCAGATGATAAATTTTTGCAAGCTTGACTGGGGTCATGTACCACCTGTACATCATTTTCATAATGTTTTCTCTTAAGGCATTACATGCCGTAAATTTAGTACCTGTGGTCCAGAGCTGTTCCCAGTCAGCAAACATAATGTTATGACCAATGTCTTGTGCCCATTTTATCATAGCTGATTTCACCGTTTCATCCTGTGTGTTCCATTTCAACAGCAGATTATACATTCTCGACAGATTCTTAGTATTGGGTTCTAACAGTTCTGTTTCTAATTTTGACCTCTCCATCTGGAAACCTATTTTCCTGTCCTGTTTAAATGTCTCGTTTATCTGAAGGTAGTGCAACCAATCTCGCACTTTGGACTTTAATTTCTCATAACTCTGTAATTTAACTTTTTCCCCATCTTGTTCTAAAATTTCACAATATTTTGGCCATTTAGACTCCATATTAAGTTTTTTCACCTCTTTAGCTTCCATTGGTGACAACCACCTGGGAGTTTTACTTTCCAGTAAATCTTTATACCGCATCCAAACATTATATAATGCTTTCCTAACAATATGGTTTTTGAAACCTTTATGCAGTTTTACCTTATCATACCATATATATGCATGCCAGCCAAATCTATTGTCAAACCCTTCTAGATCCAAAATGTCTGTATTCTCAAGAAGTAGCCAATGTTTCAACCAGCAGAAAGCCGCCGATTCATAGTAGAGTCTTAAGTCCGGCAGGGCAAACCCCCTCTATCTTTTGCATCAGTTAGAATCTTAAATTTTATTCTGGGCTTTTTGCCCTGCCAGACAAATTTAGATATATCTTTCTGCCACTTCTTGAAACAGTCCATCTTGTCCAAAATCTGCAATGTCTGGAATAAAAACAACATTCTAGGCAATACATTCATCTTGATAACAGCAATTCGACCTAACAAAGAGAGTTTCAACCTTGACCATATTTCTAGATCTTTCTTTACCTCTGTCCAACATTTGTCATAATTGTCCTTAAATAAATTGACATTCTTAGATGTTAAGTTTACCCCCAGATACTTTACTTTTTCGTTATCACTAAACCTGTTTCATTCTGAAACTTCTCTTTTCAGCCAATGTTAAATTTTTATCCAACACTTTCGTTTTCTGCTTGTTCAGTTTAAATCCTGCTACTTGACCAAATATCTCAATTAGTTCTAATACTCTTTTAGTACTAGTATCTGGCTGTTGCAAGGTCAGTACTAGATCATCTGCAAATGCCCTTAGCTTGTAATGTCTAGCTCCGACTTGTACTCCTTTAACCAACTGGTCTCCTCTAATCATGTTTAACAAAACCTCCAGGACTAATATAAAAAGTAAAGGGGATATTGGGCACCCCTGTCGTGTACCTTTTTCTATAGATATTTCTTCCGTGACCACATTGTTTACAATTAACTTTGCTTTTTGTTTAGAATATATTGCACCTATACCGTTTTCAAACCCTTGACCTACCCCCATCCCTTGGAGATTCTTCTTCATAAAGCTCCAACCAATATTATCAAAGGCTTTCTCCGCGTCCACAAAAATTAAAACAGCCTTCCTATTGATGTCCACTTCTAACAGTTCCAAAATGTCTATAATGTTCCTCACATTGTCCGACATATGTCTCCCTGGAAGAAAGCCAGTTTGGTCCTTATGAATCTCCCCTACCAACACTCTCTTCAGTCTTTTTGCCATAATGTCTGCAAAAATTTTGTAATCCACATTGAGTAATGATATAGGGCGGTAGTTTTTAACCTGGTTCTTTTCAGTTTCAGTTTTCGGTATAAGTGAAATAAAGGCTTCTTTCCACGACTCTGGTGCCTTTTTCCCCTCCAAAATTTCATTGCATACTTCCTTCAGTGGTTGTACTAGCCATTCCTTCAACGCTTTATAATATCTGGCGGTCAAACCATCTGGTCCTGGAGATTTTCCCAATTGCATCTTCTGAATGGCACCCTCTATTTCTTGTCCTGTTATTTTCTCATTCAAAATCCTTCTGCTTTGCTCTGAAATTTTTGGTAATCCATGTTTCTTAACAAATTCTTCTATTTCCTGTTCGTTGACTGGCCCTTGTGCATATAATTTCCTGAAGTAACTTTGGAAACAATTACTTATCTCGTTTGGTTTGTGGATAATTTTTCCATCCACTTCTAAACTTGTCACAGTGTTCAGTTTTTGCCTCTTTTTCAATTGCCATGACAGAAATTTCCCACATTTATCTGCTGATTCAAATGTCTTTTGTCTCATTTGCTTTATTTTCCATTCTATCTCTTGGTTCATCAATTCCATATATTGCACCTGATAGTGCTTTATTTCTCTCAGAATCTCATGGGACTTTGGTTTAGACCTCAATTTCTTTTCACCTTCTTTTATTTTTTCCAGAATTTTTTCTTTCCTTTCATTTTGATTTTTCCTCTTTATGGAGTTCTGTTGTATTAGAAAACCTCGCATCACGGCCTTACTTGCGTCCCAGATTATTCTTTTTCCACTTCTGTTCTCAAATTTATCTCAAAGTAATCTTTCAGTGTTTTTTGGGCCTTCTTATAAATCTCTTCATCTCTAAATAGGGTGTCATTCATTCTCCATCTAAAGGATCCAGTTGATGCTAGTTTCATCTCCATCTTTACAGCATTATGGTCGGAGCAAGTCTTTGAGCAGATTTCTACCTTTTTGATCCTTGGCGCCATACTGCTAGTTACCCAAATTTGGTCAATTCTTGTCCATGTCATTTTTGCTTCAGAGAAAAAGTTCCTCTCTCTCAAGAGGGTTCCTTGTTCTCCAAATGTCAATCAAGTCCATAGTTTCAGTCATTTCAAAAAAAGTCTTTGGTAGTCTCCTTCCTTGGAAATTACTTGTCTTTGTGCTTTGTCCATATTTGTGGAAACTACACCATTCATGTCTCCCATCATTACTACTCTATAGTCTAAATAGTCCATTAAAGTCTCATGCAGCTTCTTAAAGAATTCCGCCTTCCCGTCATTTGGTGCATAAATTCCGACTATCAAGATTTTTTCTCCTTGAACTTGTATTTCAATTGCCAGGTATCTTCCTTGTTCATCTTTAAATATCATCTTTGGGGCCAATTTTTCTTTTGCATAGATCACCACGCCTCTTTTCTTAACTTTGTCTGATGAAATAAATTCCTGTCCAAGTCTCTTATTTACCAATAATTTCCTATGTGTCCTGGTCACATGGGTCTCTTGTAGACATATTAGGTCTAATTGTTCTCTTTTCAAAATATGAAAAACTTGACGTCTTTTCGGGGAAGGTTCAAACCATTACAATTCCAACTAAGAAGCTGCAGAGACATTTTGTTATTTAGGTACCTGTTCCACCGACTGCTCCTAACTTTTGTTCATCTACAGATGGTGGTATGAGTCCAAATGACAAGTTTGCAATGTCTGTCACTCCTTTGTCTTGTATTGTTGTTTCTACTGTTCCTTTCTGCAAGTCCTCCTGATATCTCTCCAAAAACTGTTCTTTATCTTGAACTGTTCTTATTTTGACCTTCCTTCCTTTGAAAGTAAAAGACAATCCTTGTGGAAACTCCCACCTGAAGGGTATGATATTTTTCTTCAGCAGGTAGACCAAATCTTTATAGAAGGCTCTCACCTCCAAAATATATTTAGGGATATCTTTAAAAATTTGTACTTGACTATTTTCAATCTCCAATGCCTTTTGGTAATGCAAGTTCAATATTTTATCTCTTTCTCCTTTGGATCTCAATGTAATCAAACAATCCCTTGGCTTCTTACCTTGCCTCCTGCCCAGCCGAAAAGCTGTTGTTATTTCAAGATCTTCTTCCTGCAGCTCCTTTTGCCAAAATTCCATAAAGTTCTGTGTAAGGAAGTCCACAAGGCTATCTCCCTCACTCTCGGGAACCAATCTCAATTTCAGATTTCTCTCTTTTCTCTGTAATTCCAGCAAAGATAGGGCTGCATCATGTTCATTCACTTTTTTTGTAATCGGCACAAGCTCCTCCCTTGTCTCCTCTGCAGTATTTTTTGCACTTTCAGCAATCTTTCGTGTTTCAGAACTTTCTTGAATTAATTTATTAATAGATTCTGTATTAGATGTTACACTTGCAGTATTCAAGTCCAATCTTGCTGTCAGTTCTGTCAATTTTTTGAATTTTCCGTAGATAGCTTTGTCAGTGCTTCTAAAGATTGGTTTATTTTGAGCAGTGCCTGTGTCATTGAATCCATAGATGCTGTTGCCACTTTTTCCTGTGCAGCTGGTGGTATGCCAGATATTGAGCCCCTTTTCTTTTGTGTCTGTTTTGCTTTGGATCTAGTTGTTATCTCTTCTGCTGGACCACTCATATCCTCAAGGTCGTTCTCACAGGAAAGACTTGCAAGTGGAAAATCCCACTGTTTCTTTTTCACTATAACAGTTTCTCTTTATACCCTCTAGAGGGAGCATTTAATTGTATCCAAGTGAAGAGAGAAAGAACAAAGGAACATAGAGCAATCAACAAAAATCCAAGAGTCCACAGTAAAAGTTTCTGTCGCACTTTTTCAGTATAGTCACAAGTTCAACAAAGTAATTCCATTAAAGTCCCGTAACTTTGTCTCAGACAAAACCCCAACTTTGTATCCAGTCTAAACTGACAGTTCACTTTCCCAGTGCCTTACTCAGGCAGTCCGTTCAGGGATTTGGCAGTGAAAGATGTTTTTTCCTCAGTTAATTTCAGGCAGATTAACAGTGTCCAATTTTCTTCCCCCCTTCTCCTGCTTACTGGGGGGAAGTTTAAGTCAAATGTCAGGTTTGACAGCTCAAAGATAGTTTTCTTTCAAATGCAGCTTTGCTCTTTCGTTGCTTTAATTGCCATGCAGATCGGGGAGGCAGACTTCCTTAATTTATGCCTTTCCCGTTTTCAGCCAAATTTCAGAATTTAAATTTAAATGTCCCATTCAATCCCTCCGTCTTACTCACGGGGTTTACAGTCGAATTTATGGTTCAGGAAGGAATCGGCGCTCTCCGTTCATGGCGATGCGGCTTCACTCCACGAGCTGGGTTGCGACTCTCAGCACCGCGCTACCCCCGATGCCGCTCCGTAGCCTTTAAAAAGGCTCTTTCACAGTACCGAGGGGCGCAAAAGGTGCCCACCGAGTCTCCTTGTTCACAGGCTTCAGCGCCTGTGATTTTAGGGGTCCCCCGCTCGCCGTAGCGGGTCAGACCCGAACTCGCGAAGCAGTCCTCCTCCGGAGCTCGAAGCGAGGACCGCCATTAAACGCTGGCGCCGACCGGAAGTCCCAAATCGGGTGAATTTTTTTTTTTAGGGTTTGTCATGTTTAGGTATCAAGGTGATATAGGCCCCTTTCCAAGTTTCTGGTACTTTTCCTATTTCCAATACTTTATTCATAATGTATTTCAATGTAAATTAGGGACATGGGAGAGGGCCTTCTTGGTGGCTTCTCCCAGACTTTAAAACTCCCTCCCTAGAGAAGTTATACTGGCTCTCTCTTTCCTGTTCCACCATGTTTTTGTGTACTGACTGCTTTTAATGAAAGGGCTGGTGCTATTCTGTTTTTATTGTACTTAATTGTACAGTGGGTATGTGGGGATGTCTCTCTGTGCAGCATTTGAAACTCCCATTATTCCAGGCACGTTTTGCGACGGAATTTCATTAATATGAGCAGTTTCTGAGCTCTAGGCACAGTACTGCGCCCAAGAGTTGAGATTAAAACTGCCACTACTGGAAGGAAAGGAGGACCTTTTTTCTGCCTCCCCACTTCTAGCCACTCTGAAGACTGCAGAAGGGACTCTCTCATAAGACTATAAGGGGGGTGGGCAGGGGAAATACAGCTTTTTTTTCAGATTTTAGCTGCAGTTCATTCATTTTCAGCTTTGTATTCTTGTTACTAAAAAAGTTCTCCTAGACACACCATTGCAGTGCCCATAACCTAGGTTTAAGGTGCCATTTAGCTCCTAGCTTTCATATCTTAGTTTCTAACACTGTCTGTGTCTGTATAGGTGTATAGATAATTGTTTTTCTATGTTTTTAGTTCTTATTTATATCAATAAGCCACCTTGAGTCCATGTCAAGAAAAAAGGTGGGGTAATGATAATAATAATAATAATGTTTGGAATCAGTGTTTTTAATTATATGTGCAAATGCAGCAAACAGGATGGCACACACCCACATCTTGACTTTTGTGGAAGTTCTCCTCAGCAGCTGCCATCAGCACAGACACTAGAAAATTATTTTCTTAGGCATCCCTAAGCCCCAGTTTCCCATCTCTACTCAACTCAAGAATAAAGCTCATTGGGTGATCTTGGACCGGTCGTTATCTCTTAACCTAAGTTAGGCTTGTAGTAAGGGCAAAAGGAGTGAGGGATAGCCAAGCTTCTTGGATGAAGGTTAAGAGACAAATAGAATGAGTGCAACATTTTCTCCTGAGATTTAAATTGCCCCCGTTCCAATTGCGTTTTCTTTTCTTTTCTTTACGTTACTAGTGTTGATTTGTCATTTATTTACTGGTTTTAAACTTTTTCATTTTATAATTCATGTTATATTTTTATTGATACGATACGTTTTCAGTTGTACAAGCTACTATGCGATTTCTGCTGAGCCATGAAAAGTGGTGCAAATGTTTGTAAATAAACAAACAAACTGGTGTTCTTTTTATTTTATTTTACTCAGGTTGTTTTTATGATCTGGAATGCCATTAACGACCCTCTCTTTGGCTATATTCAAGACAACTCCAAAGTGCCATGCTGCTCCAGGCGTCAGTTTTCCATTTTGTATGGAGCTCCCTTGTATGCTTTGGCCTTTCTTCTTCCTTGGTTTCCTTGGAAACAATATGAAGAAGGTGACTGGCTTAGCGGACTTCATCTTATCGTTGCTTTGTGCGCTTTCGATGGCCTGCTTACGTTCGTCTTGCTAGCACAGTGTGCCCTCTTTGCAGAAATTTCAACTAGACACGAAAATAGGCTCCAGCTTATTAAGTATAATCAAGTGGCAACCTTGGTTGGCTCCACCAGCATCCTTTTCTGTGGCTTAATTTCAGATAACATGGAGAACTTCACCTATTTTCAAGCATTTGCTGTTCTGGTAGGAGCAGTCGCCACTGCTTGCATGTGCTACACTGGAATGTATAGCACCACTCAGTATGAACAAAAAGAAACTCTAATGGAGGAATTTGAGGAAAATGCTGAGAGCTCTCTCTCTTGGTCCTCTGTGATTTTGTTGACAAAACAGATCATGACTCAGAAAAACTTTTTGCTTTTTGTGACCATGAACTTCTTTCAAGTCTTCCACTTGGCCTTCTGCAACAATTTCATGATGATCTTTGCAGATAACCTCATCCCTAAGGACGTTCTATCATCATCTATCAGAAGTATCATGTATGGGGCAGGTTTTATTTGTCCTCAGGTAGGCAGAGAAACCTTTTGTTCTTTTCTCTTAAGACAAAAATATGCTGGTTCTCAGCAGATTTATTTGCTTACACTGATTGCCAAGAATAATTATGCATTACCTTGCAGAAAACCTTTATACTGCAAAACTAACCTTTGGTGCTACTGATTTCTCCCAAAGGAATTCAACTGATGCACATACGGTTTGACTAAAGGGGAAGCTGGCTCTTCAGTGTGTGTTTGTATGCTTTTTGGTACTTTAAAAAAAAAAAGTTAGTAAAAACCTGTTAAGAACAAGTATGGGATTAAAAATTGTGAGGGATCACATTTTCTGAAAGCCAGGTAAATCTATGGTGTTGAACCTGGAGCAGTAGTTCTCAAATGATAAGGCTGGCCTCTCAAGGGCAGGGGAATTTAATAACAAATGGCCTCTTTACTATTCAGGGTGGAGGGCAACATATTTTACTTGCTGATTTCCTTTCATTTTTTCCTATTCATTAGTACTGTTTTTTCCTTTGTTCTTCTCTTCCACATTTCCCCCTCACTAAATTCAGAGATTCCCTATACAGTCATACCTCGGGTTAAAGTAGTTTCAGGTTAAATATTTTCAGGTTGCGTCCCACGGCGACCTGGAAGTAACGAAACGGGTTACTTCCGGGTTTCACCGCTCACGCATGCGCAGACACTCAAAATGATGTCATGCGCAGAAGCGGCGAATCGCGACCTGCAGACGGGGGGTCGCGTTCTGCTCAGGATGTGAACAGGGCTCCGGAACGGATCCTGTTTGCATCCAGAGGTGCCACTGTACTTTGAAAATGTGAATAGGAGAGCTGCTTCTATTTCATAGGGAAGGGAGGATAAAGTGTGGGACAGCAGTAGTTGGAGGAGAACACCACATGGATGAGGAGGAATTAAGAGACACAAGGGCTTCATGAGCCACATTAAGCTGAGGCGCATAGATGGGTCCTTAGCATGTTACACTGGATACACGAATGAGCTGTTTAGCTAGTACAATAGCTATGTATTTGCAAGTGGACATTTTGATGTGGATTTATAATTATTAAAATCCAGACAATGCAACAGTGTGTGTGTGTGTGTGTGTGGCTCGATCTAAAATGCCACTTTATTTTTATTGCTATTTTCAGAATGCAAATAGAACAACAAGAAAGGAGCAGCGTCGGCTCCCATTAACAATTTAAAAACCCACCAGTCCTTTGGACAGTCATTTGTCCAAATAGATATCCAAATGAGATTGGCTATTATAAGGCATATGTTCAAATGTTGGTGATGTAATGCTGATGTTGCCTTTTTTGAAGAATTGGATGGTCAGGGTATCCTGTGGTGCTTTCTTTCTGGTTAGAAATAATTTACCATATCTTTGGCAGGGTTTTAGTACTGTATTAATGTAGCTTAATATTTCTGTTATATTTCAGTGCCTTGTGCTAATCAGTCAAGCTTTGTTGAAGAAATTTGGTTACTATAAAGTGGTCTTATTTTCCTTCTACTTGGAAGCAATAGCTGCCGCTATCATGCTTATTGTAGGTCCAGAACACTACTACGTATTGGCTATTTATCTTACAGCAAACATGTAAGTAACTTTAGTTTTAAGATCATGACAATTTTGACCGGGATTCAGGGAGATCTACTTCACGTGTGGCCCAGGGGTGGGGGGTAGAGGAGAGGGGAAAGCAAGATGCCCTCAGTAGGATCTCCATGTATTATGGATGGAATCAATAGCGGTGGCTTGCTCACATCTGTGCTGTTCTGGGCCCAGGACAAGCCTTTTGATTCTCCCTTTCTTCCCCTACACACCAACCATGTCAGCCATAGGAACTAGCACCACTGTTTTAATTCCCACACTATTCTACCATAGCATTGTGGAGTTATAAAATGGTAGTGCCTGAGCACTGGGGAAGGTAAAAACGTATTAAAGGAGCCAAGGTCCTCAAGTAGTGTGGGTCATGGAGGCACCAACACTAGGTCTCGTTGCAGAGGTCCTCTTACATTAAGTGCATGTGGAGGGTTTCATTCCTAGCCCCAATGTGCGTTGCTGGAGTATGCATAACTCCAAAAATGGTCACTGTCTGTACAAGCAGTAATGTCATTAATCAGGAAAATGACTGGTAGTTCTTTGGGGATTCTTAAGGCAGATGGGGTCACAGATGATTTGGAATTGATTACATTTTTTATAAGTAATGGCAATTGTCCTAAACTGGAGACTATTGGGAACCACTTATTCTAGTTTCTCAAATCTGGAATGTATTATTTTATTTACTTATTTATTTAAATGATTTATATGCTGCTTAATCCCCCCTAGAAAAATGAGACAAGTTAACAGTGAGATCTTTGGGAGGAAAGCCAAGATTAAGTTTTCAACAGAAGTGGAACTTAATCATTAATTTCTAGAATCCTTATTCTTCTGGGTCCTCATATCCTATTTTCAACTTTGCTGTTTTATTAATGTATTTATGTAGTAGTTCACTATAGAAATATTTTATGGTACTAAAAATATCCAAATTTAACTTTTTTTTGTCCAAGGCAATTCAAATCTAAGTCACTTCTCTATCTATCTATCTATCTATCTATCTATTTATTTAGGGTCATTGTTCAAGCTTCTTTCAGTCTGTTTAATTTGCCTTTGGCCGATATTGTTGATGCAGATTTAAAGAAACATAAACGGAGGTAAGCATGGTTTGTTTACTTTTTATGATATGCAAACTTTCATTGTAGATAATAAATGTTAAATTGTTTTTCAGTTATTATTGGAAAGTCTCAACTCAGCATGCTTATTACACTACATAGAATTATTGTTGATACATTCTATAACACTTTTCAGTGTATGGAGTGCTTTACACTCTCCCCCGCCAAAAAAAAATACCCAAACAATTTGTCAGTGACCTTGAGTTGAGCAGTTTGGAGCCTGATTTTCCCCAATTTATTAAATTATCCCTATAAATTGCATACAAAAATACATATATTAGTTGATGGATTTTCATAAGGACTTTTAAACAAAAAAAGGTGCAGTTGAAGTATAGAAAATGGAGTTTAAGATTGGAAGAATGAGAAACTGAGGAAAGCTGAAGTTGACAGATTCTTAGTATTACTATTGAAGAATTGAGTATAATCCTAATAGTGGTACATTCCAGCATATATAATGCTTGACTGTGTTTGACTATAACTTTCTGCTGAAGTATTCAATTTGCAATTTAAATAATCACTTGCAGTCTATTAAAATTATTGCTTAACATTTCAGATTACCACTTTCCTCCATGGTTTTTGGAACAAATGCCTTGTTTACAAAACCAGCCCAGTCTTTAGCCCCTATGCTTGTGGTTACCATACTAAATCAATTTGGTTATGCAAATCTGAATGGGAAGGTTGCTCACCTTGACCCAAGGTAAGTAAGAGACAATTAATTGCCATGGTGATGTCTTAATCTGATGAACCCTTTGGTCTATTTGGCTATTACAGCTTTTTTTATTCTGAAATTAAATTGTTGAGAATTTGTGTTCTGAAACACGTTATCTGGAAAGTTGCAATGGTTGAAGATAATTTTTGTTTTACTGTATTCACAAAAAATTTCTCTTAAGTGCATTGCAATTTTCACTTGTGCTTTTTGAACATGAAAGTTTGCAGGTTTGTCCTGCAATCAGTCTAGTCCAGGCATCCCCAACCTGCAGCCCTCCAGATGTTTTGGCCTACAACTCCCATGATCCCTAGCTAACAGGACCAGTTGTCAGGGATGATGGGAATTGTAGTCCAAAACATCTGGAGGGCCGAAGGTTCCTGGTCTAGTCTGTACTTGGTTAGATCTTCATTTGAGTATAGCAACAGTGTTTCCTGTGTTTGCAGCAACGGGATGAACATACCTGACAGATCACATAGGTCCAGTTCGCATGACACGCAAAACTGTTCTTAAACCATGGTTTATTGAACAAACCACCCTTAAACCAAAGAACATTCTGCAGACTACCAAAGTAACTGGTTTGTGTTGTCATCCTCCATCCCACTTAGTTCCAGCCCACAACTGTCTCTCCATCGGACACCCTTCAAGCCTTTGTGGCAACTGCTGGCATTTCCTCACTATGTCACTTTCCATTGGTCAGGTGTGGTAATCTTTGTGCTGATCTTCTGCAGCAGTCGTCAAGGAACCACTTTCCTCCCTTCCCCAGAAAAAAAAATGTCTGTATAGCTTTGCAGCTTGTAAAAAACAATTTTGTAACAGCTGTTTTTATATTCACAACTGACAACCACTTTTTACTGTACATTTATGCTTTTAGATTTGTAATCAGAACCTGTGTTGGAGCCACCTTATTACTACTTCCCTATCTCTCATAGGAGGTTTGAAAAACTTGCTTTTACTAATGTACACTTAAATATTTTCATTTGTGAGTTCTAGTCACTGTCAGGAACAGAAGCTCATTTTGAAGCCCCTCTCACTCAACACCTGCTCTGTTTCAATACAGCATTTCATTCATACTCCCATAAAAACAGTCCTTAATGTTTTTATTTCGGTGTGTTAAAATGCAAACCTTTTCCATCTCCAAAACTTTTTAAAGAATTAATATTTGCTGCCTGTGATTTTCCTTGAAAAGTTGACAAGATTTATTGAAGGTAATGAATAGATGCCGACTGAGTAACACGACCCCCCTTGGAAACCTAAGTCCTGTTTATTTGTGTAACTTTGGATTTATTGTTATTTTTCTTTTTAAAAATCCAGATTAATTTTTTTTATATTAAGCTGACCAAATTTATCATTCATTCATTCATTTACCAACCAATAACAGTTAATCATCCTGCAGTCAAAACATCTGCAAAGCAATAGTTTAAAGAAATTGCTTTTAAGTGTTCAACTCTCCAGTTCAGACTGCTGCTATGAAGGGGGTACAGGGTAGAGTTGGGAAAGGAAGAGGATCCTGTTACCAGACAAAATGTGCAGCAGCAGCAGCAGCTTCAGGAAATGCACCAGTGAGAGCAGCTGAGTACTCAGGGCAGCTTGTCTAGTGTCTCTGTTGCTTGGTGGGTGATGACAAAACAAATTATACTTAAACTATAATTAAGTATGTGCCCATGTTTTCAGGTAACACTAAGCCATAATTAAGGCAATAAGCCAACAAACAAACTATCTGAACAGACTATAGTTCAGACACTGCTGGGTTCAGATGTACAGCTAAGGCATGGTTTGTTAACTAAGGTTTATTTAAACCCTCGTTTAACATATACAGTGGTACCTCGGGTTACATACGCTTCAGGTTACAGACTCCGCTAACCAAGAAATAGTGCTTCAGGTTAAGAACTTTGCTTCAGGATGAGAACAGAAATCATGCTCCAGCGGCGCGGTGGCAGCAGGAGGCCCCATTAGCTAAAGTGGTGCTTCAGGTTAAGTACAGTTTCAGGTTAAGTACGGACCTCCGGAACGAATTACCGTATTTTTCGCTCTATAACACGCACCTGACCATAACACGCACATAGTTTTTAGAGGAGGAAAACAAGAAAAAAAATATTCTAAACGAAACAGTGGATGTATGATTTTTGTGGTTCATGCTGTGGCCACAGACATGTGATCTGACGGTGAGTTTGGGGTAGCCCAATGCAAAAATCCTGAGGATCCATGTGGATCCATGCTTTGTAACCACGCTTTTGCGGCCCCAGGCAACAGTGGATGCGTGATTTTTTTGGTGCAAGCTGTAGCCATGGACATGCTATGTGATCTGATGGTGAATTTGGGGTGACCCAGTGCAAAAATCCTGAGGATCCATGTGGATCCGTGCTTTGTAACCAGGCTCTCTGTCCCTCTCTTCTCCCCATTCAGCGGCTATTCTCCCGCTTTGCTGTTTCAAAGCGAGCAAAGCGAGCCACGGAGGAGGGAAGGAAGGGGAACCATGGATCCTCTGATCACGACTGCAGCAGATCCCCCCCGCCATCTGTAGGCATTCGCTCCATAACACGCACAGACATTTCCCCTTACTTTCTAGGAGGAAAATTGAGTGTTATGGAGCAAAAAATACGGTAAATACTTAACCTGAGGTACCACTGTAGTGCAAATTGGGTTATAGAGAAAGTAGTATCTTTTTCTCTTTTTTTGTAAACCGCTTTGCTGAAGTAGCCCTAAATATAGTTGCATCAGCCTTAGGTGTCCAGAAACCTCCACAGAATACCATACAGCCTGTCTGAAATATTGTTAAAATGAACAAGACCATTCACAACACGTGCTAGTTTTCAGGCCCCTTCTGGGTACCCCAGCATATAAACAGAATGGTAAAATGCTTCTGTAAAATAGGGTCTAAATGGCATTGTTCAATAAATTCGCATTCAACACCACTGATTTCTCATAATCAGATAAAACAAGTTAAATTTTATATAGTATTGGTATTCCACTTAATTTATGTATACAAATGGGGATAGATGATTTCCTAATTTGAATTAAGCATGATCTTGTTGAAGTGCTGGAACACAACTCTGATAAATATATACTGCAATGAGTTTTGTTTTGTAGTGATTGCTGAAAAAAAACTGAACATTTAAAAAAAAAACCTTACTTCTCTTCCAGTTTGTTTCTAGGTCTCCACGATGCCATGTTCTACATGATCTGTCTGGTTCCTCTTTGCATTGCAGTTATACAGATTCTGACATGGACACCCTTTTCCATTCAGAATAGCCACCTTACACTTTGAAATTGAATTGCAAATGTGTGGACCGGGAACGCAACTGTTCTTTTTTACAGAGGTCAGATGAACAAGAACATTGGACTTCCTTGATTCAGGGGGATCATCTGCAGCCTGAGCCAGTAAATTCTTTTCTGTTGTATCTGTAAATCTTGTGTGTGCCTTATCATCATGCCATATCTCTTTCTAGTTCAACTGTACGCAGGTTAGAGATACCACATAGACTTATTGAGTACACCAAAATGCCACTACCTCACTGGACGCCTAAGAGATAAATGCATAATGGTGTGGTGTGATTCTGTGAACAATAAATGTGACATTCTTTTTAGAAGAACTAAGGGCCCATGATAAATCATAAGAAGCTGCATTTGAGCACCCTCTCTCATAAAATGTGAAATGCTACCTCTTTGCTGCAAGTAAAACAAGGTCATTTCCCCCCATGGAATATTGGAAAATGTATGTTAGATTTCTTTCCCCCAAACTGGTATATGGTCTGCAAAACACAACATGGTTTCTCTACATGGGATACCTTAGCTTTGCAGGGGGTTGGAAAGAAGGGCAATGACAGCATTGGAGCACATTGGATAAATTTGTACAGTCTGTTCAGCAAAGAAAGCTTTGGCAGTATTTAGAGGGGGAGGCATGCATATCTGCGCTGTGGAGAGAACATGAACTGATGTTTATGTTTACATACGCATACAAGTAGTGCTGAAGATTGTCATTGGCAACAGAAAAGGGGGAGACAGAGGGGGAACAGTATAGTTGATGCAGCATAGTGGGAAACCCAATTAATCCACATGGTGGAGATGCAGGTGGCTGCCTGAAGTGGAGGGCAGAGAAGCTTGCACGGAAGCCTATGGCTTGTGATGGGAAAACTTGATAATGAAAGAAAAAGTGTTTGGGCGTCTCCAAAGCATAATAAATGTGATTAAATCAAACTGCTGGGTTTATGGGACTGTGGGAAAAATAAATTTACTGGGTGGTAGGCTCGTAAGCTTTGGCTTTCTTGGCTGCTTGATGCCATGCAAAGAGGGATAATCATATGTAAAACTGTACTATAGCCCTTGGAACTTGCATTAAAATATACTATTTGAAATTGTCTGTCACATTTCCTTTATTGTCAAGTAGCTAAATGCAGCATTTTGGATTTGCCCCTGTTAAAGCCTTTTCCATTTTTCATCTTTTGAAAAGATGGCGATTAATGAAAAACTAATGCTACTTGATATGTTACAAAGTCCGAATTATGCCATAATAAATCCTACCATCCTGTTCTTTATCCAATAGATTATATATAGTAGCACTTTTATTTCTCATAAAGCAGTCTTTTATTTTATTAAGCCAATCCTTTATAGCTCAGTTCTTAATTCAACATTGGAGGAACAGACTTCTTAGCCTGTTTAAGGTGGGGTTTTTTGGCTCTTTCCCAGATTTGTTTTCTTGTAGAAAAGAGAATTGTATCATTTTCTAGCCTATTTCTTACCCCATTCATTAGCTATGGTGACAGATAGTGCAGGGATCTCTAATACAGCCTCTCTTCCACCCTGTACATTTAAAGTCTCCTCTAAGGCTGCAATCCTGATGTGGGTAGGAGGGAATCTGAAGGCAGTTTAACTGCCAAATCTAGTGCTGGAGCCAGCAGGCTGGAAGTGAGAAGGTAAGAATGCTGCCCCTGTTGCTATGAATCTTCCCCAGCACTACCTGGCGATGCCAAGGATTGAAACGGACCTTCCGCATGCAAAGTAGATGCTGTACCACTAAGCCAGGGGTAGGCAACCTAAGGCCCATGGGCCAGATGCAGCCCAATCATATTCTCAATCTGGCCTGGGCTATTTGTGGGGCATAGGAACTGGTTCATCCCCCCCAAAAAAAATATAGTCCAGCCCACCACATAGTCTGAGGGACTGGCCCATGGCTGAAAAAGGTTGCTGACCCCTGCACTAAGCAATGACCCTTCCCCAGCCATAATGAAGTGACTGAACATAATGCAGTGCAATTCCCCTCACATCTTTCTACTCTTCTGAAGCAGCTGTTTTATTTGAGCCAGGGTTCTCAAGACCTCTGTAGGAAGGCTGGGTCCTCTTAGGTGAAAAAATAATGGGTGAGGGAGCTCTCTTGAGCATGTACAGACCACACACTCATACCGATTAGAAACAGCCCAGTTCTACCCCTACACATTTGGAATTTGAGCAAACGGGGCTTGGGAATCAGTGAGTGGGAAAAGTGGGTAGAACCGACAAAATTCATGGGAGGATGAAGGTCTCTCAATTACCCACCATACCTAAATAGAACTGCAAAGGTCAGAGGAGAGCCACCACCTTCTCACAGAGGCCAGTTCGGCCACTGGGGGGAAAGGATGCTGGACTAGATCGATCTTTTCAGCCTCCTCTTGTATTCTTGGTATATTCTTGTCACTCCTGCTTATTAGACTCTGAAGACAATAGCAGACGGGCCACCACCTTCCTTGCCCGTTTTGTGGGATTCCCAGGGACGTGTGCTTGGCCACTGGGGGAAACGGGATGCCTAACGAAATGGTGCGCTGGTCCCGATCCGCGGCGCTACGTTCCTGCCTTCCTGGGTGCGAAATCTGGGCTTTTATTTACCCACCCCACGACCCCCTTTAGTCCTCTGCACCCCTTATTCCTGTACAATCGGCCATTCCCGTTCAGCATTGGTTGTCACAGCCGAGGCCCAGTGCCGCAGGGGGCGTCCTCGCCCACCCTCCTGCCTCCGAGTGACCGCAGCCTCCGTGTCGAGGAAAGGCCGCCTTGGGAAGTGGCGGCGCCTTCCTCCTCCTCCCCCCTCCCTCTGCGCGTGCGCCCCGCAGCGGCGGCCATTGTGCCGCCTCTCGTTTTGAAAGCAGCGCCCCCAGAGGCGCTGCCCTGCGCCGCGCCCTGATTGGCCGAGAGGGCGGACAGAAAGGCTGGGCGCCCGCCCGCCCGCCGGCCCGCGCGCGAGCGAGCGAGCGAGAGAGGCGTTCTCTCGTGCGGGTGGGTTGGGTTGGTTGGTGTCTCCGGCCATCCCGTCCGGCCTGGGCCCTCCTCCCTGGGCTCTCGGGTTCCGGCCTCGCATGTATGCATGTGTGTCTGTAATGTATGTGTGTGCGTGGATGTGCGGGCACTGAATGGGGAGCTCCGCGCTGGCTGCCGCCGCCGCCGCCGCCGCCGTTGCTGCAGCCATGGAGAAAGGAGGCGGTGGTTGCGGGAGGGGGTGATTGAGCGCCCCTTTCTTCCCTCTCCCACCCACCCCCCACAACCCCACCCCACCCTCATGAGACTCTGCCTGGTCTGGCTGGGCTGCTACACCTTGTCTCTGTGGGTGCTGAGGAAGAGGATGTGGTCTGGGCCTGCCAGGTACCTGAGGAGCCCTTTATCCAGGTCTCTCTACATGAATATGATGGGCAGCCACAGCCAGCCAGCCCCGGGCATCAAGGAAAACCACCAGGTATGGACCCACCAGCAGGAGGAGCAGTACTTCTAAGCCCCCACCCCCCCACCCAAAAACCTTTTTGTGAGGGGGGAGGGGCGGCAGGAGGAAGAAGGGGGAGGGGTGTGTTTTGAATGGGCCCCACATCCATCGCCTTTCCCCCCAATAGGGAAGGATTTCAGGGTTTGGGGTGTAGGGTAGCTTCTCTTTTATATTCATCTCTCACTTCTTTTGGAAGCGTGTGATTTGGGGTGAGATATAATGCTGTTTGGGGGGGAGAGAAGAAGAATAAAAAGCTCCTTGAGGAGAGTTAACCTCTGCCCCACTGAATACACTCCATTCCCCGCACAACACACACACACAAAAAGAGGATTGGAAGAATCTCTCCATACTTGGCCTAAGAGACAGAGAGAGAGAGAATATGGACACATCCGGGTGAGAGATCAGGAGAAAGATTTGTGTGTGTTGTGCTTTGTGCATTTAGTCTGTGCACAAAATAAAGGAAGGGAGGAATAAATCTCTTATGGGACAGCCTTTGGTTGTCGGGGAGATCAGCGAGCTTCTGCTATTTCTGTGGGTAACAAGACTGGCTCCTTTGCCCCCCTTTGAGTGCAGGGCAGGAGTCTTCGGAAGAGCACATGCTACTGGTGAAAGGTGGGGATACAGGGGTGGGGGGAAGCAAAGCTGAAAAGTTGCAAGGAGGAGATGAGGATTTACTTGGACCGTGATGGGACAGGGAACAGGAAACTTAACGTAGTATAATTGTTCTCTTCCTTTCTCTGCCTCAATATGTTCTGAAGTACAAACGGGTGAATTTGTGCTGAATGTGCAAATATAAAACAGCGGGGAGGAAACACAATCTGTGTTCAAAAACAATAGTTCTGGCCATGAGGCAGCTTTGTGGCTTTTGTAAGTACTGTATGAGCTAAGCAGGCATGGGGAGTTGTTAGGGAAAACAAGGCACAACCCAATTTTTGTATGCTTGTACCTGTATAGACAAGACTTCTGCACACACTTAGAGCTGAAAATTCCAGCAGTGCTGATTGCTGTGCTGTTGCAACTTCCGCTCTCTCATCTTTGATATGTGATAACGATTCTCCTTTGTGCCCATTGATATTATGGGATGGATCATTTAGCAGTCAATCCCCAAATGCTGCCCTTTATTCAGAACTCACAATAGGACTCCCAAAGTTTGTTTTCTTCTCCCAACTCCAATACATTTGTCATCACTTTGTGTTCTTTTCCTTACCCTTGTGACCTGACGGACTGGAAACTCGTTTGCAAAACCTGTGTGCACCCAACCCATCAATCCAGTTTATTGAACATGACACCTGCCTATCCATATTTCTGTCATTGCTTCCTTCCATCCTGACCATATATTTATTTATAAATATATTTTTAGCCTGACATTCATCACATGATCCCCAGGGCATTTTACGACCCGATTAAAAATACATCAGTTTGAAACAGTTAAGAGCAGAGAAAAACACAGTGCTAAAATTCCATGAAGAGTTCAGTCACAAATTGCATTAGTCAGCCTCCCATAACACCTGGGTAAATAAACTGGCCTTTGCATGGCACTAAAATGCCACAAGATCAGCACTAGACATGCTTCCAGGGGAGAGATGTTCCATGGAGTTCCACCACAGAGAAGGCCTCACTCCATGACAACACCTGTCAATCTTTCTCCTCTCAGCGTTTTTTCATCTGAACAATCACAGATCTAGCCACTGAAGTTATCTCCCCACCTATGCCTGCCTCTTATTCCCATCTCTAATAAGGCCCTCACGTTTCCTTCCTTCCCCAAGGACAAATGTTCTGCTTTGAATTGATGCATGTGGCCTCACCCATCTCTTTCCACTGCTAGCAAAGTGCAGCGCAGTGATACTGAATAATGTTGCAGTTTGACCTCTAAAACAGAAAATGTGAACTTGCATAGTGAGGTTGAAATACTCTGAAATGTATGCAAAGAGAACAGGAATCAGTGAAGCAACAAGATTAAAGGAGCTGTGGAGTGGTCATGTGCAACAAGTTAGGTACATGTTTGTAATGTATTATGCATGGCTGGAAAGCTCCCAGGCATGCTTCTGGAAACTTAATACTACCTTCCGAAATCCCCAATATTTTTTCCAGTAATGTGGTTGTAGGTAGCTTTGGGCTCTCTGTTGGCATAAATTGATGACTTCAGGGAAGGAATGCAAGTTTGATATGCTGGCATTCAACCTGGAACACTGCGTACAGACCACTGGGCTTAATATCTTAAAAGCCAACTGGAAAGAATGGATTTGTGTATTAAAATACCCAAACCATTTCAGATTCTTCCTTTTAGCTCTTTTGGTAGAGTAGGGTAGCAAGATTGAGAGTTGTACAGAGCTCATTTCAAAGCACAAGATTTGAATTGTTTGAGATATAAATATAAATTATGTCTTAATAGTGACATAATTAATGTGCCACTTAATAGTGCCAGTAGGCATTTATATGCATAAGTATTTTCAGGCCTTGAACAGGGAACGGCAAATGCTGGAATGTTGAAGTTTGAGCTGCGAGAGCTTTGTAGATACCACTGTCACACCGATTAGATATTATTCTGAACACAGTTGATTTTAGGTGAATTTTGCAGTCAAAAGCCAAATTGGGCCAAGAGTGTCTTAAGAACTGTCTGCTTCTGTACAAACCTGTCTGACCCTTGGGGAGGTCCTTCTTTGTGTACTCCCAACTTGAGGCAAGGCAAGTGGTGAGTGAGGATGGGACACTATCTGTTATTGGCACCCCAAATGTAGAATACCGTCCCCAGCTAAGGCCAGTCTCATGATGCCAGTTCCTGTGAGCTGTAGTTTACTGCTTACAGAGTACAATTTTCAGCACCCCTAACTAACTACAGTTCTCCAGATTCTTTGGAGGAAGTCATGTATGGTGTGAATATGACCTGAAAGACATTGACACTCAGGATCACAGCCGGAGGTCCTCATCACCTGATTCTTCTCTTTGCGAAACATGTGCTTTTCAACTAAGCTGCCACCCCTCCCCAATCCAAAGACAGTGTTAGAAATTGAGATATGAAAGCTAGGAGCTAAATGGCACCTTAAACCTAGGTTATGGGTGTAACAATGAAATGTCTAGGTGAGCCTTTTTATAACAAGAATACAAAACTGAAAATGTATGAACTGAATCTAACATATTATGTTCATTTTTCATATGGTCTAGTCCTTTCACTGCCCACCCCCTAATATTCTTAAGAGGGACTCTTCACCAGTCTCCAGAGAGTGGCTGGAAGTGGAGAGGCAGAAAAAGGTCCTCCTTTCCTTCCACTCTGCAGTTTTAATCTGAAATCATAGGCGCAGTACTGCACCCAGAACTCAAAAACTGCTCACACTAGTGAAATTCCCTATCGCAAAATGCGCCGAGAACAATGGGAGTTTCGAATACTGTCCAAAGATCGTTCTTCTTTACTTAAGCCTGGCTTGGCAGTGCCGACTAGGGCTGGGCGATGTTAGATTTTGAACATCACAATCTATCCCCAGCCAGATATCGTGGTTTGGCAATGTTGAAACAAGCTGCATTTGGCCCCAGCCAGCTAGACACAGGGTGAAACGGCTGCTGCTCTCACCGCTGGATCTGGGGCCCTTTCACCCCAGCGCTTCGCAGGCTAGGGCCAATACAGCTGAGCGAGCCCTGACACCTCAGCAACATCGGGCTTCGCTCCGTTGTGGCGTAGAAGAAGTCTTCCCCACCCCATCTGATGGGATGGGGGAGACTTCTTCCAGCCCCCAATCTGAGCGATCTGACACCACAGCAGCATTCGGCTTTTCACAGCTGGGGCGTAGAAGAAGCTTCCCACCCACCCCAGCTGAGCGATCTGATGCTGCTGAGGCCTTGGGGTTGCTCAGATGGGGGGGCAGTTTCACAGAGCCCCCACCCCGCTGTCAGCTTGGGCAAGCTAGCGCAGACTAGGGGCTCTGTTAAATGCTTGGCTGAAGGGAGCAGCAACCAGGTGCCCATCAGTTGAGCAGTTTAAAGATGCGGAAGGGAGGAACAAGCACCTTGCCAATACAGCTTGTTCCTCCCTCTGCGCCATATGAGGGCAAACCGCAACATTGGTTTCACTCAACGGTATATTGCTGGTGAAATCTCCGTGCTTCCGAACCCCTCTGCTAGCAGCATCTCCTGGATGAAGCTGTGCAGCTAGCAGAGGGACTCAGGAGCGGAGCAGTTTCACCAGCGATATACTGCTGAGTGAAACCAGCATCACGGTCTGCTCCTCATACCGGTCCTGGGCGATAGGTCGATATATCTCCCAGGCCTAGTGCCGACATGTGAATAATGATTCTTGTCCCTTTTCCTCCCCCTGCAGTGGTACGTGTGCAATACAGAGCAGCTGTGTGAATCTCTTCAGCCTATCTTTGTCCAGAGTTACCTTGACCAAGGAACACAGATCTTCTTAAATAACAGTATTGAGAAATCGGGCTGGCTGTTCATTCAACTCTATCACTCCTTCGTGTCCTCTGTTTTTAGCCTGTTTATGTCCAGGACGTCTATCAATGGGTAAGTGCCAAGTGGAAAGTGGCGAGGGGGAGGGTGTGTAGGTCTCAAGCTCAAACAGAAACGTCCTTGCTTCTCTTGTGCAGCTTGACTTTTGCACCAGGGAAGTCCACTTCCAGATCCCAGTTAAATGAATTCCCTAAGTGTTTTCCTAAGTGGTGTCTTATGAGATGACTCGGGGGGCAGCTATGCCACGTGATTGCCCTGGTTTTTGGAGGGGAGCAGGAATTGTCGCTTTGACAGTGCAGTGACAACTTTTCCACGAAGAATGAGCGTGCATCTTCTGATGTGTCCATCTCATTCAGTATCCTGCTTCCTGTATCTTGTTTCCAGATGCCTCTTGGGAAGCCCACAAGGAGGACATGAGTCCCTCAGAGACTGATATTCTGAGAGTATACCGTCGCCATGGCTAATTACCATTGACGGCTGGTCCTAACAGCCATCATACCTTGTAGCATTCGGGATAGCTTAGTTAATATTGCCTCCTGGTATCTTGCTCGCCACCGAGGCTGTTTTTCAGCCGGAACTCTCAGGAACACAATTCCGGCACTTCCCAGTTGGGCACCATTGCCATTCTAAGAGAGCGAGGGAGGTGTTCGTGGTGGGATCCTGCACCTCTTTTCTGGAAAAATAGCACGATTATGACATTTGCAGCAGGAGCGGCTGGCGAAGAGGGACATTGTCATATACCTGGCCTCCTAGCACTAGCGCTACTGCAGCTTACCTAGAGGGGGAGAAGCAAAGAGGCAGGAAGGTGGGCTCTGTGTGGATGTACGAGTGCGAGTGTTGGATTGCCTCTGCCAGTGCATCTCCTCACCCCCATCTTCCTCTCCACGCTAGTGCCGGGGGAGCCACTTCTCATTTCTAGAATTCCCCCATAGGTAGCATCTCTGCATGAAACATTTAAGTGCCTGCTTAAGACATTTTTGTTCAGGCAAGCCTTCCTGGAGATGTAGAACGCTGAAATGTACTTTAATCTCTTTTTGCTTGCTGTTTGATTTTGATTGTTTTAAACAGCACTTTTAATAATTGATCGTTTTAATCCTGTTTTTGTTTTGTTTTTTGTTTTTGTTTTTTGTAAACAGCTTAGAGGTGTTGTTCCAGTTGTGAGTGGTATATCAAAGTTGTGAAATAAATAAAATAAAAAATCCCATTCGAGCTGGAGCATTTCAGCTGGAGCAGTTCTCTCTGCTTCCAAACTCAAGAGGAGCGTGCTGTAAAGCTTTTGCTCTCAACTTCTATGTCTCCGTGCGTACAGATGGAAGCAGGGAGAGTGGTATTCGATCAATAATCAAATGGTTCTCCATTCTCTTTAGCCTAGGAAGACTGAAGATAGCCAAGTACAGAATGGAGTTGCTTGTCTTGGAAGGGTCTGTTCAAACTGGTTTTTCACAGGAAACTTGGAGCAGATACTCAGCATGGAGAGAGCTGCCCTTTAGTGTCCTTTGAAAAAACACAACGTTAGTTCATTTCTACACATTAAGGCCACCTCCTCTGCTTTGCCTGAGCTGACAAATTGAACTAATATGCAACTGGAGCCCTCAACCAAATTTTTCACTGTAGCAAATTTCCTTAGAAATGAGCTCATAACTAAGCATTCAAGCTGGGTGAAGACCTAAAAGCTGCTTTATTGGGGGGAGGGTCTCCAAATTCAATCAGAACAGTGATACTGAGGAAGACACCTACCACTACCCAATCAGTATTCTTGAAATTACACGTACACACTAATAATACCTTTATTGTTAATGTACAACCTGTGTAAAATGAAATTAACTGAGCCTCCCCCCCCTCACTCAATCCCATTGCACTCTGTGTTCTTGTCGCACAACACACCAACCCCGAAAGTCAGTTGCACTATATTATTTTCTGTTCAGCAGCCTAACAGCCCACGGATAGAAACTGTTTTTTAGCCTGTTGGTATGGCGCTGTGGGTTAAACCACAGAGCCTAGGACTTGCCGATCAGAAGGTCGGCGGTTCGAATCCCCACGACGGGGTGAGCTCCCGTTGCTCGGTCCCTGCTCCTGCCAACCTAACAGTTCAAAAGCACGTCAAAGTGCAAGTAGATAAATAGGGACCACTCCGGTGGGAAGGTAAACGGCGTTTCCGTGCACTGCTCTGGTTCGCCAGAAGCGGCTTAGTCATGCTGGCCACATGACCCGGAAGCTGTACGCCGGCTCCCTCGGCCAGTAAAGCAAGATGAGTGCCGCAACCCCAGAGTCGGCCACGACTGGACCTAATGGTCAGGGGTCCCTTTACCTTTACCTTTAACAACTGATTATACTTCTACATCTCCTGCCCGAGGGTAGAAGATTAAAGAGGTGCTGGCCGGGGTCCATGAGAATTTTTCTCGCTCTCCTAAGGCAACGATGTCATCTAGCGGGCTCAGGGGACAGCCAATGATATCATGTGCTGTGTTCACCACCCTCTGTAAAGACTTTCTGTCTGTGGCTGTCAAGTCAACGTACCATACTGTGATACAATATGAGAGGACACTTTCTTTTGTGGTCATCAAGAAGGAGGTCATCAATTGTTGTTCAACATTGTTCTTTTGCAAGACCCTGAGGAAATGGAGTCTCTGTTGGGCCTTCCTAACCACCTGAGTTATATTTGGGTAGACGTGCGTTACACCTGCCAGGGTGGTGTGCCTTGCCCATCGCCACCTTCAGTAACATGCTGGCAGACAGCTGCTTGCTATGCATCCTGCATCCCAGTCATAGATGCAACCCTGGCAGTCCTTCCCATGCATTTGCACCCAGCTGCTCAGTTTCCTTTAGTGCCAGGCCCTCCAAAGGACTCTAGGTTTTATGTTTTCCTTTGATGCATGCTTGACTCTACATCCTCTTTAGCTGAGTGAAGGAAATACCACGACTTTTTTTTTTAAAAAAAATACACCCTTTTACACGTTATCCTGCTATACAGTTTGATCTGAGCTGCTGCTGTTTCAGTGAGAGAGGAATTATGTCATGAGCCAATCATATTTCTCAGCTAGACGTTTCCTGTGGGGTGCACAGTCGACTGCAGTGCCTCGCTGTATCCCCTTGTATCCTCGCTGTTTTTGCTCCAGTCCAAAAGGTTTCTGTTGCTTTGAATGCCTTCTTGCGGTGTCTTTAGGAATAATGCCCTTGAGCCAATTTATGTGAGGGATGCTCAGATGTACTGCCAGGGGGTTGGTCTTTGAAAAGTGAATGCCACTTGCTTTCATGTTTTTCTTCCAACGCCCATTATAAAAATGACAGTTCCCTCCGGACCATTCCATTCCACGCACATTGGTACGTTTTTACTTTTCCCACTTTTTATCTGCTCTCATTGTCTTCACCAGCCATTCTCTCTCCTTCCCGTGTCCTCTCTCTTGATAATGATTCTGCTCTTTGCAGCTGGGACTCGCTGGCACAGATCACCTTTTTACCCTTCAGCTTGGGCTCCTTCCTGTGGTTGACCTGACTAATGCATTGCTTCCCTCTTGTGTCTCTTGCTAACCAATTATTTTCTTCCCCCCCCTAGATTCTTCCACTCCTTATTCTTTCATTCACTTGCACCTCTGGCACAACTACTGTAATCTTACAATATAGACTTCAAAGTGGGACAAGCAGAGATGCCATTGATACAATCCACAGAGACCCCAATTGTCCCTGCTGCAGATTCCTTAATGAATGGCTCATTTGCCATTCCACGTTCTTTTCTATCACACAAGGAAGCTTCGGATACCTACTGTGGTCTTTGCTGCTAGTTTATACCGTTTTAAAATATTAATCTCCTTTCCCACTGCTCTAACGATGTCATCTTCAGCATCTCTTTCAGTCTGTTTCTTCTTCTATTCTTTTACATCTTCCTTGTCACTCTTGTCTTTTTAAAGCTAACCTTTTTTGAGTCCTCTTCTCCTCTAATGCCTTTGAATCTAAAGTCAGCATGTAAGGCAGGCAAGTCCAAAGTCCGCCGGTTGGTTTAATCTGGTGCCTGTGGCAGTTTATTTCCTGGGGTAAAATAGTAAAAAAAGCTCGACAACTTTGGTTGGCCCTTTGGTCAGCCCTCACACATGTTCACTTCATCAAATCTGCCCCTCTTTGAAAAAAGTTTGGACACCCCAATAAGGCTTCATGGCATTGCAAGTTGGATGTCGAGTAGGTGGAATGTTGTTTCTCTTATTGGGCCAGGCAGCTTGTTGTAAAATACTGCAGTTCTTCATTAGGCGACTTTAAATGCTGGTTAAGGGCCAACCCAGGTCAAGCCCTATCTGCACTATTCATTTAAAGCAGTATCGTACCACTTTAAACAGTCATGGCCTCCCCTAAAGAAACCTAGGAACTGTAGATGTTAACGGTGCTAACAATGGTTAGGAAAACCCATAGGGACTGAATGTTAAACCACTCTGGAAACGGTTAAAAGGTTTCCCATCGCTATGTCCACACTGGTTTGAAATTAAAGAAATGTTGTCTCCACTTACTAAATTTGCCCACTTTGTTCATAAACAAATAAAACCTTGTTGTCTTTTAACATTTCAGGTTACTGGGAAGAGGTTCCATGTTTGTGTTTTCACCCGAACAATTTCAGAGACTGCTTAAAATAAATCCAGACTGGAAATCCCGCCGGCTTCTCGATTTAGGAGCAGGAGATGGAGAAGTCACAAAAGTCATGAGTCCTCACTTTGAAGAAACCTATGCTACCGAGTTGTCTGAAACTATGATTTGGCAGCTTCAGAAGAAGAAATACAGGTATATTGCTTGCTAAGTGGGCTACGCCAGTGATACTAGGTTAGCTATCTTCTCTCCCACCCCTGCCATGGTCTATCAAAGCATATAGGCTGTTACAAGATTTCTATCTGATAACTATAATTATTTCTGCAAATTAGGGAAGATACAATCTGTTTGCTTTTTAAAAAAAATCTCATTAGGATTTACAGTCATACATTGGAAGTCAAACAGAATCCGTTCTGGAAGTCCATTTGACTTCCAAAATATTCAGAAACCAAAACACGGCTTCTGATTGGCTGCAGGAAGCTCTTGCAGCCAAGCGGAAGCTGCGCCAGACATTCGACTTCCAAAAATTGTTAGAAAACTAGAACACTCACTTCCGGTTTTTGATCGGGAGTCGAAACATACGAGTTCCAAGGCGTTTGGCAACCAAGGCACAACTGTATATCCTTTCTGCAAAATATCCAAGGTGGTTTTTCAGACATGGGGCAGTGGGGTAATGTGTGCATTTCCCTTGTGCTTGCTGAAAGGAGGAAAGCTGAGCAATAGCCATGTTGTAGTTGTAGTAAAAAAGGTAAGGCAGGTAAAGGACCCAGTTAATCCAGTCAAAGGCGACTATGAGGTGCAGCAGTCATCTCACTTTTCAGGCCGAGGGAGCCAGCGTTTGTCCACAGACAGCTTTCCGGGTCCTGTGGTCAGCATGACTAAACCACTTCTGGAGCAGTGGAACACTGTGACAGAAACCAGAGCGCCTGGAAACGCCATTTACCTTCCCGCCGCAGTGGTACCTTTTTATCTGCTTGCACTGGTATGCTTTTGAACTGCTAGGTTGGCAGAAGCTGGGACAGAGCAATGGGAGCTCACCCCATCGCGGGGATTCAAACTGCCGACCTTCCAATCAGCAAGCTCAGAGGCTCGGTGGTTTAGACCACAGCACCACGCTGCTTCCTTTGTAGTTGTAGTAGTCCAGCTGGAACCTTGGTGCCATGAGGCCAGTAGCAATCAAGACTCTTGAGTCACAGGCTGCAGAATCTCCAGCTAAGGAGCCAAACAAGGAACCAGGCCAGCTTTAGGGCTCTAAGTCTGTTGGTGGAGACCAGGAGTCCACTAGGCCAGAGGTCCAGAGCCAGGACCCTCACAGGTATCAGAGCCTGAGAAAACAAAGGCTTCCCACAGTACCTCACCAGTCCATTGGTACAGAGAGCTAACAAGGCAAGAGGCTATGGAGAAGTGCCAGACGGTTGGTCCTCTAAGAATCCTAAGGTTATCCACAAGGGGTGGAGCCTTCAGACGTAGTCTAGTGGCAGAGGCTTAAAGATGTTCTGTCTGCTCTCAACCTTCATCAGAGCACGTTGCTCACCTGGAGCTATCTGTGGTTCTGCAGCTCCTGACCTGCCTTGCTGCTTTGAGATCCAGCTTCAAACCACAACAAGACACAGGGGCTGTTGACTTACAGCAAAGATCTCTAGTGTCCAATTTAGCCTGAATTACATTTGTGGGTCTCTTAACTTAGAACTCTTGAAATGTTTTGTTCCTCCTTCCTTTCTCTCGCCTGCCCCTCTGCCCCCTCCCAGAATTAAATACGGTGCCTGCAGTTGGACAGAAGCTATAGCTTGTGTTTTGCAGGATGACTGTACCATGATTATTTCTTTTCTTTTTTAAAATAGCCCATTCTTATTTTTCTGAATGAATATAACGAAAACCCAAGCAAGCATTTGGAGGCCCATTTCTTAAACCTTTACCATATATTTGCATTGTAGTAGTGCTCCTGCTGTGACCCACTTTGGATCAGGCCATGACCCACCAGGGCAGGCATGGCCAAACTTGGCCCTCCAGATGTTTTGGGACTACAACTCCCATCATCCCTAGCTAACAGGGCCAGTGGTCAGGGATGATGGGAATTGTAGTCCCAAAACATCTGGAGGGCTGAGTTTGGCCATGCCTGCACTAGGGGGTTCCGACCCACCAGTTGAAGACCAGTGGTTTAGAGCACATTAGAAGTATGGCCATCAGAATGCATCAAGCAGGTTTCCTTTCAGATACTTTGGACCAGGGGTCAGCAGACTTTTTCAGCAGGGAGCCGGTCCACTATCCCTCAGACCTTGTAGGGGGCTGGACTATATTTCTTGGGGGGGGAGAAATGAACGAATTCCTATGCCCCACAAATAACCCAAATTATCTGAAGGACTCCAGATTGGGTAATGCTGATTAACATGTGCAAAGACCTGTTTGGCTTAGGTGAGTTTCTGGCAAAAAGATGCTTATGACTCTGGGAAGTTGTAAGCCATATTCCCTTTTCTTTACAAATGAGAGAAATTCATCTCGTTTTGATTGTCCCCTGACGAAGGCTTCTATTATGTGTCAGCTTCTCCAGCCCCATTATTTGCCAAGTTCTGCTGTATCAGCTGTGGCTGGTATAACCTCTTAAAGCTTTCTAGTGTCTGGCGATTTCAAGACAAGCTGCAGCTAACAGAGCTAATACAAGCCCTTCGTATAAAATTGTCATTTTAGAGTTATTGCAAACAGATTATAATGCTAACACTGGCTCTGATGGAATTATTGACTGTATTACATCTGCGATCGGGACAGACACTCTAGGCTGCAACCGTTCTGCAAACTGACAAGTTCCTCTGCGGAGAATATAAAGGTCCTGTCTGTTTATTCCCTCTTCAGCATGTACCCAGCAAATTGCTGTTCGTGTGATGAAATCTTATTGGAGTAAGACGTATAATGTTGATTTGCAGATCTCCCACTGCAAAATAGATGCTAACGCTATAAAGCCCACACTCCTTTTGCAGGATCATCTGCATAGTGGCCTAGACTTAATGAGCAGAGGTTAACCCATTATTTGCTTACTTTGCCTCACATCGTTGTAGGCAGAAAGAGAACAATCTCTCCTTGTCTGGTTGTAACCCTCAACACTTTCCCCCTCTACCTATACAGAGTGCTCGGCATCAACGAATGGCAGAGCACAGGGTTCCAGTACGATGTCATCAGCTGCTTGAATCTGCTCGATCGCTGTGATCAGCCATTGACTGTATTAAAAGATATTAGAAGTGTACTGGAGCCTACGAGAGGCAGAGTCATCCTGGCATTGGTTCTGCCCTTTCATCCATATGTGGAGAATGGTAAGTGTTTAACAGCTGATTGATGGGGGTTGAGAGGGAAGGAAAGGGGGACTTCCTCACTCCTGCAATTGCATGAGAATCTGTTCTGCAGGGGTTTCCCAAGAGCTGTTTGCAATTGCAGACAGCCTGCCTAGAATCCATGGGCGCTTTATGTCTTGCTTGGAGTGGTATGGCTGGCCTCGCTTCCACTGTTGCGCCCACGCTGCTCTGAAATGTTTAACATGTACACCAACAAGTGCAGCCAAACCACATTCCCAGAGCTGTAGGGAAGCAACAATGGCTCCACGTATGTAAAGTGCCTCTTAGGAGGACTTATTTAGAGACTTCAGCCAGTCATAGCCTGTAGTCAGAGTAGAAGGCTGGACCAAGTTAATTTTTTAAGGAGCAATACCTCGTTGAGGTTATGTCTCCACACCGAAAGGACTCTGGTTGTAGTTGCAAAGGAACTACTCCACCCATGCTCCAAGTTGACTTTTATAATAGTTCATTTTTTCCAATATTCTCTCTTTCTGTTTTGTGTGTTTGTTTGTTTGTTTGTGTGTGTGTGTGTGTGGTTCTGAGTTTTTGTTTGTTTCGTTCTGAGTGGTTTTTTTAAAGATTTATTTAGTCTTAACTAAGTACAAAAACTCACATATCCAGCATTTTGGTCAATAATGCCCACTGTACAAAGCAAATTTAAAATAACCAAAGGAAGGAAACTAAGCTTACAGCCTATTTGTCATGCACAAAAGCTACAAAGACAAATCTTAATTTGCAGGGAGTCTGTTCTTTTGTGGAACTAGATACCCATACGTCAGCATCATACAGATGACAAATTGCAAGAAAGTACTTTGTATACATTCAAATTTTGGCAGTCATGTTTTGCTGGGGGTGGGGGGAGTTAACATGCAAGAAAAAGAGAAATGAGGTGAGAAAAGACTTGTTCTGGCTTTGAAATCCAATCTTTCTTCTTTACAAGTTCAGTTTCTGCATTACCTTCTATTCCCACCCTTTGTTCATCCACTCATGAAAAGTGGGAAGGATGTGTTGTCTCTCTTTCTGTCTTTCTTAAAAGAAATATGTAAGCTTATAAATCATCATTTGTGGCAATAATATATCTTGTGAGGAAGAGGTAGTTCCAAACTGGTTTGCAAGAAAAGCACAAACCAAAGGTTCCTGGTTCAGACAAAATGCCAAACTATAGTTTGCAACAAACCAGGATCTGTGGTTGGGAGCTGATGGTGCATGGCAGGGGAAAGGGCACAGTCCAGAGACCCCTTTCTGCACGCTATCGTTTGGGATTCCATTTGAACCACCGCAACAGATCTCTTAGCTTTTGTACTGTTTTGAACTACATACCGTATTTTTCGCTCTATAGGACGCACCCCCCCCCCCAGAAATTAAGGGGAAATGTGTGTGCGTCCTATAGAGCGAATACAGGCTGCGCGGCTAAGCCCAAAGCCAGAACAGGGAGACGGAGTGCTGCGGAGCGCTCCATCTCGCTCTTCTAGCTTGGGGTTAGCTGCGCAAAGCCTCTGCAGGGCAGCGGGGTGAAGGCACCCCGCTGCCCTGCGGAGGCTAGAAAGGCTGTCCCTGAAGCCAGAAGAGCGAGATGGAGCGTTCCGTCTCGCTCTTCTAGCTTGCGGATGGCTGCCCTGCAGAGGCTAGAAAGGCTGTCCCCGAAGCCTGAAGCCTTTGGAGCGCAGCGGGAACTCGCGCTGCACTCCAAAGGCTTCAGGGATCTTTGAGGCTGGCGGTGGGGGAAAGCAGCACTTCCCACCACCGCCAGCCCCACAAGCTCGGGGGCTGTTCCCCGACCTGCTCTTTGGGGCTGGCGGTGGGGGAAAGCAGCACTCCCCCCCTGCCAGCCCCAAAGAGCAGGTCGAAAGGAACCTGAAGCCTCCGGAGCCCAGAGGGAACTCCCGCTGCGCTCCGGAGGCTTTGGGTGAATGCACCTTGAATGCACCTTGTTTTAGAGGGGGAGAACAAGGAAAAAAAAATTTTCCCTGTTCTCCCTCTCCTATAGTCTGGTGCGTCCTATAGAGCGAAAAATGTGGTATGTGCTAAAGTAGAAACATTTGACTTCCCATTAATTTTGATAAAATGCCATGTTGACAAAGAACTTTTTTTCCCCGTCTTGCTTGAGCACTACTGAGGAGTGCACACAATTGTTGTTGTTAGTATTTATATCCCATCTTTCTCGCAAATTAGGATTCTGGGTGGCTTACAACATTTAAAATGTCATTATAAAATACAAAGCGATAAAAACAAACTAGTTAAAAACAATAATTAAAATACAGCAGAACACATTCAAAACCAAAAATTAAAACCCACTTTGCCCTGACCACAGCCCAGTGTCTGCACCTCCGTTTTCAAAGGCCTAGGAAGGCCTTAGCCTGCCAGTGGAAGGATAACAAATAGGGTTTTTTTGTTTAGTCGTGTCCAACTCTTCGTGACCCCATGGACCAGAGCACGCCAGGCACTCCTGTCTTCCAAATAGGGAGCCAGTCTTAACATCTCTTGGGAGGAAATTACACAATGTGGGAGCAGCCACAGCAAAGGCGCTCTCTTGTGTCACCACCAACTGTGTCACTGATGTCGATGGGACTGAGAGAAGGTGCTCACCTGAGGATGTTAGCACCCAGGTAGGTTCGTGTAGGGAATTACGATATTTCCTGTAACCAGGGCTCAAGCATATAGGGCTTTATAGGATACAGCCAGCACTTTGAATTGTACCCAGAAACGAACCGGTAGCCCATGAAGTTGTTTTAATGACAGAGTAACATAATAAGAATAACGCTCTCTGCTACCGGTACCAGTCAGCAGTTTGGCCCAGAATTCTGAACCAGCTAAAGCTTCCAAATACACTGGTACCTCAGGTTAAGAACTTAATTCGTTCTGGAGGTCTGTTCTTAACCTGAAACTGTTCTTAACCTGAGGTACCACTTTAGCTAATGGGGCCTCCCGCCACCGTGTGATTTCTGTTCTCATCCTGAAGCAAAGTTCTTAACCTGAGGTACTATTTCTGGGTTAGCGGAGTCTGTAACCTGAAGCGTATGTAACCTGAAGTGTCTGTAACCCGAGGTACCACTGTACTTCTCAAAGGCAGCCACACATAGATCACGTTACAGTAGTCCAACTGGGGCGCATCTAAGTCACGCATCTCAGTGGCCAGATCCAATAAGGAATGGGTGCAGTTGGTGCCTGAGTTGTAATTGTGTAAATGCCCTTCTGGTCACTGCAGCACCCATGTTCGGGGCAGAATCCCAGGAGTACAGTTGTATGCCTGGAGATGCTTCTTAACCTCAGGTGTGTTGCCAGTTTTGAGGGGACCTTGGTCAAGGTGCCCTTGCAGGGGGAAGACAACACCGCCCTGGTTGCTCTTCTCCTTTCCTGCCTTGCCCTGGCTGTTTCCCTACTTCCTTCCCACAAAGCCCTTCCCTGGTTGCTCTCCCACTTCCTGCTTTCTCCTCTACTGCTCCCTGCTCTGTAGGTTTAAGAGGCAGCAGCAGGAAGTGGTCTCTTAAAGGGAGAAGAAGAAAAAAGCAGAACTGGGGAAATTAAGATGTTTGGTGCAGCTTGAACCTCAGCAGGTCTTTTCCTGCATAGCAAACCCACCCAGCAACTGTCATCAGCCCCAGTATGTGCCCTGGACTGGTTGTTCACACCATTCTCCACCATGGACCAGTGCTGCTGTTCCTGGTCCATTTAGGGGGAGCCCCCATAATGTAGCTTGCAAGACCTAGGCCCCAGAATCTGTGCTTAAGCTGGCCTGAGTTGTGAAATGGTCGTCGTCCTTGCATTTTCCATATCTTACTTTGCAGTTCTACAGTTCTGTTTCTCTCTCTGGTCTTGTAACTACTCAGGATTTCCAGGGTCTTGCTGTTTCTCTCCCACACCTTTATGTCCAGGATCCTGTTTGGTAACTGCACAATAAAACTTAACGCAACTTCCTGGCAAGGCAACCAAGCACATACTGGCATTTGTTTCCTCATGGTTCAAAGACCAGTGTTTGCTTTGAGATCAGGATGCCAGATATGTGGGCCTCTGAAGTACAAGATGGGCTCGCCTTTTGAAGAGACACAGGCAGCTCTAAAACTAAGCAAAGAAGGGTGAGGGTGGGCGAGAGAATGTGGGGAAGATGGAAATCAATGAAGGGAAAAGGAAGGAACACCACTAAAAACTCAAGGACATTTCTGATTAAATAGGTTGTATTCCCTGTTAGCCCCTGCTCAAAGTAAAGCCACTGAAATTAATTCCAGTTCTAGGCAGCTCCTGGCAAATGTGTAAATTTAACATTTTGGGTTAACTGTATTTCAAAAAGTAAAAACCAAGACACCCTGAAAATTGTTGAGCTTTTCTTTTCTTTTCTTTTTTTTTACAAAAACACCAAGAAAAAGTGATTTTTCAATTGACTGCCTTTCAAAAATTCCCCCCTGGACGTCAGTTCCACCTTTGAGATCCCGGTGATGTCCAGGAAAATCCAGACGTATGGCAGCCCTAGTTTAGTATGACACAATAGGAGCTTTTTGCTGTATGAAGCTCACTTTTCCCCCTTCGGATGTTTAATGTGTGAATCACGTTTCCAGTTCTACCGAACCCATGAAAGTGCAACTGCTATGATAATTCATCCATTTTGTGGCTTTTATCCAAATGCCCCTGCAAGAAAAGAAAAGAAGCATGTTCAGTAGTTTGCTAGTGTGCAATAAAACCCAAAAATACTTGATCCCAAAGAGTCATGTTCACTGCAGTGATGCACCGCAATTCTCTGTCTCTTGTTGTTTTTTAAAAATACCACATATATATAGCTATCCATATACCAGCAGAAGAAAACGGCTGAATCATAAGCTTCCCAAACAACTGCTAATTCTCCGAGAGCTTACTCAGTGAAGGGAACTCTATACCATACTGGCATCCATTGGCAAGCTCAAAAAGATTAGCTTTCTATGAAATATTATTCTGTCCGGAATCTTTATGTGTAAGACTGGGTTGTTTGTTTTTTAAGCCTACTTTCTGTAGCTTGTTTTTCATTGCGAGATTCCCATTTATACAAGATACATTTTTGTGTGAGTTGCAGGAAGATTTATGCCATTCTCAGAACCGCTATGCCACCTTCTCCAGGTTGAAATGGATAAGGAAGGACGGGTGCCAAGTCACAGCACAGACAAGACAATAATAGTTCTTTTTGCGTTCATTGCTAAACTTAGAATACTGGAGCAACATTGGCATAGCAGCACAGCCTATAACCCGGCCTCTGTGCTGCCGCCCAATTGGTTCCTTTCCCCTTCTGTCACCGATGCCCTCCGATTGCCCGTATGAACACAGTTCCCGCCCCCTTTCAATGCTCCTGGCTACTTACATGCCTCCGCTGCCTGTTGTGCTTCTTTTTGCCAAACTCCTTTGCGATCGCTCGACAAACGGCTACTTTGCTTCCCCCACCCTGGAAATTTAAAAGAGGCTTTGAACACTTGTCTTCGCCTAGCAGTGTGGGGCACATTGGTGTGTTGTTGTTTTTAAAACAGAAACTGAGAAAATGACCCCTTCGGACGCTGCCGATGCGACAGGAAACATGACTGTTGCTAACAGTTGTGGGGTGGGGTATTTATCAGCTATAGGACCGTAGCCTTATACAGAGCCAGATCAGACCATCCCAACCATCCCTCTCTTCCTTTGCTGTTATATTGTGGAAGGGAGCACAAGGTGGTCAGTGTGCCCTGGCAAATAGCAGCAAGGCTATTATTATTATTATTATTTTGCTCAGTGCCCAAATAAACTTCCAAGCAATCTCCAAGTATAAAAACCAGTTACACAAATCTTAAAATGCAAACGTTCATAATTAACTACAGAGCCGTGTACGAAATAACTAAATAATAAAATTGAAATACGCAATTTGGAATACCAACGTCTGTAATTATATCATGCAATGAAAATGATCCCATTTAAACATGGCAGCAATTAAAAGAGGAAACGTGGGTCGAGGTGCCTCTGAAAGAGAAGGGGTGGCAGCTTTAGCCAAGCAGAGGCCCAGGCCTCTTCCTTGCATTGCTTCGTTCCCTGCTGGTCCCTCTCTCGCTTTTGTTTTGGTCTAGCCAGGCGCCCATCTCCACAAATGCAGCACACCTGAGTGTCAGGTGCAGCCCTGTGCCCATCACCTGCCTGTTCCCCATGGAGCTCTGCCACTAGGCGGTTACAAAGGCAGACACAACAAGGAAGGGGCGTTGCTGTTCCTATTGCTAGCCATGCAAACTGGCTCCCTCTCGAGCCGCCCACTCAGCATGTGCTCCCTTTCTCTTCCCCGTAACACCACAAGAGGAAAGAGGAGGAGGAGGAGGAAGCAACCCCAGCAGAATTCTGTGTTTCCATCTCAGCATAAATTGGTGCATTGTGATGCACTTACTTTTCTGGTCCTCCTTTCTAAAGCAGAAATGGCTTAGGGGAAAACTTTCGCATCCTGGATGTTGTCGGACTCCAACTCCCAGCTTCCCTGAATACTGACCACGCCGGCTAGGACCGATAGGAGTTGGAGTCCAGCAGCATTCAAATCGACCGCAGTTTCCCCACCTCTATTCCAGATTGACAGCAGTCGTAGTCTGGCTCCATTTCCCCAGCTGGAGAAATTCAGTCAGGAGATGAGGCAGCGCACATCTGCTTTCAGACGTCATATGCAGCAGCAGCGGTTTGGATTAACTCGCCATAGATAACCAAACTGTTGTGTAGCCTACAAACTTTGTGATCTTCCAGCTGCTAAGTGTGTATAAGATTGCAGGGTCTTTTTAGGCTTGCCACATGCCAGCCCACTGCAGATTTGAAATGCAACAGGCTGGACATGCAGCCAAGTGTTGCCATGTGGAAGGCTCCTATTCAGGGTTCCAGCCAGCCATGTCTTCTTTCAGGATAATCCCTCTTCCCCCAGTTTTCTAAGGGGGTTTCTCTCTCAAGAGTGGCTACTGAGCATGCTTAGGCCTCACTGAGTAGCTTAGAAGGGTGCCTCTCTTAAGAACTGGGGTTTTAACTAAAAAAATTTGTCCCTCTGTAAATCTCAGGGTTTCCCCAAGCTTGCTGCTACCTCCCTCCTTTGCGTGGGTACTTCCTTTTCCTGCTCATATAAAGATTCACCTTTGGAGAATGCATTAGCTACCTTGTGTACAGGATTGCAAACACTTACGCAAACATTGACATGCCTCTCTGTTTTCTTGAGTTTAGGCTGTGGAAACAAAGGTGAACAATGCATTTTAGCAAAGGAGATTGGTACCTCTTTTTTTTTTTTAAGCAAACATTACAGAGATTGGGGATGATATGATAATGGGTATTTTTGCTGTTGCGTTCAAGGAGCCATAGTGATGGGAGCCACCTGTCACATAGAGAAGTAAAATGTTTGGGAGGTTAAATTGAAGAGCAGGTCATGTGGGGTGAAAAATGGAGATAGCACAGGGTATCTGTGCACAGAGTAGAGTGTGGGATTTAAACTGTGGCATCCCAGGTTCAAGTCACTGCATGGGCAGGAAGCTCTCTGAATAATTTGGGCAAACTGCATTCTCTGTTAACCTAACCCACCTCTCGAAGTGATGATTGCGAAGATACAGGTCACATCCACACCACGCAATTAAAAACACATAGCTTCCTGCAAAGAATCCTGGGAACTGTAGTTTACCCCTCACAGAGCTACAAATACACCCTTAACAAACTGCATATGGTGTGGATGTAACTGCAGTGTACTCGGGGGTGGGTGGGGAATATAACCCACCCTGAGTTCTTTAGTGGATACAAGGGTATTGCATAAAATTTATTGATTGATCAGATTATTAAGAATATTTATATTCTGCCTTTTCAAAAGTGGCGAACAAACACTGAATACATCAGTGTGCCAACACATTTTAAAACTGCCCCCCCCCAATCATATACAGTGGTACCTCGGGTTACAGACTCTTCAGGTTACAGACTCCGCTAACCCAGAAATAGTACCTCGGGTTAAGAACTTTGCTTCAGGATGAGAACAGAAATCGTGGCGGCACGGCAGCAGCGGGAGGCCCCATTAGTTAAAGTGGTGCTTCAAGTTAAGAACAGTTTCAGGTTAAGAACGGCCCTCCGGAACAAATTAAGTACATAACCAGAGGTACCACTGTACAAATGAAATAAGCGTAGTACCATAAAAAATTCTAGCACTAAATGATATATGCAAGCAGCAGAAAACATCCAGTTAAAAGTGGCCAACTGCTAGACCAAAAGCCAGGCCCAAAAAAGAGGATTTTGTCATCTAGACAGAATGCCATCAAAGAGGGGGCTATGCAGACCTTCCAAGAGAGAAAATTCCAATGCTTGGGTGCAGCCACTAAAAAGGCCCTCCTCTTGTGTCCCTACTAAACACACCTCAAACTGGGCAGGAGAAAGAGAAGAGGTTCACCTGATACAAGTTCGTATTAGAGCAGGTATCCCTTGAGGTACCTTGGTCCACAGCTGTTTAAAGCTTTGAAGGCTGAGGCGAGCACTTTGAATTGGGGTTGGAAGTGAATCAGTAAGTCAACGAGTTGTTGTAACAAGAGAGTCACACGCTCCCTATAACCTGCTCCATTCAGCACAACCACCGCAAATTCAGGGCAGCTGCAGTTTCCATAACTTTGTAAAGGCAGCCTTACGTAAGGACTATTGGAATAGTCCAAATCAGAAGATTCACCAATTGTATGATTCAGCATAAGGCAGCTTCCTATGTATATTCCCAGTTTTGGGGTGTTTCTTTTTTAAGAAGTGGATGTGGCTGACATCACATCTAGCTAGGCACCAACCGAATTTGCAGAAGTGGCGAGGGTGTCATAATCACATGCCCTCTTTTTTCTTTTATAAAAAAATATTTTCACAGCATGCAAATAGACTTGCAACCCAAGGCTGGTCTTGGGTTTCCTTCATTGAAAGCATTGTAAAGCTGCTAGGATCTGGTATGGGAGAGAGATTGAGAGAGAGCAGATACAGAGAGAGACGAACATACCTTCGTGAATAACTTAAAAACTGCCAACAAGGCAACAAGGTAGAGGAACAGCACAACTGAGATGGCCAGCATGCTGTACTCAACTCCTCGGCTGTATGTTCCACTCTCTTTTTTAAAATAAGAACAGCAAAAAGAATATCGTTAGTTTAGTTTCAGTTTGCATTATTGGCATAGTATGAATGATGGTTTTCTTGCGCTTTTTAATGATTTTATTAATCAAAAGGAACACGTAACAATCAGCTGAGACCTTAAAACAGTGATAACGCCGCATAAAGTAAGGAAACCACCGGCTCTTCTATGTAAGGAAGGGGATGGGAAGGAGAGAAAAAGTAGGTGTGGAGGAAGAAAAGGGAGAATCTAGACCTGGGTGGCAAGAGGTCGCCATGTAATCCAGTTGAAGACCCAAAGGCACAAAACAGGTTGTGCAAGTTGTTTGTATATAGAGACCTATGTAGATGTCACAAAGAGTTCCATATAAAGTTATATTTTTCAGGTACAGTGTTCAAATGGGAACAATTATTCACATATGTCCTAAAAGTCCACGAAAGAGCTGCAGAGTCCCCAGGTTCTGCGGTTCTAGTTTCTTGTTCTGATTCCACCTTGAGGAGTCTAGACCATCAGAGCATAAGAAGATCCTGCTGGGCCAGTTCAGATGTAACGGTTCCAGCTTTATATGCCTCTGTTTATAAAACCGGTCAGTTCTCCAAGCTCCTTCCCTTACTCCTTCCCTGAAACACCAGCTTCAGCATTTCAGTCAGGTTCAAAGCAAATCACCATTTCCCATTACACTCAAACCTTGCTGCTTAGGCTTGGTTTCCTAACCAGGATCTTAAACTAAGATCAAACTGTGGTTTTAGAAACCTGGTTATCAAACAGACATTAAAACACAGTTTTTTGTTTCTAAGATAGCAATACACTCTTCAAATTGGGCTGAAGCACCAAAACAAGGGAGGAACACGCAGGACAAAAGCCCGTTCCCAGCTTCGTAAACCATAGTTTGTCACTTAAACAATGGTTTAAGAACAAACTTAGTCTTTAAGGTGCTACTGGACAATTTTATTTTTTTACATGGTTTATCATGTGTGATAAGGTTGTCACGTGTGTGTGAATCAACCAACTGAGTTAGAGAGAGTTAGGCTTGCTTTGTATCTCTCTGGTTCTGACTAGTTTGAATATATGAAAATCCTTATGCAGAGCCAAAGCATTAGTCCAACAAACCTTGGGAGTGTCTACCCTGCCTTAGCACTTTTGCTTTACAGTTTGTTAAAATAATATTCGTAGGGAGCAGTCTTTGACCTGCAAGTGAGATATAAACAGTAGGTTTTTTCCTGGGGGGACGCAGGGGTACACATACCCCTAAACATTTTGTGAATCTAAGTCTGGTCTCATTGAGGGGCAGTATTTCAATATGAGTAGGAAAATGAGAGTACCCCTAAACATTTTTTTAAGAGGGGGGGAAAAACCACTGGATAAAAATCTCCTTAAAATAATAGAGAACCCTTCCCCCTCAAAAAAATAAAGTAGCAACCAACCTCTTATCACCAACACTGTTCCGCTTCCAGTTTGCTTGGAGGTGGAGGAATTTGAACTTGAAATTGCTACCCCACAAAAATAAATTGCGCTGTCTTCTTCATTGATTTCGTTGATCCCAAGCTGAGCCTGGTTCTTAGATGTTAATTGAGACACTTTGAACTTTGTGCTGTTTATGCAATTGGGAGTGCACAAGGCTTCGTGGGTATGCGCAAGATATCGAAACCACAGAATGGTCGGAGTGGATGTGGGGCATCCCTGAGCAGAAAAAGTACACGGTATAGCAATATATTTTGATGCAGGGTAGCCTTCCATGAGTGGAGGTTGAGATACTGTCACTTTGCAAAAGTTGGCACCTATTGAGGAGGATTAAACATACCCTGATGAGAAAGTCAATCGAAAAAGGGTGAGGAGTCGGTTCTCTGCATATTACAGTTTAGGAGCTTGCTGTTACCTGTTAATTGCAGTTTCCACAAGCCATTTGAAGGCTCCAGTCATCACTTCCACTAGTGTGACTTACAACCCAATCCTGTGCATTATTCTGCAGAGATAGAGGAGGATTAGCTTCCCCCTGCCCCCGCTGTTTTTTTGGCCATTTGCCTCACCCCACCCCTGCCCAAGCTTTTCTCAAATAAATCTGCTTCTGATGCTTTCTGCAAGAGCTGTTATTTTTAAAGCTTAATGACAACAGAAAGGATTAAGAGAGAGAGAGAGAATTCCTTACCTGCATAATATGTCACCCAGGTAAATTGCAGCACCAGAATCAGAACCCATTGCTTGAACGTTGCCATTTTGCCTGCAAAGTTTCCTCTGAAAGGGTTTCAGCTCAAGAAAGTGGAACTGAGGGGAACCCGAAGTGGAAACGGAATGGGAAGCCCTTGTCAGTTACAGTTCTTCATATTGCACAACTGAGGAAGTTCCTAGCTCTGTATTTACATGATGTAAAATAAAGCATAGGGTGTCTCTCTGTGCAACTATTTTCGGCTTATTTGCTGGGTGCTGTTTAGTAGCCACCCCTCAGGAACCTTTAAAAATGGAGACGAAAGAATTCTTTAACTAAAGTAAAAAGTAAAGAACCCCTGGATGGTTAAGTCCAGCCAAAGGTGGCTATGGGGTTGAGGCGCTCATCTTGCTTTCAGGCCGAGAGAGTCGGCATTTGTCCGCAGACAGCTTTCCGGGTCATGTGGCCAGCGTGACTAAACCGCTTCTGGCACAGTGGAACAAACACCGTGATGGAAACCAGAGTGCGCAGAAATGCTGTTTACTTTCCCACCGCAGCGGTACCTATTTATCTACTTGCACTGGCGTGCTTTCGAACTGCTAGGTTGGCAAGAACAGAGCAACGGGAGCTCACTCCTTCACGGGGATTCGAACCACTGACCTTCTGATCGGCAAGCCCAAGAGGCTCAGTGCTTTAGACCATAGCGCCACCCGCGTCCCAAATTATCCTTTCCTGAAAACAGTAGATTCCTGTTGTTACATCTGGTTCAAGCAAATGGAAAATGGGAAAGACACTCACAGAGTTGACAGATTATAATCATCATGCTTTCTATCCCATCTTTCCTTCAAGGGGTGGGCACAGTTCCAACTACACCTTCCATCCAGGGCCCCAGTGGTGCAAGGCAGTACAATACTATGGAGAGGGCCGTGTGAGCAACAGAGTTTAGGGTCACATCCACACCAGGCATCGAAAGTGCATGGCTCCCCCCCGCCCCCCGTTTTTCCTCTCCGTCTCTCATAGCACTAGAATCTGAGAACATCCAGCAAAGCTGAATGTTGAAAGAAAGTGCATGGTTAAGATGGAATTTGCAGTGGTGGTCGCCAAGCTGCATGGCTTTTAAAAAACGGATTAGACAATCCTACTCTTATCAGTACCAATGCCGATTTTAATTTTGAGCTGGGAAAGAGGAGTACATGGTTCACACCCGCTCCTCAGTTAATCTCTGCGACGATCCTATGAGGTAGGTAAAGAGGCTGTGACTGTCCCAAGGTTATCCAGTAAGCTCCATGACGGAGTGGGGATTTGAACCCTGATCTCCTAGGTTCTAGTCTGACACTCTAAACCACTACACCACACTGGCTTCCTAGAGTTCTTCTGCTATGGGGCAGCTATATAAATTAAGCAGGTAAATATATGTGGAAAGCAATATGTCTGAAATACTTAAGGCCCCCAACCCTATAGTTATAATTGTGGGTAGCCATCTGAGTTTATTTTGATTTTAATCTGATTTTAATCTGTATTTCAGTCAATTGCTGAATTTATATTTTAATGTATTATATGTTAGCCGCCCTGAGCCCAGTTGTGGCCAGAGAGGGCAGGATATAAATAAAATTATTTTATTATTATTATTATTACTACTACTACTACTACTACTACTACCACTTAAAGCTTGAATTTGTTTTATTCTGGATTGTTTTATTTGATGTCTTAATGTGTTATAAACTGCTTTGAGATATTTTCTTTAAAATATAAAGCGGTATAGAAATGAGATTAATCATCATCACTATATTAAAAAAAAGGCACCTAGACATCCCATTGTGGCAACCATAACCTAGGTTTAAGGAGTTAGCAATTAGCTTATCTTTCTGAGTTTCTAACACTTGAGTTTCTTCGGGCTGCAGAAGTTTTACCGCCTCTGTCTTAAGTCTTCACATGGTGGCTCATATGGTCTCCGCACTTCCTTTCTCTTGAAGATTGGGAATGAGGTGGCTCTCACCTAAACTGCTTAGCCACTTCCCTCACAGAAACCACACTGTGTGGTGATGAAAGAACACTTTGAACATTGGCAATACCGAAGCAAATTAGACTGAAGCAGGCAATAGTTTTCAAGAGTCTTGAAAGTGGTTTGCGAGAGGTATTGCTTCCCACGGTTTATGTACTCATTTTGTCCCACAATTTGAAAATAAACGTTTTGGAGTTTTGAATTTACATATATATTTAAATGCAGAAGCACACACATAAAAGGAAATAAATTCAAGCATTGGGGAATAACTCGCCTACCTATTGTTACAAGAAAGTAGAATAATTTGGAAGAAACCAAATGGTTAAAATTATCTGGTACTTATTACAATAACAACTAAAATAAAGGAGAAGTATATATTTTTCTTTTTCTTTTTTTATTGCTTTTCATTATAGACAAAATGCAGTGCTCGTGACAAAACCACACCAAACACCCAACCCCGCCCCCCCCAAGTTACAGTCATTAAAGAAATATGGAGAATAGTAATAAGAAGATTTCAGGGAGACACACTGTTTAATTAATCAGTTTTGCAGTATTGGGATAAAGAAAAACACAGACAAGTGCATAAATGGTAAAAAGGGGGGGACCTCATCATGAGTTCCAAACTGAGTCAGATTGCAGTGGGGATTTAATATCATTATCTTTAAGGAATTTGTAAACTGGAAAGGCAAACCAGGTTTTAATAAATTTATCTGTTTTAGAAATTCCATCAAGTACTCTCAGTTTGTGCACAAGTTTTTCCATATACCCATCAATGTTTCAGCGAGGGGAATTTGCATTTCTTGACCTAATAGGGAAAGGAGGTTTCTTTCTCTTGCTCCCAGTTTTTAGAAGATGGATTAAGATTATTCTCTTTCACCTTTGGATGCTGTCTGGCTATTTGGGAAGAGCTTGCTCTTGGCTTTATGGCTCTTGGCTGCTCATAGGATTTGTCCATTATTGTTCTTGATTTGTTGTTGTAATTTCTGCCTTTCCTAATGGATTCGCAGCCTGCCTTGTTCAAGTCATTAGGCCAAAAAGCAGGATAAGTGAAACAGATTTAAATAAAGATAAATAACTAACGCGAACCCCATGTGCTTTTTCAGTAGGTGGCAAGTGGGATAAACCTTCCGAAGTTTTGGAAATCAAAGGACAGACGTGGGAGGAACAGGTGAACAGCTTGCCAGAGGTTTTCAGGAAAGCTGGCTTTGCCATAGAGGCGTTCACCAGACTGCCATACTTATGTGAAGGTGACATGTATAATGACTACTACGTCTTAGATGATGCTGTCTTCGTCCTCAAACCAGTGTAAATGTGTCTTCTGAGTCAAACCCAAGAAGCAGTCTGTGAATGAAGCATTTTGATTTTGGGGTTTTTTCTCGGTTTTTATTAATTGCAGGATGGGAGGAAAAACTATTGTGGTTATCCATTCTAAATCGACATCATGTATGAAGTCTAAAGGTCAAAATACTAATTTCTTTGTAGTATGTTTTGGAAGGGGGGGGAAGGAACTCTTTCTTTTTTTAAAAAAAGACAGAACTCTTCTGTTGATGATTTCTTAACCCCCATGATGCACCTGCAATCCAACAATAAATCGAAGATATTTTTATACCTAACTATGGATAAGGATCATGATCCAGCCATAGCCAGGAAGCTACATAAACTGATCCAGTGCAGCTGGTTTTTCAAGGACATGCGAGAATACTGGCAATAAAGCTGTCCGTCCAGTATTAAAACTGGATTGATTATCAAGTGTTGGGATGGATTTTCTTCCATGTTGATGAAGTTATTTTATCTGTTGGTCTTCAGCACATGTTTTTAATCATGCTAATAAAACTTTTTTTGAGATGACTCATGTATCCAGTCTTCATTTATGCAAACGGAGTCTTGTTTAGCTGTAGATAACTTGGGTGTGTGCATGTAAACATAGGAAGTTGCCTTGTGGTCCGTATCATTCAGCACCGTAAACCCTTAACTTGCAACAACCTGGGATGAACTCTTTCCCAGCTGCCTACAATCCTTTAACACAGGTGGGGGACCTGTGGCCCTCCAGGTGCTGTTGGACTCCCATCAGCCCCAGTCTGCTTGGCCAGTGGTCAGGGGTTATGAGGATTGTAGTTCAGAAACCACAGGTTCCCCACCTCTTTCCTTAGCATGAAGTCTGGAGACATAATCTTCACCAGTCTGCAAAGCTTGGCTGCTCTGCCTGCGGAGTTAAAGCATATGAACAAACGATACTGCCTTATTCAGAATCAGATCGTAGGCTCAGAAGTCTATTCTGACATGCAACAGCAAACCAAGGTAGCATGTAGGTGCTTTCCAGCCCAGTAATAATAATAATTTTATTATTTGTACCGCACCCAACTGGTTGGGTTGCCACAGCGCAGCTGGAGATGTCAGGAATTAAACCCAGGGTGTTTGTGCCCACAAAACATGTGTACTGCTATGGCCAAGGTTCTTGTTGCTATGCAGTGAGAAACACACACATAAGATGCTGTTTCATCACAAACCGATGTGGAGAACTGATTGCAAGCTTGGAAAGACGAGAAGCTGGCATTGCAGAGATTCATCCATCCCTGCATGCAAAGCTGGGAATTTCCCTGTTTTCCGTTTATGATTAAAAGACCTTGTTGGTTTTGTTGTTCATTTGTTAGAAGTACATTTGTCTTGTTAAGCGTTGTTCTCATTAGTCCTGTTGCCATGTGTTCTCATTGTCATGGACTGCTTGGCATGGTTTGGCAGCTCCCGGCAGAGGAGGAGCAGATGGTGAGGAGCTAGAGCAGGCACCCCCAAACTCAGGCCCTCCAGCTGTTTTGGGACTACAACTCCCATCATCCCTAGCTAACAGGACCAGTGCTCAGGGATTATGGGAGTTGTAGTCCCAAAACAGCTGGAGGACCGAGTTTGGGGATGCCTGAGCTGGAGGGCTGGCAACCAGAGATGATGTCCAAGAGAGGGAAGCAGATCTGTTGTTTCTTTTTACTGCCCCTCCAACCCAGAGTGCAGTGCCTCAACAGGAAGTAGGAAGGACTCTAACCAGGCAGAGGTGTCTGTGCAAATTGCTATCGTTTGGGTTTCCTTTTTCAGTCGGCAGACTCTCCCAGCAAGTCTTCCAGAATCATTTTTCTCAGTTTAGCTCATCTGTTGGTGAATTCCCATGTGGGAATAAACACCTCACCCATTCCAGTTCGCTTAAGTATTTACTGAAGAATTAACATTACAACTTATACAACTGCTGGTCTAAGGAAATAAAGTAAAACTATGTACAGAGACTCATTCCTTCCCTTTGGACAGAGCAACAACCCATTCCTTTCTTCCTGAGCATGTCAAATAAAGAAGTCTGTTGCTGGGGAAGATCTATTGCTGGGAGAAAACCTGTTGCTAGGGGCAAAACTATGCAAGGATCATTTAAAGTCTATTTATAGATTACACTAACAAGAGGGAGAGGCTGAACAATAGGAGGTGGCAGAGGGACAGGACATAGTCATGCCATCAAAAGCCTGGCACCAAATTCATAGGTGAAGTGAGATGCATCTGCCCAGACAGATCACATGTAAGGGGAGGGAGCATGTCAAGGGGAGAAGAAGGCTGGAAACTTTCTCCATAACATCTAGTGTTATCTCTATGAAGATTTCCCCCTTTATGAGCCTCCAAACTACCTTGCAGTCTGAAATGGTACAAAACATGGACAAGTTTACTATCTCAGTGAGGCCAGCTCCCATCAGATGTCAAGGAAATAAGCAACTATCCTACTTTTTAAAAGGCATCTGAAGGCAGCCCTGTTTAGGGAAGTTTTTAATGTTTAATGCTGTATTGTGTTTTTAATATTCAGTTGGGAGCCGCCCAGAGTGGCTGGGGAAACCCAGCCAGATAGGTGGGGTATAATTAAATTATTTATTTATTTATTTATTTGGCCTGAAATGACTCAGTAGCTGCTAAGGATATAAGGCAACAATAAGGCTCCTTTGAACTCTTACGACCTGTGAGAGGTCTGTTTTGGGAACTATTTGGGGATCCATTCTTTCAGAATTGGACATTCCTTTTATATAATTCTCCAGTTGCTTCTCTCCAAAGAACATAAGGCAGCATAATCCTTTGAATTATCACTCAGAAGTAAGCTCCACTGTGCTCCACGGAGTTTCCTCTCAGATGTGCATTGGACTGCAGCCTATTATTCTATGACTCAGTTAACCAGGAGCAGGAAAGCAAAAAAACCTAATGTTGAAGGAAACCTTCTTGTTGTTCCCCTTCCTTCTACCTAGATGGCAGTGCAGCTCATGCTATCTGATCTTTGTTCCCTGAAGGTTACGTTTTCCTGTATTTCAAACATCAATAATTCCTTTTCATAAATGCGATAATCTCTAAGGAGAGAATTCGAAGAAGGGTGGTTGTCATAAATAAAGGGGGAAGCATTCTTAAACTGAACAGGAGTAAAAGACTCTGCGTTTTCCGCATTTCGACAAAATAGTTTGAAAAGAATGAAAACTTATATTATTTTGGCTGCCAGAACCTGTGAATTTGTACTTCAGTCTTGTAATAAGATACGCAAACACTCCAGGGTTGTAGCTACAGGTAGTGTGGAGGAATCCAGACTATGGGTGCTTGAGAAAGTCATTCGCTATGCATTTTGGAGCAAACTGATCTGATCTGCTCCTCACGGATCTCTGTGTGTGGTTTTGTGGCGCAGTCTCCAGTTCTCTGGACTTTTCTGCTGAATGTTTCCATTGCTTACAGTTTTTAAAACGTTTTCCCAGGGGTGACGTTCAAGTTTTCATAGGTAGCAACAGCTGCTCTAAGTGGAAAGAAAGCACAGCAAATACAAGCTGGCAGCTCATTCTCTCAGGAACTCGGATGAAACAAAAAAAAAAGATGGCTGCCACAGGCTACTTCAAGGAACTGTTTTACCTGAGGCAGGTGGATGAGAATGTCAAATCTGAAAGGCAGCCCTTGAACTACCTTGTGAACCTGTAATGAGTTTTCTTTTCTTTTTTTGTTTACAAAACTCTCAGCTTGCAGGACAGCAAAGACCCAAAAGCGATGCCATACCCTCCAACATTTCTCCGATGAAAATAGGGATGTCCCATTCCATAATGATAATTTACTATTTATACCACACGCATCTTATTGGGTTGCCCCAACACTCTGGGCAGCTTCAAACATACATAAAAACATAATACAGTGGTACCTTGGGTTAAGTACTTAATTCGTTCCGGAGGTCCGTTCTTAACCTGAAACTGTTCTTAACCTGAAGCACCACTTTAGCTAATGGGGCCTCCCACTGCCGACGGAGCACGATTTCTGTTCTCATCCTGAAGCAAAGTTCTTAACCTGAGGTAATATTTCTGGGTTAGCGGAGTCTGTAACCTGAAGCGTATGTAACCTGAAGCGTATGTAACCCGAGGTACCACTGTAAAACATTAAACATTTTTTTAAAAAACTTCCCTATACACAATTGCCTTCAGACGGCTCGGGGGATTGGATAACTCTGTACCCTCCAACATTTTTTCAATGAAAATAGGGACATCCTAAGGAAAAGAGGGACATTCTAGGATCAAATCAGAAACTGGGACGACTTTTCTAAATTAGGGATGTCCCTGGAAAATAGGGACACTTGGAGAGTCTGTGATGCTGACATCGAACAGAAATTGGTTTTCATTCATCCCTAGCCAGAAACCCTCAGAGACAATATTGGCCTCCCCATTATATTTTCAATTGTCATGCAACACTGGTCCTGAGAGATCTGCATTGGCTCCCAGTACATTTCCGAGCACAATTCAAAGTGTTGGTGCTGACCTTTAAAGCCTTAAACAGCCTCGGCCCCGTATACCTGAAGGAGCGTCTCCACCCCCATCATCCAGCCCGGATGCTGAGGTCCAGCGCCGAGGGCCTTCTGACGGTTCCCTCACAATGAGAAGCGAAGTTACAGGGAACCAGGCAGAGGGCCTTCTCGGTGGTGGCGCCTGCCCTGTGGAACGCCCTCCCATCAGATGTCAAGGAAATAAACAACTATCTGACTTTTAGAAGACATCTGAAGGCAGCCCTGTTTAGGGAATTTTAATGTTTAATGCTGTATTGTGTTTTTAATATTCGGTTGGGAGCCGCCCAGAGTGTCTGGGGAAACCCAGCCAGATGGGCGGAGTATAAATATTATTAATTATTATTATTATTATTATTATTAAACATATGAGGAAAATATCTGTAAAAGTAGTGTAAGGGTTCTCATGGGCATCTAGTTCACCACAGCAAGAACAGGATGCTGAGCTATATGGGCCACTGGACTGATCCATAAAGTTCTTACGTTCCTGTGCTCCCCTCACACAATTGTTAATAGCTTGGAAGCCATCACCTGGAGTCTGCAACATCCCCACATGCAGACAAGCCAACAAATTCTCAGAAGAAGAACAAATATCATCAAAAAAATATGTCCATACAAATAAATTACAGAGGGGCCTTCCTTACTAGTACCGATTCCATTACTCATGCTACTTTGCTCAGCAATTTTAAGTCCTCATCTGGATACTTTGTTCAGGCCTGGGCCTCCCATTTGAACTTTGAAAGGGTTAAGAGAAAAGAAAACTTACAAAAATGACGAGATTTTGAAGAGAAAGACTGAGGGAACTCAGGATATTTACCTCATAGGAAATAAACAGATGGGAGTTGTGAGTGGAGAGAGGAAAGGCACATCGGCAATTCCCCAAATTTTGGAAATGCTATTAGAAAGCAAATGGAGAGGAAAACATTCATTTATACAGGACAGCTCCATGTGAGATTATATTTGTGTGTATTGTTCAGCTGAATGGATCTTACACCCAAATAAATATGCATATGTGTCTACTCAGAGGTAAGGCTCATTGAGTTCAATGGAGCATAGTGCCGGGCAAATGAGTATCATATAGAATTGCAGCCTAAAATACTCAGTTAAAAATCATTAAGGGTGTTAAACTATTTCTAAACCTCATTTAGAAGTAGTAAAATGGAATTACAGTGGTGCCTCGCAAGACGAAATTAATCCGTTCCGCGAGTCTCTTCGTCTAGCGGTTTTTTCGTCTTGCGAAGCAACCCTATTAGCGGCTTAGCGGATTAGCGCTATTAGCGGTTTAGCGGCTATTAAAGGCTTAGCGGTTTAGCGGCTAAAAGGCTATTAGCGGCTTAGCAGCTTAGAAAAAGGGGGGGAGCGAAAAAAATCTCAAGACTCGAAAGACATTTTCGTCTTGCGAAGCAAGCCCATAGGGAAATTCGTCCTGCAAAGTGCATCGAAAAACGGAAAACCCTTTCGTCTAGCGGGTTTTTTGTCTTGCGAGGCATTCGTCTTGCGGGGCACCACTGTATAATGCTTAGCTCTCAACTTTACACTAGGGTTGCCATATTTCAAAAAGCTGTGTGTGTGTGTGTGTGTGTGTTGTTGCACCTGTGCAATAAGGCAGCTTGCCTTCTCATTTGTGCCAAAAGTTGCCCTTTGCTGTTGAAAACCAAACACCATAACCAACTTTGATACTACAGCTTTGTAAATACAGAATACCTATTAACTCTTTTTCATGTGCCCTTTCAAAATAAGTTTATAAAATATATGTTGTTGATGGAAACTGTTAGGGCACATCCTGCCAATTTGATATTGTGAGCGGGCTTTCTGGGTTAGCATTGCCCCCAAATCTCTCGAATCTTAAATGCAGAGAGTAGTACTTGAGAATATTTTGCCCCTGTTTGTAGGGCAGTCCTTTTCCATCTCTCAGGTGACCGACTGCCTTGCTTGGAAGCTACCAGGACACTGAGCTGCAAGCCCCAAAGGAACAGCAGACAAACAGAGTCAGGTCAGTTTTCTTGTTTCAAGTCACTTTTTCTTTGACATCCAACCCCTCTCATGTTCTTTCCCTTTTTCTCTCTTTTTACAGCTTCTCAGCTGCCTTTTGACTTTCTCTTCTGTTCTTCTGTATACCTGAGCCTCTTTCCCAGTCTCCTTGTCTGTCTTCACCTTCCAAGGTGCAGAACTGGTGTTTCGTAGCAATCTCTTTTTCCCAAAAGTAAACCTCTTAGAATTCGTGGTGGAGCTGAGAAAAATAGCTACTTGCGATTCTCAGAACTTGACCTTCAGAGATTTTGCACAAGGTAAGTCACAATGTGAAGTTTACCTTTTCATTCCACTACCATTTTTTAAATGCTTGCAAATAATATTTGGTTTGTTGTTTGGTCTTCTTTATTGCTTTGGTTTCTTTCAGTCAAAGTTTCTGAAGTAAAACAAGGTGTTGCTGAGCTGCTCAAAAGGAAAAGAATCAAATCCTTCCGTTTCCCATTCTTTTAATTTTTATTTTGACATTTGGCATCAAAAAAATAAGGGGCTTTCTAACATACAAGGACATAAGTTGTGTGACATAAATGAATATAATTCCAAATGGTATTCATTTGTAGAGATGATGGAAGCAAAACCTGTGGTTGGGAAGAGAAATCAGGAACGTACGATATATTTTCTGGGAATGCTTATAGTCTATGAAAATGCCAGAAATTCAGCTAACTTTCAAACTGGCTCAGTACATAGGGTGGCCCTGTGCCCTGCTCTACGGAGGACAGCCCTCTATTTGCAGGTATCATTTATTTATCGGTTTGTTTATTATTTATTTGTAGCATTTTTAGACCACCTTTTTCTCCAGTGAGCTCAAGGTGATGTACATGGTACTTCCCTCTTCTCATTTAATCCTCACAACGACCCTATGAGGTAGGATAGGCCTAGTGGCAGTGACTGGCCTAAGGCCACCTAGTGAGCTTCATGGCTGGTTGAACACTCTAACCACTACATTGCACTGCCTCTGGGTTGCCCAGTCCAAGCCTGGCTTGAAACTAAGGAATCATACAAAGGAGGAGAAGGAACCCTCGTAATTTTCTATCTACAGCCAGCAGACTGAGTATGCAAGCCGCCTGTTGCCTTTTCCACTCAGATGAGATGCACTGTACTTAAATTATAGAAATTATTAGTTTGCAATATGCATATACAAATTTCATGCAGATTGATGCCCTATTTTTTGGGTGAAACAAACCCTCTTTTTCATCCCTGGGTGTCAAGCCACCTTATCATCACCACATAGGACAGCGATGGCACAGATTCCCTTCCCAGCTCTCTCTCTCTCTTGCATTCCCTAGCACAGCAGTTCCCAAACGGTGACCCATGGGTGGTCTGCAAGCATCATTCAGACAGCCCATGGCATTTCTGTGGTTTTGTCGCTGGCGACGGGCTGGACAGCACGTCAGTTGCATTAAATACTCATATTTATATTTTTCATTATATTTTTTATTGCTCCTTTCGGTTGCGTTTAATTGCATTGCAGTTTGGATTCTAATGCAGCAATACACAATGTGTAAGAAATAAAAGTAGCACAGTTCATCGCAATTGCTACAACAAGCAGGAAAATCGTTCTGTGCGCTAGGGCAAGACCTGCAGCAATTTTCAGGTGGTCCGTGGTGGATGGGGAATTTTGGGAAACATTGCCCTGGCACAGATATATGGGTGGGACAACCATGGCTGCAAAGCAGAACTGCTACTAGTAAGTACAGCAAGTAGCCCTCTCAACTGATCTCTCCCCCCACCCTCCATTCCCTCCACCACCCCAGCCCTGCAGAATTTTGAGAGCTCCTTCTCACTGGCAATCACATCTGGGAGATGCTGAGGACAGATATCTCTCTGTGTGCACCTTTATCGTTGCTTCTGGGTTGTAATGCCAACTGGAGATCAGTGCAAAGGCTTCCACCGGGGCACTGTTTCACTCAAACAATCCAGTGATAAGGCTAGGAATTCATTCCCACTGCTGCTTTGAACTCAAAAGGCATATAAAAGCTTGCAGTAGTTTTACCTTCTTTGTTTCAGGATCTGCTATCAAAATAATCGCCGAGAAGAAACCTGATAGGTCTTCTGAGTACAAGTTGGATTGTGTGTGGTGCTTTTTTTCCTTCCTTTTTTTAAAAAAAGAAATCCCCCTGTGTATTCTGTGATTTGGAACAGCCTCGGGATTTCTTCTTTGATGCACAGTTTTAAAACAAAACAAGATTCTAGTCCTCACTGTTGCAAAAGTGAAAGAAATAAGTGTGTGAATGGGGAGCAATGCCTGCCGAAATCTTAGAGGTGTCAATTGTTTGTTTGTTTGTTTGTGACATTCGGTGCCACCCCCATAACATAACATTTTCTGGATGGCTTACAACTATTTGTCTCCCACTGTTGTGCCAATAGAAGCTTTCATTCTAATGGAGAGGAGTCAAAGTGGGTTTGAAACCCCATCAAGAGGCAAAGGGTTAAAGCTCCCTCACCCAGTTCAGAGACTATTTACTATAATAAATTTTAAAAATGCTAATTGAAGGAATCTACAACCCTAAAAATTATACTTCAAGCCCATTATTTATTTATTGTTGCTGGGAATTTTATACAATGAAATATAAAGGAAAACAGTAGATACAGGAGTGAACAAGGGAGGCTACAATCCCAGGCTTGCTTACTTGGAAGTAAGTCTCTTTGGACTCAGTGGAACTTATAAACATGCATAAGTAAGCATGCATCGGATTGCAGGATTGCTTTGAAAGATGAGTCCACTCTGACCACTTTCATCTGCAGAATTGGCACTTTTACGAGCACCACGTATGTTTGTTCTGCCCTTGAGAGGTATCAGTCATTTAATGTGGCAGTACTTATTCTCTGGAGCTCCCCGTCTATTGATATTAGCCTTCATTGCACCATTTTTGAAATCCGCTCAAAACCTTTTGGTTTAGGCAAGCCTACACTGGCATGCCACTTTTACGAAGCACATTTGCTTCCAAAACTGTTGATTTTATCCATATTTCGATAATGTCTAAAAGCAAGTCTGGTGATTCTACTGGTATTTTCTTCTGAATACTTTATATTATTTCATGTAAACTACTTAGAGGGCTATTGTTGTTTTATTAAGTAGTATATAAATCTGGTTAAATAAAAATTTAAAATGCAGAAAAGCAGGAAAGGCAGAGGACTGAATTTGTCAGTGGAGGACTGGATTTGCAAGCCGTGCCGTGCAAATTAATAGGGCAAAGGCAGAAACAAGTACAACTGAGTTCATTGTAAGGGAAACTGAATACCTATGAATGACACAGATGTACTGGAGAACTCCCCATGGACTAGCGGAAAGGGGAGTACAGGTAGCTTTTCCACACAGCGAAGATGGATGGGTCTAATAAATCAAGCTGGTTCCCAAGATCAGATGCTCATAATCTTCAATCACACTATTGTTGAAGTTATTTTATGCTCCATGATGCATGGGACGCGGGTGGCGCTGTGGTCTAAACCACTGAGCCTCTTGGGCTTGCTGATCAGAAGCTTAGTGGTTCGAATCCCCGCCGCAAGGTGAGCTCCCATTGCTCTGTCCCAGCTCCTGCCAACCTAGCAGTTTGAAAGCACGCCAGTGCAAGTAGATAAATAGGTGAAGCTGCAGCGGGAAGGTAAACGGTGTTTCCATGCGCTCTGGCTTCCATCACGGTGTTCCGTTGCTCCAGAAGCGGGTTAGTCCTGCTGGCCACATGACCCAGAAAGCTGTCTGTGGACAAACGCTGGCTCCCTCGGCCTGAAAGCGAGATGAGCACTGTAGCCCCATAGTCGCCTTTGACTGGACTTAACCATTCAGGGGTCCTTTACCTTTATGCTCCATGATATTTTTGATCCTGTTCAGGTTGGCTTGCAGGAAATGGTAAAACTGTCTTATTCAGCTGTTTAATTTTTTATGATGGATCGATCGATCGATAGATAAACTTTCCTGGGCAATTTGTTTGAAGAGTAGTGGCAGTAATTTATGTAATAAACAAATAATAGGGCCAGCCCACATTTGGAAAAAATGATCAAGCCAGGTGAATTTGGTTTAGCCTGGGATCTTACACGTACAAAGCCAGGGGCAGGTCCTTGAAACACAATTAACTCACAAAGAAAACTGGGCTGGAAGTTGATCCTCATATTTTTTTTATTTTTTTTTAGTTGTAGACTGGGCCAGCCCACACATGAGGCGAGGTGAGGCAACTGCCTCAGGCAGCATGATACACAGGGGCAGCAGATCCTGATGTGGATCATCATTTGCCAGTTGTTCCAGACATATATTTTCACTCACTCCTCCTTCCCTGGCAGGGAGGGAGGTGCCATTTTGTGGTTCACCTCAGGTGCCAAAATGTTTTGGGCTCGCCCTGGTCGTAGTAATACAAGTTCTTGTTGCAGGTGGCCAGGACCATTTTAGGAGAGACATTCCCTCCAATTTGAGAGAGAAAGGGGTCGTGGTGGCTGGTGCCCACCGGGGCTAATAGGACGAGAAGAGGGACCGGTTGTTAAACCGCTCTGGGAATTAGAGCTCTGTGGGGGGAAAGGGGGTCTCCAGACAATGGCCGGCAGCTTTAAGAAACTACAGTTCCCAGGATTCCGTGGGGAAGCCATGACTATTGAAAGTGGTATGATACCGCTTTAAATGTATTGTGCAAATGGAGCATGAGTAACATATGTTAACATCAAGCATCAAAAGAAAAAACTGTGTGTGTCCAAGCTCTTAAATTTGCTGCAATTAAAAAAAAAAAACTACCCAAATTTTACAATCAGGCAACACTACAGTGGCAACAAGCAATGCAGATATTATTTTGTTCAAATCACAAAGCTGGGCAAAACTTCTTTCTTCCTCTTTCTTTTGCAATCTGGCTATCTCAACACCATAAAGCAACAGGGAAAATGACCCCAACCCTGAGGATATTTTTCTTCTTGATGTTAACAAATCCTATAGAGGCTTCGAGTCATCAGAACATCAGTCAAGGTAAGATGAAATACTTTTGTGCGTCACAGAGAGATTCTGTCTGTGAAGAAATTTACGGCCTATTAAAGTGGAATCCAGTAATACTGAGGAAAATGAAGCAAGTTTCCTACTAAAATAAGGGCAGTGCAATCCTATTCATTAAGTAGAAAAACAAACAAATAAATGGTGGCAATTCCACTGAACAGACTGAGGGTTGAACTGCCCTCATTTAAAAGGCTGGATAGTGTTTTAAGAGATGTTCTTTTGAGCAGGAACATTTAAATGTGTAAATTATATGTCTTTTTCACAGAGCTAATTTTCAAAAAGAATTATTTCCTGCTAGCTAGAAGTTACTGGCACTGCCAGTAGAAACCCCAAAATACTGTGTGTTTTTTAACAGTATAATTTGTGAGTTTGGACCCATCATGCCAAAAATCAGGCAAAGTCACACCAAAGTCACATTTTGGTCTGCCATCGTCAGGGGTGCTGGTGGTTGCTCACGAGTAAACATCCAGGACTCCGACCTGCTTTTTACAGGTTTTATTTAGTGCAAACTATGTACAGTGCAGAAACCCAAAGTTCATGTCTGTCTCAGTCACTTGCAAATTCCGGGAGTGGCTCCTTCCTGCCCCCCCCCCAGCATAAGAACTTAGATACCCCAAATCTCCACCTCCTTTCTTTACGTTTGACCCCCTTGCAAAAAGTAGGTGATGGAAGCGGCATGTCTGTTTCCCAACCAGTCTGGCTGGGCGAGGTGCCAGGGCTCCACGGTAACCTCTGTGAACCTTTGCCTCACTTCGCCCCTCCTTTCTACCTCCGCTTCACCAGAGGCCTCGCTCTTTTCACTCCCTGATGAAGTGTTACTGCTCAGCAACGGTGAAGGCTCCCTGTACGCTTCTGCCCCCCTCCCCCCTTTCGATGGCAGTACCCTGGCAGCCATCTTGATTTAAAATGGCGCCCGGCATGCAAGCAACAATGAAGACTGCCACCCCTGCCTTGTGAATCCTCATGCTGAGTTTGGCAACGATATCCAGAGAGCCCGTCAACGTGAGAAAGCATACTGAATTCGCATTTCAAAATAGCACCCGGTGCCCAAATGGTAACAGTCCACCTTCCCCATATCAGGAGTGATTGTGGCAAGTCTGGTGATTATATATTGAGAGGCAGACAAACTTATAGAGGACAGGAAGACAGACAAACTACTTTCCAAAATATATATAGTAGATTGGGTGTTCTTTTTCTATCATTAAGTAGTTTTCAATTTCATTGTTCCGCAAGGGACAATGGCAATAAAGGTATCGTATCGTATCGTATTAAAAAAAAATGCAGAATCTTTTGCAAAATGATCTAATTTCTCTGGCCCACCTTAGACTCCTTCCCAAACCTTTACTTGAATTGCATTATACCGTACTGGCCCGAATATAAGCCACACCTGCAAATAAGCTGCACCTTTAAAATTCGGCGGTTTGGGGGGAATTTGGAAAAAAAGTGCGGCTTATATTTGGGCCAATACAGTATTAGCAGATATCACTAATATATACAATGTTCATGATGTCTTAGTTTCTGTGTTTCTGGCAGCGCAGTTCTATGCCTGTCTACTCAGAAGTAAGCTCCATTGAGTTTCATGGGACTTGCTCCCAGGTCAGTATGCGTACAGCAGTGCAGTCAAAGCAGTTTTTATTAACATTTTTTTGTACTGTTTCCTCCTTCAGATCTGCCTCCACAGCTGCAAAGAACCGTGGTCAGTATTTTTACGGTACTTGATATTTTTAGCTACATTCCACAATCCCTGTTATTGCATGCATTTTGTATTCTTCTATTTCTTTTTTTAAGGAAGAAGTCATAGCTGGAAAGTATCTAAATGGTAATTGTGGACTATATTTGCATTTATTTTTAAAAATCCACTTTATAATATGAAAGAAAGTATTAACCTTTTGGATTATTTCCCCCCTTTTTAGCTCTCCTTGATATACTTCACTTTCAAAGGTAACATCTGATTAGTGTTTACTGTATAGTAGAATAGTGGAGAGTGTCTTGGGCTACCTGGGAATTTGTAGAGACAAAAAAAATGTGGTATTTACTGTATTTTTCCGTGTATAAGACTATATTTCCCCCCAAAAAATTTAAGTTTAAAATGTGGTCATCTTATACACGGAATGTTGCAATTATTTATTTCTTTATTTTGGGCTAAAAAAATAGGGGATGTCTTATACGTGGAAAAATATGGTAAATGGATAGTGAGGTTTGTGAGTTTGGCCCAGTTTGGCCTAAAATGGGGCAAAGTCACACCAAAATCATGTTTTGGCCCATCACCTGGATTCCAAATGGCACTTGACATCCAAACATCAATGCTGTTAAAGGTAAATAGTACCTAGTAATTCAAACTATATAGCTATGTTAGTATGAGGATGTACTAGTTATAGAAACATTACAATTTCAGAACAAATTATTGAATATACTTTTTTTGCCCCTGTTTTTTTCTATAGCACTAACATGTGGACAACTGACCTGCTTGACCAAATCATGGCAAGCCTCCATGATCAGGATATTGAAATTACTGCTAGCAGTCTACAGGTTTGCATCACTCTAATATCGCTGCTATTAGAATATTTCAGTAAGGTTGGGTAGGCTGCTGCTGGTCAGTGGTGGAATAAAATAAAAATTCCTAAACTCCAAACCTCGAAGTTGGGCAAATACCTATATGACAACGGATGACAATGTCACAAATTTGTAGGAAGCTTTTGAGTTCTTCAGATCTCTTCATTGGAAGAACTCATAGCATAGCAAGGAGGGTAGCCAGCTACTTTATTCTGAGACAGACCATTGACCTATCTAACCCAGGGCTGTCTACACTGACTGGCAGTAGTTCTTCGGGATTTTAGAGAGGGGTCTCTCCCAGCCCTACCTAGAGATTCCAGGGACCTTCTGCATGCAAATTCAGAACGCTTGTCAGGATTTTGTGACAATTGGTTGGACTATTTTTTATGTTCCTTCATTTCTTTTTGAATTTTCTTGAGTAATAGAAGAATCAAACAAGAAAATTCAAAAAGAAATGAAGGAACATAAAAGGGAGACAGAAAAAATGAAGGAGGAAATAAGAGATTTGAACAAATCACAAGAACAGATTGAGGATAGCTTAGCTATGACAGAAATGCGTCAGAAACAACTCAATTTAAAATTCAGAGGAGTAGAAGAAGAAATTAATGAGACTATAAAAGAAAAAATGATAAGAGAATTAGCAAAATGATTGGAAATAAAAGAGGAAGAAGTAGCTTGTACTGTAGAAAGCGCATTTAGAATAAGGGTGAAATCCCAGCAGCTCAAATTAAAAAAATCTCCTGGTGATTGATGATTTGCAACTCAATTGAGATGAAAAATATGATATTAAGAACAAGTTACCAGAAAAAATTAATAATTGAAAACAGAACAATTATTATATACAAAGAAATACCAATTAGACTTTTGCGTAAAAGACAAGGATACCGACAAATAGTAAGTGTTTTACAGAGAAACAATATACAATATAGATGGGAGTTCCCTGAAGGAATTACCTTCTATTATAAAGATAAAAGATTCAGATTAACAGATACACAAGAAGCAGAAATTTTTTTGAGAAGATATGAGAAGGAGCTTGGAAAAGGGGAAGAAAGGTACGGAGGAGGAGGGAGATATACAGAAAGGAGGAAGGAAAAGAAGGCAAAAAACACAGAGAAGCAAAAGAGAGAGAGAGAAGAGGAAGAAGAGGTAGTGGAAGAGGAAGGAGCAGTAGGTGGAGAAGAAGAGGAGGAGGAAGAAGAAGAGTTAACGGAGAAGAGGTCGACTAGAATATAAATTAAAGTCAAACAATATAATGTCGTTAAAGGTTCTGTCCTGGAATGTAAATGGTTTGAACGAAAAATCTAAAAGGAATAAAATTCAAAAGGTGTTAAAGAATAAAAATTATGACGTGATCTGTTGTCAGGAAACACACGTGGCAAAAAATCACAAACATATACTAGCAAATAAAAGGTTGGGGGTAGAGTTTGTTAATTCAGACACTAATAAAAAAAGAGGAGTTGTGATATATGTGAAGGAGAAATGGGACCCAATATTAATATGTAAGGACGACGAAGGAAGGACCTTATGAGTACAAATCAACCATCAGGGAGAAAAGATTAACGTTATAAATGTCTATGCACCAAATATGAATAAAGCTGAATTCTTTAAAAAATTGGAACAAATGTTAACAGAATTGGAGGATCATAAGATGATTTTACTTGGAGATTTGAATGCCGTGCCAACACCTGAATTAGATAGAAGCGTGAAAAGAAGAAAACTTAAGCAGGGGAAATTACCAAGAACATTTAATAATCTGGTGGAAAATCTAGATCTGATAGACAACTGGAGACATAAAAATCCAACACCGAAACAATATACACACCTGTCAGAACCACACCAAAGTTGGGCCAGGTTGGATCAAATATGGGTCTCAAGAGAATTAACATTAAGAGCACTTAAATGTGAAATCCAACCCAGAACTCTTTCAGATCATAGCTCAGTAACGTTGGAGATAAAAAGCAGATTACAAGGAACATACAGATGGAGAATGAACGATTATCTTTTTGAAAATGAGGAAATAATTGAGAAGGCCAAAAGAACGTTAAAAGAATATTTTGAGATGAATTTAAATAAAGAGACTAATATAGAGATAGTTTGGGATGCCAGTAAGGCAGTGTTAAGAGGATTTTTAATTAATCAGAACAGCTATAGGAAAAAGTTAAGAGAGCAAAAAAAAGAAGAAATACTCAATCAATTAAGAGATTGCGAAAGAAAACTAGCAATAAATCCAACTGAGGAGCAGGTTAAACAAACTTATAGAATATTACAAACACAATACTCAAATTTAGTAGGCCAAGAAGTAGAATGGAGAATCAAGATATAGAAGCAAAAATTCTTTGAATCAGCAAATAAAACCGGAAAATTACTAGCGTGGCAATTACGAAAAAACAAAAAACAAAATATGATCAACAAATTAAGAATAGAAGAGCAAATTGTGGAAGAACCTAAGAAAATAAAGGAAAATTTCATCAAATTTTATGGTAAATTATACAAAAGAGAAAAAGAAGACAGCACAGAAATAAAGAAATATTTAGAAGAAAATAGACTAAAAGGATTAACAGAAGAAGAAATAACACAATTAAATAATCCTATAAAAATTGAAGAAATCCAGGATGCGATAAAAAGAATGAAATTAGGAAAGGCTCCAGGGCCTGACGGCCTTTCAGCTAAATACTACAAAGTTCTAGAGGAATATTTAGCCCCAGTGCTGTGCGAAGTAGCGAATAACATCTTAAGCGGCGGAAAGACACCAGACTCATGGAAGGAAGCCTATATTACACTAATATCTAAGCCAGACACAGATAAATTAGATATGAAAAACTACAGACCAATATCATTATTAAACAATGATTATAAATTATTTGCGGAAGTAATGGCCAACCGTCTTAAGAAATGTTTAAGAAACCTTATCCATACAGATCAAGTCGGATTCTTACCCAATAGACAATTAAAAGACAACATAAGACATATAATTAACATCATTGAATATCTAGAGGCCAAGAATGAAATACCTGCGGCACTAATTTTTATTGACGCCGAAAAGGCCTTCGATAATGTATCTTGGCAATTCCTTGTAAGATGTCTAAAAACAGTAGGGATAGAGGGCGCCTTCCTGGAAGGGATAAAAGCTATTTACTCAAGCCAGAAAGCAAAATTGATTATTAATAATGATTTAACTGATTATTTCAAAATTTCAAAGGGTACGAGATGGGGTGCCCTCTATCACCTCTTTTATTTATAATGATACTAGAAATTATAGCAAATAAGATAAGAACAACTCCAGAAATACGTGGAATTAAAACTGGAAAAAAAGAATACAAACTGAAAGCATACGCTGATGATCTGATGGTATCATTAGAAGATCCACAAAAAAGTGTCCATAAGGTAATAGAATTGTTTTTTTAAAAATAATCTTTATTGCTTTTAAAACTTACAAGAAAAGAAGAAAAAAGGAAATAGGCGAAAGAAAAAGACAAACTAGAGCAGAGAAGAGGAAAAAAAAGAGAAAGAAAAGAAAAAACAATACAATACATTAAACAATACAAAACACAACCTTAACACACTAAACTAAACAAAGCAAAAGAACAACAATTTAAAAACATATATCATACCATTTCATTACTCTATCTTTCATTCCCTTATTTCATCGACCTCCTCTCACCTCCCTTTTTGTATTCCACTTCTATTACTTGTTTCAGCAATTCCTTTCCATCTTTCTCTATTTTTATCATTATGAATATCTTAACATATTTTGTACCTTATTTTCCATTAATACTGAAATACTTATTTATACCTAACTCCTTATAAGCATTTCTGCTAAAGCCATAAAATTTCATTCCAACAATTTTCTAACACTCATTAAATTTACAATATTTCTATATATAAACTTTAAACTTTCCCAATCTTCTACCACCATCTCTTCTCCCTGGTCTCGGATTCTGCCAGTCATTTCCGTCCATTCCATATAGTTCATCAACCTGGAGATCTTCTGTCCGAGGCTCTTAAATCTTTTCCAAGTCCCTTCTGCAGTTTTTCTTCATATTCTTTGATGCTGAGGGTGCTGAAGCGCAGGTCTTGGGGGGGCCCCGACCCAACCATGCCCCCATTCCCTCTCGACAGACCAACCAACTCTCCACAGCTAAAACCAGTGTCCATACAATATCTCAAATCATGTTTCAAGGCTCCTCCAGATCCAAAGGCCCCCACAACTCCAATCACCTCCTGACCCAGATTCAGGACCCAAAGGTCAGTAAATCTCTGCATGAAAGAGTCTATCCAACCTTCCTTCTTCAATCCAAACAGGGCTCCAATCTTCAAATTCTGACTTTTTCTATATTCATTCATAAAAGGCCTCCACTTATAGTCCTCAGTTTGCCTCTGTAAGAAGAACTGTTAGAAGAATTTGTAAAGTTATCGGGTTTTAAGTTAAACAAATCAAAAACTAAAATGATGACGAAGAACATGGAAGAAGTTATGAAAAACCAGCTGGAGGCTAAAATTGGAATTAAAGCGGTAAAAAAAGTAAAATACCTGGGAATTTGGCTAACTATGAAGAACATAAATTTAATGACGGACAATTATGAAACAACCTGGAAAGAAATTAAAAAGATTTAGATATATGGAACAGAATAAAATTATCATGGTCAGGAAGAATGGCCGCAATTAAGATGAATATACTTCCAAAGTTGTTATTTCTATTTCAAAATATTCCGGTGATAAGAGGAAACAAAGTATTTAAAGATTGGCAGAAAATTTTATCTAAATTCATTTGGCAGGGGAAAAGGCCTAGAATTAAATTTAAATTGCTTACAGATAGAAGAGAAAGAGGAGGTTTTGCGGTACCAAATTTGAAACTGTATTACGAGGCCTCATGCCTCTGTTGGATTAAAGAATGGATTGTAATAAAAAACACTGACCTACTAGATTTAGAAGGCTTTAATACCAGATTCGGTTGGCACACATATTTGTGGCATAATAAAGCAAAAGTACATAAAGAATTCTCCAGCCACATCATTAGAGGACCTCTGCTAGAGGTTTGGGAAAGAAATAAAAATCTTCTTGAAAGGAAAACTCCCTGGTGATTGTCACCAATAGATATTTTAACAATTAAAAAAACAAACATAGAAGGTAAGAGATGGACATATGAAGATTTATTGGTGAGAACAGAAAAAGGTTGGCAGATCAAAACGTATGAAGAACTAGGAGATAAATTAATGAGTTGGTTACAATTCCATCAAATTAATGCACTGTGGACAGAAGATAAAAAGATTGGGATAAACGAAAAAAAATCAAGATTCCAGATAGAAATACTGGAAGGAAATTCAAAACTCTTATCCAAAATGTATAATCAACTGTTAGAATGGGATACTAAGGACGAAGAAATAAAAGAAGTTATGGTGAAATGGGCGATAGATCTGGGATATAATTTGGAATACGATAGTTGGATTAAGCTCTGGAATAAAGATATGAAGTTCACTGCTTGTGTTGCCTTAAGAGAAAACATGGAAAAAATGATGTACAGATGGTACATCACCCCTGTAAAATTAGGAAAAATCTATAAGAATGGAGATAAAATGTGCTGGAGGTGTAAAAACAAGGAAGGTAGTTTTTACCACATGTGGTGGACTTGTGAAAAAATCAAGAACTTCTGGGAGCTCATTTATAATGAACTAAAAAAAATGTTTAAATATACTTTTGTTAAAAAACCTGAAAATTTCCTTTTAGGAATGATTGGCAATGAAATTAAGAAAGAGGACCAGAACTTATTCCAGTACGCAACAACAGCTGCTAGAATTTTAATCGCCCAAAATTGGAAATCAATCAATATCCCAACAGTAAGAGATTGGCAAAGTAAATTATTTGAATATTCAGAATTGGCAAAATTAACACAAAAAATCAGAGACCAGAAAGAAACAAAGTTTATTAAAGAATGGAATAAATTCATAACCTATATTGAAGTAGATTTAAAAAACCCAAAGATCACAGTAGGCTTAATATAACCCTTCTACATACAAAAGTTTTAAAGATAAACTGCGGGGGGAAATGTATTACATAATCCAAAACTGAGGTGGAGGGAAGTCAATAACTTACATGTTTGTCTTTGTTTTGTTTTGTTTTGTTTTCTTATAATTAAGTTATGTTGTTCTTATTATAGTTTTTTTTCCCGTGAAGAATTTATTTTTTGTACATATGTGTGTATATGTGTGTATGAAAATTAATAAAGAGAAATAAATAAAAAAAAGGAACATAACTACCTTTGTTTTGGATGTACATTTAGGAATACAAAATTGTTGAGTTAGCTATAGACATGGGGAAGAAATTATATTTATTTCATGTTAAAAGCCAAATCTATTGAATCTGCACTTTCCAAACGCATTATCACAATTCAAGGATAGATACCAGGCAGGCAAAAGCAATCAAAGGAGGGCACCGAGCAGGGCTGGTGATGGGTCTCAAGGGCCACCCAGAGATGCCTAGAGGGCCACATTTGGCCCACGACTGAGGTTCCGCATCCCCAAGGGTTTCATTGGGTTTTGAGCCTCAGTTGATATGGTCCTCAGCCAAATGCCAATGAGATGACAACGAATTTAAGGTAGATTGGAAGGACTTTATTGCATATATACAGAAGCAATGTACACAGGTTAATACATTAGCAGGGTTTTGAAAATACTTGTAATTTAATTATGAATGGACCATAAGCAATTGAAATGATTTATAACTTTTCAATGGACACATAGTATGTTAATAAACAATGGAACCAAGAAAGGGACTAGGGGGAAGTCAATTTGTTTTGTTTTGTTTTGTTTTGATGTTGTTATTGTTTTTATTTTTGTTATTGTTGAAAATTAATAAAATGTTATACACAGCCTAATTTCAAATGCATGGCAAGGAGAGGGAAATTGGATGAAAGCGGGTGGCAGAGAGACAAAGAGAGAAAGAAAGGACTGCAGAAAAAGAGAAAAAATGAAGGAGTGCCCTGCTCACTTTTAGCTCTAGTATGTAGCCCTTGACAGATGTGGACCTGGGCCTTGGCAAAAAAAAAATGATCCTCGCCCCGATCTATGACCGTGTCTCTCTTCAGTGTGAAAGTTCATAAAAAACCCCCAAGGTGAATCATATTTGAATGAGTTATATCCATCCTCTCCACCCCTCTACCCTGTTTTTCAGGTGTCTGTAAAAAATTACCTGGGCAACCTCTTATACCACCCCAAAGTGCTGCTGTCAGAGTTTCAACAGATGAATCATCCACATTTTCAAACAGCAATGAAGTATCTCTTCGGCAGCAAGCAGGAGCATTTGGTAAATCGGTTTTGGTTAAAGCATGCTGCAAACTGGAGCAGTCTTGGCCTAGATTCCCTTTTACATACGCTGGTGCCATCACCGGGTGCTCCCCTTGTGACTCTACATGTCAGAGATGGAGGTCCCAGCTGCCTCCTCTGCCGCTCCAGCAGAGAGCAGAGCCTCATCATGGAAAGAGGAGGGCTTTGACCAACCAGAGGGAGGTCTGAAAAGGAGTAGGTGGCAGCAGAGCTGAAGGCAGGAAGACTGAGATGCAGGCACAGCCTTTGGATGTGGAATCAGGTGCATCTGCCCAGAGGGAGTGCAGGTGTTCACCTTGAGTAGACCCATAGGGTGAGAGAGTCCCGTGAATGAGCTCATTCCACAGGTCTTTAAAAGCTTGGCTGGAGGGGGCGTGTCAACTGCTGGGACATCTTTGTAGCTTCCATTCAGTTATGAACCCCCTGGCTTGCTCACATACCTCAGAATCTTGACTTCTGGACCTTGTGCTTGCTGCTGAACCTATGCCATTATTAGCCTGATCTCTTCCTTACTTGCAAGTCAGTGTTGATGTCATTGTGTTTTTTTGGTGACAGCCTCATCATTACCAGCACGCCAGTGCAAGTAGATAAATAGGTACCGCTGTGGCGGGAAGGTAAACGGTGTTTCCATGCGCTCTTTTTCCTGTCACGGTGTTCCATTGTGCCAGAAGTGGTTTAGTCCTGCTGGCCACATGACCCGGAAAGCTGTCTGTGGACAAACGCCGGCTCCCTTGGCCTGAAAGTGAGATGAGCGCCACAACCCCAGAGTCGCCTTTGACTGGGCTTAACCGTCCAGGGGTCCTTTACGTTTTTACCCATCTAAAGAGGTGTGTGTGGCAAAAGATCTTGACTAGCTGGAACACCTGCAATGGTTTGTTGCATGACCACGTCCTATGACTGACAGCCATTGATACAGCTGCACTCTTTGATTTCAGGAGTTGGGAAATATTGTTATTGATCTGGCCGGCATAAGAGAGAGGATTTTCCAAAGTTCAGGAGGAAACAGGACATTGTTCCTCATTACTCTGGAAAGGTGCTTCCTGATGCTGAACGCTGTGGAATGTGTGGACATATTAAGCCAGGTCCTTCAGGCATCATCAATGACCTACCTGCAACGCCACACCATAGCAAGGCTCCCAAACGATCTGCAAGAAGATGCTTTTCGAAACCTGTAAGTTACTTTTCTGGCTGTAAATAAATCAAGGCAACAAGTGGTTTTATTTTATAACATCGGTATAGAAATAACCTATATGAATAGCAAGTTATATGAATATGAATGCTTATGAATACCAACATCAATATAGAAATAACCTATATTTCAAGTCAACCAAAGTTGCAAGTCAACCAAAGCAAACCCTCAATCCTATAAAAATGTGCTGGGTGATTTAATTCACAAATATAGAATCTTTTGACTAAGGGTGAAAGCAGGATGGGGAGGGAGAATTTTGGCTGACAGGCTAATGAAAGGAAAGTCAGTCAAATCCATCCATCGTGTGCTGCTTTTCTCTTTCAGATCAACTGTGTTCAGAGACCTGTATGACAGAACAGGAGCAAATGCACAAAAGGCTCTATACGACTGGATGACACAAATCCTACAAAAATCCTACAATACCAGTGGTAGGTTGAATACCAGCAACCAACAGGTGCCATATACATCCCTTAAGGCAGTGATTCCCAAGTGGTGGTCGGAGGACCACAGGGATTTTGTGTAACCCACCCAGGCAGTCCGTGGCACCATTCACATAACTAAAACTAGCAGAGATATATAAACATTTTCAAAAGTAGGGGGTCCATGGCTTGACTCTTCAAAAACAGGGGTTCCACAGTACTTAACTAATTGGGACCTACTGCTTTAAGGGCTTACCAATGTGGCACCCATATGCTCCAATGTACTCACCTGTTCCTCATATGGTGCTTACAAAAATTACAGGAAATACCCCTTCAAAAATTTATAATGCACAGGTGACTGCTGCTGAGTTTCTGATTGCATTGGCCCTGCCTCTTCTGCACTGACACCCCCCACCCTGCTTAAACATGCTCAAATTTCATTGGATGTCAAGTTTGGCCACCCTCCCACTCTCTCTCTCTCTGAACAAAGGAGGGATGAAAAGAGCTTCTCGCCAGGAGTTAATGTGGTATATTGGAACTGATGTAGGTGCCTTTTCCCCATCTGAAATATACTCGTCCTGCAGTGGTTTCATGCTCTTTACTGCAGCTTGTAAAACAGTGACTGAATTTCCCCCCAAACCTCAGGCTTTTATGTACATTATTTACATAATGAATCCCGTCTGATTGGCTGATTCTGCTTCCCTCCTGGAGCCTGATTGGTCTTCTCCTGCAGGCCAATCAGTTGTTGCATTCTACGATCCTACCAGCCTAATAGGCTGGTTAACTTCCTCCTGGCGCCTGATTGGTCTTATCCTGCAAGCCAATCAGTTGTTGCATTCTAGGATCCTACCTGCCTATTGTTCTAGGATCCAAGCTTAGTACATAACACCATCAATGGGGATTGACTAGAGGGCATTTTGTCTCTCTCTCTGCTCTTTTAGATACAGCAGCCATTTTGTCCCCTGAACCTGAAGACTTCACCCTAGCCTCTCACTCTCTAGGGTTTAGCTGTCTCCCATTCAGCCATCAGTAGGGTTGCTGGGTCAGGAGCACCCCAGACCCTGAGATTTCAGAGCCCAAACCTGAAACCTAGGAGCAGCCTCTGGGGATGCCACAGGGGATAGCCCCCAGTGATGTCATGGTGAGCAGGCAGTTCCTGGTGATGTCATTAAGCATGACACTTTGAGCTAAGCATCAACCAGTCTCTGAGAGCATGTCAGTGACCCTAGATACCGTAAGTCTATGCAATAATTTTCAGCCAGCTCCTTGCAAGCTGCATGCACAGTCTTCTTAATCATTCCTTTTAAAGGCACTATTGCCCACTTGGTGATTCAAGCCCTCCCTCTGCCATGAAGCAGGTGGTGGGGGAGCAGCAAATCTGGAGAATTCAGGTCAGCCCTGGCAACCCTAGCAATCAACTGCACTCCATGCATTCCATGCACTCCACGCACCCTGCTCCAGGCTACATCGGGTGTAGTGCATACCTTCTATATTTCTCTGATGAAAATAGGGATGTCCTATTCTATTATTATTATTATTATTATTATTATTATTATTATTATTATTATATTTTATTTTATTTATACCCCACCCATCTGACTGAGTTGCCCCAGCCACTCTGGGCAGCTTCCCACATATATAAAAATATTAAAGGTAAAGGTAAAGGTACCCCTGACCGTTAGGTCCAGTTGCGGATGACTCGGGTTGCTGTGCTCATCTCGCTCTATGGGCCGAGGGAGCCAGCGTTTTCCACAGACAGCTTCCGGGTCATGTGGCCAGCATAACTAAGCCGCTTCTGGTGAACCAGAGCAGCGCACGGAAACGCCGTTTACCTTCCCGCTGGAGCAGTACCTATTTATCTATTTGCACTTTTTGGGTGTGCTTTCGAACTGCTAGGTAGGCAGGAGCTGGGACCAAGCAACAGGAGCTCACCCCGTCATGGGGATTTGAACCGCCGACCTTCTGATCGACAAACCCTAGACTCAGTGGTTAAATATTATTTTTAAAACTTCCCTGTACAGGGCTGCCTTCAGATGTCTTCTAAAGGTTGTATAGTTACTTATCTCCTTGGCTCAGGGGTCACATAACTCCATACCCTCCAACATTTCTCTGATGAAAATAGAGATGCCCTAAGGAAAAGCGGGACATTCTGGGATCAAATCAGAAACCAGGACGGCTTCTGTAAATCTGGGACTATCCCTGGAAAATAAGGACATTTGGAGGGTCTGGTAGTGAGCTTCCCTTTGGTGTGTGTAGCCAAATGATGGCAAATGGACCTCCCTCTGCTCAAAATCCTTACTCTGACCTCTGCATGCCTCTCCTCTTCCGGCTGCTCAGAGACAAATCCTTTTGTTTATCTTTCTGGGGGAATAACCGTGTCTTTCACGCCATGGTTTATTGTAGGCAATTGTCTAAGAATTACAAGATTGCAATGAGGTAGAAGATAATCTGTTATTGGGAAATATGTTTCCCAATGGACATATGGATTCTGGACACTGTTTCCTGGGACGGATCGATACAACTGTCTACGCAGCATATCTAGATCAATGCTAGGAGCTATGGCAGGAAGAACTGCACATGAATCCAGCAGAGGGCTCCAGAGCAAAAGCTATAGATCACTGCTGGTTGAAATCTGCCCTTGGAATCAATCACCCTGCCTCCAAAGAAATGAGGAGATCTGCTCAGTTGGATTACTGTAATCCTGTGGGACTGCCTTTGAAGGAAGTTCAAAATGCAGCTGCCCAAGTTTTGACTTTAGGTTGCATATTCTGTATACTAATAGTGAACTAATTATCTAAGGGTTGTTCCTTACGTTGCCAAAATGATACCATCCCCATCAGTGCCAGGTTTATGTATAAGCTAAACAAGCTATAGCTTAGGGCCCCACTCTCTTGGGGGCCCCCCAAGAAAATTTAAAGGAAAAAAACCTGGGTGTACATTTCCAAAATATAAAATAAAAAACTAATAAAATAAAACCTACATACAGCAGCAGTGTTTTGTGTTGTGTAGGCTCCTATGATGTAAGTAATGGGCACTCAATCATTTTAAGTTAGAGCTTAATAATTATTTCACTATTAATATACTTCTTAATTGTATTTCAGTTCAACAATTACTTTGATAAAATGCATATTTTGTTATGTGCAAATGGCTTTAGATACCTATTAGGCCCATAAATTACCATATAGCATATATTCAACACAAAAAAGCGGCAATTTCTTGTTGACAAAGAACAGCTGGACATATAAAGGGCTCCACTACCTTCAGTAGCTTAGGGCCTCATCAAACCTAATTCCGGCGCTGATCCCCATGCACAAGAGTGCCTGGCGGGTATCAGCAGGCTTGTTGTGGGAGTGGGAACCCCAAGGTTTGCAAAAGTACAATAAATTTTCTCCCCCCAACAAATCAGAGGGAAACTGCATAGGTCATGCACAGCAGTTGCAGAATGTTTACTGACAGCTGGCCAGAAAACTGGGAGGAGAGGGCACTGAAAATGGCATGACCGGCTGGCTGGCTAGAGCCCTGAATAGAAGCACTTTTCACTGTAACATTTTGTTACAAGGCCAACTTGTTCGTTTATAGTAGTAATGATGCTCACTTGGCTATGAGCATTTTTCTTTTGTGGTGTCCCCAGAACCGGAGAATTCTACTTCGTGGGTCAGTGCAGACAACCTGTGGATCCTAGGAAGATATATGGTTCACCTCCCACTGGAAGAAATCACAAAAATTAACCCTAATGAAGTAAGTAATGATGAAGTACTCACCTGAATATTGGTTTTGGAATATATAAGGCACGGTTGGTGTCATTCTTATGGCTCCAAGTACTACTCTGGATTTCAATCACAGTACCAGTTTGAGTTCTGAGTACACACACAGAGAGAGAAAGAGAGAGAAATATAGATATATCACTCATGAAAGAAAGCAAGATTCTAGTAGTAATCAAATCCACAGAACTGTAATGATCTTTACTTTTTAAAAAACAGTTCCTGAAGTTATAATAGGTCAAAACTGGCTCTCACACACTTTTATTGTTTAATAAAACAAACATTGAACAAAAGTAAGATCTCCTTAGGAAAACAAAATATAAATGTAGATATTTTATTTTTATTATTAAAAACAGTGTTCTGTTTAGAACACATAAGTTGTTAAATCCAATTAGCCAAGGCAACAGGTCTTATCAAGAGCATTCTAAAATGCAAGACTCTTCTTTGCTGGGGAGAGATTGAGGGAAATGGGAGCAGTGGAGGGGATGTAGATAGGTATCATATGGAATATGAACATTTAGTGTATACTGCTGAGTTCAGTCCTGATAACACACCTTTAATCTCTCTTCTAATTAGATGAGATTGTTCATTAGTTATGACAATGCAACAAAACAGCTTGATACCGTGTATGATATCACACCGGATCTTTCGCTGGCTTTCTTGGAAAGAATAAATGCATCAGGATTTGATATGAGAAACACCTCAACTATCTATAGGCAAGTCATATTTCTCAAGGTTGTATTTTTTGCAAGTTGAGCATGGTGGTGAGGAGGAGAGAGATGAGGCTAAGTGTTTCAAGGATTGTTATCAAGTCATGGAAAAACTGTTGTCTTCTGGACCCCACAGTGCTATATGATGGGTCCTCTTATTTTTATTTTATTTCATAAAATCTCTACACTGCTTGACTGTAAACAACAACAACAGCAACCTCCACATATTTTACAAAAAAATAAAACAAGAAAATAAAGAAAAAAATGCAACAGTACTTTCAAACATACAAAAGTTAAAATACTAAGAATATAATTACCTCAACTTTCTAAGCACCTGGGTAGGCTTGTCTAAAGAAGAATTTGTTTTTAGCAAGTGCCAAAAAGAGTACAGTGGTACCTCGGGTTACATACGCTTCAGGTTACACACTCCACTAACCCAGAAATAGTGCTTCAGGTTAAGAACTTTGCTTCAGGATAAGAACAGAAATCGGGCTCCGGCGGTGCAGCAGCAGCAGGAGGCCCCATTAGCTAAAGTGGTGCTTCAGGTTAAGAACAGTTTCAGGTTAAGAACAGACCTCCGGAACGAATTAAGTACTTAACCTGAGGTACCACTGTACAGTGAAGGCACCTGGTTGATATCAATAGGGATTTTCAAGTGTAGGTGCTGCCACACTAAATGATTGAGTTCTTACAAATGTGGAATGGGTATTATGTGGTATCTGTAGTGGTGTCAGTTCTTCTGCTCAAAGAGATCAAGTAGCCACATGTGGGGTAAGGTCATTTCATAGGTAAACTGGTCCTAAGTTGTCAAGGGCTTTGTATAATAATGTGGGAGAGCATTCAACCAGCCAATTGTCCCCTGCTATATGTCCTGAAGTGGTACAGTCCCAGAAGGGCTGTGTCATGTGATTTTTCTGGACATGTAATTTGATTCAAAATAATTTGCTTTGATTGGTTGCCCAATATAACAGTACCACTTATATACAGTGTGCTTAGAGTATGGAAGGCACGTTGTATGTATTATACCCTCTTATGAGCCTTAAAGGTAAAGGTACCGCTGACCGTTAGGTCCAGTCGCGGACAACTCTGGGGTTGCGGCGCTCATATCCCTCTATAGGCCAAGAGAGCCGGCGTTTGTCCACAGACAGTTTCCGGGTCATGTGTCCAGCATGACTAAGCCGCTTCTGGTGAACCAGAGCAGTGCACGGAAACGCCTCTTACCTTCCCGCTGGAGCGGTACCTATTTATCTACTTGCACTTTGACGTGCTTTTGAACTGCTAGGTTGGCAGGAGCAGGGACCGAGCAACGGGAGCTCACCCCATCACGGGGATTCGAACCGCTGACCTTCTGATCGGCAAGCCCTAGTCTTAGTGGTTTAGACCACAGTGCCACCCGCTGTTGTATGAGCCTTACAACAACTCTAAAAGAGAGGGCAGCATTATTAACCCCCTAGGACTTTCTGGTTTATAACTCAGTCTCTTAACCACTGCCCTATGCTACCCAGCTGCACTGTAGTGATGGGCATTCAGTAGGGGAAGGCTGCCAACTCACTTCCACATTCTTTCATGCAGGTTAGGCTTGCTGGTTTGTTTTTACAATAGCCTGGAACAGATGGATGCCAATGTGGCCCGTGTACTGCTTCATCAAATGATTAAATGTAACCAGCTGAGGGGTTTCCAGGCTGATGTTCAGAAGGTGGGTATAGACTTTATTCTTGCTAGAATGATTGCATCACTTTGGAAGGACTTTGGAAGTGACAGAAATTTGAGTTTAGTGTCATGTCATGATAGCCAGCCTGCTGGTCATTTGGTTCTGTAAAAGACTGTCCACTCGGGCACCTGAGAATTTTGGTGGCACAGGGTTCCGAAGGACATGGAGCACCATGCCCAGCCATGATAGCTGCCGGCAAACCAAGAATCCACCCAACAAACTGCCTAGGTTGTTACATCTCTTTCCAATTCCCTCTTGGATTTAGAATAGTATATCCTTGGATATTGTCACAGATCTTCCCCTACCAGGTGGGCACAGTACATTCCTGGTAGTGGTGGATTTGCTTGCAAAAACGGCCCATTTCATATCTTGCATCCTGTCCACCAAGTAAATAGCTCACTTGTTTATCAAGCATGTATTCCACCTACATAGGCTGTCAGAAAGTATTGTGTCTGATTGAGGTTCCCAGTTTACTACATGGTTCTGGCATAGCTGCTTCCATTCTACTGGATGTAGATCTTCTGCTCTCCATAGCATATCACCAACAAACCAATGGCCAGACCGAATGTACCAACACTACTCTGGAGCAATATCTCTGCTGCTCCATTAATTACTAGCAAGACAACTGGGTAGATCTATTCTCACTTGTGTAGTTTGCCTACAAGAACGCCTAGCACTCTTCCACACGGCAAACATTCTTTTTTGCTAACTACAGCTGCTGTGGTTCAGTGTGGTGTGCAACCCAGGCCTTTATGTGTTTACACCTGTTGAGAATGTCTGTTTAGCAAACGTTGCTATTGATCAGAGAAACAAAGGAAAGTTAGCCTCAGAAAGCATACATGTTTTAGTTTCTGATCAGTTCTTTAACACACTTTTTAAAAAACTGTTTCAGCTCAAATCCCAACTTCTTGACATTGCCATGCAAAATCAGACGTTGAACGACACTCTTGGGTCACTCTCGGACGCAGTTGTGGGACTAACTATCAGCCAGTTGGAGTCTCTCTCACCTGAGGCTGTGCACAATGCTATTCCAACCTTAAACCAAGTCTCTGGATGGGCCAAAAGCCAGATCATGATTTTATCCAGCAAATACCTGATGTATGAAAAGGTACTTTGGGGGATGTTGTTGTAAAATGAATCTAAAATGAACTATTCAGAACTGCTCTGCATTGTACCCAGGCAATGCCAGGTAAAAGACTGCTAGTACAATATAAAGTGCAAGTGGCTCAAAAGCCTTCTGCCCATGATGTGCAAAAACAAGCTTGGAGATTTTACATATAACCTATGCATACTGTCCAAATGCAGTCTTATACTCTGTTAATCGGCTGCTGTGCATTTATTTTGTTCTTCATGCAGGCTTTGTCGTTTCATAATATAAGTCAAATGGGTGCTTTGGCGACTGGGATCAGCACCCAGGCGTTCCACAACATGAGTCCCAAAGAGCTCTCTCAGGTTGTCAGAGGCGCACTGGCGCAACGTGCATCAGATTTGTCACCAGCACAGCACCAAGGGATCCTCCGGAAGGTATTTGCAGATCTTTGTGTGGGAGGAGTAGAGTTGGGGGAGAAATCCAGTTCACTTGACATTTCGCACGTGGGTTCGCACTTTCCAAAATGATACCCCATGGGTAGGCAAACTAAGGCCCGGGGGCCGGATGCGGCCCAATCGCCTTCTAAATCCAGCCCACGGACGGTCCAGGAATCAGTGTGTTTTTACATGAGTAGAATGTGTCCTTTTATTTAAAATGCATCTCTGGGTTATTGGTGGGGCATAGGAATTTGTTCATTATTCCCCCCCCCCAAAAAAATATAGTCCGGCCCCCCACAAGGTCTGAGGGACAGTGGACTGGCCCCCTGCTGAAAAAGTTTGCTGAGCCTTCATACACAAACAGAAACATGGGTATCCTTTCTGTCTGAATTTTGTGATGCAGTTCTCTAACCCAAAAAAGGGAATAAAATTATTGTTGTTTTTCGTTGTTGAATTTATATACTGTTCTACCTCCTGAGGGAACAAACATATCCACATTATTATTATTATTATTATTATTATTAAAAAAATCTAAAACAGGTAAAACATTCCATAAACAGTTTCAATTAAAGTTCTCAAGACTTTATCAGCGAGGAGCTTATCAGTAAGAATCCTATAGGCCTCCAGATGTTGTTGACTTCCACCTCACAGCCAGCATGATGTCAGTTGTAGTTCAGAACATCTTGAGATTCCTCACCCCTGGCACAGAGCATGGCTACAGGTTGTGGCCAGGTGAAAGAATGCAAACATTTCCTACTATTCAGGACAAGCTTTTGGATTAATAAAGCTGTGCAGGTTTGCTGCACAGGTAATTGGCATTTTGGTTCCCTTGTTTGGAATGTGTGCATTTTTAAAAGAAATGTGTTGATTTTTCTGTCTTTTGATAATTTGATTATGTATACCCCTAATAACTCCCAGCACCCTTAACAAAGCCAGTGTGGTGTAGTGGTTAGGAGCGGTAGACTCGTAATCTGGTGAACTGGGTTCGCTTCCCCGCTCCTCCACATGCAGCTGCTGGGTGACCTTGGGCTAGTTACACTTCTCTGAAGTCTCTCAGCCTCACTCACCTCACAGAATGTTTGTTGTGGGGGAGAAAGGGAAAAGGAGATTGTTAGCTGCTTTGAGACTCCTTCAGGTAGTGTTAAAGCGGGATATCAAATCCAAACTCTTCTTCTCTTCTTCTTCTGCTATTCCCAGGATTCTTTGGTGGAAAGCACGACTGTTTAAAATGGTACGATATTGCTGTAATTGTATATTTGCAGATGGGGCTTAGGTCCCACTGAGTTCAGTCAGAAGAACTTCCAAATAAGCTGTACCTTGTACTGTTGCCTTTGGGTTTGGGGCCAACTCTGAGGGAGCTGCAGCTGTTCAGTTAAAGCAAGTGATGTAAACTGGGATAAGACACTGTGGAGAATTTGCCACCGCAAGAAAATGGCCACCATCTTGGAAGGCTTTAAAAGAAGTTTTGAGGATTCATAAAGTTATCAAAGGCAACTAGCCATGGTGGCTATGTTCTACCTCCACTTTTGGAAGTAGTAACACTTCTGAACACCAGTTGTTGGTGGGCAGAGCACTGGTGTGCTTTCGGGCTTCCCACAGGCATCTGGTTGGCCATTGTGAGAACAGGATGCTGGACTGGAACAGCCATTGGCCTGATTCATCAGGACTCTTCTTAGCATTGCCTCTTGTGCTTCTTCTGTAGATGATCGAATCCATGGAACTGATATCAGTGATTGCCGATATGCAAGGGGCCTTTTTTAAAGAGGTGTCACTTGTTACTTTGTGGATGGAGGAAGGACTGAACTCTTCACTAGTGAAAGACAAAGAATTAAGGCCAAGTCAGGTAACTAACAACACAAATATCTCTCAGGTATCCCCAGGGCCGGATTTAGGTTTGATGAGGCCCTAAGCTACTGACGGTAGCCCTTTATATGTCCAGCTGTCCTTTGTCAACAACAAATTGTCGCTGTTTTTGTGTGTTGAATATATGCTATATGGTAGGCATAGGCAAACTCCGGCCCTCCAGATGTTTGGGACTACAATTCCCACCATCCCTGACCACTGGTCCTGTTAGCTAGGGATGATGGGAATTGTAGTCCCAAACATCTGGAGGGTCAGAGTTTGCCTCTCCCTGCTATATGGTAATCTATGGGCCTAATAGGTATCTAAAGCCATTTGTACATGTTGTCATGCAACCAGTCCATGCAGAATGTAGGTACCCTATATATAGAAATGAGCAAACCAGTGATATTTTAGGGAGCAGGCTAGCAGGCAGGGCCTATGACTTACATCATAGGAGCCTACACAACACAGTACACTGTTGTTGTATGTAGGTTTTACTTTATTTGTTTTTTATCTTATTTTTTGGAAATGTACATCCAGGGTTTTTCCCTTTAAATTTTTTGGGGGCCCTAAGCTATAGCTTGTTTAGCTTATATGTAAATCCGGCACTGGGTATTCCTAAGTGCAGACCAGGTATGCAGAAAAATCCCAAAGCAGCCTGGCAAAAACCTGCAAGCTTCTGGGAGGTACTGAATGTCACGATGTCAGCTAAGTATAGCAAGGGAAGAAAACTGAAATTGGGAGATGAAGTGAGGAAGAGTAGCATTCCTTTAGGGACTGGCGATGCCCTGCACAGTTTTGTTTCAGATTCCGTGTGTGTGCAGCTAATTTGATTTCAGTACTTTCATTTCATTTCAGGCCTTGTTTCTGTATGAATTGTTGTCAAAGAAAACCCCTTCTCCCGACCTCTTAAGGTATGATTTCACCACTGACCCTTACCTTTCCATCCTTATGGAGCCACAATTGCAAGTATTATTTTCTTGCTCTTTTGAGGTTCAGATGCCTGAAATTTCTATAGGCAGAGCATCACCATGGAAGTAACAGCACGCAGGAAGCAATTTTCCCTTTGTTCGTCCCACACCATTCAAGTGCATTTAACTGTTAATTTACAAACCACAAAAAAGTCCAATTTTTAAAAAGTGGATTTGTTGAGTTGAGCAACTGAGCACTTTAATGTATTTTAATAAGTGCTTTTTTCTGGGGGTACACAGGGGTATGCATACCTCTAAATATTTTGTGAATCTAAGTTTGGCCTCATTGAGGGGCAGTATTTCAATATGATTAGGAAAATGAGAGTACCCCTAAACATTTTTTTCAGAAAAAAGCGCTAATTTTAATTACCCAACCTAAATTTACGCTATGCACTTCAGTCCCATCTGCAAAATAGAGATGGTCTGGATACACTTCTCAGCACACTTCCTGAATGTTATGGGACTTACATATGAGTAGACATACATAGAATTGCACTGTAAAACGTGCCAAGTCATGTTGGGTCATATAATTACTTAACTATCTATGCTTTCTTCAAATCAGCATCAGCCAATTGGTGAAAGGAGTAACGTGCAGTCAGCTTGAGAGTATGAGCACAGTCTCTTTTTTAAACACATTCAAAGTTTTTGAAAAGAATCTTCACCTGCTGTCGCCATATCAGGTAAAATGTGAAAGCACCATTATTCTGTGTTCAACAGAAGCTAGCGCCAGGGTGGGTGGGTCTATTTCAGGCCAACACCACCTTCTGAAGCTTTTACCATAATTCTGTTACGTTTCTGCATTACTCTGAGATTTATTCATTTTTTAATGCCCTCAAAATAACGTTTATATGTTTGCCTTCTTTCAAAATATATTTGAATATGCAATTCAAATAGATTTTGAAAGAAGTACGCAATTTGGTGTGCTTAAACGGACAAGAATCGTGTTGCAACAATAAAAGGAATGCAAAAATCTGGTGAATAGCCAAATTTGGGTTTTGCACACTAGTCTAATTGTGCTTCCAAGTGGGACTTAATTTGCAAGTGAGTCATTGAGAAATTGCAAACCAGTCATTGGCCACAGTTTGTATATGGATGTGTGACTTTGGCTGGTATGTTATGTGGATGTGGTGTCATGTTATATTATGGGGGTCTGGTGTTATGACCCACATCTTCATAGCAGCACATCTACACATATGTGGATGTTGTGTTATGTGCTGCTATGTTATGTGGATGTCATTAAGTGCTGTTATGTTACGTTGCATGAAGGTGTGGTATGGATAGGTACGTCTGGATATTGTCTGGAAGTTATGAGCAACGAACCTATCAAGGATTATAGCTGCTGCTGCTTTTTCCATTGCTCCTCGACAATCACATATAGCTAAAAATGATTTAAGGATGTCTTTTTTGCAGATCAATTGTCTGGCTTGGAAATTTTGGATACTCTCCAATGCATCTGTGCCTCCCTATCTCTTATCAGTGCTTCCGTAAGTTCTCTCTCACGCACACCTATTTTAATAAAAAGCAAAGGTACCCTTGTTGGTCCATTAAAAAGCAAAAACACAGGGTTGTTGTGGGGGATTAAATGAGGTGCGGGAGAGCCATGTATGCCACCTTGAGATTCTAGGGGGGAAAGTTGGGATATAAATGGACCACAAGCTTAACATGAGTCAACGGTGTGATGCAACAGCAAAAAAAAAGCTAACACTATTCTAGGCTGCATCAATAGAAGTATAGTGTCCAGATCAAGGGAGGTAATAGTACCACTCTATTCTGCCTTGGTCAGACCACACCTGGAGTCCTGTGTCCAGTTCTGGTTGCCACAATTTAAGAAGGATGTTGACAAGCTGGAAGGTGTGCAGAGGAGGGCAAACAAGATGATCAGCGGTCTGGAAACTAAGCCTTATGAGGAACACTTGAAGGAGCTGGGTATGTTTAGCCAGGAAAAGAGGAGATATGATAGCCATCTTCAAATATCTTAAGGGCTGTCATATGGAAGAGGAAGTGTGCTTGTTTTCTCCTGCTCTTGAGGGTAGTACTCGAGGCAACTGCTTCAAGTTAAAAGAAAGGAGATTCTGACTACACATTCGGAAAAAAACTTTCTGACAGTAAGAGCTCTTTGGCAGTGGAACAGACTCCCACGAGAGGTGGTGAACTCTCCTTCCTTGGGGGTTTTTAAGCAGAGGTGGATGGTCATCTGTCATGGATGCTTTGGCTGACATTCCTGCCTTGCAGGGGGTTGGACTAGATGACCTTTGGGGGTCCCTTCCAACTCTACAGTTCTGTGATTCTATGAAATGCAATAAATGAATGAATGATAAATAGTTCCAAGATGGCAATGGCAGACTGAAACAAAATACCTCTCAGATGCTATAGATTTCAGGTTACAGTCATAGGATTCTGAGATAAAGAAGAAATGGCTGCTCTACATCTATAAGAGTGTGTAACATTTGCTTGTCACTCAGATCTGTCCCACACATTAAAGAAACACAAGGGCTCCTGGATAGACAGAGAACAGAAATAAAGATTTCTGCTGCCTGCTGTGAAGCCACAATCCTATATATCCACGTACATACCAGGGTAGGGAAAACCTGTTGCCCTCCATGTGTTGCTGGACTCCATCTCCCATCATGCCCAGTCAGCATCACCAATGGCTAAGATTGATGGGAGATGCAGTCCAACAACATCTGGCGGAACCAGACATTCTTCATCTCTGGGCCATAAGAACCCAATGTATGTCATACAGTGCCCTTCAAGGGAAAAGTGGGGTACACTGAATTTTAGTGTGTAGTGCTCTAAAGATCCTAGTTTCTTCTTCCCCAAAACCGATATTTTAAATCTTTCCTCTAGTGCTGAGTATCTGGAATCCATTTCAGGACCTCTCTGTGCCCCTTTTGTGACCAGCCTGGGGAAGCTTGAACTTGACCGTCTTGTTTCAAATAGGCAGAAGAAACAAGCAATTTTGCAAAAAGTGCAAGACTGCCTGGTAAGAATATGACACTATTTTGTTTCGTTAAAATGTGTATGTCCCACTTTGGGGTCCGCACAGGCTCTCCAAGTCTTTTATGGGCAACCCCATACAAAATAACAATTTAAAAAACATAATATAGTGGTACCTCAGGTTACATACGCTTCAGGTTACAGACTCTGCTAACCCAGAAATAGTGCTTCAGGTTAAGAACTTTGCCTCAGGATGAGAACAGAAATTGGGCTCCGGAGGCACGGCAGCAGCAGGAGGCCCCATTAGCTAAAGTGGTGCTTCAGGTTAAGAACAGTTTCAGGTTAAGTACAGACCTCCGTAACAAATTAAGTACTTAACCCGAGGTACCACTGTATACAAAACAACCCAAACTAGCTCACTGAAGCAGCAGCAAGCCAAACAACAAAGAAAACCAGGAAGGAAGCTGGGGAAAAGGAACTCAACATAATACCCAGAGGAAAGAAACCCTTAGGTTTTCTTAACTGTTTTTAATGGTTGTTTTCTCTGTGTTTTTAGCGGTTCTTCAGAACTCATTCCATCTTGTAGCTTGATCACAATTGCGCACACACACCCCAGCACTGGCTTCTTTATTTCAGAACGGCTCGGCCATAGATGAATATGACATTGACTTACTTGGAAATCTCATTTGCCATCTACCCCCGGAGTTTATTTGTGAAGGAATCTCACGGGAAGCGATGGCAACAGCCCTTCACCAGTTCGGACTATGCCATCATCTCAGCGATGATCAGAAGACAGAAATCAAGCGCAGACTTATTGAATTGCACGGGTAAGAGAATAATCTGGGAGGGTTTTGCTCTGAATCTTCGTGTAAAGGTAAAGGGACCCCTGACCATTAGGTCCAGTCGTGGCCGACTCTGGGGTTGCGGCGCTCATCTCGCTTTATTGGCCGAGGGAGCCGGTGTACAGCTTCCGGGTCATGTGGCCAGCATGACTAAGCCGCTTCTGGCGAACCAGAGCAGTGCACAGAAACACCGTTTACCTTCCCACCGTAGCGGTACCTATTTATCTACTTGCACTTTGACGTGCTTTCGAACTGCTAGGTTGGCAGGAGCAGGGACCGAGCAACGGGAGCTCACCCCATCGCGGGAATTCGAACCGCCGACCTTCTGATTGGCAAGTCCTAGGCTCTGTGGTTTAACCCACAGCACCACCTGCGTCCCGAATCTTCGTGTAGCAGCATATAAATCAGTCTGACACTTTAAAAAAATTAATTCTGTTGTATTCATTTAACAACACACAGTATATAACCATTAATGACAAAGGACTTTCACCTTAAAGTTGATCACTTTCTTCAATCAGGACACAGGAGAATCTCACAATTTACAGTAGAGGCATGCGGGGAAGTGGTGTCCATAGAACACATGTCTAAGTAATAATTTTAAAAGATCTTATGTAAAGAAAGCAACAAAAGGGCATTTTTACATAGCTATTGGCTGTGTTCCAGCATATGGATTTTATTGGTACATTTGCTACATCATTTATTTCGGCATTGTGGCACGCTCTGAGATTTCTTTGTTCACATCATATTCCAAAATGTATTTCCAAGTTCCCCAAGAAACTGGACAGCTGAAACCACGCGGGACGTTGGATCATTCATAGCCCTTTTGCCAAAAGCTGAATTAAACATCCTCGTGGAAAAGGTACTGTCAGAATTCTTGCTGGGGTGTGTTTGGAGTGCTTCTGTTCTCAATTCCAGCTAGCCAGTGACGACCTTTTCCAGGATATGCCATTCCATTCCCCCTCCCCTCTACTTTTCATCCCCTTCCCCAACAGGCAGTGTTCTATAGCCACTGAGCAAGTTCTATCCTCAATGGGCTATTTGAGTCCCACCCCCCCATACTTCAGAAAACCTTGGAGTTTCACCCAAGGGTGCTACTTCCTTTGACAACACTTTGTCACACACCTGTGTTTCAGTTGTGCCATTTTGGCTTCCGAAGGACCCACACTCAGATGAGTTCACTTAATAGTATATATAGAGTCCTTGCAAGATGCAACATAGTGCAGAGAGAGCGGATAGAGGTATGTACTGTATTTTTTGCTCTATAAGACTCACTTTTTCCCTCCTAAAAAGTAAGGGGAAATGTGTGTGCATCTTATGGAGCGAATGCAGGCTGCGCAGCTATCCCAGAAGCCAGAACAGCAAGAGGGATTGCTGCTTTCACTGCACAGCAATCCCTCTTGCTGTTCCAGCTTCTGAGATTCAGAAAAAAAAAATTCTTGTTTTCCTCCTCCAAAAACTAGGTGCGTCTTGTGGTCTGGTGCATCTTATAGAGCGAAAAATACAGTAGTTCTCTCTCTCTCTCTCTCTCTCTCTCTCTCTCTCTCTCTCTCTCTCTTGAACTACATTAGAACTTGTGGGAAATGAGTGGGCAATAGATTTGGGATTGACAGTAAGGAATTGCTGCTTCCCATAGCACATCATTTATTTGTGGAATTCACTGAAATTGGATGTCGTGAGGGCGGCTGACTTAGATGGTTTTAAAAGGGGGTCAGACAAATTCATGGCTATTAATCATGACAAGCTGGACCTGCAACAAAATGTTGCAGCATATTGCTATCTAGGGTGGCCTAATGCAAAAGAAGACAGGGCTCCTTCACCTTTCATAGTTGGCAGAATGTGTCGTTTCGGCCAGTGCACCTTGCATGATAATAATAACCATCTTTAGTTTGTCCCTCCCTCTCCTTAAAGTTTCCTGATATCATCTCGGAAATAGCATCAAAGATGACTGGGCCAGTTCTGCCAACTGAGGAGCTGCTTTTGGCTCAATTTGAATCTATCCACAATTCCAGCATCCCAGGGACAACACCTGATTTGACTTCTGGTAGGTAGAATGCACTGCTGGCTTTGTATAGCAGAAAAAAGTTGCTGCTGAGTTTGGCTTTGTTTGTCTGTTGTCTCAAATGAATATTTATACAGTGGTACCTTGGTTCTCAAACTTAATCCATTCCGGAAGTCCGTTCCAAAACCAAAGCGTTCCAAAACCAAGGCACACTTTCCCATAGAAAGTAATGCAAAAACAACCCTTAAAACAGCATGGATTTTACTATCTAACAAGACAATTGATCAATAAAATGAAAGCAATAAACAATGTACTGCATTCACACAATCAACCAATCAGTAGCTGAACTGGGTGCCACACAGTCACAAAAACAAAAAAAGAGCTGCACAAACAAAAACGCAAAATAAATAGCAAAAACAGACAGACCTCAGCGTAACATTCAAAACAGAAGTGTGGCACTCAGAACAGAAGCATAACACTCAAAATGGAGCACGTTCGGCTTCCGAGAAAAGTTCACAAACTGGAACACTTACTTCCGGGTTTGCAGTGTTTGGGTTCCAAGTTGTTTGAGTACCAAGGTGTTTGAGAACCAAGGTACCACTGTACTAGGTTTCGTAAAGAAAAACAGAAAGCAAGGAGAAGTAGCTCACCAGGTGGGGGGGAGCTGCAGTATTAGCCTCCCAGCAGGTGGGGCGCTGTTGCTTACAGAGAGGGGTGAGACAGCAGGCAGGTCAGTGAGAAACCAACACTGATAAATTTGTCCATCCTTGCCTCTTCATGCTTATTGTTTACATCAGAGGATGTGGAGTATCCCCCCTTTTGCTTCTAAAAATGTGAAGCTATTCCCGTTTGACAGATGATGAATGGATTTTTGCTAGTACGACATCAGATTTACTGTTTGTTTATTATTGACCCTCCCTCCGTTGGCCCAGCAGACACAATCTTGTTGGAATGTTTTGCTGGCTTCTGTAGTTCTGTTTGATTGAAGCAAATCCTTCCTTTCGCTTCCGTTCCAAGTACAAATCTCTTTGGTACATCCTTGCTGTAATTTGCTTAGTGGGGGAAAACTCGGCTCCTAATCAGCATCTGTGATGTTCTACTTTATTACAGGAGATAGCCCAATGCAAAGTTGCTTCCTTTTTTTAGTTAAAATTGCAAAGCCACACTTTTCTAAGGGCTCGGACAGATGTTAACCGATTTTTTTTTTAAGATGTTGGCTGATGCATCCCAGTAAGTGCTAGTGCTTGGAAGCTTTTTAAGTTCAAGGGCCACATTCCCTTAAGGGCAAGCTTCTGGGGGCCATATACAAGTGGTGGGTGAGACCAGAGGCAAAAGTGAGTGGAGAAAGGAATGCAAATTTTACCTTTTTACAGTAGCCCAGTTTTTACACACACACACACACACACACACACACACACACACACACACACACACACACACACTTCTTTATCTTCCATGCATGCAAGCATTATCAGAGTATAAGGACACGTTTCCAGCCAGGCAAAAATGTTGAAGTACATTACAAAGCTGGACCACCGAAGGGTGTGGCTTGGAGAGAGGGTGTATTGCAGTTATTATTATTTCACTTTTGGAAGCATTAGGATAAATGAAAACTGACTCTCCTTGAAATAAAAATTCTCCAGTCTAAAAATATGGTTCAAAAGCTAACAGAACTTGTTCCAAAACAGACACTCAAAACAACGTTACATCCAAATAGTTTCATCATATCATGTGCTTGTCCAAGCACAGGTACAGCGTCTTAGAAATATGAAATTACTTCATCCAGAACTGAAAAACCAAAGCTCTGTCCCTCTGCACACAGCCGGCATTCCAGCCTAAGGCTGTGTTCCTGGAGAGGGAGTCATTAGCACAGAACAAAGACTGACTTTAGATCAGATGAGAAAGATATTCAGTTGCAAATCTCCATTTCGTGTGAGTTGAACACCTCACACAGAGGAGCAGAGATAGGTACATTCTTAGTTAATTATCAATTGTAAGGGTCTCTGCTGCCCTTGCTTAGCTTCAATCACTCGTGCCACCTTGCCCCTGTGGTTGAGGGGGCAGGGTTGAGCCGCATCAGCATGCCATGTGTGCACACACCCCAAGCATGTATGCATGACGTCAGCACACCCTGCAGTGCGCTCGCATACCCCATGGCGTGCTGATGTCCCTTGCACATGACACAGTGTCACTTGTGCACAGCCACCACAGAACTTTGAGGGGGCCCAGCCCCTTATTGAAATTTTTCAGGGGGGCTGGCCCCCTAGCTCCCCTCCTACTTGGCACGCCTGGCTTCAATGGACTTTTACAATGTTACACCTTGTGCAATACACATACAAAGTTATTTTCCATTTCAATGTACAATTATACTTAATGGTTTGTTCTGGGGAGAATCCCAAGGGCCAGGTAGGGAAGCCTGGAGGGCCAAATTTCCCCCTAGGCCAGAGGTCTCCCATTCCTGGCCTAAGCTATCTCAGCCTAACTTATTCAATATAGGCAATAGCTGAAATCCAAATGCGCTTGGGATATCCAAGGCAAAAACTCTTGCACATGGAGCCCTGTAACAGGAAGTTTAAGGTGATGAGCCCCTCTCCCCCCCTAGAGAAATAGAAGTGTCAAATGAAACATCTGCACTAGGGTAGTAACCTGCCTTGTAATGGAATTTGTTGCTGTCCCCCACCCTGCCCAACATGGCAGTAATCTTGCAAAAGATTAGCATTACGATCTAATTACCTCTTAGCATTACAGTCAATGAGTTTGTGTCGGTGATTAACCTCTCTGCGAATATATCTTCTTCTGTACCAGATTGCGCAGACGTCATGGCACCTTCTTCAGAGGAGATTATGAAATTATCAGAAGCCAACATGTTCTGGTCAGCTCAAGAGCTGGCCTGCATGGATCCGGGCACTTTTGCCAAGACTGTGGAATTCCTTGGCTCTGTGGTCCATTTTGATACCTCTCAGCTTGCTGCGCTGAAAGAGAAAGCTAAGGAGGTAGCTATGAAGCGTTGTTGTTTTTTTACCAAACTTCCTTAGATGTGCATTTACTTGAGCTTGAGGGTGGTTAGTGGGGTCAAGTGATTCCCGCTTTGAGCAGCAGATGTATCATAAAATACTGTTATATAAAATACCCCCAATCTCTGCTGAGCAGCAGCAAGATTCCACGGGGGTTCCTGGCGCTAACCCAGGGTTGTGTTTCCGTTGGAGAAATCGAGGCACACCAGAATCTAGTGTCTTTAGGAAATATGATTTATTGGGCACATATTTACGCCTAAAGCTTTCAATGGAGGGATGGTGCAATGGCACATCGGCCCTCTCTCTCCCTAACACCGCTGCGCCAGGCCTCAGTTTCCCTTTCTCTTAGGTGAAATCCCCAGTGGAGAATGAATCACGAGCGACAGTGGGTTTTTCTTTTGGGAAAACAGGTTGCAAACAAACTTTATTATAACAGATGTAAGGAAGGAGTTTTGGTTCTTCTTCTTCCACAGAAATGTAACAAGCAGTGCTGTTGCTTTTTCTTAAAACGTATACAGTGGTACCTCAGGTTAAGTACTTAATTCGTTCTGGAGGTCTTTTCTTAACCTGAAACTGTTCTTAACCTGACGCACCACTTTAGCTGATGGGGCCTCCTGCTGCCGCTGCGCTGCCACTGCACGATTTCTGTTCTCATCCTGAAGCAAAGTTCTTAACCCGAGGTAATATTTCTGGGTTAGCGGAGTCTGTAACCTGAAGCGTATGTAACCTGAGGCACCACTGTACTGTCTCAAGTTATAGGCTGTATGCTGTTCAGGCTTAAGGTTACTTACTTTTACACATCTTCCATAGATCAGACTTCTCCACACACACTTCAGGAACTTAGGTTTTTAACTGGCCTGTTCCCCTCACAGACCCCCAAACCCTCCTTGGCCTCAAAATCACTACTGCCTTTTTTTGTCAGAGTATTCCCTCTGAGGATCCTTTTTCCTGTGAACATCATGTGGGACTGTGTCTTGTCTATTTTTAACAGTATTTTGCAATTCAGAACCTTAGAGCATATACTGAGAGTTCTCGGCTCTCCTCAGCTCTACCACCTGTCAGAACAAACCCTCCTGACAGAATCCCCCTCACAGACCCCATGAATCTCTCCCACAGTCTCTCACTCCCCTCCAAGATTCATGGGGTCCATAGCAGCAGCCAGCCATTGCTCCCAGTCTCTCGGTGAATCCTCCTCCAGCCAGTGCCAAGATGGTTCTGCCTTCCTCCTTCTTGTTCCCAGAACACCTTTAAATTTCAAAAAGGACAAATTTTTCTGTGACATCACATCACCCCATCACCTTGGCAGCCTCCCAAACCTCCTGTTTCTGTCCACTTCTCGCAACAGGCGGGGAATGATAGCTATTGCTCTTAATGGCTCCCCATTGATCCTTAATTGTTCTGAACTTAGCTAGCCTGGCCAGGAATTTCTTGTCTGTCCCAGTTCTGCTGCATGTATTGTCCCTTCATATCCCAAATATTATCTGAATACTACCATTTATTCATTTCTGCCATTCCCTAACAGACTCTGGTATCCTAGATCTATGGCAATAGGTTGAATGTCGACTTAAGGCCAAACTAAGGCTGGATATACACCCAGGGGGAAAAGCACACTATAAATAAGTCATAAATTAAATCGTTATAACAAAAGAAAAAGAAAAACTCTATGTAAAATCGTATAGACAAAGTTTTGTGCTCTACAGCGCCATCTGGTGTTGCATGTTTATAACACAGTTATAGCATAACATGAATAATGTAGCTGAGTCCTAGATGGGGAAGGGCTGTAGCTCAGTGGTAGAACATCTGCCTTGCATGCAGAAGGTCATAAGTTCAATCCCCGGCATCTCCAACAGTTTTTAAAATATTTGTTTCAAAACAGATTACACTCCCATGTGAATTTGGAGTTGCATGTGTAGGAGAAATTTGCACTAAAATGCTGGTGACTTTTCATGAGGATTTTAAAAGATCACAAATTAACATGGAAATGTGGAGAGCTGGATTTAAGGTTGGAAAGATGAGAAACTGAGAGAAACCAACACTGACATATTCACCCATCTCTAACTGGCAGTGTGAAGGTCCTAGATGGGGTGTCCTAATCTTCCTCCTCCGAGGAAACCACAGATTCCCAGGGCTGCACAGTGCTTACAATCTGACAGTTTCCGCTCCCACCCCAATGAAAGAAAAGAAAAAAGCCAGTGGCTGCCACAATTTACATGCGGGGAGGAACACTGCAACCATAGAACAAGCCAAAGCCACTTCAATCTTAACAGCAAGATTGATCCGATGATTTGCTGTCATGAGTCAAAAGCTGCTTGCTGAGTTTTTTTTGAAAAAAATTCCTTAGAGGGAGATCTCTCCAGCCCATAGAAATTACCATCAAGATTAGCATGCGCCAGCTGTGCTCAGCTGGAAGATACGTGCTTACTTCTGTAATGTACTAAACCATGCATAATCCTTCAGGCAGCAGGTATTTTTAGCAAAACTACATTGTTAAGCTCAAACCAAAAGACAGCCATAGCTCTGAAATAATTTTTGCAGGAGAACTTGTTTTGTGTTTTTAGTCTTATTATTACAGTTTTTTAAAAATATATATAATACAAAAACAATTATACACGCACACCTCCCCAAATATCAAATAAAAGTAAGGGGCATGTGTGCATAATTGACATGTTAAATTCTTAGCAGTTTTCATCAGGTATTTCAAAAGATGTAGATTTCTTGTTATATTCTTAGAATAAATTCCATTCATGTTCCATATGTCAACCCAGCAAATAGGAGTAACCATTGTTTTTATTTTATTTTATTTTTATAAAAACTAATGTTACTTGTTTTACCCCTTATGTGTGGCTGTGATCTTTGTTTACTTTATGCCGTATTATTGATTTTAAATGATAATTTGTTTTTAAAAAGTTATCTTTTAAAAAAGTGAGGTGTCACACCTTCTGCCCTGGGAGAATTCCTGGCTAACCCCAATATATTGTTGTTGTTGTTTTAAAGTCTTGGGGGCCCCTGACAAGCTGGAAGAACTACCACATAGTTTCCCTTGGGCACATTGCTGCAGTGCTAAATGAGACTGAAATTGGAATGCTGGATTTGGGTTCTATTGATACCGTTGTGGCACTCAGCCAGCAAACAGAATGGAGCCCTACGCAGGTGAGTGTGTCCAATTGGTGAATGCACTGTAGGGTGGTTGCCATCAGTGATGGATTTATGTGTAAGCTAAACAAGCTATAGCAGGGGTCAGCAAACCTTTTCAGCAGGGGGCCGGTCTACTGTCCCTCAGACCTTGTGGGGGGCCGGACTATATTTTGAAGGGAAAAAAAATATGAACGAATTCCTATGCCCCACAAATAACCCAGAGATGCATTTTAAATAAAAGTACACATTCTACTCTTGTAAAAACACCAGGCAGGCCCCACAAATAACCCAGAGATGCATTTTAAATAAAAGGACACATTCTACTCATGTAAAAACATGCTGATTCCTGGACCACGGGCCGGATTTAGAAGGTGATGGGCCGGATCTGGACCCGGGCCTTAGTTTGCCTACCCATGAGCTATAGCTTAGGGCCCCACTCTCTTGGGGGGCCCCCAAAAAATTTAAAGGGAAAAAAACCCTGGATGTACATTTCCAAAATATAAGATAAAAAAAAAAAAACCCTACCTACAGCAACAGTGTTTTGTTTTGTGTAGGCTCCTATGATGCAAGTAATGGGCCCCGCCTGCTAGCCTGCTCCCTAAAATATCACTGGTTTACTCATTTATGTATATAGGGTGCCTACATTCTGCATGGACTGGTTGCATGGCAATATGTGCAAATGGCTTTAGATACCTATTAGGTCCATAAATTACCACAGGACAAATATTCAACACAAAAAACAGTGACGATTTGTTTTTGACAAAGGACAGCTGGACATATAACGGGCCCCATTACCTTCAGTACAGTAGCTTAGGGCCTCATTAAACCTCAATCTGGCCCTGGTTGCCATGTAGAAAAACTGGCAGCAGATTGGGAACGTGCAGGGGTGGGTTGGCTTCTCCTTTGCTGAGCCAGAGATGTTAGCACATTCCTAGCTAGTGGCTCTTCCCACTCTACAGCAGCTCCATGTGGCAGAAAGGGCTGGGAAGGGCGACATTGCAAAATCCCCCACCGCATCCCAAAGGTTCCAGCTTCTAGATCACTTGTTTCATTTTATTGCTTTGATTTAAGAAAGTGTATATACCACATAAAACAACAGAAACTCCCCAAGCAGTTTATAAAGAACAGTGTACAAAAGTGAATTCCCCCAAGTGTCAGAAAAGGTTATTTATGTGTGAAACAACTGTGGCCCGTGTTTTGTTAGTCCCAAAATGGAAACTGAGCGAGGTCCCAACCAAAGAAGAATGGCAACTTAAGTTGACAGAATATGCACAACTTGCAGGCTTCACATATAGAATAAGAGAACGAGAAGAACATACGTTTAGAGAGGGTTGCAAAATGTTTATTGAATATATGGAAAATAGTTGTGTACAGCTGTAAACTCTGGCAGCGTTAAGATAAATTCAACAGTGTGAATATGTTTTGATGGATGTAATAATGGAAAACTGATTGGTATAGTTTTTGTAAAATATGCAGGGATATAAGATATGTAAAGTGAGCCATGGAAAGAGAAGAAGGGAAGTCATTGATATCTTAAGTATGTAAAATGTTTATTTGAAATTGAAAAACAAGCTTACATTTGAAATCTATCAAAATTTAAATAAAACCAGCCATTTTAGAAATAGTAACACATAATAAAACAGCATAATAGAATGCATGTTAAAATTTCGTGCCTAGGTAGGCATTTAAATGGGCACCGAAAATGATACAATGAAGGCGCCTTATGCATATAAATGGGCAAGAAGTTCCACTGTGTAGATTCTGCTGCATCGAAGGATTGATTCCTTGCAAGTTCGGAATGACCATTATGTGAAACTTGTAAAAGTGCCAGTTCCGCAGATCAAAGGGGTCAAGAAACTATATATTTGGTAAGGCAATCCTTCAAGTAAAGTGGTCCCAGACCTCTGGGACTAGCTTAAAAAGATCCTTTAAGTAAACTGCTTCTTTGCCACGGTGACATCCTATAATTTGATTCATGGACAATATTTGACTAGAACATGCATTGTCAGTTAAAAGAAGTTCTTTTTCACTTTCAATGTAAAGCCACTTTTATCATTATTTTGTGTGCAAGCATCCTGATTCCATGATAATCAGTTGCATTATAGCTTCCTGGAGTGCAGAGTCTTGTTACCTTCTAATTTAACTGAGTTAGATCTTCGTTGTGTTTGTTTTTCAGGCCAGGTTGATTTTACAGGGCTTTCTGGAAGACTCAGGTCAAGGAATGGACACCCTGAAAAGCTTTGATTTGGCTGGACTAGGCCATAATCTTTGTGCTCTGAACTCCACAGAGATTGAATCTATAAATGCAGTTGAGTTCAGGTACAGCACCACAATTCTTCCATTAACAATGCACTTACGAAAGATAAATTAGAAAAAAGTTAATGTTGCATGGCTTTTATTGTGATCTCTGATTTTATTTTGCATGTTGAGCTAATTTTTTAAAAAAGTTGCTTAGAGACTCTTCATGTAGCAAGCAACTAATAAACTGAATAAATAAATAATAATATTAACAGTAAAAGCCATAAACTTTTTTTGAGAAATGTTCCTTACCAATAAATAAATAAATAAATAAATAACCCCCAGGCTTACAATAAAGAGTACTAAAACAGAATACAGTTAAAACCAATGTGTGAAATACTAATAGTATTAGCAACAGTAGTAAAAGCATATTAGCTCGAAAGCTAGCAGCTCCGAGGGCCTTCTGGTGGTTCCCTCACTGTGAGAAGTGAGGTTACAGGGAACCAGGCAGAGGGTCTTCTCGGTAGTGGCGCCTGACCTGTGGAACGCCCTCCCATCAGATGGCAAGGAAATAAACAACTATCTGACTTTTAGAAGACATCTGAAAGCAGCCCTGTTTAGGGAAGTTTTTAATGTTTGATCGTGTTTTGAATATTCTGTTGGGAGCTGCCCAGAGTGGCTGGGGAAACCCAGCCAGATGAGCAGGGTATGTATGTATGTATGTATGTATGAATAAATAAATCAATCATCATTAAGAATCCCTGACAATTAAACATTAAAAGCCTGCTGAGACTAAAAGGTCTTGGGACTACTAGAAATACGTATGTTGTGTGCACCCTGAAGTTCAGGAGAGGACCTCTTCACGCAACAGAGAACTGAATTATGGAATTCGCTCCAACAACAAGCAGTGATGGCCACCAACTTGGATAACTTTAAAAGATGATTTGACAAATCCATGGAGGACAAGGCTAACAGCCATGTTGTGTATTGTTCTACCTCTATTGTCGCAGGCAGTCTGCCTCGCATTGCCAGTTTCTGCAAATCACAAGCGAGGGAGAGGACTGTGGCACTCAAGTCTTGCTTATGAGCTTCCCACTCAGGCATCTGACTGACCTCCGTGAGAGCAGGGATGCTGGACTAGATGGGCCATTGGCCTGACCCAACAGGGCTAGGGTTGCCAGACCTCCAGTCTCGACTGAAGTCTCCAGGTTTGGCTGGTCCCCTCCAAGTGATGGATGGGGAGCTTGAATCTACAGGTGGGCAAGATTCCCTTCGAAGCTTCAGCCCAGCAGGGGCTGGCTGCAAATGATAGCATAGGTACACTTTGGGGTGTCTGCCTTCCTCTGTTCCCTTCTCTCAATTAACCTCCATCTCATGGGATTGCCATATGACGTCACCGAGGAATGCCTTCATGACATCATCACCAGGGACCACCCCAAAGTCCCAGGTTTGGGCCCTGCAATCTCAGGGTCTGCGATGCTCCTGACCTGAGAACCCTAAGCAGGGCTTTTCTTATGTTAAGCTATGAATCATGAACTAGTGCCCAGTGCTAGCCCACTCAAAAAGAAAGAAAGTGCAAATGATTGCCTTGATCAACATATTAAATATTATTTGCTATCTCATCTTTTTTCATTTGATATGCAGCTCATGCACAGAGCAGCTTCACACATGGCTTCTTCCGCCGCCCCACGAGTGTCAAAATTTTCAGGTGATAATTGCACATGTATATATGGAAGCCGTGGGAAGCAGCAAAATAGATACTCATCGTGCAAACGAACGTGATATTATTATGATTCCTTACAGCTGTCTAGGAAGAATCTCATGCATAAAGCGCCACTAAGTCTACTTTAATATTCAGGCTTTTCCAACTGTGTAAAATTACAGTCCCCTTTTTGCCCTTTCTGCAGTGCTGTTGTTTCAAGAATTGGCTCTCTGCCATGCAGCGCAAACGTTCTGAAAGAGTTTAAGAAGAAGGCAGAGTCTGTGTTTGGAATTGCTACAGGGTGGGACAGATCTATCCTGCAGGAGATTGGCAACATTGCAGGTAAGGAGGCTCGCATCCGTATCAAGGATGTTCTGAGCGATGTGGTCCACCTTGTACCCTGTATTTCTGAATCAGAAGATGGAAGGGGAAATAGGGAAAAGATGAACCCTGTATCTGCTCACCATTAACCTTAGATCCAATATTGGTGGGATGTTGTGGTGGCCTACAAGGTAACCAAGTTAGGAGCAATTAACCCCATTGAAATAAAAGAGTTTTAAAGTGCAATCCTATGCATGTCTGCTTGAAATATGTTCCATTGTGTTCAATGGGACATGTGTCAGGGTGAGTATGGGATGTATCCAACTAAGTTTACTCAGCTGGGATAGCTCAGTCTGTAGAGCATGAGACTCTTAATCTCAAGGTCATGGGTTTGAGCCCAACGTTGGGCAAAATATTCCTGCATTGCAGGGGGTTGGACTAGATGACCCCCGTTGTCCCTTTGAACTCCACAAATTCTATTATTCTGAGTAGACCCACCGAAATGAATGAACCTAACTTAGTCACATATATTAATTTCAGTGTGTCTGCTCTCAGTTGGACTGCTGTTGGATACAACCCTATGGGTTGTGTCATTCCTTCTGAATAGACCCATTGAAATGAATGAGCAGGACTCACTCGTGTTCATTAACTTCAGTAGGCCTACTCTGAGAATGGCTAACTGGCAACTATGCTATGGCGGATTGTGCAATGTTGGCTTATAATATGTGTGGCACAGCTTATTTATATGTTTGTTATATGGATGTTTTGGGAGATGGGAAAGAACACAAGCAGAAATGGCAACTTTTGCCCTTAAAACAGAAACAAAAGGAAAAAGAAAATTGGATTAATAAGGTGCACTTTTACAAGAGCTGCACATCAAACTTTTCATTTAACTGCAGAGAAGCGCCTTGTTTTCTTAAAGGCCTGATTTCCCAGAGGTGTCTGAAAACATTTTAGAATCAAATATTGATCAGCTAAAGCATACAGAGGCTCTGAAATGTATGTTTGCCCCAAATTCAGCCTAATCCACCGTGGTGTGAACTAAGTAAGCTGCATTCTGATCTCTTTTTCTCACTCTCTCAATCTTTTCCTCTCTCTCTAGCTGGCTTAAATGGGGAAGAATTAAAAGCTCTTGATAAAGAATTGATGCCCTATTTCCACCCAACAGCAATAAAATATATCCCTGATGAAATCTTCAAAGTAAGTGTTGTGGATGTTTTGATTCTTTCCCCCATTACGTCTGCTTTGTTATAAACGGTGACGTGAATGCGTATCTTCATTCGGAGAACACTTTGAAGGGCTTCTTCTTAAGTCTCTAGAAATATTAAAGTAGGGTGTAGTGGCAGGGGTGGGGAAGCTTTGGCCCTCCAGATGCTGCTGCACTACAACTCCCATCACCCCTGGGTATTGGCCATGCTTGCTGGGGCTGATGGGAGTTGTAGTCCAACAACACCGGGGGGGGGGGAGGTTCCATACACCTGGTTAGAGTTTCAGGAGACTAGGGTCCAAATCCCCATTTTGCCACGAAGCTTACTGTGCGACCTTGGGCCAATTATTACCTCTTAGCCCAACCTACCTGACAGTAAAAGGGCAGCGTAAACAAATAGTCAATAGTAAGTAACAATGGTCATGTTCCAGCAAAGCTGATATCTCTCTATATAATTGCATTTACTCCGTGATGAAGCTAAGAACATAAAATAGTTCCCCTGTGGTTTGCAGCATATAGCTTGTGCATGCTGGATTTTTTAAGTCCAGTGAATGATAGCAATGTGTTATGTACATAACATGAAGTAGACATTGAGGAGATTTTCATTTACTCTGGGTTTTAAAAGCGAACCCAATGTAATTTGCAATTCCTGGACTTATACACAGGTCAGAAAGTGGTTAAGCAGGATCCACAGGCAAGTCGCAAGGCCATCCCAGGTGGGTCACAGCAAAGCTGTTGCCACCATATTGGTCTCTAGCTAAGGCTCATCAGACCACTGATAGTCCATTAATCCTGTCATTGGGGTTCCATATATGTAGCAGAGCTATTTCACTAAACTTTGGCGTCACCCCCTCTCCACCATGTTGCTTGTTGATTTTTTAACCAAAGGGAAATAGCTTTGTGATGCAACCTCTACTGCAAGGGTTGTTGTTTGAAAGTCCAAAAAAAGCTCCTTTCCTCTTGATGAAAGTCAATATCTGGGCTCTCTCATCCTTTTTATTTTTGCAAACTCTAAATGGGGAAAGAGAATTTTTTTGAAAGATGAAGAATGTTCTACAAAATCAAGGAGAACTCAGAGGTGCTATTATAGGTGTCAGTTGCACAAATTGCCATCTTTGTTCTACGTGGAAAGATAATTACTGTGCAATTATAACAGTAGCCAGTTTTCAAAGAAGGCTTAATAATATGGCCTCACTCGACAGATTATTTTGCACCTGAAGAAAAGATCCGACAGCCGAGGCAGTCGATGACATCTCTTCGGTTTTGTGGATCACATTGATTGCATCATTGTTTTTCCAGTGTAACATTTTGCAAGCACAAATGAAGACAGACGGTTGACTCCGAAGCTGCTGATGTGAAACGATGGAGCAGAAACCGCTAGGAGGATAAATTGTCATATATGGGAGATTGCTTGGTGCAGGTGTATTGTCTTCTCCAGCTCCTGCATCTGGTTTCCCATCACACACCAGCAAGATACACAACCTTCTATTTTGTATAGATGAAAATACAGATACTCCTGGATTCTTGTGATCATACACACGATAGATAACTAGATAGATAGATAGATAGATAGATAGATAGATGATAGATAGATGATAGATAGATAGATAGATAGATAGATAGATAGGAAGGATTTTCAGGAATAATTAAATACATAAGCAGAGGATGTTATCTGTTCAATAAAGTATGTTGATATAACTGCATTACACTGTTATATTTCCCCTACTCAGCAAACAAACATACACAGAACCACTAACAACTTAACTAAATGAAACAACCTAAATCCCCCCAATGTTAGTCATGTCCATTTATTTCAATGGGTCTACTCTGAGTAGGGCTAATACTGGTTGCAACTCTTCCTCCAAGTTGTTCAAGGTAGTATACCAGCTTCACCCCCTCTCCATTTCATCTAGATCAGCACATGAACTGCTACCCCACACTGGCTCCTATGTGCTGTACTGTATACTGAATGCATTTACCCTGCAATGCCCTGTGTGCTGCTCACTTTTCAATCACCTGATACTCCTGTACAGGAAAATCCTTCACGAGTGCTGATGTGGCGTAGTGGTCAGAGTGCTAGACTAGGACCTGGCAGACCAGGGTTCAAATCCCCACTCAGCCATGAAGCTCACTGTGTGACCTCAGGCCAGTCACTGCCTCTCAGCCTAACCTCCCTCACAGGGTTGTTGTGGGGGGTTAAATGAGGAGGGGGAGAACCATGCACACTAGCTCCTTGGAGAGCAAGGTTGAGATAGAAACACAATAAATAAACAGCATGAAAATCTGGTTTTGCTTTGTCCAGGAGCTGTCCCCAGATCAAATAGCAAACCTTGGTCCTGAAAATGCTGCCGTGGTGACAGAGTTGCAGCGTCAGCACCTCAATGGATTGCAGCTTCAGAGTCTTCGGCTGGCGATGGATGGAGCCAGAACAAGCATCCAGGAGCTTCCGCTCCATGAGAGCACGGTCAGACCGACATACACATCAGTTCAGAACAGTGAGTTAAAAATAATAACAACTTTCAGGCCATATTCATATTGTTGCATGGAGGGGTTCCAGCACTATGTTTGGTGTCCTTGGAATGAAGGTCAGTGGAGACGGTGTTGTCTTTAGGATATATGGGTTTCTTTACACAAATATGCAACCTGAGCATAGGATGGAGGGGCTCACAGCATTAGTACTCCAGGAGGCTTCACTTCCCCTTTAGGTTCCCAGCAAGATCATCAAGCCATAGCTTAAGGTCCATCACAGAGCAAGACAAACCTCTGTGTCCCTAGCTTCCAGCAGTAGCCAAATCTCACACACAAAAATTCCTGCTCGCTCTATTGTTCTTCATCCTAGAATGACATGTCATCCAGCCAGGTGAGGTGGGAAAAGGCCCACACGTTCGTCTTTATGGCAGCAGGACGACCTCTTTGGACATGTAAATGGAAGTACTTAACTGGACAGCTAAGGCTATGGCTTCCAACTCACTGGATGCAGAATCACAGGCCCAGAAGGGACCCACAGGTGTCACCCAGACTGAAGCCCCACAAAAAGCCCTATAACATTAAGTTACATCCTTGGTCCGGTAACATCTACTTTCTTAGACACTATGAGAAGGAGCAGGCCAAAGGCCCATCTAGTCTAGCATTCTGTTTCCAACCAGTACCAGACCACAGAAGAACAGGCAAACTGCAGGAATTTCTGTTTTCTTTTCTGTTTTTGTCTGAATTCTCTGACATTCATAGCACAGAGTTCTGCTCAAGGTATCTGGAAAAAACACAACGCTCCACATAAACACAATAGGATGCTTTCCTTTCTGTAGTATCATGTAGCCCGCTCTATACAGCACCAGAGTGCTATCCTCTCCTTGTTGCATGCATCTCATTATGTAGGACCCATATGGTAGCAACACCCTTTAATTAACACAATGGCAGCTGTAGCTTACCACCAGAAAGCAAAATTCCAGTAAGAACAATTGCTGGATGATAATTCCTTTGGTGGAGACCATGGTTTCTTAGCCCTACGTAACTTAGCATACCAATTTCTTCTTCTTCTATTTTAAAACATTGCCCCCTTCCTAAAAAGTGTAAAACATAATGGTATGAAACAGATTGCAGTTTAATAAGTGATGTTTCTTTTGATTATGAAAGTTACAGGGAACCAGGCAGAGGGCCTTCTCAGTAGTGGCGCCCACCCTGTGGAATGCCCACCCTCCCATCAGATGTCAAGGATTTAAACCTTTAGAAGACATCTGAAGGCAGCCCTGCACAGGGAAGCTTTTAATGTTTGGTGTTTTATTGGAAGCTGCCCAGAGTGACTGGGGCAACCCACTCAGATGGGTGGGGTACAAATAATAAAATTATCATCACCACCATGGCAAAAGCAATCAAGGATGGAGGAGCTGTGCAGCCAGGATGGCTGAGCAGTTTAAAGCACTGCATACAGGTCACAGTCTCCCCTGGAGGAAGAGGTTTGAATCCCACATCTGGCCAGGCTACATTTTGGGGAAGGGCCATAGCTCAGTGGCTGAACACCTACTTTGCATGCAGAAGGTCACAGATTAAATCCCTGGCACTCCTTTGTGAAACCCTGGAGATCCACTGCCAGTCAGAAAAGACAGTAGTGGTCTGGATGCAACCATGGTCCTCATTGGAAAGGCCCTGGCTCACTGGTAGAAGATCTGCCGTGCATGCAGAAATCCCTAGCATTTCCAGATAGGGTTGGGAGAAGCTCCTGTCTGAAACCGTGGAGAGTCTCTGCCCGCCAGAGTAGACAGCAATGAGCTACGGTATATTGACCAATGGTCTGACTCAGTATAAGCCAACTTCCTATTGCTACAAAAGTTGGGTGCCACCTCCACTCTCTACTGAGTGGTAGCAAAATTCCAGGTTGTTCCAGGTGCTCACCCAAGGCCTGTGCTTCTTTGGAGAATTGAAGACCAGGGCGGAGACTGTTGTATTTTTATGATTTATTCAGATATTTACACCTGGGTTTGGATGAAGGGAGTCCAGCTCTTACAGCATGGTCATCTCATGTTCCCAACAACAGTGCAACACTGGAGTCAAAGGCATCTCTCCCAGCCTGTCTTTAGCCAGCATCCCCAAGATGAATCTCTGTCTTTGTTCTCTCCCTCCTTCTTCCCAGCACACCTTGCAAAAGACATGGTCACCTCTGTCTGTCTGTCTCTCTCTCTCTCTCTCTCTCTCTCTCTCTCTCCCACACACCCACTCACTTTGGCAACCTCTGTCTGCCCGGACCCAAGATTCCTCTTACATGGGCCACCAACACCTTTTGTCAATTTAACATCTCTATCCTGGCTTGGAAAGGAAGCTTAGCCTGTATTTTTCCACTGGCCAGCAATTTGCCCTTTAATACACCAAAAAATCAAAATCCTACCATTTATTAATTTCTGATGTCTAGGGCCCCCCAACCTCACAACACTATGTTCCTATGTTAACTCGGTATAAAGCAGCTTCCCAGTTATGGGATCCGTAGGACCTCAATGGTTCATCCCAAGATTTCTTTATTTTTCAATGACAACTTTGGCAACATCATCCCTGTCTGTGACATCATGCGTTGCGACAGGTGACTACTATTCCCCTAGCTTGGTACAAACAGAGTAAATCAAATTTCCTTGTACTCACTGGCTCGTTGATTCTTCAGGGATAATCTCTCAAGAGAGCACAGATGCTGCTACCAGTATTCTCCCTCTGGGTTTTGGTGGAGCAAAAACAGCTGTCAGCTGACAGTGGAACTTCATTATCTCTCCTTCATGGAGGCACTGAAGAAGTTCCCATTTCCCAAATGATCTGGCAATGTTCCTTTTATGTCTGCTGTATCTTCTCAAAGGATCCTAGTCATTTCCTGCTCTTTAACCACACACTGCAGCTGGTTTGTCCTTTCTACCTATGTAATGTAGATAAGGCACATATTGCTCGTGACATCACAAAGCTCAATAGTCTAAAACACTATTTCCCCCCCCCCCCGGAATTCATATTACATTATACATGTCCCCCAAAACCTCTAGTAAGAGGTGTGGATGTAATGCTCTAATGCTTTGCCTATACTCCATAATATTTTTCTTGGTACTTCATACTCTCAGCAGCACTGCAGTTCATTTACTTCCTGTACTGTGTAAATTATAGTTTGTTATTCCACCCAAACCAGGAAACTCTGGTTGCATTTGCAAAACAACTTTCAATGTGGCTAGAACGTGGTTTCCATTTCTGATTTGGAAGGTAATCACAAACCATTGTTTATTTTGTTCCGATGTAATAGCAAACTATGGTTTGCGTTGAACAGGAAGCAAGTCGACTGGAGCAAAGTGCGTACTCCTGGGAGAGTCCCCTGGAGCAAAGAGATGACTGCTATAGCTAGCAGCATGCATCACCAATAGGCCAATTTCAGTCGAGAGAATGACCTCTCTGAATCCTTCCCCCATGTTTTCTCAGATAGCTGAATTCACTAAGGTATATGTGCAAGTTAGAGATGCTGTTAATTCACAATACAATATTATCTTTGCAGGTGCTCCAATTTCCTGCAGTTTAAGTCTTTGGGTGTTTACTGCATTCATCCTGCATCCTGTTTCCTGAATCAAGTTATCACTGTTAAGAGTTTATGGTAAGCATGCTCTTTTCAATCTTTCTTTCTTTCTTTCTTTCTTTCTTTCTTTCTTTCTCTCTCTTTCTTTCTTTCTTTTTAAAAACAAAACCTTGTACACTAAGGGTGCTTGATACCATGATAGCAGCTTATTAACTGTTGAAAAGATAAGATCTATAAAATAATAAAAAGATGCCCTTAATTGCCACTTTGACTGCTTAGATATGTGCAGTGCAACTCTATGCATGTTTACTCAGAAGTAAGTCCCATTAAATTCAATGGAACTTGCTCCCAGAGAAGTGTGTATATAATTTAAATCTAAGGCTCCCTAGGAACAAGTCCCATTGAACTCAATGGGTATTAGGTTTGAACAGCCATCTAAAGGATTGTGCTGTAAGAATGCTATGTCAGGCACTAATTTTTCTGTATATTATTTCTTCCCTCCCAATATCACTCTACCTTGATGCAATTTTCAGACGGCTACAGCTCACCTGGGTGGATACAGAAACGGTCTTTTGGAAAGCCTACTGATGCAGAGAAAATAAAAACATTGCAGCTCCTTAAGAAGTATGGTAGCTGTCTTAGGAATCCATTCAAGTGATGTTTTCCATCTTCCCTTAACCATGGCCATAAGAAGTAGCAATGGCCATTGATTGCCATTGAGGCACTACAAAACCAGATGTAATGTTTGTAGAATAATAGCCATAGCTTTTAGAATGAATCACCAGGAGAACACACTCATGTTGAAATCCTTCAGTTGCTAGGTGTTGGGACGTGAGCCAATGGGAGACAGAACACCCATTTAGTGTCACGTGCTGTTGAATGATGATTCAAATGTACAGATATTGGCTGCTGGAAACAAGATGTTCACTATCCAAACCGCTGGCTCCATCACCCAGGTGCAAATGCTCTTAATATACAAAAACTCCACGGTGTATTATGTAGAACAGAAGTGGGGAATCATTTGTGGGCCCATGTGCAGTGAGCTCCCAGGAGCCAGGAAGGTTTGGTAAAACACAAGAATAAACTGACACAACAATGTTGTGGAGTTGAAAATCTCCACAACTTTATTGATTACAGACATCTGTATGCTTTGACGTTGGGTATCTGTCCTTGGTCAGCTGCCTGACGGATGGCTGACATTGAACAGGGCTGTGCCTAAGTTAAGGGTCACCTCAAGACGCAGGTCAACCAAGGGTCAACCCCCTGGGCTGCCATATGGGAAGTTCTATGGCTCATCCGTTGACCCCCAACCCTGTATGAACTTCCAGACAGATTCTCCCACCCAGACCCCTTTACCAGGTGACTCTGAGATATCACAGCTGCTCAAGGAGGTGAGGTAGCATCTCACCCACCTGAAACAGACTGAGGATTCAACCCAATGCCTTTTCTGCAAAAGATTGGGACAAACAATAAAGGCAAAAAAACAACAACCCCTCACTGGCCCAACATGTCTGAAGGCAAACACTCCCTGGCCATATCTTCACAGTAAGTTTCTTCATACACACTGCCCACATTCCTTTAGGGCACTGCCAATTTACAGGGCGGGTAGGTGGGTTGTTAGGGACGTGGGTGGCGCTGTGGGTTAAACCACAGAGCCTAGGACTTGCCGATCAGAAGGTCCGTGGTTCGAATCCCCGCGACGGGGTGAGCTCCCATTGCTTGGTCCCTGCTCCTGCCAACCTAGCAGTTCGAAAGCACGTCAAAATGCAAGTAGATAAATAGGTACCGCTCCAGTGGGAAGGTAAACGGCATTTCCATGTGCTGCTCTTGTTCGCCCCAGAAGCAGCTCAGTCATGCTGGCCACATGACCTGGAAGCTGTACGCCGGCTCCCTCGGCCAGTAAAGCGAGATGAGCGCTGCAACCCCAGAGTCGGCCACGACTGGACCTAATGGTCAGCGGTCCCTTTACCCTTTACCTTTAGGTGGGCTGTTCAGCTTCCCAACTGTGCCGCTGGCACCTGGCACAGCTGGCTTAAATACTCAGTGGCAGACCAGAATGAGGCATTTGTTCTCCAGGTCCACCGCTGAAGCCTTGCCCCAAAACCTGGCCACCATAGGCCAGTTTGAATTGGGTTATTCCATTGCCCCTCGCAGCTAGCTGAGGCCAAAGCAAATGGCCAGCCGCAAGGGACATAGGTGTGTCCCCCAACCTCCAAGGGGCTGTGACGGACCACAATTGCTGCGTCCCTGGAAGGTAAGTGGTCCTTTCAGCTTGGGGGCCGCTCTCACTTCAGGGTAACCTTCTGAGGGCTATATGCCAGTGGTGGGCAGTACAGGGGCAAAAGTAGGCAGAACCCAGCATCCATTTCTCTTGAGGGCCCGTCTGTTGGAGATCAGAGCTGTGCACACCACAGGCCTGTTCATCCATGCCCTAAAATAGCATACGGCTGCCAGGGGCACTGGAGGTAAGGATGGATGGATCTGTCAATTTCAGTTGTCTTGATTTCTCATGGTTCCAGTCTTAAATTCCATTCTCCACAGTTCCGCAGCCATGTGTGATTTTGTTTTAAAGTCCGATGAAAAAATGGCCAGCATTTTAGTGCGATTTTCTCCTATGAAGACACATTTTTATATGCAATTTTCCCCAATGTGAAAATATTTGCAAAGCGATTTCCCCCAATATCATGCATTTTGGTATGTTGCTTTTCACTATTATATGCATTTTATGCACACTTTACACTAGTGTGTGTATTTGTAAGGGGAACTGCACTGCAAAATTTGGAGAACTGTGAATTTTGAAGGACGGCTAGGTTCCTGCAAATTTGGTGGGTTTGCCTTTAAATGTGAACTTAATTGAAGTTCTGCCCCCATCCGTACCTGTAGGATGCTATCCCATTACCAGTGTGGAAGTAAGATTCAGCTTCTTACGTGGAATTTGGGTTGGTGGGGGCAGCATCTTATTCTGTGCCTTAGGCAACAAAATAGCTGGGGCCGATCCTTTCCCCACAGTAGCCACACAGATGCTCCTGGGAATCCCACAAACAGGATCTAAGGACAACAGACAATCTTGCTGCTGTTGGCCAGTGACTGGCATTCAGAAACATAATGCCTCTGACCCTGGAACCCCATGGCCATCATGACGACTAGTAGCCACGGGTAGCCTTATCCTCCACAAATTTGTCAATCCTCTTTTAAAGCCAATCTAATTGGTGGGTATTGCTACAGCAGGTAGTGGAGAACTCCATAGTGTAAAGAAATGCTTCATTTTGTTGGTTCTGCATCTCCCACCATTCAGGTTCACTAGATGACTCCTAGTTCTGACCTTTTGATCGGCAAGCCCAAGAAGCTCAGTGGTTTAGACCACAGCGCCACCCGATCAGAAGGTCGGAGGTTCAAATACCCGCGATGGGGTGAACTCCCGTTGCTCTGCCCCAGCTCCTGCCAACCTAGCAGTTCGAAAGCACGCCAGCGCAAGTAGATAAATAGGTACCACTGTGGCAGGAAGATAAATAGCGTTTCTGTGAACTCTGGTTTCCATCACAGTGTCCCGTTGTGCCAGAAGCGGTTTAGTCAGCTGGCCACATGACCCCATAGTTGCCTTTGCCTGGGCTTAACCATCCAGGGGTCCTTTACCTTTACCTTTTACAGCCTATAGTCCAGCACCATAGTCCAGAAAAGACAACCATGTGGTTTTTCTGTGTTTTAATTGTTCCCCCCTTCTTTATTAAGAGTCAGGGCACACTTTTTTAAAGGTGACCTGTGGTTAGATATAATCTTTTAATCTCTGTGTCAATTACTTTAATTGCAAAAAATGGAGATTATGCTTAAATATGATCAGCATTTGATAACATATATCCAATCTATATGATACTTCAAAAGGAAGCAAGCAGGTGGCACAATACTTTCTCTAAGAAGCCAAAATGCCTCATTGAAATATGGATTACAGTATGTTCATTATGCTAAGTGATCAATTAACACGTTGCAAAATTGGTTTTAAAAAAAAAAAATCTTTGTTCACCCTCTCTTTTTTGGATGAGCAGTTGAAACCTAATGTTAGAAATGCTGTGAAAATTCCATTTGTTTTGTTATGGCAAAAGTTCTTGTGGAACCAAAATGAATTACTATGCTTACAAAGTAAATGTTTCAACTGCAATTTGGTTGTCAGGGATGAAACCTTGTGTGGTCTACAAAGTGTTTTTAATTATTTTTATGCTGTTCTAAAATTAAAAAATCCTCCGGAATTACCTTTTTCCATAATTTTGTATTGAATTGTATTCTGCAAATATAAGTTGGTGGGGGGTGATTACTTATAACAACCTTACAAGCTTATTTGGATTAGTTTATCATAGAATGTAGAGTTGGAAGGTACCCTGAGGGTCATCTAGTCTAACCCCCTGCAGTGCAGGATTTCTCTGCCCAATTTGGGGCTCAAACCCATGACCCTGAGATTAAGAGTCTCATGCTGTACTGACTGAGCTGAAAAAAAAAAGGAATTAAAAGAATTAAAATTGCTGGAAAACCTTCCAGCTTTTCTGGTATGGTAGATAGGACATTTGTTGCTTCTGTTCCAGAAGATTAAATGGTACAGGATGTTGTTGTTTTAATTCATTTGCTGATACAAGCCCCTTTATTTACTACGGAACATGTTTCCTTTGATCCTGGATGCTGTTCTTTTGAACTCAAGATTGAGGATTCATAAAGAGTTGATTAAACCGAGGGTGATTCTGCCTTTGCTCATTTCAAATTTTGAGAGAGCACTGCAGGCACCATAGCTGTCAACTTTGAAAGTAAGGGATCAGCAGCCTCGAAAATAAGGGATCAGCAGCCTCACCTGTCCCGGGGACAGTCTACAGGATATCTAACAATCCGGGATAGCAGTGGGAAACGGCGCTAGAGTAAGGGAATTTCGCGCAAAAAAGGGGAAGGTTGACAGCTATGGCAGGCACCAGTCTCAGAATAGCTGCTATGGGAGAAGGGCATAACACAAAATGGCTGTCATAGGGAGTGTGGCATAACACGAGACAGACATCCATCCCAAACAACCTTATGCCTGCCAAGGGAAATCAGCTATGTCCTGCTGGTCCTTATAGTGGAGGTCACACAATATTGATCACACACGCACACACACATTACTGTTGAATAGGCTGCCCCAAGACATTTTGATACCTGAGGCGAACTACAAAATGACGCCCTGCTCCCTGCCAGGGAAGGCGTGGGGGAGTGGAGATTGACACCAGGAGCAAAGAGGGAATAAAGATCTGCATCAGGATCTGCTGCCCCTGTGCATCCTGTTGTCTGAGGCAGTTCTCTCACCTTGCCTAATGGGTGAGCCGGCCTTGCTGTCTAACAGTAGTGGGGCGCAATCCTCAGACCCGGGGGGGAATACACAAGGCAACCACATCATACCCACTCTCATTTCACAGAAATTGCTTAGAAGGTCCTTGCACATTTTGCCTTATAATTTACTTTCTAGAGGGGATAAGACACCTCCGGTGAAAGCCCTGCAGGCACCATGGTGCTTGTGGGCACTGGGTTGGCAACAAGGCTGTCTTTAGCAAATGCGCTGCCGGAGTGCAAAGATCCGCCCAGCACCCCCAAATTTAGTTTAGCAGCCCCCAAATTAACTTTTATTGAGCTTTTTTGGAGAGGGGGGAAGCCACTGTTGTTGACCTTTTTTTAGGGGGGGGGGGGCGAACTCAAAGTTCTTGAGCTTTTTTTGGGGGGGGGAATCGCTCACCTGTAACTACAACGCAACCTGCTTTTGTTTCCTGACTCGTCGGTAATCTTTCACGCTACGGAATAACAGAGCGACAGAGGAGGGGGGCAGGGACTTTCGCTCCATTGCTTTTCACTGCTGCCGATCGAGAGGGACCGGTATACAGTAGGTATACATTTGGCGCCCCCCAGAATTCGGCGCCCGGGTGCCCCGCATCCCTTGCACCCCCGGGTAAAGACGGCCCTGGTTGGCAATCCCTGCTTTATGCCCTTTGTATTTGCTCCTTCCACTAAACCAGAATGCCTAGTTTAGAACTATGGATTGCTTGGTGTTTGTTTTTAAAAAAACATATAGATTTATGTTTCACATCTGTTGTGGAGACACTGTTGGAATCGGAAAATAAAAATTGGACAGGTGCTGCTTTTTTTCGCCCGTTGCTAATCTCCTTGCATTCCTGTCATTTACCATCCACCACCACTCAAGGCTTGTTGCTAGGAGCTGCAGCGCATGTTGCAGAGAGACAGAATGAGGAGGGAGCGGAGAATGGTTAATAATCATGGATGGTGACATGCTTCCTCCAGGTTCAGAGATTGTGTTGTTGTTGGCATCCATCTGTCTGTATACCTCTCTGTGAATACCATTCATTGGGGAACATCCGGAGGAAAAGGCTAATGCTCTCTTCTCCGGGTTTTTCCAAAAGAACATGAGAATATAAACCGTCCCCCCACGTGATAACCAATTTCGGGTTGCCATATTTTGAAGAGCAAAGAAGAGGACGCTATGACGACTCTCATTTTAAATACCCCGACTATATGCAGGCAATAGAAGTTGTGATATATTGCTGGGGGGTAGGCAGGAAAAGAGAAGAGGAAAGCAAGTCTTTAACCACCAGTTATGTCTATGTCTCATCCAGACAGTATAGCCAGTGACATTTTGGCAATTTAAAAAAAAATCCACCTGGAAAGAAATTTTACACCTGAAAAAGAGGATGCGTCCTGGAAAAAGAGGACACATGGCAACCCTACCTTCCCCTGTTGAGGCTTCATTGCACCTTGAACCCTGCTCTCTTGGGTGTTTTGGTAAAAGGCTTTTCCCTCCTTGCACTGAAACTCCAGCTGCTGAGAGTCCCCCCTGGAGCATGGACACTTAACAAATGAGTTTGTCCCATTACTACTGATAGACTGCACAGTAAATTCCTCTTCCCAGGAAATTCTGGAGAGCGTAGCTCTATAAACAGGGATAGGAGCCTCATAACAACATGCAGTACCTGTTATAAACTACAGTTCTCCGGATTCCTTGGGGAAAGCCATGACTGTTTAATGTAGTACAATACAGTTTTAACTGCACTGTGCAGATGGGGCCTTAAATAAAAACACAGCAACTCATAACAAAAGCACTACATAGCATGGGCATAGCCTGGGAGGTGCAGGGGGAACAGCTGTCCCCCCCCCCCAATCGAGTAAATAAATAAAAATACTTAACTAACTGACCAACTGCATCACAGATACCTTGGTTCTGCCCCCCCCCCAATAAATCCTGGCTACTCCCATGCTACATAGCAATTACTAATGGCAGCAGACAGACAAAGTAAATTTTATTGTCTAATCAGGCCTCCCCTCCAAACACTTGCTGAAAAACCTGTGTCTTAATCAGTTACCTGGAAGTATGAAGAGATTGGGCCAGAAGTGCCCAATTTATTTATTTAAATTCATACAACAGGCAACAGCAGTTCAGCACGGGGTTGCATTCCTGACCCCTGTGCGCATCAGTGGAGCGCATGTTAAGTTTGCTCCACCCTGTTCCCTCCCTTCCCCGTCCCCACCCCCTGTTCCAGCCACTTCTGGGGTCAGCATTATGCGCGCGCACACTCCTAAAACAATTGCTGCCTGCTCACAATAAGAGAAATAAAAATTAACAACCCTACTTTAAAACAAACAAAACTTATTAATACTAAAACAGATCAAAATTACCTCAACTTTCTAAACATCGAATGATGTCAAGGCAGAACTTTGGGGCAAATGCAGCATAGTAGATTATCAGTTTGAAGGAATTGAAATGTGGAAAGACAGCAAACAATATGATCAAGGGTCTGGAAACCAAGCCTTATGAGAAACAGTTGAGGGAATTGGGTACGTTTATCCTGGAAAAGAGGAGATATGATAATCCATCTTCAAATATCTATGGGTCACATGGAAGATGGAGCAAGCTTGTTTTCTCCTGCTCTGGAGGGTGGGACCTGAACCAACAGATTCAAGTTACAAGAAAAGAGATTCTGACTAAACATCAGGAAGAACTTTCTAACGGTAAGAGCTGTTTGACAGGGGAATGGACTTCCCCAGAAGGTGGTGGCCTATCCTTCCTTGGAGGTTTTTAAGCAGAGGTTGGATGGCCATCAGCCATGGATGCTTTAGTTGAGATTCCTGCATTCCAAGGGTTTGGACTAGATGACTCTTGGGGTTCCTTCCAACTCTACAGTTCTATGATTCTAGTTAATGTAAGTTACTACCTTGTGATAAGTTGTGTATGGTCTAATGATAAATTACACTAATGATCTACTTACATAAATTATACTGTGCTTTGTGTGAAAAGTGACAAATATATATCATTGAATGAGTACTTTATATTTGAGCTAATATGTGCACCATAATAACTTGACCCTGGGCAATTTTTTGTTTTGTTTTTCAAACTGCAGAAAAACTTTGCTACTCTAAAGTCGATTTTGTTGTGCAGTCATCTTGTCAACAGTTACAATGTAACTGAATAATTATAGTAAAAATAACAGCAGGCCTGAGCCGCTTCGGATGCTGTTGCCCAGAAAAGCAGCTTTTAAAAAATACTTTTGAAAACATATTTGCACAAACACTTTTTCTATATAAAAAACACACTCAACGCAATTTCGACTTCAGCCTAAAACAATGCCCGAGCGCTCATAACGCATTAAAACGCCAGGCCAGAGCAATGCCAGTCGATCAAAAACATATGTGAGTTTAGCAACCGATATCATACGCGGCAGCACGTCTGGAACCTACTTTTTAAAACTCGCTATTGTGGCCAACGGGCGAAACGGCGCAGGCGCACTCGCGCCCCCGCTACACGCCTTCCAGAATTCTTGCTCCTCCATACAGCGCAAGCGCAGCTCCACCTTCTAAGGACGGAACGGCAGAGGGCGAGTCTTGTGTTGCGGTGTGGGAGGTATGCGCGCGTGCGCAGAAGAAGAAGAAAAAAACCCCGTCGTGCGCCCTTTCCGAGGATGCGGGAGGGGGTGGGAGGGAGAATGTGCGCGTGCGTAGGAAAGGATCCCTCACGAGCCCCGCCCACCGGCTGTGAGGGAAAGAAGGGGGCGTGGCTTTTCCTCCCCGCCTTCTCCGCTTTCCTTCCCCCACCCCCCCACTTCTCCCGGCGTGCACCGCGCCCGCGCTGGCTGTCTCTGGCCACGTCCCCGGGCCACGTCGCTCGGTGTCCGCTGCGCTCTCGCCATCTTCGGTCCGGTCGCCGGCTCCTCTCCCCGCTTCTCCTCCTCCTCCTCCTCTTCCTCCAGCGCGGCCGCCGGCGCCATGAACGTCTTCCGCCTCACCGGGGACCTCTCCCACCTGGCGGCCATCATCATCCTCCTCCTCAAGATCTGGAAGACCCGCTCGTGCGCCGGTGCGTCGGGCTCGGCGGGCGGTTGGCGAGGCTGAGGCGGCGCGAGGGACGTCGACCCCCGGCCGTGGGGGGGGGGGAGGGACCCGCCTCGGCCCCTCGCCTCGGGGGGGGAGTGGGGGGGATGGTGGTCCTGCCCCCTCGTCACACTGCGAAACGAGCGGGGAAATTTGGGGGTGCAGATTTTTTGGGGGGTGTGATTCTCTCCTCCCTATGGGGTTTCCTTTCAGAGACTTTGGTTTGGGGAGTGGGGAGGGTGCGTCCCTCTTGCCACCCCCCTTTTTATGCTTGCCTTCAGTGGAGGGGGGATTTGGATGGGGTGCTCCCCATGCCCTCTTGTTTTATGGGGGTAGTTCGCCTCCTTCAGTTGTGGTGGAGCCTGACTGAGGAGGGAGTGCCTAATTTGGGGGTGGTGCCCCCATATTCTTCTCTGTGTGTGTTGGCGGAGCAAGCTTGGCTGATTATGGGATGTTGAGGTGGAGCGATTTCCAACCCTCCCACCCCCACAAAAAATGCTGTCTCCTGTGTGTCGAGTTGGGCAAGAACGTCAGATGAGGGGCAATTTTGGGGGTGTGGAGGTGGGTGGGTGGTGATGGGGTGGAGATTTCTTGTAAGTGAGGAGCTTATGGGAGGCTAGAGCAGGTTAGGAATTTGGGGGTACTCATTTGGGGGGGAGTGATGGGTTCCCCCACCTACTCTTGTATTTGGTGAGGGTTTGGTGTAATTGTGGAAGCTCATGGAATGCTTGCAGGGGGGGTTGTGATGCTGATTTGGGGACCGTATTCCTGCCATGCCTCCTACTTCTAAAGGGGGAGATCTGAGAAGTGACTTCTTTTAAAGGTTATGGGATGTTGCATTAAGTGGAGTTGTCTGCTAGAGAAAACTTGTGGGGTACTGCAGAGTGGGGCCAGTGTAGTTCAGTGCTCGAGTGTTGAACTAGGGCCAGGTTCAAATTCCTGGTGGAGGTTGTCAGGTGACCTTAGACCTCTCTGAACTGTAACTGCCTTCACAGGATTGTTGCTAGGGTAAGGATGTGGGAGATCATGTGTTTTGCTCCTGAGTTCCTTGGAGGAAGAATGTAATATGTGATAAAATATATTGATTGGGGGTCACTCCTGCAGTTGCATCAAATAGAGTTGGTAAGCCTATACTGCACTGGAAGCTGTGAAGTCTAGAGAGTAGAGGTTACGGTCACTGCTTTCAAAAAGGGGAGGGTAGGACAACTCTATGAATATCTTTGAAAGGGTATCCTGAAAACAGGGCTTTATGTTCATTATACGTATGGGATATATTTGTTGATGAAGATCCCATCGGAGTGAACTAAGTGCACAAACGGTTTGAGGTTTTATTTTTCTTTTAATAGTGTTGTAGGTAGAGAGATTTCATAGTGCTAGTGAAATGAAGCTATGTCGGTAGAGACTCGGAATGAGTCAAAATCTAGGCAACCTGATTTGCTAACTCCTCCATAATGATGAATATTCAGGTCAAATAACTTTGTTATCTCTTTCTTGCTTCAAGAAGAAAGAGCACAATAATATAAATGAGATGAATGAACAGATTAAGTGCCTTCTTAGCACACAGTGATGTAGTAGGTGAAAGAAAATTCCTGGAGCAGCATTCAAGCCCAAGCAAAATCATGGTACAGTGTGAAGGGAGCTGCAGGAAATATGACTTTCTCTCTCTCTCCCCGTCCTACCATTCAGACATCGTATTCATTTTGAGGCAGTTGTGCACAAATAGAATGAATGGACTTAAAGCAAAGGGGATGGTAGTTTGCTTTCCTGAGGCTAGAACTTCCCTTTCAGATTCTGGACTTGCAGGAAAAAATGAGTTTTACCATCCTAATCAAGATGCATTGTCTTTTTGCAGTAGTTCTGAAATCGAAGACATATGACATAGCCTAAATTGTGCTTTTCTGAGTGCTTTGCAGAAACAGCAGGTTTTTATGCATAATTTGCAAGTTCCAAGGTTGTTCTTCTGAACTCTGGAACCTCTGTTTATAGACTTTCATGCTAGACCCTTTATTTATTTGTAACTGAAGGGGTTAACCTGTGATCCGACTTGATCTGAGAGCTTGGCAAGCTCTTTTACTTGCATTGCCAGGTGCATTTGAAAATTGGAAGCAAATGACTGAATCAAGGCTTGGGAGAATAGGCTCTCAATTGGGATTCCTGGCCTAGTCTGACGTGGCAGCTAACAGAAGGTGTGGTGAACAGAGCGGCCTGGAAGAGAGAGATCAGTTGTATTCTTGCTGCACCCCATGTCATTTCCTCAATAGAAACTTATTCAACTGAAGAAATCCCTGGTTATGTTGCAAAACAAAACTTGTTCCCAAAAGGGCTGTTTTAATCTCTTATTTTGAAGATAGATTTTTGTTATTTTAACCTAGAAATGAGAATTTACTCACTCTGATGCTTCTGTGTGCCTGTTTGTTTACAGCATTTACACCCTGATTTTAGTCTCAGAATAGATTTTTGTAAGTTGCTTTAAGATGGCACACCCTTAGGCTCACAGTCTAAAAAGACAAGACATGACAGGTGAGGGAAAAGGAAGGGAGGAAAGGAAAGCAAGCTCAGTCACAAGTTTTTTAAGCCGCTGAAGCTATTCAGTACATTTCACTTAGACGCACTGTCCTTGTTTATCCTGCATTGATGGTTTGACTTTGAACTGTGTTCTTATGTCTAAATACTATTCTAGACTGATTCTGTGTTGGTAATTTTGTTTGTAGTCTTTATGATCAAGCCAAGTAGATTTTGAACTGTGAACTTTGTAAGGCAGAGGAAATGCTATCTGATGGCAAAATGCATCACTCACAGTTGACTAATTCCTGGGAATTTAATAGAGCTCTTTTTAAAGCTGCAGACTGGAGTTATTGTAGAGAAGTAGCCAGAGTTTGAATAGACCATGAGTCCCCTCATATGCAGAACAGTTTAGAGTTAGAATTCATTCACTTTATATATATTTCTGTTTTGTAACCAAGCAGTCTTCTTATCCCTACAGCTTGATGATATGGCATTCTTATGTAAAAGTAAGGCTTGTTGACCACAGGGCAGCTTAGTCCTTAGTAAGCTTATATAAACTTATATAAATATTGTAAACTGGCTGCAATCATGTATACATGTGTGCTTGGGAGTAAACCTCAATGAACTGAAACTTCACTTTTTGATAAGGATTGAGCAGTTATATATGCAAAGGCACCTGTTTTAATAGCATGTTAATAGCTATTAAATTAAATAGCTATTAGAGTATGACCCATTCACTGTTAAACTTTGTTCCATGTACTATCCTAGCCTGCATACAGCTTATTGTATATTTATTTTGAATGCCTATAACACTACGTATTCATAGTGCATTCAACACTAGCAAGCCCATAAGGAGCAAGTGAGATCTGGGTACTTGGGAGACAGCTTATTGTGCCTTTGAGCAAAGCATCATTGGAACAATTGGTTGTACCCTTTCTGACTACTATTTTGCCCCAGAGCAGGGATAACCAGTGTGGTGTCATCCAGAAGTTGTTTGGACCACAACTCACATCAGCCTCAGGCAGCATAGGCAATGGTCAGAAATGATGGGAGTTGGAAATCCAGGAACATCTGAAGGGCACCATGTTGACTACCCCTGCCTCAAGGTGTCCTTGCAAAGGGGGAAGGTGGGAGGAAGCTAGCAGAGTATATGTAGTGAGGTCATGTTTGGGTAGGGATCCTTTGCAAATCAATTAATGCAAAAACTTTCATAACCAGAATAGTTTATTCTTCTAGGGGCTTAGTGTTATCACTTCCTAAGACTGACAAGAAAAAATTGTTTAGCACCGGCATTGTTAGTGTAATGTGAAATAGTTACATTGAGTCTAAGTGTATTACTTCTAGAGAATGCTGGCAACCAGCAGAGATACGCAGCCTCCCAAATTTAAGCTTTTAAAAGCTAATGTTCAAAACAAAGATACTTGCTTATTCTTTAACACAATTTCTTTTTGAATAAGCACTGTCGATCGAAAGAAAACAATTGCATCAAGATGAGAGAGGGAGAGTAGATGACATTCTGACATTTCACAGGAAAATGCTTAAGAAAAACAACTATAACGGGGAATATTATTAACATCTACTTCCCTTTTGAATAAAAGACATCAGATATTGTAATGAATTAAAATGATACAAATATGAACTGTCATGGGGCTACTGAAATAAAAGGTAATGTATCTGGCACTAAGAGTACTTATAAGCAACAAGAGGGCTCTAAGAGTACAGTTGTACCTCTGCTTACGTATCCCTCTGGATACGTAATCTTCGGGATGTGAACGCGGCAAACCCAGAAGTATTTTTCTGGGTTTCGCCGCATGCGCAGAAGTGGTCCTCTGGTTGCAAATTCCTCAGGATGCAGCTGGACCTCTGGAACAGATACCGTTTGCAACCAGAGGTACCACTGTAACTTAAAAATTGGGACCTGTGGTAAGTTTTTGGTTGTTGAACACTTCTTCCTTAGTATTGGACATCTAATTCTCATGCTTCCATCAGCACCCTTTCTCATCAGAGGGAAAAACAAGAGACTGCAAGGTCAGTTAGCTCAGCCAGCACCAATTGCTGTTTGACTCCTTCCACCTCAGAACTTTCTCCCTTGGTGGCCATTGAGTCTGGTCATTACAACAATTACATGACACTCTGTGCCTGGTTTTCATTCCCTTTTCCATTTGTAACAAGTATATTGGATTGTATACCATTTTTTGAATGCATTGGCAGAAAGGTGGTATCTAAACAGTTGCCTTGACAAAATAGCACGACAGAACAGGCTGAGTCATAGAGTGCATCCATGCTTTTGTTTTATGTTGCTGAAAAATGCAACCTCTGTTGCTTGCTTTGTTCACATTGAGCTGAATGGAGCAGAGCTAATAAATAGGCACGTGCTGCCACATTATGACAATGTAATGAGGCATGTATTGTAATCAACACCTATTTTACATGAAGTGAGACAATCTTTACAAAAATGTGGTCTCTGAACTTAACTGTAGTGAGGTTTTTTTTAATGACTTGCCCATCAGAGTTTCAGTTATAGACACACTTCAGTGGGAGATAGGAAGCATGTAAATGTGCTCAAGATTGATGTCTAGTGTTGTGTTATCACCCACTGTGTCCTGCCTGAGGGACTCTCAATGCAGATGGTTCTTCAGGTATAGGGCATGGAAGATGTCTCAGTGGGAATTTCTCACTGTTTGGGATCAGATCTGGTAGTGGGCCCTGCCTAGGTTAGATAGCTTCATTGTGACCATGATGGGAGTTGGGTAGAAGGAAGACCCTAGGAACTGGGCTGGGATGGTAATTGACTGTATGCTTATTTAATATCAGAAGGGTTTGAGTGAAAGGTGGGGGTCCAAGTGATGATATGGCATCTTCCATTAGTTTGGGAGTGGAATTGGGTCTTATGAACGCAGAGGCTGATACAGACCCAACTGCTTTCTTTAGTCACTCACCTGGAAGAGAGGATCTCACATCTTTCCAGCCATAGTTTAGGTTTCCAAGGCTGCTAAGGACACAGCACTGGGATACCCTCTCTCTGGCTGACATAAAAATAATAAATTGAAATGGCATACATATGCCATACACCTGGATTTTCCCAGACATTACTGGGATTTCAAATGCGGAATTGACATTGAAAGGTCCAATAATATTGTAATATTGTAAAAAAAAAAAGCTCAACAACTTTTGGAGTAGGCAAAATGCCCACAACCAGCTGATGGTCAGCTTTGATACACAGTGATTCCTGATCAGTGCTACTGAACCATTTCTGGGGCAGAGCATAGAAAGACATTCTGTGAGTGACAGTGGTCCACAGGACTATCCCTAGTTCTCTTCATTGTTGCATTTTGTTGTTGTTGCTCTCCAGTGACTAGTATTCAGTGAACCTAGCTTCTTTTATGATAAATCTTCCTTTTGCTCATATGCAGAGGGTTTATGATTTGACCTGTTCAGTATGGTGCCTGGTACATTGTTGGTTATGAATAAAAAGCTGAATAGTAGCAAAAGAGGTAGGTAGCAGAAAATTGCTAGCAATAGATGGTAATATATGAAACTTCTGGGTTTTGAATCTGGAGCTCAGATTACCATAAGGTTCTGTTGCAATGCAGCGGTGGGTGTGCAGTGAATCTTGGTGTTTGAACTAAGATAATTCACATGGCTTGGGTTTTTAAATACCCTTTCTCACATGACTTCTTTTTATTCCTTTAGGTATATCTGGGAAAAGCCAGCTTCTCTTTGCACTGGTGTTCACCACTCGTTACCTGGATCTCTTCACTTCATTCATTTCTTTTTATAACACTTCTATGAAGGTATGATACATTCAATATGCAAGAGGGGCTACTGAATTTTCTCCACATACCTCTTAATGAATTCGCCTCCATGGTAATTTCGCGTAAAGGCTGAAAGAAAATTCAAATGTGCTTCTCCCTGTTCATGTTAAAGTTAACGTGAGTCTGCTGATTAAAAAAACAACAACCACTGTGTTGCAGCCGTAGGGAAGAAGCAGGTTTGCAAATGCCACAATAAATTACCTTTGTATTGCCAGTCATCTGCAGTGTCTTGAGTCATACGAGTTTCACTCCTAGATGACAGCTTTCTCTGTTTTACACATGGATAAGCTGTTTTGCCTGAAAGGGTTGAAGTCAGCTCTTGAGGCAGTTTGCTGCATTGCCTCATGGTCACAACTTAGTTTGTCCTCCAATAGCTTGATCAGGTTCCCCCAGTTTTATTATCACTATGACTATGTTCTTTAAAATTCCTACAAAGTATCTGACCAGCAACAAAGCCAGGGACTATTTTGTGTCCCTGGAGTATGCCCGACTCTGGGGCTGATGCAGCCCTTAGGTGGGGTGAGGGTGCAGCCTCAGGCAGTGGGAGCCCCCACGGCAGTGCCCCTACAGATGCCTCACCTACCCCACCACAACCAGCACTGGTGCTGGTTTTGGGCAAGATCAAAATGGTGTGAGATCTTGCAGAGCATGCAAGATCTCACCCAATATTGGCGTGGAGGTGTTGAGGCAGGCAGTGCAAGGTGGCAGCGACAGGGCAGAGTGGCACTTCACATTTTGCCTTAAGTGGCGAAATGGGATGTGCCACCCCTGTCTGACTCTTCACCTTCTGAGGACTCTGTGCCTTACTTGAGGGGTTTCTTAGTTTTGGAGCAGAAGAACCAGGTGTGTATATATGTGATCATCCCAGTGCCTTTGGCCTTTGGAAAAAGAAAAGGTTCATGAAATGTATATGGTCCTCAGACAGAGTGCCTTGCTAATTAGTATCTATTTGCTTTGCAAAACTGTCTTTAGGTTTCTTTTCAAGAAATGAAAGAAGACTAAAGGTGATGGGGATGACAGTCAAGTTAGAGGGGAGTGGGAACGGTGTTCGGAACAGCAGTAGAACTCTGCCTTGTGTCTCCTGGAAGCACTCCTTATTGCCCCCCCCCCCCCGCGGTTATACTTTTAAAATGGAAACTGAAATTCTTAAGATGGTAAAATCTGTGTTGTAGTAGGGATGTCTTGAATGTATGGCAACGTGCTCAAACGGACCTGCCTTAATTGGATGCACATGACCTTTTTACAGCTCTCTTAGTCAACTTCCATAAGTTCAATACACCAGCTGCTCCACAAGCAGGCATTCAGCAATCCTGACTTGGAAGCTTTGCTGGGAGAGCGTGGTGGAGAAAGCCAACCTTGAGCAAAACCCACTTTCAAGGCTGGGTTTCTGGTGGACTTCCATTTTGATATTAATGTGAATGTTTGCTTATGCAATTCTGACTACAAATACATGAAGGGGATGAGTATTGGTTGGGCTCGAGGATGAGTCTGGCGTACTTGTGCTTATATATATGCTCTCTCAAGCAGCTGAATTTTTATTGGATTCCAATGTATGCTGGTTGTGTTATGAAATATTTATATGAATTGTGAGCTAAGTAAAATGACTTGGTGTAAAGAGTTACACCTGTAATACAAAAAGATAAAAAAGCAGGTCCAATGAAGGGTATGGAAGCACTTGGTGCTGCAGAACCACTGGTGCTAAACAGATGTGTAGATCTGATTTGTCCCCTGGTTTTGGGATCACCCCATATGAAAGGATGATAGAATAAAAAAGTGATTAGAAGCTTGTCTCAAACTGTCATTGAATGCTTGTTGCTACTAATGAGGAGTGCTTATCTGTACTTAATTCATTTTCCTTAGAACTGTCAAAAATTCCCTGTCTAGTCAGGGAAACACAATGGTCATAATTGCATCTTGTTCACACAGCTTTCTTCATGTCTGTGAGCCCTAGAATAAGGGCTGATCCTCTATCTGATTCTAGTTTTAATTTGGTCTACCAGAAAACTGTTTGCCCAGCTTTTTTTCTATTCATGATGTGCAAAGAATCCACAAATCCTTCAACTTTAATTACTTTGAAGTAAATGATACTGAAATGTTTATGGAGCCGTGCTTAGTCACAACCAGACTATTTTCGAATGTTCGTTCAAATCTCTTGCTATTAGCCAGTTGTGTAGTCTGTAAAGACAAAAATATGAACCTGCCATTTTACTGATGAAAGGTTGGCTTCAAACTTAGAATTGTTAGAGTAGACCCATCAATGGGACAAGCTTGTCATGACTAACATAAGCTCCATTGATTCCCGTGTGTTTACTCCAAGCATGACTAAGTCTGGATCCAACCCCAAATAATTATCCTCTTTTGATTCTTTGACGGAGTAGAACCACCATAATGACAGGAGAAGGTAAAGAAGATCCAATGTCTACCCTACTTATGATGGGGATGCAGCTTGAAATCCTGGGAGGCTATGGAATTGGCAGTGCCATCTTTTATATAGCCTGCCCTTTTCTCACCTGTGGACCCAGGAACAGGGGGAGTGACACCCAGATATCTGTGTGTGCTTTGCTTGCTTATGCAAGTGTATGTGCAAATGCCAAAAGGAGGCACAAGAGAATTGGCAAGGAACAACCTTGGCAATCCCAGGAGGTTCAGTTTGCTTCCTTGTTTGTAGCTTTTGCTGTAGTCTGAAGTCTCTTTTATGCAAATGTTTGCAAGTAACTGAATTGATCAGGCCCTGATGCACTGTTACTGTTGCTTGAAATTCTGCTATATGTTCTGTAGCAATTTTAATGTTTGGATTTTAATATTGCGTTCTTTTATTATTATAATTCATTGTATTTTTGTATGAAGCTATTGCGTGCCATCCTACAATCATTTCAATGAAAGGCAGCTAGCAAATCCAGTGAAGAAATTGGTTTAACCTAAGGGTGGGATCTTGTGGCCCTCTAAATGTTGTGGACTCCCACTCCCATCAGGCCCACTAAACATCAAATTGACTACAGAACCCCATTGCCTGAGCAGGCCCGTCACCTGTAAAATTAACCAGCATCTCTTAATTTTCTTCTAGTCGGACCGCTTTGAATTTATGTCTTTCCCCCCCAAGTGTAACTTTATCCAAACCATGTTTCTTTTTTATCTTAATAATCATAACCAGTAGTTATTGGTGAGTTTTCTCCAGGCTAGCCCTGGCTTTTGCACTTTCCAGATGTTACTGTTGTTGGCATCCTGGCCACTGCTTTCTAGGGATTTTTCTGTGACTCATTGGCTACTTGAATACCACCTCTGGGATGGTGACTCATGCTGTCCTTTCTGTGGGCTGCAGTGCATGGAAACTAGGTTCCGCTTGTTGAAGTGTTCTAAGTATTAGTTCCCTGAGAATATGCTTACAGATGGTGAATGGAGAACCTTGAACATTTCGCCTGGGGTTGCTGTGGCCTAGTTAGTTAAGCAGTGACCTGGATTCCACATCCTACACAATTTTGTGTGACCTTCAGCAAGTCATTTAATTTTTCTTAGCCTCAGCCTTCTCCACTTGATAATGAAGTCTGTGTACAGTATTTTTATCATGAACGTAATGAAGCCCAGTTTCCTCAAGGTAACCTCTTCTGGATGAAGCCCTGAAAACAGAAGCTGGGAGCTGCCCCTTTAACTGTAGGCTCATTAACTACGTTGGATGCCTCTTGTGTTAACAAACCCACTACCAATGAAGTACCGTATTTTTCGCCCTATAGGACACACTTTTTCCCCTCCAAAAATGAAGGGGAAATGTGTGTGCGTCCTATGGGGCGAATGCAGGCTTTCACTGAAGCGTGGAGCGCGAGAGGGGTCGGTGCACACCGACCCCTCTGGCTCTCCAGGCTTCAGGAAGCTATCCGCAAGCCTGCGGAGCCCGGCGGGAATCCATTCCGCTTGCTGTCATGGCTTCTTTGCTCTTTGGGGCTCGGGGGGGAAATAATTTTTTTTCTTTATTCCCTCCCCCCCCAAAAAATAAGTGCACCCTATGGGCCGGTGCGCCCTATAGGGCGAAAAATACGGTACTTTTCAAATATACTAAAGCAGAATATGTGTATAATTCAGATAGTGATCTGAACCCACTTCCAATCTAATCTATGCATGTCACCTGGAAGAACCAGGAGCTGCAGGCTGCCTAGCTGAAGTGGTGCCTGTCCCTGAGAGACCATGACATCTGCTGCTGCCTGGCCCTGGTTGCCAGGCCATTATTTCAGATTGGTTGCTATTCTCCTCAGTAGTCATAAAGAGAGCAGCATCAGTTAAAATATTCACTACAGTGGTGTAATGAAACTCCTGAGAGTGGACACTTTATACCAGGGGTCAGAAACTTTTTCAGCAGGGGGCCGGTCCACTGTTCCTCAGATCTTGTGGGGGGCCGGACTATATTTATTTGGGGGGGGGGGAATGAACGAATTCCTATGCCCCACAAATAACTCAGAGATACCTTTTAAATAAAAGCACACATTCTACTCATATAAAAACACGCTGATTCCCAGACCGTCCGCAGGCCAGATTTAGAAGGCGATTAGGCCGGATCTGGCCCCCGGGCCTTAGTTTGCCTACCCATGCTTTATACCAACGGTTCCTAAAATTTCCCCTCCCATGGACCACTTGAAAATCCCAAGGGTCTGGCTTGGCAGACCACAATGCTTTTTTGGGGTGGGGCTGCTGTAGCTATTATAATGTGCTGTGCAGATGTTGTATGGTTTTAAATTTATTTTTAATCCATTTATTTAGAGTATTTGTACCCCAGGCTTTAGCCGAAAAGACTCTCGGAGTGCTTGACATACAATCAATTAAAACAAGGCATTTCCTGCCCTGTCAGCTTACAATCTAAAGAACAAGGGGAAAGGGACAGGGAGTAAAGAGGAAAAGGGCAAACTCAAGCACCAATTCTTAAATGGTAGTTCTTCTAATAGCCAGCTAGCACAAAAACAGCTCAGGAGCAGGAAGCAGGAGATGGAATCCAGGCATAGACAAACTCGGCCCTCCAGATGTTTTGGGACTGCAATTCCCATGATCCTTAGCTAACAGGACCAGTGGTCAGGGATGATGGGAGTTGTAGTCCCAAAAAATCTGGAGGGCCGAGTTTGCCTATGCCTGGAATAGGCACTGCTTCCTGTTGCTCCCAGTAAGTAGAAAGGTTACAAACTGCAATACAATAAAATGTGATATAAGAAATAAAAGTTGCAATAAAAATCAATATGAATATTTAATACAATAGATGTGCCACCGTACATCCACAACAACTCCACAGATATATCACAGATCAATCTGAATGAATCACTGGTGGCCCACAGACCACAGCTTTAAATTTTAAAGTAACAGGCATTTATAAACTCCACATGGCAATCACTATTTTAGGGTAAAATGTTTCTAAGAAGTGGTTCTTGCTTCAGAACTGTCACTTTTACTCATATGCAGATTTAATAAATGATTGATTTCCTCAGGCGATGGCCATAACGTTTTAACTTTCCAGACTTTCCATGTTGGTGACACACTTTTTAGACGTGCATCATTTCATAACATAGTAATTCAGTTTTAGTTAGTAAACGAACCCCTTTCCAGCCCCAGGAGGAACACAGGGATCGTTCGCACAACATACCTACATACTGCAGCCAACACTCCAACATATCACGACACACAGTTTGGAATGCCCTGTATTATTGTTTCTTTATCAATGACTGATTTTGGAACCTATAGAAAATTGCAGAAAGATTGTATGGGAAAAGCCACTGCAGTAAAGCGAGCACATGTTGCAGGTTTACTGTAATTGCACCTTTTCTCACACAAATGCTCCAGCTGCAGTAAGTAGGGGGACAGAATCAATGAGATTTTACAACTTAAGCATCTATAGTTGAAGCTGCAGCATTAGAATTGACAAGATTTACGTTGCTTTCAAGCCATTAAAACTTGAGGCAAAGATCCCACTTTCCTTAAACTTCTGAAGGAACCCAAATCAATCAGTTGGTAGGTATGGGAGGGGGTGGGAACTGTACTTCCTTATGTTCCAGGTAACCGTTTTCTATGTTAAAAAAGAGCCGGTCCCCAGAAAATGAATAATAGCTTTCCTGTTGTAGATGGTGCAATATGTTGATGAATGTAACTGAGCAAATGGGAGCAGGAAGGGGGACCATGCTTCAATGGTCAACATTGTTCCTTGTTGTATGTATAAAATGCTTTTTATGGAGGAAACAGACTAAAAGCCTGATAACTCATCTGGGTCTTTTCCTTTCAGCTTATCTACGTTGCCTGCTCGTATGCCACAGTCTACCTGATCTACATGAAATTTAAGGCTACCTATGATGGAAACCACGATACATTCAGAGTGGAGTTCCTTGTGGTTCCAGTTGGTGGGCTGTCTTTTCTTGTCAATCATGACTTCTCTCCCCTGGAGGTTAGTTTATTCATAAAGCGTTGGCTTCTGAAACAATGTAAAGAGGACTTGGGTAACTGTGAAATAAAGCAGAACACTTTGTTCTTTATGCTGCATCGTAAGCTTGATGTTTCACTCAAAGCTGCACAGTTTGTTTGATATAGTATTTGTGTGTGGTCCAGTGACTTAAAAGAGCTGGCGCTAGTTGTTTGGCTGGCTTAGATTTTGCTTTGGTGGGCTGCTCCCATATAGTGCTGAAAAATCCCAACCAGGTTTAAAAACAAAATTCTTTAGGAATTTTGAAATCAACTTCTCCTATAACCTTGCTTGTAAAATGTCATTATCAAAATCTGTGTGTGATTCGGTGCAAATTGCTTATCTGGATTTAGGCAAGGATTTTTGTTTAATGAGTCCATGGGCTCCAAAATTATTCACGTGAAAGCTCATTGGCACCTCTGTGCTGGTAGAATTACCGTATTTTTTGCACCATAACACTCACTTTTTTCCTCCTAGAAAGTAAAGGGAAATGTCTGTGCGTGTTATAGAGCGAATGCCTGCGGGTGGCGGGGGGGATCTGCTGCAGTCGTGAGCAGAGGATCCATGGTTCCCCTTCCTTCCCTCCTCCGTGGTTACAAAAAATGGATCCACATGGATCCTCAGGATTTTTGCATTGGGCTACTCCAAACTCACTGTCAGATCACATGTCTGTGGCCACAGCATGAACCACAAAAATCATATATCCACTATTTCGTTTAGAATATTTTTTTTCTTGTTTTCCTCCTCTAAAAACTACGTGCGTGTTATGGTCTGGTGCGTGTTATAGAGCGAAAAATACGGTAGGTTTAGTACGCCACAGAGAGCTCAGTGGTACACGAAGAATCTGTGGTAGTTCAGTCGGTGGAGCACAAAATCTTAATTTCAGAACTGAAGGTCCAAGTCCCATGTTGGGCAAAAAGATTCTTCCATTGCAGGGGGTGGACTAGAATGACCCTCATGGTTCCTTCCAACTCAGGAGAGCCTGGTTGATTTCAGCCAACCGTAGTGGAGAGCAGATGTATAGGAACATGCTAAAATTCAAGCCCAGTTTGATCTTCAGGCACAAATGGGTGTTAATCCTGAGTTAATCCAGGAGAAGGTGGCTCCACTATCGCTTCTGCAATCTTAAACCAAAGCAATACAGGGATTGGAGTTAGAAGTATATCCAGTGGTCCCAGTTCATACCATTGTGTGTTGGTGGTCTTTCTTTGTATCTGAGGAACAACGCAGTGACCATAATCCTAACTATTTAAACGTAATTAGTTACTCAGATATTTGTGGTGTGTTCAGTGCACTAAACAAAAACCTTGAAAAATTGGTCTGGCTCTTATGACCTTCACTTCATGTAATTTAAGTTCCTCAAATAGAAGTTGAGAAGTCTTTGGTGCCATCTGGGTAATTTAAGGAGAACTACAATTATGTAAAGGGTGTGTTAAAAAGTAGGGAAAATGGAAAATATAGGCAACATGTATACATCTTATATTTTAGCTGATCCATGAATTGCACAGGAAAACTTTCATATATCAGTACTACCCACCTTATTTCCTACTACATTTTTATTCTGCTTTCCTTTAGAGGAAAGCCTCTAATTTCCTACCTTATTTCCTACTACATTTTAATTCTGCTTTCCTTTAGAGGAAAGCCTTCTAATAAAAGTATCCCTACATACCATTTCAGGATAGTACACTTAAAACATGGACAAAATTCCATAGAGGTATTGCTTTGGTTTTTACTATTTCAAGCCACTACTAATTTCACCCCAGTATATAAGTCACTGCGCTATCATATTACATACCAGACTTTCCTGCACCTGCCATCAGTTTATAGAGGTTTTAGATTCTTCTTGTTTACCTATGAATATCCATTATTTTGCTAAGAAGCTACTCTCCAGGACAATATGATTCAGTCTTTTCCCAAATATGTTTAAAAATTACATGTGTGGGGTTTGCAGGTGAGAACTCGTTATTACCAAAGTTATTCCCATCATCTCTCTCAAAATTCTTAAATTTAAAATTTAAAGTAAGTCCATCATGTGACATATCATATTAAAGCCCATGAAGTTCTGAAGAGATTTTTGTTTTTAGGTTTGAGGTATCTCAATTCTGGGTTGAGCTTTTAAGGTTTTTGTGTAGGGCAAAATTGTCAATTTATTGAAATTTCAACCCCTTATAACTCACAAATGGGATGAGATAAAAAATTAAAATTTTAGATTTAAACTTAGTTTTGATCATTCAACAAGTGCACAGAATATTAAGATAATTGGATGGCAATTGGGTGGTAAAAAAGTTGGATCACTTGATATGGATTGACCCCTACTAGACGTGGAAGCTGCGAAGTGATTGTATCACTTTTACATTTTTGTCTTGCTCTTTCAGATCTTGTGGACCTTCTCCATCTACTTGGAGTCCGTTGCTATTCTCCCCCAACTTTTTATGATCAGTAAAACTGGGGAGGCAGAAACCATCACTACTCACTATCTTTTCTTCTTGGGCTTGTACCGTGCCTTGTACCTTATCAACTGGATTTGGCGCTACTACTTTGAGGGATTCTTTGACCTTATAGCTGTCGTTGCTGGTGTGGTCCAGACTATTCTGTACTGTGACTTCTTCTATTTGTATGTTACAAAAGGTAAGGAGCGAGCCATGGCCTTCCTGTTCTGTAGGCCTAAAGATTTTATGTATTCTAGATCCCTTGCACATGCTTTCTGCAGTACAGTGGTACCTCGGGTTACATATGCTTCAGATTGCATACGCTTCAGGTTACAGACTCCGCTAACCCAGAAATAGTACCTTGGGTTAAGAACTTTGCTTCAGGATGAGAACAGAAATTGTGCTCCAGCGGTGCAGCGGGAGGCCCCATTAGCTAAAGTGGTGCTTCAGGTTAAGAACAGTTTCAGGTTAAGAACGGACCTCCGGAATGAATTAAGCACTTAACCCGAGATACCACTGTATATTAATGCTGTGTATAATATTGTAGCTCTGTCACTCTTCCAAATAAGCACAGCTCTTCAGTACTTTGGAGGTTGTGGGTGTGCTCTGGGGTTTCCCACTGTTGCGTAACACTAGAGTCAAATGCAGCCAAGATCTGAGTATATTTATAACAAAGCATTATCTGCGAAACAACATGAGAATGGATTGAAATGTGGTTTTTGGTCCTGGTTTGCAGGGCAAGCAAAAGCCATAGTTAGGTACAAGTGACGTGCAAACACAATGGCTGAGTGGCAAGCTGAGCTTTGCTGCAAACCAGAAAGGGTGGAATTGTTACACACAAGGGGAGAGTAAGTGAACCCAGTGGTCCTTCAAAGCTCAGTCCTGTATGAATGTGGTGCAGTTCATCCAGTATTGTCACCTCTTCCTTATTTTGCCCCGGCTCAGCAGTCTGCATTACCAGCCCAATATAAGCAAAGCAAATGTATTTTAAGTTTGCTTTGGAATTCTTCTACAGTGGTACCTCGGTTATGAACTTAATTCATTCCAGAGGTAAATTCTTAAGCCGAAACCACTTGTAATATGAGGCGTGCTTTCACTAATGGCGCCTCCCACTGCTGCGCGACATCCGCTTGCATCCCAGGGCAAAGTTCGCAACTGGGAGCATCTACTTCTGGGTTAGCGGAGCTCGTAACCCAAAGCATTTGCAAGGAGGACAGTACATAACACGGGGTTCTACTGTACTGTATTGAATATCAGAGTTTAAACATTATAAAATATCAGAGGTAGCACCTCTTCCCATATAGGCCTGCCGCAGTGTTGAGATTTGCAGGGAAGGTCCTCTTTGTGGATCTGCTGCCATATGTAGTTTGTTGGGCAACAGTGCATGAGAAAGCCTTTTCAGTAGTGGCCCCAGACATGCCCTTGGAGGTCTGTTTCACCTTGTCACCTTTTTGCATATGTCTTTGGGTTGCAAAATGTGACATGGTTTAATTGTACTAAGCTGTATATAACCAGCTTTGGGATTGCATGGTGAAATGCAGGCTACAAATGCCTATAAAATAATGAAAGGCTAGATATTAATTTTCACAAATTCTACTAATATTAAATGTCACTGTTTCTCACCATATCTCCCCCTTTACCTTTTTGTCTCCTTGGGGTAGCAAGCTTCCTTTTTTTGTTTATTTCGTTAAATATTTATAAATTGCACTTTCATAAAAATGCAAGGTGGAATACATCAAAGAAGACGGTACAGTGGTACCTCGGTTTAAGAACAATTTGGTTTACAAACTCTGCAAAACTAGAAAGAGTGTCTTGGTTTGAGAACTTTACCTTGGTCTAAGAATGGAATCCGAACGGTGGAAGGTCACCGGTGGCAGGAGGCCTCATTAGGGAAAGTGCGCCTTGGTTTAAGAACAGTTTTGGTTTAAGAATGGACTTCCGGAACGGATTAAGTTCGTAAACCGAGGTACCGCTGTATATGCTTTGTTCATATTATTCCATAAAACCCTCTGAGTTTGTATCCAAGTGCATCATACTTTGAATAGACCTCTTTACTTCAGTGGGGCTTCTCTGAATATGACTTACTTGGGTACAACCCAGTGTATCTTGGTGATGCATGACAGAATAACATTAGTTTTTTGGTGGTTGATAACTGGATGCATGCATACATTTAACAATGCCTTGTTTTGTCTTTTTTTTTAGTACTCAAGGGAAAGAAGCTCAGTTTGCCAGCGTAAGTGCCAAAACTAACCGCCAGCATCTGCCATCCTGGATGCTTAGACAGAACAATCCTTACCACAAGCGAAAGGTGAAGATGCTTGAAACAGACAGTCTCCCACGTCTCTTGCAAGAATCATTGGTGGGCTGTATAGGACCAGAGAACAACCAGCTGACTTCTGTTTGATGCATCTTGCCTTTATCTTTTTTTATTACTATGTATAAAGATTTTTTACATAAAGAAACTTAATACTGTGTGAATTTAATTCAGTGTGTAGTTTCAATTGGAATAGTTCCAAAAGTGAGATTTTGTGGGGTTGTTTATGACCAGGAATAAGTGCAAACACTTCTTATTTTCAAATGATTCTTTTTGAATTACTGACTTGTTTCGGTGCACACAGGTGTGTGCTGACTGATGGATGGTAACCGTTCTTCTCTCTTGATTTCAAATTTCATCCCACTGTATTTATTTACCCCCTAAAAAGTTGAACATAGTGTGTCAACTGAAATCAAACTACAAATGACAAAATTCTCACGGTAGGATGTCACCATTTCATGAATGTCCTTAGTTATAATTACTCCATTTTAAAATAAGAATCATTCTCCTATAGTGTCTGCCAGTGCATATTGTCTGATACCTCTCTTAACCTTCTGAATACATCAGCTTGAGAGTATTTGGTGCCAATGCAGGTTTTTTAATATAGATTTCTTTGCTTTTGTGGTTTAGCAGCAGACAATTTTTATTTCATTTTTTCATTCAGGATAAAATGGTTCCTCATTTTTTGAGTGCATAAAGTTCTACTTTCATTCACAGCAGCCTTAGTGTTGCAGCTGTAAGGATGAACCTGTGATAGTTGTCCAATTGAAGTAATCTTTAGGTGGCAATTTTTAACTGTCTACAACTTTTTTTAATACAAATACTTTTACAAGTAATGTCCATGTTCAGCTTTCAAGCAGTTCTAGATGTACCAGTTTTGGACAATGAGTGTGATTTTTTATAAACTTATTCCTGAATCAGCAGCACCAAGTACTATACTTCATCAACTTTACATGATTCCCTTTTTTACTGAGCTGTTGCATGACTTATCCTGTGTTACCATCCTAAATAAACATTTTATGAAGTGGTATACATTGTGGTGGTGTTCTGGAACTAAGTCTCTACAACTTTTCTTTAAGATTGGTTGTAGCAATGTAATTCTTTAAAAATAATTTGATTGTGCTGACTTATAAAAACAAAAGAGCTTTATCTGCAGATTAGGCATGGCTTCTAAAGACACAAATTCCCTCAAATCTTGACAGTTACGAATATTTCACTGCATTAGTAAGAGCCACAAAAGAGAAATTAGTGTAACAAAGGTGTGAACATAACATATTTAACTGGCACTTTGAAGACTGAAAAAAGTAATTCCTGAGAAATATATCATACAAGCCATTTCATCTACATTGTTAATTACCAGCCTATTTAAATATGTACATGATTACCTGTAATCACCAGTTTTTAAAGCACAGAATTCCCTAATAAATGAGACATTTGGATTTGGGCGTAGTTAGCCAATTGGGGTTTCCTACCTACTCAGGTGCTGGAGAAGTCTGAACAAACTGTTGAGACTTATTTCTCTCTTCCCTCCCCAACTTTGCTCATTAATTCTTTCCCCAATACTTCTCCAAAATGGGGAAGGCAATTATTGGAAGTGGTTAAAGATTGGGGGCAAATGCTGCAAAGACGGTCATCCAGAAACGTGAAAGCTTCAATCATACCTGGAAACTAATCTGGAAAAATGCAGTGCCCAAGTCTCAAACCTCACTCATGTATATGTCTAATTTCTGTTACAAATATATTTTCTCACTACACTGTTGTGTTGCATTTATTAAATGTATGGTTTGGGTAGAAACTTCTGTCAAAAGACTGGAGTGCTGGATAGAGTGAAGAAGCAGCAAAATGAAATTGCAGCCTTGCAGATACACTGGGTAACTTATGACAGCACAAACTGTCTCAAAAGCCTGCTCCATTGAAAGTGACAGATTATATGTGTATATGTTGTGGGTTCCGTTATGTACTGTATTTTCACAAGCACACTCTGCCTTGAGGGCTGGCTGCTGAACAAAACTTATTTGTATTTAAGTGCACTCCTTTCTGCATTTACGGGACATGGTTAAACAGCTGTCAAGCATGCCAATAGCAAAACACCTGTTAGGGGGCTGAATTTTGGGGCTATTTGGACATAACCAAGTTAGTGACTGAAATATGGGGGGGGGGGAGGTAAATGCCCACGTTCCACACCCTGACTTTCCCACAGCAAAACAACTCTGCTTCCTGTAATGCAATCATGCTAGGTCGCCACCCAGTGTGATTATTTCGAAATAACTATGATCTGTTAACAGGAAGGTCTGTCTGTCTGTCTATCTATCTATCTACAGTGGTACCTCGGGTTACATACGCTTCAGGTTACAGACTCCGCTAACCCAGAAATAGTGCTTCAGGTTAAGAACTTTGCTTCAGGATGAGAACAGAAATTGTGCTTTGGCGGTGCAGCGGCAGCAGGAGGCCCCATTAGCTAAAGTGGTGCTTCAGGTTAAGAACAGTTTCAGGTTAAGTACGGACCTCTGGAACGAATTAAGTACTTAACCCGAGGTACCACTGTATCTTTATTTTCTATACCGCCCTATACCCGAAGGTCTCAGGATGGTTCACATAAAATATCAAATACATAAAATCAAAACCAAACAAACATCCCAATTAAAAAAACACCCAAAGGGCCAATATTTTTAAAGAGGGTATAGGATGTAGATCAAGCCAGGTTGAAAAGGAACCTTTTTGCCTGTCACCTAAAGGTGTGTTAAATTTTCACCCTGTTGACAGTTGAGCGCAAGTCCCATTGAACTGACTTGAGTTAACATACATGGGGCTTGAGTTATAGAAGTGGTCAAGTGTGCAATCTTGTTCTCCACGCGGATGAACCAAGGCGCTAGTCCTCGTGGAGTTCTCAAAGCAATATCTGAGAGGCAGTATTGGATCGAAGTTTCCGCCAGGAGCCGCAGCAAAACAGCCCAACGGGCCTTTTCCCCCATTCCTTACCAGGCGCTTCTCCTTGCAGCGACGTCCCCTGGTACTACGCAAGCGTCTAAATAAGGCAGGGCGTATAGACAAAGAGTTGCGCTCTCCACGGTTCCCTGGTAAAACATCTGGTTCCCATTTGCAGCTGGCAGACTTCTCCTTGGGCGGGGCACAAACAGCAGAAATGCAAAAGAATTCATTCAAAGACTATAAGCAGGCAATCGGTTATTTTTCACGACGACGCTTTGCAGTTGTTAATTTACGGTGAAAGGCATGCCTACTCCAAAGTGAATCTTACTGATTTCAATGAGACTTAGTCCCAGAAAAGCGTGACTAGGACTGCAGCATGAGAGAGGTCGGGGAGGCGGAAAGCGAGACGTCCCAGAGAAAAGCCATCCCCTCTCAAACCTTTTTGCTACATTTTTGGAGTGGAGGGCGATTGCATTTTTTTGCGAAGCAACGCATCCTAGGGGGGCCTCAGTCTAACCCTAACCTGCCTCTTTTTTCATTTTTTTAATTAATTTTCCAAAAATTTTAAAGACAAACAAACAAACAAACATACATCCTAATTGTAATTGAACCAATCTTAATAACATTGTTAAGTGACTTCCTCAAATCCCCCTGGTTGAATTCATTGTATATCATTTTAACAGTTTTCCAAAATCATTTTTTTTCAAAAAAAATAAATTTAATCACTTAACATCTTTCATTCTTTCTAATTTAGCTTTAAACATCTTAAATCCTATCCTTATGTATCCTAAGCTTATCTGGTATTTGCATGCTTTTCCAATTAAGTTATCTTAACATATATAGCTAAGTAGTCTTTAAATTTCATCCATTCCTCCTGGTACTCCTCCTCCTGGTCGGGGACTTTGCCAGTCAGGTCGGCTAGCTCCGAAAAATCCATCATCTTCATTTTCATCTGCCAATCTTTCACTGTTGGTACTTCTTGTGCAGTGGCGTAGCATGGGTTGTCAGCATCCGGGGCAAGGCAAGTAATTTGCGCCCCCTAACCCGTGGATTTTAGAGAGAGAGCTGCGAGTGCGCCCCCCCCCAGATGTTGCGCCTGGTGCGGCCGGCCCCCCGCACCCCCCACGCTACGCCTCTGTTCTTGTGTTTTCCGATTCTTCGCTAACAAAATTCTTGCTGCAGCTGTGGCATACAAAAACAATTTAACATCTTTCTCTAACCTGCCTCTTTTTAATCAGCCTTTTCCAACTTTCCGCCCTCCAGATGTTTCGGGGGGGCATCCGCTCAAGAGTCGTCTAAAACATCAGGTTGGAGAAACCTGTCCTTAAAAGTCGGCATAAATTCCTGGGCAAATATATTTATCCGGCGCATGGAGGCGCCTAATCAGAACCGGTGTGCTCGCATGGAACCCTCTCCGCTTAATGCGTACCTCTTTGGTATGAAGCCTCGGCAGCTCCGCCTCCTCTTCTCTGCGCACGCTCGCCTTCCGACGCCCGCGACAAGAGCGGCAGCAAATACACACCCCCACGTGCCCGAGGAGGGCGCGTGCGTAGATGAAAGTGGCCAGTGGTGGTAAGAGGCAGGAGCCTGAATCGCGGCGCGGACGTCAGTGCGTCATGACGCCGTGTTGTCAGTAAGTGACCTGCTTTTGAGCGAGAGGCGTAGAGAGAGCCGGTGGGGAGCAGGTAAGAGGCGGGCAGTTCTGGAGCCGCAGTAGGGGGCGCTGTGGCGAGGGCAGCTTCTTGGGTGAGGGAGACTTGAAAGGGGGCTCTTTGGCGGGAGGGGGGCTGCAGTCCCCGGATGTAACTGGAATAGGTATGGGGGCTTTCTAGGCAGGAATAGGTTAGGGGGCTCTTTAGGCGGGAGTAGGGTAGGGGGCTGTTTAGGTGGGAATGGGTTAAGGGGCTCTCTAGGCGAAAATAGGTTAGGGGGCTTTCCAGGCAGGAATAGGTTAGGGGGCTTTCCAGGCAGGAATAGGTTAGGGGGCTTTTTAGGCAGGAATGGGTTAACAGGCTCTCTAGGTGGGAATAGGTCAGAGGGATTTCTAGGTGGGAATAGGTTAGGGGCATCTCTGCACATCACATGAGTAAAGCCCTGTTTAGGGAAGCTTTTCATGTTTAATAGACTATTGTCTTTTAATATTCTGTTGGAAGCCGCCCAGAGTGGCTGGGAAAACCCAGCCAGATGGGTGGGGTATAAATTATTATTATTATTATTATTAAGCAGGGGCCCTTGTTTGCCTGGTGAAAATGTGGTTTCTTAGTTTCCCCAGAGGGGTGTTTGTGTGGCAGACGGGTTGGGGAAAGGGAGAGGGCATCTATAAGCAGTACCACAACACTTAACGTATAATAACATTTGAAACACACACCTGCACATTAAAAAAAGAGTGTGTTGTGGCAGCATGAGAATGAGTGGTGTAATTGTGGTAGAAGAAGCACTTGTGGGCTTATGAAAGGTTGCTCTTGCCGGTGAAAGTTTGTGCTACGAGCCTGAGTCTGCGAGAGGAAAGGAAGCCCCATTGCACTTCCTGGGGCTTTCTGCCAAGCAAGTGTATACAAGATCGCAGCTGTAAGTCGGTTGCAGTAAATGCAACAAAGAGGCTTGTGGGACTTGAAAGATTAACAGGCTTAACGTGGACTCTGGTCCCTGAAAGCTTATGCTATGAGGCGAGTTTGCTGTAACAGACTAAGAGTCTTGTGGCGCCTTAAAGGCTATCAGAGTTGCTATAACCTTTCATAGACTAAAGGCTGCTTTGGTCCAGAAAAGCATATGCCACAATATAAGGCCTTGGTGTTTAAGGTGTCACCTCTTAAATGGGGTGTATTCATGTTTTGGAGAAAGTCTCCCCTTTAGGGAAACTTTTAATGTTTGACGAACTATTGTATTTTAATATTTTGTTGGAAGCAGCCCAGAGTGGGCTATAAATAATAAATTATATTATTATTATTATTATTATTATTAAGCCGCAGGGCTTCTCTGGTGCTTTTTCAATCAAATGTGTGGTAATGTTAAGGCAGTAGACTGGATGGAGATTTTGGTTGATGGTGATGAGGAGAGCAAGCGAGAGGTAATTCAATATGTTGTGATCCTGGGAAGGTGATCCTGACAGTGCAAAATGTATGAAAGGGAAGGAAGGCTTTTAGACTGTGAAAGTAGCCTGGGTGATTTTACAGGGGCAGATTGGATAGGAAAAAAGAACAGGTACAGTTTGCCATATACCAGAAGTTTTCAACCTTTTTGAGTCCATGGTTTCCTTGACCCTTCTGTGGCATCCCTGTGGGGCTCAGGAGCCCAGTTATGTCACCCCTCACCTGCAGAGCTGGCAGCCTCTCACCCTTTTTCAAACACCCTCCCTTGTGGAGTGTTCCCTCAGCCTCCTCTCCTCTCCCCTCTCCTTGGGAGTCCTCTGGGCAGCTGCAGCTGCTGCCCCTGTCTCTGAGCTGCTCCCCCAAAGAGAGGTGCCTCACTGCCCCACAGGGGCCTGGGAAGCACCCCTGACTAGCCCCAGGGGCAGCATTCGCCTGGGGAGCTTGTAGCCAGGGCTGCTACAAGGATCAGCTGTGCAAGCCTTTGGGAGGCAGAGACGCAATAGGGCATCAGAGGAGGGAGGGAAGGAAAGAAGGACAGAGGCCAGTGTTGCCTGCAGCACCCCTGACTATCATTCAAGGCACCCCAGGGTGCCACAACACACTGGTTGAAAACCACCGCCATATGCCATTAGATCTAAAAATTGACCAGAACCATTGATTGGGGGACAGGAGGAGAGTTGGTTCAAAACCTGATAAAGTGGACTCTAATTGGTTTCAATGTATCTGGAACTAAAACAGATGTTTATATTTGGGCAGGAAAGGTATACTCGCAAGATTCTATAGTGTTTGTATGCTCTCCTTCAGAAGCTGAGGATCCACACCAGTGCATCCACAATGCCTGGGATGGTGATGTTTGGAAGGCGCTGGGCCATTGGAAGTGACGACTTTGTCTTCCCAGGAGCCTTTGAACTTTTCATCAGGGTGATCTGGTAAGATTTGCTGCTTAACATATTAACGTTGTCAGTAATGAACTAGGCACTACCTGGGGAAAATAAGCACTGCTTAAATTTTTAAAAAGGGGTTTTAGCAATTGAGCTCATGTAGAAGTTGTACTTATTCCCCTGGGAATTCTGGTCTTTCTTGTGCTGCGCTGATGTAATGGTTTAAAAGTAAGAGGAAACCTTTCTGTGCGTACCTGTCTGGATTTTAAAGCAAGTTCTGGGGCAAATCAGTAATTAGCTGCCATTTGAATCAAGGAGTGTAAATAAGGGTGTGTCTGTCAAGAGGTTTCACTCCTGTTCTAACTGTGGTTAACTCCCAACCAGTGGGCTGAATACTATAATTCAGTAAGGTAGCTAGGAATCTAGGGAGGCGGTTGGAGGATGGATGGCGGCTAACAGATTGAAGTTGAATCCTGACAAGACAGAAGTACAGTGGTACTTTGGCTTGCAACCGTTTTGGATTACAACCACGTCAAACCTGGAAGTGTGTGTCCCTTTTTTATTATTATTACAACCCAATTTTTTAAAAATTACAACACTTTTTTTGGGGGGAGGCCCCATTGGCGAAAGTGTGCCTTGGGTTACAACCTGTTTTGGTTTACAACCAGACCTCCGGAACGGATTATGGTTGTAAACCAAGGTACCACTGTACTGTTTTTGGGGAACAAGGGGCGGGTGGGTATGGAGGACTCCCTGGTCCTGAACGGTCCTGAAGGACCAGGTGCGCAGCCTGGGAGTCATTTTGGACTCACAGCTGTCCATGGAGGTACAGGTCAATTCTGTGTCCAGGGCAGCTGTCTACCAGCTCTATCTGGTGTGCAGGCTGAGACCCTACCTGCCCGTGGACTGTCTCGCCAGAGTGGATCGTGCCCTGGTTATCTCCCACTTGGACTACTGCAATGCACTCTACGTGGGGCTACCTTTGAAGGTGACCCAGAAACTACAACTAATCCAGAATGCGGCAGCTAAACTGGTGACTGGGAGCAGCCGCTGAGACCACATAACACCGTCCCTGAAAGACCTAAATTGGCTCCCAGTACATTTCTGGGCACAATTCAAAGTGTTGGTGCTGACCTTTAAAGCCCTAAACAGCCTTGGCCCAGTATACCTGAAGGAGCGTCCCCATCGTTCTGCCCGGACACTGAGGTCCAGCGCCGAGGGCCTTCTGGCGGTTCCCTCACTGTGAGAAGCGAAGTTACAGGGAACCAGGCAGAGGTCCTTCTCAGTAGTGGCGCCCACCCTGTGGAATGCCCTCCTATCAGATGTCAAAGAGATAAACAACTATATGACATTTAGAAGACATCTGAAGGCAGCCCTGTTTAGGGCAGTTTTAATGACTGATATTTTAATGTATTTTTAACCTTTTGTTGGAAGCCGCCCAATGGCTGGGGAAACCCAGCCAGATGGGCGGGGTAGAAATCAACAACAACAACAACAACAACCACCTTTCTGGCATCCTCACAAAACTACAGTTCTCACCTCGTTCTTTATTAGAGGAAGATTCTAAACTGGCATTACTGCCAACTAAGCATGCCAGTGTCACAGTTAGCAGTAAATGTTGGAGCTGGCCTCAACAAGGGCCCCATACCTATATGCTAATTGTGAAAATGCTGCATAATCAACTGCGTTGCCACCATATTTTGAAAAATGTGTATGTTCCCCATGCTGATCTCTATCAGCTGTACTATTTAGTATTCTCAAATCCCCCTGCCTTATAAATGAAACTAAACAGAGTCCTACATAATTAACATTGTGTATCTTTGGAAACCGTCCCAATGACTGCAAGTATCTGATTCCCATATCGGGTGGTAATGGACTTATAAACTTAAATCATTGCTCCTTTGCATGCATTGAAATCTCCTGCAGTAAGGAGTGCAGCAGGATATAAAGGTTCTAAGGCAGGCATCCCCAAACTTGGCCTCCAGATGTTTCGGGACTACAATTCCTATCATCCCAGACCACTGGTCCTGTTAGCTAGGGATGATGGGAGTTGTAGTCCAAAAACATCTGGAGGGCCGAGTTTGGGGATGTCTGTTCTAAGGCCTTAATATAGTTGTCACAGATCGGATCCAGGCACTCTTGGAGGAAACTGATTTTTCTAGGTGCGTTTCAGTTGGGATTTAGGCCCGGTTTTGGCGCAGAAACTGCTTGAGTTGCCCTGTATGATGATGACCTTAGTTGGGAGAAAGACAGGAGAAATCTGGCCCTGTTAATTCTCCTTGACCTCTCAGTGACCTTCAATACCATCAACCACGGTATCCTTCTGTAGTGGCTATCTGAGTTGGGGATGAATAGCACTGCTTTGTGGTGGTTCCGATCCTACTTGGATGGTTGTTTCCAGAATATGATGCTTGGGGAGTGCTGTTCAGTTCCAGGGAGCGTTCAATGCAAGGTTGCTTGTGGTTAAGTCTTACCCCTCAAGCTGTTTCACATCTACATGAGACCGCTGAGTGGAGTCATCTGGAGTTTTGGACACAGCTCTACTTCTCCTTTACTTCTGCAAGTGTGAAAACGGATGTACTGGACCAATGTCTCACCTCAGTAATGGAGTGGATAAATAAACTGAAATTCAATCCAGAGGCACTGTTAGTGGGTGGTTCCCTAGACTGTATAGATGGGAGGTGGCCTGCTGGTGATGGGGTTACACTTCCTCTGAAGGAGCGTGTTCACAGCTTGGAGGTTCTTTCGGATCCATTGCTGTCTCTTGAGGCTCAGGTGGCATCAGTGGTGCATAGTGTCTTCCATCAGCTTTGGCTAGTGGCCCAGCTGTGCCCCTATCTGGAGAGGGATAGGCTACCTTCTGTCATCTGTGCTCTGGAAACCTCTAGGTTAGATTAAAAGGTAAAGGTAAAGGACCCCTGACAGTTAAGTCCAGTTGCAGACGACTCTGGGGTTGCGGCACTCATCTCGCTTTACAGGCCGAGGGAGCCGGCGTTTGTCTGCAGTTTTTCCGGGTCATGTGGCCAGCATGACTAAGCTGCTTCTGGTGAACCAGAGCAGCGCACGGAAACGCCATATACCTTCCCGCCAGAGCGGTACCTATTTATCTACTTGCACTTTGACGTGCTTTCGAACTGCTAGGTTGGCAGGAGCTGGGACCGAGCAACGGGAGCTCACCCCGTCCCGGGGATTCGAACTGCCGACCTTCTGATTGGCAAGCCCAAGAGGCTCAGTGGTTTAGACCACAGCGCCACCCATGTCCCTTATCTAGGTTAGATTACTGCAGTGCATTTTACGTGGGGCTGCCTCTGATGATGGTTCAGAAACTTCAGCTGGTGTAGAATTCAGCAGCCAGGTTGCTCACCAGGGAAAGACTGTTTGAGCATATGACAATCTGTGAATAAGATCCGTGATCTGCTCAAATGGAAGCAAGGATGCCTTCCCTTCTACATTCTCCTTTCTGACTGTGATAGCTGTGATCTGAGTGTGTCTTCAAAATGTTGAAGAGGCAACACCCTGTTCTGAATTCATTTAGCTTATGTTTTCATGATGCCCTGAAATTTACACTTTTTCAGCAGCTCCTGCTGGCTATCTCTCCTTTTTGTTCTTGGGCTCTTTTGTTCATCTTTGGATGAGGGAGGTTAATCAGAAGAATATTTATAAGCTGGGCTTCTCTCCTGACATTTTGGGCATTTATGGGCTAAATAAGGCCAAAGTTGTTATTCAAAGATCAGTAGACTTAGATCAACAGCATCTGATAACTGCAACTAACAAATAATTGTTCTCCACTTCTTAATAACTCGTTAAACTGTGTAGAATCATGGCAGCTTTGTACTTTGTGCATTAAATGTCTTAAAGTATAGGAGAGCATTTAACTTTCCTCATTGTAATTTGCTGCCTTTGGCACTGGTAGAAAGACAATTCAGCAAAAACCCCAGGAAATGAACAACCATTTTTGTGTGGAGCTGGAGCAACAAAATCTGTTGAACATGCTCTCCTGCACTGTGATTTATATGGTGAGTGTAGTGAGAAATTGATTCTCCCTCTACTAAGAGCTCTTACAGGAAGATCCCTGGAGATTCAGTATTGTTTTACTTAAAGAATGTTTCCTTCTATATTACTGAAAGTGCTGCTGATTTTTTCCTGGCTTCAGTGCAGATCAGGAGAAATTTTCTGCTGGCTTCTTGAGACGAAAGAAAAAGTATTATTTCTTCCAGGTATTCTATAGGAAGCACCTCATAAATGGAAAGCCATTGATAAAAACGGAAGAAAGAATAATCCATTGATAGTTTCCCCCCATCATGAATTGGTCCAATCTCCATTTGAAGCCATGTAAATTAGCGGCCACGGTCTCTTCTTTGTGGCAGCGAATTCCGTAAGTTAGCTATGTGCTGTTCCTCAGATCCCTGTCGGACCACGACTGCATTTAGTGGCAAGCAGCTCTAGCGCATCCTGAGCATTTTGAGGGCTGTAGCCATGTTGAGAGCAGAGCAGTGAATTTCCCTGTAGCCGTCACTCGCAGCTGAAAGCAGGTTACTAGATCAGCAGTGGGATGCAGATGGACCTATATCCAGGCACTTCTGAGCTCATTTCCATAAGTCTTCCGAGGCAAATCACACAGCAGCAATCGGTGAAGTGAGGGCACCCTCACCTGATCATCCATCGCCTGTGTTGCAGCTGGTTACTGGGAAATGGGGGTGCCTGGTTGGGGTGAAGTTTGGGTGAGCGCCACCTTCCTGCTCCCCTTCTACCCATCAGTAACTAGCAGCAATGGGGGCAGTAGGGAGGTCGGGTGAGCACTGCCACCCCACTGACAGCTTGGCTGAAGGTACAGCCGATGATCAACTTTTCCCGTCAACTTCAAGCTTGAGAGCAAAAGCTGCTTACATTTTAGCTAACGAACTCTCAAGAATCTAGCCTCAATCCTAATTCTTCTTATCTGGAAGTAAGCTCCATTGAATTCAGTTGGATTTCCATCTGAGCAGGAATGGTTAAGGCTTGCACTGTGGAACAAATGCATATTTTGGGTTGAATGCACTGTTCTGATTTTACAGCATGCCCAACCTGGAAAAGCAACTAGCACAGTTTTCAGTTTCCTTCAGAGGTTGCTGATGTGAAGCAAAGGGCTTTTGGAAAATTGAATTCAAGAGTGATTTTATAAGATGTCTGGGGTTTAACGAGAGGGAAGCTTTCCTCGAGAATGCTTTTCACTGGAAAAGAATATTTTTAAAAGGTAGAAAGATGACTATTTTACCAAATGCACACTGCTTGCTTTTGTGTTCAGTTTATCCCGTGGAAATAAGGCTGTGCAAGGCAGATCTTATTTGTGGGACAATCTCTGGTATACAAAAATGCTGTCACTCAAGCAGAGTTAAGTGGTTGTGTAACGTTAATTACTTGTTGCAGCACAACAGAAGGTTTCGGTTTTGCTATCCCTGAATGAGGATACTGAATTGATTTAAATTGCTAGGGTTGTTTTGAACAATAGACACTACGGGCTAATGCCTTATTTTCCCCCCTGCTGTGTTGTACTGGGAGATGCAACAGCCTATCAGATTAGGCTAATTGTAGTAAATTTCTTTTTTTCTGTACCCTTCCAAATTAGCTTAGTGAAAATGCAACTCTTGGATGAAATGAGGTTGCAGTCCAACAGGGGCGGAGAACGTTTTTCAGTCCAGGGGCCACATTCCATCATGGGAAGCCTTTTGGGGGCCACTTGCAAGTGGTCGGTGGACCCTGAAGCAAAAGTGGGTTGAACAATTATTAATATGTTTACATGCTACTTTTCTGCCTGAAAGGGACTCAAGGTGGCTTACAGCTAAAATAGAAACAGCAAAAAATATGGGGAGGGGGGACTCAGTCATTAAAAACAATTAAACTTCAATGGAATTAAAATGTGTGTGTGTATGTATACAGGTCATTACAATAAAAACAGACAGCACCAGCCCTTTCTGTACAGTCAGTTCCCAAAAGAAAGTATTCACCAAGAGCGTGAGACTCTTACTCTCAGATTCCTGCATCGTAGGTGGTTGGGCCAGATGACCCTCTTGGTCCCTTCCAACTCTACTATGAACCTGCCAGTGGAAGGACAACAAGGAGGGAGCCAGTCTAATTTCTCTAGGAATGGGAATTCCAAAGTTTGGGAGCAGCCACCGGGAAGGCCCTCTCTTACATCTCTACCAAGCGCGCCTGTGAGGGTGGAGGGATTGAGAGAAAGCCATTGCCTGAAGATCTTAAAGCCCAGGCAAGTTCATATGAGGGAATATGGTCTTTCAGAAAGCCTGGACCTAAACCGCATAGGGATTTATAGGTGATAACTATCACTTTGAATTGTGCCTGGAAACAGACTGCTAACCTGTGGAGCTGTTGTAGCAAGCCATAACCAGCCCCCGGTCAACCATTGGGCTGCAGCTCTGTGAGCCAGTTGAAGTTTATGAGCACTTTTTGAATGCAGCCCCACACAGAGCATGTTTCAGTAATCCGAATGGGGTGTAACTAAGGCGTGTGTCACCGTCGCCAAATCAGGTATCTCAAGGAACAGGCTTCTTTATGCAATAGGCCACATTCCAGGCATGTGGAAGCCAGAGCTTTTTGTGCGTAAACACACACACGTACTTTTCCATCTGCCAACCAGCCGGCAGGAGGCATTATCAAAGTTCAAGGACACTTTCCAACAAGGAAAAGCCCCTGATGTGGGTGCAGAGTACTGCCAGTGAGAGGCATGGCCGGGGAGGGGTGTATCCTAGGGGAAAGTCCCAAGGGCCAGATGGAAAGGCCTAGAGGGCCGCATTTGCCCCCAGGTCTGAGGTTCCCTACCCCGTATATTTCTTCTAAGTGCATTAATACAGGTTTGCACTGAGGATCTGCATCGTGGCCTAGGCTTCCTTCCTCGCTGATGTCTTGTGCCTTTTTTTTTTTGTTCTCGCAGGTGGATTGGAATTCTTGTTTTGTACTCCATCCACAAAGGGCAGTTTAACTGCGCCGGTGGAGTGTTGCTGCACAGTTACCTGCTGGTCCTCCTCATTCTCCTGGCAGCCATAATATGTGCTTTGTGTTCTATTTTGTATGTCAGCATGCAAGGTGAGTGGCATTCTGCAAAGCATTACAATTGTTTAGCCTGTATGAAAAGCAAAGTGATGCCCGTCCAAACTGCTCTTAGACTGCCAATAAAGAGGCTTGGCTTTCAGCATTAATGCAGCAAAGGTGGCTGGGGAGGCCAAGTTCTTGTTATTATTATTATTATCCTGAATGCCTTGGCTCCCAAACAAATCAGCTCCCGAACAATCAAAACCCAGAAGTGAGTGTTCTGGTTTTCGAACGATTTTCGGAAGCCGAACGTCCGACGGGGCCTCCGCTGCTTCCGATTGGCTGCCTTGGTTTCCGAACTTTTTGGAAGTTGAACGGACTTCCAGAACGGATTCCATTCAACTTCCAAGGTACGACTGTATGTCTTTTAGGTGGTGAGCTCACAGCAGGCAACTATTTTGTGGTGAGTGCATCGTGCAGCATCCAGCAAATGACAATTCTCGGTGTTCAGTTGAAATAATGGCAGCAATGTTTGGAGATTGGTTAGTAATAATTCTTTCCCCTCGATTATTAAAACTCAGCCAGAGGAAAAATATTTCATTTTTAAAGCAGTTCAGGGATGGTGCATTTTCCCTTCCTCCCATGGGAGACATGGCAGCACTCACCCGGTTACCTGCATTTAGATGTCAGGTTAAGACTTATTTTGTGCTTCAGGCCTTTGGAAATGGCCCAGTTAAGAAGGGCACTCCCCCCCCTGCTCCTGGATTGCTGTTTTACAATGCACGTTGGTTTTAGGGGATATTGCCGTATTACATTTTAATGAATAGTTTGCATGCTGCCCAAAGGGCTTTCAGGCTGAAGGGTGGGATATAAATGTAATAAATAATAACCTTTGGAGTTTGTGTCAGTTATTTTTTTATTGGTAATAAAAGGTCGTAAGTTTTACTATTTATTAAATGTGTGCTATTCAGAACATATTATGTATACATGTGCGTATGTCCCATTAGAGGGGTGTGTGTGTATCATGTTTGTGTGTGTTGTATCCATTTGTGCAGCCAAATTTTGCCCTCCTCACTTCTCCCCTGCAGCCCTCCAGATATTCTCAGAATCTGCTCTGGAGGGTTGAGGGTTCACGGGGAGAGGACAGAACAGTCCCATTGGACACAGTCCATATAAAATCTACAATAGTGTGTGTTCTGTATTGTAGTCATTTTCATCAGGAATAATTTTATTATCAACAGACGGTATAGGTATTTTTATTTAATTATTGCATATCAACTCTGTTATAAGTGTGTTTCCCATCCCAAATGGTCAGGTTCAGTGCCGTATGTTGTTATCAGCCGATCAATGGCTTATCGCCACAATTGCTTTGCTCCACCGCAATTTTTGGAGGTTGCTGGGAATCATGAGTGGGGCAAGTGCTGTTATGCTTCGGTCCTGCTTGTGGGTTTCCCAGAGGCATCTCCCTCGGGAGGTGGCAGGCTCTCTTTCTTTAGGGGGTTTTCAAGCAGAGTTCGGATGGCCATCTGCCATGGATGGATTAGATTCCTGCCTTGCAGGGGGTTGGACTAGATGAGTCTTAGGGGTCCCTTCCAACTCCACAGTTCTATGATTCCATGATCTGGTTGGCCACTGTGAAAACAGGATGCTGGACTAAATGGGCCATTGGCTTGGTCCATGGATTCTTACGTTCATGCATTACCTTCTGGAATTGGACGCATCTTTGCACCTTGCATTGCAGGATTTATTCCCTTATCTAGAGACGAAGCCCTAAATCTAGAATAATGTTGTGTTTAGTTTGTTAACTAGGACAGTGGACACCTAGGTTCTGCCTGGGTGAGGCGAGAGCAGCTGCCGCTCATCCTTGTTAACACTAAACCTTGGTTTGGCATTACATGCGGGCGCAGCCTTTGTGTCTTTGGTGATACAAACTGAATGGGCTTGCTTTCTTGGAATTTGTACAGACATAGTTCACCACTTAATAATAATAATAATAAATTTTTATTTATACCCAGCCCTCCCCAGCCAAGACCGGGCTCAGGGCGGCTAACAACCAATAATAAAAACAAGCTGATTGAAATACAACTTAAAAAACAGGATTAGAATACAACATTAAAATGCAGCCTCATCACAGGAGGAGAAAGGAAAAAAGAAAGAGGGGGAAGGAATCAAATTTATTCCAAGCCAAAGGCCAGGCAGAACAACTCAGTCTTATAGGCCCTGCGGAAAGAAATCAGATCCTGCACTTTATGCATTGTGAATACTATAAACAATACCTTCTAACTGGAGAAAGATCGAGATCCTTAGTTTCGTTTCATGCACACTCTTCTCTCTCTCTCTTAGATGAATGTTCAAAGGCTGCTGCAAGGCTTAGCTTGCAGCCCCATGTCCACTTAACCTGGGAGCAAGCCCCCATTGAATTCTGTGGAGGCTATGTCTGAGTAGACATATTTAGGAGTGTTCCACTATACTGCTGTGAAGTGTTTATTAGGGCTAGCTTATGCTATCTGTTTGACATGCCCATATGTGAATATCTTCCCTTTATCCATATTAACACATTGCTTTATTGCTTGTGACGTAGTCATTATCTGCAAAGTTTGTCTTCCTGTTTTTTCCCCTTTTTCAGAGGTATGGGCAATGTTATGTACTGAAGTTCTCACCCTGGGCCAGCAGGGGGATACTGTAGATAGTTATGCAAATGAAGGATCGAAAGTGACGTTCAGTGATTGGATAGTTTAGAAAGTTGTTACAGTAACGTGGTACTGGAGCTCTATATAAGCAGGCTGACTGAGCCCTTCAGTTCAGTTCTGTCCTGGCCTGTGAATAAACAAGAGCTGTTTGAAGAATCACTGTGTCGTCTGATATGTTCACCCACAACTTAACAGGCAACATGAACATTTAGGCCATAATTATGCTTGCAATGTCCCTTTTGAAACCAGAGAAACCATTTTATGCTTCTTACTTCAACTGTACCTTTCAGGAACCATTTCCAACCCTGGGCCAAGAAAATCTCTTCCTAAACTGCTGTATCTGCGCTTGGCCCTCTTCTTGCCAGAGCTGGTCTGGGCTGTTGTCGGAGCCATATGGGTGTCGGACCGCAAAGTGAATTGCGAAGGGGCTATGATAAGTGCCATATTTGGAACAGTCATTGCCAGGTAAGGATGTTCAGCTGCCTCCGCCTAGGTGTGTCTGGGTTGGGTGTTAGCACACCTAAGCATCCTTGCCCAATCTGGTGGCTTCCACATATTGTTGGGCTCCCAACTCTCATGCACCCCAGCCAGCATGGCTAAGGGTCAGGGATATTGAGAGTTATATTGTCGTTTATATTTATTAGATGCTTTCCTCACTAAAGTGACCCAAGACAACGTATACAGTATAAGGTTGCAGGGAACCAGGCAGAGGGCCTTCTTGGTAGTGGTGCCCGCCCTGTGGAACGTCCTTCCGTCAGATGTCAAAGAAATAAACAACTATCTGACATCTGAAGGCAGCCCTGTTTAGGGCAGTTTTTAAATGTTTGATGTTTTATCGTGTTTTTAATCTTCTGTTGGGAGCCGCCCAGAGTGGCGGCAGCCGCCCAGCCAGATGAATGTGTGTGTGTGTATAATACGTATTATTATTATTATTATTATTTATTAACACAAAAACCAATAACAACAAACAATAGCTACGAACACCTAAAAAAATGTATCTCTACAAAAGCAGACCGGTCTTACAGATCCTGCCCCACTAAAAGAGGCTGCAAATACAGTGGTACCTCAGTTTACGAACTTAATCCATTCTGGAAGTCTGTTCTTAAACTGAAATCATTCTTAAACCAAGGCGCGCTTTCCCTAATTAGGCCTCCCCCCGCCGGCGCCCTTCCACTATTTCCGGTTTTGCGAAGTTTGTAAACCAAATCGTTCTTAAACCAGACTGTTCTTAAACCGAGGTACCACTGTACTTGAAAGTACTTAAGGACTAAAATCCTGGGGGAGAAGAAAGTTTTTGCTTGATGCCTAAAAATAAAGATGGTGCCTGGCAGGCCTCCCTGAAGAGAGCACACCACAAGCAGAAGAGCCACCATTTTGGGGGGGGGACCGTTCTTGTGTTGCCACACTCCTGTGGATGAGGCACACACAGAAGAGCCCCAGATTACAATCACAGGGTCTGGGTTGGTTCATTGAGGAGAGGTGGCCCATATAGTTCAACAACATCTGGAGAACCCCAGAATAGGAAAAGCTGGTGTACTGTATTTTTCCATCTATAAGACGCCCCCATGTATAAGACGCTCCCTATTTTTGGAGACTCAGATTTTAAAAATTTTTGGGGGAGATGTATCCGTGTATAAGACACCCCCTAATTTTTCACATTATTTTTTAGGGGGGAACCTAGTCTTATACATGGGAAAATACGGTAATTGGATATTTCTGTTCAATTACATACAGTTCTTGGACGTGGATTATCTTGAGGCCTCTTCCATTGCCACTGGTCTGGGAAAATCTTGAGGCGGTTGCAGGCAGGAGTTCCCCAGGGCTCACTTCTCAAAACGCATCTCCTGCGCATGCTTCTGTCCACCACTAACCTCTCCCAGTGCAAACATTGTGGTGGGTTTTCCCCCTTGTTTGTTGGAACTTGGAATTTCTTGGCGCAGGTTTCTAGCACATATGAACTGAGCTGGCGTGTTGTGAACAGTCCTCGTTAGTCAGAGTTCATACAATTCTTCCATTCTGCCCGGCAGCTGGATTATCATTGTTTTTACCGTGGCGGCCATCGTCATCGTCTTTGACCCGCTTGGCGGAAGGAAGACGGTGTACCTTCCCGATTGCGCCAGTCGCGACCTGGAGAGCAGCCAGTCAGGCCAGCTGTTTTACAATGTTAAGAAGTCTGCGACTCGCGTCTGGGAGAAAAGAATCCGATTGATGTGTTGTTGCATCGTGCAAGATGACGACCACCGAGTCGCTTTTACAACCATTGCTGAGCTTTTCCGCACCTACTTCTCGGTAAGAAGGAAATGCTTGCTTTTCCCCATTTTTTTTCCAGAGAAAGGGGCCCAAGGTGGGCTTAGGGGTGATGGACATAGGGGTCATCTCTGATAATAGGCCAAGCCACATGAGCAGCCCTAATAATATCTGGGGAAGAGGGTAAAGAGTTTGCTCTTTGTTCGTAATGGTGATATGTCTCTCATATATGTGCTTTTAAAAATAATTCGCTGTGTGTGACATCAAGCATGTTGAAAAGGGACCGATCCGATCGCATGTCTGTCTTTTGCTCCTCAGTACCTTTTGCATGTGATACTGAGGTTCTCTGTACAGGCGACTCCTAATTTCTGTGGGGGTTTCGTTGCAAGGGACCGCATGTTTAAGTGAAATCAGATATATTTGAAACGCCACTGGAAAAGCCTGCAAACACCCCATTCCGCCCCTTTTCCTGAGGTTTTTGGGTCACTTCTGGGCTCAGCGCATGCGTGATTCTGCTCATATTGGATGTGCCAAATACAGTCGCTGCCTGTAAATGTTTTTGTTTTCTTCTGAACGTATCTGTCACTTTCTCTCTGCAGGACACCGACTTGGTGCCAAGTGACGTTGCAGCGGGACTGACTCTTCTTCACCAAGAGCAAGATAAAGTGGAAAATTGTCCCAAGGAGCCTGAAGAAATTATTACTCAGTCACCATTAACTCCTATGGTAAGACTGCTGGATGTTTTGAACTCGTCGTTCGGGTTCAGATGCTACATATATGCTCGGATCTTCCGGGGAGGGAAACTCACCTCTGAGGGCCCTGTCTGGTGGGGCACCTCTTAAAATTACCCACAATTGATATAACCATACCCATGTTCATCACCATAGCCACCTTCACTCTCTGTTCCTTCCCCAGACCGACGATTTGGATGCAGAATTAGAAAATGCTGCTCACTACATGAAGTTTGCCGTGGCTACTTACGGTTGGGCCTACTACATAATGGCAAACCCTTTTACAGGCCTCTGTAAGCTTAAAGGAGACTGGTAGGTTGAGGCACTGTCTAAAACAGGTTGGCAAATTTAATTCTTTAATGTGGCATGTTAAACGCGAGTATTAAATGTGGTGGCTCATCGTATAAGAAAGTTGCTGTTTGCAGTGTAGCTTTTGAGAGAGCTCTACTCTGAGGGTTAACTTGTTAACATGTCAAAATATTATTGATGTTTTTCAAAGAATTGCTAGCTTTTTATATAGGTTCAAAAAGCTTGGAAACAGATAATGGGTGGTGTAAACTGAGCTGTATAACCGGGCTGTTTAAAAAATAAAATTGATCTTCATAATGTAGGGGCGGGGAACCTGATGCTCAGGGGCCAAATGTGGCCCCCAGGCCTCTCTGTGTGGCCCTTACGTCATTCCCCAGGCCGCAACCCTCACTGGCTCTCCTTGGCAACTCCGATGTTTTTACCTGTCTGGGAATGTGTGCTTAAACTCTGACAATGCCTCTTGCTTGCCTGAATGGGGGACTGAGTCACAGGAGTGGACATAAGAAAATCCCCGGTAGATCAGATGAAAATCCCATCTAGTCATAGATAGGATCATAGAGTTGGAAGGGACCCTGAGGGTCATCTAGTCCAACCCGCTGCAGTGCTGTCCCATATGGGGATCGAACCTTCAACCTTGGCGTTATCAGTACCACGCTCTAAGCAATGGAGCTACCCCAGCATTTTGTCCCCACATTGGCCACAATTTGGACGTGTGTGCAACAGCACTCTTCGCACTTGTGATTCCCAGAAACTGGTATTCAGAGACACGTTGCCCCTGGTTGCAGAGTTTTTCTGCCTTCCCTTTTATTCTCCTTGCCCTCTGGTTATCCTTGCACCTGTGAGGTAGGTCAGTTGGAGAGTTTGAGCAACTGGCGCAAGGTCACCTAGCTGGCTTTGTGCCTGAGTGGGGGATTTGAACCCTACTCTCCCAGGTCCTTGTGGGTTGCTCCAACCTGGTCTTGTCAGTGTGGCATCCTCATTCGATTCAAAATCCCATAAACCCCAGCCAGCTTGTCCAGTAGCCTTATATGATGGGAGTCAAAGTCCACCAACATCTGGAGGGATGTAGGCTCCTCATTCTGCATTAGGAATGAGAACCCAGAGATTGATTGATAGGTGAGGACAGTCCCTCTTACAACTGGGGCGGGGGGAAATGATATTTTAACTTGATTTCCTATGTTTCTGTTATGCAATTTAAGAATTTGTAATGCAACCTACGCTGGTTTTACTCGATAGCAAGTCCCACTGAGATCAGTAGCACTTACTCCCCATTTCCCTTTATGACTCGCAACGCTGTAGTGGTTAGAGTGCTGGACTCGGACCAGGTTTCGAATTCTTACTCAGCCATGATGCGCACTGGGTGACCTTGGGCCAGTCACTGTCTCTCAGCCAAACCTACCTCGCAGGGTTGTTGTGAGGGTGGGAATAAATGAGGAGGAGATGTACAGTATGCATGCCACCTTGAACTCCTTGGAGGAAATAGGTAAAGGTAAAGGGACCCCTGCCCATTAGGTCCAGTTGTGGCCGACTCTGGGGTTGCGGCGCTCATCTCGCTTTATTGGCCGAGGGAGCCGGCGTACAGCTTCCGGGTCATGTGGCCAGCATGACTAAGCTGCTTCTGGCGAACCAGAGCAGCGCACGGAAATGCCGTTTACCTTCCCGCCGGAGCGGTACCTATTTATCTACTTGCACTTTGACGTGCTTTCGAACTGCTAGGTTGGCAGGAGCAGGGACAGAGCAACGGGAGCTCACCCCGTCACGGGGATTAGAACAGCCGACCTTCTGATTGGCAAGTCCTAGGCTCTGTGGTTTAACCCACAGCGCCACCCGCGTCCCTTGGAGGAAATAATGGGATATAAATTCATTAAATAAACAAAACTGACATGCTAGCAATCTTCAAAAGAATCCTTGTGAGAGGCTTCTTTTACTTGGGAAGTGTAGCCGATTTGAATTTTGCATGTCTCATTATTTCTTCTTCTGTCTTCAATTTATGAAGTTGTAGAAGCAGCCCAATAGAGACTGATATAATCGGCAGCGATCGTCTTAACATGAATTTTGGAGCGATCTTAAAAATCACAGGACTTCAGTACAGAGATTTCATTCACATCAGCTTCCACAATAAAGTAAGCCGTTGGAACAAAAATAAACCGAATTGGTTCTTAGTAATTTCTTGATTATTTTTAAAGTCTGGAAATGAAAAGGGGCTTTCCACTCAGGCCGTTGATGTCAGTGGTTAGGGACCCAACCAGGATGGCTGAAACATAGTTTGAAACAGAAAGCAGCCTATAATAGACAACAAGCCTATTCGACAAGGTTGGGGCAGTTGCAGCAAGAATGCTCTCTGCTTTAACATGGTGACGAAGGAACAAAATTCTTTCAAAACACAGAGGGTGGCATCCAATGCACTTTTCCACTAGCACAAGGATTTACACTTGTGCAACCGAACTCTATCCCCCCCCATACCCTGTGCCTTCCCCAAAACTTCTCTGAAGGGTTGATGGAACCTCCAGAAAATATTTAGGGGGCACTTGGGGGAGAGGATAGGGAGGGGAAGTTCCATTGCACAGCCCAAAGTCCTTGTACTGATGGGACGAGTTTGTTGAATGAGCGGCAGGTTTAAGAGGTACCACTGGACATAAAAACAGTGCTTTTTCTGGGGGGACGCAGGGGTACACATGCCCCAAAACATTTTGTGAATCTTTGTACTTTTGTCCATTTACTGTACAGCCGTACCTTGGTTTTCGAACAGCTTAGTTCTCGAACGTTTTGGCTCCTGAACGCCGCAAACCTGGAAGCGAGTGTTCCGGTTTGCAAACTATTTTTGGAAGCCGAATATCTGACGGGGCTTCCGATTGGCCACAGGAGCTTCCAGCAGCCAATCAGAAGCTGCACTTTGGTTTTTGAATGTTTTGGAAGTCGAATGGACTTCCGGAACGGATTCTATTCGACTTCCAAGGTATGACTGTATTTGAACTATCAAATGGTGGTTTTCTTGAGTAAAAATGAGAGTACCCCTAAACATTTTAATGGAAAAAAAGCACTGCATAAAAATATGCTTGGCCTGTGGGACTCGCTGCCTCATGACATTCAATAGCCAGTGCCATAACAGACTTTTAAAAAAAGATACGTAACTCTGTAGAGGCTGGATCCATCAGCAGTTACCAGGAGGAGCCAATGAAGCAGGAATTGCATGGAAACCATCTCTCAAGGATGCTGTAGCTGCATCCTGCATTGAGCAAGCAGGGGGTCAGACTGGTGTGACTGGTTTCCATGCAATTCCCACCTCGTTGGCTCCTCATCCCCCAGGCAGTCCTCATCATCTATCAGTCAGAGAGAGGGGCTGACTTCTCCCTGCTTGACAAGCCTTCCAGAGGCATTTAGATGACGCAGTGGCTGAGCTAAGCGGACCACTGGCATGACCCAGTGTGGAAGATCTCATGCTCCCATGCCCGCCCTTGTGTTTTTTAGATTTATGAGATCCCATTCTACATTGCACTGGATCACAAAAAAGAGGCCGTCGTCGTCGCTGTGAGAGGAACCCTGTCATTTGAGGTAATGTCTATTTCATAAAATTGAAAAATTGGGAGCACGGCTTACATTACTTTTTGTTTTCTATGGCTTGGCATGGATAATTGCTGGCGAGTTGTTACAGAAATATTAGTTCTGATGTGTTGGCTCAACAAACATCAGTTGGGGATTCTAGCTGGGACTTTTAACATCTAGGGCAGAGGTAGGCAATATGGTGCCTTCCTGGTGTTAACTGGATTTCAGCCTCCCATCAGTCCCAGGCAGGAATTATGACAGTTGTCATCCAGCAACACCTGGAGGGACAAAGTCAGCCGCTGCTACTCTAGTATGAATGGGAAGTTTATATAGGAATAACTTGTCTGTACATCATCTAAATGCGTGGCGCATCCCTGTATATCGCATTTCTATTATAATCACCACCAGTTGCATTTTCAGTGGATTTCAAAATAGTTTGGACACCTTTGTGTGCACGATGAACCAGCAGCATGTATGCAAAACCCTGTAGTGCCAGATGTAGTACTTGGCATGAGAATCCTTTTCTTATTTTTTTATTTATTTACTTTTTTTAAAAAAAAGAATTAAATATCTTAAGAAATACTATGCAAGAAGTCAAATGTATCAGGTATATGCAGCAATACTTTCCACTTCATATATCTCAGAAGTCTAATCTCATTACTTCTTTTACTGAGAAGTGTATTCCAAAAAATAAAATAAAATAAAAACCTCACTGATTTTAGCTATGATACCTTATTTGGGCTATCTCTTTCCTTTGCTTGCTATATTATTATAAACAGTGCCCTCCATAGCCCATATAATCAGCCAAGCATTTTTAAAATATAGTTTTATTAAATATTTTCTTTGGTTACAAAAGCACGTGCTTTGTTTCTTTCAGCCAAGCATATTTGTTTTGGGTTTTGTTTTTTTTTTTAAAATGAGCAAATACATACAAATCAAAACTTTGAAATGTGAAAAGTAGAAAAAAGATTTTAAAAGGTTACAAAGAACAAAAAAAGAAAGAAGAAAGAAGAAAAGCAGAAGTCTAAATAAATTACATAAACTAATACAATTAAATCTTAATGAAGATCTGAAAAGATCATAGATGGAACAGCATTCATTTATTCATTATTTAAACAGTTACCTCATACATATTGTCTGTTTTCCTAAGAAGCTAACACTTCTTGGGTATTTCATTTTTCATATTCTTTTGTTCTTTGGACTGCCAAGCCAAGCCAAGCATATCTGATTCCTCCACAGTCTTGGTCAGTTTCTGTGAAGCCAAAATGAGTGCCCTCCAGATGCCATTGGACTACAATTCCCATCAGCCCCAACCAAGCACGGTCAATAGGATGGTGGGAATTGTAGTCCGCAGCATCTGGCGGTCACAATGCTGACAGCCCATGCTCTAGATGTTAACATGCCTTCCAGAATATCTTGAGTATAAAAGCCCCTGCCATCTGATGTCCAGTGGTGTCAACTCGGCAAGAAGGTATCCCTGATCCTGGCAGTGGGTGGTGTTCTTTGTGTATGTTTGGCAGGCAGCCAAAATGCTGAAACTGCATTTCCTTTATTTTGCATGCAGGACGTCCTCACAGATCTCTCGGCAGATTGCGAAAACTTGACATTGGAAGACGTTCTGGAAAACGGTTTTGTGCATAAGGTCAGCAGGTAGTTCTATGACAACTTTGCAAAGCCCTGGAGATCCAAAACTCTTTGTTCCTGTGTGTACAGTGAGACGCTGGGCAGACTCCCAGGGGATCCAGATAAAGGGTCTCATGCTCTACCGACTGAGCTATGGATTTAAGCACATATTGCAAACACAAACGAGCTTTCAAACTGAGACACTGTTTTTTTGTCTCCTAGGGGATAACCCAGGCCGCCAACTATATTTACAGAAGGCTAATAAACGACGGGATTCTGAACCAAGCCTTCACAATTGCTCCTGTAAGTTGTTGCTTCCAAACTCTGGGCGTGCATCCGCCTTGCCTCCAACCTACTCTCCAACGTGTTCTGTTGCAAGCATTTAGCTGAGCTGCTCAGTTCATCAATATTTCTGTTTGTGTCGTAGCCCTTTCTATGTTTTTTATCTCTAGGAATACAAACTAGTTGTCGTCGGCCACAGCTTAGGAGGGGGAACGGCCTCCATTTTGGCGATCATGCTCAAAAACGCATTCCCCAATGTGCGATGTTACGCCTTTTCTCCACCAGGGGGTTTATTAAGGTAAATTATATTAATTTTCTTTCTCCATTTCAGGACAGAAATCTGTTGGCAAATAGAGCAAGGGAGCCCAACCTAGCTTAGCATGGTGAGCTTTGAGAAACCAGGGGACATGAAATGATGTAAAGATAACTTGGGTCAATTTAGGAAGAACTTATGTGAATTGAACTGGTTTGGTTCTGCATATAGATTTCTCCCCTGTAAGAGATGGATTGGTTTAAAAAATGAACTACGATTCCTCTAGTTTATTTCAGACTCCTTTTATTAAGTGTAGCGTGTCCATCCCCCTCTATCCACAACGATCTGAGTGGGTAACAACATTGTGTTCTTGAATAACTAGTAAGCAATGAAAAATAAATTGGCTCTGATAATGATATGGCTCTTTTTAAAAAGCAAATAAATTAAAAGCACAAGGAGACCATTATTGCTCCAGACTTGGTCATCCGCAGAGAGGTTTCTGCATCTAAGATCAGATAGGATCATCTGTATAAAAGAACAGAACGGCTTTCCACCCTATGTGATCCCTCCTGCCCATCTGCTTCCACATGTACACAGACCTGTACATGTGGGAATGGTTTAGTAATCGACACAAGGTTCCTTTCCCCCCCTTGAGCTCAACAAAGTTGGTACTGGGACTGTGCAAGTGGAACAGCTTCCCCGCAAATGGAAGCCCTGCATGGCGCACAGGCAAGCAATGTGCAGAGATCTATTAATGGGCAAATACTGTATCTTTGCGTGCATGTCTATATGTGTGCATTATGCGCATGAAAAGGCGAACCGTTTTCTTGGAAGACAATTCTACAAAATGCTGGTCCAAAGAGAAGGTCTTGCACTCTGCAAAGCATTCCACTTGTTCTGACTTCTTTTTTTAAAGGGGAGGAGACATGATTGTGGTGCAAACAGCGGTAATATTTGGTCATATTTTATTTACCAGTGATAGAAGATGCTCAGTGTAATTTTCTCTTGCTTAAGAGCCTTTTCTGAATGAAGTAATTTGGAGCACTTTTAAAACTCTTGTAATGCATGTCTGTATAAGGAAACTGACAGTAGGTTTCAGTTAGCGTTTCTTTTCTTTAACACCCTCCTTTTCTTTTTAAGCAAATCACTTGCGGACTATACTAAGCAGTTTATCATATCTGTCATTGTCGGGAAAGACGTTGTTCCAAGGTAAGGATGCAGCTTACTTGCTGATTCAGTTTGAAAGTGATATCCTTGGTCAGATGGCTTAACGAGTGCTTATCTCCTTCCCCCTCATTGTTGTGTACCAAACAGGCTAAGCATGCCCAACATGGAAGACCTAAAAAGAAGGATCATTAGGATAGTTGCCAACTGTAACAGACCCAAGGTAAAAATACAAACCGTTCTTATTTGTTCTAAAAATCTGAATGCTGTTTTAATGGCCACAACCTCTGCGAACACAAGGTATATGTTAAAATTCTCAACAAGTATACATAAAACGAGATGCAGGTGGCGCTGTGGGTTAAACCACAGAGCCTAGGACTTGCCAATCAGAAGGTTGGCGGTTCAAATCCCCGACGGGGTGAGCTCCTGTTGCTACCCGGTCCCTGTTCCTGCCGAAAGCACGTCAAAGTGCAAGTAGATAAATAGGTACTGCTCCAGCTGGAAGGTAAACGGCGTTTCCGTGCGCTGCTCTGGTTCGCCAGAAGCGGCTTAGTCATGCTGGCCACATGAACCGGAAGCTGTACGCCGGCTCCCTCGGCCAATAAAGCGAGATGAGCGCCGCAACCCCAGAGTCGGCCACGACTGGACCTAACTGTCAGGGGTCCCTTTAGCCTTTATATGTAAAACCTGTCGTTTAAATATATGCATTATTTTTGTAAAATAAAGCCGCCCGTTAAGATACATGTCAGCCATGTATAACTGGGCAGGCAAACAAAAAAACCTTTTTTTAGCAAGCACTGAAAACCAATGCAAACCAATGCAAGGAGTTTCAGGGTGCAGCTCCTGTCACACTGAAAAAGATACTCATTACTAGTGCGAAAGAGACGCTGCATGGCCCTTGTAAAAGTATTAGTTCCACAGATTGATGGGGTGGCCATGTATTGGGAAAGGTGGTCCCTTAGGTAAACTGGTCCCAAGCTGTTAAGAGCTTTGGCTCAGGATCAGGTTCAGCCAGTTCAGAACTCTGAGCACAGGTATTATGTGCTGACAGGGTCTCACTCCTGTCGGCAAACGTGTTGCAGTTTCTGGACCAAGTGCAAGGGAAGTCCCAGATATAATGTGTTGCATTAGCCCAGTCTTCACTTCCTCCCTAGACCAAGCCCAATAATTGCTGACGCAGGTGTACTTGTAGGGATTTTCATATGCAGTTAGTTGTATATAGTGGTGAAAGGATTTGGGATTCTAGAGATCATGTGCATTAGATGCAGAAAATTCCATTCTAGGTTGACTCTGGCATCTTCCCAGTTCAAAAGCGCTTTCGTGGCAGGGCTGGGAAGGATATTGTGGAGTTGTTGCTGTTATCAGTCAGGACAGCCAGAAATAAATAAAGTTTCATTTTCCTCAGTCAGTAGCCACCTGTGCTACCCAGGAAGTTTCAAAAGCAGTTTTTGACATGGCATCGAAAGACAGAGTCATACTCGCTAGGATATTATAGACCTATTCCATGAGCCTAGCAGTCTGTTTGACTCCAGTCCGTTAGTAACGATGAAGCTGTCTGTCAAAGATGTCTGAGATTTCACTTTTTTGCTCTGATATGCATTGTGGGAGCAGGGAAGTAATTGCACAGGCGTCATACTTTTGGAATAACAGCACAGAATTATTGTGGGTGTAGATGTTCTTAAAAACTTCTCTGCACAAACTGAAATGATCCCACTTAGCCAAATGGCTTCGCGGTTTCTCATATGCTCTCCTTTTGTCTTTCAATTTCTCCTTGCACAGTACCAGATCCTGCTACATGGCTGTTGGTATGAAGTATTTGGAGGAGAGCCTGATAACTTTCCAACGGAACTGGATGGTAGAAACCAAGATGCTTTGACTCAGCCTCTTCTAGCTGAAGAAAACTTAATGGTTCATCAGTCTCCTTCTTACACTACTCTAGGTGGCGACTCGCCTTTAAGCTCTCCGGCTCAGTATCCGCGCCTCTTTCTCCCTGGGAGAATCATCCACATTGTAGAAGAAAGCAGCACAAAGAGGTAAACGACTAACCTGTTATCAGTGACCCCGTGCTCCCCAGCCCTCTCTCTCTCTCTGCCCCGAATCTGCATTTACATTCAGAAAACTCTTTTGGCAAGGATTGAGTGAGGAAAGGTGCGGTGAGGAAAGGAAAGATGTGGAAATGTGGTGAATGAAAGGTTTGAATAATGATGATGATGATGATGATAATAATGGTATTGTGTGGCTCGCAGAACATTTCCCTCAATCTGACCAGGTGTCCCAAGAAGCTCAGTTGTTGCAATTATTTATTATCCTAAGCTATATGGAACAGTCTTTCAGAAATCTAGCATTTTGTTTATTGAACATAGGTGTATACCACTTTTCTCAAACTCTAGGCAACTTACATAAAAATAAAGCATCACAACAAAAGCATTTTAGCAGGCAAAATGCAGGAATACAGAGCACCCTCTCACCCATCAAGCCAGCCTCTTCAAAATTCACCCCAGGTTGGGTTTGCAGCTTTTTCGGAAGTCCTTGAGAGAGGAGTTGTTTCTGATAAAGGAAATCATCCCCAAAGCCTTAGGGCCCTTGCATTGAAGGTTCTGCTCAAGGTCATTGGACTACTTGACATAAAAGGCGCATAGCTTGACCCAGGCTTCCTCAACCTCAGCCCTCCAGATGTTTGGAGACTACAATTCCCATCATCCCTGACCACTGGTCCTGCTAGCTAGGGATCATGGGAGTTGTAGGCCAAAAACATCTGGAGGGCCAAGGTTGAGGAAGCCTGGCTTGACCCAGAGATTTTCACACTGAGTTATGGAAGTTAATGCAGAGAGACACCTCTCTTAACACTGGTTCCGGGCTTTGAAGGGCATCATAGGTGTGTACTAACACCTCACGTGTGTTTTTTTTGTAAATATGGTGTTGATTGCCTATCAAGCTAGCACTGTACTCACTGTACTTCATACTAGCCAGTTGTTGTCTCAGTGAGAAGCAGAGGGCAATCTAACTGTAGTTTTCTTATGCCTTCATTATGCACTTTTTCCAGGGGCACAGTGTTTCAACGTGCCATCTGTTTTGCTTAAAGCAGAAAAGGAACTTTTATTTTTAACCACCACCTAAAATCGCTGATAGGGTTGAGGGAAGAGCTTGAGGACTCATGTCCACTGGTTTCTTGCCCTAGACAGCCTGCTCCATTTTTACATTTGTAATAAAACCTGCACAACTTCCCTGTCTCAGATTTTTGTTGACCTCACAAAAACAGAATCTATTTTAATAGCTTTCTCGAGCAGGGCAGCGTTAACACATTTTCGGCACTGAATAGTTGCAGAAAACTATTTATTACTGCAAGGTTTGGAAAACTTTTGATAAGAACATTATTAAAACCCTGCCGCTGCCCCCCCAAAAACCCCCCTGCTCTTGCTGTATTTTGCAATTGAACAATATAGAAGTGATTTTCTTACAGTACTGTAGTTTCCTTCCACAGGTTAAAAAAAAAAGTAACATGCACTCAGGCATCGAGGCTCGTTGGGTAGCTATTCTTACTGTGTGTCATATTTTTTGCATTGTGCCTCACCTCTTCTGAATCGGTTTAGATGGTGGTATGTTTCTTTTTTAAAAAAAGCAAGTAAGGGAAAGTTTGTAAAAAGCAGGGGGGATTGCAAAAAGAAAAAAAAAATCAGTGAAACAGAGTAATCTCCAAAAAAAGAAAAGCGGTGTGACGGTATGAAAAATTTCAAAGGGGGGGTAGTCATTGCTAGGTACAGAGGGTGTTTCACAAGTGGGGTGCCATACCACTCAATATTATCAGCTGCTTCTTACAGAATATATTGAGAGAAGCTCGCATTCCTGTCTCAGCCCCTGGATGGAGTGGCATGGGAGAAGGGAGTCGTTTCACTGCCTCCTAAAAAAGTTGTCATTGAGATTACTCCTACAGCTGCTGGCAGTGCACTGCAGGTGGAAGTCACAGTCACAGGAGGCAAGTTGTCTTTCAGGAAGTTCAGGCAGATCGTGTTGGCTTGGCTGCAGCTATTTCTAAAAATCAACTTCCTTTTCCTGTCTACCCTAGGAAAGAGGATGCAGCCTTTTTTAACAGAACTTCCAAAATCACGTGCACCAGGGATGAGGAGCCTGTGGGCCTCTCCATATGGTGCCTGCTTCTCAACTCATAGTGGGGCACAGAGGGCAGCCTAGCTGGTGGTCAGGTTTGGGGAGTTGCAGCCCAGCCTGATCCACTGCTGGCAGGCAGTTCCTGATAAGATTGCCCCTGTCGGAAATCAGCCATCCACAAGGCAGGGAAAGGCTTCAATGGCCGAGTTCAAAGTCCTGCTTGAGTGCTTGGAGCTACATTATGTATTTACAAAGATCAATCAGTGTTTGAAATAGCTGCTGAAATCAGGGGTGCAAGTATTCCACTGACACGTTGTCCTTTTTCCAGGTGGTGTTCTTCAGACGTCAAGTACACTGCAAGCTGGTCAAAAGAAACCGCCTTTGGTAATATTTTAATAAGCCCCAAGATGATAACTGATCATATGCCAGACATCGTCCTCAAAGCTCTAAATAGCTTGGCTCAGGAAAACGCGCCTTGCATTTCTTGTCGAGCGCAAGGAGACTTTTCTACAAACATTGTATAATTGAAGACAAAGAGGACAGCAGCCTATCAAGTGTGTTTGGACAGGCAGGCCTTTCGTACTTAACTCATGCCCCCAAAGTAGGAGCTGAGCGGGGCAGGTCTTCAACATTTTCAGGACGAAGCAGAGGACACACTTCTTTGCATTGCAGAGATTTTTCTGGGGTCCTTTTCAAGGCGAGCTGTTTCACTTTAACAGAAGCAAGTGAGCCCATCATGATTTCTAACCATCAATCAGTGGCAGCTGGTACAGAGAACTGCGAGGCTGATGGGAAGGAAGGCAAGACTAGCAAGAGTGACCATATAGGTTCATACTTTACGGTCTACCTCTGCCTTACATCTGTTTCACATAGCAGAGCTGGCCACTCCGCCAGGTTGATAAAGCACTTGTAAAAAGGAGACATGGGAAAATGAAAATATTAAATTGAAGACAACTCTACCACCGTTCCAGATATACAAAAGTGACACCCCCACCCCCCAAGAGGTGAGCTGAACTTCAGCCTATTATTGGCACTTCCCTTCATGGCAGAAATCTTGTTTTCTTTGCTGTTGAAGGAAGCCTGCATTTTATAACTTTTGTAGGCTTAAATGCTACTTGGGTTCATGTGCAATATTTGTCTACTTTTGCTTACTGTTCAGTGCTGCTGAATGTGCATAGAAGGGTTAAATCCTTGCTTATGGTATTATTCCACGTTGCCCCATTCTAGGAGAATTGTGAAAGATCATTTGGACTAGCTATGTAAAAAAAGTTTCAATTTTAAAATATCTCTACTTGCAATCTTGTACAGTTAAAACGATTGTGCAGCAAATGATGTCACTAAAATGATGTTTTACTAAATGCAAGTCCTTCAGAAACTGCTTGCCAAGCAGAATCAGTGTTTTGTGATGGTATTTGTTCATAGATTTAGGTTCCAACTGAAAATGGAAATAGGAGATAATCTTGTTACATTACGCTATACTTTGGCTTGTTAATTTTCAGTGGAAAATACTAAGAAGCCTATCCCACAGTCTGGATCACAACAGATTGGAGGTATTTCTTAGCTGGGCTTTTCTCTCTGCTCCGCCAAAAGGATTTCTGTAAGGTAGTGGTTAAAAACGTTATCACTTTACCTTGGTTTTTTTACATTTGAGATTGATGACTGAAGTGGAGAACAAGTTGAAATTAGTGAAACCTCGTACAAGTGACATCTGCACAGCAAGCACTCTGGTACTTGTTTGTAGAAGGGCAATCTTTGTCAAAATCAAAAAATGTTATGCATTTTTCCCCACGTGCAGATGCTTCCAAGCGTAGGTAACCCACTCCACGGTGGGTTATGCATTCACATGAAAACAAAAGACTTAAAAAACACACCAAACACTTCACTGAGGAATCCTGTGATCACAAATACTGTCCCAGTTCACAAACCACAAAGGTTAAAATTGTGGGCTTTCTAAACACTCCAACGCAAGCATGACTAAAACCAAACTTTCCATATGGATGGAATGTACCAATAGGTAGCAAAGTCACAGTTCACCCAGAAGCCAACCCAATTGCATGCACACAACAGCCAGACTGGAAAATGGCAGTTGTATCACCCTTCACACTGCAGTGCTTTTGCCCAGTCTGGGTCAACTAATCCATGTGTCAATAGATTCAATCTCTCAGTGGTTTTCAACCAGTGTGCTGTGGCACCCTGGAGTGCCTTGAATGATGGTCAGGGGTGCTGTGGGAAACCTTGACCTCTGTTCTTCTTTCCTTCCCTCCCTTCTCTGATGCCTTCCCAAAGGCTTGCACAGCTGTTTGTTGCAGCTGCCTTGACTACAACCTTGGCAGGCAAATGGTGCCTCTGGGGCTGGCCAGGAGGGGCTGGCTGCCAGGAGCTGATGTGGTCTCGGAGTAAGCAAGCCAGTCTGCCAGCCCTTACTCTGTAGGGAATGGACAGACAAGTCCCAGGCCCCTGTGGGGCAGTGAGAGGAGGCACCTCTTTCTGGGGCGGGGGGGGGGGGCAGCTCAGATCAGGGGCAGCAGCATTGGCTGCCCAGAGGACTCCCAAAGAGAGAGGAGAGGAGAGGAGGCTGAGGGAACACTCCACAAGGGAGGGTTTTGGAAAAGGGTGAGAGGCTGCCAGCTCTGCAGGCAAGGGCTGACATAACTGGGCCCCTGAGCCTCGACAGGGGTGCCGCAGAAAGAAGGTAGTCAAGGGAGCCGTGGACTCAAAAAAGTTGAAAACCTCTGCAATATATGAATTCAGTTCACAAATTCAAGCTCGACCACCAGCGTGATTCAAGAAATTTATTAAGTCATACATGCAAAACATACTGCTAAATTGCATTACCAAAAAGATCAATGTAAAAACTTCACAATCTTGCAAACTCCATTTATTTTATTTTATTTTTTGTTCTAGTAGTTGAAAGGTTGTAGCTCAATGTTGTGTTCTTGCCAGCATCTGGGATGTATGGAACATGGTTAGCACTAGGTTACAGAACCTCACATACCAACTGCCATTACTAGATCAATCAACAGGAGGCGAGGTCAAAAGGGCGATGTCAGCATTAGTAAAATTACAGCATCAGGTTACCTGGCAAATGGTGACATTAAAGGAAGGTGATTAAGGTGGTGTGAAATATTAAAAAAGTACTAGAAGTGGTAAATCTGCTGAACATGATTTTTACATCAAGTCACCTGAAGACTAAAGGAAGCCTTTCAAAAAAGCATGTATACTATTATGACAGGAGAAGGGGGGCGGGGAGAAACAGAAACAAGGCTATGCTTGAATATATCTAAACTACAAAAAAAAATGCAAATATATCAGAAAGGTTTTAAAATACAAGTTATATTGCTCAGGAAGAAGATTCTACAATAAAGCATCTAGCAAGAACATGTGAGGGAATGACCAGTTCAAAATTGTAGCAAAATGAATGCGGCACTGGAAAATGCAAACAAGTGATCCATAAAAAAATACCAACCTTCCCCCTTCAGTTACTGCTTAGTTGCAACAGAGGGTTTCAGTTTACTGGTTTTATTAGACAAGAGAGAAATCCACTGAGTTTAACCAACTTGTGGACAATGTAGTGTAAATTGATCTTTACAGTGTCAAAATACTGTTGGGCAGTTTCCCTTGACCAATCCAGGCACCTTTCGCCAATCAAAGCAATATACTGCTCTCAAGGAAGACAATACATTTCAAGGAAAAGTTTAAATCACAGTCCTTAACAAACAGGAAAACTTTTTTTTTTAATTTAAAAAAGAGGGAATCTGTATGCTGTCAATTATTGCGGTTGTTCAGGCATGAAAGAAAGATACTAAGACCATCAGTTGGATGAGTGTATTAAACAGCAGCATTTTCCTACCAATAGGATATCGGAAGGGAAACCTATAAAGTTTTGCAATTCCTAATAAAACATTAGTATCTTTAAAGACACCTGTTTGTCTTAAAAAAAACAAACAGGTTTCGTGCTCCATCTACAAAGCACAACAATACAACATAGATGAGCAGGTAATTTGGCAACACTCGATTAATCTGAGCAAAGGGACTTGGGAAAATAAGGCTTTATATAGGTTTGTCTTTTTTTTTTAAAAAAAAAGGATATCTTTAGTAGAAGAAAAACAAAATCTAACTTTTTAAACAAAGGGGAAAGAGATAGTGATGATTGGTTCAAAATTTTTGATGTAAGAGAACTAATCTTTTTTAACAGAAGAACTTGGCATTGTTGTGAATGCTCCATTGTTCCAAGCAAAGCACAGAAGGTTCTGAGGAAGGGGCTGGGACCGGGGGCTGCATTAGAGTAGCAGACATTTTCTCTTCCTCTTCTTTACAGGAGGGGGGCAGAGAACTGCTCGAATAGCTTCGTCAAAGACTGTCTTGAGGCCTCGCTGTGTAAGTGCTGAGCATTCTAGGTATTTTACCGCACCTGCAGAAAAAAACGGAACAAATCTGAGCTACTTAGAAATCCAAACACCCCAACCCCAAGGAATAGCAAGTCAAAATGGAGGCTGAAGTCCGTCCCCCACCCACTGAGACCCAAATTCCACAGCCCTTCGGCTGAATTTAGGTTCCACAAGAACTATTAGCGCTCACGCAGATAGATCAAAGCCTTACCAATCTCTTTTGCCATGGCAAGGCCTTGTGGGTAGGTGATGGGAGTCAGCTTCTTCTCCTTCAGCTTTTCAATGGTGTCTTTGTCATCTCGGAGGTCAAGTTTGGTTCCCACTAGGATGATGGGAGTGTTAGGGCAATGGTGTCGCACTTCTGGATACCACTGGAAGGAAAAAAGGGGCGATTAGCTTCTCTGTATATGCAGACAGAGCATGCATATTAAGAATATAAAACAAAAATACAGGTATTCGTTGGGTTGAAATTCACATCATTTGCAAGTATTAGGCATGACCAACTGTATACCAAATGATGAGCCACCAATGCATTAAACAAGCTTAAGAGCCACCCCCTCTACCTCTAAGCAGAAGCCCCCAAAACAGAGCAGAACAGTTCCCAGGACCCAGCCTTTCCCTTTCGTCAGCTAGAACAGCTCTGAGACCCAATCCGCCAGTCAGGAACAGCTAGATTTATTTATAATGCACTTGACGTTTTCTAGGGTGAAGCATAGATCCTGCCTGTAGCTTACAACCAGACAGACATGATACAAAAGGAATGGAGGGGGGACTGGAAAAACAAAGAGGACTGGCACTATTATTTATTTTATTTTTACAAAATAAATTTTACAGCACAAGCGATGTCCACCAGGGGGCTAACAAAATAAGGACACAGTTCAGGGAGAGAAGCCAAATGACAGTTGGTTCCAGCCAAGCTGATGGATGAGAGCTGTGTAGGTGTCTCTCTAATCCTGCTGCATCCAGGTAGAATGGCTACCCAGCAATTCTCTCAAAGGGTTTTCGTTCCAAAAGCCAGAAACACTCTGAGGAAGTAGTTGCATCGTCCAACAATCTTGACTAATAGCTTTATGACATCTTACCCAAAATGAGGTTTGCCATAAACTTTCACATTTGATGTTAACACAAAATGGCAGGGGGGTTGATACCAATTTTGCTAAATAAATAAATAAATAAATAAAACTACCAACATGATTTTTGCAGATGAAAAAGTGACTATTGCATTCCAGTTGCCTTTCAAATGACAGCAGCCCAAAGTATCAAAATTTGGCATTCTGACACTTTGGGCATTCATATTTTATTTTATTTTAAAAAAAAATAGTTCTCAAATGCTGCAGAACTAATAACAAACAAAATCCAACCACTTATGTTTAAAATAGCAGTTATGTATATTCAACCTGAAATATTCCTTTTAGAAACGAACACTCTTGCAGTTTTAATTTGAAGACTTTATTAAAAACAAACAAAACAGAAACAAACAAACCAAACCACTAATTTATTTTATTGCTGTAAAATAATGAAGGTTAAAAATTTGTGGGAAATCTCCCAAGGGAAGAAAAGACAAATGTTTTTCACTCACCTTTGCACGGACATTTTCAAAGGATGCAGGACTCACAAGTGAAAAGCAAATTAAGAACACATCCTGAAAAACAATATTTTAAGAATCTTAGTCTCTGGTGGTTACTTTCCAGATATAACGAGTTTGCCGTATAATCAGACTTCTAGTTCCACTCGTGGACATTTCCAGTTGCTAATGGACAGCAAGCTGAACCAGCAGCACAGGAGCCCCAGAACCTCTTTTTTCTTTCCAGTTAAAGCTGCAATGCAATATTAAAACACGAGAAAATCCTGGAAGAACTTAGCAAACTGAATCCTAACCCTGTATCTCAGTTACCTTCTAACCTATTAATTTATGCACTCACATCATTTGGCTCACTACTTTAGGAATCTCCTGGGAAAATTGTTGCTGTTTCCTCTAATCCCAATAAGGTTGCTAATCTGGCCACAAACTGGAAATACAATATGCCTCTTTTATGCTGCTTAGGAGCATAATATTTAAATATGCTTTCCTAGACGTACACCTCAGAGTTCATGAGGACTTACATCCTAGCAGCTATATTTGAGGCTGCATCTTCAATTTTACTATTACTAACCCAGTTCTTCTCTTACAGACCAGGGGAAGTTGGGGGCTGGTGACTTACCTAGAACAGAGGCACTGCCTATTTCAAGAAACGGACAAGAACAGCCATTTGTGTAATTGACCAACCCTGCCTTATTGTTCCAAGTGCTCTGAAATTCCTGGCACTCAAATTCAGGATAACATAACATCTTAGGATGCAGCAGTTAGTATACCTCGCCCTTAAGTAGGTCTCTGCTGATATAAGACTGCTAGTCTTAGAAGCTAATGGGGACAGTTTTACACAGCTAAAGTGGTGGTCAGCTGTCATTCATTCCCAACAAGTCTCGTGCACCCAAGTTCCATTTGCGAGCTCCTGCTTAACTCTTCACATTGGGAAAGTCATATTTTCTGCTCTAGCCTCCTTCACACACCCTTCCAGTTTACAGGTAACAACTTGGCTACCAAAGAATCAGAAGCCCTTTGGAGTGTTAGTTGATTGGGTTGCAGCTCCAGGCTGTTAGGTCAGCACCTTGACACCTCCAGAGTTTAGCGCTTGCAACAATAATTATCCATGCAGCAGGACACCTGGTGAAGAGCAGTGCTGTAAACTCATGTGCTCCCATAGCCCCTCTGCAGCTCCTCCAGCTTGCCAGATACCGAAGTGCCTCTTGTCCTTTTCGCCTTCCACCAATCCCAGACACTCCGTGGTTTTCCCATTCAGGAAAAGGACTAGCTGAAGCCTTTTGAAGTAAATGTCCTTGGTACAATAAGAGTCTGGTCTGATGCGACAGCTGTGGTTTGTTAAATAACACGTTTACTTTTAAGAGAAGCAGAAATTCAAAGGATGTTTGGGACCGTAAGGTAAATAGGGACACCAAAAAATGGGGAGCCAGTATTATGGCAGCAGGAGAAGCAGCAAAAGAAGATGAAAGAGCTTGGAGCATAATGGTTGAAAGTTTTACATACGCAGAACGGTTGACGTTTCACCCTGGGAGTTAATTCCTTACCATTCGTTCCTTCAACCTAGTAATAGCATGAAACAACTTAAGATTAGGAGAGACTTAAAAGAAAAATAAGCCCTTTGCTCATCATTTTTCACTCCTATAATGTCAACATAATACAGTCCTCATGGGGATGTACTATGTCAGAATTGGATGTGAGCGAACCGTGAATGAAATCTTCCTCTATATAAAAATCAATAATCTCTCCTTTACCTGAAGGAAGCTGGTTTTTCTGAAGTGTTCTAAGCTGAGTTCTTTTCTATATATGAAGAGGCTGAGTTTTTTAAAAAAATGTTTTTATTGATTTTCAGGGGAGTTAATTTTTTGATGCAGAGATACATGTTTTCTGAGCTGGGGCACTGCCAGGAATGATCGCCTTTGCAGGTCAACTGAACATGTAACTCCAAGCGCAACAACATTAAGCATGCTTTACTTGGAAGTTAAGTTCTACTGAAATCATGGGTCCCCAATAAGGATATTGAGAATTTATTATAAAATGGTGCATTTGCAGAACTTTCTAAGAAATCTGTCTTAATTGCAATAGGAAAGCTCTGCCAATTGCTAGAGGCACACAATGTTATAGGCGTCATCACATTTGGCCCAAAGCATTGCAGTGCCCTTCCTTGAACTTCCAAGTGTGTATTTGCATGAGCATGTCTGGAAAGTAGCTAAATATTTTGGTTTCAAAGCATGGAAAGGTGATTTAGGTTTGCAATATCCAAGTCTTTTGGCAACTTTATCCTTGGAAAGATTATTTGTTCTCTAGGTGCTACAGCACTTCATTCATCTTTAATTTGCATCTGGCCTATTAACAGAGGAGGACAAGCCAGCAAATCCAAGTAGGACAGACACTTGGAAAATACAGTCACTGATCTCTTTTCATCAAGGTTTAACACAGCAACTCAGCTGCACGTTTGAGGTGTGCTTCTTCCTCATGATTTTGTGGTTGCCCCAGATGAGTCACTCTGCACTCTGGAGTCTCTCTTGGAACAAAGAACCCCTTTTTGTTTTCCTTCTGGCTTTTCCGGCAGCTCTCTTGGAAGCAGCAATATAGCCAATGAGAATGTATTGCCAGCCCCTTAGTCTCAAGCCCTGAAAAGAAAAGGCCCTATTTTGCTGTTTCACAGAGCACATGAGCAGATACAAGGAAGAAAATCTGATTTTTTCAGAAATGTAAAGTAGTTCATGAACCAAGCTGGGAAAGGTCACAGTACTAAGAGCTTGGCATTTTTTTTTTACTTTCTTGGATGGCAAGAGTTAATTTTTTGCATTAATTGAAAGCACTAGGGAAAAGCTCTGCTCCCTTTCTCTGAAGTCCGTGAACCATTATCTATTCATTTTAAAAGCTGTTATTATGACTTGAGAAGTCTCTGTTTGAATTTCTGCTGAACCATAAGGAGCAGAGGCTGCTCTTGCTCAACTTGTGTTCCACAATCAGTGACAATTCCACAGCATGAATAAAATGAAGAAAAGAGACTTTCACTCTCAGTCTATGCACAGGGCAAAACTGTAAACTAAAAAACAATCGGGAAGAAATTCAGTGAACCACTGTAGGTTTGGCCATTACTGAAGATTTAGGGGAAATTATTTGCTTCCTGTCTAACAGAGAGCAATATGTTCCATTCAGAGCTGCAAGATTTGCTGGAGCTGCAGAGAACACAAGTTCAAAATTTAATGCAGCAAATGTGGTTACTCATCAAAATGTCCCTATGTATTGGGATGTGTTTACAAACAGATTACTTATATACACCCTGTTCTGTTGCTTGTTTGCTTTTATTATGGGTGTGGTTTTATTTAATTTTTGATTTTATCTATGTGCAATAAAGTTTTGTTATAACCCAATTCATTAAACAATAAATTCTTCACTTGAAATCAAACCAATCTTAACCTATCATATAAGAGAAAAACAAATGCTATCTAAGAACAAGGAATTAACCTTTGTAATTAGTATCTTTGGGGAAGTGGATTTTGGAAGAGCTGAGATACAGTAGTCGCTCATCATTCATTCTGTACTCCCTGCCCCCAACAGCAGGAACGGACAAATGGCAGCACAAGAGCAATTCAGAAGGCAACACGCAAGGAGGCTGCCAATATATTTCATGCCCAGTGCTGTCAATACATTTTGCCCCTACTACTGCCATCCAGATCTACTCATTTCAGAGCTATAGCCTTGCTCACATTTTCATTTAAATGAGCCCCTGTGTCACAATTCATCTCTTGCCCCCCAGTGAAAAGCTGAACATCAGTGCTTAGCGATGATAGTGTCAGACTGTGCCTGAACAGCAAGAATGAACAAAGGCTGCTTTTTAGCCGGGTTGCTGACCTCCCATCAAGGGCCTTGCTGATGAAACTATTTTGTACCCTAGATTATTTAACAGTGGCGTTGTTCTGGAATATTCTAAGCACAGCACAGATTCACTGTAACTATTTCGACAGTGCCGTTCAGCCTTGAGATCCAACGGACGCTGTGCTAAATCAGAAACTTGAACAACGAGCTCAGCCAAAGGAAGGAATGGATTGTTCTGGGGGGAAACTACTAATGCAGTCTCAAATTCCATTCTAAAAAAAATGGGAGCAGCAGAGCAACAACTCCACAAGACGAGCAAGCTAAACATTTTAGAGCATGTTAAAAATATAACATTAGCAACAGTGGTTAAATAGCAGTAAGGAGGCAGAAAGCTTTTGCATTAAGGAGTTTGCAATTACAGAACCTGCTTATTAAGGATTAGAGATTTTGACACCCACCGGAAGCTCACCTTCACAAGCCCCATAGAAACAAATGAGTCATCATGCAGAAGTAAAAGCTTACGCACAAGAATTACATCAGGATGGCTTCAGACATGGTAATGCTGCACAGCCAAGTAAAGATGAAGTTACTTTCATGTTTGGCTGGCAGCACGAGATCATGTCTGAAAAGAACCTGTGAAAGAAATTTGTAAAGGCATGTTGTTGTTCAGACATGATGATCCGGTACCACCTGCTCAACTGGCTGTGCAAGACATTACACCTGAAAATGCTCTTGACGTGAACTTACACAAGAGGCGTTTCCAGGAGCTCAGTCAGATTTCTTCAGCTGCCAGTGTCTAACACAGCTGGCTTGGGATTGCAGCGGTAAATTAGAACTGGTTGGAAAGTTACCAAGAGACAGACACCAATTAATGGGAAGAGTTTGCTCAACAATTGTTCTTTTGAACTCTGCTTCTCACATAGCTGCTACTAGCCCCTGCTTAGACTAGCAAGGATTAATGCAGGCTTCACCATAGTCCCTGTGCAGTTTGTTAAGTGTCTTGGCATGTTGGTTCAGCACATTTTACACTCAAAGTGAAAGCATCCTTAATCTTCTGCAAGCCTGCAATTAGACACACACACACACACACACACACACAGACGTCAAATCATCCACTATAAAAGCTTACTGTCTGTGGGTAAGATAACGGGCGTAGTCTGTCATAGTCCTCTTGTCCAGCTGTATCCCACAAGCCCAGATTGACTGGCTTTCCATCAACCATCACATTGGCAGAATAATTGTCGAAGCTACGGAGTGAGGGGGGAAAGTTAGTGTATTTTCTTTAAACCCTATCCCTCTGTGCATCACACTGCTGTCACTTTAGAGCAGGATTATCACCTAAAGGGATTTGCATGGCACCTTCTCCACTTAGTTTTAGGTGCCACGTATGTGTATTTCACATATATAAAACACTTTAAAATGTTTTGTCACATGAGGCTTAATCCACTAGGAACGACTCCTGAGCAAGTCTCATTACAGCAAATGGGATTTATGTAAGTCCATGACTTTGCTCTTCTACAGTCCTTATTTGCTTCAGTCAATGTAGCTTCCCCCAAATCCTATACCTTGCATGCTTTTTAATATTGCATGAAAATAACTTTTTTTCAGATATGCTAGCTTTTCACAGGCAGGCAAGCATAACACTACTCTCTTGTTTGTAGACAGTAGGACTGAAATACTATTTAAAGGGTTGTTTCTCTGGTTACAAAGGGCCAGACACATTTCCCATCACCTATGCATATCCTCAGCCTCTGGCAAATACACCCTTTCAGACATATAATATGACTGAGGTAAACACACCTTTTCTTCTGACATATACATGACTTTTAGACATGTAACATGCACAGCTAGGAGCCAACTAATTCAAAGCACATGGGTGTCACAGACTGCTGCTTACAAGGTTTGAACAATTAGCTGTGTGATTATGGCTGTGAACCAGTGGTCAGAGATGCAAGTCCAACTCATGATCAGCTACCAAGCTCATTGGGTGTCCTTGGATACAATTTCCTTCAGCTCAACCTACCTCACTTCACTATTGTAAAAAGAGGCAAGTCAAGTGCTCTACAGCCCTTTGGACATGAAAAAGTGCTAAAGATACAAAAGGAAATACTTACACAGTGGGTATATATTCTCCAGGAAATGCATTGGTTGTATAACTGATGAGTAGGCATGTTTTACCTACAGCACTGTTAAGAGAGAAAGAAAAAGTCCTGATAAGAGCCCATTCACATGATAATCTTTATTTTCATAATATATAGGGGAAATGTGAAGAGAAGTGCATTGTTTCATCTCTGGTTTAGACACTGAGATCCAGCTCCGAGGGCCTTCTGGTGGTTCCCTCAGAATGCAAAGTGAAGCTACAGGGAATTAGCTCCGAGGGCCTTCTCAGTATGGTGCCTGCCCTGTGGAACACCCTCCCATCAGATGTCAAGGAAATAAATATCTGACTTTTAGAAGACATCTGAAGGCAGCCCTGTTCAGGGAAGTTTTTAATGTTTGATGTTTTATTTTGCTTTTATATTTGTTGGAATCCACCCACAGTGGCTGGGGTAACCCAGTCAGATGGGTGGGGTACAAATAATAAAATCATCATCATCATCTCAACCTATCAAGTTTCTCCAGAACCGTTTTTGTGAAGTTGGTGTTGAGATCCCAATTTCACTAGTTCTTGATTAGAGAAGGAATCTGTACCACCACCATATGAAATTATCTTCCAGGTTTGTTTGTCTCATTCAATCTTTGCTCTGTTAATCTTCCCATTACAATTTATTCCCCTATTAAAATTTTCCATTATTGACATGTTCCTCCATCTTCAGCAGGGGTCGGCAAGGTTTACCTCACCTGGGCCGGTTCACCGGTGCAGATTAATCTGTGGGCTGGATTGCGTGTGCGCGTCGGCGATTTCCGGCACTGCGGAAGAAAGTCCCCGTGCTGCGCCAGTTTAGCACAGCGCACGGGGACTCACTGAGCGGGCGGCTCGGGGGCCAGTTGAATCGACTCTCGTGGGTCGCTTGTGGCCCATGGGCCTTAGGTTGCCTACCCCTGATCTTCAGCTTTCCAATTTCTTGCTATAACCTGTGCAGCTGCAGCTGCAGCTTAATGGCATTGTAAACATCTCTCTATATGGTATATCTGAATTTTGGTCATCAAATAATAGTTAACAAGCCTCATGTTGGGGAAGCAGATGTGTGTGCTCCATCCATGTACTTTCCCAAACATTATCACTTCTTCATACTTCACATGGCCAGGTAATCTTCAGGTAACATCTAGACCAGGAAACTATGGTTACCAGGTGTGGAAAAAGCCAAGATTTTAAACCACAATTTAAAGTTAGTTTAGGATTGTTGCTTGTTCTAAGCCTCTACGTTCTTGGTTTAAATGTAATTTGTCTTAAATGGGGTTAATTTTGAGTCTTATTAAACCAATACAGTTGTACCTTGGTTTTCAAACAGCTTAGTTCTCTAACATTTTGGCTCCCGTTTTGGCAATGGTGCTATTTAATGGTGAATTTAAATTGTTAAACTGTCTTCTGAAATCCACTGGCTATTGCTCCTTCCTCCAATTTCTTCTAGCTTTGTTTGTTTCTTTAAAAACGTCAGATTTTTAAGAAAGACGGAACATACACATCCTGCTAGATCAGACTAAAGGTCCTTCTAGTTCAGCAGCGTTCCCCTCAACAAGAGGGCTCTAGAAAGCCCACAGGCAGAACATGAAAGCATTAACTCTATGCACTATTATCTCTCCCCCACCTGCAACTGGTATTCAGTGACATGCTAGCCCAGTTTGAACAACTGTTAAACTTTCAGAAGACAGTTTAACCATTTAAATTCAATACTAGAAGAACTTTTCAACTTGCAATCCCAGCTCCAGGTCACAGTCTCTTCAGCTTTCTTAACTTGAGTGGTGAGGTAATTGCTTTGCAATTACTAGTGTTTGCAAAGTGCTCTGAAGATGAAAGTCACTGTGTAAGCACAAAGCATAATAGACATTTGTGGAGAAATCAGGCATTGCCAGGTGTGGTTATGTATCTTAGCACTCCTTGAACAGCCTGTTGCACACATTTCAAAGCTTGGAATATAGCAACCTATCCAGACAATAGTTCACCTCAGAGCTGTATCCAAGAAAGATCCCTTGCCACAGGGCAAAGTATATCAATGGCGGGATCTCACCATTTCATTTATGTGAATGCAGAATCTCGGGTATCATCCTCTGAGATCAGAGAGATGCCACATTAAAGTAGTCTCTGGTTTATTTATTAATTTCTCCCCACAACAGCAAAGAATCAGGAAGGGGCAGCCGGGAAAGAGCACGCATGCAACACTAAGAGTGAAGTAGTACCTGAACTGGTCCAGTGCCTTGAGACCAATGCCAGTAAGGTAGCATATATTCACACACAAATGTGCACAAATTTGATTTTAGCTAAAACAGTACCACACAGCACAGATATATTTCAGGGTTAGGAAGTGTGGCAGAAAAGCCTGAATTTTATTATCAAACACAGGAATCTGAATGCATAATAGTTGATCTGCATGTCATATTAAACCAGTTTATTTTAAACCATGGCTTAATTTGAAGAAGCAGCACAAAACCACTCAAACACATTTTGGAAAGAAGTGGTGAAAGATTTCAAGTCTAGCACAGAAGGATCAAGAGCTGCCTCTGCCGTGGCTCTATAAGCACATCAGGCAATTCCACTAAAACTAATAAGGAGATGCCAACAAGAACAAACAGGTCCCACCGGCCTCAGCTCTACAGTTCTTCAATTCTAGGCTTCCTGCCTTCTCAGTTTGCTGGCTCTTTGCCCTATGAATCAGTTCTGCACAGATATTCCACTCCAAAATGAAGGTTTCATCTCCTTAGACTTCGTAATGATTCACTCAATTCAAGTACTGTACATGTAAAGCTTTGAATGGTCTCAGTAAACCCAACTCCTCTCTATGGAAAGATGTATGTGCTAGATGTGCAACTTTTTAAAGCATAGAACTAAGTCAGAAAGTTGTAAGTTAGGTGAGCATTGTTTCAGCTATGCTCTGCCTGACCTACTTGCACTAACCAAATTAATAATTTGATGGCATGAGTAGAAAGTTTTAAATAAAGATAGAATTTCCTTCCTACTCTGCAATAACTTTCTAGTTTTGTTTTAAAAAATATTCCCCAGATTTAAAAACAAAACAGAACTATTACATGCACTTTTTTATTACCATAATAGGGTTTATTCAAATACCCTTAAATGCTCTGTGTTGTGTGTCACAAGTTAGACCTAAAACAAAATATTTCACTATAAAATATTAGCCTCTTGATAGTAATATTATTATAACAAGACATTTATGCATGGGTTACATACATTAAGTCATTTTTTCCCCAATGAGCCAATGGATGGTATGAAAATGGTTTGTGACTATGGCACAGTATGGAAAATTGGTGGGAATATACAGCTTCCTGAAAATTTCACTTTCATATTTAACTTGTAAGCTCTTTTTGTTAGTAAATAGAGCCACAGAACTCAAAAAAGCAGAAATGGAACTTCTGGTGTCAGTAATCAGGATTTCTGCATACTCTCCTAACTACTCCTATCCAAATCCACACATCTTTCCACACCATCCCAATTCTCACCAAGAAACTCTTACATGCCTATACCTACATTCAAAATGAATAACCTACTTAAAAGGAATAGACCAAACAGGAAGGGAGGAGTAGCAGCATTATAGGTAAAGGAAATGTACACTTGGGAAGAGATTCATGACTTGGAACATGGAAGGCAAATTGAGAGTATATGGGTAAAAATCATAGGAGATGGTAATAACAGTGGCCTTACTGTGTGTGTCTACTATAGGCCTTCAAGCCAGACTGAAGACTTTTCTATAGCAGATTACCAAACATTCAAAAATGAAAGATATAGTAGTCATGGGAGACTTCAACTACCCTGACATCTGTTGGGATTAAAACTCGGCCAAGAATGTTAAGTCCACCAAATTTCTCCATTTCCTCAATGACTGTTTCATTTCCCAGAAGGTGGAAGAAGCAACAAGGGGGTCATCTGTCTTGGACCTATTTCTCACCAACATAGAGGAACTGATTGATAAAGTGGAAGTACTAGGAACACTGGATGAAGTGATTATGTCCTCTTGGATTTCATGATACAGAGGAAAGGGAAAGCAGAGTATAGTTGGACATGCATTCTGGAATTTAAGAAGGCCAATTTCAAAAAGCTTAAGAAACTACTGGTTGATATCTCATGGTCAGAAATACTCAAAGAGGAGTCCAAGATGTGAGTTTCTTAAAGATGCAATACTGAATACAGAAATGCAGACAATTCCAACAAGAAAGAAAAGCGGGAGGCATCTAAAAAAACTGATGTGGCTACATAAGGAGCATACAGATGAGCTGAGATTTCAGAAGGGCATGCATAAGAAATGAAAGGGGAAATATCATTAAGGAGGAGTATACATGAATAACCAACAGTTGGGGGAGGTCAGGTGGCCAAAGTTCAGAATGTGCTCAGGCTTGCAAGAGAGGTTAAAAATAATACTAAAGGTTTCTTTGTCTATGTTCAAAGGAAGAGGCAGAACAAGCAAGTAGGAGATCCTATGCATGGAGAAGACAAAGAAATGCTGTTGGGTGGTAGTGGAATTGTAGGTATGAGCATAACGACCATAACACTATGCCTCCAACTCCCACCTCACCACACTGCTCCTGGACGATACGCATTGTTGATGGTACCAAAAGTCAACATGAGATCAAGGTGAATCAACAGAGTCCTATTCCCCCAATACAGGTTATCAATTAGGGCAATCAAGGCTGTTTCAGCGCCAAAATCCAACCTAGAATGGGCCTAGATAATCCACATTCTCCAAGGATTACTGAAATGTATGAGCTTTGAAGCCTCAAAGTATATGTTAAGCATAGACAATAAGTTAAGGAGTTTAACAATAAAGAATAGTGTTTTGAAAACTGGAGTATGGTACCAATATTTTTATTGTAAACACCAAATTAAACATTTATCAACAATTTCTGCTAAAAATGTGATATTAACAATGTGTCACTTATGTGAATTGCATATTACTTCATGCTTATCAAAATAATAAATAAAAAGTGTTGCTGACAACGCCCCCCCCCCAATAGCAACTAGACATTCTGTTTTGGCGCCCACAACCCAGGTCCCAGAAGCCATTTGGCTCCCAGCTTTTCTATCTCAGTTTCAAATACGGGTTCCAAGTAATCTCCTCGGACAGGTAAAATGACTGGCTTACTATCAAGCTCAACTAATTACTGAGCTATCATCAATCTTTAGACTTTCAGCCCTCATACATATACTATGAATTATATTTCATCCGTTATTTTACAAGAATCTTCAGATTTATTTGTAATCTGAAGACTGAACTACACATCATATTACATGGAGATAGCAATGGTGATACGCAGAGCTGTTATCTGTACTTCTCAGAGAAGCTACACAGATTTGTTGTAATGCTCAGTTATAGACAACACAGGATTTTTGTTTCTATTTGGAAAAAAAAATCTAACGGGATAAGACTAGTCTTGTTTTCCAGCTGGCCTCCAATGCTCCTCTGAGCTGACGTCTAGAAGAGGGGGGAAAGAGACACACAAATGATGGAAACTGCCTTGTCCCAATAATTGAAAAACACAAGAGAGTTGAAACACACATACATTTTAGCATAATCTTTATAACAGAAGCCATGTGTCACATCAGTTTGGAGAACAAAAAAGGGTTCCTCTGTGTGTGACACCTTTATGGAGCACTATCAATGCATAAACATATTTTCATACCTGTTGTGTGATGGAATAAGCAAACATTACCACTGTGTAATCCAATACTAGTAGGATCACCTAAATATATACACTTGTACCCAAGTTTCTGTAATCTACAATAACCAAGAGAAGCCTTATGTTTGACTAGGACTGTAGAAACTGGAGTTAAATCCCTATTCATCCAAGAAGCTCTCTCTCTCTATATATATTCTACTCACAAGGCTGTTAGGGGTTGACTATAGAAGTAATAAATAAACACACAAACTGAAGTAGGCATAACTTCAATTGCAGAGAAGCTGAATGGTGGGAGACTCAGGACTCACAAAATAAAGTACTTCTTTACACAGCACATTGTTAAAACTATGAAATTCACTACCACAAGTTGTAGAAAGTTAAAACCATCTGGTAATTTGAAACCATCTTATGTTGGTGGCAAAGCAGAAAAGAGGAGAATGATTATCAATGGCTACTAGTCACAATGGCTATCTTCTATGTTTATGATCAGAAGCGGCATATTATCTGTATGCCAAGTTGCTGAGGAACAGCAGCAGCAGAGAGGGTTTCTGTCTGCATGTCCTGTTTATGGGCTTTCCAAAAGGCATCTGGTTCATCACCATAGGAAACAGAATACTGGCCTAGATAAGCCTTTGGGCTGATCCAGCAGGGCTCTTCTGTTCTTAGAGGGAAGAATAGGCTTATCTGTTTGTTTGTTTGTTTGTTTGTTTATTATTATTATTGGTAGTAGTAGTAGTAAATTTATATACTGCCCTGAGTCAGGGCAGTTCACAATATAAAATTACAATATAAAAACACAAAATACACCATCAAAATATAAACAGAAACAACCGAATAACCCTTTTTCTACAAGTTAATTTGCATCAAGTTAAACTCAGTGAAAAATTCAAAAAATGTGTTGATCACTTACCCCTCCATATGTATGTATGAAGGTTATGGGGAAAGTGAAGACTTCAGAGACAGAAAGTTACTAGCTTAAGTCATTGTTATATAAATGCTTATTTGTTTATTTTACACCGAATTCATCCCAAGTGCTCCAAGCAAGCAACATGTCTTACTTCTGAGCAAACATTAGGAACAAGCCAATTCATTCAATGAGATTTACTACCTAGAAAATATACATGGTAGCACAGCCTTGAACAACTTCTGAATGATTTTAGGAAGTGGGTTTCCTTTGTTAACCTCAAAACAAAGCAGAGGTTTGACACCAGTACTACAACAGGCAAAAAGCAATTCATGCAAAGCCCACAAGACTAGTCACTGAATTTTGGAAGCATAATCGTATCTAATGATTGCAATAAATCTACACCTCACTGGAATCTACACAGATAACATTATTGCCTCAGTTCAAAACTTGCAAAGCCAGATGTTAAAGTCTCATTGTACATAAGCATCTCTTCAGAGATTACCTTCCTCTACTACAAAAGCAAATGCTGACCCCTTAAGTCTTGGAGCACAGTTGCTGCCAACACACCTCCCATGGAAGGAAACCCCTCCCTTTGTATAGGTACCTCTAGAACTGCTGGATGCATTGTAGTCATTTCCCCTCTATGCCCAGCCCTCTCCTTACTGCTGGAGTTAGTGAATAAAGTTCTGTGGCACTTCTGTCGAGAAGCTGCTCAACAGCAAATGGCTAGTGGCTGCTCTTAGTAGCAGTCACCCCAACATCAGGAAGCACCCTATGTTTCATCCTAGTAGAAGCAGCATTATCAGAGGGTGGGTGCTGAAATTCCTCAGGACTAACCACATACTACATGTTGAAAGAATACCTAACATTAGGAGCAGCTAGTAAAGGGGAGAAAGGAGAAGGGGAAAGCAACAGTCCAGGTTTGGCAGACTTGGGAGGCGATCCTATGCACTTCCTTGGGAGTAGCACAAGACTTCTGCATGTTACGCACGCTCATTTATGAAACTACGTAAGTTCGAAGGGGGTTACCCTGAAGTAAAGATAGCCTTGCTGGACAAAATCACCGCAGGCGAAAAGTCCTACCCAGCTTGCATGGACAAACCGTGGCAACTAGGGCTTTGACCCTCACAGTTCTTACAAGGAAGTAAGGTCCTACTGAGCACTGTGGCAACATCTGGATTCTAGTTGTGTTTACTCAGAACTATATTGAAGAATTAAGAGACTGGCAGGGGGTGGGGAGGAGAGCCAAGCTCCACATGCTCGGGTCCAGGGAAGAGAGCGCCCCATCCCCACCTCACATAGCCAAAAGGCACAAAAAGACATGTGGAGATTAGGGTTTGGCACAAGACGCCCATTCTTCCTGGAGTGTGTATGTGTATGTATTGAAGGTTGGGGAACAGAAATGACTGCTATGTTGGGGTGAGGGGCTGTGCTTATGCATGTATTTGGAGGCGCACAGGAAAAAAACCCAATTTCCGTGGCATATTAAAAGTATATTCCCTTCTCATAATCCCAGAGATCCAGCATTGGACTCCGCTGCAAACCTTCCCCCTCCTGCGCCTCCTACACTCGGCAGGAAAAAGTCGCCCCCTCAGCCTGCGCTATCCAGGCCCGCCTGAGTCAGAATTTCCCCTTCTTCCTCCCGTTGCCGAGGCGGGGGGCTGGAGGCGAGGGTCCTGGCAACCCAAATATGCGAGAGGCCCGGACGGGAGAGGAGAAGGCTCTTATCCCGGGGGCAGGGTCCGCGGCGACTTACCCGTCTCCCACCACCACACACTTAATGGCCTGCATCGGGGCGGCTGCTGCTGCTGCTTCGTCGTCGTCGCCGCCGGTTCCTGTTGCTCGCCGAGGAGCCCGCGAGGCGTCGTGGCGGGGAGGAGACCGAGGAGGAAATCCCCAAAGGGCCTCGGCTCTTTCCCGTGGGAGGAGAGGAAGTTGACTGAGGGAAAACGGTCACGGCGCCGCCAGAGCAACGGCCACCACCCAAAGCGCGGGGCGGGCGAGCGGAGCCTGTGAGGAAACAGGAAGCGGCCGCTCCGCTCACATCCGGCCTCGCGGCCTCGCCCTCTTCCCTCCTCATCGGCGGGACCGCCTTCGGGAATGTCTCGCTGGGCCTGGCCTCACTCAAGCCCCGACGGAAGTTGGACGGAGAGAGGAGGTGGGCGGCGGGGTAGGGAATAGCGTCACGTTTCGGGCGCGCTCGGAACGACTTCGGGGAAATTCGGGTCAGTAGGACGGGGTCGGCCGTCGTGTTCTTCTTTAAAAGACACTATTCGGAGAGCGCCCCTCCCGGCAGCATTCGGAAACGCCGGGTTTTGCCGGTCTTTCGGGAATGTTCGGAAGGACTCGGGGGCGAAGGCGTTGAGGGGGCGACGGCGTTCGGCCAGCGTTCGGCTCTTCGTGTGCGTCCTCGCGCCTCGCCCTCGGGACAGTATTTTCCCCTCCCTGCCCCGCTCGCCTCGTGTTCGGACATTTCCGCTGCCGGCCGATTCGGACATTGGCGTCGGTTGAGGAGGGGTCGCCATCTTTGTGCTACTAACCTACTCAGAAGGCGCGAGGGGAGCTGTGGGTCAGGGACGGGGACGGTTTCCTATCTATCTCCGTCGTAGCCATTTTTCTTTATATATATATATATAAAATATTATATATATATATATATATATATATATATATATAATACATACATATATATATATATATATATATATATATGCATGCTTAAGTGTATGTATTTTCTACTCATTATATATTTAATATATAAATTTCCTTAAGCAAAGCGCCCCATCTAAATCTCTTACCATTTCGGAAAAAGTGGTTTTAGCTGTAGTGAAAATGACATGCAGTTTTCATAAAAGTACACTAAAATGATTAAAAACGACTCGCCATAACAATATTGTCTTCACCACTACTTATTTTTATGTTTATGTCCCACCAAGTAGCTCAAGGTGTGCATAGCTCTCCCCGCATCCTAGCAGGTCAAAATTCAACAGGCGCAGTGCAGGGGACAGGGAGAGGCAGTGATGAGTCTTACAGTTCAGTTATGCTACTTGAGGGCTGCAGCTTTCCCCAACCTGATGGCCTCTAGTTGCTTCAGACTGCAGCTCAACATCTGGAGGGCACTAAATTGCAGAGTATGGCAGAAACCCCTGTAAGCCTGTAGGAAAAGCCAGCAGGGATTTTACTGTAATTTCTCTTATTCTGGATGCTAAACTGTTCTGAGGACCTTGCAAGCTGAAAGGTAGGATGATAGGGACCCCTGACCATTAGGTCCAGTCGTGACCAACTCGGGGGTTGCGGCGCTCATCTCACTTTAAAGGCTGAGGGAGCCGGCGTTAGGCCAGCATGACTAAGCCGCTTCTGGCGAACCAGAGCAGTGCATGGAAACGCCATTTACCTTCCCGCCGGAGTGATACCTATTTATCTACTTGCACTTTGACATGCTTTCGAACTGCTAGGTTGGCAGGAGCAGGGACCAAGCAATGGGCGCTCACCCCGTCACGGGGATTCGAACCGCCAACCTTCTGATCGGCAAGTCCTAGGCTCTGTAGTTTAACCCACAGTGCCATCCGCATACCTGTGCTTTAAAAAATAATAATAAATGCTGTAAGCAACAGACTGGACAAATGGCATCAGAGCTGAGGAAGAGAGGCATTCTGTACTCCTCCTGTACATTAAAAATATTCTAGCATATAAGGTTGTGCATTAATGTCAATGCAAATTTGTTAATAAAAAATGCAAAGTTATTAATCTAGTCCAAGCACAGGCAAACTCGGCCCTCCAGATGTTTTGGGACTACAGTTCCCATCATCCCTGACCACTGGTCCTGTTAGCTAGGAATGATGGGAGTTGTCATCCCAAAACATCTGGAGGCCTGAGTTTGCCTATGCCTGCTCTAGTCACCCCACAGCTAAATTGGCCTTAAAGCTGGTGTAAATACCTTGTCCTGATGTATCGATGTGCACCAGCTGAGGGAAAGCCCTACTGGAAGAAGTTGGCAGAAGTTACACTAGTGTAAAGGGCCAAAAAAGTCTGTAAAGGGGATGGGAGTGTTGGGCAAATGAATAAACACTTGTGCTGCGTCAGAACTTATTTCATCCACTGGTCCCATCCCTGAAGCGCTTTCACCCCTTACATCAACAAAAATACAATTTCGATTAAAATTCACCCCACAGTAGTCAATGGAAGGGTATAAACTGAAAGTTTACACTGCCTTCCCAGCAACCTACCACCAGGAACAGGTGTGATGCAGCTTAATTTGCACAGGAAATATGTCAGTGTATCTGCCTTCTGTCATATCTGTCTGGTTAAGATTGCTCTCCTGGCTGCAATCCCTTATCTGGAAGCTAGTTCCATTGAACTCAGTGGAATTTACTTCTGAGTAGATGTGCATGGGGCTGTATTCCAGCTGTGATCTGCAAGATTTGCGTTTCCAGTAATAACTATTTTTGTTATTTCTTTCCCAGATCAACACTCCGAAACCATTACTATACACCTGTGCATTTTTATGTCATTCTGTTGTGAAGACTCACTAATGATGAGTACATCTAAGAACATAGGAAGCTACTTCATACTTATCCATCAGTTCATCTAGCTCAGTATAAGAGCAGCTCTCTTGGTTTTGAGGCAGGGGCTTCTCCCTGAGTCCCAAGAAATGCCAGGGATTGAATCCGGGGTTTTCTGCATGCAAAGCAAATGCTTCACCATTCACCCATAGCTCAGTGGCCTGTATTTCTTTTGTCTAACTTTTTGCCCCATTGTAAAACATGGAAAACAACTAACAAAGTTTAGGAAATCTGCTTCCTGTTAATTTTTTACTTTAGACATTAAGTTAGTTACTAAACTGAAACTGGTACAGTACCTGCGTAAATGATACTGAATACTCTCAAAATGTGGACAAACAGTTCTTTAACTACCTGATGCAAAGAGGAAGTCTATTTAAAAGTTTTGAGAAGTTGTGTAATGTGACTTTATATGTGTATGTTGGCAGAAGAACAGCATGATTCCTGTACGTGGGTGTGGATTGCTAGAATAATCATGCTGATGTAATCCTGGAAAATTTGACACAGACTATAAAGGCTAGGGGAGTCATGTTCATGCTGAGCCTTTCAAGGAACACTGCCTTTTTTATTTTTCACGTCGGCTTATATTGAAATATGTTCAGTATTGTTTGGAATTGTTGTCATCTTCACTGCAAAAAAGAGAATTAAATATTAAAACCTACTTGCAGCACTGTGTTATACATTTCTACATGTCTTCAGTGAGGTTTACTACCAGATAAGTGGGCAGAGGGTTGTAGCCCATAAGTTGAGTAATATTCACCATCCTGACCGGGTTACCATGCCCTGTTCTTTTATCATCTTCTTTAAGCTCCAACCTGTACAGTGGTACCTTGGGTTAAGTACTTAATTCGTTCCGGAGGTCCATTCTTAACCTGAAACTGTTCTTAACCTGAAGCACCACTTTAGCTAATGGGGCCTCCTGCTGCCGCCGTGCCGCCAGAGCACAATTTCTGTTCTCTTCCTGAAGCAAAGTTCTTAACCTGAGGTACTATTTCTGGGTTAGCGGAGTCTGTAACCTGAAGCGTATGTAACCTGAAGCATATGTAACCCAAGGTACCACTGTACTTTCTTGCCACACATCTGAATAATAATAATAATAATAATAATAAATAATAATCAGGCAAAAGTTGTTGCCTGACTAAAGAAATGTTAGCTGAATGTTTTGATAGAATAATTCATTAAATTCATTAAGGCTGCAGTATTATAATACACGGGAATGAATCCCATTGAATTCAAAGGGACTTAATCCCGAGTAAATGTTATTTTTAGTGGATATCCTATCCCTTACCATAAGGTCCTAGAGTAGGTCACAGCAATAAAAAATACAGTATTAAAATCAGTGTTTATAGGATTGTGGTTAATTTTCTATAGATTTTTATCTGTTGTAGTACTGAGGCTATAAAACATCTTAGTTGTACAGAAAAGAAAGAAAAAATAGCAGCTGATAGTTATAGTTGCAGTTTTAGATGTTCTAAGAAAGGCACTAATATGAAAGTGTTGCTTCATAAGGTTCCATGAGTCGATGGAGGGTGAAAACCTATGTCTTAACAAAGTCAAAAAAAGGATACCATGTTGTATAGAACGTGTGATTCCCCCCTCCCATATCAATATTCCCTTTCTTAAATTGTTAATTTGTCCACAAGCACAGTGTTCCAAACTTGTGAAATCCAGGCTTCAAAAAGATTTGCATTTAAGGTTTTCCCCTTTTTTGCAGTCACTAATCTAGCTGCAGTTAATAAATGGATGGTGAGGTCTTTATTGGTTATGTTCCAAATCTGAGGAGTAACATAATATAGTATAGCTAATTTGGGGCTGGTTGTAGTGATTTGTCTCACCATTTGATTGTTTGAAAAGCTTTTCCCCAAAAGGGAATAATTTTGGGGCAAAACCACCACATCTGCACTAGAGAGCCAGGTAAATTACATTCCTGACAGCAAGGGTTAGATGTGTATAATCTGTCTGGGCACATGTACCAGTGATGCACTATTTTTAACACATTTTCTCGAGTTCCAAATGAGATGGATGCACATGGTAGTTTATTCCAAATTTGTTGCCAGAGCTGTTCCTCTAATTCTTCTCCAAAACCTTTTTCCCATTGTAGTCTTAATGAAATGAGAGGAAGGACAGCCAATTGTGTGAGGATTTTATATAGTTGGGAGATTATCTTCTTTCCCAGTAGGTTGGTGGAGTTGAGTAGCTGCTCAAAACTATTTAAGCTATGTAATGCCCTTTGGACAAAGCAGCCAAAGAGCAAGGCACACATGACACGCACAGGGCCGGATTTAGGTTTGACAAGGCCCTAAGCTACTGAAGGTAATGGGGCCCTTTATATGTCCAGCTGTCCTTTGTCAACAACAAATTGTTGCTGCTTTTTGTGTTGAATATATGCTACGTGGTAATTTATGGACCCAATAGGTATCTAAAGCCATTTGTACATGCAGAATGTAGGCACCCTATATATAGAAATGAGCAAACCAGTGATATTTTAGGGAGCAGGCTAGCAGGCGGGGCCCCTTACTTACATGATAGGAGCCTACACAACACAAAACACTGTTTGCTGTATGTAGGTTTTATTTTGTTTTTTATCTTATATTTCGGAAATGTACATCCAGGGTTCTTTTCGTTTAATTTTTTTTGGGGCCCCCAAGGGAGTGGGGCCGTAAGCTATATCTTGTTTAGCTTATATGTAAATCTGGCACTGGACATGCACATACAGTGGCTCACACCCTAGAGCTTGTTGTTGTTTAGTCGTTTAGTTGTGTCCGACTCTTCGTGACCCCATGGACCAGAGCATGCCAGGCACTCCTGTCTTCCACTGCCTCCCGCAGTTTGGTCAGACTCATGCTGGTAGCTTCGAGAACACTGTCCAACCATCTCGTCCTCTGTCGTCCCCTTCTCCTTGTGCCCTCCATCTTTCCCAACATCAGGGTCTTTTCCAGGGAGTCTTCTCTTCTCATGAGGTGGCTAAAGTATTGGAGCCTCAGCTTCAGGATCTGTCCTTCCAGTGAGCACTCTGGGCCGATTTCCTTCAGAATGGATAGGTTTGATCTTCTTGCAGTCCATGAGACTCTCAAGAGTCTCCTCCAGCACCATAATTCAAAAGCATCAATTCTTCGGCGATCAGCCTTCTTTATGGTCCAGCTCTCACTTCCATACATCACTACTGGGAAAACTATAGCTTTAACTATACAAACCTTTGTTGGCAAGGTCCTAGAGCAGGCATAGGCAAACTCGGCCCTCCAGATCATCCCTAGCTAACAGGACCAGTGGTCAGGGATGATGGGAATTGTAGTCTCAAAACATCTGGAGGGCCGAGTTTGCCTATGCCTACCCTAGAGCAAGAGCTGCTAAATTGTGTCCCCCTTCGGATGCTGCACCACAGCTCCCATCAGCCCCAAACAACCTCTGTGGCCAAGAACAGGAGCTGCCCTCTAGCAACAAGTTATAAACTCCACAGGTTAGCCCTAAACTCTTGCCCATAAACCTAAACTCTTGCCCATAAACCATGGTCCGTTTTGGCTAAACTACAGCTCCCAGCATCCAGAACCGCTGACCTTGCAGGCTGGGGCTGATGGGAGCTGAAATCCGTCTGCATCTGGAGGACCACGAATTCCTTCCAGTTGTTTTTTAATCTCTCTTCCCCCGCCCGCCTCTCTGGGAAGAAGTGATTGGTCAGGAAGGGAGCTGTGCGTCGTGACGTAGCGGCGCCGCGACGACGCCGGCCGCGGCGGCAAACCCTGTTGCCCGAACGTAAACACCTTGCTCGGCCGGGGCTGCCTCCCTTCGCTCCTCCGACATCCGGGGTTTTGCGAGGGGTCGGCGCGAGCCCGGCGGGGGGGGGGGGAGGGCGGTTAGGCGCAAGCTGTTTGGTGGGGGGGAGAGGAGAGGGCGGAGCCTATGAGGCCTGGCTCTGCAGGTGAGTGTATATGGCGGTGGCGGCGACGACGCTGCTGTCCGCCCTGGTTGCCAGGTTCTCTCAGTCGGCGGCCGCCAGGTCGTACGGGGTCTTCTGCAAAGGGCTGACTCGGACCCTCCTCATCTTCTTCGACTTGGCTTGGAAGCTCCGCATCAACTTCCCCTATCTCTACATCGTGGCCTCCATGATGCTCAACGTCAGGCTACAGGTGACCCTCGCCTTGTGAGGGACGGGGAGGGGGGTTGGGGAGGGAGCGTTTGAGGGGGGAGGGAAAGGTGCCCACCCCACCCTTCTCTCATGGGTGAGGGTGCCGGCGTCTTCTGGCCGGTGGGTTGGGTGAGGGTGCTTCCCTATAAAGTAAAAGCACATTTAAATTAAAAAGAAACCACGCGTGCGTTTTTATGTATCTTCCTCTTTTAGGGGATATACAAGGCGAGTCCTTTGAAAGAGGCCCCGTGGATACAGAGTACAGTGGTACCTCCGGTTACATACGCTTCAGGTTACATACGCTTCAGGTTACAGACTCCACTAACCCAGAAATAGTGCTTCAGGTTAAGAACTTTGCTTCAGGATGAAAACAGAAATCGGGCTCCGGCAGCGCAGCAGCAGTGGCAGTAGGAGGCCCCATTAGCTAAAGTGGTGCTTCAGGTTAAGAACAGTTTCAGGTTAAGAACGCAGCTCCGGAACAAATTAAGTACTTAACCCGAGGTACCACTGTACACATGTTGCACGGGGGCTCTTTTAAAATAAAAAGGTAAAGGGGCCCCTGACCATTAGGTCCAGTCATGACCGACTCTGGGGTTGCGGCGCTCATCTCGCTTTATTGGCCAAGGGAGCCAGCGTACAGCTTCTAGGTCATGTGGCCAGCATGACTAAGCCCCTTCTGGCGAACCAGAGCAGTGCACGGAAATGCCGTTCACCTTCCTGCCGGAGCGGTACCTATTTATCTACTTGCACTTTGGCATGCTTTCGAACTGCTAGGTTGGCAGGAGCAGGGACCGAGCAACGGGTGCTCACCCCGTCATGGGGATTTGAACCGCCGACCTTCGATTGGCAAGTCCTAGGCTCTGTGGTTTAACCCACAGAGCCACTTGCATCTTTTAAAATACCCTATATATCAGTGCCGGATTTATGTATAAGCTGAACAAGCTATAGCTTAGGGCCCCACTCTCTTGGGGGCCCAAAAAAAATTAAAGAAAAAACTGGATGTGCATTTCCAAAATATAAGATAAAAAACAAATAAAATAACACTTACATACAACAACAGTGTTTTGTGTTGTGTAGGCTCCTATTTGTTATGTGCAAATGGCTTTAGATACCATATAGCATATATTCAACACAAAAAACAGTGACAATTTGTTGTTGACAAAGGACAGCTGGACATATAAAGGGCCCCATTACCGTCAGTAGCTTAGGGCCTCATCAAACCTAAATCTGGCCCATATCCCACCTTTCCCTCAAGGTGGATGGCTGTTCCCTATTTGTCACCCCTGCTCTTCCTACTTCATCCTCACAGCAACCCTGTGAGGTAGTCTAGGGTTGAGCTACTGGGGTGGGGAGTGGAGTTGAGAAGGAAGGAGGCGCTCCTTGGACTGTCCTCAGCTCCCCGCTTGAGCCGTAGGGCTTCAGATTGTGGGAGTGCGTGCTTGCATACCGAGTAAACACAAACGAAACCATCTTGCACATATTTTGTGTATTTGTTTTGCTAAGATGTTTCCTGGGCAAACGCCTGTCCAAAGTGGCTCACAATCACAACAGGAAATGAAAATGGTTGAAATTTACAAAATAGTTTTAAAAATAACTGCATTTTGTAATCTGGCTTTCCTCCAGTACAGTCATACCTCGGGTTGAATGTGCTTCAGGTTGAGCGCTTTCAGGTTGCGCTCCGCGGCAACCCAGAAGTAATGGAGCGCATTACTTCTGGGTTTCACCGCTCACGCATGCGCAGATGCTCAAAATGACATCATGCGTGGAAGCGGCAAAACGCGACCCGCGCACGCACAGATGCACAGTCGTGTCTTACGTTCTATTCAGGGTGTGAACGGGGCTCCAGAACGGATCCCGTTTGTATCCCGAGGTACCACTATATTCACACTTCCCGCCTCAGTCCTTCATTTTATTCTTGTGAAGCCAGTGGTGTAGTGGCTAGAGTGTGAGGCTAGGACCTTGGAGTTATGAAACTCACTGGCATATTTTATTGGCATAATCAGAAGCAGTATATAATAATGTTGCTTTCTGGATGATAGAAAAAGGTATATTTTGAAGTTGATATTTCCTCAGTTATGTGGTAGGCTTTGATATTGGAACCTGTGGAAAGTGGTGTGCTCACTGCTAAATTTTACTTAATTTGCCAAACTTTGGGCAGTGTGTCTGCATGTTTTGCTCTTTCTATTTTTTTGTTTTTGTTTGCATTTGTTGCAAATGGGCACCATGGCCATTGGGCTAAGAAAGTCAAAGATTACTCAGATTCTGACCATTCTCGTGATCTCTTTTTCTAGTGCTGTAGATGGATCTGTAACTTAAAAAAAATAATCAAATATAAGAGTTTGGGTTTCTTAGTAGAAATGTGTATTGCCCCCTCCCCTCACAAATTATACACTTGTTTTTTCCCCAGAGGTTTCAGAGAGAACCTGGGACATTATCAAGGAGGGCACAAAGCATATTGGCACCTTCCCATCAGTTAGTTTCATAAAAAGGGCTCTTGTGTTACTATACAAAACCCTGAGCAACTTGGGTCCAAGTAATCTTAAGGACCACTTGGAACCTTATATTTCAGCCTGATCACTAATACAGTGGTACCTCGGGTTAAGAACTTAATTCGTTCTGGAGGTCCGTTCTTAACCTAAAACTGTTCTTAACCTGAAGCACCACTTTAGCTAATGGGGCCTCCCGCTGCTGCCGTGCCACTGGAGCACGATTTCTGTTCTCATCCTGAAGCAAAGTTCTTAACCCGAGGTACTATTTCTAGGTTAGCGGAGTCTGTAACCTGAAGCATCTGTAACCCGAGGTACCACTGTATCATCTGGAAAAGTATTGAGAGTTGTCCCCCATGATACAGAGACCCAGCTGGCTTCAGCCAAAAGCTGCACATTTAGAATGACTGACCCCATGCTATGGAAGACTCTTCCAGCAGAGATTTGGCAGGCATCCTCACTTTTGACAACTATCTAAGATTATGGTCTGAAGTTGCATGATACAGCAACCTTACTGACTCCAAAATAGTCATTGTCTAGTCATTGCCTGTATGGGAGACCACAAGGAACCCTCCCTTTAGTTCTATGGAAGAAAGGTAGGATACAAATGTAATTCAATAAATCATGTCCCTTGTAACTAGGTTACATACATTTTTGGGGTAATTGATGGCTTCACTGATCGCAGTCCATCCTAGGTGTAATGTGGGAGGTAGTGCATTGTATTCTGTATCTCTGTTCAAATCTATTTTCACCCTTATTGTACTTAGTTCCTTGACATGGGTGTGGTTTCACAGATTTGTCTGGAGTGCTGTGATAGGAACAAGCTGGGTGGGAGGGTGGAGAATTTTCCATGGCTTTAATTTTTTTGTAGAAAACTCTCTGTTTCATAACTTGATTAGTAACAATGAGTGGGTGCCTATAGCAAATTTATTATTAGGCAATCTTGGAAGTTGCAAAAATTTAAATTTGTATTATATAGAAATAAAAGAAACATGCTTAATTAGATCACTCTCTAGGGCATCAGAATTTTGTTCTGATGCAGATTGATAATGTTCCAGTGCAGACCACAAAACAGACTAATTTGCAATTTGCATTTTTTCCCAGAAAACCAACATCACTGGTAGCAAGATTGATATAGCTACCTGCAAACTGGCTTGTCAAGTTGCAATAAGAACAAACGTTCTGTGTGACCAAACTTACATAAGGGTCTGTTTATATCAAGGTGGTCTTGATGTGTTAAATAGTTTTGCTATAGCATGATCTCTTCATCTGATTTTAAAACTGTATGTAGATCAATGATTGTTGTTCAGAAAATGTGATGCCCTGCATTTTGATACATGCCTTGTTGTTGCCATGTTAAGATGGAAATTCCTACAGTCTCCTGGTCTCTCTTCTGCTTAGAGGAAATTATTCCTTGTTCAGTAGAGAAATCAAGTCACTGTTGTCTCAGCAGAAATCATTTTTTTTTTAAAAAATGAGACTTCTACAACATTTTGCTTAATATTTTTAAAGAAATTGTGCTCTAGAATGATTCTGGATTATGACATCATAATTTACCTCCTGGAATCTTATTGGTTGAAGTTAGCAATTGTTATGACAGTTGCGTTGCATCAGCTCACAAAAGGCAAAACTAAATTACAGTATTCTAGTTGTAAAGCGAAACAGAAGGTAATGTGTACTAGAATAGAGGAATGTTTGGTTTTGAACTGCCTTTCTTTATGATCTCCAAAATGAGTACAGGCACACACACACACCCAACTTGCGGTTGACTTGCGCACGACTGCATATATGTGTGGTGGTGGGAAATAATTACATCATTTAATTCATACCTGGAAATGGAGGGAGAGAGCTGGAGAGTCCTTGGAGCCTGAGGAGGACTTCAGTGAGGGCAGAGAAGAGACTGAAGGCACAACCGGGCCTTGTTTAGACTCTCTGCCTAACAGCTGGTGTGCGGGGTAGCGCAGAACCAGCAGCTGCTTTTCTGTTTGTCCTCCAGCTTCCTGCTGGCCCCAGAGCTTCAATTCCAGTTGAAGTTGTTTTTGGTACAGTATTTTTGATCTGGATTGGAGAGAGAGTGGTAGAGAGGGCATTTGAAGGGTGTTTAGAGGGTTCTCTCCACTTATGTGATTTTCACTTACGTGCGCAGGATGCTGGAACATAACCCCTGCATAAGTGGGGGGTCGCTTGTATAATATTTGAGTACTTCATAGGGTGGTTTGCTTAAAACAAATACTTGGATATGAGATGGTGATTAGAGTTTCAACTTTAAATCTGTTTACTCAGTAGATTAGCAATGTGTTCGAAACTGAGATACGGAAGCTAGGAGCTAAATGGCACCTTAATCTGAGGTTATGGGCGCAACAATGGAATGTCTGGGCAAATTTTTTAAATAACAATAATACAAAGCTGAAAATGAATGAACTGCAGCTAAAATATTATGTTCATTTTTCACATGGTCTAGTCCTTTCCCCCCATATGTTCTTAAGAGGGTCTCTTCTCCAGTCTCCAAAGAGTAGCTGGAAGTGGAGAGGCAGAAAAAGGTCCTCCTTCACTTCCTCTGCAGTTTTAATCTGAAATCTCAGGCGCAGTGCTGCACCCAGGGCTCAAAAACTGCTCGTGCTAATGAAATTCCCTGTCACAAAATGCACTTAGAACAATGGGAGTTTTGAACACTGTAGCAAACTGATTTATGGTAATGATAATGATGATAATGATGATGATGATGATAATAATAATAATAATAATAATAATAGACTGCTTTCCCCCTCCAAAATGAAGAAAAAAGTCATTTGATCCAGGGACAGGCCACACATATATTGGCCTATTTCTATCTTTTTTCTTAATGGTGACACAGACCATTCATAATGTAAGAATATTCTTCACAACTGTGAACAGGACAGTGGGATGGAGTAAGTGAAGACAAGCTACAACAATTAACTATAACGTTGTTCACTGCTCCTTCTCAGGCAGCGCAGAAAGAAGCATCTCGGTTCCTGAAATTTATTCTGATGGTGCAGATGAAATGTAACTGATAGAATTCTACAGGATGTGGTCTTAGTATGTGAAAACAGTCAAGATCCAAGGATCTCCAGGCATGCACCTCCAGATGGTGGAGATGTCAGGCGCCATCCTGGAGCCCAGGCATCTTCACTGGTTGCAAGTGGCCAATAGCCAGGGTGCAAAATGTGCCTGGCACCTGGCTAATTTTGAACACTGGAGAGGGAAATGGACAGCATACAAGCCAAAGACCACTTGTGTACATAACAGTAAATGGGCCATTTCTTCAGTATCTTAGAAAAACACCTGCATTGAGGTTTTGGTAATGTGCAGTGATGTAATCAATTAATCTTTCAGTTCACTTTAATCTGCCTAAAGGCAGATTAGTACATTAGAAGGTATCTTTGTTGTGCTTTATAGCCCTAGTGACAACAAGTAACTACTTCTGTTTTTTGTGTTGTTTCAGGTACATATTGAGATTCACTAAATCGTGACTTATGCTACAACTAAAAGGCATTCCATTATTTACTGCAGTTCAGTACAATGCAGAGTTTGGAGGACAGACGGGTGATGCATATCTCTTATATTAATATGGAACAGGAAGATGATGTAGGACACCAACACCTGCGTAAAAATGCCCTGAATGAGCAGAATGAAATTCTTCGTCTTCCAAATATCCAGTCGTTAGTGAACAACTCTCACGTGGATAATAATCATTTGCAAAAGGAGTTCTTCTCTCTTAAGATCAGGAACTGCACTCTGTTTAAAGCTGTCCCATTGCCTCATATTGGCAAAAAAAGGCCACCGCGCTTGAGTGATGCGGCGAATGGAGCTGCATCTTCCAAGGAATCGCTAGGTCCACTTTTTTCTCCTGAAAAAGATATATTTGAAAAGCTCTTTAAACACTTTGATAGCACTGCAGTGACAGGCTGGCTGGAGAAGGCACGCAACTTCATTAGTGACATGGGCACGTGGAGTTGTTGTGGAGATAACTTTGTACGCTTTGCACATTTCTGGCTGTCTGAACTCCAGTACAACCACAAAGAGCAACTGTTAGAACTGGAAATGGGAGTTATTGAGGATGAAGTACGCCTTGCTTTTGAGGGGTCAGGCTCCAAGGAGTTCCAGCCATCGGATTTGAATTCCATTCTTGCAGCTGCGCTGAGTGAATATCCCATCGGACTTGTGAATGACCAGAACCCATATGTTTTTCTTGACTATTTAAACCTTATGTCTTCAGCGGACACATCTGAATATAAGGAAATGCTTTCAGCTATACAGTACACAACCAAGAACCCTCAGATAGCTCAGTGGTTGCTAGCTATACGAGCATTTGCACTTGCAAATCTCTGGCATGCAATAGTGAAGGTAAAAATGCAATAGTTTTGAAATGCTAGTGCCAGTTTGTTGCAATGTTCCTTGTAAAGTACTTTTAAGATCTGTCAGTGGCCAAGAGAGATAATAACAAGAAGTGTTGTAGTAATAACTTTTAGGCAACCAACATAAAAAAAAGCTTTAGAGAGTTAGTGAGCTGTCATACCTTTTATTATGATGTATGTTGATGGAGAAGATTTCAATATTTTCAGGCCTGTTGAGTAAAATGTGTAGAACTGGCTGATAACAGGCATTAAGGACCCCATCCCGTTATTTCTTCTGAATTAGTATATAAATATTACAAGGACAGGGTTGTATCCAATACTAGTCCTATTGCAATTAGACCTATTGAAATTAATGGACATGCATAATTTAGGTTTATTAATTTCACTGTACAGTGGTGCCTCGCAAGACGAAATTAATTCGTTCCGCAAGTTTTTTCTTCTTGCGAGTTTTTCGTCTTGCGATGCACGGTTTCCCATAGGAATGCATTGAAAATCAATTAATGCGTTCCTAGGAAACCGACTTCAGACCAGGTCCGGGGACAGTCTGTCCCCCGACCTCTTCTGAAGGCTGGGGGGGACAAGGGCTTTCTTCCCACCCACCCCAGCATTTAAAAACCCGGGACAGCGGAGGGCTTCTCCGCTGTCCGGGGCGATCTTAAAATGCTGGCGGGCGGCATTTTAAAATTGCCCGGGACAGCGGAGGACTTCTCCGCTGTCCGGGGCAATTTAAAGCCCCTGGGAAGGCAGGCAGGGGGACAAAGACTTTTGCCCCCCGCCAGCCTTCAGAAGAGGTCCTGGACCTCTTCTGAAGGCTGGCGGGGCGAAGTCTTGTCCCCCCCACCTGCCTTCAAAAGCTGTCCAGCCAAGGCTTCGCGGACCTCTCCGCAAGCAGCGGCAGCACTGCCGCTGCTTGCGGAGAGTTGCCGGCATGCCGAAGCCTGCGCGCGCTGAGATCAGCGCGCCCAGGCTTCGCGGACCTCTCCGCGAGCAGCGGCAGCGCTGCCGCTGCTTGCGGAGAGTTGCCGGCATGCCGGAGCCTGCGCGCGCTGAGATCAGCGCGCCCAGGCTCGCGGACCTCTCCGCGAGCAGCGGCAGCGCTGCCGCTGCTTGCGGAGAGTTGCCGGCATGCCGAAGCCTGCGCGCGCTGAGATCAGCGCGCCCAGGCTCCGCGGACCTCTCCGCGAGCAGCGGCAGCGCTGCCGCTGCTTGCGGAGAGTTGCCGGCATGCCGAAGCCTGCGCGCGCTGAGATCAGCGCGCCCAGGCTCCGCGGACCTCTCCGCGAGCAGCGGCAGCGCTGCCGCTGCTTGCGGAGAGTTGCCGGCATGCCGAAGCCTGCGCGCGCTGAGATCAGCGCGCCCAGGCTTCGCGGACCTCTCCGCGAGCAGCGGCAGCGCTGCCGCTGCTCGCGGAGAGTTGCCGGCATGCCGAGCCTGCGCGCGCTGAGATCAGCGCGCCCAGGCTTCGCGGACCTCTCCGCGAGCAGCGGCAGCGCTGCCGCTGCTCGCGGAGAGTTGCCGGCATGCCGAGCCTGCGCGCGCTGAGATCAGCGCGCCCAGGCTCGCGGACCTCTCCGCGAGCAGCGGCAGCGCTGCCGCTGCTCGCGGAGAGTTGCCGGCATGCCGAGCCTGCGCGCGCTGAGATCAGCGCGCCCAGGCTCCGCGGACCTCTCCGCGAGCAGCGGCAGCGCTGCCGCTGCGCGCGGAGAGTTGCCGGCAAGCCGAAGCCTGCGCGCGCTGAGATCAGCGCGCCCAGGCTTCGCGGACCTCTCCGCGAGCAGCGGCAGCGCTGCCGCTGCTCGCGGAGAGTTGCCGGCATGCCGAAGCCTGCGCGCGCTGAGATCAGCGCGCCCAGGCTTCGCGGACCTCTCCGCGAGCAGCGGCAGCGCTGCCGCTGCTCGCGGAGAGTTGCCGGCATGCCGAAGCCTGCGCGCGCTGAGATCAGCGCGCCCAGGCTTCGCGGACCTCTCCGCGAGCAGCGGCAGCGCTGCCGCTGCTCGCGGAGAGTTGCCGGCATGCCGAAGCCTGCGCGCGCTGAGATCAGCGCGCCCAGGCTTCGCGGACCTCTCCGCGAGCAGCGGCAGCGCTGCCGCTGCTCGCGGAGAGTTGCCGGCATGCCGAAGCCTGCGCGCGCTGAGATCAGCGCGCCCAGGCTCGCGGACCTCTCCGCGAGCAGCGGCAGCGCTGCCGCTGCTCGCGGAGAGTTGCCGGCATGCCGAAGCCTGCGCGCGCTGAGATCAGCGCGCCCAGGCTTCGCGGACCTCTCCGCAAGCAGCGGCAGCGCTGCCGCTGCTCGCGGAGAGTTGCCGGCATGCCGAAGCCTGCGCGCGCTGAGATCAGCGCGCCCAGGCTTCGCGGACCTCTCCTGCCTTCAAAAGCCGTCCGGGATAGCGGGAAGCGCTTCCCGGCTATCCCGGACGGCTGTTAAAATGCTGGAGGTGGGGAGCAAAGCCTTCGGCCCCCGCCAGCCTTCCTGGACCTCTTCTGAAGGCCGGAGGGGGGGGGAAGGCTTTGCTCCCCACCGCTAGCATTTAAAAGAGGTCCCCGGAGATTTCCCTATGGGCTTTCGTCTTGCGAAGCAAGCCCATAGGAAATTGCTTTATGAGCGCCTCCAAAACGGAAAACCCTTTCGTCTAGCGGGTTTTCCGTCTTGCGAGGCGTTCGTCTTGCGGGGCACCACTGTATCTATTTGGAATATAACTTAGTTGGATACAACCTGCCGTGTCTGAACTTTGCACCCCTTTGGGCTGTTTCAAATGTATTATGGTGACAAACCTATATTTTTCATTGCATCTACACTCGTCACGAACAACCCCAACTTTCTGCCTTGTGCATGATAGTTGAATGCAAGTATTGTGAGTGTACATTACTTTTTTAAACATAATCCGTTAAGCGCTTCTGTTGGGCCTTCCTAAATCCACTTGCCCTTGTTCACGCTATGAGATAGTTCAATTGTAATGCCAAAATTGCCACCATCTGACAGATGCATGATTTGCAAGTGGCCACTGAGCCAGGATCTGAAACTGTGGCTTGAACTGTTTTGCAAACAGCAGTTTGGTCAAGCTGGTTTGGCATTCCACCCCAACAAAAATCACCATTGCGTCTGCTCTTGGAATCCGTTGTTTGATAATTCTCTGAAAAGACAGTGGCAGGGGGAAGCTGCAAAGCCCATGTTTTCCCTGTTTGGCATTTCAATTGAACAAATCCTACGAGAAGTCTCCCTACTGCAGCAACGTTAGTAAGGTTTTTTTATTCTAAGCATATATCTGATACTGAACACATGTGCTTCTTTTAAAATAACTGGTTACTCTAGAGCTGTGAAATTTATCCGTAGGCAATGAATGTGTCTAGAAGTCAGCACAAATGTCTCATTATTAATCTCAGCTATATTCGTCTGGGGTGGAGTGTTGGCCATGGTGCCTGCCAGCAGCCACTTAAAAAATTGAACTTTGGCAATGCAGATAAGCATCTTGCCTTGGCTACTATTGGCATGGGGGGGGGGGAGAATGGGTGAGGCTGTCAGGGATCCTTAGGGCTGGTTCCATTGCTACTCATGACAGTTGTTTAACTTGTTCCTAGGCAAAGGTCTTTAGCTGAACATGGGCTAAGCATGCTGTTAAACTGTGTTTAAAGGTGATTGTACACCAGCCTCCCCCAACCTGGTACCTTTTAGATGGTTTGGGCTACAACTCCCATTGACCATAGCCATCATGGGGAACGGGCATGGAAGATGGTAGTTCAAAACAAGGTGCAGGGGGAAGACTGGTGTTCAATATTGGGTAAAAAATTGCCATGGATGCAAGCCTTCATTCTATTTAATAAAATAATCAAGAGTTGGAATGCTGTAGGAATCTTGTGTCACGCTCTTCTTATTTCTTTTATTTTTCCTAAGAGGAATAGCTTTGCTTAGTTTCTTACAGGAAGAACAATAACCAAGTGTCATGGGGCACCCTAAATACTGACATACATTGCGGCATAATTTCTTGGGGATCAGCGATTTCATATCCGCATTCTCCCTCTTTTTGTGCATTTGATGAAGTGGACTCTGGTCCATGAAAACTTTTACCATATTAAATCTGGTACTTCAAGATCCTTTTGTGTGTGTGCATTGCTACCAAAGTCATGAAGACTTCTGTCTCCTTGCAGTTTTTTACTGATTTTTGCGTGTACACACACAACCACAAATCAGAATGCTTGTAATAAAAGCCTTAATATGAAATTGTGGACTGTGAGGAAAGTCTTCCATTTTAAAAATGACATTTTAAGCTATTAAGAAAACATGTTGGATAGATGACTTAGTAATTTTCAGCTAGATCTGTGAGGCAATATATATTACAGATGTATAGCCCTTATGTCTTTTAACAGCATTCAATTTATAGTTCTGTCCCTAACGGTTCATTGCAGAATTTTTATCCTTATGCCGAATATAGAGGATATTGTGTATATAAGCACCGCCAGTAAGGCTTCTTTTTTTCCTTACCCATAAAGTACCAGTAGTTATTCCAAACAAATGCCAAAACCACTGCTTTGTCTGACTGTATGTGAGTTTAAAATATTGGATGACATAAACTTGATTTTTTTTAAAAAAAGAAATCCATATCCAAATGAGAACTAAATGTGTTGCAATAAAAAAACTCTTATCCAGTGAGCAGAATATAGCTGCTCCCTTTAGGTGTTAGGCTCTTTGTGGGCTGCCATATGATTGAAGCATCTGATTGGGTGGAGGAGTCAATGGTGGTATCCACCTAAACTGTTTTGCTGGCACTATCAGCTCCCCTAACCTATCAGAGCAGATCTATAGGGTGCATCGGGAGAGGAGAGGGTGGGGAAGTTTCATTGTGCAGCTAACACTTATTGTACTAGTAGAATAGCTGGCTCTCATTTCAGGCCTTTTCCCAATGTGTAGGATGTTGGAGGAGCAGCCAGGCATGGTGTCAGGGCACCATGTTCCCCTGTATTTGTTTGCTAGCCCTTCATGTGGCCAGTGTGTGACGAGAGCTAATCAAACCCTTGAAAGATAGAGAACATCCACCCACAAAGGACAGGCGTATTCACCGGTGTTTAGTGGTATGGTTATGCTCTGCTTTCAGCAATCATCTTTTGTTTTAAACCTTTTTAAATCTCCTTGAGCCAGAGCAGACATAATGTTTCCCATCCCTGAACCATGCTTAAAGGATTAAAAATGCACCATAGGTTTATTAGCTTCCTTTCTCACCAACCCTTTTGCCATACTTCATTGTTTTGCCAACATTCAACAATAATGAGGATTTGCTCCTGACGCTTTGGATTTGAAGTCATAGCTAGAATCTGGTTTCACTTCTTGGATTAGGACCAAATCCTAGTTCGTGTTAACCATGGCTAGCATCCATGTACAACATCAAGCCATGTTTAAGGGATGAAAGTAATGTAATTGACTCATTGTCTGGAGATTACTTATCTTTAACAGAAGTTTTGGCATCTTTACTTTCTTTGCATTTGGCTGGCTTCTTTCTGCAGTCTTGCATCTCGCACTGGAACATTAACATAACTCAGGTGTGCATTGGTTTTCTGTGCATTTGTCATGTTGAGGTGTGAGAATAAGCCAGTGGAGCACTTACGTTTTAAGGCATTTATGAGGGCAGAAAGCATAAATCTTAACTGGAAATCATAGTTTCCAGTTTCTTGCTTCTTGTTTAGATCAGAGCTGGGGAACATTTGGTGCTCTGGGTGTTACAGGACTACAACTCCCATCATCCCTGATCATTGACCATTCTGCCTGAGGCTGATGGGAACTGGAATCCAACTAGTTTCCTCATTTAGATGCTATAGATATTTTAACTGTCATTTAGTTACTGTGAAATACAGTGGTACCTTGGTTTACGAACTTAATCCGTTCCGGAAGTCTGTTCTTAAACCAAAGCATTCTTAAACCAAAGTGTGCTTTCCCATTGCAGCAGAAGACTCAATTTACAAATGGAACACACTCAATATGTTCTGCTTCCAAGGCAAAGTTCACAAACCAAAACACCTACTTCCGGGTTTGCAGCATTCTTAATCCAAGTTGTTCATAAACTAAGCTGTTCTTAAACTGTATCCCTGTATGCTTTCTATAGTGTGTTGATCCCATCGTCTATTCTGTGTAGAATGTTGGTTGGTTTTACTTCTACCCATAGGAATTGTTTGACAGCACTCCTGTTGATACTCTCATCAAGAGACATAATGGCGCATTTAGGTTTCATTTGGGGGAAAGAGATTTCAGAGCCCTCTTATTATACAGTTCAAGAGGTGCCCCCCCCCAAAGCAGTGACTTTCAAGAGCACCTTTCCCCGCATACCTCATAATAATCAGAGACATAGGTGCTTCTGAAAAATTATCACAAGTCGTCCAAAATATTTGAAAACTGAGGTAGTAATTGAAGAAACCTTGCCCTCTCTGAATGACACTTCTACTTAAAAGAGGCTGCATGCATTCACCTACCAAGTTGCATTTTGCAAAATATCAGAAACCTTTGGGAGTAGATAGACACAGATGCATCTTAAAGCTCTGTGTGTTTAAAAGCCACAGGTGGCTCTCACTATTTTGCTGTAAAACATCTCATCAGTCCAAGCTGCAGTAATCATTATGGCATTAATGATACAGACTCATATCTGGGGGACGATGCAACAAGTTCTGCGAGCCCAAGAAGACTTTGGGTTTGTGTTTCTTGAATAGCAATGCATCGTGTCAAAGTTCTTTTTGAAATGAAAGTTTCCAAGAGCCTGCTGGCCATAGGGTTCTGCCTAAAATATGTGTATCTGTGTGTATGTTAGGTTTCTAGCATCTCTCTTTAAAATTTCCGAGTGAATTTAGTGCACTTGTACTTTTAATGAAAATTGTTTACCTGCCTTGAATTTTGACTTTTAAAAACCTGGATGGTAGTTGAAACATTCCAGCAGAACTAAAAGGAAAGTGGGTTTAGTGAAGTTACTAACAGTATGATCCACAGTTCTGTTAAGCTAAGAGAATGTTCAGCCTGATCGGCTGTTTATCCCCTTCTGTGTACTCAGGCTTACTCTCAGCTAAGCACAGACATGGGAATATGACTTTACCTTTTATTTCAGAGGGACTAGCAGCTTAGTCCTAACCACATTTGTTATTCAGATGTCCCATGCAGTCTGAAGAGGCTTACTTATCAAGTACATACATTTAGAAGTGAAGCCTACATTGGCAAAGATTTGAATACATCTCCTTAATTAGGCTGTGGATTGTATTGTAACAACATACTTGTAGAGTCTGCACTTTATACTAGGGTGGGGTGGGGAGGAATCTATTTTTAAAGAAGTTTCTTGCACTACTAGAATTATTTAACTGACAATGTATTTAGCTGACAATGAAGGCTTATATAAAAATAAAATGTTTTGTTCTTGATGAGGGGGTGAGGAGTAAGGGGTGGGTATAAATCAAAGAAGGGCTTGTTTAATATCTAATTAGGGTGTTCACCACTTTTACTGCATGTGGCTTCTTGGTCCACTTTTGTGGAAAAAGAGACTTTAAAACTGAAGATAGAGTTTGATCTCCTAGAAAGCCGAGGCAGATTTTGGAATTATTCTCTGTAAATGCCCTTTTTAAGCTACGAGTTAAAACATCAACTGCATACTTGCACCTGAGTGAGTTTTGCCCTTTTGAAACAGGGGTTGTAGCAACGTGAATGGTCCCTGAATTGCTTTCTAAATGTCCTTGAAGGTTTACTGTGAAATAGCAATATATCATTAGAAGTCTGGGGGACGGGGAGGACTAATGCCCACTCCGCAGATTTACATGCCTTATTCATGTGACATATCTTCTCTAGACAAGTTTATATTTCCTGAGTATTGACAGAATTGGAATTAAATTATAAGATTATTCGCTAAATGTCGTGCTTTTTAAAATTCAGTTCTATAAGGCATTGGTCAAAACCCAGCTCTCTTCTGAACAACCTATCAAGAGTTCTGTTTCTGCTACTAGAAAGCAATCCAGCGAAGTGGTTAAAGAAAGGTAAGATTACTCGCATTTAGAAAGTGAAACTTTTTGATAGCATATTTCCTGACTTAATATTGTGTTTAAACTAGAACTGATGCAAAAGCTGCACTGCTTTGTGAAGTCATTGGGCACCACCCACCATGATGTATAATTTTCCACTTGCCCAGCCGAGATGGTTGCTGGTGGATTGTGGCCATTGTCTTAAAGTTAGGTTGTGCTTTATATATATATATATAAGCTTAAACTGAATATGTGCCTGTACTAAATTTTGTATGCAACGCCAAAAATCACAGCACAATAATGATTCGTTGATGTTTGTCAATAGTCTTGCTTATTAGTCTTTTTTTTAATAACCACACAAGTATGTAGAAAGGCTTTTTAGAATGTAGTATATAAGTTGGTAATGCTTATAGAGGCTACATATCTAATTCACAGTGAAGCCTTGCATGACTGAAATATTTGCTGTACGTGACTGACCAATACTCACTTGCTTCATAGAAGAAACTAACATAGCATTGTATGTTCTGTAGAGCAAAACCGTGTGTGTTCCTTTTTCTTCCTCCTCAAGGGTGCAACTTCTCAAATCAGCATCCTATCTGCAACATTAATTAATATCAATGGAATTTGTGCAAGGACTGCATTTAAATGGATTGATGTTCTTCCTTCTTCAGCACAGCTTAGTCAATTGCATTTCTGGGTTTCCCCCTCTATGCACAATGGGGCACTGGGTGGGATGCTAAAATGTCAGGGTTTCAGATCAGTCAGACATGGGCATAGTACCCAAATGTGGGAGAGTTCTGCCAGGCCTCTGTCCGCCTAATCCCTCGACAGAACTGCAGATCTAAGCAGCATGAAAGACAAAATAGATTTGCACCTCCAGTATATCTCTCCAAACCCCATCAGTGCGCATCTGTTAAATGGGAGCACAAGAGGTGCACTTAGATCACCCGTTTTCTCCACTGCCTCCTGGCACTGTCTGTATGCATAACAACATAAGAACCTTGACGGGTTGCATCAAAGGTTCACCCATTCCTGCATCCTGAGTCTTTCTGTGGGCAGCCTGGTGCTTCCCAGGCATGACAATGGCAGCGCTCTCCCACGGTTTCGCCCCAGCCACTGGCATTTAGTGAAACACTGCCTGGGAGCATGGGAGTTTTTATGGCCTACTCTCTTTTCTTTAGTTTTGTCCAATTCCCTTTTCAAAACCTCTAAACCTACCCTGAGGCCCGTTTCCAAAATGCCTTGTGGCAGCAAGTCCTTTAATTGCTACAAAATAAAAAAAATCCCTTCCAGCAGCACCCTAGAGACCAACTAAGTTTGTTATTGATATGAGCTTTCGTGTGCATGCACACTTCTTCAGATACACTGAAATTTAATTGCTGTGCTTTGTGTGAAGTGTTTTCCCCATGCCTTTGCACTGGGATGGGGAAACGGGAAGCAGAGCTCCATTGAGCATTATGGGATTCCTCTGCACATGCTGTGCCTGTGCACCACTGGATTTCCTATCAAGAAAATGTTTATAACTTCTGCTCACAGGTTTCTCTAGTAATGGTTCTAGATTTTGATTTGGCATGGACCACTGTTGAAGAGATGCAGCAACTGTCTTGATTTTTGCATTTTATTAAAACAATATCTTAATGAAAGGGGGCTCATGTACCACATTCAAACTATGTTTCAAAGAGAGTTGCAACCCAGGAGTGCATTGGCATCTGTACAAATACTGTACACAAATTTCAAGAAGCTGATGGTGGGATTGCATCCTTGCACCACAGGAGGGAGATAGAGGTCAAATTCAACGTTATTAAAAATGTTGCAGCATTTTTAAGTATCTATATATCACCTGCGAATCTGCTGAATTTTAAACTTTTCTCTCACTGTTGTCATAGCAATTAGCATAATATATCAAAGCTGAAAACCATATATATGCATTGTGATGGTTTTAAAGTCTGAACACGAAATGCTGCTGGATGGTTTTTACTGAGCTGCGTGGAAAAAGAGAAATAAAAAGTTGTGGTCGAAAACCCAGAACCAATTTGCTTTTCCTGTCTTTTCCCAGTCTTGTCGTTCTTCTGTCTGTCTCGGCAGGAAACAACACTGCTGTCAGCTATCCTTTTCAATCTGTCTTTCTGCTGTCACATAAAGTTGAAAGGGCAGCTATACTGACACTGTCCAAGGTCCAAAGAACCGCTTTGAGGCTTTTTACAATCAAGCAGTATGAAATAAATAAGTAGATAAATGATGGAACAAGTTCTGTGGGGCCTTCTGCAAATAGTTGTCTGTCCTTTACCTCTTGGCGAGGAGAGTTTCAAAATCAGTTTGCAATAGGTGGTGGCTGCAGTGATGGTAGTCAGAAGTGCAGAGGGGAAAAAATCAAATACCACTCTGTGTGTGTTTCATAGGGAGTTGCCAGCCAAGTATTGTCTACTCTGACTGGCAGCTCTCCAGTCCTCAGAACCGCCTGGTACCTGATCCTTTTCACTGGATATGCCAAGGATTGAACTGGAATCTTACCAGTCAATCATAGTATTTCCTTTTTAAAAAATAAATAAACTGTATATTTTTAGTCCAGTGGCCATGCATCTTTGGAAAGGAATGAACAGACTAAAAAACTTAACAAGGCACATCGTGGACGTGGCAGGTATATAAGAGAAGAAAAAAATAGCATAAGTATAGATTTTAATATACTGAAATAAATAAAAGGCCCACAAAAGAGCATTGACATTTAATTGTAAGATGTATTTTAATAGAAATTGTATTTTAATATTTTGCTGGAAGCCGCCCAGAGTGGCTGGGGAAACCCTGCCAGATGGGCTGGGTATAAATAATAAATAATAAATAATAATAATAATTATTATTATTATTTATTATTTATTGTAAGGAAAAAATTGAGTGGGGAGGGGAATAGACACATGAGTTAAATCATGGATGAGGAAAATAAAAAGGGGGCATACTAATTAAAGCTGCTTCCCGATGAATTCATACCTTGCGGGGAGACTACATTGAGATGGGACGATTATTAAGGTCCATCATAAAGGCCTACCAAATACAAGCATAATCCTCAGGCTCTGCTGGCTCTTGCTATTCTGGTTTTTGAAACTGTTTTAAATATTTTTTTGATCTTTTCCCCTCCACCCCAGAAGAACTGTTTTTCATATTGAATTTTAAGTTGTTGTAACCTGCCCTGGGACTGTATAGCAACAGGTTATAAATGAAATCTAATAATAGTTATAAAATATTGAATGTGGTGGACCAAGGGGGAAATATGTCTGTGTAGATTGCAGAAGCGACTCAGAGGTCAGTGCAGTGCAAACACACTGGGAGGAACACCTGATTGGTACTGCCAATGTGTTTGTACGGCACAGACCTCCCCACTCCCTTCCCCTCTTCCTGTCAGTAAGCAACAGCTGCCCACCTGCTGGAAAGCTGGCATAGATGCTCCACCCAACCCAGTGAGCTGCTTGTGGTAGATTGAGAATGCCCTCCCTCCCCTACAAAGCTATTATGAATTTGCTTGAAATGCAGCAAAATTTCACGGGGGGATAACAAATCTAGTCTTGGTATGATTTGCTTTTAGTTTGAGGTTACCTTGCTCACTGAAGTTTTCAGAGGTCCATAGAGTGATATAGAGCATGTGCTTTTGCATTAATACCAAATAAATATTTAAAGCACGTGCAAGGTCATGGTATTGAAAGTGCTACGAACAACACTACTGTGCATTAGTTGCTTTTCCTTTGTGCAGGAGGCCAGTTCTAACAAAATGCACTAGAGGGAGCTCATGTATGTGGTACTGGAACATGTCTGGTCAACTGTTTTCTGTTGTATTGCAAGCCTCTCCTCACACATTCACACATTATGCATTGGCAGAGGCCAGTGTCCCCATACATCTCATGCTTCCTTATGTATTGTGCTCCCTTGCACATTTATGTGAAAATCTTATATCCTGTTAGCCAAACGTACTCGCCCCCAGTTAGAATCATGCACAAATAGTTAACTGTGCACTTCAAAAGAGAAAAGAATGGCCGGTCAATTGAACCAAAGTTAAGAAATGCATAAATAAACTTCCAGAAACCCCACATTTTAATCTGTATTTGATGGGGGATTATGCTGATGGGGACTGATGGGAGCTGGAGTCCCACAACATCCATTGGGCATCACATTGGCTACTCCTAATGTAGTACAATGCTTCTGGCACCCATTATTCCTGACTTTGGGACTTGGTCAGCTGCACAATAATATTGTCCTGGAATGTCTTGTTGAATAAGGCAGGTAATAAATCCGGTTTCCACCATATAAATCTGTGTGACAGAAAGGATGCAGGTAGAGCTGGAGTCAGGAGTTTGGTATTGTTGTGTGTGTGTTTTTAAAACAATTTTTTAATTGATTTTTAAACAAATACAAATGCAATAACCATTAAACATTTATCCAGCAGTACAGCTGATGGTGTTCGTTTTAGGATTTTGATACGGTTGAGTTCTTGCCTGCCCAATAGCATCACAGGAAGTTAGGCTCTAAAAATCAAAGTAGTTTTCAGCTGGCTGTCCCTAAGAAGCATATGTTTTTATGCCAGACAGAAGCTTCACTGCTGCTGGTGAAGAGTCTAGCTGTGTGTAAGACTACTGAGGGAGGGAGAGAGAGAAGCAAATGGAAACACCTCCTCTGATCAGGGACCAGCTGAGAACCTGGAAGGCATGGGTCGTTCCCCCCTTCCTATGAAGCAGGTTGTTGCCTATGGCGCCTCATGCTGCAATAAATCAGTTTGTCTCTTTAGTGCCCCAGATTTCTCAGCATTGCTGCAACAGATGTATTGAATCGCTCCCACCTTGTGACATGCTGACGGTGAGGTTGCATTGGAGTGGAATTGCTGTCAGCAGCAGCTTTGGTTTCCTTTGATGTACGGATTCTCATCTGCAAGTTAAAAGAATCCACGGGTTCGTTGATTTATTCTCAGCCATGGTTCATAGGCAGATATTTTCATCAGCCACCAACCATTGCAATTTGCTTAGAAAGTGCCAATGTGTATAAATACACCTATGCATATAAGATTGCCATACTATATTTAAAATTATACCATTTAAAACTGGGAGAGCATCCTCGTGGGCCTTATTTTAATATCAGTCACTAGAAATTATGCCGTCCCAGGCTTCTTTGATTTAGGCTCGCCCATGGGTTAAAGAAACGCTCTGAAGATGGCCTGTCCTTGTCAGAGAAGTTTTCAGCTTCTTTTGATCTGACAGAGATCAGGCTGTTTAGCCTCGAGCAATTCACTGTGATCTCAGTGTTTTTCGAAGTACTTCCATCCACCTACTGATTTTATTTAATTCTAGGCTATTACCAAGCTAGCGTACTTGTGTGCCCCTTCAGGTCACTTGCTATAACGTGCATAGCCTTTATTCTACGATGCTCAGAAATGACCATAATTAGAGCGGCCCTAGCGATTTCTGTCCAGTACAGCTTGCAGACATACACAGGCATTCCTAGATGTTGCTCAATCCTCAAATGCGTTTGCATCCTGTCCCCTTGTGAAGAAGGAGCAGATGCATTGCTGAAGAAGAATGCAGAGCCAGGTAGACAGGAGTTCTGTCAGCGTTCAGCCCTGCCCAGACCTTGAACCTCAGGTCTCTTCAGGGGCAGGACCTTCTAGCAGATCTCACGCTTACCAGTGTGGAGGAGACATCCAATTGGAACATCCCTGCCACAGCTTTGGAGGTCCCCATACCATTTGCCTGGGATGCTGGCTGGTTCTTAGACACCCCCCCCCCATCTTCCCTTGGAGCAGAGGTGGCAGCAAACCAGCCATGCAGCTTCACAGCCGCTGGTGAAGTGACTAGCTGCAAGTCAGGCTTTGACCAGGCCCTGAGAGAAAGGGGCAGATTGGGGCCTTGGTCTTAGTGGTTTCATTGCTGAAGCATTTGCTCTCCTTCAAGCTCTAGCCTTCCTGACCTTGGGGAAAGGGACTCCTACTCATGCAGAAGCTTCTTCTTCTCTTTTGTGATGAGAATGTTCCATGTATGCATAGGGATGTTCCATGTATCATTATCATTATTAATTTGTACCCCGCCCATCTGACTGGGTTGCCCCAGACACTCTGGGCGGCTTCCAGCATATATAAAAACATATTAAAACATTAAACCTTAAAAAGCTTCACTATATAGGACTGCTTTCAGATGTCTCCTAAAATATATATAATTATTCATCTCCTTGACATCTGATGGGAGGGCATTCCACAGGGTGGGCGCCACTACCGAAAATGCCCTCTGCTTGGTTCCCTGTAACCTCACTTCTCGCAATGCGGGAGCTGCCAGAAGGTCCTTGGTGCTGGATCTCAGTGTCTGGGCTGAACGATGGGGTTGGAGACGCTCCTTCAGGTATACTGGGCCCGAGGCCATTTAGGGCTTTAAAGGTCAGCACTAACACTTTGAATTGTGCTCGGAAACTTACTGGGAGCCAATGTAGGTCTTTCAGGACCGGTGTTCTATGGTCCCGGCGGCCACTCCCAATCACCAGTCTAGCTGGCGCATTCTGGATTAGTTGTAGTTTCCAAGTCACCTTCAAAGGTAGCCCCATGTAAGTGCGCATTGCAGTAGTCCAAGCTAGAGATAACCAGCGCATGTACCACTCTGGTGAGACAATGCACAGGTAGGTAGGGTCTCAGCTGGTGTACCCGGTGGAACTGGTAGACAGCTGCCCTGAACACAAGTATGCAGGAGGAGTTTCTCCTGTAGATGGAAAACTATATGAGAGAATGATAATACTGTGGGTGCTGTGTGAGAACATGCAGACACACATGCTGAGATTGCTGTGTAACCAAAAAATTATATATATGGGAGTTGTAATGTAACAGCATCTCAAGGGACACAGGTTCCCTTCCCCTGAACTAGACAAATTGCTTTTTCAAGTCTTGTCTATAAATAGCTAGTCATTGATTTGGAAACAGTATACTTGCTTATAGTTTTATTCAAATGAAGGAGGATGTTGGGTCTTGCTGCTTTCTTTGCCTTGGTTCCACCTATTCTCCAGCAGCAGTATGAATCCTGCTGTCCTGTAACAGGCTTTTGAATTGAATTCATTCTGTATATTGATGAAGAGCGTGAGAAGATCCTGCTGGATCAGGCCAATGGCCCAACTAGTCCGGCATCCCAATGGCCAACCAGATGCTTATGGGAAACTTGAAAGCTGGACCTGAGCACAACAGCACTCCCCACTCCTGTGATTCCTAGCAAATGTAATTCAGAGACAAAATTGCTCTGACAGTGGACATAGAACCTAGCCATCGTACATACACCATCAAATTGAAAGAGACAATACAGTGTAACTGTAAATTATTTCCTAATTGTTGTTGTTTAGTCGTTTAGTTGTGTCCGACTCTTCGTGACCCCATGGACCAGAGCATGCCAGGCACTCCTGTCTTCCACTGCCTCCCGCAGTTTGGTCAGACTCATGCTGGTAGCTTCGAGAACACTGTCCAACCATCTTGTCCTCTGTTGTTCCCTTCTCCTTGTGCCCTCCATCTTTCCCAACATCAGGGTCTTTTCCAGGGAGTCTTCTCTTCTCATGAGGTGGCCAAAGTATTGGAGCCTCAGCTTCACGATCTGTCCTTCCAGTGACCACTCAGGGCTGATTTCCTTCAGAATGGATAGGTTTGTTCTTCTTGCAGTCCATGGGACTCTCAAGAGTCTCCTCCAGCACCATAATTCAAAAGCATCAATTCTTCGGCGATCAGCCTTCTTTATGGTCCAGCTCTCACTTCCATACATCACTACTGGGAAAACCATGGCTTTAACTATACGGACCTTTGTTGGCAAGGTGATGTCAGTGGGACTTGCTTCATAGGTTAGGGGTGGCTAGCCTGTGACCCACAAGATGCCCTTGGATTTGGCTCCCATCATCCCTTACCATTGGCTATGCTGGCTGAAGTGATGGGAGCTGGAACTCAATGACGTATGAGCAACCACAGGTTCCCCATCCTTGATCTAGGTGATGTGGGTGAGATGACTGGATCTGAAGCCCGACTGTCCCTAGGGCTTTATGAATGAAATTGGTTTGGAGCACTCCCCCTCAAGAGGTTATTTTCTGATCTTCTTTGATCATGTCTTCAGATATACGTAGAAACCTTTGGGCAAGGTGCAGAAAGCAACTTCGTGTTTACCCAAAGGGCATATATATATACCCTGTTGGTTCACTGCCATCACCTCTACTTGGGACATTGAACTCCCGTCTCCTATTGCAAACTGCTGTTGAAACTCTCCAAAGGGAGGCTGGCTTAGGAGGGGAAATACCAAATTAAATGCATAGTTCTTTGGAGTCTGGCTGTTGATCGGACATAACAGTGGCCAATCAGTTTGCATGGAATGTAAATAATTGAAATAGTTTTGCTTTTCTGTCTTCTTTTCCAAGCAGTGTTAACTGTTAACATATTTGCTTTTTCCCCTCCTCAGAGCTTTACAGACTGTTCAGTTGGGATATGCAGATGTCTTGGATTACCTTGTTAGAAGCCAGAAGCTTGATCTCAGTGTTGCTGATGAAAAGAACAGAAATCTAATATTTTTAGCCACTATATATGATCAGTCAAAGATCTTGGATTATTTCCTTGAAATGGTCAGTCACTCAGAAGATTCACATTTACATTTATTTTTTAGGTTTTTGAAACTCTTATTATAAAGCAGGAGGTGTGGAAGATGTTACGCCTGCAGACCTATGCACATTTACATGGGAGTAAGCCATGTGGGAGAGAATTACATTTACTTCTGAGTAAGCTTGTCTAGGATTGCACTGTAAATTGCTATTTAGGTGTAACTTTGATTCTGATATGCACTCTCATTCCCTTAGATTTAAAAAAATTCGGATTCATTTTTTATGATAACGTGAATTTGCAAACATGTCACATTTACACTTTAGATGTTTTGCCATCTACCGTATTTTTTGCTCTATAAGACTCACTTTTTCCCTCCTAAAAAGTAAGGGGAAATATGTGTGCATCTTATGGAGCGAATGCAGGCTGCACAGCTATCCCAGAAGCCAGAACAGCAAGTGGGATTGCTGCTTTCACTGCGTAGCGATCCCTCTTGCTGTTCTGGCTTCTGAGATTCAGAATATTTTTTTCTTGTTTTCCTCCTCCAAAAACTAGGTGCGTCTTGTGGTCTGGTGCATCTTATAGAGCGAAAAATACGGTGCTTAAAGCAGGCGTGGGGAACATTTGGCCCTCCAGATGTTGCTGAGTGACATCTCCTAGCATCCCAGGCCACTGGCCATATATGCTGGGGCTGATGAGAGTTGTTCTTCAGCAACATCTGGAGGACCAAAGAATCCCCATATCCAACCTAAAATGTCTTTGGTACACATCTGAAACTACAATGTGTGAAGCAACCTTCAGCGGTGTGAGGCTGAGTTAAATGACTGCTTCTGAAAACTGCACAGCTGTTGATCCATTATCCCCCAAGGGTAATGTGCAGGCTTATGGAGTGGTGATTGTTCAAATTCCACATGGTGTTGCAATTGTCTTTTTGCAGAAGCAAGCTGGTGTCAACTTTATTAGTTCAGGGAAACGTTTGAATTGATGCCTGCCTCCCAAACTCAGTAGCATCTCTCGGAAATTGTTTTCCTTGGAAGCGTGAATTACAGGGAGATGAGCTCCTCAATAAGCTCAGAAGTAATTTACAGTGAATTCCTCGGCTTATCCACTCAGAAGTAAGTTCCACAGAGTTCAGTGGGACTTATTTCTAGGCAAGATTAGCACAGAACAGAAAAAGGCCAGTGTTGCAATCGGAATTCTTATAAAAGAGTTTATAAGACACCAGACTTACAATGGATGCCGTAAGTATTGAGAGGCTCTGCGGAGGTACTGTTTCTTCTTAACACCCAAGAGGTCCTCATCTTGATCAAGAGCCATCATTATCTTCATAAATGGTGGCGTTGGTGATGATGACAACAATTACTGATGAGGTTATACAAGTTGAGCATGCTCAGTCGGCATGGAATGCTGACCTGGGGTGGGGGCGAGAGCAGGGTGATGGAGTGACAGGGAGAATGAAAAATCCAAGCCACTCTTCCTCTAGGTCCTGCATCTCACATTTGGGTCCCTCCTCCAGCTCACTCCATTTCAACCCCAATTCTTTTCTGCAACCACGTTCATCTATCTCAAAATTTAGATACTGCTTGAATAAGTGGCTTACAAAAGCTGTGCAAAGCTGAGCATTTAAAAGAATTGAGAAGAATTCTGCTGGATCAGACTGAAGACCTAACTTCTTAGTCCAACATCTTGCTTCCCACAGTGATCAGCAAGATACCTCCAGGAAGCCAAAAAGCACAGGGCATGAAGGCAATGGCCCTCTCTTGCTACTCAGTGGTATACTGGCTCTGAACTTGGAGGTTCTATCCTAGAAAGCAGCAAAGGGGCAAACACTCCTTCCCCCTCCATTACTGGATCTCTGTTGCTTCTTGGAGAAAAGACATTTTTTTCACACACAAAATGATAACTGAATCAAAGTGGAAATTAAAACAAGGCTGGGACTTCTCTCATGTACCCCAAACCAGCGTTAAGCAGGATTGATCTCTCAGCTGGTGCATGGAGAAGTCAACCCTCCTCCCCCTACCTCTACAGGCCAACCTTGACAGGTGGGCACCATCACCCACCTGTCAATCATCTGATGTAATTAAGGTGTCTGGTGATTGACAAATGAGCCCACCACCTGTCATAGTTGGCCCATGAGGTTGCCAGTGGTGGTGGGAGATAGAGATGGGAAACCTTTTTGGCCTTCTGGGCCAGATCTTTGTTATATGGCAGTGGTTCCCCATTAGCTAAGTACTGTGTACCCCCTGTTTTTCAAAAGCCAAGCCATGGAAACCCTTCTTTTGAAATAATGGATATCTCTAGGGTAGTTTTTGTAATGTGAATTGTGCCACAGACCCCCTGGGTGGGTTACTCCCACGGGTCCTCAGGCCACCAGTTGGGAACCACTGTTATATGGCATTTGCTTTTCCATTTCATTTGATAAAACTGTCCTGTCATTGCAAAGGCAGACAGGTCTTCTCTTTCTAAACTCCTGATAGTCTAGAAAGCTATGTGCTCTACAGGGAAGGGAATGAACTTCCTTTTGTGGTGAGGTCACTTGGGTAAAGGGCAAAAAGGTTGCTGCTGCCTCCTAAGCAGGCATTGCTTCCTAGTGCCTGGATTTGCAGGAATTCTGCAACTCCCGTGCTGATGCACAGTTCTATTTTAAACTGTCGTACCCTGAGTCATGACAGTCTGGAGTAGTATTGCTTCCCTTGCGTATTGCTGTCTTTCCACGATTTCAACAGGGATCTTTCCTATCTCCGGCTCTTTAGCTAGAGATTGCAGGAATTGAACCTGACTCTTCATGTGTGGGAAGCTTCAGATCTTCCAGAGATGTGCCCCATTCCACGCTCTGTTGCTGCATTGCGATGGTGAAGTGGAACCTCCAGGTTCAGAGGCAGTACAGTGCTAAATAACAGTTCATGAGCAAGAAATGTGTGCAATTGTCTTCATGCCTTTAGTGTGGACTTCCCAGAAGGTACTGACTCTGCACTGTAGGAAATGAGACGCAGTACCAGTTGGACCTTTGGACTGATCCACAAGGGCTTGATTTACCGTATGTCACTGTAAGTCTTTTAAAATGCAAGTCTTTATACGCTCTAAATCCCCAAGCGTTTTGTAAAACTCCAAAACCGTCAATGAGATTTCTGATGCTGCTGTACTTACGTAGTTAAATTTATTTCAACATTGGTTCTAGCCTATCTGAAGAGAGGTGAGGTGGGAGGTTTTTTTTGGGGGGGTATTTTTACATTAAGACCTAACCGAATAACAAAACTTATTTCTCCATGAGTTTTCTAGGTGGTTTAGAAATGGAAATTACTTTAGTTTTAAAACTTCAAGGCAAATGAGAATTAGAGATGAAAGTGACCTAGAAATCAAAAAAATTAATGCATTGACAAAATGGGTCCAGCAACAAAATTTTGCAGCATGGAGTGTTTCCGTTTAGGGTTACAACCAACCATATTCTTTACTGGGAGAGCTCTTTTATTCCCCTTCCCTGGGTTTTGTGCAGTCCAGCATTCTGTGTCCATTGAGCATGCTCAGTCCTTATTGAGCTGTTTTGGAAATCTTAGGGTTCTCAAAAGCCTGCTGATATTTCCTTTGGTGTGGATGTGTGCAATTTTGGCTACATAAGACTCTACATTCACATAATGAGTTTGCTATTAGTATACAGTGGTACCTTGGTTCTCAAACTTAATCTGTTCTGGAAGTCTATTCCAAAACCAAAGCATTCCAAAACCTAAGCTGCACTTTCCCATAGAAAGTAATGCAAAATGGATTAATCCGTTCCAGACTTTTAAAAACAACCCCTAAAACAAAAATTTAACATGAATTTTACTATCTAACGAGACCATTGATCCATAAAATGAAAGGAATAAACAGTGTACTGTAGTCACACAATCGATCCATCAGTAGCCGAACTGGGTTCCACACAGTCACAAAAACAAAACAAAAAGAGCTGCAAAAACAAAAACGCAAAATAAATAGCAAAAACAGACAGATCTCAGCGTAACACTCAAAACGTGTGGCACTCAAATTGGAAGCATAACACTCAAAACGGAGCATATTCAACTTCCAAAAAAAGTTCGCAAACTTCTGGGTTTGCAGTGTTTGGGTTCCAAGTTGTTTGGGTACCAAGGTACCACTGTACAATATGCTAGCAGTGTTACTCAGGAATTCTAAGAAACCAAAAAATCAGTGCAATTTTGAAAGGTTCAGTTTGCCATCTTCATTCTAAATGGTGTCCAACTGTATCCAAACATAGGTGGATCTCGTGATCTCCTTGATCTCGTGAACCATCGTGCAAAATACGTTTATGATATCTTAAGAGGAGGCGTGCAAATGCATAACTTGTAACATTTCTCCCCAAATATATAGTAGATTATGTAGGAAAGTGCACAAAATGCCGGCTTTCTGATTTTATTCTAGCTGGCCCTTAGCTCTGCTTCGGTGGGTGAGCAGTATTTCCTGCTAATTTTCCAGGCTCTTCCTGTGCCCAACATAAACCAAGTAGCAGAAAATGGAAACACGGCACTTCATGCCGCAGTAAACACTGGAAAAATGCATCTCGTGTCTTCACTCTTGCATTACCCTGGAATTAACGTGAACGTCCCAAATCCACAGTGTGATGGGGCGACTGCGTTACATCTTGCTATTGCTTACGGTAATGCTTCAAACCTTTTTTTTTAAATAAGTTTTGATTTTAAGGTAGTTCTGTCATTTTTCAAGTGCAAGGAGGTAATACAGGTGTTTTGCCCCTCTTTCTTATGGCCAAATTAGAGGAAACAGTGGAGATTGTGGTCAGATAGAAGCAGTCCAGTGTTGGGGGGAAATTGAGAGTTGGAGGAGGTTTTTACAATCCTTTCTTCCTATGCAAGGGGTAGGGAAATCTCAGGATTGGGGACCAAGTCTCTCTGCCTGGGTAGAAAGCCTAGTTAGTGCTTCCCCAGCTTTGGGAAGGAGTTGGGAGGGCTCTAGGACCCCGCCAGAGCCCTCACGCCCCCTTACCTGCCTTTGGGAAGGCGGGGTTGGGGGTGGGTTTGGCCTTGCACAGGGTGTCATAGTACCCAACTCCACCACCCTCTCATTCCAGGCCACACCCCCTCCCTGGCCCTGCTTCATGCCCTGAGATTGCCTAGCTCAGGGTTCAGCAAACGTTTGCCCCACAAATAACCCAGAGATGCATTTTAAATAAAAGCACACATTCTACTCATGTAAAAACACCAGGCAGGCCCCACAAATAACCCAGAGATGCATTTCAAATAAAAGGACACATTCTACTCATGTAAAAACGTGCTGATTCCTGGACCATCCACAGGCCGGATTTAGAAGGCGATTGGGCTGGATCCGGCCCCCGGGCCTTAATTTGCCTACCCATGGCCTAGCTGGAATGTGCTCCTGAACTCTGACAATGCATCTTGCATGTCTGGATGGAGGTTAAGAGAGGGGGTGTTGGTAGAAACTAGCCAACTGCACAAAGGTAAACTTTACATGTGTTGCTCTGCTTACTTTTGCATCTGGCACCACCCACCACTGGCATGTGGCCCTTGGAAGGTAGCCCAGAAGGGAATGTGGCCCTCAGTTTGCAAAAGGTTCCTGCCCTGTGACATTTTCTTGATGATAAAATCATTCCCACCCATTTGCTCCCTAAAGGAAAGCATATGCATGCCATTATCCATAGGTCTTAATGGGGCATATAACAGCTTTGGGCAGTGGTGCCATCCTGGCACGGCTCTGGGCAAATGTCTAGGGCCCCACTGAATAACAGGAAGATCCCCAAATGCAGCCGTGCCGGCTTACCACATTTTAAAAGTTAAGTTCTTGTTGTTAGCATCCGTCTGTCTCGAGAGACAATGGAGTGCACCTCTGGGGTTGAGACTGCAATCCTATATACCTGTTTACCTGGGAGTGAGTCCCACTTGACTCAGTGGGCGTTTCTTTTCCGTAAGCATCGGATTGTGTTATAAGTGATGTAATACACATTAATACACAGTGACTGCATGCCTGGCATCAGGGTGTGTGTGGAGAGGTCAGTTTCATAAACCACAGTGCTAAATATGCTACAGAATAGGGACACTGGGAACTCTACTCCAGCACTGCCATCTTAGAGGAGCTCTCTTATAAAAGTTTCTATCTGCTCCCAGTGCTGGGTTCCTTTATCATTCAGGTGTAGGGGAGGGAGAAGTAGACTACACTGACAATGTTAAGTAGATCTCAATATACTTGTTGTCTGCCCTGTTTGACACGGAAAATTGTTATGCATGCCGCATACAATACCATACATACCTGTCAGGTTGTTTGTTTGTTTGTTTTTAAAATCCAGAACATCTAGTCTTGTCCCTGCCCTGACCTTAAAGTCCCAACAGTTTCAAACCACAACAAAATTTAAAGACAAAAATAAATCACAAGTATTCTAAAAGGTGCATTAATATTCCTAAAGGTCATGTTAACATAGATATCATAATTAAGATGCTTCCTGTTTTCATGTTTTAAGTCTGAAAGGTAAATTTGAAATATTTCACTTGGTAAATTCTAATCCACATATCTGTTGCTAAGCTAGTTAGGAGATGATTATGAAACTTGGCTAAAACAGATAGATAAAATCAAAAGTCTTGGAAGCCCCGGATTAAGTTCCTGAGATCTGAGCAATACAACAAATCATCAAGTTGAAATCCTAGTGTTAATGGGTTATCTTCACAAACCTATAAAAGTTGATTTTATAGCTTGGGAGGGCTTAGTTGCAGAGCATACACATTTGAAGCAGAATGTTCCAAGTCCATTGCCTAGTCTCTCCAATTTAAAAATGCACACCAGGTAGTGGGTGATGGAGAAGACATCTGTCTGGTACCCCAGAGTAAGAGTGGAGAGCCTCAAAACGTTGTGAGACTCCTAACTCCCATCAGACTCAGCCAGCAAACAGGGATAGTGGAAGTTACCAACACCTGAAGGGTCACTAGTTCCCCATCCTTGTCCTAAATTGTTGGAATTTGTTGGCAACCCTTTCTCTCCGGAGACAAGGGAGGCGTGCACCTTTGGGGGTGAAGTTAAACTATTGCAGAGCATGATAGATAGATAAACTGTTGATATTGCTCTGTGTGAGGCAGCTTTGGGTGGTTGTAGAAAATATATTCTATGCCAAAATACATTTACCTCATTCTTTCTCTCTTTTAAAATCTATTTAGGGCACCTGGGAATTTGCTATTTGTTGCTGAATGCCACCGCTGATGTAGAAAGTCCCATGGGAGGGTTGACACCTTTGCAACTTGCCGTGATGTTTGGGAATGAAACTATAATCGCCCTTATCAAAATGCACGTAAAGAAATTTAAACTTGAAAATAAAATGTTTGCCTGATCATCTTGTTGAACAACATCCCGTAGAATTTTTGAAAATATACCACCTATTTTAATTTTTCTATTAAAGCTTTTCCCCCGCACAAACTTGGGAGGTGAGTGTGTTTTCTTTGTTAGAAGTCTGGCATTCTTCACCAATGGTGCTCCTTCAGTTATGTTCAATTCTGTTCTGGGTACTTTTATTTTATTTATCTCAATCTGAGGCTGCTTCCTGGTTTTCTTATATTTCTGGGTTCTCAGCTGTGACGGAAGGGACAAACTGCTGGTGGGAGAACAGTATGCCGCTTTGGGGGCAAGAGCAAATTGACTCGTGGAGAACCTGAGAACAGGGAAGGGAGAAAGGGCATAAGTGGTCATGTGACAGCTAGTCCTCTCCTGGCTGGAGCAATTAAGTGAGAAGTGGATCAGGCCAATGACCCATCTAGTCCAGCTTCCTGTTCTGACAGTGGCCAACCAGATGCCTGTGCAAGGCCTGCAAGCAGGACCTGAGCGCAAGAGCATGTTTGCCTTCTGCAGTTTCCAGCAAATGTTCTTCAGAAGCATGGTTGGAGGCAGAGCAATAGCCATCATGGCACGAGTTCTAATATCATGAGATCACAGGGGCAGGTTTTCTCCATCCACTTTCTCCATGCTCTTAACTAAAAAGTCCCAAATGCTTCAACCTTTCCTCATAGGAGACCTGGACCCACCATGAACCAGGGTGGAAGAGTAGGAAAGAGGTGAGATTTGTGGGGAGGGCAAAGTACCTGGGATGTTAGGGAGGAAAGTGGGAAATTATGCTAGGATGGTTGGGGTGGAAAAGAGAAGATGGAGGGAGACGTTCCCAGTATTTATCAGATTTAATGGACATTTAGATAGTTTTGAGATATTCAGATACCAGACTCCTTTGCAGTGGGATTGAGGGGCTGAATACAGTTGTACCTTGGAAGTTGAATGGAATCCGTTCCGGAAGTCCGTTTGACTTCCAAACCATTTGGAAACCAGGGAATGGCTTCTGTTTGGCTGCAGGAAGCTCCTGCAGCCAATCGGAAGCCGCGCCTGACATCCGGGTTCCAAAGAACATTTGCAAACTGGAATACTCGCTTCCGAGTTTGCGGCATTTGGGAGCCAAAACGTTCGACTCACAAGGCATTTGGGATCCAAGGTATGCCAGACTGAGCCCCAGAATAAAACAGCTTTCCTTCAAGATGCAGTAGACATAAGCTGAGTAACATTTACAGGAATAGAGAGGCCGTGAAATCACATTATGCCGATAATGTACTAATATTGTCCTATGAAACGCCAGTTATTAACCCCAGCAGCTGATGAGTCAGCCATTAAAGAATCATGCAATGGGCTTAAGAGCCAAGGGAAGTAAAAGACTGCTTGTCTCCTGTCTCCAGCTGTTTGAACCACTTGCTGTAACGTTGCATGATAACTATGTAAAATCCTGGGCATAGTTATCTGGAAGTAAGCTCCATTGAGCTCAGCGGTACTTACTTCCGATTGCATAGGTTCAGTTTGTGAAACAGGTTCAGCTTTAGCAAAATATTTTCAGCCAGCCAAAGTACAGCTTTTAACTTTTAGCTAGAAACACAGACATCCTTGACCATTTAAACTGCTGCCATGAAGTAGGAACCCCATCCATGAAAAGTTAAGATGTATCCAGCCTTTGCTTTATTGTTTAACTCATTCTCTGCCTTCCTCTATGCTAATCTGTCACAAACAAACTGGAATGGGTTATAATCACCTCATTCACTTGCTGGAGAAAGAAGGATCTGTCAATTCCCCTGGTGCTCTGGCAGATGACTTAATTGCTCCAGCTCTGGAAAAAAGTATTTGAGCTGCATTCCTCTGCAGTCCCTCTGTATTGCACCACAGAAGCTGATTACTAATCACTGCAGCCCTGATTTGTAGCCTTCTTGACTACAAAGATGGTTCATAGCATAGCAATCCTTCATTTGAAATCACAAGGTGGTATACAGTGAAATAAAATATTAAAATTACAATTTAAAAATAATCAGCAGCCAATAGGTTAGGGCATACATAAAATTAATGATCTGGAATAGTGCATTCTTGTTTCAATTTTGCAAAGAGAACCAGTGTGCTGTAATAGATGGTTGGACTGTGACCTGAGTAACCAGGGTTCAAATCCCCACTCAGCCACAAAGTTCACTGGGTGACCTTGGGCCAGTCACCGTCCCTCAGCCTCTATCCTACCTCACAGGGTTGTTGTGAGGATAAAATGGGTAAGGAGAACCACGTACACCACCTTGATCTCTTTGGAGGAAAATATGGTATATAAATGTAATAAACTTAATCATAACAAAAACAATAAACATCGCTGAGAAATATGCTAGCATAAATTTCTCAGTGATGTTTGCAGAATACCAGGTACAAAATGAGATGGGCAACCTAGTTTTTAAATCTTGGTTGGGACTCTTGTCTTCTTAGGGTAACAGCCATGGAGCAGTTAGAAACCCACATGCTAAATATATCAGATTCTGGGCTGCATAGTGAATTGTTTTCCTACACCCATGATGGTGTAAATCCTATTCTGGCCACAAAGGGAATGTAAAGTGCCAAATCCATCTCAGTTCCACCACCATAAACCACAGTGGGATTTCATCAGGTATTTATTTGACTCCTGTATGCTTGCAGCTTCCTCAGAAAAATTCCTCTATTTAGTGTTTTTTTCCACTCCAAAATTCCTTCTTTGCCTTCTGAAATGCTGGGCTGATTTTCTCCTCCTTATACAAAATTAACGGAAAATATAGACTGCGTCCCATTTTCTTAATTACCGGTAAAATACAGATTTTAAAAATGGTAACCAATCCTTGCTTCTACACAAGTCTTTGTTGTGCAGTTACTCTATGCTGCGAATTAATGTTTCATTATTCTCTCTATGAATGCTTAATGATCTTTCAAGATTATTTTAAATGTTTTCCTGGAAGCTCAGCCATTACAAAGCAGCTGCTCAATAACATATATATTTTATGCTTATATGTTTATATTTTAATATTCATTTGGAAAATCCACCCTAAAAAGTTGTGTTTACTCCTTATAACAATGTAGGAAGGAAGGCTTGTTAAATTGTCAATAACCTTCCTCCAACTGTGAGACATCTGGCTAATTAATGAAATTTAGTTCTTTTATGGTGTTATGAGTTTGACCGACTCAGTTAGCAGTAATGAGACGATTTGCTGGGGTTTTGCCTGACAGACTTGATGGGTGATTTGGGGACAAGAGAAAGGGGCTTCAGTGATCCTTAATGTTGCCTGGATTGCAATGTCTATCCAGGCTATGGGTTTTGACACACCTGAAAGAGTTTGGGGTGGGGGTGGGGTGCAGAACAGAAAGTTAGAAACAAGTTTGGATTTGGGAAAAGACAGCTGTATAAAATGTGTAGCTCAAGTCCTCTAGCCTTGGAGCAGATTGGTTTGTTGCTTTGTAGAATCTGAAGCTGCCTCATTCTACCTAATGATAAGGCCGGTCCTACCTGTAGGATCCATAAGGGAAAAGCTGGATTTGTGATGGTTTGGCTTGCCAAGTGTAACAACCTCTCAGGGTACTCCCAGAAGGTTACCTTATATCTCAAACTGGTCATTCAGGTCTGATTTTTCTTTGTGCACATCTGGTAGGTTAGTACCTACACATTTACATTTTTCAGTCCTAATACTCACTGGTGTTGGCTACTTGCCAACCATACCAGTGGTTGGAGCTCACTCAACCCCAAGTGCTTTCCTGTCGCTTCCCTCAGGTCCCCCCTCACACCTCAACTACTTTTTTCATCATCATCATCATTATTAGAGCCTGATGATGCACTGTGACTGCAGTCTCGCAGCCAGGTAATCCCCCACATTTACTCTGTGGATATTCTGAGTATCTGATATGATCCAGTATGAACGTGGCTTGTAGCCATCAGTGAATATAAGTTTATTTGTGTCACAGGAGCGTGCAATTCAGTAATCACACAATTCAAAATTGGAGTTAACTTATTATTAGCCAAAGCACAATCTCTACAGTCTTGGTTGAGTGTCAGGCCTAAAGAGCAGAGCAGCTCATTCCTGGTGGACTTATTCTATGAAAATCAGTTGCTGAGGCTGAAAGTCCCTGCCTCCTCACAGCCATCTAAGTCCCCTCCTGCTCAAGCTTTTTTTCCAAGTAATCGGAGACTGCACCTGCATGCAGCCAACCTCTCCTCTGCCCTTTGCATGCCTCTTCTGGTTCTGGGAGACAAGTGGGGAGGGGAGGACTCTTCAACAGCCTGACTCATATTTGCCTCTTGGCCTCCCTCTTCCAACTCTCCTGCTTCAGCTTCAGCCTCTGATTCCGTCCACTCTTCTTGCATAAATGACAAGTTTTTAGCCACCAGCTATTAAGTAAACAACACAAAATTAGAGTACAGTGGTACCTCGGGTTACATACGCTTCAGGTTACACACTCCGCTAACCCAGAGATAGTGCTTCAGGTTAAGAACTTTGCTTCAGGATAAGAACAGAAATCGGGGTGCGGCGGCAGCAGCAGGAGGCCCCATTAGCTAAAGTGGTGTTTCAGATTAAGAACAGTTTCAGGTTAAGAATGGACCTCCGGAACGAATTAAGTACTTAACCCGAGGTACCACTGTACAGTAGTAATATTATTGCATGTGAAATTCCTCAATATAATCTGAATGACATGTTAAATTTCCTCACATGTGTAATAAACCATTTACTCAACCTTTATTAGCTTTCCCCTGAACAAAAAATTAACCGGAACAAATAATCCCAAACTGCAATAAAAGCAACATAGTGAATGTAGGGAATCTGATCTGTTTGGAAAAAAATAAGCTAGGGCCTAACAAAAAGGATAGGAAATCTTTGAGCCCCTCAGAGACGAAACCTGAACTGTGATATTTGAGGAACACTTTGAACTTAAACAAGAGTGTCAACACAGCACTAATATTTGTGAAGGAGCAATATAAAAAAACCAAAGAATAGTTCTCTCTAGGGATTAATAAAATGACAGTAGAGAACTTGAAAGGTATTCTGAGGAAGGTCAGACCCAGCAGTTTCTGAACTATGAACAAGGAAATATATATAGAGAGAGAGAGGGAGGGAGGGAGGGAGGGAGAGTTTTTCACACCTTTCATATCATCCTTCTATGGCACTTACAACAGAAATCCTGAACATAGCACAAAATGTGGAAATATTCTAAAATGCTTCAGATTAATGCTGCAGCAACAATCTTACCTTGGTTACTAACAGTTCCCATCCCATTTCCAGTCATCATTTGCTAATCTCTCAATGTGAGGAGCTCAATATAGGGAAAATAATAATTATAGGATTGGTTTGTCAGCCCTACTGTGTACACACAATACCTTTAAAGCACATTTTAAGAACACCTCCCCCCTAAAAAATAATTTGTAGACTCTGTCCTTTGTTAAGAGTTGCTGGGATTTGTATCTGTGAGTGTGTGTTGAATGTTCTTTAAAGGTATACAGTAGTATGTATTGGCTGCCCTAACTTTGCTAATACTGCACTCTGAGTGAGGAATTTTTTGGCACAATCCCATAATATTTCTTATTATCACAGTAATTCATTTCCATACAGTTGCTTTCTTCTCTGTAGGTACCTGTATTGTTGTTGTTATTATTTTTATTATTTTCATTATTACTATTATTATTATTTAGTGCCCCCTTTGTCTTGGCACCCTATGCAGTGGATCTGCCTGCACTGCCCCAAGATTGGCACTGGCTCCAGTTATGGGGTAAACCAAGACTCTTTTGGGGTGCTAATGTTGTGAACCCCTCTACTGCAGGCTCAGGGTGAGTATATATGTGTACACAAACTATATAGCCCCTAAACTAAAGACACCAGTCTCTGCTGTGTCTCATTCCAAAAGGAAACATAAACCCAGAGTAAGCTCCGGGATCCCCTGGAATCTCGCACCGCTCATCCAGGTGCCAGGCAACTGGATCCCCGCAGCTTCCAGACTGCTCCTATTCATCTGAATGTTTGCATATACACCCATGCAAGTAACCTCGCGTCTAGTTTGGCCCGAGTTAACACCCAGACGGGGCGAAAAGTGTTTTTAACCTTGAATTTAAAACTGCCGTGAGGCGACCCAGGGGTGCCAACTTGAATAAAATATGGGAGGCAAGAACCGCTCCGCATAATCGATCACTTGACACGGTGCACTATTTGAATGGCAATGCCGACCGACTTTGGGGGAAGCCTGCACCCTCAAATATTTTATTGGAGGGCCGAAGCCCCCTCCTTAGCCCCAAGGCGCTGGCTCCTCTGACCCGCCCTGAATGAATAACAATAGCTGCCGTTGTTCAAACGACCAAACGAATCGCTCGCGGAGGTGGGCGCTCTTTTGAGTTCCTCGGACGGTTGGGGGACGGTTTTGGGTTTCTTCGCTTCTTCTCAGAGATACGATGCGCTTTATTTTTAACGGCGGTTTCCCGAGCGACTGGGCAGCTTTGGGAAAAGGGGAGCGGCGGCGTCCCTTCCTCGAGGGTCGCCTGAGGGAAACCGCAGCAGCCCCCCATTTCCCCTCACGGAAACCCGGCCTTTCGGAGCGGCGGCGGCGGCGCTGCTGCCTTGTGGCGGAGCGCGGCGTCGAAGGAGGGCCTGAGCTTGAGGCGGCCTCTCCTCCTCCTCCCTCCCACATAATATTTCTTTCTCCCTTCCCCTGCGTGGGTCACATGAGAAGGGGCGGGCGAGCCTTGCTTAGCAGCAGCAGCTGCGACGGGCGGTAGCGACAGTCGGAGAAGCCCAGCCGAGGAGAAACGAGGCGAACGAGGACATCGGCAGCCGCCTCGGAGCTGAGGGGAGCCGGAGCCGCCGGCCGCCAAGCGCCCCCCTCAGGAGTCCGCGCGGGCTCCTCGCGACGCCTCTAACATCGCCCAGTGCTCGGCCAGCAGCCCCAACATGGACGAAGACGGAGGAGGAGGAGGAAACGGTGAGTAGTGGCGGCAGAGGAGTTTGGTTTGGGAGCTTTATGAGGCGGCGGCGACGGCGATGGAAGACCCTGGATAAGGGGGACTCCAGCATCGCCCTCACACGCAGAGCGACCAGAGTGTCTCTGAGCGTGTGCAGAGTTTCTCCCTTTAACGCAGGGATTCTCAGACAATTTCGGGAACAGTCTGTCAGCTTCATCCAAGGAGGATCAGGGGAGAGATCTGTGTGTGTGTGTGTGGTTTGGGTCGCCCTATTTCATCCTTGCAACAATCCTGTGAGGTCGGTTTGCAAGTTGGGCGGTGTCGGTCCCAAGAGTCTGACATACTGGAGAGCTTCTTATACCAGCACTTTTTTGTTTATGTTTTTGGCTCTGCGAATTTTAATGCCTCTTGTTTGGTTAGTCCCCATAGTGAACATATATTATTTGGGCGATCAGCTGCATCCTTCCTGTCGAGGTTCAGAGCAAACTTGCCTGAAGTGCAGTTTGATACTTTAAAAAGAAGAAGAATAATCTCTCTCTCTCTGTTTTGCTTTGGTAAATTGTACGTGTGATTCCTGTGTGGGGAATGAAACCAAGTACCAATTTCTCCTTCTCCCAGTTCTGCACTTGAGGGAGTTTAAAATCCTTTCCAACAACGCATGATTACATTGTCATGTCAGTGAAGTGCATTTTGATTCAGAGAAGAACTGAATTGACAGGGTCAAGTATGCAGATATATTGCACCCTCTCAGAATAGTCTCCACACAGCTTGAGGATTTTTTTGGTCTTCGGTGGACTTCTGCTCCTGTTCCTGACACGTACCCCAAGCACAAAGATCACACCCTTGCCTTCCATGTACTGGCCTGTTTCTATACAGTACTTGCAATCACCAATGAAGATTAAAGTCCTCCTTGCAACACCCGTAAGCATGCACTGAATTTTGGAAACAGCTGACTCCTTTTACTATGCTTTTGACCAGCCCAATTGTAATCACAGTTTTGAGGGACAGGCTGATTGGCATTAAGCTAACCATTTAAATGATTTGAGTGATGAGTGATCCTTGTTCTTCTGAATGACGCCAGTCACCATGTCCCTTGCTTCTTTTGTTGCCCCACTTCTCAGTTTCCAAATTTAGTTTTGCGATATGTCAGAGATTGAGTTGGGTAGTTTGATCCTGACAGCTCAGAACTGTGTTGCTTTTTACTTTTTTGCAGGGCAGGGTGGAACTCTGTGAGCTGGCAGCTGCTGTCAGTTTGTGGGGCTAGCTAGCAACCTGTTGCAGGTGACATATAACAGTGACTGTCCTCTGTGGTGACTCTGATCCCTATACAGTGGTACCTCGGGTTAAGTACTTAATTCGTTCCGGAGGTCCGTACTTAACCTGAAACTGTTCTTAACCTGAAGCACCACTTTAGCTAATGGGGCCTCCTGCTGCTGCCGCGCCGCCAGAGCCCGATTTCTGTTCTCATCCTGAAGCAAAGTTCTTAACCTGAAGCACTATTTCTGGGTTAGCGGAGTCTGTAACCTGAAGCGTATGTAACCTGAAGCATATGTAACCCGAGGTACCACTGTACAACAGTTTTTCCTTTCATTTTACCATCGCAAATATTACTATTTCCCCTACAGTTCCAATCCCCACGTGTTCCTATGTATGCTTAGTCCCTTGTTCTAAATTCCATTGATTCACAGACGAAATGGGTTATCCCTTTTTTACATTTGTGAAGCTATACATAGTTTCACAGTGTTTCTGTACTTTGCAGTTTTATTTTGGCAACATAACCTATTCTCCTATTTTTTCATCCTGTTGCAGTGAGTGACCCCCTCCCAATAGCTACTCATATCATGTCTCCCATTCTCTATAACCACTTCCACTCTTAAAAACAACAACAACAACAACAACCCTCCTCATGCGTACCTCTTGACATGGTTTGTTCCTATCTCCTAACTGCACACAACTCCCATTCATGTATATTTTTCTCTGCCCCCACACTGTCGCCCACGGATTGCTTTTTCACATATTTATCAGTGCCTCTCGGGATGGGGCAGAGAATTGAGAGACATGAATATAATAAGGAGTAGTGAGTAGTTTTCAGGCTGCTGCCTGCTATATAAAGAGGAGTGTTGTTGAAGGAGGAGCTGGGTTAATTTTTCTGGCAAGGCAAAGCAAGCACTGCCTGTTTTGCTAATTCTAATGTAGGGATGCTGTTCTGATTGGGACTGTTCCATTCAGCATGGAGGACAATAGCGAACTCTGTGTCATGACATACCCTAACTTATTAATGTCCCCTTCCCATTTTCCCCCTTGAAAGGTCATCTGTTTCTGGAGGAGGAAAAATGAATGCATAGTGTTTAGGGGTTGTGTCAATGGTTGCAAAAGGCAAGTTAGTGATGCAAGATGAGGCCTGGGTATAAAAGATCCTATAGAAAGGGGAGAAGACTAAGGGACATTAGAAGCTACATGGAGATGCAATGAACAGTTTCAAATTGTTGATTTGTGCCACCTGTAGTGTTAAGGTCGATGACAAATTGTTCGTTCTTTCACAGTGAAATCCTTGTGTGTTCTTTAGCCTGCCTGAAATTGTGTATACGCTTTGCTGAAAACAATGTGTGATAGAAAGGTTAATTGTTTCTTATAGTTTGACATGGGCACTGTTGCTGCCTCAGTCTAGGTGCAGCAGTAATTGCTAAGCAGTTTATCCAGTTTGAACAGGCATACAGTTTCCATAGACATTTGCTCAAATGTTTGTAAACACATACCTTTAAAATCTAGGACGTGTATTTCATAGTGTCCTTGGGTACTCCTTCAGGCTGTTGAATTATAATGGATGTACCCATAGTTTGAACATCATATAGGATTTTCAACGAAAGGGATTGGGTTAAGACATTTGAGTTAAGCTTTGCCTAATCAAACAGCACACAAAGGACAGTGGTAATAAAATTGTAAAAGTAATTTATGTAATTTCAAGACCAAGGCATTTTATCAAGAAGTCCTTAGAACAACCATGGGACCCTGTTTCCCTCCAGGTATATGCTAGACTGCAGCTCTGATCATCTTTGACTTTTGGGTATGCTGACCAGGGCTGATGTTAATTGGAGCCCAACAAAATCTGGAGGGTCACAGGTTCTCATCCCTGCTTTAGAATAAGGAAGCTGAATTTGTTCTGTGTTCCTTTATTTATATTTGTTGTGCAAATATATGAAGAGCTAGTTATGTGGCATGAGTAATAGTTGCATTATGATCTCTTGCACTAAGACTAAGAAGCTAGAATTCTGAAACCAAGTGGGTGTGATGTGTTTATCTTGACATAAGGAAAAAATGCTAGGATTAATCAGTGACATGTTGCAGGAAGGCATCCTATAAACAAGCAATGCTGCCATTAACATTTCTCAGCAGTTGTTTCCTGAGCTGTTTAGTAGGTATTTGAGACTGTTCCTTCAAAAGCAAACATGTGTTTTTGGCAGTCCTGTTTTCTACAAACTAGGTAGGGGGTAAAATGTTAAATAAGCTGCCAAAATGAGCAAAGTTAGACTTTCCATATTTAAAACACTTTTGTGTAGGTTGTAGTATGTATTTATAAAGAATAATGGGCTCCACATGCAGTTATCTAAACAAAAAACTTTTGAGACTGTCTCCTCCTTTATCTCAGCCTCAGATGAAAATTGCCTTTTTGTGTCAGTTTTGAATGATAAGGGGACTTAGAAGAACCCTGTTGGTAAGTGTCACCCATCTTTAACGCACTTCCCTTTGGAGGTTCTCCAAAACCTGAACCTTAATGTGTTCCAGTTTGATATGAATGCATAAAAACAATCACAAAAGTGTTAAAGCTACAACAACAATATATTGAACAAATATAGTGGAAACTCTTCAAAATAACATTAGTTATTGTGTTTACTTTACTAAGGTTTTGCACTTTATTGGTTGTTTTATATTTACTGCTCATAACTATACTGTTGCTGGAAGATCTCTTGCAAATTTAATGAAGGATATGTAGTTCATCAGCCCCTGATTATGGGTCCAAAACTGGCAATCCAGCTGGTGGTGCTTCGTTGTAATGTCTGAAAGGATGGGCATTGCATACAGTGAATTTGAGCCCCCTATTATTTTTCCAAGCAGGCTAGCATTGTGCTGTAAAATTAATTTGGGGAAATAAATTAACTGAAGACAATATAGAGATGATTTGGAGGTAAGGGGTTAACTGAAGAGGAGTTGAATTGATTTGGAGCAGGATCTATTGGGCAATTAATGGGATAAATGAATGGAAGAGGAACTGATTTGGGGTAATAATAGGGTGGATTGCAAATGAATTTAATTTATCTGGAGCGATTTGGATGGGGAATTAGTTGGCTTGACTTGTACAACATTTGAACTCTAAATTTGCATATCCAGTAACATATGCAAATCTGTAAGGAAATAACTACAAGCACACACTCCAAATACAGGCACAGCTTGTGAATGGCCCCAGAGACCTTTTCCTTCACATATTAAAAACATGCTTTGCCAGCTGAATATTCACAGTGTCACTCATTTGGCTCTGGTTGGCAGCAGCGCTTGTAATGCCCAAAGATGTTTGTTGGACAACATTCTTCTTGTTGGTTTATGGAACTAAAAATGCCAAGTAACATTAAAAATGAAACCCAATGATGTTTTGTCTCATTACACCTCTAAAGTAGCGAGTATCAACATTTTTATGTGGTTTCCTTTTAATATTCACAGCTTGTTCAAATTAGACTTTCTGAGACTGTGCATGCATAGCTGGAAATCTGTTCTCCCTTTTTTAGTCCAAATTTATTTTGGCTTTTTAAAAAACCTCTCCTGTGTTGACACCATGTTTCCATCTTTGTATTTTTAAGTGTATTGTGTTTTCATTTAGTAGAGCAGTGGCTGCGTCAAGCTTCCTTGCAGTGATCTTTTTCATGCAGAGAGATTATTTGAACTGCAGGTAATCTGTGCCTGCAGATGGGAAGGAGATTTTCTATCACTTTTCCTGTGTTCAGTTCAGAAGAAATGGAAATCCAGATACTTATTTTTTATGTATTTATTTACATTATGAAAATAGAGGATATGAAATTTTAAGCATTACTCTTATTGATGGTTGCCATTGGACTGTCAGCACTGCTAATCTAGGGTTAATTTTGTTCATGTCCTCTTTCCTGTTAACTCAGCAGGCGGAATGTGTATTTCTTGGTTTTTGCAGTTCTCTTGACATGAAAAACTAATATCTTCAGAGATGCTAATCCTAGAGAAGGATTCTAGTGCTGCTTTGTATACAACTCACTGGATTTTAATTGAACATTTGGTGCTATTGGAATACATTGATATTGGTTGAAAGTATTTGCAGCTGCATGCTCACATTAGCAGTTATTTTTTGCATAATGGGGCATATCCCAAATCATTCTCCCTGCTTTTAGGTAATTCTGATTGGTCAGTGCATTACAGGTGGTGATGATCTCATTTTAGAGAACATGGATGGTTGTTTCCAGTTTGTGTCCTGAACTAGGACTCACTATGCTGTTTGGGAATGTGTAGCTGGAACACCTAAAACTGTATTAACTTTTACATATTTAACCTATAATAGTGTTGTGCCATGTGAAGCCACTTCCTGGGCGGTCTCCTGTTGCAGACTGGAGTTAGCAGTGGCTGAAGATGCTGAAGACTATTGACATAGAGTTAAAGCTGAATTTTAGTTGTGCCTTGTGCTTATCCCTCTGAATCAGTATCTGTTAGCTATATCTCGATGCTAACAGATTTCTTTGCTTTAGAATTCTTTGTGACATCGTGGAGATATTTGTGTCTCATCCTTACAGTGCAGAGCAAAATCATTTTTTCTCCTGCCAATACCTTCTTTCTCCTTAAGAAGATCTGACTCCAGTTGGAGTTTAATGGCTCTGGCCTAAGCTATTCAAAATATTTCTGACAAATGAAGATAAATGTGAGTCTTTGATATTGATGTGTACACATACACACTTATGTGTGCACACACAAACACATCCAGTAAAAGTAGATGGGAGTTCTTACACAAGAAAATTGCATCACTTGTACTTGTGGTAATTCTCTGTACAGTATTGGCAAAATATAAGGGTCTCATCTTGTAAACAGTGATTTCCTTGGTTTCCTTGGTATGCAGAACTTTACGGAAGCTAGTTCTTTCTTTCTCCTTCTAGGCCACAATTACTAATATATGAGGGTTGCTCATTAAAGATTTTCCCTGGCCCACTTCCGGTTATTGTAGGAGGGTGAAATTGAACATGTGTAATGATACATCTCTCAATAGGTAATGTGGTAATTTGTAGCTCTGAACTCCTAACAGTTTCTCTGTTATGGGTGCTAACATGGAGTAATGTCTGATAATGGAACCAGTTGAATGCAGAGCAGTCATCAGGTTCCTGTACTTGAAAGGGAGCATATCATGGGAGACGTTCAGTGAGATAAAAGGGACTTATGGGGAGGATGCCCCATCGTATGACGTAGTCAAGCACTGGCATCGTCAGTTCAAGTGTGGTCAGACTTTGGTGGAACGGCTCCCATTCCTGGGTGACCACAATCTGCCATTGATGAAGACACCATCCGGCAAATGAAGGCCACAATTTAGGAGGATCGCTGCATAACTGTTTGCCAACTAGCAGCATATGTCAAAAACAGTGTGGGCACTGTAGAAAAAACATCCACAACCATTTGCACATGGGAAAGGTGTCTGCACGGTGGGTTCCCTGGCTGCTGCTGCCTTTCCAGAAGCAGGAACGAGTCACATGCTCATGGGCTCTTTTGGCCATGTGTCACAAAAACCTTGATGACTTCTTCACCAGACTAATTACTCAGGAAGAAACATGGGTCCATCCAAACAATGGAAGCACTCTGCCTTACCACCTTCAAAGTAGGCACGTGTCTAATTGCCAGTGGGCAAGGTCATGCTCACAGTCTTTTGGGACCAGTGCGGAGTAGTGATGATGGATTTCCTGGCAAAGGGTACCATACTTACCGGGACATACTACGCTTCACTGATGCAGAAATTGCGGAAGGCCATCAGAATCGAGAGGCATGGTATGCTGACCAAAAGTATCCACCTCCTGCAGGATAACACCCCAGTTCACAACTCGCATGTTGTTCAGATGGAAGCATGGTCTTGTGGCTAAGAAATCCTTCCTCACCCCCCTTATTCTCCTGACCTTGCACCATCAGACTTTCACCTCTTTCCAACCATGAAGTTATTTTTGAAGGGCAAGCTATCTTCAGACGATTAAATGCTGATTTCTGAGTTCAAGACGTGGCTTCCGACACAACCTGCCGACTTCTAAACACGAGGTCTCTACAGCTGCATAAAGCGATGAGGAAAGTGTTTGACTCTTGCTGGTAGCTATGTAGAGAAGGACTAATAACTGTGCCTAGTTTCGTTTGTCTCAGTCCACGGGAAGTACGTCAGGGGAAATCTTTAATGAACGTCCCTCGTAGTTAGTTGTATGTCAGCTAATTTGCAAGACAATATGATCCCATTTTATACAATTTATCTTTTGGCCTAAAATATCCTTTTACTTAAGTAAAGATTAAAATAATGCTAGATTATGACAGAAAATTATTTCTATTGAGGTCCTAAAGTAAAGTACTTGGAAATATATCCTACTAGTTTCACTGGAACTTCCTTTCCCATTGTGGTCTTAGGGTTGATATGACAATTGGTGCTAATCTTCTATTTTGTTCTAATTACAAAGATCTCTGTATTTAACTGAATTTTTGAGATGATACTGCCTTCTCCATTGATTGCTTGAATTCTCATCTTTTTATGTAGTTTCAATTGGAAGAGGCTTCCCATTAATCATAGCGCTTTGGTGTTGGTGTCTTTGAGTAATTGAAATCCTGGCATCCAGTATGGCATTTGATAGCAAGCTTTATGTTGGGTTAAAATTGTGAGTGTTTGTTTTGAATACTATCCTGAAATTAAGTAAGGACTCTTCTTGAATACAAATTCATAGTATAGTATGGCTTCAGTTATCTTGTGTACTGCTCATACTTGATTTATTGCTTCCCATCCCTTTGAAATAAAGTCTAAGCTGCAGCTGCTTTATAAATTTTCTTTTTTTAAAAAAGAATTCCACTTGTATATATAAGTTTGTTGCTGGTTTTTTGCACTGTTGTGAATGATAACATGCTTTTTATGTTTAAAAAAGCTAACATTTAAATGCAGTGATGGAAAGCTGAAAATGGCAGAAAGATATTGCCTACACTATGTCTGCACATTAACCCTGAATTTTGGGAGTGCCTTCTTGGAGTGGGAGAAATAGTTGCTTGCTCGTCCTGTTCTTGGTCTCTCTGTGGCAAATGTCTTTCTAAGAGTTCCTAGTCTGGTATTTTATTTTTTTGGCACAAGGCACCTGTTCCTCCAGAACTGGACTGAAGCTATTCCACTGAGAATGTGAGGAGTGGGGAGAGAATGCAGATTTAGCACTATGTGTAAATTACTTACGTTTATGTTATAAACCAAGGTTGCTTTTGAAGGAAATAAAATTAAACATTTTAAAATAATTTGAATGTCTTACAGCTGTGGCTTATCTTTGTGCTCATCAGGAAAGATGAATGAATGCTGGAGAAAAATTGAGGCAAATGGCAAATGGCATAATTTAGCCCCCACCCCCAGTTTTGTGTCTTGTACCAAAATGCAAATAGCTGTCATTCACTCAGAGAAAAACCATGTGTAATGTTAACAAATGGATTTTGTTATGACTTCATGACGGTCCTAATAATACTATTACCAACTGTAGACTTGGGAATTTTATCCTATGGGCCCACAAGACTACCTTTGCTTTTTATACACCTGAAGTACAGTATACATAATCTATCCATTCAGGGCAGAATCTGCAACCAGAGGTGGAGAATACTCTACCATTTGAAGATGGACTCTCCTTTTTCTAACTGTTAGGTAATGCTGCACTGCTTGGCTTCCATTGACTCTTTTACGTTATACAAGATCCAAAATTAAGCCCTGGCTTTGCCAAGGTAAAAACTACCATGCTTCTCTTTAGTTCTGCTTTCTGCATACCCAACAACCTGTATGCTATGCTTAAGGTATTGGACAAATCTGGATTACAAACTGGGCTTTATTTTCCTCAAAACTATGGGGGAAAACAGTCATTGCTGCTTCATTCCAGAATCCTAGGTGTGTAACCTGATATCTGTAGCACCTGGGAGGAACTGCAATCTCCATTGTGGAATTGAGTCTACCAGATGATCTCATGGCTACAACATTGAACTTAATTTTGTACTCCCTCATCCCTTGTCCTGCCACCTCCTGCTCTGTGCAACAGCTTGCCCAACGAAGAGTTCTGGAGAACTCAAAAGTTTGCTACCTTTTTACCCCTTTTTTGTTGCTCTTAATAAAGGTATTGCCCAACTATAGACTTCGTAGGAATAGTCTGATTGTGTAACTGGAGTCTAATGTAAAACACACACACGTATCTTGGATCAAGAAGAAGTTTGTGCCTGCTGCTTCAATTTTGGCATTCCCTGTGTCTGAGTGATTCACCTTGCAGTTTGGACATGCTTTTTATTTATTTATTTTCTGCGGCAGCAGTTTAATCTCTATAAAGTTACTTGGATATTTTGCATGATTGTTACCTCATTCGGATTTTGACTGTAAGCTTAAATCCAGCAGATGCTTCATAAAATACTGGCCCTGCAAACTGTTGTTTTGGACAGCAGCATTTCCTTTTTCTTGGCACAGACACACACAATCTGCTAGAAAGCCATGTGTTTTTGTGGACCCCTGAGATTTGTCTGAAGAAGGAAATGGTTTGACCTGTTTGGTTGCTATGAAGTAAAAACACTCTTGTTTGTATTTTTGTGAACATCTGTGTTGCATTTATTTAATTCCCTTTCGGAGATTCTTAAAACCCTGTAGCATGATGTTATAAGGTTTCATTAAAAATACATTGGTGCAGCTATAGTCAGTTCTAATGTCTACTTGTAGACAGGTCTTAAGTGGTGCTTAACCAGATGTTGAAACTGCCTGTCCCAGCCATGTCCCCAAAGGGGTATACAATACTCATAAAAGGGGAAGATGATAGGGCAGGGGTGTAGCCCTGATGATACATGCCTTCATAAAAATAAAAAAAAACCTGCAGGATGTGACTGTATCATTACACAGGCAGGCCAAGTAGAGAGGGTGTACTGTTCAAAGTGTGTGTGTGGAAACAACATTACTAAGGTGTGCCCCCCAGCACTTTCCCAGCTTTGGGAAGGAAGTGGGAGGGCTCTAGGGCCCTGCCAGAGCCTTGCACCTCCTTCCAAAAGCCTGGTGCCTCACTTAGGAAAGACAGTGTGAGGGTTGGGTGGGGGCATCAAATTTTGGCCTCTCCCCACCATGCAACAAAGCAGTGTGAGGCCCGAGGTTCTTTGTTGAAGTACTCTTGCGGCCCATGTGATATGAAAAGTTGGACCACCCTGGTCTACACCGACTGGCAGTAGTTCTCCACAGAGGTTCAGTCAGGGGGCATTCCCAGCCCTACCTGGAGTTGCTGAGTATTGAATCTGGCACCTTCTGTACACAAAGCAGATGTTCTTCATCGTAACATTTTATGCATTGCAGGTTATTTTTACAGAATGGATTTTCCATAGTAAGAGGAAAACGGATTAAAAAAATTAAAAAATACAGACTCACATTTTGATGGCAACATCATCATGTGGATGATGTTAACAAACTTGTAGGTATGAGCAGCACTGATTCCACAGTCAAACTGTGTGCAATCACTGCTGGTTGTTTTGGTGCCAGCATCATATTTTTATGACACTTTATCCATCCCTGAGCAGGTCTTGCACCATTTGAAGGTGGTTCCTAAAGCATCCTGCCATCTAAGCAGTTGAAAGACTTTGGAGATTGAAATCACCTTCAAAGCATTTTCTTCTGTGTTCATTTCCTTGGCTTATATATCCAATTATGCTTTACTCAGAATAGACCCTTTGCAATTAATAGACCTAAGTTAGTCATGCCCATTGATTTCAGTGGATCTTCTCTTAGTAGGACCACCATTGGATGCAACCTGTTATTGTTTAGTGTTTTCTTCTTACTCCCTTTCCTATCCTTAGCTCTCAGGACTAGAGACTTAATTCTTAATGAAAGCCAGGACTACTTTCTCAATGAAAGCTAATGTTTGTATGTTTTTAACATGGATGCCTCAGTAGTCCCCTGCAGGCTATATGTTGTGAACTTTTTCCATAACTAATTACATCAGCACCTTTTGATGTTGTTTAACTATGAATCAGAAACTTACCTGTGCAGTTTTAGGAGTGTAGGCTGAAAAGTGTAGCAGGGTAGGATAATTTTTGTAATCCTGAATGTAAAATTAGTCTTTATTAATTTTAATGTGTGAGGGAAATGTGGGGGCTTTAAAAACATTTGGAATGCACAGTTGTAAAGATAAATCTCTCCTGTGTGTATGAGAGCATCTGTAATTTATAGAGTTGATTCATTACACAGCACGTCATTAATTCTCTGAATATGTTTTCGCATGAAGCCGAGTATTTCCTGCTAATTTATTCATGACCTGTTGTACCCTCCAGGTACTTTCTTTCAAAGATTTTTGTTACTTGGTAATGGATCATAAGTCTAGGAAACAAAGACAGTATTTTTTACGGGTTTGCTTTTTTAAAATTCCTAGTATGCCAGTTTTGCAAAAAGAATCTTGGAGGTTTAAAAAGCTGTATAGGAAACAATGTCAAGCTGGTTTTCAGTCTGGTTAGTAGTGGCCGGTATGGCAGTACAGTAGAGCTGCATTGCTCTGTTGCCTTCCAAACACTGTGTGTTGTTGCTGCCACTTACTAAGTGTGGGAGGTGTGTGGTGCATGGGGCCTGGTGTTGTGTGTGGATGCAAGAATGTTGGATTCAATGCACTGCACCATATCGAGCTCCCCAGCCTCATTCCTTCCTGTCCTGGTAAGTGACAGTGACACATGGTGTTGGGAAGCCAGGAAAGCGACACAGCCCTACCTGTGCCACCCTGCTGGCCACTGCTACATCTGGTGTCATATATGTGATGCTTGGGAATGTAGAAAGCTCCCTTATACTGTGTCATGCCATTGTTCTATTTTGTTCAGTATTGCCCATGTTGACTGGTAGCAGCTCTCCAGGATTTCAGGTAGGGAACATTTCCAGCTCTACCTGGAGATATCAGGGATTGAACCTGGGACCTTCTGCTTGCAAAGCAGATGCTCTACCACTGAATCACAGCCTTCTCCAAGACTCTTTGGACCAGCCACATCCCTGTCTGCTCTAGGAATCCAGCTTGAGCTATACTGCTTTCCCTATTTACTCCAGATTTACTGTTTCTGTGGAAAACCCTGCAGAAATGGTATATCCGGGGGAGAAGGTGATGGTGGAACATGGGACGGGATTTTGATAAGGGCAACTGCATGGATGCTGCAAAAAACACACACAAAAAAACAACAACAAAAAGAAACTTGCACGCACGAGAAGCATCAAGTCCATTGCCATGTGGAAGGATCCTCAATCTCAAATCTCCTTTTGAAAAATATATTCCCACCTAACAGTGTGGGTGTGATATCAGAAACAAACATATGAAGTAGCATTGTACAACCTGATACAGTTGTTATTAATTAATTAAATTTTGTATTGGCCTTCATCTGAAGATCACAGGGTGGCTCGCAACATAAAAATACAAAATGAAAACAAAAAATACATAATAAAACAAAAGCAAAATAAAAAACAATAATGCCCCCTCACACAGACACATTAAAAAGGCAATAGAATGTTAGTCAGCCAAGTGGCTGTTGGAATACCTTTTGATCAACAAATTGTTATTTGTTGAATGTGTGACCACATATGAACATATGTATTTGGGACTCTAGCTAGCTAGGTTGGAAGTGGACAGTTTTAGCACCATGCACTGAATTAGGTCAGCTAATTTCTTAGGACATGGCCTGCCAGCAGATGAATCTGTATTGTGGTCTTAGTGCTTCTGAGGTAAACCTAAAATTGGGGTGTTGGATGGACTGCAGTTGGCGAATGACCCCAGTAAGAGTTAGCTTGATTCAAATATAAGACTTCATAGGCCAACACTATTAATCATCCCTGTTTTAAAACATTTAAAATCTTGGACACTGCATACCACCAGGCGACCTAAATATGACCTCTGCATTTAGAGCAATGGTATGTCTTGAAATAGCTCCAGAAGGGTTGTTTGTGGAATTAACATTGCAGAACAGATTGAGTATTGGGGAATTACAAAGTATTGGGGGAATTACAAAGTATTGAAGGTATTAAGTCTTGTGTGTTCTTCAGCCAGTCTTTGAATACTTTTCTCATAAGACCTGCCAGTCTGCTTCCTGACTCCAACAGACCCTTGAAATGAAACTTTCCTAGCAGGATTGTGTGTTTTGTCCCGTCTTGAAAGCACTAATGATGTACTTGTGTAAATTGTTTTGTAATATCCTCTTATAGAAAAAGAAGCCAAGGCACCTGGAAGAGAATGAGATCTAGGCTACAGCTGTGGAACAGAAATGTGCATGAGACATTTGGAAGGGAGTTGGCTCCGTGGAGAAGAGACCTTGTTCTGCCTGACCATTTAAGGCTGCGTCTGCACCATACCTTTTAAGCACCCCCCCCTGCAAATATTCCTGAGAACTGTAGATTACCCTTCACAGAGCAACAAGATATATAGTGTCCAGTTCAAGGGAAGTAATAGTACCACACAATTCTGCCTTGGTCAGACCACACCTGGAATACAGTGTCCAGTTCTGGGCGTCATACTTTAAGGAGGAGGACAACCAAGATGATCAAGGGTATGGAAACCTAACCTTATGAAGAACAGTTGAGGAAGCTGGGAATGTTTAGCCTGAAAAAGAGGAGACTGAGAGGAGATATGTCTAAAAGGCTGTCAAATGGAAGATGGAGCCAGCTTGTGAAGATGGAGAGCCAGTGTGGTGTAGTGGTTAAGAGCGGTAGTCTCGTAATCTGGTGAACCGGGTTCGTGTCTCCGCTCCTCCACATGCAGCTGCTGAGTGACCTTGGGCTAGTCACACTTCTTTTAAGTCTCTCAGCCTCACTCACCTCACAGAGTGTTTGTTGTGGGGGAGGAAGGGAAAGGAGAATGTTAGCAGCTTTGAGACTCCTTCGGGTAGTGATAAAGCGGGATATCAAATCCAAACTCTTCTTCTCTTCTTCTTCTTCTTCTTCTCTGGCTCCAGAGAGTAGGACTTGAACAGGTGGATTCAAGTTACAAGAAAGGAGATTCCGACTAAACATCAGGAATAACTTTATGAGAGCAAGAGCTGTTTGACAGTGGAACAGGCTCCCTCAGGAGGTGGACTCTCCTTCATTGGAGGCTTTTAAGCAGAGGTTGGATGGCCATCTGTCATGGATGCTTTAGTTGAGATTCCTGCATTGCAGGCTGTTGGACTAGATGAGCCTTGCAATCCCTTCCAACTTTACAATTATGGTTCTATGAATTCCTGGCACCCTTAACAAACTACAGTTCCCAAGGTTCTTTTTGTGTGAGGAGGGGGGGGGAATGTGCTCTAAAGATATAGTATGTATGCAGCCTAAGTCTTCCCAGCCCCAGCTGTGACTTTTTGAAGGTTCTTTCTTTTGTCTAACCATGGCTAGAGAAGAAATGAAGTATATGATAGTTGAAAGCTTTAATATGCCTGGCCCTAAACAGCCTACTAAATCATGCAGGTAGATTTCCTATTATGATGGAGTATGTATCTACTTAAAAATTTATTTGTCCATTATGTTTGCTGGAAGGTCTTTCAGTTATCATTCTGGCACTCAGAGGGCTCTTGCAGTCACCTCAGTTTATGCTAACAGAAGGACAATACATTAGCTCTTTCTCGTCATGGAAGGGAGTGTTGGACCCTAAACTATTACTGCTTTTTTCTGTTTTTTTGTGGTTTTTTTTTTGAAAAACATATTGTGCCAACACTGAGAGTCTTTGATGAAAGGACAGGATATAAGCCCATTGAAAGAAGCCCGACAGTTTACATTATAGTTGTGGCAATTATCCTAGGAGGGAAGGAAGGATATGCTAACAGAATCAGGATGCATTTCAGATGGAGTGAGGATCTCAGTGGTTTGGTGGGTCAAAGAGGTACAGGAAAAGAATTGGCTAGGCTGGAGCAGCAAGGGCCAAGGAGCATCTTCTTAAATTTCACAAGTTTATAATTATTCACTGTAGTCATTGTAGACATTGTAGCTGTCACATCATTTTCATGAGCTTGTCCTTGCTTTGGGGTAAAGCTATTTAACTAAAGTTTCCTAAAGTGAAGTGAGATTTCAGGGTTGAAGCAATAATCTTATTGTGGGATAGCAGCTGGGGAAAGATTTGTGTCTCTATGTGTATAATAAGTTGCATGTGATATAGCTTTGCCTCAGAGGAAGTTCTTGCTGCTGCTTGACTGTTCCATAGCAACATACATGAAGGTTGAGACACTAGCAGATGCTGGCGATGAGAAAATAGAGTATGTTGCACTGTTTGAATAGTATGTTTTCATTCTTCCAGCACAAATGTTTGTGCATGTATTGGAGGGAAAAGAAAATCTAGATATTTTTAAAACTTTGAGCACCTTATTATCATTCCCTCTAATTGCCAATTCAGGTGATTGGGTGCCAGTCAGTTTGGAAGGGAAACTGGGCCACCCAAAAAAGATACATGGGGGCCCTCCCTCCTTTAGCATTACAGAAGATTGGAGATTGGAGAAGAGATTCAAACAAAACCCACCACCACCATAAAAGGTCTGACAAGGACCTGAGAGTTTTCATGGTGAGGACATAGGGATAAGAAAACGAGTGAAGAGTTAACATCTGGGTTCACATTCAATTCCTGGCTTTGCTCCCCAAAATCAGCACCAGATTTAGGGTGGTGTGGGTGGTTCCTGTGCAGAGAGTGCTGAGTTGAGGAGGTGCAAAATTGAGAAGATCCATTGAGGGCCACCAAATTTTGGCCCTACACAGGGTGCCATATTACAAAAGGTTACCAAAGTCTGTCCCTGCCCAAATGGAAGGTAACAGCCATGCTAAAATCTCAGATCTTCCCATTGTTGGTTTTCTATGGCTACCTTCTGCTTATACATCTACCCTGGAGGTGAAAAAAGGACCTAAAGCAGGGGTAGGCAACCTAAGGCCTGGGGGCCAGATGCGGCCCAATTGTCTTCTCAATCTGGCCCACTGACATCAGCGTGTTTTTACATGAGTAGAATGTGTCCTTTTATTTAAAATGCATCTCTGGGTTATTTGTGGGGCATAGGAATTCGTTCTCCCCCCCCTCAAAATATAGTCCAGTCTACCACATGGTCTGACAGACAGTGGACCGGCCCATGGCTGAAAAAGGTTGCTGACCCCTGACCTAAAGACTCCAGAAGTTTGGCAAACTCTGAGAAGCTTATCAGTTCAGTAAATGGGTGAGAGCATTGCTATGGTGGTGGCCAGAGAAGGAAAAAATAAGGGAAATGAAGGGGAAGCCCAAAGAGGAAATAGTTCTGCTCAAGCCCCTACGTATTGTGAGTAGGAGGAGGAATAGGTTGGAGGGATGAATGACTTGAAGCAAAGCAAAACAAAAACAAACTCCTCCCAACCCTGTACCAAATGGGAATGTTTCAGGAAAAAAGGAAAAGGAACATCCTTTCCCACTTCCCAGAGCCACCCACCCACTTTATAGCAACCACGTCCAAACACAAGCATCCGAGTATTACTTTAGTACAAGAGGGGAAGGCCTCTGAAGGGGAGGAAAAATGGTCTTTTTCTAATTCCTTCTGCTCAGTCTCCTAAATCTTGACAGGGCTAAAAGGTTACTGTTCCAGGCTGTTTGGAATAGGGTGCTCCTAGCAGGTGGGATTACACAGCAACATTATGTTGCAGTGTCCACCCCTTTATTGGTGAAGCAGATCAATAAAGCTTGTGTTTGGGATGTGCTAGTTCATGGGTAGGCAAACTAAGGCCCAGGGGCCAGATCCGGCCCAGTCGCCTTCTAAATTTGGCCCGCGGATGGTCCAGGAATCAGCATGTTTTTACAAGAGTAGAATGTGTCCTTTTATTTTAAATGCATCTCTGGGTTATTTGTGGGGCATAGGATTTCGTTCATCCCCCCCAAAAAATGCAGTCCAGCCCCGCCCCCCCAAGGTCTGAGGGACAGTGGACCGGCCCCCTGCTGAAACAGTTTGCTGACCCCTGTGCTAGTCCTTAATAAACTACTTGTTTGACAATTGATTAAAGAAGGGTCTCATGTGTTGGCTTTGAAAAGGTTGGTGTGCTTGTATTTAACTACTTGTAGAAGTGATTGTACTTCCCCTATTAGTTATTCATACTTTCCATTCTTCTGAAACCCCTCACAGATAGTTTCTTGCTTGGAGCAGAAATCAGAGTGAAAACTGTGGTGGTGAGTGCTGCCAATTAGTGGGACCGTTATTTGGCTTCTCCTGGTTCCACTCCAGAACTTTAAACCATTTGTGGAGGGGAAATGTTGGAGAGTGTAGCCCTGAGCCTTTTTGTCTTTTCTCTTCAGAGCAGAAATGATGACATCAACTTGGGAGCAGCAGGGTAGTTTATTGGCACCCCTCCTTGCTCAGGCAAGTGATTGATTGATAATAGGGCTTTAGTGTTTGTGACAGATTAGCATAGGGGAATTCCTCTTCCATGACTGTCAACTTCCTACCCCAATCTCTCCTTTCCCATTCCCAGCTTGCCCTGGTGTGTCCCAGTCCCAACTGCTGGGATCCTGTTCCTCTTCTTCCTTCTCTCTGTTGTCTTGCCGGTTCATGCCAATCCCTTGAAAACTTTCTTTTATGCAGACTGTCCTTTGCAGCTGTTTAATTTGCCAGTCATTTTGATATTATTTGTATTGTGACTTTAATTGTTGTACACCAGCCTGATACTTTCTGATATGGTGGTATGGAAATATTCTTAAAGCTCCCTGCTTTAGCAGTGTTGCTGTGAATTCTCCCTGGGAGAGTGGCTATGGGTGCTGTCAATGTTAGCTCAAGTACTTCAAAATTTCCACTGTACCATTGATTAAAAAGAAGTTACTGATACTTGTGGTGAACGGTTTAAGTTAAAACTTCTTTCTGCAGTAAACCGATTGAATCTAGGCCAGTTATTCCTTTACAGTGGTACCTCGGGTTACAGACGCTTCAGGTTACAGACTCCCCTAATCCAGAAATAGTACCTCGGGTTAAGAACTTTGCTTCAGGATGAGAACAGAAATTGTGCGGCGGCAGCAGCGGGAGGCCCCATTAGCTAAAGTGGTACCTCAGGTTAAGAGCAGTTTCAAGTTAAGAACGGACCTCCAGAACAAATTAAGTTCTTAACCCGAGGTACCACTGTCCTTTGCAAGGAATTGCATGATGGCATGTGATAATCTCTGGTCTGTAGGTTGCATTGTGACAGACCAAGTGGCATTCCAGTTGTTGCAAGTGGTGCAGAGATGTCCCATTCTGACTTACCATACCTCTCTCTTACGCCAAGCCTTGGGACCTGAACATCCCCAAGTGTAGGTCAAATAAAGTCACAAAGGATTTACAGCCCGATCATGGGAACTAGCATGCTGAGACAGTAGTTCATAAGTTGAAACATACAGTACTGACTCAGTGGGAATGATACAACCTCTCACACTTAACGCTGGAAAGCGACCCCAGCTCAGCAACTGGCATATGGCAACAACTACAGAACTTTTCTCCTGCCTGACACAGAAGCCCTATCCCCATGGAAAAACAGCTTGCCAGATATCATTGTAATTTGTGACCAAGTTTATCTAGTTTTGGGGGATAACTAACCTTTAAAAAAAATCTGTGTTAAATTGCTCGATACACTAAATTGCTTTTTACTGTTGTTGGAGGCTGGATGAAACTAGTTATCTAAATGAATTATGCATAATTCTCAGAACTCTAATTTGGTGGGTGGGTGGACTTGGCACATGCATTCATTCATGGTGTTATATTTAAAAGTCCATATGGAGCTGATTATTTCCTCAGCTTTCTGTAGTAATTATTTTGCTTTTATTTTAAATAAGGCTTTTCTAGTATTTTAAGGCTCAAATTCAGAAAATATGTACATGCCTTTATATGTGTTAAAACAGGAAAATGTTGGATTACACGATGGAGAAATAAATTGATTAAAATGTAGGGAAATTTCTCTCACACTTTTCTCGGCTCTTTGCATTATAAATGTAGCTCAAGATCACTGTGCATCTGGGAATAATGCAGGATCCAGCTGTATGGGTGGTTGTGTGTGTGTATGTGTATGGTTCAGTGGTGGTCAAGTCTAAGTCATGGTGTAAAAATTCACTACAGGAAAAAGGCAGGGTGGGAAAAAAATGACGCTGTGTAAAAATATTCAAGAAATAGCAACAGGAAGTTGGTGCCTCCATTTCAGGCTTGTTCTTCAAACCCCATGTTGAAATAATTAGATGCCAAAGCTTTCAAGTTTAGATGAGATTAAGAATAGGCGACTGTGAATTTTCATGTTTTCCTTCAAAATGAAATCATGTTTAGATAATAAAAAATTGATACATTTCCTGTCCCAGCCTTTCTCATTCTGAAGTCCATGTGATCCATTGCTTTCTTTGCCATCAGATAAATAACAGGGTTTTTAAAAGTTGAGTGTTTTGATGGAAATGTTTCCCAGTCTCCAAGATGCATGAACATTTTACTTTTTTGAACAAGGGGAGAAGGAAGAAGAAAAAATGTGGGAAGCTGGATGAGGTTTAGAGTGGACAGAAAATGGTGGTGATGATGATAACTGCAATTATATTTTGTGTATCTTCTTTGTGGATACTTGTGCTCATGATAGTTTGAGGAGACATTTATACAGTTTAGAAGTGGGGGCTTGTTCCCAGCAATAATTATTATTATTATGTTAAGTCTCAAGTTTGTTACTCTGCACCTGTTGCAATTTAACTTCTGAACAACTGTTAACATGACAGTAGATATAATTATTTTTAAATAGATTTGAAAATGTGTTGAGTGTCTGCCTTTTGCAGTTTTGCAAATTGTGATAACTTGCTGCTTTGCCAGCTAGGGAAGAAGAAGAAAATTATTCCTACACCTCTTGAAAACTGTGGGAAACAGAATGTGAGGCTTTCCTTTTGCTATGTGCCATGAAAGCAGCCCACCTTCTGTCAATGAGCATGAAAGAACTCAGTCTATCCTTGATGATATAAGGCAGAGGTTTTCAACCTTTTTGAGTCCATGGATCCCTTGACCAATTACATTTTTTCTGCAGCACCCCTGTGGGGCTCTGGAGCCCAGTTATGTCAGCCCTTGCCTGCAGAGTTGGCAGCCTCTCACCCTTTTTCAAACACCCTCCCTTATGGAGTGTTCCCTCAGCCTCCTCTCCTCTCCCCTGACCTTGGGAGTCACAGCCACACAAGCCTTTGAGAGACAGAGATGCAAGAGGTAATCAGAGGAGGGAAGGAAGGAAAGAGGGTCAGAGGCCAGTGTTACCCATGGCATCCTGACCATTATTCAAGGCACCCCAGGGTGCCATGGCGTACTGGTTGAAAATCACTGGTGTAAGGGATTATCTCTACCTATACCAGATTAGGGTAATCATAGGAATAATGTGCAAGAAGTCCTGAATTCCCTCATAACATGTATAAGGTAACATAACGTGGTAAGGCAGCCCCTTCCTTACACTTGTAAGGAATTTACTTTATCTCTCATATTTGGAGGTGAAAAAGTTCTGGGTTCCCTAGGATCCTTGGAGCCCATACCCCCAGACAGGTGAGATACAGAATACCAGCTTCTGTGTACCAGTAAGTGAGGAAGAGTTGTTCCAGGGCCCTGAGTAGGCTGTTCAGGGAGCAGGAACAGCTTCCTCTCTTCCACCTAGCCACAACCCCTTTCTAGCTCTGATTGGAATTTATTTCCTTTATCTCAGAAGTATTCCAGTCTGAGCTTCCTGGGTCCAGGCTTACCACACTACACTGACTCTCAGGGAAAGGTGAGAAATATTTTATCTAGTTACAGTGGTACCTCGGGTTAAGTACTTAATTCGTTCCGGAGGTCCGTTCTTAACCTGAAACTGTTCTTAACCTGACGCACCACTTTAGCTAATGGGGTCTCCTGCTGCTGCCGCGCCGCCGGAGCACGATTTCTGTTCTCATCCTGAAGCAAAGTTCTTAACCTGAAGACTATTTCTAGGTTAGCAGAGTCTGTAACCTGAAGCGTATGTAACCTGAGGTACCACTGTATTTCATAAAATTTATACACTGCTTGATAGTAAAAACAAAAAACAAAAACCCCTCAAAGGGGTTTACTGTCTTTTACTGTAATAATACATTCCTCGTTGATTGGGAAAAGGTATCTTCCTTCTCCAGACTTAAAAGTGCCCTTTACGTAGCCATGGGGATATGCTTCTGCTCTCCATTTCTCTAGGAAGTTTTAACAGAACAAATAAATGGGGTTGTCTTTCTCAGCCCTTGGACAGTGTTAGAAACTGAGATATGAAAGCTAGGAGCTAAACGGCATCTTAAACCTAGCTTATGAGTGCAACAACAGAATGTCTAGGCAAACTTTTTAATAACAAGAATACAAAGCTGAAAATGAATGGACTGCAGCTAAAATCTTATGTTCATTTTTCACATGGTATAGTCCTCATCTGAAGACTTAAAAAAAACACACACAAAGCCATGCTACCCCTGCCCACTCCCCTAATATTTTTAAGAGGGTCCCTTCTACAGTCTACAGAGAGTGGCTGGAAGTGGGGAGGCAGAAAAAGGTCCTCCTTTCCTTCCTCTTTGCAGAGAAGCCCTGGATTCTCCCTAAACCCCCTTTCCTTCATATAAATATATCTTTTTGGCACCACAATCAACACATATTAAAGGCCTATACAACTGATGGCAGAGACACCCACCTTGAGAGTCCAGTTTGCAAACCTAAGACTTAAGGGTCCTTCAGTGATTCCACTCCAAAATTTGTTTCGATTTTAAGCATCACTGTGAGAGTCTGAGGTAGATAACGTTTTAACATGCACAACTTAAATCATCATACAGGTAGGTAGCCGTGTTGGTCTGCCGTAATCAAAACAAAATAAAAAAATTCCTTCCAGTAGCACCGTAGAGACCAACTAAGTTTGTTATTGGTATGAGCTTTCGTGTGCATGCATGCACACAAAAGCTCATACCAATAACAAACTTAGTTGGTCTCTAAGGTGCTACTGGAAGGAATTTTTTTATTAAATCATCATAACTAACTGGCTAGTATATTTCAAATTAAAAGCACATCATACATTAAAAGTACATTAAACAAGGCAACTAAGACCTAAACAAAACATGTTGGGTTTAAAAGAGAAGAGAAGAGAAAAGAAAAGCTTTCAGGTCCCCAATCCATGCACCTTTTACTCAGGAGGAAGCCCCATTGAACTTGGTTGGGATTTACTTCCGAGTAACAGCGGCAATTTTAATATGAAATATTAGGCGCCGTACTGCGCCCAGAGCTCAGAAACTGCTCACGTTTATAAAATTCCCTATCACGAAACGTGCCCTTGGGAGAAACTTCCTGGACACCCATATAGGAAACTGCAGTTTTATAGCTTGAAGTAAGTAATGGATGCAATGTCTACTCGACTACTGAAGCTCTTCACTCTTTCTTCTCAGTCAACAGATCATTGGGCTCTCTTGCCATTGCTGGCTGCTGAGATCTTCTGGCTTATAGAAATGATAGGGATAGCATGCATTAATGGGAGTGAAGTGATTGTTTTGTGTGGGTCTCTGTAAATTGTCACTTTGAATTTCCATTAATTGCTATGGAAACAGTGCTAGCTGTTTTATATGAACCCATTCACTGTAGCATGGGAAATTATATGGAACTGCTACAACACCCTTCCAGAGCATTTGTACAAACTAACTCTTTAAAGTGTTGTGCTAGAAAATTTATTCAAACTCAGAATTATTTTATTTTATTTTTAAAAGTACACTTCTTGTTTACACTTCCCACCAAAAACATAAATTAGCTTCAATTTTCTTTAGATCATGTTCTAATAGCTATGTTATTGGGTTCCCTTATGTTACCAAAAAAAGCCTCTGGAGTCTAAATCTGATCTTTTAGGAGTTCATAGCAGTTTTAAATTGTTAAGATTTTTTTTTTTAACTTTCTAGATATAACAAAGGTTCCTTTATAAGTAGCATCATGGCCAGAGACTGTTGCAGTTGCGGATTATGTGCTGAAATTTCTGTCATCAATATTCTTCCTGGCCGCTGCCACCTGCAGCTTTGATTTGTGCTAAAAAGTGTCGGAATGCCACTGATCTGTGTCCTCCCATCCCCCAACTTCTGAAAGTGTTGTGTTGGCTGGACTGAGCACTCCGCCCCAAGTCGGCATCAGAATGTGCTTAAGATCACAGTCCAACACCCTGATACTAAGCCATTGCACCATTATATCTGCTTTTGAAGTTCAAGCATAATTATGTTGTTATGTAATGTCATGTTTGTTTTAGGCTGTGCTAGCACATCCATTAACACATCTAAATACCAATTAGATGTTGCTGCACACTCCAGCATTGATATATTAGCTTTGAGTCTCAGGTCTGTTGGTGCCTTCTTGATTAAAATGGTACTCCCTCCCAGCTATTCCACGAGTGAGACATTCTACAGTGCTGGGAGAAGGAATAGGTGATTTGGTGTCAAATTCATTTGGAAGTAACTTTTTTGTTTGTGTGAATTTGACACCTCTGATCTTCAGAGGTCTTTCTTTGGAATGGCTTCACTCTGGGAAGTTTATATTATTAGAAAGAGAGGTGTCAACAAATGCCTTGATGCCAAAAAATAAAATAAAATCAAGGAAGTGTTATTATAACGTGATAATTAATTTTATGAGAAATACCTCTCATCTATGGCAATACAGAGGTTGTTGGTGATAGTGATTATGCTTCCTTTTTTAGTGCCAGGTGTTGTTTTTTTTAACAGTGCTGTGTGTTTTTTAAAGTAAAGGGTGTTTTCCTGTATAAAGAAAATGGAACTTCCATTTGGTAACAGGGATATTCCAGTGGTATGTGTGACTATTGTGAAAGTTCTGTGCTGCTGAGGGGGAAAAACATCTGGGGATTAGAGTATACAGAACAAGAATGAAACACGATGTCATGGAAAAACAGTGAAGTCCTGGGGGAAGCAGATTACAGGCATCTTACGGAGATGAAAAATAACGTGCCAATGGCAACACACAGTCCTTTTAATTTTGCTACAAAAATTTACATTCCTTTCTCCCTCTGAGATGCATTATAAATATCAATCACTATTTTAAGCAGGACTGGATTTCCTATAGCCAGTCTCTGTTTTCGACTGAGCTTAAATTCTTTTTGTTTTGTTTTGTTTAACATACCAGAAGATTTTCCCCCTTGTGTTTCAATTTTTGTTTTGAAATATATATTTTTTTGGTATGAGGCAGGTCCCACCCACTTTTGTAACATGTGGTACTAATATCTTATTGGCCTCTGTTTATATTATTGCAAGGCATTTTCCCTTTTTCATGGCTGAAACATTACTTTTATTTTATTCTTTGCTTTTCTGAAGAAAAAAAGCTCAGCTAGGAATCTCTCAAAGGTGCTTTATGTTGGAACTGGATGAAAAAGGTTTTATTGCTTATCTTCCCATTCCTTATTCAGACTGTAAAATTCAGTTGGGGTGATCGTATCTTATATGCTCAAATACATTTGAATTTTCTTTGTCCTCAGGAGGAGAAGCTTGGCAGAGGACCAGACTATTTTCATTTTTCATTTTCTTTTCCATATGGAGTTTGTATTGTTGTAGCAATATAATTAATGTTTCATTTTGGAAGATTTGGGTTGTTATGGCTCTGAATTAGATGCTTTGTAAGATCATTTACAATGTGATGCCTTTATCTCAGGCAGCTTAACATGCTGAAGTCAGCAGATGACAATTTAACTAATGGACTTTGCTCAGAATTGCAACTAATGGCTTTAGTGTCTTTTATTCTTCATGTAGTATATCTGAAGTAGAAACATGGGAAGCTGCCTTATATTGCATACTATACCCATTATTACCTTTGCAGTACAGCACTGGAGGCCATATTCCTTCTTCTTACTTAAAAAATCATCTTATATTGAATGAAACTTTCTAGCTCTCTGTATTACACAGCATACTGTCAAATGCCTTCTTGAAATGAGTTGTATTGCTTTGCAGGGCAAAGTTCATTGTTTGCTTCTGTTCTCTGTAGTTTTTGTTCTTAGTTTGGTAGTTCAATAAAGCCAAAATTTTCTTTCTGTCTTTTTTCTTTTAAAAAATAATTTATTTATAACATAGTCCACAACAACTCATACGTACAAACAAATCCACAACCATTGACAATTTAATTATCAAAATTAAACTCCTATCCCCTTACATAAAGAAAACATAAAAATAAAAGACTTCCTTTATCCTGTAAATGGCCTCCTTATTGTATACTGTTTCGTTTATATGTGATTATTACAATTATGACTTAAAAAACTGCGAAGTCTCCTGTAGAAATTAATCGAAACAAGTCCAGGTATATATTTTGGGGCACTGTTTGGTAAAGTATTCTCTGCATTTCCCCCATTATTTTTGTAATTCTTGTCTGGGTTATCCTCTAATTGTCTCTGTTAATCTGGCCAGTTCAGTATAATCTAATAATTTATCCTGTCATTCACAAATTCTTTCTTCCAATTTCTGGCAAATCCAAAATTTTCTTTTCTTTTACATCCCTGTTATACCCATGACACAACAAACTTGACAAGCAATGTTTAATGCAGCTTAAGAAAAGCAACCCAGGAAATCATAAGTTCATTTTTGGAAAGGAAAAGGTTGTGTGCGTTATAAACTTCTCAGTAATTTTCCCCGATACAGCACCCACTTTTTCAAGGAGCCGCGCCCCCCCCCCCGTTGTATCCAACTAAATTCTAGGAATAGATCCAGTGAATTGAATGAAGCTAACTATATCCTTTCATTTCATTGGCTCTGCTCTCAGTATGACTAAAGTTGGATACACAACCCATTATATTTCCCAAATTTGTTGACTTCTGGATGCTCTAGTCACACAGTTTGCAAATCAAAATCCTCATAACTTTATTTTTACATATAATACCTTGGTGATCTGATAATTCATGAGTAGCTAAAGGGCATTTTTAAAAATTCTGGAATGTTGCCTTAATGCTACAAACTTTCAGATGCAGATAAAGGCATATTTTCTTTTTATGTTTCAACAGAAGACTATGAGAAGTGCTGCTTTTGTGTTTGAAAATGAAAGAGATGAAAAGTTGGCTGAGGAAAAATATGTCTTGAATGAACAATGTGGGTTCATTACTTTTCTGTAGACCTTGATGGGGCCTGGATTTCTTCAGCTTTGCCTAAAAGCAGAAGTGTGAGTTTTAATGTACAAGTGTGTGTGTATGCACACGTGTGTGTGTGTGTGTGCGCACACACACACACACACACACACACACATGTATGTATGGATGGATGGATAGTGCAAGACTTTGCGTGTGGTTATTTGTTTGAATCTGATTAGAAAGACTTAACACTAAAGAGGAGCTTTGTCTGGACTGTTTGTCCTGAGCTTAGCGCAGCATTCAAAACTCCCATTGTTCTAGGTGCATTTTGTGGCAGGAAATTTCATTAATGTGAGCAGTTTCTGAGCTCTGGGTGCAGTACTGCGCCTAAGATTTCAGATAAAACTGCCACTGCTGGAAGGAAGGGAGGACTTTTTTCCGCCTCCCCACTCTTAGCCACTCTCTGAAGGCTGGAGAAGGGACCCTTATAAGAATATTATGGAAGTGGGCAGGGGAAGCATGGCTTTGGTTTGTTGTTGTTGTTGTTGTTTTGAAGTCCTCAGATGAGGACTAGAACATGTACAAAATGAACATAAGATTTTAGCTGCAGTTCATTCATTTTCAGCTTTGCATTCTTGTTATTAAAAAGTTTGCCTAGATGTTCTGTTGTTGCACCCATAACCTAGGTTTCAGGTGCCATTTAACTCCAAGCTTTCATATCTCGCTTTCTAACACTGGCTTAGAACTATGTTTAAGCTTCTTCAAGGATAAGAAAGGAAAGGCAAAGTTAAAATGCAAAAGAGTAGCACTGATGAAACAGGGCTGTGTTTGAGCTAATGTATCTTCCACTTAAAGTTTACAAATAAAGGAGCTGGAAGACATGCACAAACTGGGTTGGATGATAAATCTGGGTTGATCATTCTAGCAACTGTACATCTACAGATTGCCTGAAACAGGCAAGGCGTCCCAAAGTATGAAGCAATCAGTATTTATGGATACAAAACAAGAAGGTGGGGGCAAACTCTGTCCTGACTTAATAGCATGTAGAGAGCTCTCTGTGCATGCACTTATAAACATGAATATCTCAATAGATGTTTGAATGGATGCATCTGGGCCAGGGGAGGAGCTGGCTGTGAAATAGGGAAAAAACCTCCATACACCTCTGCTTGGTGCTAAATAAATGGATGTCATATTTGTCAGGGAAATAATATTCTGTGGATTATCTAAATACATAAATGAGGTGGTAGCAGTTGTAGTAGCTCATCTTCTATATCCTTTGGCTGTACCAGTCTTACCCAATGGGCACCAGCCACTACTGGATTGCCTGACATGTTGACTGTGCTCTTGCTACCACCTGCAGTCTTGTTGGGTAGAAACATAGTGCATTGGTTTTGCCGGTGCATGTCAGTGGAGGGAGTGTGGAGACACAGATGTGGTACATATGAAGTTGCCTTATGGCAAAACACACCATTCTAGAGTAAGTTCTCTAATATTCCAAAATCTGTCTTTCAGCTGATGGAATAATCGTAGATCAGTTTGCAGTGCACAGTGCAAGCTGGTCTTTGACCATAGTAAATTATCTGTCTATCTATTCAGTATGTTTTGCTTCTATCTGGTTATGACAATTGCTCTGGAAAGCAGCATGGAAGGCATTACTCTTAAAATTGCTTTTGAGTAAATTTACAGAGGCAGCATAATGAGTTACTGTGCCAGATACCGTAAGTAAAAAATCTTCACAAACAAGTAGATTTTAATTTAATGTAATACCGCTTTTGGTGCCTGCACACTCATGCCTCATTGGTGGAAGTAATCCTGCCATATGCAGGATTAATGGTTATTCTAGCTTAAATGATTATTTGAAAACTTTCCACCACAAAACTCATTTTATTAGAAAGCCCTTAGTGTGCCCTCATTCAGCTAATCCCTTTAATCCAATTATAAATGTTAAACATGCCTAATAAGGTCTCAAGAGAAATAATATCTGAACTATGATTTTAAAAAGCTACCTATATTTCGTGTTTGAGTTAATTTTGTCACTACCGTAGCAATATAATCTCACTAAAAGCTACAGAATATTTTTTGGCCCCTGCACACCACTGTATAGCAACATGATGGCATGAAGTGCTTATTAGCGTTTACTTTTTCAGCATGATACTTTGCTGAATATCTTCTGGTTTGTCTGTTTTATTTGTAGGACAAGTGGTCTCTCTGACTGAGAAAGAGGTCCTATACTTCTCCTTTCACCCAGATTTCATACAGTGGCCCCTTGCAGTGTCACATTTCAGAGTAGGGGTGAGGAATCTCAGGGCAAATGTGACCATCCAGGCCTGTCTGTTTAGTCCTCTGGCACTCCCCTGACCATGCCTCCATCACAGGTCACACACCCCTCACTAGCCCTACTCAGCCTCCCCACTTAGTGATTTTACATGGCTGTTGTGTATTGTTGTGCTTTTGTGTTGTCAACTGCCCTGTGATCCTTGGATGCAGGGTGGCATAGAAATTTGATAAATAATAGAAATAAAATAAAATAATCCCATGAATGTGCATGTTGCTCTCTTGTCATTTTGATCCTTTTTCCAAACCGTTCTTGGATACAATTGTGTATGTCAAATTGGATTCACTTGCTGTCTGTAGATACACGAAACTCGCTGACAGGAATTCAATATTGCATTGTGAGAGCAGTTATCCAATACATGTTAAAAGGAATGTACCTGTTGGACAGTTTTTGCAGTTGAGGCAGAACTGTAGCAAGGTGGAGCCGTATAATAATCAGGCATGTAGATCTTCTGAATAACGTTGTGGTTAAATTGGTTAAATTGGCAGCAGCTTGACAGGATTTGCTTGGGGACAGGGTGTCTAGCCCATCAACTGGTCAGCTTGGTGTCGTTACCTGGAAAGCTCCTAGGATAAACAATTTGTCTGTGAGCAAGTCATGCCAGATAAATATCATTTTCCCCCAATAGTTACAAACTTGGTGGATCAGGGGAATGCTGTGGATATTTCAGTAAGGCTTTTGGCAAAGCCCCCATGATCTTCCTGCAGAGAAGCTGGTAAAATGTGGGCTAGACAAGGTAACTGTTAGGTGGATTTGTAGTTGGTTGACTGACCAAACCCAAAGAGTGCTCAGTTCCTCATCATCCTGGAAAAACGTGACAAGTGGGGTGCTTGCTGCAGGGTTTTGTCCTGAACCCGTTGTTGTTCAATGTCTTTCTAAACAATTTGGATGAAGACGTTGAGGGGATGTTCATCAAATTTGCAGATGACACCAAACTGGGAAGGGTAACTAATGATGAAGGAGACCCTGCTCTTTGTGTCTTCCACAGCAGAGATTAGGAGGGCAGTAACATGAGAAAGAGTGTCACCACCAAGAATGTCATAGAATCATAGAATCATAGAATCATAGAATAGAATTATAGGGTTGGAAGAGACCACAAGGGCCATCGAGTCCAACCCCCTGCCAAGCAGGAAACACCATCAGAGCACTCCTGACATATGGTTGTCAAGCCTCTGCTTAAAGACCTCCAAAGAAGGAGACTCCACCACACTCCTTGGCAGCAAATTCCACTGTCGAACAGCTCTTACTGTCAGGAAGTTCTTCCTAATGTTTAGGTGGAATCTTCTTTCTTGTAGTTTGGATCCATTGCTCCGTGTCCGCTTCTCTGGAGCAGCAGAAAACAACCTTTCTCCCTCCTCTATGTGACATCCTTTTCTATATTTGAACATGGCTATCATATCACCCCTTAACCTCCTCTTCTCCAGGCTAAACATGCCCAGCTCCCTTAGCCGTTCCTCATAAGGCATCGTTTCCAGGCCTTTGACCATTTTGGTTGCCCTCCTCTGGACACGTTCCAGTTTGTCAGTGTCCTTCTTGAACTGTGGTGCCCAGAACTGGACACAGTACTCCAGGTGAGGTCTGACCAGAGCAGAATACAGTGGCACTATTACTTCCCTTGATCTAGATGCTATACTCCTATTGATGCAGCCCAGAATTGCAATGGCTTTTTTAGCTGCCGCGTCACACTGTTGGCTCATGTCAAGTTTGAGGTCAACCAAGACTCCTAGATCCTTTTCACATGTACTGCTCTCAAGCCAGGTGTCCCCATCTTGTATTTGTGCCTCTCATTTTTTTGCCCAAGTGCAATACTTTACATTTCTCCCTGTTAAAATTCATCTTGTTTGTTTTTGCCCAGTTCTTTAATCTGTCAAGGTCGTTTTGAAGTGTGATCCTGTCCTCTGGGGTGTTAGCCACCCCTCCCAGTTTGGTGTCATCTGCAAATTTGATCAGGATGCCCTTGAGTCCATCATCCAAGTCGTTGATAAAGATGTTGAATAAGACCGGGCCCAAGACAGAACCCTGTGGCACCCCACTAGTCACTCTTCTCCAGGATGAAGAGGAACCATTGATGAGCACCCTTTGGGTTCGGTCAGTCAGCCAGTTACAAATCCACTGAGTGGTAGCATAGTCAAGACCGCATTTTACCAGCTTCTTTACAAGAATATCATGGGGCACCTTGTCAAATGCCTTGCTGAAATCAAGGTAGGCTACATCCACTGCGTTCCCTTCATCTACCAAGCTTGTAATTCTGTCAAAAAACGAGATCAGGTTAGTCTGACATGACTTATTTTTCAGAAATCCATGCTGACTATTGGTGATCACAGCATTCCTTTCTAGGTGCTCACAGACTGCTTGCTTAATGATCTGCTCCAGAATCTTCCCTGGTATTGATGTCAGACTGACTGGGCGGTAATTATTTGGGTCCTCTCTTTTCCCCTTTTTGAAAATAGGGACAACATTTGCCCTCCTCCAGTCTGCTGGGACTTCGCCTGTTCTCCAGGAATTCTCAAAGATGACTGCCAGTGGTTCTGAGATCACATCTGCCAGTTCTTTTAATACTCTTGGATGCAGTTCATCTGGCCCTGGAGACTTGAATACATCTAAACTAGCCAAGTATTCTTGTACTATCTCCTTAGTTATTCTGGGCTGTGTTTCCTTTGCTGAATCATTTGCTTCAAATTCTTCAGGTCGGGCATTGTTTTCTTTATCGGAGAAGACTGAGGCAAAGAAGGCATTGAGGAGTTCAGGCCTTTCTGTGTCCCCTGTTTGCATTTCACCATCTTCTCCTCTGAGTGACCCCACTGTTTCTTCGTTCTTCCTTTTGCTACGAACATACCCATAAAAGCCTTGTTTGTTGCTTTTAACCTCTCTAGCAAGCCTGAGTTCATTCTGTGCTTTAGCTTTTCTGACTTTGTGTCTACACGTGCTGGCTATTTGTTTGAATTCCTCTTTGGTGGTTTTCCCCCTTTTCCATTTTTGTACACATCCTTTTTTAATCTTAACTCAGTTAAAAGTTCTTTAGATAGCCACCCTGGCTTCTTTAGGCACCTTCCATGTTTCCGTCTCATTGGTATTGCCTGACGTTGTGCTTTTAGTATCTCCCTCTTAACAAACTCACAGCCATCATGAACTCCCTTTCCTTTTAGTATTACTGTCCATGGGATCTCACCCAGCACTTCCCTAAGTTTTATGAAGTCAGCTTTCTTAAAGTCAAGAAATTGAGTCCTAGTATGCTTGGCTGCTCCTTTCCGCTGTATAGTAAACTTCAGAAGAGCATGATCACTCGCGCCTAATGATCCTTCCACTTCTACCCCACTAACCAGGTCATCAACATTGGTTAGGACCAGATCTAAAATGGCAGTTCCTCTTGTTGCTTCTCCCACTTTCTGGACAATGAAGTTGTCTGCAAGGCCAGTGAGGAATCTGTTTGACCTTATGCTCTTGGCTGAGTTTGACATCCAACAAATATCCGGGTAATTGAAGTCCCCCATTACTACTATCTCCCTTCCTTTTGCATGCTTGGCCATCTGTTCCAGGAAGGCATCATCTATGTCCTCCGTTTGGCTTGGGGATCTATAGTAAACTCCCACAATGAGGTCACTGTTATTCTTCTCTCCCTTAATTTTGACCCAAATGCTCTCACTTTGGCTTTGAGGTTCTAAATCTTGGATCTCTTCACAGGTATACACATCCCTGACATATAACGCCACTCCTCCTCCTTTCTTGTCTGGTCTGTTTCTCTGAAATAGATTGCATCCCCCATTATTACATTCCAATCGTGGGACTTATCCCACCAGGTTTCAGTGATGCCTATTATGTCATATTTAGTTTGCTGTACCAAGAGCTCAAGCTCATCTTGTTTATTTCCCATGCTTTGCGCATTAGTGTACAGACATTGAAGTCCATTAATCATTCCCCGTGTCTCTTATTTAAGGATTTTTCCTCCCACCACTAGGTCTGCGTGCTGTTTGCTCCATTTGGTCTATGACATTTGGATGATCATCTTCATCAATTGATAGACTCCTACCTTCAGGAGCACTGTCTCCCTCCCCAGATTAGTCAGTTTAAAGCCCTCCTGATGAGGTTTCTGAGATTTTTGGCAAAAACATTTCTCCCAACCGTTGTGAGGTGCAGCCCATCGCTTGCCAGAAGTCCATCTTCAAGAAACTGCAGTCCGTGATCTAAGAATCCAAACCGTTCCTGTTTACACCATTTGCGAAGCCAGCTGTTCACTTCCACTAGTTTCCCTCTCTCCCTGGGCCACGTCGTTCAACTGGGAGGACAGATGAGATGACAATTTGTGCATTTAATTGCTTCAATTTCCTGCCCAGAGCCTCGTAGTCTCTTTTGATCTTCTGGAGGCTATTGCTTGCAGTGTCATTGGTTCCCACATGAACCAAGAGGAAGGGGTATTTGTCACTGGGTTTTATGATTCCTTGCAGTCGTTCAGTTACATCTTGGATCTTAGCCCCGGGGAGACAGCACACTTCCCGTGACATCTTGTCAGGCCCACAGATCACTGCTTCTGTTCCCCTCAGTAGGGAATCCCCTATCACCACTACACACCTCCTCTTAGGTTTGGTCGGGGTTCTTCCGTGAGCTGTCCGTTCCAAGGTCGCCTGCACATTCCCTGAGGACTGACTTTGCTGCTCGTCTTCATATACCTGATCGACTGTAATGAGGGAGAGATCCTCAAATGGAGTCTGCTCTTCGTCTTCCATGCTAGGGGAGAGGAACTCAAAGCGATTGTGTATTTCTAAACAGTCAGAGCGAACCCTGGGCCTCCTACTTCTTTGAGTCATGTTTCTCCATATATCTGGCTCCTGTGTTGGTGAACTAGCGTCCTTCTCAGGGGAGTCCCCTGTCTCCTCCTTGGTGGAGACGGTGTGCTCTGTTGCTTCCAAGAAGAGCTCCAGCTCTCTAATTCTTTGGAGTGTAGCTACACGTTCCTCCAGTTGCTGGACTTTGTCTTTTAAGAGGGCAATCAACATGCAATTGCTGCAGGTAAAGCTGCCTGCAACCTTTGGCAAGATGGCAAACATTGCGCAGGAACCGCAGGCGACTGCAGCTGTTCCCTCCCCCTCCATCTTGAGAACGTGTCGTTGGGGGTGGCTACAGCGGTCCTCCATCATAAAAAGCGTGAAGACAGGACAAATAACTCCCCCCACAAAAACACCTAGGTCTCCCCCAACAAACGTTTGAGACTAGCTCCCCTAAATCTAAAAGATGGATCAAACTGCTGCCCTGCAAGCTCTGATAAGCTCCTCCCACAGCTAATGAGAGCTTGCAGGGCAGCAGTTGAAGAAGGAGCAAAAAGGGTATTCTTGTGTGTGTGTGTTTCTTTGTGGCTGATTAGCTGCTCTCCCTGTGCAAAGGTCAGAGGGGGCAGGGTTTCTGTTGAGGCAGGTGATTAGCTGTGGGAGGAGCTTATCAGAGCTTGCAGGGCAGCGGATCCATCTTTTAGATTGAGGGGAGCTAGAAAACCCTTTTTGCTCCTTCTTCAACTGCTGCCCTGCAAGCTCTGTCCTATCTGTGAAATTTGCTCTGCCTTTACTGTAGAAACATCTGAGAGAAGGCTTAAGATATAGTGAGTGAATAATTTATTGGGGTGTGTGTGTGTGTTTTACCTGGTAAAAATCTTCCCATCTAATAATTACCATACTAACCCTGAATGGGACATGAAGAGTGTGGGAAAAACTTGGAGGAAATTGCATCAATCTTATGTAATACTGTGATTCAGCCTGTAAGGATGTGAGTGTGTGGGCAACTGAAACAAACAGAAATTGGAAGGTAGAAAACTTGAATAGTTTCTGGTAGTGCAACATAGTGTGTTTACATCCCCAGACCAAAATTGTGCTTTTAAAAGATGGAAAATAAAATACGAGAATGCCTGCTTGAAGGGAATTCCAGAGGACTTTACAAAATTAGACTGTGTATGTCAGGCCCTCTGTAACTAGCAGCATCTGTATACTATGGCAGTCATCCAAAGGGTCTGTGGACCTTTTACACACATGACTTCCTGCTCTCCTCTGTGAGAAGGGAAACTGTGCAGAGGAGTGCTGATTCTGCTAAGAATTATAAATACACAGTTTGCTTAAAACCCTGTAGTAGTTAGAAAAGTAGGTGGCTGAAGATGAACTTGTGATCTGCTGTAAACTGCAGTAGATGGGCTTTGTGTGAGATAGATTTCTGGAACTGAGCCACTGATTTTTAGAACAGCTTAACCTTTATTTTATTACATTTATATCCTGTATTTCTTCCACCATGGAATATTTGAGTTGGGGGAGTAAAAAGGCTTGAATATTTGCTTAAATAGGTCCCATTAATCCTGGTCAGGAACACTTTGAACTTGAAGCTCCAAGGGAGCTGCTGCTTCAGCAGGGAAGCAGCTCAGACTTCAGTCTCATATAGGAGTTGAAGGTTTTACCTGTTGGTTGCTCTCAGCTAGTCATAGATCTAGACACCTGCTAACTCCTCCACTTGAATGCCTGACTCACTAGCTTTTGTCTTGTGAGCCTGGAGGTGAAGGAGAAGGTCTGAGAGCCAAAAAGGAACCTAGGCAAGGCAATTGGTGTGGAAATGTCTAGATCTGCTGACTCCTCAACATTGTGGGAGATAGAGATCTATTGGGGTGGTGTCCCCAGGTTTCAGTTCTGGACAGGGGTGAACCTTGACAATATTCTGCTGGGATTGTTTGTATTGAAAAATATTGTCCCACAATGAAATCTGACCACGAATCTATCATTGTAGGAAATTTTTGTGAGATCCTAAGAAGCTTACAAGTGATGAACTCCTTATTTATAAATGTTATATGGAAGTTGGGAAAGATTCTAGTGATTAAGTAGAAAAGTTGTGTGTGTGTGTAGAACAGTGGACACAAGAAAAGCTGTTCGGAATAGGCCGGTCAGTTTAGTTTTTCCAGTTGTGTTTGTAATAGGTATTGACTTGAAAATTACCATGCTATTCAATCCACTGCCCCCCCCCCCCAATATCATACAAGCTTTACTGGAATATAGAGCAGGCATTTTTGTAATGAGAACATGCGTCTTAACAAAAATCAGAATACCATTCTGTATTTTACTGAAAATGACTGACCACACTCTGGAACCTTTTAAAGTGCCTTTATTACTGGGATTGTGTGCTTAATTGTCACATGATACCATGTCAATGCTACTGGTCTGCCTCTTGACAAGAAGCAAACTTGTTGACAGCCCCCGTTTTTACATCTCTTCTGAGGTGGAAGTACTAGTCCAGATTTTTCACAAAGCTGGGCTTTGGGGCTTGCAAATGGGCATCATCTTTGAAACTGTTCCAAACAAAATTCTGTGACTGGAACTTAATCTGCTAAAGAAGTACACTGACTGCTAATAAAGACATAAATGGAAATTTAGTTCCATAACTTTCAGTCCTCAGTTTAGCTTTATACATTAACTTTAAAAAACCCTGGCATGGCCTGCAAGTAAATTACCCAGACTTTGCATGGAGGAAGAGACCCTGAAGTGACCTATGGGGAGACTGTTGGCTTGGTTTAATTCAGGTATCTCTGCAGTGTGGTGGCCTGCCCTCTGTCTAGGATGGTGCAAGGTCCAAAGTCTGGCGGAGGGCTGAGGACTCTGATAATCTGACGTTTTTTCTGCCTAGCTGTACTCTCTCTGCCTATTCTTTACAGGAAGTAAAAAGTAGTAGGCCGTTCTCTCAGTGTAGAAAGTAGAGTCCCTCACATATTGGAACCTGTGTTGTTTTATCTTGCTCATAAATGATTTAGAATTAGGGGTAACGAGGGAGGTAAGAAAATTTGCTGATGATACCGAATTGTTCAGGGTTGTTTAAAAGGGATTGTGAGGCGCTCCAAATGGTATCTTCAGACTGAGTGAATAGAGAGTAAAATGGCAAATGCAATTCAGTGTAAAGTGGTTCACTTTGGGACAAAAGATCCTAATTTCACTTATATGCTAAGCAGGTCTGACAGTGACTGCCTAGGAATGATAACTTGGGGTTGTAATGGATAGCTACTTGAAGATGTTGACCCAGTGTGTGGTGGCTGTAAAAAGGTGTATTACAAATGAGGGATACTTAGGAAAGGGATTGAAAATAAAACTGCCCACTGATGTACTATGTTTTTTAAAAATGAAAGCATTGTCCTGTTAGTCATATAATTTGCATTTATATGCAAAGACACTGAGCGGGGCATACACATCATGGGCCATGCTATCTGTGTTGCTTGTTCTGCTGGCGAAAATTCACTTAAGGAAAGAGGAGTAAAGGTCAGCAGTTCAGGAAGAATTGATTAGGAGCTTTTAAAGAGTCTTCAAGCAATTTTCTTCTAAAACCATCTTATTGAGGTTAGCCTTTCCTCACTATTCTTTGAAACCCATCTTTAAAATAGCCCTTACTGTGGATGGTTCTGGTTATCATTAACGAAATGTGAATTAACCAATAGATTTTGCATTTTCTTGCGTAGAACGAAGTTGAAACAAATTGTTTCATGTGCCCTGGTACAGTAATTGACTTTTTGTATGCTCTGGCACTAAAAGAAATGGAAACTTCATTTGTAACTGTATCATGATGACATCAAGGTATGCTTCAGATGCTTGCTCAGTTGTGCTGAAACTGTTGCCCTGTGCAGGAAATCTCTTGTTTTCTTTCTTTTTTCTTTAAAAAAAAAAAGTGACCTTTCCACCCATGCACTTCCTGCACAAAGCAGTGGACTATAAAAATGTTAGGAATTTGATAGTTAGAAAACAGTTATTATTATTATTATTATTATTATTATTAAAAATGCTTAATATTAGAGGCTTCGTTCATCTATGGAAATCTTTATTGGTGTATATTTCAGTATTGTTTTAAGAAGCTGTCCGTGCTGTAGCCTTCTGGTGTCTTGAGGCAGTTCTCTTTAGATCACATCCTCAGTACCATGTCACAAAAAGTCTGTGGATGATTTAAGGTATGTAGAAATGACATATGACAGCAGAGATGGATGGGTGACTTCTTGTTACCCCCACAGACATGGAACCCGGGGCATACTGCCCCCCCCCCGCCCCGTTGTGACACCACTACTGCATGGTTTAGTAGCATTTTGGGTAGCGGTATTTTTAGAATAATGGGTGGCAATATGAATCAGAAGTGAATCAGAATAAAACAGTGACCCATTTGGGTGGAGGTTACCTTTCCTCTTCCTAATTTCAGAGGAAATATGCCTACACTAGCATGTTTTATTTCCTCTTCTCATTGCACCTGTTTTTGTGTGTGTGTTTTTGTTTTTTTTAACAGTGTTGTTCCACAGAACACTGAATTCTAGAGCAAACCACCAATAGAGTTAAGATTTTGTTTAGGATTGTCGTGTTACACTGCACCAAAACTCCGACAGTAGCAAACCCTTGTGTTGCATGACTGGAAGCTTTGTCACTTACAGCTTAGTTGCATAATTTGGGTCTCATACCATAATGTCTTCACATAATTTCAGCTCTTTTGCCTAGTTTCTTTGTTTCTTTGGCTATAGTTTCCAAATCCTATGATGTGTAAATGCTCTCCTTCGTATGGGTTTTCCCCACACCAGAGTCAGTGATCTTGATGGTGGTGCAGTGATGGGTTGAGAAGTGCCTACATGATCTGGAAATGTTACCCATAATTATATGGGAGCTGACTACAGGACAGTGACAGACACGTCCCCCAATTCAATGAAACACAACAGAAAATAGTAGTTTTAAATTCCACATCCCATCTGTGGAATGTTCTCCCCAGGGAAGTTAGCCTGTTGCCTTCATTATACACCTTTAGGCACCAGGCAAAAACATTCCTTTTTAACCAGGCCTTTGGTTGATTTGATTGACATTGTATGCCCTTATAAACTGCTGTTCTTTTTTTGGGGGGGGTGTTATTGGGTTGTTGTTTTTTTGATTATATATATATTGTGGTTTTATAGTTTGATTTTGTTCTGTGAACCGCTCTGAGACCTCTGGGTATAGATTGGTATATAGATTCAATGAATAAATGAATGAATAATTTAAATATCATCACATGAGAAGGAAGAAGCATCCATGTTTGCAAACCTATTTAAAACGGAGGACTTTTATACTCAAGATTTTCCAGTCATTGCTGTGAGTTGACTTTTTTTAAAAGGTGTGGTTGTGGATAACTAAACTGCATATTGTTCTGTCATGGTATTTCCTTGCAGTTTAGAATATATATATATAAGAGTAAATTTGATTAGTTGGCAAGACTCGTTATGTTTTATGGTTTATATTCCTAATTCTTTTGTTATTTATATTCAGAATACCAAGTATCCTGAATGTTTCCAACTGGTGTTTATTTGGTATTGAGAGTAACTTCAGTAGTGGTCAAATACATTGAAGAAGAGACAAAAATATTTATTTTTTAAAAAGTAACATTTGCTGCTTCTTTTTATCCAGTTTTCTAAATGTTTGTGTTTTTAGATAAGCAAAAAGCATTTGCTGTATAAATGACTTCATTTATCACACTTTACCGTTAATGTGGAAAAAGTAAAGTTGCTAATTATTTCAGTATTTGTCTATCATGAAGTCTGAGGCACGAACTGCTTTTATCATTTTTTTAAAGCAAACAGTTTCCAAATTACCCTGTGCTGTACCTCCTCATTGAAAAGATGTGTTAGTCCAGTTGTTAAGTTGACAGTGTTGAATTATGTATGGAAAATGTGGCAGCCTGAAGGTGTTTACTGTTAGACTAATACTTCCCCTAAATGACAAGAGCTTCTCTTCACAAGAAAACATATTATAAATATGCTTTGTTATGTCAGAACTAGCACAAACTGTCGTTAGCTTTAATGATGGTTTGTTCAGACGAGCCATCTTCACATTAAGATTTTAAAATCCTGGGTTGTATAGTGAAAACTAATTACAGTTTCCAGTTCAGACATAATGACAAATAACAATTAATTAAAAATAGGGGGGCTGTATCCAACCAATTTTTATTGTCTCCATTAATTTCAGTGGGTATGCTTGGATGCAACTCAACAGCATATGCTCTTTACCGCCTAATATATATGAGGGCAGTGGGGTGGGGGGAGTGGGAAGCAGGCTTATGCATGCAACAAAAAACTATGGCTTAATGTAATTGCTGAACAAATTTGCTGGTTCCTACTGGTTCACGAAGTGCTATTGCAATCCGTTTGCTGGCTGTACTTGACTTGAGGCACAACTGAGGATAAAACAGATTTAAAAGAGAACCAAGATGAAGGAAGACTTTAATGCCCTTTGATTACTGGAATGATGCTTGTAATATGAATGTAATACACAATAGAATGGAAAGCAGTTTACTTTTCATAATGTGAAAACTATCTGTCATTCATACTGAAACCCTGAGACAATTGCATTTGTTAGTTAATACCAAGTTCTGTATACTGGAACCACTATTTTCTCCAAAGTTGGTCATTAAGAATGTTGTCTGTGCTTTCTTGGCACAAACTCTGTTGATGTGAATGAGACTTTTACTTGTGAAACATGAAGTACCAGGGTATAAAGCAATTATACATAATTGTGTGTGTTTTCCCCTCCAGTGCCTGATGATCTTTCTGTAGAAGAGAGAGAAGAGCTTTTCAATATTCGCCGTAGAAAAAAAGAATTAATTGATGATATTGAGGTAAACATTTTCCTTAAATCAAAATGTCGGTTGCTCTGAAATTAATGGTACGAACTGTGTATTGAGTTGTAGAACACTATGGTAGCTTTTTACCACAGTCTGAAGAGATTAATTTCCAATAATTGCTATTAGAATTAGGTGTTCCAAGTGCTGTACCTCTGCAGAAATTGATGTCATAGTTGTTGGCATCCATCTGTCTCAAGAGACAATTGAGAGCACCTCTGGGGGTGAAGTCAAATCACTGCATTATAGCACATAGTGACCTCCCCGGCGCGCAAGCCTGGGCAGTGTGCATGGGGGTCCTGGGCTGCCCACACGATAAGACCTCCCTTTTGGTCTGACTGATGTGGTCCAAAGGAAAGCAGAGCGATACGTTTGGCACCAGCTTGGCTGCAGTAGTTGCTGGAAGGAGGCATACAAGGCCCCATCCAACTTTTTTGGGATTCCACTCTGGATTTGTGTAGGGTTTACTCCTTACTCTTTTCTTTTCTTGAAGATATCCCACAAGACAGCAGAGGTTTAGGATCAGAGTTTTCCTTCTCCTACATGGGCTATCTTCCCAGCTTGACAAGCCCCATCTGCCCCTTACTTCCCTCTACATGTGCAGAAACTGCCTTCTTGACCATTGGACCCACAATTGGTCTTATGCGCTCAATCTGGTGGAGCCCTGTCTTCTCATGCAGGGGAAGGCCCTAACTCACTGAGGGTTTGAGACCCATTGGCTATCAGCCAGTCAAAACCATTTGCTAGGTGTGGCTGTTGTTGCATGCTGACAGCTTCTAGGAGCCACATGTGAGAACTGAGTGCAGGGTGAGGACCAAAGGGGGACAAACTACCCCAGAAGGAGCACAAGGTGTCCCCCACCAGAGGTACTACCCCTCTCCTAACACCTCATACACCCAAATGTCATAGTGGTGTGTGAATAGTATGATATTGCAGGTAAATACACCAGAGCAGACTTTTGTGATAGGATTGTTGCTCTGTTTCTAAATTCAAAAAGAAGCCAGTGAAATCCACCTATTTTTTGGAAAAGCTGTTTAATGTTCGCTTGTATTCTTCTCTCATTTTTGCAGCGGTTAAAATTTGAAATAGCAGAGGTTATGACTGAAATCGATAACTTGACAAGTGTAGAGGAAAGGTAAGCTGACTTTGTCACATGTGTGCTTTATGGAAAAGCAGTATTCTGTTGCTTCAGCTTTTTTGAGGGCCTTGCAGAAATAGCCTAACTTCCAGCAGAGACCTTGATCATCTTCTATGTACAGTACTGCCTGTATTCAAGGGGGGGGGAATAATTAGAAGTAGTTCTATTATTGACATTTACTGCTTATTACCACAAAGAGCTAGTTTAGCAAATGCAGGATGGGGTACAGCAACTAGTTAGCCCCATGATTATGGTATTCAGCACCGCAGGCACTACAAAGTTGAGAAATGGCAACTGAGTGCACTGTTTTAGGATGTGTCTCTCCCTTTTACCTTGCACATAATACCGCTGTTCCTGTGTCATTGTAAGCTTCCCCTTGATGGCTGTGCATTTGTGTAGGTTCAGCACATTTAGTATTAAACTTGGCTAAGATGATTCTTGCTATTTGGTCCATTAAAATCAATGGAGCCTGTGTCTGGAACCTACAGGACACAAAATGTTGTTGTTGTTGTTAATTTATTTATACCCCACCTTTCTCCCTTAAAAACTGCTAAAAATATAGGAAAAATCATGATTAAAAACACTGATAGAATTAAAGCTATATAAATCTATAAAATACTGTATATTTAAAACATACAAATAATTGTAATAAAAATAATTGTAATGGCACACGCCCTTTAGTTAAAAGCAGTCATTTCCCAAAAGGCTGTCTTCACCTGCTGGCAGAAGGACGGCAAATAGGCAGCCTGTCTAGCTTCTCCAGGGAGGGAGTTCTAAAGTCTGGGAAGCAGCCACCAAGAGGGCTGTGCAATTTACTTATACACCAAAGTAATTAAGTAGCATCCTGATCTTAGCAAATAGGGTGTATCTAGCCTGCTGTGCTGTCTGCCACTTTCAGTACTTTTGTTAAAGTTAATACTCAGTGTGTCACTCTGGGTGCATTTGGGTTTGTGTTGACTGGAATGCCATTAGAATGCAGTGTGTCCTCGTTTCTGCAACACTTTCTTCTGTCTTTGTGTGATGCAGCTAACATAGTGCAGACTCCCACAACTTCTCTGGCACAATGTCCTCAGCTGGCATGTTCAGCCACTGCAACATCATAGGCTGCTGTTTTGTGCTAGCATTGCAGACCTAAAGGCTTATTTGCCAGTACAGAGACTCCAAAGATTGCACCGCCAATTGGCTTGGATTGAAATAATCCAGTTTAACTGGTTTGTGAGTTAAAGCCATGCACATTATCCTCTTTAATGCCCTTCCTCTAATGTATGTCAGGAGGGTTTAAATACAATGTATTAAAAATCTAAAATGAAGTCAAAGCTACTTTGAATTGTTTTTTAGGGTAAATATTTCCCTTTCACTTTGGGAGTAAAAGTTCAGCCATTCCATCCTATTCATACTGACTGTATAAGATGAACATGTAAATAACATTTAAAATGTAAACATCAAAGATGTTTAACCAAATACATCTGTGTAATATTCTTTTCCTTTTATTTCCTCCCTTACAAATATACAGCAAAACTACACAGAGAAATAAACAAATAGCTATGGGAAGAAAAAAGTTCAATATGGATCCCAAGAAGGTAGGAGTGTTGTGTTCTTGAGAATGTATGCTTCTTATTTATTTATGAAGTTTTATATCCTACTTTTCAGTTATGAGAGATCCCAAGGCAGCTTGCAAATTAGATTTAAAACATATATACAATAAAATCACAATGAAGTATAGTCGTACCTTGGAAGTCAAACAGAATCCATTCCGGAATTCTGTTCGACTTCCAAAACGTTCGGAAAGTGCAGCTTCTTATTGGCTGCAGCAAGCTCCTGCAGCCAATCAGAAGCTGCAGAAGCCCTGTTGGACATTTGGGTTTCAAAACACCCACTTCCAGGTTTGCAGTGTTCAGGAGCCAAAACGTCCAAGTACCAAGGCGTTTGGGACCCAAGGTATAACTGTACAGAAGAATGGAGAGTTAAAAAGCCAGAGCAACATCAAACCATTTGTAGCAGTCGGTACAAATAAAAAATGACCCCAAAGACTGGCAAAATAAGACTGTCTCAGCCATTCACCTAAGGCAGGGTGGTCCAACGTGTGGCTTGCTAGGCCTTTTTTGGCAGCCCCAGGCAAGGCAGGGAGCTGCAGCACAAGGAAGGAGACCTGAGGGCTCTGACAGGGTCCTAGAGTCCTCCTGTCTCCTTCCCAAAGCCTAGTTCTGTTTGCTTCATCAGCGCACATAAGGCACGTGTATTCTTCCTTGGTAGGGATTTTATAGAGACCTGTGCTGGCATAAGCGCTAACAGACAGCCGCTGCCAGGGAATCAAGGCTGACTTCACAAGGATGATCCCAAGATGGAGCTTCATGGCTGATGCCATTGTTCTAGGGGGACTTCTCACCTTTCCCCGGGTCACATGCAGTGCTGCGCTAGGCAACTGCCTTAGAGTGTTTGGCATATACTGAGTCACACCATTGACCCATTGCTCAGTATTGTTGCTGCTGGCCAGTAGCCTAGCTATCCAGATTCTCAAGCAGGGAATGTTCTCATCCCTACCTGAAGATGCCAGGGATTGATCCTGCACAGAAAGCAGATACAGCCCTGCACCCAGGACTAGTCCCTGCTCTGTATTGCTTCATGTTATTGTTCCTCTGAAAGAGCACAGCAGATGTTGCTGCTCAATGTTTACATATACTATATTTAATAATATAAAGCACTTTATTCTCCTTATCTCATATCTTTGAGAGACAGCTTCACCAGCACATATTTGCCTCTTCTTTCAGTTCTTTGCCTTTTTCTTGTTCTTTTTTTCCTGCTCTAAAAGCTTGAATAGGTCTGGAGTCTTGTTTTCCTAAGTGGTTTGTTTCCAAAGATGACAAAATATTTGCTTGGGGCATCTGAATTTCCAGAAAGCAGGCTTTATTAAAGCAAAGTAATTTCAGAAGCATACAGATTTAAAAAATGGAGTCTATTGATGAGATTTTGAATTGTAACTAATTTCTTTGCTTTCAGTGGTTTCCAGCATGAGTGGAAACATGGTTGGCAGACATGTTCCCCTTTGCAGCAAAATGTGCATCTTTCTTTGCGATTTTTAAAAATGAAGTTGATTGTTGGTATTCATGTTCCAGCTGGGTGTTCAGGGAAGTTTTCTAGATGGTAAAGCAATTCAGAGGGAGACTGGGTAAAGAGGAGAGGGAAGGTGGGGTGGGGGAAAGAGAGAGCATACAGTTTCCTATACTAAAAATAGCTTCTCAGACTGATAAAATGGCATTGGGTTTGCCCTGATAAAGTAGGTTGCAGTTGTTGATTGAATTGTCCAGCAGCAAAATATTTTACTGCTGTTGTTTCTGCAACCTGTTTGCTTGCATCCAAATGCTTGTTCCATTTGTTCACAAATATTGTTTTTCATTATCTCCAGTTTATTTTTAAAAACCACATTTGAGCTTGCTGATTTTAAAAATGAACCATTGCCATTTCTGTTGCATTGTTGCAAGTGCCATTGCTACTTAAGATAACAGCAATTAAACCAGTAATAAAAACATGATTAAACTCATTTAAATCCTGTTAAAATGCACACATGCCAACCTGGATAAAAAGGTGCAAACTTGCTTCCCAACCGAAAATAAAAAAGGGGAGGACATACCCTAATGTGGTCTGGATTAGAGAGAACATCAAGCCATAATTTGGTGCAATATTAACAAGCCTTTCTTTTAAGGACCATTGGGCTCATCTGCTGACTTCTTCCCCTCATGCATCATGATTCCCTCCCACCCTTCCTCCTTAGTGTTTGGCAAACTATCCATTTGCCTTTTTCCAACCCGGTAAACCAGAGTTTGTGTTTGCCCTGTAAACCACCATTGGAAATGATGGTTTGATCCTGGTTACCAATCCTGGTTTGCAGGGCAAACACAAACCCTACTTTGACAGTTCAGATGAAACAGCAAACTAGGATGTTCTACAAGCCAGGGAGGGAGGGAATAGCAGTGTGTGAGTCCATGTATCTTTTAAAAGATTTAATTCATGTACCCTGATGCTTTTCAACATCTTTATGCGCCCCCTCGCCCAGCTTGTTCGGAGATTTGGGCTGGGCTGCCATCAGTATGCCGATGACACCCAACTCTATCTGTTGATGGATGGCCATCCTGACTCGGCCCCAGACACACTGACCAGATGTTTGGAAGCTGTGGCTGGATGGTTACGTGGGAGCCGGTTGAAGCTAAATCCTTCGAAGACAGAGGTCCTGTGGCTGGGACGGGCGATATGGGATTGGGGGCAACTCCCATCTCTTGCGGGGCGCAATTAGTGCCAGCACCGTCCGTTAAGAGTTTGGGTGTAATCTTCGACACCTCCCTTTCCATGGAGGCGCAGATTGCAGCTATAACAAAGGCGGCATTTTTCCATCTCCGCCAAGCTAAGCAGTTGGCTCCTTACCTCTCTCGCCCTGACCTAGCCACTGTGATCCACGCGACGGTCACCTCCAGACTGGATTATTGTAACTCGCTCTACATGACCCAGAAACTGACCCAGAAACTCCAGCGGGTGCAGAATGCTGCAGCGAGACTCCTTACGGGGTCTTCGCTGCGAGATCACATTCAGCCGGTGCTATACCAGCTGCACTGGCTCCCGGTGGAGTACAGGATCAGGTTTAAGGTGCTGGTTTTAACCTTTAAAGCCCTATACGGCCTAGGACCCTCGTACCTACGGGACCGCCTCTCCTGGTATGCCCCACAGAGAAACTTACTGTCTTCAAATAAAAACATCTTGAAGGTCCCAGGCCACAGAGAAGTTAGGCTGGCCTCAACTAGAGCCAGGGCTTTTCGGCTGTGGCTCCGATCTGGTGGAACACTCTGTCACAAGAGACCAGGGCCCTGCGGGACTTGACATCTTTCCGCAGGGCCTGCAAGACAGAGCTGTTCCACCAGGCCTTTGGCCAGGGCACAGCCTGACTCCCTCCCTCGGCAATCTTCACGGAGCTCTGGCCCAATGGTTGCCAGCGGCTTGAATTAATTAATTCTATAATGAATGATTTTAGAGTGTTGTTTATGCTGTACTTTTGTACTGTTTTATTGTTGTTAGCCGCCCTGAGCCCGGCTTCGGCTGGGGAGGGCGGGATATAAATAAAATTTATTATTATTATTATTACTACCAAATCATAACTGTCTGTTATGTCTGAACCGGCTCACATGTCTGTGCTCTATTTCAAAGTCATTTGACAGAATTGGAGATTATTTTATTGACTTCAGGACATACCATTATATGCAGCTCTTTTTCAATCCTATGTATGTTTACTTAGAGGTAAACCCCATTCTGGTCAGATTACAGATTTCAGCCTTAGCTGAAATAAAGACACAAGTTTAGATTAAAATACGGTGCATAATATCTAAGGCTATATATAATTTTATAGATACAAATGCACTGAATGCTAATGTCACAGTTAGCTCCATGGCTCAGATTACTATAACTAACTGCTTTATCTGATGATACAGTTGTAATTACATGGTGTTATCTATTTTTCTATCTACTCACATTGAAGTTTCCCAGATCATGCTGTGTGTCAAGTCATTAGCATGATGAACAGACAAATATTCAGTTATAAGAAGATTATCTCTGTAATTTGCATCCTGAGGGCTAACATGGAATAGATAATAATTTATATCATTACTATTTGTTTAGTAGATCTTCTAAAATGATTTAATGTAATAATAAAAGACTTGCAAACAACAAGCATCAGTTGCTTGTCAACAGTATACCTGCATTTAATAAATATTGAAAAAGAAAAAATAGAGAAAAGAAGCGGGGATTAAAGATGTGGCAGATTAAAATTCCTTAATCTGTTTCTAAACATACGTAGGTCTCTTGTATTGACTCAGACAACTGGTGCATCTAGCTCGGTATTATCTGTTTCAATTTAGGGTCATGCAGCCCTTGTCTTTATGAGTCTTCAAATGTGTATTGAAGATCTATTTATTTCCAGTTTATTTTCCTTGAAAGCATATTAGTCTGCTGCTGCTGCTTCATCTGGTGCTGGATTGCTTTATTTGTTTTTAATGATATTATCCTGGGGTGAACAATATTGTTGCCTATTTCCACTGCTATCTATTCGGAGGGTTTAAGGTGAATTGTGATTGTACATTTTATGTTTATATCTTGGAAACTGCTTTAACTGCCCTTTAGTCGGGCTAAAAAGTCCTTAATCAATTTACAAAGCAGCTGTCCAAAGCCTTGGGCAGAGTTATTTTCCATCTTGTACTACTTATAATCTTTTAACTAGTGATACAAGGAATTTATATTGGGATGCTATGGAGACATGATTAGGCAAGGAAGAGTGCTATTGTGTTCATGTCTTGTTTGTGTACTTCCCCTAAGCACCTGATAGGCCACTGTGAGAGCAGAATGCAGGACTTTGTTGTGTAATTCAGCAGGGACGTTCATAATAGCTGATTATTTTGATTATACGTATTTTGTTTTAGTTTCAGTAAGGTAAGGGGGATGATCCAAAGACTTCCCAGAAAAGGTGAGCTTTGAGGAGGGTGTGCACAGATGAGGCTGCATTTGTCAACCATAGGCAAACTCCTACTTATCAATGAAATCGATATAATAACTCCACAGCTTAATATTTCCAGAACATATAATCTTGTGAAGACGAAAGCAACTGAATTCATTTCCTCCTGCTGCTTTTTAGGGAATCCAGTTCCTCATAGAAAATGACCTATTGCAGAATACTCCTGAGGACATTGCACAGTTCCTTTATAAAGGGGAAGGGCTAAATAAAACCGTCATTGGAGATTATCTCGGTGAAAGGTAAGTAGAGAACAACCTGTGTGTCTTTTTATGTTAAGCTGGACATGGGGAGCCATGCTTTGATTCTTCTTGTTCTCTTTGACCCTGGCTGTATATCATACACATCTGTAAGAATGTATACGCCATGCAGGAAAATAGGGACACCTGAGAAGTTTTTCCAGTATGACTATGGTGCAGAAATATCACCCCACTACCCAACAGATGAAAATGTACTTTGAGGTTTTTGTTTTTGTTTTAAAATGCTTAAATATTTATGTTGAAAGTATATGGTGACCACAGTACAGCAAACCAGCAGTGCATCTTAATGGGCAGCTATAGAAAGCAGAGAGTCTGTAGGCACAGACTTTATCCTATCAACTGTGGCCTCCCTACTAAGTCATTTGCAATATTCAACTTACCTCCTTATATAAGCACATTTATTATTTATTCCTTTGATAGGAACATAGGAAGTGGCTATACATGAGACCAGGTTGTCTGTCCAAACCATCCCAGTATTGTCAACTTTGTTTGGGCAGTAGTTCTCCGGGGTCTCATGTGTTCACCTCACCTGCTGCCTGATCCTTTTAAGTGCTGTGGATTAGACCTGGGGCCTTCTGCATATGATGTATATATTCTGTGATTTAGCTGTGGGCCCTTCCCTATCCTTGTAAGGGATCTCCAACATTGACTCATAGCCTTCCTCATAATATGCTTCCTGATCCTTCTTACTGGAAATGGCACGGATTGAATGTGGAACCTTCTGTGTTCAAAGTGTGTGCTCTACCACAGCTCGAAGCAGCTCATATAGGTTTGTGAATTCCAAGGGGCATTTTCTCCATTGCATTTCTTTTCTTCTGAAACTCAGAGATCTTAAAGATCTAGATAGGAATGTATGTGGTTGGGCAGGGACTGTTTCTTCTAACTGGAAGCAAAATGACACATTGCACAGGTGTATCTTCTTCACACATGCTTTCCTGAGTAGAGGAAACACTTATAAAAATGAGTGTATAGGATTAATGATAATTAAATGCTTGGGTTTGTGATACAAATCTTGGGAGGTTTCAGAGTTAGATTTTGACAATCATGTGTGGAATTTTATGTTGAGACCACAGAAGAAGAGCCTGCTAATCTTAGGAGACAGCTGGCTACATAATTATTAGCTATCAGCAAGGCTACTGCCTGTCCTAATAATAGTACTTTTCGTCTGTTTAATGTTGTCTTCTGTGAACATCTTATTGGTGGTAATATATAGTTTAAGCAGGCACTTCAGAGGGATAGCAGCATCCCCTAGCTTTTAATGTGAACAAATATTAAACATAAAGGCCATTCTGGCTGCAAATTTGATCTTTAAAATGTAGAACCAAAACTGCAATCAATGTATAGCAAAGACTGCAAACTTAAATCATCTTGAGAGCTTCTTTATCCAATTTAACCTGGATTTCCTGGTCTGCAAACAGCTTCAGGTCCCTCACCCCCCCCCTCCCTTATACGTGACTGAAAATAGTACAGACTCTGGCAGAGAGTATCTTAATAGATACCAGATGCCTTATTGTGATGTAATGCTTCTTGGAGACGAAAATATGGGGCATCGTTCACAAGCTCCGTTGCAGTCACAAAATGGCATGAATAAAAGTAGTAATTCATACTGGAGGAGTAGATACTCTCAGTCGCTTTGGGTGTGAATATCTAACATGGTATTTCAGAGTTTCTTAGGAGTAAGGCTTTCTTGTGTTTCTAATGTAGGCAGTTGAAAGTTAAAGAACATTGTTCTGCAACAGAACTGAGCTGCTTTTTTGTGTTGTTCCTAATTTATGTCAATAAACTGTGGCTAATATAAAATATATTTTTAAAAAAGAAAGTGTAGCTAACTATGTACATCTGGAGTGGGGAACTTTTGTTCTGTGGGTCTAATTAAACCTGCTAGGCCTTCATATTTGCCCTGTGAGGCTATTCTCGCCAAGCTGCGCCCACCTGTCCTATACCTAACAAATAGCTCAGGAGGCCAGGCCTAGTGAACACAGCAACTCTTCCCAGTAGATCTTGCCCCAATGAGGCAGTTGTGTGGACTGTATGAAAGTTTTGTAGCTTAATACTTAGCGGCACTGTGGAACTAGGAAGTGTTTAGAACTGCAGTCCTAGCCATGTTTACTTGAAAGTAAGTCTCATTGAATTTGGTAAGATTTACTTCTGAGTAACAAGCTTAGGATTGTGTTGTACCACTTGTGAATGGCATGTCAGTTCAGGGGAGATAAGTTTTAGCCAAGTGTGTATTATCTTTAGCAAGTTATTTAGTGTCTGAGAATTTTCCAAACACTTTCTCGACATTTCTTCCGATGGTTAAATGTCTATATGTATACTAAAAATATATTTAAAAGACATCCTCACGTGCCCATCTGTCTTTGGGGAGGATCAGCTTGCAGTACAGAAATGTACAATGTATGCAATAATTTGAATGTTTGAGATGGGAAGTTCAAACTGAGGAATTTTATAGCTTTAAGGTTCTGGGCAGGCAAAACTGTATTTTTTTTCTTTCATTTATCCTCCCAAAAATCATGTGGTCATTATTTATTTCTATTTTACAGATGGATGACAACTGTGTTGTTACTATTTCTGTTTTATACATTAACTGAGCCTTAGGGAGAGTTCCTTGTCAAAAGCCACCCAAAGAGCCCATGGCTAAGCTACAATTGGTCTTCACACCCACATCTAAATTTCAGTTCCAGAGCACTGTTCTTTATTGGTGGGTCAGGACCCACAAAAGGGTGATACCAGGACCTAATATGGGTTACCCTAGAGGTACCACCACTACCTTCTTTTAATAAATCATTAAACAACAAAAAGAAAGTCTGAAATCTTGTGAGTGTCTTTATGTGTGTGTGCCTGGGAGAAAGGTGGGATAGAAATACTACTACTACTACTACTACTACTACTACTACTACTTTGCAGAGGCAAAGTTCTTGCACTCAGCTGAAAATACTGCATTTTTTGTTTACTCTGAACTAGTCTTAAACCTTCTGCATTTACCACTTGCTTCTTATAGTGAACCAGACTTGCATGCAGGATAACAAATACTTTTGAATAATTTTTTATGTAACTGACAGACGGAAAATCGGAAGTCCTTTTTATTCTTCTGTCTTCTCTTTTTCTCTCTGTCTTTTCTTCTATAAGTTTGTTCTTTTATCTTCTCTCTTTTTTGTTTTGTTTTCCTTTGGTGTCCTCTGCTCTGGGCCGTTATTGGGGTCCAAGGATTACACACACATGGGTGGATGGATGGAAAGACCCTGAGTGAGAAATCAGAGAAGGGAAGACTTCCCAGGGTGAAAGACTGGGAGAAGAAAGGAAAGCTCTCAGGCAAGAGCTGGGAGGGCCCACCACTTTCTTTTCTCTTTCTCTGTTTTTGTTTTTCGTTTTAGAATAGTTTCTTTTATCTTATTGTATCATGAAAAAAGCTTTAATAAGAGCTTATAAAAAATGGATAGCAAATAGTGCCCGGTTGCCATAGATGGCAAGGCATTGCATGCAGGCACTAGCTGGTCCACGCATTAGCAAGGTGAGGTAGTAGACTCAGGTGGCAGATCCAGCTTCCTCTGCCGCCTCTAACCTCCTCCTCCATGCCCAGCCACCCCCTTTGCCACTACCTGCCACTGCGGAGGCAGCAGCAATGGAGGGGGAGGGGAGAGGTGTCAGGGTGGGAGCAGCATTTTCTGTTTTGCCTGAGGCAAAGTGGCCCTGTGGAAGTGAGTCAGTGGACCGTCATTGGCAAGGGCAGGGAGACCAGGACAGAGCAGTTCAACCTCCCTCTGCGTCCAACATAGAAAGCAAGTAGTTTGCCAGAAGAGGGAAATCCCCTCTTTTGAACCCAGCATAGGATTGCAGTGGACCTCTGGACAAGGGACAGAATTTTCTACCCCTCCTCTACCAGCTTCCACCCTGCTGGAAAATACAGACTAGAAATGGCTGTACCATGTCCAGATAAGGTTGAAGTTGTGTACTGTATAACCAAGAGGGAAACCTAGAGGTATTTCTCTGAAGGATTCTTCTTGAGTGTATTTTCTAAATAACATTAATTACTTTCCTTATTCCATTCCCATTGAGGATAAAAACATTGCTTTTGATGCGTTGATCTACTAATTTCCCCTTGGCAAGAGCTTCTATTGTATTTATAACAGCAACAACTTGCTCACATCCTATTTAATGAGTGGAGTTTTCAACATATTAATTAAAATACTTGAAAAGGTTTGTTATGTACACTTAAGGAGGCAATTCAGGCACCTGTTTGCTTTAGAAACCCGCCTACCTGTTGTTGAGTTAGAAGCTGATCTGCAACATTTTCATTTAATGATGTGATTCAAACACACCCTAAGGATTACAGGGCATCTGAGTCCAGTAGTATTGAAATTCAGAATGGTGCTGAGTCAAAGAATAACTACCTTAGTTGTATTACCATTTTTCTCTTTTTTTAAAAAAGAATAAAATATGCATAGTTCATAATTCATGCCCTTATATGATTTTACATTTTGTACAGTGTATAGGAGAATAAAATTTATGTTGCTTATTAAAATATTAAATTGACCCATCAGTCAATTTAATAGTTCATAATGGCACTGATTTTATTACAGTCCTGAGATTTCCAGGTTTGATTTAAAGGGGGAAAAGGTTTCTAGTCCTCATGACTGTAATGCCAAGTTTGAAAATGTAATGGCAAACTGAAGCCCAAGCTCATTCTTTCTTCCTAACTTCTGGGAATTCTGGGAAGCCTGTAATTCTGGGAATTGCATGTTTGTTCCATTGCCTTTGAGATGGGAAACTGCGTGTACAAACAAGTTGCTTGTATAGCTTTTTACTCCCACTACAGGCGACTGAGAACAAACATGGCTCATATTCGGTTCAACTTGACTGCCAGTTCAGATACAGAGGGTTCTTGGGTCCTGCAGGTGACTACTTGCAAATTGAACTTATTTGCACCCTGTTTGAAAGCAAGCCAGAAGAAGTTGAGTTCTGCACTGGCTGGATACTTGATGCATTTATTGCCGTTGTTAAATATGTATCCTGCAGTTTTCAAGAAAAAATCCTTCTCTCAGGGCAGCTAACAGCATGGTTATTTGTTAAGGAGGGCATTGTGTTGGACTACCTCAAATTGGATGTTGTCTGGCCTATGCTAAGCATGGATGTCCTTGTTGAGTGAGTGGTTACTCCACAACTTTAGCCCTGCTTTAAGTATCATCATATTCTGGATCCCTGCTTCCCCTTCTTGTGTACGTGTGGTTATTGTGCAGGATCATCTGAGGAACAATGTTGGTATATGACACACCAGTGCCACGCCTCTTAACCTGGTCAGCTTGGTGTGCATCCAGTATTTCACTGTGGTTGGGTCAGCAGGGAGTCTCACTGTGCAAAAGATGAGTGCTGTAGGCTTAAGGAGCCAGCTCTGAGGCTGGGGCTTTATAGGACCTGGGACAGGTGGGTGCAGCAACCTACAAGGCAGTTCCAGAGTTAGGTTCTGCAGTGGACATTTGAGTGGTGGTGCCATAAGAGATAAGGCACTGGAACCTGAGTGCTGGGAAGCCCTAGTTCAAGTCACACATGTATGTATCTATGCACACCAATGCCACCTAGATAGCAGAGGCTAAGCAAAAGAAGGGACAAAGGACCATTGGGACACCTGTTATTGATGAAGCCCATATTCCCTTTGGTCATGTGAGCAGCCAAACCTTGTGGATAGGCAGGCTGGGGAAAAAAGAAGTCAGAATATTGAAATGAATTGCTGTTGACATTTTACTCTGTGTGTTTTATTTCACAGGGATGACTTTAATATTAAAGTACTTCAGGCTTTTGTTGAACTCCATGAGTTTGCTGATCTCAATCTTGTACAAGCCTTAAGGTGAGCACACGAAAAAAAACCTCTCTTACAACTTTTTCCTAAATATATTTGCAATTTTTAAGCAGAGGCCACAAAAATAACAGAATCTGCCCCCCCAATGCCTCAATTTGGTGAGCAACACAAATAACAGTGTGTGTGTGTGTGTGTGTGTGTGTGTGTGTGTGAGAGAGAGAGAGAGAGAGAGAAAGAGAGAGAGACTGAAATATAAGGTTACGAATCATATAGCTAAAGAAAAGAAGAATTCCAGGCCATGTTGATAAGTCACAGCAAATAGTGTTAGAGACTACCTTGACCTATTATGGTTTGAACCTTCACCACTGATAACACAATGTTACCCAAAACAGTAAATAACTCCTCTTTCAAGTTTGGCATGCTGTTAAATGAAGGATATAAGTTTTGTTGCCTATATAATTCAATGTTACCATCAAATAATTTGTTTCATGGTGCATTTCAATAATGTATTTTGAAGGGTCAAAGGGGTGTTATAAGCAGAGCAGCATTGCTGGCAATAGTGTTAATGAACTCTGCCAGAACTCACCCAGGTGGAGCTGAGTGATTACTCTAGTTGCCTTTGGACTTAATGTTAACCCATAGCATTACAGGAATGGTTGTGCAGTGAGGAAATTGCAAGCTTCTTTTTCCAATTAACTGTACTTTTGTGTTGTAGCCAAATCCTAAACAATGGTCAATCTTAACTGTAGTTTACTAATGCAAGCCAGTTTCATAAAAGCATGGTATGAAATTGTTTAGTTTAGTAAGTCCTAGTTAGTACTAACTGTGGTTTGTTTGATTCAGATGTTATGAGTCATGACAAGATATGATTAGTTTAAAACAGAAGTGAAAGGTCCCAGAACTGTCCATGTGGCCACACCGGACAAGAGGAAAGGGAGGAATACATACCATGATCCTGGGTTGGGTGTAATATTAAGCCAGGAAGCATGATTTTCTCCCACAATGCACAAGTGGAGAGCCCTCTTGGGCACAGTCATAGTAAACCATCAGCTGTGGATCATTGTAACACATGACTGGGGTATCTGATTAACGTAAGCTGCTAGGCTACCAATTTTATTTTGGGGGGAAACTTGAAATCAGTGCTGATCTACAGAGACATAGTGTTTGATAGTGTTGTAGCAAGAGATACTGTAGTGGGTGATATCTGACATGCAAGTTAATGTATATCTTTGCAGGCAGTTCCTGTGGAGTTTCAGGCTTCCAGGAGAGGCTCAAAAAATAGATCGCATGATGGAAGCTTTTGCTTCACGTTATTGCCTTTGTAACCCTGGAGTCTTTCAGTCTACAGGTTAGTGGTCACGGCTTTCCTAGCCTGATTGTGTTTATTGTGTCAGTAATATTGGGTAAAAATTGGATGACAAGAAGCTAGAAACCTGTAACAATCTTGACTGGAGAGAGCACAAGAGTCCAAGCTCATTTCTCTGGCTCAGTGTCTCCACTGAGACCCATGGTTCCTCTCAGGAGACCCAAGTGGGAGAGGTGAACTGTTCATCTCTTTAATCTAGCCTGCTTTGGAATGTTGTTTAATGGTAATTAAGTTACGGGAAATTGAGACTAATTTGTGAGTGGTTCAGGCATGCTCTTTTCTAAAAGCAGTAAATCTTCATACAATCACTTTAGCTACCTCTTTTCTGGCATACACAAGAACTTTGGGTGGGTTCAAAGCTCCGGTTGCAAAGTGTGACTTATCACCATTGGGGTTTTGGGAGAAGAGAAGGGGCTTCTCATGCCCTTGCTTTCTTATTAATAACTAGCCATGGGCTGGTTTTATGAAGAGTAATCATTCCGCTTTGATGCTACATTTCAGATACATGCTATGTGCTATCCTTTGCAATCATTATGTTAAACACTAGTCTACACAACCACAATGTCAGAGACAAACCAACAGTGGAGCGGTTTATATCTATGAATCGAGGTATTAACGAGGGCGGGGACCTCCCCGAGGAACTGCTGCGGGTAAGCTGCTTTTACAACGGCAAGTGTGCCGACTTTCTGCTTTTGATGTGGGGCCAAGAAAGAAGTGCATCAATTTTGGCACTGATCTCTTTGGGAACCAACACAGTAGGATTTATTATCATGTAACACTGGATCTCTGGAGAAAGAATTCTCTCAGTAATGCTAGCTTGAGAATAGCTGGCTTGCCCCCAAGGACAGCAATCAGTCTTTAGGGACTGTGCTGGGAACTGAACTGGGGTTTCCCCAGTCTCCAGGTCCACCACGCCAGCCACTACTTTACACTTGCTTTTGTTCAGTTGTGTTTATACTTTATGCAGCATTTTGAACTAACTCTCTTGTGTGAGCAAGGGGCCATTAACTGTAATGTCCTCCACACATCTACATAACTGACATTGGTACATAAGAAGCTGAGTGAGACCTCTAGTCCATCTAGCTCAGAACTGCCTGTGCTGTGTGCAAGTGGCTCTCCAGAGTTTCTGGCAGTCCTAAAGTGGAAATGCCAGGGATTGAATCTGGGGCCTTTTTGCATGCAAGATGTCCTTTACTACGGAACCTTTCCTGGATAGGAGCTCCATCTCTGAAGATGAACAAATGCTTCCAACACAAATGGTTAACTGTACATTCACCTATCATGGTTGTTATGTGTTGACCAAGCTGGCCTCTGCTTCTTCCCTCACATTCAACTACCATAGTACCTCTATGTCCTGCTGAATATGGAAAGATGTTTATGATTTATATATATAACGAGTGTGTATCTTGCAGGTAGGTGCTTCTTTCTGCAGGTTTCCAAAGTAGAACTACTATTTTCCAAGGAAAAATCTCATTAGCCTTTTTGCTTTCTGTAAAGTGGATGATTCTCAAAGTGAGAGATTCATGCAAACCCATTTTACCTGATTCAGGTGTTTCCTGGTGTGTTTTGAATGGTTGAACATGTTTACAGATTATTTAATTTTCAGTGCTTCCATTTTTGCCTTTTTTGTGACCTACTGTTGAACAATTAACATAGCTAGCACAATGCATGCTTACCTTGCCCATGAAAAGTGCAAAATTATTTGCAGATATGATCGTGCAAATAGTTTCTACGAAAATAATTGATTTTAGTTTCTCTTTGAGGTGCTTTGACAGAACCTGCTGGCTGCACCTTGCAGCCCTGGCAGTGGTGTTAAACTTTTACTCTCCTGTTTTCTTCCAGAATTTATACGAAAGCATTAAAAATGAGCCCTTTAAAATCCCAGAAGATGATGGGAATGATTTAACTCACACGTTTTTTAACCCAGACCGAGAAGGTTGGCTGCTGAAATTAGGTCAGTAAATGGATAATTTCCCTGATACTTTATTTTGTGTATTAGCATGTGCTGCTTTTGTTACCCCCCCCGCCCCACTATTACGTTGAAAATTTAATGCAATGGAATCAGTATTAGTTTCTGCTCAAATATTGCCAACCACTTTACATAATTCTTTTGTCTTATTACTACTTTATTATCCTCCTACTTCACAATTTTGAGTGAAGTTTGATTTCCAGCTTCTTGGGGTTGAAAACCTCAGCCGAAACCGAGTCCCGGCTCTTTCTTTCATAAAGGTAGCAGAATCTGATAGATTACAGGGTTGTTGTTGTTTAAAAAAAACTTTAAACCTTTTCCAATAATGCTGTTGTGTTGATTCACAATTAGGTTTTCTGTGCGGTCACACAAAAGAACACACCTCTCTCTTCCAAAGGTTATTCCTGTATGTCTTTAGTCCCCCCCCCCCCAAACCCTGGTACTTGTTTATTTCTGTTGGTTTGATTTTTGGCTATGATTTTTTAATGAGTGGTTTAAATGTGCCTTCTTGTTTTCCTTATGGCCTATGACCTATCACCTTTCTGTTCTGTGACTGGCTGTCTCTGCTTATTCTGCATTAGGAGGTACGTAACTGATGGCTTTCTATCCCCTTTCTCTTGTTCTGTTGCTCATTCTCTCTTTGATTTTACCCTCCCCGCCTTCCTCCTTGTCTTCCTCGTTGCTCAGTTTCCATTATTACAGCATTTGTGGGGTTACCATGCTTGTCACTTAATACCACTAACTTTAGTCTGGCGAAGCCAATGGGATTCTGCTCATGGATAAGAGCACAAATGATAGCTGCTAGCTCACGTTTGAAATGCTCAACACTTAGCAGTTGACGACCTCGATATTCAGTACCAGTTCTGTGCAGCTTGATCCATATGGGATTGGTGAGCTAAGTGCCCCCAATTTATTAATGTATGTATTAACAAACAAACATACCCTATCTGTTTTCCCAACAAAGTTTATTGTAACTTTCCCCTCTACCCTTGATGCCTCTGTGACAGGCTTGGACAGTTACAGAGAGCTACTGTAACCCTAAAAATAATCATGCAAAGACATTAAGTGTCATGGACTTACCACAAGACTCTAAATTAGAGATTTTGGATTAGTAAGTGGAAACGTTTGTGGCTGCTTGTTCAGACACAGAGATGTCTCCATGAATGGGAAAAGCAGTGTCGGTTCTGAAGAGAAGCTCTAGAATCATTTTGCAGGAAATAAATCTGAGAGGAAGGATTCTTTAGACAGTATCACACACAACCTTCATGTGCTTCAGAAATAGAATTGTTCTTGTAAGGAAGCAGTATGTTAAGATGTTAGCACTCCTTTTCTTTTTTTAAATAAGTATTTCCATCTGAACTGTATCGTAAGTCCAGGAGCCTATTTGTTCTGTGCACATTTTTATGTGTATGTTAAAGAGTTTATTTGAACAAAGCTGGAGACCTCCTGAGTCAGTAGGAACCTGAAACTTTTGGCAGCTGGTTGGTGTTTGAGGGCCAAAGTGTGCGGAGTCCATTCAGGCTCTTTTGAAATGTGAGGTTGCTTAGTTACAAACTTGGTCTTAGCAAGACAGTCTTGCCAAATATCAGGTTTTGTTTGGTCACCAGTGAATTTAGACCTTGCTTCTGCATTGTTTGTTTTAAAATGCTGATATAAAGGCCTAATCCCAACCAGGTTCAGAGGCAGCTTTGGGTTGTTGTTGAAAATAAGGTGCATTGAGACCCCCTTGACACTTTTTCCATAAAGACTGGCCAGAAGTCTGATGTTTGTATTCTCCTAGTGTAAAGTTGCCTTGTAATCAGGGGGGCCAACTTGAATAAAATATTGGGAGGGGGCGGGTAAGCCCTGCCCTGCATAATTGAACACAAGATGTAGTGCGCACACACTATTTGAAATGCAGTGCCCATCCACTTTGGGGGGCCCCAGCCCCCAGCTGTTATAGGTCCTGGTCAAAGAATACACCATGCTTATTTTAAGAAGTTTAACATATAATCGCTTTATAATTGTTTAATTATACTTCTTCTTATCTTTCTTTACATAGATCAATCGCCTTCTATAAAGCATGACAGTGATTGTATTGGAGTGTGTGTGTATGTGTGTGTGTTTGGAAGGAGACAGCAGACTGGGAAAAGCTAGCCAAAGATTTTCCTAGCAGCATCAGACTCTAGTTTATTTTGGGTTAGTTTGCAGGCATTGCATAAGGATTAATTGTGGGCCAAATGAGGGGGAGGTGGCTGTAATAAAATCCCTCCTTCTGCCCTTTCTAGTAGACATTCCAGCTGGACAAAGATCTCACAGGCGACAGATCCCGGGATGCAATTCTTCTGTACCAGAATTGTTTTTTCTTCTAACAACACTGTCTGCTGGCAATAGCTCAGCTAAACTGTCTAGTACTAAAGCATTTGTTGTACTTAGCTGAGGTCTGGCTTTAATATTTTCCTCTTGTGCTCAAGAGGCAAATATGTTAGTTTCTTGGGTTTATTTTTGGCCACTCTGAGGCTTTTACTGAAGATGAACTATTTTGCAGTGGGAATTAGAATGTGGAAGGGTGGGGCATCATCTGCCTTCTTTCTACTGTGCCAATTTCCACACAAACCGGTGCCTTCCAGATGTTTGGGCCTTGGCTTGCCTGGACCTGATGGAGGGCACTAGGTTGACGATGGTTGTGATGTGTCAGTAATGATTCCCAAAGCCTTTTATTTTTCTTGTAAGGGAATGAGTCAACTACTGTACTTGTCCAAATGGGTGTCCTTTTTACCAGCAAGTTTTTTACCAACATTTTGCCGAAAGGTCCACTGTTCAGGATATGCTTTTACACATACATGGTAGCTGTTAAATCCTACCTCATTTACCATCTTTTTTCATCATAACTCTTGGTGAAGCTTTTAGGTCTCCTTGATACAAGATACCTTTCTTTTTAATTTAACACCTACGAATGAAGGACATTGTTCATTTTTTCCTGTGTTCTAAAGTTTCACTTAGCTGCTTTTATTGATTTTCTTATACAGTAATGTGACTTCTCTAATCTGCAAGGTGTGTATGTTTGTGTGTGTGATGTTTTATCCTTCCTGTTGACTCTTCTTTCCCTTTCCATTATTAACTGACCTTATGCTATGAATGGGATACTACTACTACATATGATTTCCAGATGACCTGTCACTTGCTTTGCTTTAAATGTTTGCCTCTAGAATTATCCATTAATTGTATAACATGCTTGCTCTGTTTGTGGAGGGAAGACAGATTGCTTTGGGAGACGCTCCTTCTTTTCAGCTGTCAGAGTGAGGATGATAGGAAGGGAGAGCAACACCTTACGCCAGAATAGTCCCTGAAAAGCAGGACTTCCCTTGGGCTCCAGTTTAACTGCTTAGGTCTGCTCTGCTCTGTACATGAACACACAAAATTTGGCTTCATTTTGTCTTTTACCTGCTTCATCTCCTCCCCTGTTATTTTTATTAATGGCTGTACAGTGAGTAATGCTCAGGTTTCCTTCTTTTGAAAAAGAAGTCTGGACTCTCTATGTAGAGAGACATTAGAGAAACAGAGCGATTTATCTAAGTAGAGTATTATGAACGTTGAAACAGACTGGCTAAGGTGTCGGGCAATGGATCAAATGGAGTAGACTGGGCTCACAACTTGAGTGCCTTCTGCCAGATAACAAGAGCACAATAAGGAAATGCTACATTTTTCATGTCCTGGTGAACCCCAAGAATGCCAAGTTTTGGTTTTTGCACATTGGCTGATTCAGCCCTGGCATCCATTGACTTGACTGTTCTTGGATTCCATTGACTTGACTGTTCTCTGATTCCAAACCGAGATAAACATTTGCGAATGTTGGCTTTTTCCTGTTCGTTATCTGCATGCCACCACCTCTTGGCACTAGTTCAAGTTAGTAGTCTTTGCCATTAATTTTGAAGAGGAGTTTGATCAAACTTACTGAGTTAAGATGTAAGGATCAAGATGTGGTTTAACTTGTAGAGGCTCTTACGTTGAGTCAACGTGCAGCGCACCACCAACTTGACTTCATCAAGTTCTGCATCTTCGCCTTCCTCTGTTTCTGCTCCTTGACCACACCCAACAGAAAAATGTTGTTTTGACTTGTTAGGACTATGAAACATAGGCTTATATGTGGTAGGAAACTAGAAATACACATGAATGGAATGTAAGAGCAGCACTGGGCTACGTCTGTGAGCCCTGTAATCCCTTTATGTGCTATAAGCCACCCAGAGTGCTGGGGAAACCCAGCCAGATGGGTGGGGTACAAATAATAAAATTATTATTATTATTGCTTTTGCTTTTAAAGTCACATTGGACATAACATAACCTCTAACTTTAAGAGCTTACATTGCAGAGCAGTTTGAGAAAACTGCAGGATATCCAGCATATTCCTGTGATTGTTCTGCAGTTCAAGATCTTGTTTGTTTATTTTTACAATGTATTGTGCCAACAACAAGCTCAGAGAGACAAAGCATTGTTGACCAAGGAAGAGCTGCAGATGCTTTTATAGCTGTGCCCTGGATTGAGCAGCCTGAGTCACTTAAAATGATTAATCCTTGGGTGAACTATACTGTTTAATGAGAGCCTGATGTTCACGGTGTGCTGAGAGTGAAGGCTAATGGGATTAAATAGTGGGTAAATGGATGAGGCACAGGAGGTGATGCAACTCCTAAAATCTCTTAACTGCAGAGATACGAAAGCTTCAGAGTGAGAGCATCAAATCCATATCTGCATATGATTTTTTTGTCTGAGATTTCTTGATGTTTAGAACACAAAAGTAGCAATATTCTGGACCTTGTTATAACACATTTCTGAGGTTTTTCTCTCCTTATATTTGTATCACCTGTTGACCACAAAATAGGGGTGCTAAAGTGTGAATGGTGTGTGTGTTAGAGAGAGAGAGAGAGAGAGAGAGAGAGAGAGAGAGAGAGTGTCTTCCCAGCCTTCCTCTCCATGTTTGTGTGCTGAGTGGTGTTTCTGTGATAATTGGTTAGTGATAAAACAGATTTGAGTTTGCAGTCCTATTATCAGTGAACTAATCTCTAATTAGAAGCATATAATCTTGTGAATTTACTCCTAATTCTATCGATTTACTGTAACTGATTAGGTTAGTTTATTTGTACCTAGTCACTCCACCCTCATGAAACAAAAGTTTTTACAGTATGAAAGTAATGAAAGCAACGTCAATAGAAGTTAACTCTGAGTCAAACAAACTACAACATAAATATAAAATGCCAAATTTTCCTGGCCATTACATGTCCCGTAACTTGTGAATCCAAAAATCAATCAGTCTCTCTTCCTTTCATGGCACGATCCAGTGAGCAACTTGTGCTTTTGGAAAGTGGGGCACATAAGATGAATAAGAAATCTATCAGACAATTCCACCTTCTCTCTCTCTCTCTCTCTCTCTCTGATGTGTGTATTCTTAAGTGCACAAAGTACAGTGACATTATGAGCAAGGTATAGTGGCTACTTGTGGTCCAATGTAGAGGAAAATGCATATCCCACCTCCACCCTCAAGCTGACTGTCAGTCCACCAAAATCCAGTTGGGTTGGGGTTTAATTAGTGTTGAGGAAAAGACACACTGCAAAGATTAATTTTATTCTTTGATATTTGAGTGCAAAACTGTTGTCCATGCAAGGTGCTTTCATGGGGTCTGATAGCTTGCCATTAAGAATAAAAGTGCATATTGACTTACTGTCTATAGTGCCCACTTTTCACATTTTAGACAACCCAAATTTTATACATTTGTATTACCCACATATAACCCTCAAAAATATTAAAATGTTCACAGTTTAAATATCACAGACACACTGGTTAAGTTGTAAGGTAGTGATTCGAAATAAAACCAGCAATACTGTCATATAGGCAACTGTTGGCATGCTTTGATACAGATTTTGTACAAGCCGGTTTCCTCTGCCTTCAGTGAGAGCATAGAGACTGTATCCATCAAACAGATATATAGTTGGCAGCTTTGTAGTGCATCCTGTTTTAAAATAGTCAAGCACAATAAGAAAATTGGTGGCTGTGTATGTGAACTGGACTAGCCTGATAAAGCAAGTTTAGCTGCTCCTTTGATTATCTGAGCAAACTAGTTTTGATGCTGTGACAATGTTGTGATTTAGTGTTAGCTCCTATCTGACGATGAGCTTCCGGAGAAGAGCTCTACTACTTTTAACATATGCTGGAAAGGGAAGTTGGGGTCTTGGTGGTTCACCACTTCATGCTGAGTAAGATATATTTTGCGGTTTGAGGATGTCTTGTATTCCTTTTCAAAGACATGGCTAAATTATTGCACGTTACATGTGCGTGTATGCAGAAAAATGGAAAAGGTGGTGATCTCTGATCAGCGCCCATTCAAGAGGACTTTTGCATATTAAACAAGAACTGCCCTTGCTTATTGGTGTGTGTGTGTGTGCATGCGCCACCTGATCCTACATGAAAGTTACTTTGGTCACTAGGTCTTACCACCAAGTAATGGTGTATAGTCTGTTCGCTGTAAGAGACTAACAGTGGAATCGTATTCATGTTTGCAAAGAAGAAGAGGTGCCGTCTTGTGCCCAAGATTGGGGGGGCGGTGCTTGTGATGTCATTATGCACAACGTCGCATCATCAGGAGGAGGCCGAGCACAGAGCACAGTGCAGCGTAGTTCAATGGCTGGTTTCTCCTGAGTGCAAGAGAGGAAGCTGCGCCGCACTGGACTTCCCACTCAGCCTCCTCCTGCAATGTCATTCGCGTGTTGCATGTATGATGTCACGTAAGTGCAACACGCATTGTCAGGAGGCGGCTGATCAGGGAACACAACACAGTGCGGCTTCCTCTCTCATGCTCAGGAGGAGCCAACCATTGAACCGTGCCACGCTCGGCCTCCTCTGCCCCCTCAACATCAAGGAGGCTCAGCTTCCTGCCAGCAAATACTGAGGTGGCCACAAACCCCTCTGCCCCTAGGAGTTGGCACACCTGCAAAAAAGTAAGTCTTAGTGTTCAGTGAGGCATCTTCAGAGACAAGCATGTGTAGGGTTGTAGCATTATTGTAGTATCAGGCTGTAATATATTGTAGTAAAAATACTGGGCTTTTTTTGGATTAAAAAATATAAATTTGATAAATAAATAAATTTAAGGGGTGTTTTTTAAAGTTGTCCATTGGGTGTATTGCTTTGAGCATTTTGTGAAGCAGCTTATACATCCTGAAAAGGAACACATACACTTCAAATGTTTGGGCATACAGTGGTTCTTCATATGGAATTTAAACTAATTACTCTTTCATATATCTTCAGAAGCTGATCCGAATGGGAAGAATTCCTCTGTTTCTTAAAGAGGAATATGAAAAACTGTCTCTAATTCCTCTTCCCCATCCCTCCACCCTTGCACAGGTGCCTGGATCACACATATTATCATTCACATGACCATCAGGTGTACTCACAGAACAGCATATTTTACTGCCAGGCTGAATGTCTGAGCTGGCACCATTTGCTGAAGTGGAAACTGTTCTGTTTGAAGATCATATCCCTGAGAGGTGATAGGATAGCCATCTTCAAATATATTCACATGGAAGATGGAGGAAGCTTTTTTCCTGCTGCTCCAGAGAGTAGAATCTGAACCCATGGATTCAAATCACAAGACAGGAGATTCTGACTAAATATTAGGAAGAACTTTTTGACATAAGAGCTGTTTGATCATGGAATGGACTACTTTGGAAGTGGGTGGAGTCTCCTTTCATTGGAGGTTTTTAAACATAGGTTGGATGACTTATCTGTCAGGGATTCTTGAGCTGTGATTCCTGCACTGTAAGGGATTGAACTAGATGGCCCTTGGGGTCTGTTCCAGCTCTTCAGTTCTATGATTCTGTTATCTATTCTGTTCTGCTGATTCTACATTGAGAATGAATTAGAAATGTAGAGAATGTGTACAGTGGTACCTCTGGATACGAACGCTTATGGTTGCGCACGCGTTGGGTTACGAGCTGTGCTAACCCGGAAGTAATTGCTCCCGGATGTGAACTTTGCCCCGGGATGCAAGCGGAAATCATGGGCCAGAGGCACGCACGCGTAGCGGAAGATGCGCTTTTGCTAATGGTGCCTCATGTTAAGAACAGTTTCAGGATAAGAACGGACCTCCAGAACGAATTAAGTTCATAACCAGAGGTACCACTGTATTTGTTCCCCCCCCCCCTTTTGGTAAGAAAGGGTTTTGATTTGGGGGTGGAGGGGGGAAAGGGACAAGAATTTCCATTTCAGATGCAGTGGGGAAGATGGCATTCCAACACCATCACCTTGTAATATCAAAAGGATATTCCCAATAACCCCTTACATTCATTCAACCTTGACTCATATGTTTGCTTTCACCGAAGCCTGTCTTTTGACAAGCCTAACCATTTAATGAAGTAACAAGTTAACCCAATTCCTGTTTGTCTGCCGCACAGAAGCTTGGCATAATCTGGTGTAACTTGAAGGTGCTTTATGTCTTTACAGGCGGAAGAGTGAAAACATGGAAAAGGAGATGGTTTATACTGACAGATAATTGCCTATATTATTTTGAATACACAACAGTGAGTATGCTGGGTTGCAAATCATAATGTCACTTCTGCCAAGCACAAGCTCGGGGCTGTTTACTGAGCACTGTCTTTCCTGGACTTGTAGGACAAAGAACCCAGAGGAATTATCCCTTTGGAAAATCTCAGCATAAGAGAAGTTGAGGATCCGAGAAAACCGGTAAGGCCTTCTCCTTCTTCATGAGATACCATTCTGTCAGGAACCTCTGCTTTGTAAACACAGGAAAAATCCAGATGAGCTGCCATAAGAGCACAGCTTTGATCTTAATCAGCTCCTGTTTTTTTGAATAGTGATAGTACTGGAGGCTTCCTTGGCGGAATGCTTCTCTAATATGATGTCCTCTTAAATGAAACTCATTATTTTGTATGATAATCCAACCTTATAGCAAATTTATAATTCTGAGCAACTCTCCCTTTCTGTTTAAAGATTTGGAAAAACACTAAATTAGAGAGAGAGAATTGCACGTACACCGTAAGAAGCCCTTGACCAGAACAGGCTGGATAGGACAAGAGAAATGACATAAAGATAACAAAAAACCAGAAATGACATAAAGATAACAAAAAACCATGGTCTAATATAAATAAAGCATAGAATATTTGCTGGGGGAAAGCCTTATTTGGTGTCTCAGTAAAGTGAAGAAACCGTATCCCCAGATTAGCAACAGCAACAAAAAAATCCCTAGGCTAGTCTGATTCTTCCTTACTCTTAATTAGTGATACTTTTCCCGTGTTTGGGATGTGCCAAACTTCCAGACACTGCTTTTAATACCCATTTTGCAGTTTGTTTTCAAACTCAGTTTCAAAGACTGGGGCTGATCTTACGTCTTTTTCAATTCATTATATATTCATTATATATCATTTCGCAGTAAGCTTTTAACCTTACTGCAAGACTACCCCATATGTGTTTCTGTTTCCCTAGAATTGCTTTGAGTTGTATAATCCCAGCCATAAAGGACAAGTCATTAAAGCTTGTAAGACGGAAGCAGATGGCAGAGTGGTAGAAGGCAACCATGTGGTTTACAGGATATCTGCCCCCACCCCTGAAGAAAAAGAAGAATGGATCAAGTCAATCAAGTGAGTTCTCTCTCTAATACAGAAGTGCAACTTTCACCTAAAGCAGTGGTTCCCAATTAGCTAAGTACTGCAAACTACCTCTTTCTCAAAAGCCAAGCCGTGGAGCCCTACTATTGCAAATGTTGATATTTTTGGGGTAGTTACATGAATAGTGCCACTTTGCCCTCCAAGATGTCCCAGAGCAAAACTGGGCCACGCTGCTGTGCGAGTCACATGACCTGCGCAAAAGCATGATGCCCCCAAAAGGCATGTTTTAATTTTTCTCAGCCTCTTTTCTCTTTTGCAAGGAACTGTAATATTCTCAAAATGGGATTCCTCAGCTTAGGGATGTCTTTTTATATTAAGCAGAATAAAAATAAAATAAAATAAAATATGATTTAGCTTAGCCTCTGAAACAGTAATGGCTTCTGTTTGACTGGAAAGCCAGAATAAGAGACCATTGCCTTACATAGTTTTGTGGATGATGGTTTGTGCTCACTTTGATTTGGTGAGAGGCCTGCTTTGATAGATCCTAGTTACAGCTGTTTCTGGAGGCTGCTGCACCATAGATATGGTGAGCAGATAGAACGTGAAAGCAGACAAGTAAGTAGCTTTAATCTAAACCATGGTTTGCCTGTATACATGATTTGGGTTCTAAACTATGGTTAGCACAAACCATGATGTCTAAAACAAATCTCTTTGGAAATTTGTCAGTGTGGCTAGCAAATGTGCATATCTAAAAACTAATTCACATCTCCTGTTCTCTTAGGGCAAGTATCAGCAAGGATCCCTTTTATGATATGCTGGCAACGAGAAAAAGAAGAATTGCTAATAAAAAATAGCACTAACAGGGGACTCTTGTGGATCTGCCTTAGCCAAATTGCTAGTACATTATAAAGCCAAGGTAAAGTTCCAAGAAAACAAGACTTGTATTGGAAATGTAGTCACTTTCCTGCAGCATCTACCTTCTCTTTGCCCATTTATAATATTCCATGAGATGCTGGAAGACGTTTCAAGCACATGGATCTATGTGAACTGAAAATTTGGAAACCTTATGTGCCGTTTTGTGTGTGGCAATGTGTGTCATTGAACCAGGAGGTGATGGTATGTAATCTGTCCCTCTCCTGTTTTGGGGAGCCTGTGTTCTGGATTGTGACCCGCTGCTGAATCTAGCATTCACAGCTAGCAGATTACTCTTCTTTCTGGGTATGCAAAAGTACTTTTCTCTCCCTTGTTCAAGCCTTCCCTTCCCTTTGCAATGCTGCGAAAGTTTGAGCCCTGCTTCAGCTCACATCCGGTCTCTGGTGCTTTCATTTAGAATCCCCATCCTCCAGCTTATGGATAGATAGGAAGGTTACACTGAAAAAGAAACAACCGCCACAAGCCTGGCAGCTATATGATTAAGAGGCCTCCCTCTCATAAACAGATGGTCATGCACTGAAAACATGAAGTTCTCGAAGATGAAAAGGTTACAAACATGAGTTTTGGCAGTATCCGTGTAGCTTATCTTTGGTTTTTGGATGCTTTGGAGATGTGTGACATTGCCTCTCCAAGTGTTAGCCTGAAAAGCCTTTCCCGGGTCTCAGTTCTGTCTGGTAACATTCAGCATCATCTTATATTTGTGTAAGGATGTACTAATAATGGTTTGCAGGACTCCAGAGTTATTCAAAAACACCAGCTTTAATTGTTCTCTTTATTTATTGCCACACAGGAAAATCAAGCAAGATTTTTGTTTTGTTTTTCAAATGGGAGCAAGCCAAAAAAGAGAGAGTATATGTGTGTATGCGTAATATTAGTTATCCATTGTTAGTAGGGTGTACAGAATTGCCTGAATCCTTGCTGGGCTTTGCATCTTTCTTAATGAAGATGTGTGCATATAGCTGGTTGGGATAGCCAATTGAAAATGATACAGTTTGGATGATCATTCAAGTTTTTATAAGCCATAGTTTATGAAGCTGGCTCCAAGCCCTCCCCACTTTTCACATTCTCCTGTTGTGTGCCAGCTTCCTGCGAAGATTCTGGTTTCTGTTAAACCAGAGTCCCCTGTTGCATCTGAACTCTGGCTTAACGTTGGTTAACAAACCAGGACAATAAGCCAGGATCAACACCTCTGCTGGGTGTGCAGGAGAACAGGGGATGGTGGGTCCTGCTAGCCTGGGGCATGTTCAAGATTTGTGCTAAAGCACAGGTAAACGTGGCATGCCAAAATGACCGCTCTGTATGGTTTGAGGATAAGAAGACTCAGATTTGATTCCATTGTACTTCCAAGTACAACCAATAAATAACAGGAATAGGAAATTTGTCTGCAGTGATACCTTGGAGCTTTGAAATCACCTGTCAGTCAGGGATTGCATTTTTGTTTTAGTAAGCATAAAGCAAAAGCCTTAAGATACTGTTTGTATATTGTATGATACTGTTGGTTTATTGTATGTATGTAATTAATATCTGCAATATTCATAGGAGGAAAGCATTGGCCTGTGCAAGCAGCCACTGCTGTCCTCTCAGGTGGCAGCATCTCTTATGGTTAGAGCTGTAGATATTATGGGAGGTGAAAAAACTTGATGGGGAAGGATTGTTACAGGATCAGCACTGCAGCCTCATAGGAGAATCTGAATATAAATAGCACAGTGGCTCTAGAAGATAATGGAGGCAGCCTTCTATAGGGTGAATTAAGACATTTTTATTTAGATGTTTCTGTTTGCTGAACTCTGAAATTAGATGTAGATTTGCAGAATCATGACCAGCGGCCATGCTAGCTGGGACTGATGGGAGGTTGGAGTTCAACACCACCTGGAGAACCCATAGCTTTGCAGCATTTCACCCTAAGATTGTGGGCAATTATTATTTTTTAAATATTTTATAGAACTCTGATCCATAGTCTGGTCTGGCTTTACGCTTCCCTGGTTTCAGTTTGTCACATGTAATCCCTCAGTGAATGTGTTGAAATTACTGACATTTCTAACCCATCTAATTAGCAACCCTGTTTGCAAATACTGTGTAAATGGAGTAATTGCAGTGTTCCATGAGCTTCTTGTCCAAGTGGAAAATAACACACTTCTTAAGTGTAGAGAATGTTTGCATGGCTGCAGATGTTCTTATGTAACTGAATGATTAGGGATTGAAATTGGGCCAAACCTTTCTGCTTGCCCATGAGGCCAGTGAAAGAAATTACCTAATTTGCAGGTACAGCTTTCCATATAGTTGCAATTTTCCAGTATTTTTCAAATACTGGAATCACTTTCAAAATGAAGTTTTATTTTTATCTATTAATTCCCTCAAATTTGTTAGTAGAATGTCTGGGGGCAGGGCAAGTTATGAAAATGTCTAATTTTAATATAGTTATAGTCATTGGTACCCTACCTTGCCAAAAAACATTTGCTGAATGGCAATTTAACCAACAATGGAAAAAAATTCTTTTCTGCCTGCATTTTGGACAGATTACTGGAAGGCTTTTGTATCTTTGGGAAATTCTTTGGGGAGATTGCGCAAATATTTTTTTATCCTTTACCGAGAGATTGTAAATACTAATTTTGTTCCAAATCTCCTTAGGCAGATTTGTTCCAAAGACCTTTTCCCATTCCTGAACATATCCGAGCCTTTACTTCTGCTACTATCCAGCATACTTTGGATAAGTCTTTTGAGTTCTTCCAAGGCTAATCTCTCAGATTGTATAACTTGCCTCAATTCTGTTCCTCAAACTACTTGAGTTTCTTTACCAGATATTTAAAGGATGCCTTATTTCAAAGGTTTTCAACCTTTTTAGTCCACGGCTCCCTTGACCAACTACATTTTTTGTGCGACATCCGTGGGGTTCAGGAGGCCAGTTATGTCACCCCTCACCTGCAGAGCTGGCAGCCTCTCACCCTTTTTCGAACACCCTCCCTTGTGGAGTGTTCCCTCAGCCTCCTCTCCTGTCTCCTCTACTTGGGAGTCCTCTGGGCAGCCGCTGCTACCACTGCTGGTCTCTGAGCTCCCCCCCCCCCCGCCCAAAAAGAGATGCCTCTCAGAGGCACTGTTCACCTGGGGAGCTTATAGCCAGGGATGTGGCAACAAATAGCTGTGGAAGCCTTTGGGAGGCAGAGACGTGAGAGGGCATCAGAGGAGGGAGGGAAGGAAAGGACAGGCCAGTGTTGCCCGTGGGACCCCTGACCATCATTCAAGGTACCCCAGGATGCCCCGGCACACTAGAGAGAGAGAGAGAACTAATTCATAGGTCTAAGTATGCAGATACCAAAAGATATCTGAGGGTAGAGATTATTTATCCCAAGCATCCTGCTGTTTTTGCAGTACTGTAATGGTGCAGCTACTCCCATCATGTAATTTCTTAATCAGAGTAGTTGGCCTCCTAGCAAGTTTTGTTCTAGCAAACTAAGAAAATTTTGATTGCTCTTTGCCATCTGTAACAAACAACCTAGTAATATTCACAAAGATCAGCTTGTGAAGATCCCTCTTCTTCTTCGTTAAACATAGGTAAAGGTAAAGGGACCCCTGATCGTTAGGTCCAGTCTTGGCCGACTCTGGGGTTGCGGCGCTCATCTCGCTTTATTGGCCGAGGGAGCCGGCGTACAGCTTCCGGGTCATGTGGCCAGCATGACTAAGCCACTTCTGGCGAACCAGAGCAGCGCACGGAAACGCCATTTACCTTCCCGCCGGAGCGGTACCTATTTATCTACTTGCACTTTGACCTGCTTTCGAACTGCTAGGTTGGCAGGAGCAGGGACCGAGCAACGGGAGCTCACCCCGTGGCGGGGATTCGAACTGCCGACCTTCTGATCGGCAAGCCCTAGGCTCTGTGGTTTAACCCACAGCGCCACTCGCGTCCCATAGTTCTAAAACATAGGTGTAAGTAAATTCTAGGGTTTTTCCTTCCCAGATAATTAATATCTTTCAGTTGTCTGCCATCTCTTTATAATCCTGAAAAAGTATTTGTAGGAGGGCCAGTGTGGTTTGCCATCCTATTGCTTGGGTGAACCTTCTTTTGCTTGTCTTTTCTGTCTTTTCTCTATATTACCTTCTCGAGGGAATTCTTTGTTCTTAGCAGACTGGACGTAGGGTTCCTCTGACCAGACCTATCAGGTGTTCCTTCCTTTTCTGAGGAAATACTCTTGCCTCCAGATCCTAGTTTTAACTGGGCAGATCTAGTGCAGACTGATGCTAGAAGGGCCCGATCAATTTGCCCAGTATTTCATTGTCAAATTTCACTAGATCACCCCAAACGTTCTGCAGAAATCACTGTAAAAATTTTGACCTTTTAAAAATCATGCGCTCCGATCCCTGTTGGCTTTCCACAGCCCTTTTTCTAGCACGTGCATTTAGGGGATTGAATTTAAATGGGTTGGCAATGCCGGTGATTCTTCTCTGGTTTATTTTTGTCTGATTAAGAGTCCTCTGTCAGCAAAGAACATGTAAACCGAGTAACCATGATGCTCTATAAGCATTCTGCTAAAGTGCAGCGCAGCATCCTTTCTCCAGCTATAGAATGGTTGCAGATGTGTGTACGGAACAGTATTAGTAGGGATTGAATTTGAGCCAAAACCTCCAGAGGCCAGTAAAGAAGCAAGCTAATTTGCAGGAGTGGCTTGTGAAAGCTTTTGGCTTTGGTTGAGGTACTACCTTTTAGAAAATACAAAATAAACCTCTTCTTCAACCTAACTCTTGGTCTTGGGGAGTTGTAGCTTTTGAAAGCAGCGAGAACCGCAGAGGCTGAAAGCAGTGGAGGCAAATGGCATTGGGTACTTCTGTGGGTGTTATTCAGGAAGCTGCCTCCACTTCTGTCCTATTCACATTCCCTGACCTTGTTCCATGAAGTAGTAAGATTTCCCCCACCATTCTCTTACTGTGTTATCTGAACTGGGACTTATGGTTATGCACTCTTCTCCTTAATCATGAGCTGTAGCATCCGCCCCCCCCCCATTGTTTGTAGTTAAGGAGCTTAACCATGAGGCAGGTTCAGAAGACATGCTAAGCCACAGGGACCAGCGAATGCAGGCTTCCTTCCCCTTAGGAGTCAGCATGTTTGCATGGTCCCCCCTAAGCCATAGTCATGCAAACCAGACCCACTTTTGCCCAGTGCTGCTTTTCAAGCCTTGAGGACTCTGGTTTTTGAAGGGGTGAGTTTTAAAAAGCACTTTAAGTTCAGCTGGCCTGACAGGTGCTGAACCTAACCTGAGGGAGGTTGTCAGTGGGTGGGTGGGTGGGGGGTGGAAGAGAGAATTTTGCTTTGCTCTGTCACTTAAGGTTTTGGATGTGTTGAAGTGTGCAGTACTTTATAAAGTGAGCAGCATTTACAGTGCTTTGTATTAAAAATGCCTATTTTTAAAAAAACGTAGTACATATCTTTCTAGATATGCTTGCTGGAAGAAAGGTCTCTTGGATCCAGTGCAGATGTAATACTCTCTACTGACCATTGCTTGCAAAATCAAGATGCATCCTCAGAAGCAATAAGCACTCTCTCTCCTCTGCCCACAATTTCCTCTTTGAGAGTGGAAAGCTTAGCATTCCATTAACACTGATGCTGCTCTGGTTGAGGGGGAGAGAGTGTGCTGGCTGTTGGCATGCAAGGAACCAGTGTTACATCTGCACAGGCCATTAGAGCCCACATGCTGCAAACTAACCTGTAGCTCACCACCTTTTCTTTCTATATTTTCTTGAAGAATGTTTCTTATTGACAGTTAAATGTATATACTGTACATCTGTGTATTATTGATTTTGAAGGTTTGTTACTCTCGTATGCCAATGAATTTGCATGGACTATTCTGTATCTATAAACTGTTATACAAATATCTATGGTAATCTTGTATGACTGTTTTAAATCCACTGCAAGTATTTAGTTAACAAAATACATTGCAGAGGGAACTTCATTCTCAAAAATAAAAGTTTGAGTTCCAAGTGCTGCTTTTCTATAACATACACACACTCCAAGCACCTGGACCCAGAGGCATTTTGTTGTCAAGTGTGTCCCTTGTGGTCCCTTGATAAACGCAGGTTGTCACTTGCGTAGACACACTGTTGGCAATCTTACATCTGAGCATGCAGACATAGGCATGACACTGGTAATTGTACTTAAATCAGACGTACACCCTGTCAGACAATTTACCCCAACCCTCTTTTTCAGCAGTGATGTCTCATGTGTGGGTTGAAACTCATCAACAATCTTTTTTTACTTCCAACTCCTTTGGCATATCTTGATGACATCCACGTTTTCAGCTCTGCACTTAAAGGGTTATTTTAAAACAGGGGTGGGAAACCTGTAGTCCACCAATAACTCTCATTAGCCCCAGACAGCCAGTGGGCAAGGATGGTGAAGAGGTAGTTCAAGAACATACGCTTCAAAAACCTGATCGTGTAGAAGCCAGGATGCTAGCTCTCTGCAACTGCAGCAAAGGCACATCAACCAGAGTGTGATTTCTTGAATAAAATATACAGCTGCTGTATCACTTAACCAGAGGACACACACACTATACAGTAAGTGAGTAGTTATTACATTAAACGATTCACCCTTAGCTGGGGATATACAAAATACCACCATGAGCAGACAGCCTGAGCAGAGAGCATCAAGAATATAAACTTCGTTAAAAGTCATTGGTGTAGAACAAAATGAAAACATAACACTACACACTAGATGGAAACCAGTGTACATTGAGCAACATTGTTTTGACTTGTTGTATTTATATACTATATAAATTTTACATGCCATATATTTACAAGTGGGGCAAGTGCTTTATCTTTAAAAAAACAAAAGATCAAACTTTAGACATCTCTGAACAACACAGCTTGTATAAACCAGACAGATTATTCAGATGAACTGTATTTAATACAGTTTTCCCCACTCCGTCTCCTGATGCAGGACCAGTGAATTAAGTGTATCACAGTTTGATAGCAATTCATCATAAAAAAATTAAATCACAGTATGAATGTGTCTGTAACTAGAAATTTTTGAAGGGACAAGGACCAGACAACTGAGACCCCGTCAAGACAAGCAACGCTATAGTAAAACACAAAAACATAGTGGATGTATGAGGATGGCTCCTGCTGGCCGTTGTTGGAACGACGCAGGGGGACCCCGCTGCCACCACTGCCGTCATCTGTGGGCGTCTGAAAGAGCCGTGGAACAGATGCTGGGGACAGGCAGCTGCAAGACTGGAATCAAGGAAAGGCAGAGACAGGAGACAAGGGAAATAGAAGCTAAACATGGGGCGGGGGGAGAGTAGGGGAAGGAGAGAGAGAGAAAGTGCACAGAACAGGAAAGAAGAAGCCCCACAGAGTGAACAAGAGCCAAAGGCAGAAGCCTTCAGAGGAGGAAAACTGAAATGCAGCAAGAGAGAGTGTAGTGGGAGAGACAGAAGGAGAGGGGGGCAAACATCTGCCGGAGACATCCCTGCACCAGCCGTAACAAGTTCATGGGTGAGACGACAAGCCTGGCCATTCAAACACCCTGAAAATGGCCAGTTGGCAGGTGGTTGGAGACATCGCAGGGCCCAGAGAGACAGCCCTATCCATGGGAGTGGCCGCAGCAGGCAAAGGGTCTTCAGACATGTTCCAAGATACATTCAAAAACTGGTAAAGAGTCCGAACGGCACGTTTCACATAGTCCAAGACTGGATTCCGACGGGGTGGGAGGGAATGGATCGAGTTTCTAGTAGCAGACATCACAGAAAAAACAGATGAAGCTCTTGCAAAAATTCTAGTTGTATGTGAAATTTTTAAATAAGTCTTTAAATTAAATAAGAGACTATCAGTTGCAGCTTGATAATTCTGTGGTTTCCTCGCCCCTTTGCACCAGGTGTGTAGACTTGGAGCAACATCACATGAATAACACAATCAACCTGAGTCTGTAACTAAGCAGCATTTGAGATGTTCTATTCCAGGGCATTAATTACTGTGACATTTACAGGGTATATTTTATGATGTTCAGCAGTTGTAGAAAGTTTCCATCTGTTTTTGTTTCTTTTTCTTTTTTTTGGATTGCAGGTAATTTAAAAAAAAGTCTCAAGGTAAAAACTAAAAAAAAGGGTTTCTTTCAATGGTAAAATTCTGTACAGTATTTCTGAAGCACCAATTATGAATTAAAGAGTTAATCGCTTTTCGGTTTATAAATATACTGCGAGCTGTGGAGGGATGGCTTCCAGCAGACACTCTGGATCTGAAAGAAGAGAAGAGAACCAGGTTATTCTTGGATGCCTAGATCCGATATGAGCTTTTGTCTAGTTCCTTAATGGCACAGCACAATTGTGGTGCTGTGTCACACAAGCTGTAACAACTGCATCACTGAAAATTCCAGCACTGAATAATCCTCAAATTGTTTCCTGCTTTCCTTGAGCCTTCAGCAGCAGAGAGTGAAATGGGATCACTCTCCATCAATCACTCTCCATCAGTCTGGCTAAGAGACCAGCTGCCATTTGACTCCACCCCTCCCTGAAATGTCTCCGTTCAAGCTGGTCATCATAAGAACAATTATATTAGTACCCGAGTTTGCTGGTTTTCCCATTCCTTCCCTCTTTTTATGACATATTCATTGGCCTGCAAGCTTGTGGACAGGGACTGTTTCGTTTTCTAACTCTTTGTACAGCACCTAGCAAACTTTGCAGGTTTTATAAATGATCCCTAATAAACCATGCTAACCAAACTCAGTGGTGCAGCATCTGCTTTGGATGCAGAAGGTCCCAGGGTCAGTTCCTGGCTGGCAAAAGACTCAAGTCTGAAGCCAGGGACAGGCGCTGCCAGACAGTGTGGACAATACTGAGTCTGACTCAGTATAAAGCAACTTTCTATATTCCTATGATATTTTGAAGCCCCTGAGGAAGCTTAGGATTACATCAAGTTATTAGCAGCATAATGAAACATGCACTGTTGATTGAATCTTGGGTTAAACAGCACCTTGATGCAATCATTTGTCAGGAACGCAGTCATTTTCCATTTAGATACAGAAGGTGGGGAGCTGCTGACATGTTGGGACAGTCCTATGGTTGGCCTGGGAGCTCTGAGGCAGTGCAGACAAAGCAGCCTTAGCAGGATTCTGGGTTCCCAAACTGCTGCCATGAATTGTCCAGGTTTATGAAAGCGAAAGGGAGGATCACTAAGCCTTATGGGTGGGAATGCCTGCTTGAGGTGACCTCACAGACAGCGTGATATAGTGGCTACAAGGCTGGACCAAGGATGGCCATTTCCAAGTGGAAAGCTCTGCCTGACCTACCTTCACACAGATCCTCATAAGGATAAAATGGAACAGTGCATGCCGTTTCTTGAGCTCCTTTGAGAGGATATGAGATAGAAATGTAATAAAACAAAGTAAGAGGACTCCAGAGGTTGCCCAGGAGTGGGAGGGAGAGCTGCTTTACAGCAACTTCTGCCAGCGTGGGGATCCTCCAGGGATTCTGGGTGGCTACTCTCATCAGCTCCAGTCACCCCACTGGGGGTGCTTGTCCAAAACCACTGGAAGCTCCCCATGAAGGCGAAGGCTGCTCTCCAGACACCACTTGGAAATCCCCCTCCAAGCTTCTTACCTACGTTACGATCTGTAGGTGGGCAGCAGCTCTCTCTGTTGCTACCTTCTAAGCTCTTGGTTTTCTGGCAAACAGTCTCTCCATCCTGGGGGCCCTTGCCCTGTTTCCTATATGCATCCGAAGAAGACTCAGTCATTTCCCATGCTTTGAGATTCTTGGTTTCCAAGCCGGTTGGCTTGGGAAGACGAGAAGCTGACGTTTCGGCGCGCTCTTCTTTCTTCGTGCGTTTCTTCTTCTTCTTCTTTTTCTTCTTATGTTTATGCTTGTGAGTCTCGGCCTCAGAGCTGGATACAGACGGGTCTGAATCCTGGTGGTACCTGAAGGAAACGGAAGCTAGTTAACAGGAAAATCTGCAATGCAAGCTCCTGGAAGGCAACAGGTTCTTCAGCCAAGAGGAAAGTGTCCTGAGTGGGTCACTCCTCCCACTTATCCCAGGGTGTGTGTGTGTGCGCGCGCACGCAAATGAACACAGACATTATTCCTACCCAGTTCATAATGACAGAGTGATTTCAGAGTTTCTGCTCTGACTGGGTTTTGAGCCTCCCTACATTTCACTAGGGACGCGGGTGGCGCTGTGGGTTAAAGCCTCAGCACCTAGGACTTGCTGATCGCATGGTCGGTGGTTCGAATCCCCGCGGCGGGGTGCGCTCCCGTCGTTCGGTCCCAGCGCCTGCCAACCTAGCAGTTCGAAAGCACCCCCGGGTGCAAGTAGATAAATAGGGACCGCTTACCAGCGGGAAGGTAAACGGCATTCTGTGTGCTGCGCTGGCTCGCCAGATGCAGCTTGTCACGCTGGCCACGTGACCCGGAAGTGTCTGCGGACAGCGCTGGCTCCCGGCCTATAGAGTGAGATGAGTGCACAACCCTAGAGTCTGGCAAGACTGGCCCGAACGGGCAGGGGTACCTTTACCTTTACCTTTTTTACATTTCACTAGGTAATGTGGAAAGGGAGCCAACCTTAAGAATGCAAGATGACCAGTGGTCTACCAAGTAGTCTAATCCTCCTTTAAAGACATCCAAGTTAGTGGCTGGGCAAGGAAACTTAGGGAAGGGCCATGACTTAGTGGTAGGGCACTGCTTTGAATGCAGAAGGTCCCAGCTTCCATCCCTGACACCTCAAGGCTGGGCACAGAGAGGCCCTTGTCTGAAACTCTGAGGAGCCATTGTCACTCAGTTGTGATGATACTGAGCTAGATGAACCAATGGTCTGACTGGGGATAAGGCAGCTTCCTTTGCTGCTGTTCACCTAGAGGAGAGGGCATTCCCTCCATGGAGGCTCATGGTCACAGCTCACACACAGCTCAATCTGCTATGAGGAACATGACCTGCTTGTTGTTTGCTGCCTTGGGATCAAAGACACGCTATATGATCTTTATTGCTTTTGTTCTCCCACCCTGAGGAAGAAGAGTATGATTATTCCCATTTTCTAGTTGGGGGACTGGGGTTGAGAAACAACTGTCAAGCCCAAGGTCACCAAAGTTATTCTACTGGGGGTTTGTTGTTGTTATTATGATGATGTTATGCGCTTTGTGTTCTTATGTTGTAAACTGCCCTGTGATCTTCAGATGAAGAGTTGTTTATTAAGTAAATAAATAATGGCTTACGTGAAACTTCCTACTCGATCCTCAGTGTAATTCACTAGCACCACAAAGTTCTAGTCACTTTCCTAATAAAGCACTAAATCAGTGCGGCCCAGCTTTTCATACCAAGTGGGTTGCAAGAGTATTTCAACATGGAACCTGTGGGTCACACACTGCCTTCTCATGCGGGGCAGGGAGCAAGGCCAAAATTTGAGGCCCACGAGTTTTTGCACTGCCTTTCCAAAGTTGGCTAAGTGAGGTGTGGGCTTTGGGAAAGAGGCGTGAGGCTCTGGCAGGGTTGTAGAGACCTTACACCACCTTCCTGAAGCAGGGAAAGCGCTAACTAGGCTTTGGGAAGGAGGTGGGAGGACTCTAGGACCCTGCCAGAGCCCTCATGCCTCCTCCCCAAAGCCCAGGGCCTCGCTTACCCATAAGGGCTGGGAGCATTGTCAAATGTTGCCGAGGGTCGCATGTGGCCCTTGAGCTGCACATTGGAGCATAGTGTACTAAATTAACCTTCTCCCCCCACCGCAATTTAAGGTCTGCTAAAGATCCTGTAGGGATGTGGGTGGCGCTGTGGGTTAAACCACAGAGCCTAGGGCTTGCCGATCAGAAGGTCGGCGGTTCGAATCCAGAGAAGCGGACACGGAGCAATGGATCCAAACTACAAGAAAGAAGATTCCACCTAAACATTAGGAAGAACTTCCTGACAGTAAGAGCTGTTCAACAGTGGAATTTGCTGCCAAGGAGTGTGGTGGAGTCTCCTTCTTTGGAGGTCTTTAAGCAGAGGCTTGACAACCATATGTCAGGAGTGCTCTGATGGTGTTTCCTGCTTGGCAGGGGGTTGGACTCGATGGCCCTTGTGGTCTCTTCCAACTCTATGATTCTATGATTCTATGAATCCCCGCGACAGGGTGAGCTCCTGTTGTTCGGTCCCTGCTCCTGCCAACCTAGCAGTTTGAAAGCACGTCAAAGTGTAAGTAGATAAATAGGTACTGCTCCGGCGGGAAGGTAAACGGCATTTCCGTGTGCTGCTCTGGTTCGCCAGAAGTGGTTTAGTCATGCTGTACGCCGGCTCCCTCGGCCAATAAAGAGAGATGAGCGCCGCAATCCCAGAGTCGGTCACGACTGACCTAATGGTCAGGGGGTCCCTTTACCTTTAAAGATCCTGTGGATGATTTCATTTCAAGAAGCAGGACCTTTCCTGCTGTGGCCCTAGAGCTTAGTTTTATCTCCCCTCCCATGGGAAGCACAAAAGGCCCCCTTCTTGCTTTCATGCCACAGCCAGCTTAAGCTTTTCCTCTTCAAACCTGCCTTTGGCAGCTGATCTACTAATACACTCTGGACCTGAGATTAACTTCATTTATTTTATTAGTGGATTTTAAACAGAAAGTGTTTATGAATGAAACATAGGACGCTTCCATACACCAACGAAGTTGTACCACTGGCTCCATCTAGCTCAGTATTGTATACACTGACTAGAACTGCTTCTCCGGGATAACAGGCAGAAAGCGAGCGAGAGAGAGAGCGAGCTATTTCCCATAGCTGGCACTTCCTGACCCATTTCAACTGGAGATGTTGGGGATTGAACGTGCAAAGGAAGCTATGGCCCCTTCCAAGTGAAAAATAGTAGAATTAAAAATAATTAAAAAATAAATGCCGGTGCACTGCAGAAACCACCACATTGCAGAGGTACCAGCTAGTTCGAGAAGCGGCAAGTCAATTCCCGACTATCCCATTCCAGGGTCATAAGCAACTGTCAGGGGAAGACCATAAAGCTTCACAAAAGTTGGGTGTGTACCCAACGCTAGTTGTACTTAAGAGGAAGACTCCATCTCCCTTAGGCCTCCTCCCCATTAGACTGCCTCCATGGGAGAGACAGGAAAGATCAGCACCTCCTACCACTGGAATGTGCCAGCCGGTCATTGTAAGCACTGTTTAAGAACTGGTGCCTGAGTTTGATTCCACCCCCTCTCTTGTGTGCTTTCCAGATTGCAAACCTGTGGGGAGGGACTGTCTTGCTAGGTAAGCCACACTAGGAGCCTTCTTGGCTGAAGAGGACTACAAATGCTCTAAAATAAATAAAGGAGTAGATCCACAGAAATTAGCAGACATGGCTAATGGTGGGTCATTAATTTCAGCTGGCCAACTCCAAGTAGAACTTATTTGGGAATAGCCCTGGGCTCCTGCCATTGGCTTCCCCCCACCCCCACCAACTTTGCACTAACCTGGAATCTCTCTCTCTGTGTTTGCTTTTCAACTTCTTCTTCTTCTTCGACTTCTTGTGCTTCCGCCCTCTTTGTTCCTCAAGAGACTCACTCTGTGAGAGCTTACGGTGCCTCTTTTCCGGGGGGGTCTTGCTCCCCTCGGGGCTCTGGCACCTCCTCTTCCTTTCCTGGTCGTGAGTCCACCTGCTTTTATAATGATCGTATTTATACGGGCTACTGTAAACATGACTTGATTTGCTATAGTCTCTCTCGCAGTGAGTGAATTTCCTATCCTGATTGTACCTGGGGCCGTGGGAAGAATAGTAGTAGCTGTAAGGCCTGCAGCTCTCCCATCTCCTCGGGCCATCTTGGTAATACCGCTCCTTGCTCCACGACTGCTCCCCTTTCCCGTAGCAATGCCTGCTCCGTTCAGGGTCCGTTTTACCTCTGCTGCGAGATCTGTAAGAGGGATATTTCCCCATGCCCCTCTCAGGATCAGGGCTGCATGGGAATCTGTAATAGTTTGCATTGTAGTATTCTCGCCGGTAGTGCTCCTGCTTGGCCCTCTCCCTGCTGTAGGAGCACCACTTCTTGGGGTAGTGCCCTTCTGGCTGGCCCCGGGGGGCTACTGCTGCCTCCTCCTCTTCCTCCTCCTCGCTTTCAGAGCGCTTCCTTTTGGAACGGTAGTGCTCTTTGTCTATTTTTTTTGAGGTGGATATTTTTTCCTTAAGGGGCGAATGGGATTTCAACTCATGCCTTTCTGTATTTCCTATGAACTGTTTGCTGCTGCTCTCTCCCAATCTGCCGTCGTCCTTCGAACACTGGCTTCCTCCAACGGGGTCCAGCCTTGTAACGGAAGGTTCATCAGGAGGCGGGACATCCTCGTAGCGTTCCGCACTGTCTTGTGTTTCTTGGCATTTTTCTGCCACGTCTACAGTGGCAAGCTTTGGAGAACTACATTCACCGTCGGACCTTGTAAGGAGGGGGCTGTGCACCCCCTTTTCTGCTGCTCCCCTGACAGGCTCGGGGCTCTTTTCCCAAGCTGCTTTCCCTTCTTTTGGTCCCCTCATCTTTTCAGGATGGTCCTCCACATCACCTTCCCTAGGGAAGTCTTCCTCTGCTCCCAACGAACTGGATTTAGGGTCGTGCTGCCCGTCACTCTCAAGAGGCGTGCTCTCTGTTTCGGCAACAGTCCTTTCACAGGAGTCTTCCGTCGTAGAGGTGATTTCAGGGTCTGAAGGGGCCAAATGATTCTGGATGTTGTTAGGAAGAGTACTGGCTCCCTCTTCAGAAGGGCCATCTGTTTTTTCTGTTCCACTACCACTGCACATGAGAAAGAGAGAGATGCCACTGACCAGAAAAACAAATATATAGCAAACATTACATATACCTTCACACTTTTTCAGCTTCCGGAAAACACTTCTCTCAAAGCAGAATAAAAGTCACAATATAAAGTACATGTACCCAGATGGTTTTAGGAATTGCGTGGACACAGAAACTTCATTCACGTGTCACAGTAAACCACAGGTAATGTCTAACTGTGATCCCTACCTTAGTGTTATGTCTAAACCAGGGATCATGGTTTATTTTGCCTCAACAAACCACAATACGTAGCAAATATTTTTTTTTCTCTTGGCTTACCGATCATCATTTATTGGGAGTGGAACAAACACAATCTCTGCTTTGGACATTATGTTAACCCAGGGGGTTGGGTTGTTTTCTTACAGCACAAATGGAAGCCTCAAAACAAACAAGAAAGGTGCAAACATGGTAAAACTATTAACTATGGTTCAGGTCTAATTTTCTGATGATATTATGAACTTACATGCTTTGCTTCTATGTTTTCATTTTCCTTTATTATTCATGTTTGCTCTACGTATTGTTACAATGCTGTTTTCGAAAAACCAATAAACTCTGCATTTAACTCCCCCCACCCCCATAAGTTTACTGTGATGCGCTAACTGACTGGGCCAATCTTACACCGAAGCAGAATTTTCAGAAATCTTCCTTGGAGCACCACTGTTGATAGAACATTAAATCCCACAAGGTATAAATGCTCCAAAGACTTGTGTTCTTTTAAGGGAATGAAAGAAGATGGTAGCTTGCCACAATCAAGAAGGAGTTTGTTCTACCATAGCTCTTACAATTCTATTTAGCCACGGAATACACTCTGTCTTTAAATGAAGTCTTTGGGTCACTAATTTACATCAGGAATGTGGACTTCCAGATGTTGCTGGACTGCAATGCCCATTATTGGCTGCGCCTGATAAGAGTTGAAGTCCATGAACATCTGGAAAGACAAAGGTCCCCATCCCTGCTTTAAATGCTCAATGTTGCCCAAGCTTTAGAAATCTCGAGAGATCCTGTTTAGACCGATTTCAGGACAATTATATAGAACTACTTTCTGGAGTATATTAGCATAAGGTGCACAACACCAGATGTTGTTGGAGCGAAGGCACAGCCCAAAGATTAAGCTCTGATTTCCACAAACCCTGCACTTATTTCCAAACAAATGGCTGCAGATCCTACAGAATTAGGCATCGGCAATATACTGTGTGAAAACACACGCGTCTGAAGGAAAGCGTACTGGAAAAAGCACATGTGTTTTACCTTATTTCCCCCGATGAGGTTTTCAGTTGATTGTATCTGAAAGAGTCTAAGATCCTGTCTTCAGGGACTGGGGGCAAAGCTGTAGGCACACCCTATTATTGAAAACAAATAAGGTTAACATGCAGTATCAACCAATAGGGACAACAACTACTTTAAGTGCTTCTGAGAAACAAATTGCCTTCCTTCCTCACATGGGTAAGAGACGTATTAGCTAAGACTGGCTCCCACCAAGTACCATGCTCAATAAACACCAACTAGAAAAGGCAAAAGGAGTTTTAAGTAGCTGCCTTATACAGAGTCAGACCCCTGGTCTGCACAGCTTGGTATTGCTAGGGGGTTGCTAATGTGGTGCCTCCAAACTTCACTGAAGCTGTTTTGGCGCTCCCTGAATAAGAAGCAAAATTCTTCATCCAAGCCAAATTCTGCAGTACGAGTAAATGACATCAGCTTTTGCCATCCCTCCAGATGTTTTGATTTACATCTAGATGAATTACACAACCCAACCAACTCTGCCTATATTGGCTTCCATCAATAACTTCACTTGTGGGACGTTTTGGACTACAACTCAGTCATCCCTAAATTCTGGCCATGGTAGCTGTGTCTGATGGGAGTTGTACCAGGTTGTGGAAGGCTGCCGTAATGCAATGGCAGATGTGTGGGGTATCCCCACAGCCATGCTGATAAGCCACAAGTTGATGCAGATGGAATGGTGGTTTGGAATCTGGGAAGCTGCCCCAGAAATGCTCACTCCCCAGCAAGGATGGATAACCTCTGCCCTTCCTAGATTAGCCGTGGTTGTCTACACCAGCGCCAACCATAGTTAAGGCTGCACCAGGACTCCCATCCCAGCTGAAATATGAAGTGGATTTACAAACCCCGGTTAAGAGGGAAACTGATTAGCGCTAGCCGCCACTGTTAGCATCATGGAATGCCAAAGCACAGGTAAGATCTACAAAGGGAGAGGGGAGAAAGAATTCATGCCACAGTGCAGAAGGAAAGGAGCATGGGACTTGCTATCAACAGCTTCAAGTTTATTTGTATCCAGCCTTCCTTCCATAGAACACAAAGCTGTGTGCACAGGATTCCCAGGCAGTCTCTCATCCAGGCCCCAACTATACTCAGACCCTCCTAGCTCCAACAACACTGTTGCATCATGGGACTTCAAGACCACACCCTAGACCACAGACTTTGCAAGCCATGGTTTGAAGGGAGCTGGCATCACACCTGCACTGAGCCACAGAAGCTGGAGCGGAAAAATACTCACTTTCCCAGGCAACCCATTTGCTTTGGAGAACGGGTTTTCGGCTGATTTAGCAGGCTTTGCTTGGCTAGTGGAATCGTTGCATATCTGTCCGTTTTGTTTAGGGGTATCATTTATACTAATGGAAACAAGAACGGTAATGTTTTTCGGCGCTTCGTGCTGCGGAGCCTCCTTCTCAGCGTTGTGACAACAAGAGCCCTCCAATGCGCTGGCTGCATTTTCAGCTAGAATGCCGTTGAGGGGTGCAGTGTGGCCGTTCTCTTTCACCAGTCCTTTGGACTCCTCGTCGGAGTCTTCAGAAGATTCTGCCCCGTAAGGGACCAACGTGCTGGGGTTCAGCTTGGACTTGCCATTCACTACCAACTTGGAGCAAGGTTCGCTCGGAGGCATTTGCTTGGGGACTTGGCTAGGAGCCGAGACGGCCGGTGCGCTTGAGGTAGATTGCACAGCAGCAGGGCTGGAAATGGTCGAGGACGGGGCAGGCTTGCTGGGGTTGTCCAAGGTACAGCTGGCGTGAGAGACACTTTGGCGAGCGGACAGCTTGTTGTGAATACTGATGGTTATTTTTTGCTTCTTGGAAGGGTCGGGAGTGGCGGCAGCGGTAGGCCTGTTCATCGTCCAGTTTGGGATAGACATGGCCGGAGGAGCAGAAGATGGCCTGGTGAGGGTGACGTTACTAGCGATTGCCACAGAACCGCTGGGAGTTTCTTTCAGGGATGCCGTTCCATTCAAATGATTCGAATTCTACAATGATGAAAAATAAATCCTCTGAGAAAGCGAAGCCTATGTAGAAACTAGCTTACAGCAGAAAGGCAAATTTTACATTTGTTGCTCCACCCACTTTCATATCTGGCTCCACCCACTGGTATGTGGCACTTGGAAGGCTGCCCAGAAAGGAGTGCGGCCCTCAGACTGAAATAGATCCCCTACCCCTGCATTAGAGCAACAAATGTACATAATTTGTTGCATCAAAAACCCAGATTTCCACTACAGTCGTACCTCGGAAGTCGAACAGAATCCGTTCTGGAAGTTCGTTCGACTTTCAAAATGTTCAACTTCCAAAGCGCAGCTTCTGAGTGGCTGCAGGAAGTTCGGGTTCCAAAAGAACGTTCGAAAACCAGAACACTCAGTTCCGGTTTTCGATCGTTCAGGAGCCGGAACTTCGACTCTCAAGGTGTTCGGGAGCAGAGGTATGACTGTACTTGTTTGAGAGCAAAATTTCTGTAAATGTTGCAACATTTACTTACCAGGTGTTTCACCTGCATTGCAAAAAGAGGCACAGAGAAGTTACAGTAACTTTTAGAGCTACAAGATTTCAGTAAACCCTTGCTGCCTAACTTGCTACCTTTATGCCATTGGCTTCAGAAGAGAGAAGTACCTTAATCATGTGAGGGGGCAGTTGTGGTCCAATAAACCCTGGCGCAGTCTGCTTATTGACTACCCGCTGATTGATAACAGGTCGAGGAGAAGACTGCCCAGGAGTGTGAACGGAATGAATGTGTTCGCCGCCATTTTTCATGTCATGGGACCTAACAAATAAAAGACATATTGATCCACATTTGTTGACTAAATTTCTTTCTTTCTTTCTTTGCACAAACCTATTTCTACCATGAAATTCTCCCTAGGGCTCCTATGACTTATTTGTCTCTCATGCTTTCAGTCGTAGTTGAACGTTCTAACCACTATACCACACTGCTATGGCTAGCAGCAGCTGCCAGAACACCATAGCAGACTTGCTACACAAGTTGCCCAAAGAATAGAAAAGGGAAGACAGATAACATGCTTTTGACGTATTTGCAAGACAGCTTTCACTCCTTGCAAGGCAACACCCCATAATGACTGAGGAGGGATGTCAGCCAATTTAGGTTACCCAACTGGCTAAACAGCAAATGCTGGTCGGTTTGTGTCTCTGCTTGAACCAGCTCCCCCAAAATCCGTGTGCCAGATGCCGAAGAGTCAGTGAGTGCAGAAGGGTATTTGTATCCAGTGACTAGAACTGTCTGGCTTAACAGGCTTTAAGTTAAGCCAAGAGTGGGTAAACTTCAACTTTGTGGAAATCTTCCTTTTTTAACTAGAAACCCAATGTCTACCAACTGGAGCCAAGTACACAGTTGTGGTCTTTAAAGTGGTTGAACCAGATGTACTAACACTGGCCAACAGAGTTACAGGAAGGCTTGGTGAGAAAGACAGCAGTTAGCACATGTGTTTCAGAGACAAGTAAGGCAGGAGAAACCAGCACATTTTTAAAAAACCAGCACATTTTTGCTTGCTCCTGCTGTTGCTACAATCTTTGGTAGTTGGAAACCCTTGCCGATCTATGGCAAACCACCCAGATTTTTACCAGTAGATAGACCTTCTTTCTGCCTGCCCCAATTTCAGCCCTTGAATTAGGAATGATTTCTCAAAACCCAAAAGGCTTTAGACATAACTAACAATGATGCAGGCACAGCGCAAGGGAAATCAACTTGCATATACCTGATATAAAAAAGTACGTAGGCTTGTTGATTCAATACAGTCCTGATGTCACTGTTTGAGACGGTGGAGTCATTCATCTGGTACCACTGCCCATTACTGGCCTGCAAAAAAGAAGAAGAAAACGTTATTGTCATCTTTGCAACTGGTTACAACATGGTAGTGTTTTTACGCAGTGCTTGAGCACACAGTGACATCTCAAGGTAGTTTTGGACGATTGTGATTAGATCAGGAATGAGGGACTGGCAGCCTTCCAGATGTTGCTGGATATTTATTTATTTCATGAAATTTATATGCCCCTTGATCATAAAACAAACACACACTTCAAAACTGTTTACAGGAAAAAAAGACTACCTCTCCCATTACCCCCTGCCTGAGCCTGATGGGAGTTAGAGTCCAGGAACATTTAATAATACTAATAATTTTATTATCTGTACCCCATCCATCAGACTGGGTTGCCCCAGCCACTCTGAGCAGCTTCCAACAAATATAGAAGCATAATAAAACATTTGGTGGACTAGGAGCTCAATGCCCTTCCATGAGATGTCAAGGAAATAAACAACGATCTGACTTTTATAAGACATATGCAGTCAGCCCTGTACTGGGAACTTTTTTAATGTTTGATGTCTCACCACAGTTTTATAATTGTTGGAAGCCGCCCAGAGTGGCTGAGGCAACCCAGTCAGATGGGTGGCATATAAATAGTATTTTGATGGACCTCTGCAACTTTCAATATCACTGGCAATAATATCTCCAGAAGTGCCTTTCTAGGATGTGGCTGAAAGGAACTGATGAATGGTGGGCACTTCCTGGAAGTGGTGCTACAGGCCCTCCTGGGCCTGCCCCACATAGTTTTATTCTATCCCCTAGTAGCAGGATCCCATCTAACACGCATCCTAGAAACCTCTGCAGAGGAAGAGGCAGATGACCTTACTCAAGCTGAAGACCAGGAGGAACCCACAGTAGTTCAAGGGCAGCCTAAGAGATACCTCATCTGTCTCCCCATTTTAATTCCAGCCTTAAGCACCAATTTCTCCAACACCAAACTTAGCCCTCAGGAGCGAAGGTGGCAGTAGAGCTAATGGGAAGCCCCAAAGTCACCATAGGAACATTAATCTGGTTGCCAAGAAAGCTCTATCACCAGGGCTCTATTTAGAAGGGTCTATGTGGGAGGAGGAAAAAGATGCCATTGCAAGCAGTGACACAGTAGAGATGGAGCTGGCAGTCTCTATGTCTTTTCTGGACATTTGCTGGGTTAACAGCTCCCTTCCAAGATCATTAATCTCCTGCGCTCCCTGGCTCAGCTCCTGTGCCAGTTCTGACTCTGGTTCCATCTTCCCCACTGGGTGTTCCTCACACCCATTTGTGGTCTTTAACATCTACGTGAAATCGCTGGGAGGACATCATCCAGAGTTTTGGAATTTCCTGTCATCATAACACAGATGGCACACAGTTCCACATCTCCTTTCCATTAAAAACCCAGTGGGTCATGAAAGTCTTGGGGCCACAACTGAAAAGGCCGCCTTCTGCCAGGGTACCTGCCCACCATATCAGATGGTGGCATGACCAAAGAAGTGCCTGCAAAACGGAACAAAGGTCCTGGGGAAAGTTCACACAGCTGAGGAGCAAGGGACTTAATTCCTGAGATATCATAGGAAGGTAGACCAAATTCTGAAGCAGTCCAGCCTATATTGGCCAGCTAGTTCTCCCAAATTATTCAATCTCGCAAGCATACTAGGTATCATGTCCAGCAGACATGCTACGAAGCCCAGAAGCAGGAAGAGAAATTTGCGTGTTTGATGGCACTTTGAGATCAGAATTTTCAGAATGCCAAGTTGAAAGAGAAAGTAAAGTGGAACAGTTAAAAGGTGACTAAGAGTTCATCAGTCTCCTAAATATATTTTTTAAGGGACAGTAAATAGCATAAGTAGACTGTTTATAATATGCCAGGAAACCATAATCTCTCTTCTGCCCCCAAATAATGCATTCAAGTTTTGGCATCATTTCCATCCAACTTTTTTGCTCCATGCATCCACGTAATTTGTAAGAACTTGTAACAGGCATAATTGTTAACTGTACCCTATTATCAACATAAACAAAGCTGCTAAATACACCGAATATTACCATACACCATATCCACTGATGTCTCCCAGTGTGATGTACTTAATTTCACACATCAAAATTCCAGCAGCAGTATACACTGAATAATTTATATTCATAATTTCTCACGCTTCTGAGCAAGGTAAGTGGTTGATTTCATATGCTCCAGATTCTAACATAGGGACAGGGAACTGGAAAGCACAAACATCAAGTGGATTTATGATATTTAGAAACAAAATGTCCCAATCTTAATTGAAAAATGGCACTCTAGGGACCAGGCAACAAGAGAAAGCCTGCCCTCCAGTGGAAAAAATGTGAAATAAGTGTGCCATATTGCTGTACTACTAATAGTTAAATGTGCCCATATGTCTTGGACTAGGGAGACCCAGGTTCAAATCCTCAGTCAGCTGTGACTGTCACTCTCTCTTAGCCCAGCCTACCTGCAGAATTCTTAGGAGGATAAAATCACATATGTTGCTTTAAGCTCACTGGAGAAAAGGAAGAATTTAAGTGCAACAAATAAAACAGGACGATTCTGAAGTTATCACAGTCCATACGGGCCATTTAGTCCTCCCAAATTATTCCACGTCACAAGGGAAGGATCACATTTCTACAGGCACAAGACAGTAATGCTGGATAGATCAAATCGCATCCGACCATTCTAAAGCCTGGACATTATTATGTTAATAAAACCTGTAAGATTTGTCCCAACTGTCTGAAATTTGGCGGAGAGGGTTATTGGTGTGTTAAGTGCCGCACGCTGCCCACATTTCAGACGGGTTCGGTGCAAAATGTTTGAGATGTAGCAGCTTAAAGAATTCACCATTTGAGACAAATCTGGCTTCTTCCATTCATTTCTGCCAGGTATAACATACCTTCAGAGTTCTTGTTTTTTGCCCCTTTAACCGAGTCCAAAAATTCGAGGGAATAGCAGAGGCCTTGCCCTTCCTGTTTTGATAAAAACCCATTGTGTATTTATCAGCTTACACAGTTTTAAAACCTCAGTACATTTTCCAGCAACAGCAGTAACTACAAGGAAGCCCATGCTCAGAGCCTCTGTTCACATGCCCAGGTTGAGCCTCTTCCCTAAACAAAGATGGCCACCCTGCAGGGAGTTGGATTAGATGACCCCTTAGGGTCCCTTCCAAATCGGTAATTCTATTCTATAACCACAAGGGGGGAAAGGCTGGTTGTGAACAAGTTTTTTTGTGTGTGTGGTGCCTGCATGGCTATGCCTATAGTGACTAGACCACTCAGGAGGGATCTTTATTGCTAAGAATTGAGTCCACCACATCACATATTGATGAGATACTCAAAGCATGTCACCATGCAGGAAATGATCGAAGTAGTAATCAGAAAAAAAGGAAAATAACTAAAGGCTACAGACAGTTAAGCTAAAAACATGATCAAGTATAAAGGCAAGACATAGGCAGTTACACAGGATGAAACTATTCAGGCTTACCACCACAAGAAACAAAAATTATTTTTCATCCAAGATACTGCTTGATGCTATATTTCAATAGCTGAAATAAATGCATCCTGGGACTTGCAGCTGACAGCTAATTTTACTAACAAAACAGCATTTCAGACTGTTTCCGAACAATCTTACTTCAGAGGATTAGTATGAAGTTTCTAGTGTCTGGCATAAATCATCCTCTCCCCCCCCCCCCCAAGAGTCTTGTACGATTTTGAAATTAGATTTTTTTGGCAGCACAAATAAATCTGTTGCGTTTATTCGGCTACTCAACCACCTTAATGGTACATTACAAAATAAGAAAATGAATTGTGGGGGAACAGATATCTTGATCACGTTTATTCTACCTAGAAATGTACATTTTAAAGCATGTCAGCATTTTAAATTTGAGTCCATTTTGCTAACTGAAGGGGGGGAAAGTTTTTACTTAGATTAGTATTATTGCAAGACAGATAGCCTAGTGCCACCAGTCCAAACAACCTACTGATTTTTCTTGTCACAGAAACTAGTCCTAGTTTCTCAACTTGCTAGTCCAAGAATTCCTAAACTCTGTTTAGGCTGGTACCACAGATTTTTGTAGATTAATTTTATACCCAGCTAACTGTATAATGATGTTTATGAATTATTGCTTTCACTGACTGGTATTAGTCAAGGAAAAAGACAATATGGCTGGTTTGGATCCTGTGTGCAAGCTGAAGATCACATATCAGGAGGAAGAGATCAGAGGCATCCATTTCTGATTGACTAATCACAGCTACTTGTCAAGATCAAATTCAGGGCATTCTGGTTTGAAGTCTACTTAGTTCAAACAAGCCAGGATCAAACCATGGTTTATGAACCATGGGAGTTCTCCATGTCTGGTCAAAACAGGCAACTGTGGTTTAATATTAAACGTAGAATCTTCCATTTAATCTCCTCTGGCGTGTGAAAGCAAGCCTTGCATATGAGCAGTTCATCACCGGTTGTCCTTCAGAAGCTGTTCAATCCCATCTTTCCTGATCACCGACCATGCTGGCTGGGATCAATGGGAGTTAGAAGTCCAGCACCATCTGAAAGGCCACAGGTTCCTCATTCCTGGCTTAAGGAATCAGTTCTTCACACCGTGAGGAGGCTCACAGAAAAACAGCAATCTAGCAGTCAATAACTGTCAAATTAGAAAAGGCTACCACCAAGTCAACCAAATGAACTCCAGAATAAGTGGATTTTAAACCCTTTCCAGAAGAACAGTTCTAAACCCGCATCAAGGACAGATTCCACAGCCCTGTGGCCATGACAATTAAGGCCCAGCTCCACGTGGCTGATATGCAATGAAAATACAAAGGAGCAGGGTCTGGCTCACAGAAGCACATGTTGGGAAAGGTGGTCCCTCACTCTGTAGAATCTGACCTTCAACTGAACCAGGAACATGAAAACCAAGTGAAGCTGAAATTTGTGAGGAGGCTGTGGAATCTGGGCAGAGGCAAGACTACCGCAGAAAAACAATAAGAGATGACAACCAGCTTCAAGGCAAGGAACGGGCTAAGAGGAACACAACACAAGGATTTTCCTGTGTATCCAAGCAACAGACAGCCGCTTCTCTTTCCTGCTCAGAGAGAAAGCAATAGGATTATATACACAGTTACAATGAGCAGGGCCCTTTTCACCCAGCCACCATCCAATTACAATTAGTCCTTAACCTTGTATTGCTTCAACAACAGTCAAATTTCCTTATGCTACAGCTCAGGCTGAAAATCAATTACAGAGCAGTGGTGGCCAGACTTCGTATTCTTGTTTCACTAGAATCTCAAGGTCCACAAATTGGAGCCAGGTGCGAAATAGAGGCTGGAGGCTGCAGTGGTAGAACCAGATGTAAAACGGTGGCGCTGAAAGTACAGCAAACTATCCGAATCACTGTGTACTCCATGAAACCACGATCTACACTTGAGTTACTATGAATCAGGAATCCCAACACAAAACTAGAGCGGCAAACAATTTATATTTTATAGAAAAGCTTAAAAATAAACTTTTTAAAATGTGCATTTCTACCCGCTTTTGTTAACTGGGCAGGCTTCTCCAACCTGATGTCCTCTAGATGTTGTTGGACTACAATTTAAATCATGCCTGACCAGTGGCCATGCTTGTTGGGGCTGATGGGCGTGGTAGTTTAAAACAAACTGTACGGCACTAGGCTGGGGAAGCCTGCTGCTGATAGTCAAGAGACCTTTGCTGACCTACTATCAAACACACAGAGATCTACCAGTACCTCCAAACCCCCCTTCTGCCACCCGATACAGAAGAATGTTCACTGCCCTGTGAACTCCATGTCTGCGCACCAACTGCACACGGCACACCGACAAACTGAATGCAGAGTCTTGCAACTGCTGCTGCTGCTGCCCCTACCACCTCCAGCAGGTGACTGCCCGAGACAGAAGAGGTTGTGCAGCTTTCCCTTCATGTCTCAGGTGTCTGGCAGCGGGGTTTCCCAGTTGGAGACAGGGATGGCAGCAACAGGCAGGCAAGCGAGGAGACAAGAATGCCACGTGAGCAGCGTTTGATTTGCTGGCATGCCAGAGTCAGGTGTTGAGTGCAAAAATACCTACGCCCCTTGTTCTCCTTGTACTGCCACAGCAGGATGCTTCTGAAGTTCTAGGATGAGGCTGACCCCCAACAGCGCAGACAGAAATGTATTCTAAAGCATGATGGTCAAAGTGATCTGAATACATATAAGCTGTGTTTGTTATCAGGACAGACAACATGTGTCTAAAGTCATTACCAGTCTACTTTGAATGTCTGCTTGTTTTCACCCAGACGCCTTTCACCCCTGTGGCTCAGTTTGTTACCAGCCCAGCCCGGTAATGCAGGGATCCAAAACCCTGACCTTCCCAGTGCTGTTGGGTCTCTAAGGGACAGCTTGCCCTCAACCTTTCTTGGAGAGATCCAGTACTGGGCTCCAGCCTGCCTGCAGCATCTTCTAGCCCACTTGAGCCTTGCCTACACTGAGCTGTATACATCTAAATCACTGCACACAAAACAACTTCTGCAAAACTTCTCCTCTCCGTCTACCCCCTGCACACCACCCTTAAATGTTTTCCAGAGGGACTGGAGGAAGGGAGACTAGGGAAGTCCCATCTCCTACACACACACAATTTTTTAGATGGATACAACCCACTGAAAAAACACACAAGATGGTAGTGGCACTAGGGAGCAACACAAATCACAACCTCCTGGCATCACAGAGATGCAGGGTGGAATTCCCCCCCCCCCCAGTGCTTCATTTTTCCACCAAAAATAAAATCTGTTTCATAAGTTCAATGTTAATAATGAACAGGTGCCAACTGTAAATAAATACTAGGAAAATAAATGCAAATAAATACTAGGCAAGCATCGCAGTCAAAGCGATTTAAATTTCCTTTTATTAAGTAAAAGTAAAATAAGCATGATAAATTAAGTCACATTCTAGGGCATCAGAACATTTTCTGATTCAAATTGGCCAGTAGTTTGCACAGGAAGATTTCCCAACTCAAAAAATTTCCAGAAAACCTGCATACCTACTAAAGAAAACAACTTGACACCACCTCAAACACATGTTCAACTGTTTAGTGAACAACTTGCCCCTGAGCTTGTATGATGACCTCAACATTATAGATTAATCAGCACTCTTGTATTAGTACCTCGACTCTACTGAAATTCTGTTGTCTTCTCTCTGTTTGTAATGTCGTGTTATATTTGTGTGAAAACTTTTAGTAAATATAAATATATATCCAGAAAACCCACAGCACTTATTTCCACCCCTCTCTTCTTTCAGGGTGGCAGATTCACAGAGCTGCATCACAAACGTTTCTGAGAGCTGCTTCAGAGATCATGTGGAATTCTAAGTCACAGGCCTACTGAGCTTCACAGTTGTCTTGCATGAACAGAAAGTATACCCCCGCACACACTTGTGGTTGGACATTGCAAGAGAAAAGAAATAGTGGTGGACAAACTGTCTTTCAAGGAAGTATGTCCTAGTTGTCTGCCGTTTGCTGAGCTTCTCTTTCAAGAACTCCTAATAAACTTCCAAGGAACCCTAGAGTTCCCTGAAACATAGTGTGAAAACCACTACATTGAAAAACAGCCCTTTGCTTTTGCTAGGGGCCTTGCTAATGACATGGAAGACAACATATTTTTTAGTTGCTGAAACCATCCCTGGCACTCTGACCTGGTGCAATGACCTCCTAACAGCCCAGCTAAAACAGATGCAAACAACTAAAATTACAACATGAAAGTATTCTGGAGCTGTGGGCTGCAAGAGGACTATTGAGATATCTCTGTAGGAAGAGAACATGTCCTTCCTTTTATCTGCCTCCCCTACCTAGCTTAGCATGCGTTACCTTTGTGTTACACCCAAGATATTTTGCTGCTGAGGCACAGGATGAAACATGCCCCCCCCCAAATACCAAAAGCTGACCACAGTGGCAATTGAATCTTACTAGCAATGGGATAGTAACCTGAGGACAGCAGACTAGCTTAGGGGATACAGCTCTGCCCTCTAACTCCTCACTGCCATCTCCTTAATTCTGGCTTAGGTGGTCTGACATGGGTCTACCTAATGCTAAGGCTGCCCCCGATTTTATTCTTCTGAAAATGAATTGGGAAAGGTATACACGGGGGTATCACGTTTTATCCTTTCAACGTCTATGAGGCAGGTACATAGGAAAATAGGAAGCTGCCGTATACCAAGCCTTGATCTATCTACCTTGGTACTGTATACACTGAGTGGCAGCAGCTCTACGGGATTTCAAATGGGGAGGCTGAGAGAGAGAGAGAAACAAAAACAAAAACAGAGAAAGAGAGAAAGAAAGGAAGAAAGAAAGAAAGAAAGAAAGAAAGAAAGAAAGAAAGAAAGAAAGAGGAAATTGCCCAGGGCCAATCAGCAAGTGTCTCACAGCTGAGTGGAGATTTGAACCCAAGGCTTCACAGTCCATCGCCAACACATTGTCCCTCCACACTTACTTGCTGGGAGTCCTCTGGAGCTCTCGGCTCCACAAGCACTTTCTTTCCTTTGCAGCAAACTGTGATCCAGATTGCATAGGTAGGCTTGTCTTTGTCTTTTGGTCAGGGGGTTGGACTAGCTGGACTTTTGCTCCTTTACAACTCTATGGTGCTGTGAAATTAATGGGAGGTTTTTGGGTAGTGCTAAGACTCAGTAGTGCAGAAGAGAAGCCCCATCTAGAAAGCAACAACAATGGGCCTCTTTCAAAAGGACAAAAAAAAGAGGGATAAAGGACAACCTTTTTACGGGAAGGGGCCAAAGGAGGATATATCACAAAAAGTGCCTGCTTGCAAACACACTGAACAAAGACTTCAGTGCAAAGAAAAGGAAAAGAAATCCTTAAGTGGAAAAAATTTATTTTTAAAAAACTGGCTGCATTAAAGGGAGAGGCAACAGAGTGGAGCCCCCTCCGTCAGCCGGACTGGGATCAGCTGCTGTTTAGTTCCTCCATTCCCAGAACTGTTTCCACCAGCAGCCAATCCACTAGGCTGAATCTGAGGGAGGAGGTGACTGCAAGGTTCCCTCCACTGCTAGTTGGTGCCTCCCCTCCCAGAATTCTCTCCTGCAGTGACAATTCCACATTACATAGTTTTATGTAACCAGTGGCGGACAGTTGATTCCTCTTCCCTCCCCATTCCTTTTTCCTCTTGTATCGTGACTCTTATAAATAATATTTACCTTTATATAGCAGTAGTAATGTCCTGCATGACAGCTGAAACCAGTATGTACCAAAACTGCATACAATGCATAAATAATTGGCTCTCCATTTGGCTGGGACATATATGGCCGAATGTCCAAATACTCAGGGTATTTCACCTCCTAAACAGAAATGAAAGGGGGGAAAACACTTGCATTTTTCTCAATTCAGCAGAACAAGGTTTTGGTATGAAAAAAAGCCCTATACATCTCAGGACCAAGTTACTTGGGAAACTGCCTTATCTCTTTTATACCTAGTAGTTCACTGTGTTCTGCAGGACAGTTTCTCTTTCAAGCTCCCAAGGTATCAGAAGCCTGATCTGTAGCAGGTTGGAGCTGGGCTTCTAAGGTGGCCCCCTCTGTTCTGTGGAGATATTCCTGGCAGGATACAACAGGTGTCCACTATCTTTGCTGAAGGCAACTTTTGTTTCTAGAAACTTGGACGAAAAGATGTACACCTATATGTACATTCTGTGTTGCTTTTAAACCTATACTTTGCTGTTCCTGTACTATATCATAATTAGTAGAATATAAAACCATTTTTATATCGTTCTTCACAATATTTGCTTCCAGGCTGCAGAATTGCATTTTAACATGCGTCAATATTTATATCTGGGGCTATAAAATCCAATCCAGTTGTAGCACTGTGTTACCTTTGTAATTTTGCCACCACTGAAATTTGCGAACCGTTTCAAGGACAAGGTGAGTACGTTTGAAGCCCGATGTATTGTAAACCTCTTTGATGCAGGAACCATTTTTTTACACCTAAAACATAAGCAGAAGACATCCAGTTCAGCTTTCGAGGCTATTTTCATTTGGTGTTATCCCATTTCCCTAAGTTCAAACAACTGCCTGCCCTATTTGAACTCATATATGCAGGCTCAGATTTTCATAAATAAATTATGTCCATTCACAACAGCAGATTCAAGAAGGTTGGGGCAAAGAGAAAAGAAAATGCCCCTGCCATTTCCTGCCTCCCACATGCCCTTTGATCCAGGCCAATGTCAAAGGTCAGCATGGCTGGACTCTTGACAGGGGGCCCATACCACAGCAGGGGCCCACTGACGAAAAACCCCGGGCTCCTATCCTCTTCTTCACTGCCAGCTGCTTGTCACCTGCTGTGGGCCAGAGGGGACAAGCAAGGAAACAACAGTGGCGAGAAGGAAAGGTGCCACTGTTTGCTTATTCATTAGCCCTGTCTTGCAACCAACCGTGATGCAGAGGACCAGCAATGCCTCCAAACAACAGCAGGAAGACCCACGGACTTCTGAAAACCTGGAGCCAGTGCTGCTCTTATTTTTCATTCATTCAACTTATATCCCACCCTTACCCCCAAAGGAGCCCAGGGCAGCAACGACATAAATTCTGGAAACATTTTAAAAAGCTTTATGAAAAACAGTTTAAGATATTTTCTCCTCCAATGGTTTCAGGGTTGCCAGGAACAGTATTTTTTAGCTGCTCTTCTAATGCCCCGTTTATTTGTTTCTGAGAATGGGGAGGAGAAAATACAACTTCCAGTTGTCCTCAATGAATTTGGATTGCTTTTAATACGCAAACAAGTGTCAAAATAAAGCTTGCTACACCACAGATCACTAAATATCAGTGATAAATAATTTAGCAAATGCCATTTTGCCTTGCAGTTGCACATTAAATGAAAGCCAAACTTTTTTTTAAAACCATGTAAGATTCATATGACAAATTGGTATTTTATTACAGAGAAACGTTAAATTTATTTCTTCTTACTTGCTACATTTATAGGCATTTTCACCATCCAGCTGTTCTGGCTTGACAAACTGCTCCAGAGCTTTGTTAACACTTTGAGCTGACTAGAAAAAGAGGAAGAGGAGAACTGAAGTGAGCGTCGCAAATAAAAATAAAACTATTCCAAGTTAACTCTAGTTCATGGCAGAATCTTCCAACTACCAAATGCTTTAAATCAGTGAATTAGGCACTCCAAAGTCATCTCTATCTATCATCCCCCAAACTACAAACATTGTAAAATCATTTCCGTGGTTTTAAACGACGGCATAAAACCATTTTTGCAGGGGGCATGCCACCTAAATACTTCTCGAAGTACTTATTGAAGAAAATTCTTCTTCAAACAATAAAAAATTAAATTATCCAAGGGGACCTGCAAAAAAACTGCAGAGTGCTCCTGTCCATTCTCCCAGTTTTCTGTTTCCACTCCCGCAACAGTCAGTCAGCATTCCACAGCCAATAAGCATGCTCAGTCCTCACTGAGCCCTTTCTGAGTTCCTCCCCCCTTCAAGACTTTTGGACTCCTCCAAACCTTGGGGTTCCCCCAAAACAGCTCCATCTTGTGTGTGCATGGTTTCATTTTTGCTTCATAAGCAAAGCTCACCCTAGAACACTGGAAATGGGAGAGAATGCTGGAACTCATGGCCACAAGGTATGCTGATGGCCACTAACATACGCAGAGGAAAGACCTGTCAATGTCTGTTAATTACAACAGCTATATGGAACCCTCCATGTTGAGAGGGAGGTGATGCCCCCGATTGCCAGTTGCTGGCAGGGAAGGCAACAAGAGGCTGCTTTCTTGCATTCATGCCATGCTTGTGGATTTCCTGGAACAATCTGGTTGGTCATTGTGGGAAGTAGGATGCTAAACTACTTGGCCCTTTTGGTCTAATCAAGTAGGTCTCGTGTTACAGGAAAACATTTACTTTTCATGCATGCAATGATGAAGACAGTTTTTGCAGTACAGGCTTGCTCAAGCCTTCATTGTGGGGAATGATGGGGACTCTCAGGCCTGGGGCCAAATGTGGCCCTCCAAGTATTTAAGTCTGGCCCACGGGACTCTCACGTGCTCACCTCAAGTGCTTTTGTCTGGCTGGAATGTGCTCTTGAGCTGTGATAATGGGTTGTATCCAATTAAGCTCTACTTAGAGTAGACCCGCAGAAATTAAGCCATCTGTTAGCTGTGTCCATGGGTGTAGCCAAGGGGGAGGTGCAAGGGGGCAACTTCCTCCTAAATCAATACAAATCTGAGGTTTTGCCCCCCTAACAAAAATCCTGGCTACGTCCATTACTTTTAATGGGTCTGCTCTGAGTAGGACTAGCACCGGCTACAACCCAATGCTTCTTGCTTGCCTGGATGGAGGATGAAGAACTCTGTGGGCAGAAACTGCTGACTACTGCTACAACATAATCTGTTGTGGAAAAGGTAAGTGTCACATAGCTGCCTGATCCAATTTTTGCCTCTGGTCCCAACCCATCACTTGCATGAGGCTCCCAGAAAGCTGTACATGAAGGAATGTGCCCCCTGGGCTGTAAAAAGTCCCCCCCCCAGCTTTACTGAATGGAATGGAACTAACCCCATTGGGGGCTTTCTTATATTTTGGAGTAGAAAAGCACATTCCTAATCTAACCAAACTGCATGGCTGTTGGAGATTTAAACAAAGCTTTTTCTTTTTGCAAACTGGCATACCTTTATCTCCAATGTAATATCTAGGTATGGATCAAAAGTATCTGAAACTCCTTTGCAGTTCATACATTTTACTGAAACGGAAAAAAAGAAGTTTAGAATAATATACAGTGATCGAAGCCAGAGTTCAACAGCACTCAAACAAGACAGATTGTCAACAATATGCTAAGATCCTGGTGTTTTAGGAACCTACCTCTAGATCTTAGGTATCCTCCAAATATTTGATGAATGAATGTGGTAGCTTGGGTATGTCTGTCCAATCTAAAAACAAATCACAGAAGTAGGTAATTTAGGTCAAAAGAGATTTCACAAACACAATAATAGTTCCGGGGGTGGGGGTGTACTACTCCAGCTACAACTTACTTGTTGCTACCATTCAGACATGCTTTCTGCATAGCATCAACGGTGTACCGTAGAAATTCGTGTGCATCTTCCTGATTGCCAAAACGGAAATGCTTTGCTATTCCTAATATGCAAAGAAAGAAGTTACATTGAATATATCACATAAACCAGAGGTGGCAAAATGTTTTGGCCCAGCAGACCAGATCTTTACCTCCCCACACCCAGCAGGTCAACTTTAACAGGTGGGTGGAACCACCCATCTGATGTCAGCTGATGCACAGAGTTCAATCCTGCTTTCCCCAGGCAATGGCTGTGTGGGGCTGTCAATCCAGCCACGTATCTACCAGCCCACATTTGACATCACATATGACATCAGGTGTGGGCATGGTTTTGGGAAATGGCCTGGTGGGCCAAATTTGGTCTGTGGGCTGACAGTCCCCCACCCTGATATAAAAGTCAGGCTTACACAACCTGCAACTTACCAAACTGAACTCAAACCCATCAGGGGCACAACATCCCTCCTGTTTTTGTTGCCTGCCTAAGACGGCAAAACTAGGAAAGTTGGTAGGCTACAATATATGGCTTTATGCTGTGGTGGGGTTTGTGGTTTACATGTCATGCAGACGCTATGTAGTTTAAAGCATACTAGATGTCAAAGAAGATAAACGCTTACGTCTAAGATCATTTATGACAGGCATAGGCTTGATGACATTGCCGGAGTTTGAAAGCGCCTGGGTGATGTGACCTTGCATGGTGCACATCATGCAAAATCCCTGTTCGTGACCTGAAAAGGAAGGGGGGCAGGGGAGAAATACCCATCCTGTATTATAAAACAAACAATTGGACAAACCTTTTTGCAGCTCACAAAAAGCAGTCAGTCAAACAAAACATTGCCTCAAGGATAAGTCATTGCAATTGCTTCAAGGGGCAAAATTATTTACATCCAAGGGGAAAAGGGATGAATTTTTAAAAGGACACATATTATATGCAATTATCTCCAAAACAAGCAATAGACACCACACTCAACATCTAACAAATTCTGAGCATAGTAAGCAAAGCAATTCTATATGCTATGTGTGAGGCCTAACAAAAATAGGCTGGTTCTCACCCACCTGCCTTCATTCATATCTATAATTTGAGCAGCACTTACAGCTCAGGATAGTAAAAACACAGGGGTGTATACTCAGAGTAGATCTACTGCAGTTAAAGGACATGACTAACTTAGGTTCCATAGGAACTGCCTTATACTGCTTTTAAGTTAACAGACCATGTTCTTAAGAAGCCTGCCATATTTAGAATCATAGAATATTGTCCACATTTTTCGAGAAAGTGTGACAAACGTTAAAATATACTCACAGGTTTTGGAGTGTTCATGGGAAAGCATGTAGTTGGCAAGAGGTGGGGTGTAGGTCAGACACTGCAGTGCAGAGTTGAGGAAGCATGTGTTGCCAAGGTTTTGGAGACCGGCTCCAACTCTGTGTGTTTTTTGCCATTTCAAGCATATCTTCTCTGCCGGAAAGAGGACCTTCTGCGGGGCAGTAATGCCGTCACCAACAGCGGCTAAAGACCAAAGACACATTTTAAATATACTGAAGCGATTTAAGATTTTGAAAGAATGATTACTCAAAGATAGAATTTTAAAATTCAGAACAAAGGATAATGATGTTTGGGAAGCTCCAGCTAAAAGGTGGCCCAGGGTATGCGTGGAACCACTTTTAAATAAGTAATTTACAATAGTAAAGATAAATACAAACCCATTTTAATTCCCTTCCTGATCTGAACGCTGTATCTTTTTAGTGTTAAAAATGTTAACTATTGGAAAAATCTTAGGTGATTAATAGTGTATTTTGTTCTATTGATATACTGGGCATGCGTATCGCAGGTTTTTCTCTTTTTTTAACATTTCTATTCCACCTTTCCTCCAAGGAGCTCAAGGTGGTGTACATGATTTTCTTCCTTCCCATTTTACCCTGACAACTCTGTAAGGTAGGCTAGGCCGAGAGTGACTGACTGATCCAAGGTTTCCCAGAGAGTTTTACAGCTGAATGGGGATTTGAACTCTGGTCTCCTAGTCCAACACTCTGACCACTACTTCACACCAGCGCCACAAAAGAAAAGTAGCATTTTCTCTGTTTATATAGAATGTGCATGTGTATCTTAGCAGGCAGCTTCTTAGAAGAGGCACCCTCTTCTTTCCTACACAGGAAAGAATGCCTCTCAATATTATGCTTGCCAGTTTCAGGCTTTTAAAAAAACGAATATTGAAAAACACTATTACGACGCATAAAAATCTTCTTAATCATCTTCTTAATCAATACCATTTTTAATGTGCTTAATGGTTCATCCCAACTGCTAACTGTGCCTTGTTTATAGTTACCAAGGTAACTGTGGCATAACTACGGCAATAGGAGAATATGGCTTTCTTCTTTGGCTCTTGCCACAGGTGGAACAAATTTTCAAAACTTAAGGTTGCACGAGTTGCACAATAGGCTTAAGAACGTAAGAAGAGACTGCTAAAACATGCCAGTGGCCCATCTAGTCCAACACCCTGTTCTCACAATGGCCAACCAGATGCCTCTTCTGGGAAGCCTGAGTGAAATAGCCATCCTGCAGTTTCCAGCAACTGGTATTCAGGTGTATACTGCTTCTGACAATGGAAGTACCTTGCAAATCCAAGTGTTCTGGTTGCTATGCTTTACTGCTTAGTGTTGGTTTTAATTATGTGCATTGTATATTTCACTTGTTTGTAATCAGACCAAGGAATGTTTATTGATGGGTGAGCATATGAATTTCATAAACAAAATAAAAAAGCTTCGCTGTGTGTTTTCTTTTCTCTCTCTTTGTTAATAGAGCAGCTTTACTTACACAGATCCTTCTGAGCCGAGGGCTTGGATTTATCAGGTACTGATGAATTAGAGTACACTGCAGCTCCTGGCACTGGCCCCAAAGATATTTTGTGTTTTGGAGCTTCTAAAGAAGAAGACACAGCACCCCATCCTGCAGAGCCCGAGTCCATTTCTCCAGAAGCTGGTGCCACGGAGCTGAAAGGCTGTTTCTCAGAAGCCGAAGGCTTTGAGGACTCAGACGTCTTGTCAACTATGGTCATTGTTCATCTCTGTAAAACCGAGAGAGAGAAACATATTGTGGATGCACGACAAAAGGAGTAGAAATCTTGATTCACTTTCTAAGTAGACAACACACAGTTCTTTTTATACATGACGGAAACTCAATCAAAGAAACGTGAACTCCTCAAACAAAAGAAATGGACTGGTCCTTTGGCCATAGCACAATGTTCCCAAGTAGCACCCACCCACATAATCTCTCTTGAGACAGTCGCTCGGTGTCTCGGAGTGGCCACACTGGGCCGGTCAGGCTGCCCCAAGAGGTGCTTTTCCAGCTCCCCCAACCTCTCTGGCAAATACACAAATCCATTGTGATGACCACAACCTAGGTTTAAGGTGCCATTTGGCACCTAGCTTATATATTTGAGATTCTAACACTGCTGCAAGGTCAGAAATGATGGCTCACTTGGTTTTTCAAGGAGGCTGCTTGCAACTCAGTAGGTGTCCTGCATAAAGTGACAAGGTGCTTCACACTGTGCATTGTTTCAGAGAACACTAAGGCTTCCATGCGGGTGACAGATTGCAAGATTCAGTATGGCCTAAGGCATGTGTGAGTATCAGCAGCACATTGGAAAAGAAAAAAAATCCCACCTTGCCAGACTGGATTGACCCTAATCAAGCATTTAAGAACCACAAGCCCCTCTTTTTGCCATGCCTGTTTTCATAACACGTTAAATACTGATGTTATTTTTTATAAACAAGTTGCATACAACTAAGTACCGTATTTTTCGCTCTATAAGACGCACCAGACCACAAGACACACCTAGTTTTTGGAGGAGGAAAACAAGGAAAAAAATATTCTGAATCTCAGAAGCCAGACCAGCAAGAGGGATCGCTGCACAGTGAAAGCAGCAATCCCTCTTGCTGTTCTGGCTTCTGGGATAGCTGCGCAGCCTGCATTCGCTCCATAAGACGCACACACATTTCCCCTTACTTGCCACTGCACATGACATTGTGTGGCATGGCAGTTTCTTTGGATTAATGCTCCCCCCCTCCCAGGCAATAAAAGTATTCCAGTTCCCTAAATGGCTGCTTCAATCTCTAGATATAGGGGGTAAAGGGAGGAGGAAGAACTAGCTTAGTTGCAACATCCTTGGCCAACCCTGGCTCATGGTGGATGGTGGGCCAAACAGCACCATCCGTCTACTTGATGATGCTGACGTTCACAGGGCTCTCTGTGTTAATATTAGTCTCAGAATTAGTTATGTCTCATATCAGCCTACCAATTGAGCCTGACCACGGCAACGTGCTGCAGCCTGCATTATCCCAATTCCCAACTTGGAAAGACGGTGCTGCATTGCAGAAGATGCCAAATTTATGGCTCTCCCAATTCCTTCTGGCGTTAACGTCAAAAGAGGGTATGGTCACACAGCTACCCTAGCATTGCATATACTCATTTAAATAAATACATAAATGCTGCACTAGAGCTGCTGCCATCCATACGATATTTTCTGTCTTGAAGGCTGAAAAGTGGGGAGTGTACACACAGCTGCAATAGTGCTATAGCAGCTCTGATTGTGACAATGTCTTCTGGCTGTAAAAGGCTAAAATATAGAGTAGTAGTGCTACATTACTCCAGGCAGAGGAAACCAATTGCAGCATGTGCTAGTTTAGCTTGCAATTCAACTGCTGGCATGCGCAATTTCTTCGTGTGCTAAGAGAATGGCATATGCAAGGCTGGACCAAAGGCAATTTAATACAGCCAGTAATGTCCCACCAGTGCATATCATTTTGAGTTTGGGAGGGAAGCAGAGAGAGGGAGGATCCAGCAGGCAGGAAGAGCCCATGTTAGTGAAAGGAACTGCTGGAGAGGGCTAACTGTAGCATGTACTATATTAACTCCCTACTGTATTTTGAAACCAGAGAGATCTAAAGCAAATCTAATCTCTCTGGGTGTCTAGATCAACACAAAGCCCAGAGATTGGCTTGACAGTAACTGAGAACTGAAGGTTACTGGAAGTGTTTCACACATATGAGGTTACATAAAGTAAATCTAACAGCTTTCATTGCTCTGTTAAACAACACATTCTCAGAGCTCCATATTAAATCTGGCTTCCTTTTGGAATTAGAGGGCTCAGGTTACCAAAATTGCCCAATAATGTAGCAGAAACATACTGAGAAGCACATCTCTGCGCCAACACTAAACATGCTTAAGTATTTACTCATTTCCTGCATGTGTCTGTTCGTTCTTAATGGGAATAGCAATGAAAGAAGAGCACATTGGAAGCGCAATTCTCTTCCCCCTATTAACTAGGAAAAGGTACAATGTGAAGGGGCGCGGGGAGGAAGGGGCAGAAGGTCAAGGAGCCCTCGATGTACAAATAAGTCAATAACACAATTGCTGAGCAGGAGTTCACTTGCAAGTCATCTGAGAGAATTGTTTATAGAAGAGAATGAACACAGCAGCCAAAATTCATTTGGAAGATAGTAAACTACAGTCCAAGTGCATCATTCCGGAGGTGCCTGGAGCAAACCTAGTAATAAGAGACAACTCCAAAACTGTCAACTGCTCAGATAAGATTATCCGACAACAAACACAGATGCGAATCCAGACAAAGAGTACGTTCCATTAAGCAGCGGGGTGGGGCAGGGGGGAAGAGGAGAAAAAAAGAGGTTTATCATCTTTTCTCCTCTAGGAAACAAGGATGCTTCACCACCACTTGGGAAATGTAACAATAATGAAAAAAAGGCAAAGAGGAAATTGTCACAAAAGTAAAGAGTGAAAAGTAATTCTACAGCGCAGTCGCTGTGATTCACTATTTACACAAGCACTTTCTTGTTAAAATGGCATGGCTCTCAATACTGTTGCCAACAACACATTAAGAGAAAATATTTATGACTCCTAATAAGCCACAGAATGTGGCGTGTGCCTAAATGGTACCCAATCAGCGACTAGTGTTGTATAACTTCCACTGATTTCAATCGGGTGGGACCTGCAAGTCTTACACAATTCTACGTGACTGGATGGTGTGTTACTTCACGTGGGCATACTTACTGGGAAGTAGGCCTTACTAAATTCAGTGAGACTTGCTCCCAAGACAACAGGCCTAAGATCAGCTTTCATGGGAGAGGTCTCTGATCTGACTTAACAAGCCATACCGCAGTGCTTCCAGTTCACTGCTCCCTGGGAGCAGCAAACAAACCAAGAAGTGGGCAGGCAGCTTATGACACATGCTGTGTCTCCCCAGTCTCAGCCTATACAACACTGATCCAGGTAGTCACCAGTCAAGGCACTAACCAGACCTGCTTAACTTCAGCAAAGGTCCTGCATCATGTGCCCTCAGATAATGCCCTGGGACTAGTCTAATCACCTGCTTCATAGCAGGACTCTCAGCTTCTGTAGGTCAATCTACCCAACGTAGAATACAATACAAAGAACAGGAAGATGGTTGCATAGCAGTTAGCTCCTGATGACTCAAAGCAAGTAAGACAAATGGCATGCACTATATAGCAATGACAAACCTAGACAGCATCTTAAAAAGCAGAGACATCACCTTGCCAACAAAGGTCCGTATAGTTAAAGCTATGGTTTTCCCAGTAGTGATGTATGGAAGTGAGAGCTGGACCATAAAGAAGGCTGATCGCCGAAGAATTGATGCTTTTGAATTATCGTGCTGGAGGAGACTCTTGAGAGTCCCATGGACTGCAAGAAGATCAAACCTATCCATTCTTAAGGAAATCAGCCCTGAGTGCTCACTGGAAGGACAGATCCTGAAGCTGAGGCTCAAATACTTTGGCCACCTCATGAGAAGAGAAGACTGTCTGGAAAATACCCTGATGTTGGGAAAGATGGAGGGCACAAGGAGAAGGGGCGATGGAGGACGAGATGATTGGATAGTGTTCTTGAAGCTAAAAGCATGAGTTTAACTAAACTGCGGGAGGCAGTGGAAGACAGGAGTGCCTGGCGTGCTCTGGTCCATGGGGTCACGAAGAGTCAGACACGACTAAACAACAACAACAATAGCAGCACAGAAAATACATATACAGTGGTACCTCGGGTTAAGTACTTAATTCGTTCCGGAAGTCCATTCTTAACCTGAAACTGTTCTTAGCCTGAAGCACCACTTTAGCTAATGGGGCCTCCTGCTGCCGCCGCGCCACCAGAACACGATTTCTGTTCTCATCCTGAAGCAAAGTTCTTAACCCGAGGTACTATTTCTGGGTTAGCGGAGTCTGTAACCTGAAGCGTATGTAACCTGAAGCGTATGTAACCTGAGGTACCACTGTAACACAAAGTACACAACAAACAAACACACAAACACAGGGTCACTGGTCAGCCTGACTTATGCATAGGAGTTTGCCTTCCAAATCTCCAAACTACGCCCCAGTTCCATATTGCGGTTATATCCGTGTAAGAAAATTGTCAGTGTGTGTGAATGGTGTTCAATGGGAGACTGGGCGGTTTGTGAAAGTGCAAGATTCTAACCCTGGTATTCTGAAGCAATCTGCAAGTCAAAGACTGCCTGAACTAAAAGCACCACATGAAAATGTGAATTGACCTTCAACAGTTGCTATAAACCATGGTTAGGCAAACTAAGACCTAGGGGCTGTTTCCAGCCCAATCACCTTCTAAATCTGGCCCACGGATGGTCCGGGAATCAGTGTGTTTTTACATGAGTAAAATGTGTGCTTTTATTTAAAACGCATCTTCGGATTATTTGTGGGGCATAGGAATTCATTCATCCCCCCCCCCCCCCGCAAAAAATATAGTCCGGCCCCCACAAGGTCTGAGGGACAGTAGACCGGCCCCCCTGCTGAAAAAGTTTGCTGACCCCTGCTATAAACATTGAACAAAACAATTAATACTACAGGGGTAGGAAACCTGGAACCCTTTTGATGTTGTTGGATGCCAATTCCCATCAGCCTCAGTCAATGGGTAATGGTCAGGGATTATGGGACGTGTAGTCCAGCACTTCTGGAGGGCACAGGGTCCCCATTCCTGTAACAAAACTGACCAATCTGAGAAAATTGCAGGGGCCAACATTTATGCTTTTTAACATGTTCAATAAATTGCAATGCATCAAGTGTTTAGAATTTATTTCCTGATAATTTAAGGCAAATACAGACTGGAGGAGGGGGTTAATTGTTTTTGTTTTTATTGTGTATTTTATGTTTTTTATCTTGTATTTTTATGTTGAAACCGCCCTGATATTTACAGAGGAAGGGCGGTACACAATTAATAATAATAATAATAATAAATAATAATGGGAAATTATATTTTATAATAGCATAGCAGGTGGATGGATAGATGGCTCAGCTATAAACTTCAGTAACATTTAGCAACAGGTAACTGCCCGATTTTCAGTCTGTTTGAAGAAATGGTGTACACCACATTTACAAGGGCACACCTTACAATAAAATCAAATACCTTAATTGGAAACATCAGGTCTCTCATTAAAAAGCTGTAATTATTTTAAGAACACCGACCATTAAGAATGTAAAGTCCCAGCAATTACCCCCAGTAGTTCCATTTTGTTTTACTTTTTTTGGATTCAGAACCTCTCTGCACAAGCACTGCCTCCCCCCCACCGGCCGCCATTTCTGTTCTCAATTATTTATTCTCCCCAGCTTCTTGTTTCCTTTCCCCCACAATTGTCGACCTTGTGCCTAAATCTTTCAATTTAATTTCACTATGGTCTTTTACAACAAAGTTAACTGGTTCTTCTAACATATTCCATTCCGAAAGAAGCAATTTACTTGCAAAGAGGCAGCTCTGTGTGTTTTAAAGGTGCCTTCAAGATACATTTGTGTTTGCAATTTTATACTTACAAAGCATCGTTTATGCCAGGAGAGCCTGAAGTAGTATGTTTCCAGCTACTGAAGCTATAAAATGGGTTTTTAGTAGGGGGCGTGGTAGTCAGTACACACAGAAGGTAGAATATCTGTAAAATGTCTATCTCCCCTATCCCTAGAAATTAATATTACTGAAGGTAGAAGCATTTGATACATTCCTCCCTGGGGAAGGTGGATTTTGCAAGGAAGAGAAGAGGCATATTGATACTTTCCCTCCCAGCTCTACTACACAGGAATCTATTGTGCTGCTGCTATAATATCATTCATGCCAAATACAGAGCAACGCGGCCCTGATGTCAACATGTCACACAGCCAGCGTGCATACAGAAAATGTCCATGCGGGAAACAAGATTCGCCGCCCTTGTTCAAACCCAGCAACAGCTGCTGCAACATATCTAATCAGATGTGGCAAAAGGATGAACTGGACTGAAAAGGTGGACACATAAGCTATGGACCTAAAAGATGCAAAAGGACCCGGGTCTCTGTGAATTCCCATCCCCACCACATCAAAGCCCGATTTCCAGACACAGGGGAAGAATGAGAAGAAGGGAAAGTACAGGAATCACTCATTTGAGAAGTAGTGTCCATGGCAACCAAGCAAAGGAAGTAATACTATATAGAGAATGACAGGAGACTTTCAAACCCACCCACCCCTTCAGCAGCAAGGGGGAGGGGCATGAGCAGGGGCACCAGAAGGAAATGGCAAAGTGAAGACAATCTTACAAATCAGAGGGAAATAAGATATGGGCACCCACAGGAATTTTTCCAAGGGAGAGGAATAAACACATATACATAATTGAAAGGTGGAAGCAGGCAAGTTTCTCACAAAACAAATGAGAATATCTCTGGTTCTACAAATATTTTATTTATTATTTGGAGCATTTGTATCCTTGCTCTTCAACCAAAAAGGCCCTCAGAGTAATTTGCATACAATCAAAACAAGACAGTCCCTACCTACCTCTCATTTTTAAAAAACAAACCCCACAACAACCCACATGATACACAAGGAGAAAGGAACAGGCAGGCAGAGGAAAATAAAATAAAAACTCAGGCACCAATTTCTAAGTTGTTTCTGTAATGACCAGCTGGCACAAGTCTGGGCCAGGAGGTGCCTTATGTCCCCAGATGACAGCTGAGGGGAGAGGGAGGCCTGATGGAGCTGATCTGTCACAGAAGCTGATGAAGCTCTCAAACTGCTGGAAGGGCTGCACTTCTTTTTTCTATAAGAAAGCTGACAATCTGGGGCTAATGGTCTGTTGTGTGGGAACTGCCCCCCCCTTTACCCCATCTGGACAGCCAAGGTGAGGAAAAGAGACAATGTAGGCTACTCACAAACTGGGAAGGAAATGGGAGAAAAAGCAGTACAGTGGTACCTCAGGTTAAGTACTTAATTCGTTCTGGAGGTCAGTTCTTAACCTGAAGCACCAGTTTAGCTAATGGGGCCTCTTGCTGCTGCCGCCACACCGCCGGAACCCGATTTCTGTTCTTATCCTGAAGCAAAGTTCTTAACCTGAAGCACTATTTATGAGTTAGCGGAGTGTGTAACCTGAAGCATATGTAACCTGAAGCGTATGCAACCCGAGGTACCACTGTATATATGGGATCAAGAAAAGAGGGAATTCTGTAACTGCCTCCCCCCCCCCCCGCCATGGGAGGTCAGAAGAAGCAAGGCCTCTGCTCCACACTAAAGCTCAAGTCCTTCCTAGAGATGGAGTTAGACCATGGGTAGGCAAACTAAGGCCCGGGGGCTGGATCTGGCCCAATCACCATCTAAATTCGGCCCGCGGACTGTCCGGGAATCGGCGTGTTTTACATGGGTAGAATGTGTCCTTTTATTTAAAATGCATCTCTGAGTTATTTGTGGGGCCTGCCTGGTGTTTTTACATGAGTAGAATGTGTGCTTTTATTTAAAATGCATCACTGGGTTATTTGTGGGGCATAGGAATTTGCTCATTCCCCCCCCCAATATAGTCCGGCCCCCCACAAGGTCTGAGGGACAGTGGACCGGCCCCCTGCTGAAAAAGTTTGCTGACCCCTGTGTTAGACAGCTACGATGCACACATGAAACCATGCTGAAACAGAGAATGGAAGAGTGGGGCAAACTATTCAAAAGCCTTCTGACAACCATACGCACAGAGAGAAGTGCACACACACAAAGAATTGGATGTATAAGACCCATACTTCTTTGCCAAAGCATAATGACTATATACATATATGCAATACACACACACACACATGCACACACTAATACCCTAAAAGCCAAATGTACATACATCTCTCTGTATGTACATAACACCAGTGGTGTGAAACGCACACTTTACACCCCCAACTATATATAAAATGTGCATAGGAACGTATATATGCACACACACACTTGCCAGTATACAGACACACACTGAAAGAAAACCAACTTTATGCGGACGTGTGTGTATACGACACCAGAAATACACACAGTAGTACACAGACATAAAACACAGGTACATATACACACCTCATTCCCTCCAAACCACCCAACTGCCTTCCCTTCCTTTCCCTCGCACTCCCCCCCCAAACCATATAAGCAGCAAAGCGGGGTTGAAGGGTGGGGGGAAGCATTTCACAAGCTCCCCCCAATTCTCCCCCAGCCACAGAAAACAAGCCCACGCACGTATCACAGAACCCATCCCCCACGTATCTCCAACGCCCCAAACCTCGGGCCCCATAATGCCCCCACCCCCAGCCCCCACTAGCACTGTGTGAGCGCGGGGGCGGCATTTGCAAGAGGAACGGGGGCTGCTGGGGGGGGCGCGAGGCGGGGGTGGGGGGGTCGGAGGTCACCCCGGGGCAGAGATGGCTGAGGAGTGGGGGGGTCGTGAGAGAAAGAGAGAGAAAGAGGGGAGGCAAATGGCAGTGGGCGGGGCGGGGCCAGGACACGCATGGGCCTAGTGGGGAGGCGGGAAGGGAAGCGCCGGGAGAAAAAGCGACGGGCGGAGGAGGCGGCGGCTGAGGAGGCGAGGAGGGGGCGCTCCCGCAGCAGCAGGGGGGCGGGAACGGGCCGCGCCGAGCAGCCCCGGCCTGGGGAGGGACGGAGGGGGCGGCCTAGCCCGGCGCGGCTCCCCGGCGCAGCCCACCCGGCCCCTCGCCCGCCCTCTCCCGCTTTCCCCCCTCACGCTCCCGCCGTCCCCCTCAGCCTTTCCCGCTTCAGTTACCTGGGACGGCGCTGCCGGCTCCCCTTTCGCCTCAGCCCGGCCGCTCCGCCTCCCTCCCCTCCTGCTCCTGCTTTGCCCGCGTCGGGGAACAATGACGTGCCCCGCTCCGCCCGGCCTCTTGCATCCGGGGCCCCGGCGAAGGCCGGCGCGGCTCTGGGTCACACAGGGACCAGCGCCGCCCCTGCGGCTTCGACAGGGGGCCGGCAGGGGGCGCTGCGCTCGCCGGCGTCTGTTTTAAAAAAGAGATGGAGGGCGGGGCAGGGGCTCGGCGGAACTGCGGGTTTAGGGGCGGTCGGCAAAGAGGCAGGAGGAGGCGGTGCCGCCGCCGCTGCTGCGGCGAGGGGCGGTCTCGAAAGTGCGAGCCGCGAGTGGAACGCAGACTCGGAGTTCGGTTGCGGCTGCTGTTTAACGGGGGGTTTGGGTTGTTTGTTTTCGCGCAGAGCGGCGGTTCTGCGCACGCCTTGCTTGGAGGCAAGCCCCGCTGATCTCACTGGGGCTTCCTCCCTCTGGGTTTCTTGCAGCCTTAACGGTGCAGCCCTAACCATGGCCGCACATTTAAAGCAACACGTGGCTTTCCCCCCCAAAGAATCCCTGGGAACTGTAGTTGAGAGATGTTAGGAGACATCCTATCCCCCGCAGTTTGGAATTCCCAGCGCCAGTAAACTACAATTCCCAGGGTTCATTGGGGGAAGGTATGCCTGTTAAAGGGACACGGGTGGCACTGTGGGTTAAACCACAGAGCCTAGGACTTGCCGATCAGAAGGTCAGCAGTTCAAATCCCCGCAGCGGGGTGAGCTCCCGTTGCTCGGTCCCTGCTCCTGCCAACCTAGCAGTTCGAAAGCACATCAAAGTGCAAGTAGATAAATAGGTACCGCTCCAGCGGGAAGGTAAACGGCGTTTCCGTGCACTGCTCTGGTTCACCAGAAGCGGCTTAGTCATGCTGGCCACATGACCTGGAAGCTGTCTGTGGACAAACGCCGGCTTCCTGGCCTATAGAGCGAGATGAGCGCCGCAACCCTAGAGTCGTCCGCGGCTGGACCTAATGGTCAGGGGTCCCTTTACCTTTACGTCTGTTAAAAGTGGTATGGGAGTGCTTTAAGTGGGTGGTGTGGATGCAACCTGAGTCTGCTGGGGTAATGGGCTTAGGATTGTAGCCCAGAAGGCTCTTTCTCATTTCTTCACCACCACCGCCACTGAAGCTGCTATTACGTGGAAGAAATATAACAGCAGCTGTCGAAAATCTTTGGACCTCCAGATACTGCTGAAGTACAACTCCCATCAGCCATAAAAAAAACTTGGACCATAAACCATTGATGATGGGAGTTGTAGTTCAGCAACATCTGGAGAGCCAAAGGTTCCCCACTCATGGTATATAGGATTGCAGCCTTACTTCAAAATGCAGGCAAGACCTGCTGCAGTTGGGGACCCTGCTGCTCTGTCAATGCCTCTGATTATGCTCAAGGAGAGATTTGCACAGGTACATTTTCTAAAGCAACTGGGAATTTTCTAAATACCCAGTGGGGTTGTAAACACTAGTCTTTGTCAAGAAACACAGGAAGCTACCTTGTGGCCAGGCCATTGGTCCATCCATCTCAGCACTCGCAGGAGAGTGTGGGGCAGCAGGGCAAATCTTTTTTGCTGCAAATGTTTCCATGTTTTTGTAGGAGAAAGCTGTACAATTATTTCACCAGGTCATGCAAAACTATAAGGTCATAAAGAAGGTGGAGGTGCACCATGTTTGATGACTAGCACAGATAAATGACACCCTGCTGAACCAGCTCTACAGATGGCCCAATATTCTACAACTACTCCACAAGTACATCGTTTTCAGGCGGGAAAATGGTAAAGATTTTGGGCTGCAGAATGGTATTTTGTGGATACAGAGAAATTCACATTTTCAAATCGTAGCACTTCTAAAGTGTCTAAAAATAGCACCCAGCAGGCACGCTCTTTGAAAGCAGAAAGGTTTTGACAGGGTACAAAAATCTCGAGGAAAACCACGGTGAGTGAAACATCAAGGTGAACAAGAGTATCCATATGGAATCTTTATAATGGATCATGAAAAGGCACAAGCCATTAGCTGCAATGTTCAATTACCAGGGCCTGAAAAATATATGTTCTAATTAGTCACTTCTCAGTTTGCTATCAGAAGATTTCTTGAACCAGATATGCCCTAGTGAAACTGATGGCCCTATTAGCTTGACACAGATGGCTATGCTGCGTAAACCACTGCTTGTCTTTAGATTTGCTAGTGGTGGTGATGGGAAAACCACACACAAACAAAAATCAGTGGCCATCTTTTCTTTGTTGGTTAAAAGAATGCAGATCCAAAAATACATATTTAACAACGAGGGCATTTATTTATTTATTTATCCATCTCATTTACAATCCACCCTTTACCATCTGGTCCCACCCAGGGTGGACATGCACCACATAAAACTTCATAAAATATAAATACCATATTATAAAATACCATAGTTAAACACATACATGCAACATCAATAACCAGTCTGGTGTAGTGCTTAGAACTCAGCCATGAAGCTCACTGGGTGACATTGGGCCAGTCAGTGCCTCTCAACCTAACCTACCTTACAGGATTGTCATGAGGAACCATGTGCTCCTTGAAGAAAAAAGGTGGGCTATTAACACAGATTATTTTTTTTAAAAAAGCATATTAAGTAGGGGATAAAAACAGAACAAAACAGGAAGCTTGAGTAAAGTCTTCAGCTGCTGCCAAAAGGTCAACAATGTCAGGGCTCAGCTTACTTCAAAGTGGTCATTCTAAAGATACAGGGTCCCTGTAGGGAAAGCCTGTCCATCCACCATTGTCCAAAGCCTGCCATCCACCATTGTCCCCTAAGTTTTCCTCAAGTGGTGGGATCATCATCAGGCACTAATTAAAGGGCAGGTCAGTATGGAAAGAGGCATCCCTTCAGATACTTCGGTACAAGGCTGGCCCACCCATGAGACAAGGTGAGGTGACTGCCTCAGGTGGCACGCTCCACAGGGGCAGCAGATCCTAACCGAAATCTTTATTATCCCGTTGTTTCTGATGTAGATCTTCACTCACCCCTTCTTCCTGGGAGGGAGGGGGCACCATTTTGTGGTTTACGTCGGGTGCCAAAATGTCTTGGGCCGGCCATCCTTGGATCCCATGTCATTTATGGCTTTACTTGGGCTCAGAAGTGAATTGGCAACCAGCACAACTCTTTTAAACCCCGGTTGTACGTGAGTTTAATATGCCTGTCAGCACTCTGGCTGCAGCATTCTGTTCTAGTTGCCCTTTTTAGACTGTTTTCAAGAGCATCCCCATTGAGCGCATCAACTCCTATTCCTCTGTCTACCTTGTGCACGGGCAATACAAAATAAACTCTTGCATAGGGCTCGCTTCTCTCCACAGCTATCCTTTGGTTCCCACCCAAGGGACCTTGATCCATTACTCCCTGGCCCCATATCCACAGTAAGAATAATGTGGGTGGCGCTGTGGTCTAAACCACTGAGCCTAGGGCTTGCCGATCGGAAGGTCGGCGGTTCGAATCCCCGCAACGGGGTGAGCTCCCGTTGCTCAGTCCCAGCTCCCGCCAACCTAGCAGTTCAAAAGCATGTCGAAGTGCAAGTAGATAAATAGGTACTGCTCCGGTGGGAAGGTAAACGGTGTTTCCGTGTGCTCCTCTGGTTTTGCCAGAAGCAGCTTAGTCATGCTGGCCACATGACCCGGAAAAACTGCCTGCAGACAAACATTGGCTCCCTCGGCCAGTAAAGTGAGATTAGTGCCGCAACCCCAGAGTCGTTCACAACTGGACTTAACTGTCAGGGGTCCTTTACCTTTACCTTTTAAATAATAATAACAATAACAACTAAAAAACCCCTAAATCATCATCATCAAGGTCATAATACCAACAACAACTATAAAGGCCATAATAAAGGTTATTATAATGATAGTTGGGACGCGGGTGGCGCTGTGGGCTAAACCACAGAGCCTAGGACTTGCTGATCAGAAGGTCGGTGGTTCGAATCCCCGTGATGGCGTGAGCTCCCGTCGCTTGGTCCCCGCTTCTGCCAACCTAGCAGTTTGAAAGCATGTCAAAGTGCAAGTAGATAAATAGGTACCGCTCTGGCGGGAAGGTAAACGGCGTTTCCGTGTGCTGCTCTGGTTCGCCAGAAGCAGCTTAGTCATGCTGGCCAAATGACCTGGAAGCTGTACGCCGGCTCCCTCGGCCAATAAAGCGAGATGAGCGCCGCAACCCCAGAGTCGGTCACGACTGGACCTAATGCTCAGGGGTCCCTTTACCTTTATAATGATAGTAACAACCAGCGTGAAGTACTGCAGTGGTTAGAGTGTTGGCAGACTAGGGTTCAAATCCCAACTCAGCCATGAAGCTAATTGGGTGACCTCGGGCCAGTCACTCACCCTCGCCTACCTCACAGGGTTGTTGTGTGAGGGTGAAACAGGGAGAACTCCACGCACCACCCTGAGCTCCTCGGAGAGAAGGTGGAATAGCAGTAACAAGCAATTACAACGCCTGGGCAGCAATGCTAACCCTATCTTGCGTTGATCCTTCCTCGCTGCAGAAAAGCCCCAGGGGTCTTGGTGGAAAGTGCTGGGTGTCAGCCCCATTAAAACCGATGGCGGCTTCCTTCCGAGTAAACACGCCTGGCAGCATCGGGCCGTGCTCTGTGGCTGCCATCCTAATACCCCACCCCCTTACCTGGGCATTATTATGGGGCCTCAGTGCGCGACTTGCACACTGAGGAGACCCGTCCGGGCTCGCCCTCTTTCGCTCGAGAGCGGCCGCGCTTTTTTCCTGTCCCCGGGCAGAGCCAGGGGGCGCCGGCGGGGCGGCCGAGCTTGCCTGTCAGGAGACTCCGGCCTAGCAAGGGAGGCTGGGCTCCGTCCCCGCCTTCTTTCCCTCAGCGCGCTGCGCGTTCAGGCCCTCCAAGCTGGGGGTGGGAAGAAGGGCCTCTGCTGGGAGCAGAGCAGCCATGTGGCGAGAGGACGGCGCCGGCTCCTCCGGCCAGCGGCTACGGAGGCCGTGGCGGGTGGAGGAGGCTTCGCCGACGCCTCCCGCAGCCATCGCGTTCCCAGAGGACAGCGACGAAGGGACGGAGCTGCCCTTCGACGGTGCGTTACCGAAGGGGGTGCAAATACAGTGGTACCTCGGGTTGCAGACGCTTCAGGTTACAGACTCCGCTAACCCAGAAATATTACCTCGGGTTAAGGACTTTGCTTCAGGATGAGAACAGAAATCGCATGGCGGCGGCGCGGCAGCAGCGGGAGGCCCCATTAGTTAAAGCGGTACCTCAGGTTAAGAACAGTTTCAGGTTAAGAACAGACCTCCAGAACGAATTAAGTTCTTAACCCGAGGCACCACTGTAATAGTTTCGAGAGGGAAGGACGCGCGGGGGGGGGGGGGAAGGACTCCCTTCTTGCACGATAGGGGGAAAACGTGTGCAAGCTGAGCCCCGTCATGCTAGCCCTACTCAAGAGTAGACCCGTTGAAATGACGGGGCACGGCTTGCCTCGGGGTCCGTGGACTTCGCTGTGGCTGCTCTGCGTTGGGTGCAACGCTTAGGAGAGGTTAAGTTCCCAGCTGAGGGCGGTAGGACCTCCTGTAGCTCGCTATGGTGTCTCCTCAGAAGTAAGGACTAGTGGGACTTGCTCCCAGGTAAGTGCTGCAGATTGTGGAGCCATTATTATTATTATTATTATTATTTATATATTGTGCTAGAGAGAACAAAAAAGAGAGAGGCAGATCTCTGCCTCAAGGGACAGTATAAAATTTGACACAAGGGAGCCAACCTATGGGGAAGGAGGGAGAGAGAGAGGCTAATAATTATACTCCATAAAGGGCAATTTGCCTTTCAAGACCCATAATAATAACATCTAATTGGTGGTGTGAATTCCTTTTTTGTCAACTCCCGTTGGCAATAGAAGCTTAGGCTGTGTATACACCGTACTTTTAAAGCACATTTCCCCATTGCGGGGAGGGGGGGGGATAATGGGAACTGTAGTTTACTCCCCCCCACAGAGCTACAATTTCCAGTACTGCTAACAAACCATAGTTCCCAGGTTTCTTAGCGGGGCCGTGTGTTGTAAATTGTATGGTGTGCACAAAACCTTGGGCTGCAATGCTTCTCCAACTTAGCTGGGAGTAAGCGCCATCACATTCAATAGGACTTCAGAGTTGACATGCTTAGGATCCTGTTGTTACTGGCCTGTCTCAGTGCATGTGTGCTTGGAAGTAACTCCACACTGAAATTCACAGGACTTGCCATCAAGCAAAGGTGAAAGGGAAGGTTTATGTCACAATAAACTCAGATCACAAGTGGTAAAGCGTTTACTGAGCCACGTCACTTTGGACAAGGGCTTTATCTATTTAAAAACTGCTCTGCTGGAAAATGTGCCAATATCCACCCACCCTACCTGAAGGGGATCAGGTTTAAAAACAACACATGAATTTTCCGTATGTATAAATTCCGTCAATATTTGTGTTTGCTTTGGGATAAGGCTTGGTAAATGAGGCTTTAGAATAATTAATGGATAGAATAGAATAGATTCTACTGCTTTGCACTGCAGGAAAACAGTGGGCAAGGAAGGGGGATTATTTGTGCCCTCACAGGAGACTAGCTGCTGGAATTATTTTAACGGCATGGAAGACAATAATATACCGAGAGTTATGCAACTAAAACAATCTAGCAGGGACTGTACATGTCATAACATGCAGGAGACATCCAGATCATAGGGCTTTTGAATCATTTTAGTTTTACTGCTCTCACTGTTTCTGGTTAAACAACATATTTTGACATAGTCTCCTGCCTGCCCTTTGATTGAGTTCCACCCCCTAGCCCCGTTTCAGAAATGTTAACCTTATAAACCAAGAATGGGGTAGCTGTGGCCTACCAGATTTTGTCAGACCACAATTTCCATAATCCCTGACCATTGGCCTTGCTGGCTGGGGCTGATGAGAATTGGGAGCTCAATAGCATCTTGAGAATCATAGGGTCCCCCCCCCCCTTAGTTAGAGAAGCTGTATTATTTAACAGTTTTTGTGCTAGGAATGGAAGAATATTCATGACTGAAGAGTTACGTAGTTACATCATTCTTCTTCACCTTGAGGCAGAGTTAGGGGGCAGTTTCATCATTCCTACTGATCTGTCTTGTGACTTTCTCTTTAGGGCCTCTGGGTCCTCTATAATTGCATCAGCTGCCCTTTTTAGTATACTGATGCAAACATGTCCTTTATCATTCCAAACTTAAGCTAACTTAAAAGCAGCCTCCTTATATGTTCTGCATCCTGGGATGGGATGGCATCAGGCCAGGGGAGGTGGGGAAAGGCCCACCCACTTGTCTCTATGGCAACAGTCTTTTGGGGCATGTAAATGTCAGTTCTTAACAGACCAGCTAAGGTCATTGCCTTTCAAAGAAAATGGTCTGACCGGTTCAACAGCTTCTTCTAGATTCTAAACCTCACTTGATGCAGAATCACAGGCCTGGAAGGGACATGTGGATATCATCCAGACTAAACTTCCACCAACTCATAAGAATAGTTTGTTTTTAATGATATTATTTCATCAAATGTTACATCGCTTGATTGTTAAAAAAACACACCTTAAAGGCATTTGCATATCAGTCTGCTAGATGGAACTATCCCTACCCCATGTGCTGTTCAGGAGGAGGTTTTTCCAACAACTCCAGAGCCAAATTCAGGGAGGGCAGCAGGGGGTGAAAGCCCTGTTGCCCAGTGGAAACCCTTGCGCAGGGCTTCTGCAGATGGAATTTGTTGGGTTAGTCCTGCCTTTTATCTGGGAAATATGTGGTCCTCTCAATAACACTGTAAAACATTCCAGCTTTTATATTTCTTAGAATAGAAATATTACATAAATTGCCGTTTAATTCCACAGTGTTTTCAACTGCTCATGAGAAAATGTGCTGGTCAGCAAGCCTGCCTTTCAGCTTTCATTTTTGCCTGGTCTATTTCAGATTCTGATTGGCCTGCAGAGCTTCAAGGTGCAAATGGTTCTCAAAAGTTAATGAACATTACAACTTCATTTGCGAACCAGCTCCTGCTCGTTTCACTGCTAGAGCATCTTTGCCATGTGTATGCACAAGATCCAGCACGTTCAAGACGTTTGTTTCAATGTTAGTACGAGCTTGACTTACTTTTGCATGGTAGAGTGGTGGTTGTCAGTTCCAGCAGCTGAAGAATTGCATCATTTTGTCTGAATTTATTATATTATATAAATATATTAAATAAGAATGTAAATAATAATAATTTGAGCACATTAAGTTTGCAGTCCTATAACCCTAATCCTACAAGTACTTCAAGGGTCGTAAACCTCATTGAACACATCGGGTCTTACTTCCAAATAAACATCAATAAGCTTTCAGCTCACCATACATCTCTACCGGTGGTGCACCTCAACTTATCTGAATTTCAACTTAATCTTTAACTATTCTGTTGTGTTGTTATTATCTTTGCTCCATCAAGTAGGAAAGTAAACAATTTTAGCTGCCAGTTCAAAGTCTTAGATCGCTTAACGAGTTCAAAGTTCTCAAGTTGCTCTTGAAATGGACGTATTGTAAAAAAAAAAAATCAGCCATAGTAGTTCATTTAGTTCACATTGGGACAGCTCAGTTGGTAGAGCATGACTCTTAATCTCAGGGTTTTGGGTTTGAGCCCCACGTTGGGCAAAAGATTCCTGCATTGTAGGGGGTTAGACTAGATGACCCTTGTGGTCCCTTCCAACTCTAAAAGTCTATGATTCTATGAAGCCTGAATTTTATGTGTCATTTTGAATGTAAAAGCTAACCCAGAGCTTAATGCTAGAGGTATAACTGCAGCATGTTAACATGCACAAGTGGATACCTGACATGGTGTAAGGTATCAATAAAACACTATAGCAATTTAAAAATACCATTAACATCCCAAAGAATAACTACAAAATGCACAGCATTTATTAAATACAGAAGTGCATATATTAAATACGGACAGGCACACATTTCCATGCCACCCACATTTCCACCCACCCACAAACCACCTGCTATTCAGACTGATTATTAGATCTTGTTTGATTTGGGTGGGGCAGGAGGGGTTTTTCTTTGAGATAATCAACCTCCTGGAAGCTCCACCCATGGTTACATTTGAACAACAAGAGTGTTCAGAGAGGAATGCTGAAACTCACCACAGTCCAAGAGTGGCATTAAAATACAAACAAACAAAAAACCCTCCACAACTTTTGAATTGGGGCGGTTTTTGGAGAGCTTTTATTTTAAAAGTGTATTCTAATACTAAATTATAAAATGCTGGTTCCATAATTTGGCTGAAACATTTTTTGTTGTGTCAAAATATTTCAGATTGCAAAGATCATTTCCTTGTATGTAGCATCAGCTGTCAGTGCAACTTAAGCAAAGCTAGGCCATGAGCAGTTTTTAATAGTTTGAATGTTGTGTAAAGTTCAAATGTTTGATTTCTTTTCAAATATTTTCCCTCCTTTTGTACAGTACTGTGTAAGACATTTACTGGAATGCACTTGCTATCTGATTTTGCTGTCCGTGAAGAATTCAGTAGTTTGCGCCTGCAGCATAATCGAGCCATTACTGAATTGATGAAGGCAGCCAACCAACAAATACTCAATGAAGTAAGCTTACTTCAAACTTTCTCTGCTTCTCAGTTCCCATGACTAGCATATAAAGTACATGGGGAAGAGTATAGGACTTCAGTTCTTTGGTTTCTTTTTGTGATGCTTATGCAGACCAGAGAATTTTACTCCAGCGTTCTCCTCTTTGCTCATACTCCTTTACATGGGCATGGGCTACATTATCTTTTAATGTATGTATAGGTACTTTATAAGTGTTTAATAATAATCTGGCGATCACATCATTAGGAGCATGGTGAGGTTGGTGTAGCAAGATCTATTCTTCTCCATGTGTCAACAAATCTTTTTTTTAAAGGACAATAGTGTTTCATGGAAGGATAACAATATATTGCAGCCTGTTTGGTCAGTGTGTTAGAGCATGGGTTGTGCTAACTATGGTTTAGCATCTAAACCAGGGTTTGAGCCTAAAAAACCCCATACCGCAGTTCAGCACAGTTTGTCTGCTTTTATTTTCCCTATTACTGATCCCAAACAGCATTTTTAAAATTTAGATATCATGCCAAACCATAGTTTCTGGTCTAGTATGGACATATGTTAAAGTACTTGCCAGGAGTTCACAAATTTGGTTAAGGATCTGAGTGACACACTGACATATAAACAGTGGCAGCCAAATGTGTCCCTACACGTCACAGAACAGTCAAAGTCTTTCTTCTAGTGTGCCATTGCACAACTGTTGGCTCAGGCTGATCGGAGCTGGAACACACCAAATTAGCAAAGGCTGTCGTAGCAGCCAAATTTCAAGTTAGAAAAGTAAAGAATTTTGCTTTACCTCTGCCAAGAAAGTCTGCAGGAAATCCATAAGAAAGTTAAAATAAATTAATACATCCTTCAAAGAAACTGCTGCTGCAGCCCCTCCTCATTGTGTATGTGTTTTTTATTTTTGTAGGAGTTCGGGAAGAGTGATTCTTACACAAACAGGTATGTGTTCAAAGTGCTTCAACGAATGTTTAAAATTGCTTGTTGGGCAATTAACACATTAACTCCAAAGTAAGTTTCACTGAGCTCAGTGGGGCTTACTTCTCAGTAAATGTGTTCATTTACTCTCTCTGCCAGAGTCCTCAGTATTACAAATATAAAATGTTGATTATTAGAAGTGTTTAAAAAAAATCAAAACAGGAGATTCGATATTGAAAGTGGAAGTTTAAAAACAGTATCTAGAGTTTCCCATGAAACTCTAGGATTGTTGGAACTGTGCTTTTGAGAACCAGCTGGAATTATGAAACCATGAAAGCATGGTTTGATCCTCCCCTGTTCTTGCTTACGCTGGTATTTTTCATCAAAAATAGGTGGATTGTACCATAGTTAGGAAACCTGACCAATCCTGCAGGACTTGCTTGTTTTCTGCCCAAGTGTTCACTACAATCAGTCGTCCCCCAGCTCAGTGCTCTCCAAATATTTCAAACTAATACTTCCTCCATCCCTAACCATGCTGGCTGGATCTGATGAGAGTTGTGGTCCACAACATCTGGAGGGAACCAGCTTGGTTAAGGCTGGTCTGACAACTATGACAAATCCTTTCTTTTTTTAAAAAAAGAATGTGTATAAAAAGGTGTCTGAGAATAGCAAATTATGTCACTATGGATTTGAGTGATAGAGATTTATGTTCCTTCAGTGTCACAAAATTTGTCTAGATGGAGAAGGAACCTTAAAATTAATACAGTGGTACCTCGGGTTAAGTACTTAATTCGTTCCGGAGGTCCGTTCTTAATTTGAAACTGTTCTTAACCTGAAGCACCACTTTAACTAATGGGGCCTACCGCTGCGCCGCCGGAGCACAATTTCTGTTCTCATCCTGAAGCAAAGTTCTTAACCTGAAGCACTATTTCTGGGTTAGCGGAGTCTGTAACCTGAAGCGTATGTAACCTGAAGCGTATGTAACCTGAGGTACCACTATATATAGTAGCATCACTCCATATTTTTGTAGTACCTTATATATTCATCTTTGAGTCAGAACTACATGTCACGTGAAGTTGATTAATATCTTCTAACATTTTTTATAAATGAAAAGTAGCCTTGGACAGTGCGACTGACAGCATGGGAGGACAGGAAAGTACTTAAACTACTTAAATCCTACCATTTTAATGCTAAAAATGCATGCCCCCCGTTGATTTCCTGCCCATGAAGGAAAGTTATATTGTTGGTGATTCTAATACCTTTTTATTTGTGATGTATTTTGTTGCTACAACCAGTGACGCCCATCTTTTTAAAAACTAGGGAAAATGAAATTATCTTTGAAGCACAGACTTCTCGCTATATCAATGAATTTGATGAGATTACAAGGCTAGGAAAAGGAGGGTACGGCACTGTATACAAGGTATTCTTTATTTTTTGTTTTAACAACTTTGTAGTAACGGTTTATATTACTGGGTGAGCTTCCATAATAAGAAATACTCAAAGAGAAGGGAGTCCAAGATGGATGGGAGTTTTCTAAAGCAGAGGTTCTCCTGTTTATTAGAGCTTAATTGGACTAAAATACTGGCGCTTGCTAGAAGAGATGAGATCACAAACTGTGGAACAAACCAACTGTAAGGACTTTAAGGTTTGAACTCATTTGGTGCAAATGACAGTGGGGTGGGGAGGGGAGCCTACGGTTTCTTTATTTAAAGTTTTCTTCTCTACATTTATGATTCGGCAACCCTCCTCTGAATGTTAGTTCAAATTATATTTGTACAAGCGAGGATGGAAAAAATTGGATTATAAATATGGAATATAACATCAAACAGAACTGTGTGTGTAAAAAAAAGGAAAAAGGGAGGGAAACTCTATTTTGCTAAAGGTTTATGATGGAAACTTAGAGATGACTTTTCCCCATCCTTTATTATCTGCAAAGTGAACTAAATAACGCTAAGAGGACTTGGAATTTAATTTAATTGGAAGTATAATTGTCCATATATCTTAAGCTGGAAGGAAGAATGAAAGGAGTCTGTGAGCTGCTAAGGAACTGATAAGGTTCTTTATCTGCAGTTTGACAGACCACTCTTCTTCCCAGGCTGAGAGGAAAAATTGTGACAACAGTTTATTTACTGGGTCAGAGTGACTTTTGCAGCTGTTGTTAAAGTTCTCGGTGCAAAACAATGAAGCACGGGATAGAGCGATGGAGAAATTTCTGGAACAACAATGGGATATCAGCTCCGCCCAAGGCAGGGGTCGGCAACGTGCGGCCCATGGACTGGATGCGGCCCACGAAGACCGTTTTACTGGCCCACGAGCCACCCCTGAACAGAGCCGCCCGCTCGGCGAGTCCCCCGCGTGCTGTGCTAAACCGGCACAGGGACTCGCTGAGCGGCACCGGAAATTGCGTCTGCGCGCAGGCAGATACTGGAAATTGTGTCTGCGCATGTCCAGATGCCGAAAATTGCTTCTGCGCAGGTGCAATTTTTGGCGTCTGGGCATGCTCAGAAGCAATTTCTGGCGCTGCGGACCTGCGCAGATATGATTTCTGGCGTTGCACTGCGCCAGTCTGGCCCACGGATGATCTCCTTGGGAGTGATCCGGCCCATGGCTGGTAAACCTTGCCGACCCCTGCCCCAAGGCATGATGGATAACAGCAACAATTGGGGGAAAGAAAGACATAACATCTTACTAGGACAAGAAGAAACACCACGGACAGAATAATTGCCACACACAGGAAAAACAAGGATATAGTTTGAGTTCCTCACTTGCAGTTTTATAAATCATTTAATGTGTCAACACGAATAGAAGTTATTAATATTGCAGTTGTTGTATAAGGGATTATTATTATGGCTGGCATGTAATTGAAACTAATGAGATTTTGGAACGCAGAAAAAAAGAAAATAACGAAACCATCAAATCTAGCATGCGGGGGACCACTTTAACTAAATTATATAATTCGGTATTGAATGGTTGGTATTAATTACTGTATTGTAAATCAGTATTGTTATAATGAGGTTATTATTGGACTGTAATTGGAAACTAATAAAAATTATTACAAAAATGGTAATAGAAGAAAGAGGAAATCACAAAGGATAAGTATACATGAGTAGCCAACAGACACAAGGTAAAGGTCAGGTAGCTGATAAACCTCTGCTCTTGCTGACCCTAGTTTTAAGCTGCAACCACCTATTAATCTTTCCCTCTGCCTGAACTGGGTGGTTTATATGTGTACATGGGGAACACTGTTCAATACTATTTTCTTTTTTAAAAAACAAACTTTTTTGAAAATTTTAAAAACCATTACCAAGCATAAAGCATTGTATTCCAGGACAAATGCATGTACAGATGTTAAGTCTTGTGTGCAGTTGTCTACATGGCATTAAAACAGAGTTGGGAAATCTTTTACATTACAGTGTAAGCTCATACCCACAGTTCATGCTTTAATCTAAAGCATTAAGGTAATTTCTCCATAGTGGCTGCTGGGACTGAGACGGAAGGGAGTTTACTGCACAATTGTTAATGTTGTGAGTGACCAGATAAAAGAATGTTGCATGCCAGTTGTCGTTTGACCATCTCTGAGCTAAACTCTGCTGTATCTGCCTTCAGGTCCGAAACAAGCTAGACGGTCAGTTCTATGCAATTAAGAAAATTCTTATCAAGAAGGCTACCAAAATAGATTGTATGAAGGTATGCACTTATTTTACATCTGTTCGTGTGTTTTGTTTGGCCTGTGGAAATTCATGACTCAGTGTAATTGGTTTCAAGATCTGATATTTAATGTTAAAGGAAAGGGATTATGCCAGGATAGTGAAAGGAAAAGACAGAAAAGGAAAAATTCTGTCGCTGTATAATTCTAATGATTTTGTAATCAGCTACTGTTTAGTAGATGAACAATGGTCCACAAGATACAGAATTTAGGTGATCTATCTATCTATCTATCTATCTATCCATCTATTGTAACATCTGGAGGGCCGCAGTTCCCCATCCCTGCTCTAAAAGCAAATGGTATAAGAATGGATCATAGCTAGCCTTCTCAGTGCAGGTTAAATTTAGCCACTTAACCCAGTATTCTCTGCTTTTGACTGGCAGCACTTCTGCAGAGCTCAGGCTGAGGTCTTTCCTGTTACTTTCTGCCCAATCCTTAATTGACTTTTGCTAGTATCTGAAAGGCTTAAATAAGAGTGCAAAGTCCTCTCCTTGCAGAATACTTTGCAGACAACTAATGAAGCTGCTAACAGCTGGATGATTTAGTACTGTGGTTCCCAAACATCTGCCTGGAGATGCTGAGGACTGAACCTGGAGCCTTCTGCATGCTAATACTGTGCCGTACCACTGACTTAGGACCCCTTACTAAAAGAATAGCACCCTTTGGGGTTTTTTTGGGGGGGGATATAAGAATGAAGTGTACCTTCAGTTTTATTTCAGGAAAAGTGTTCCTCAGTTCTCAAAATTCTGGTAAACAATGGCTTACCAATGATAAGAACAGGACGCATTCCCTCTTGTTTTTTTGTAGGTGTTGCGGGAAGTTAAAGTGTTGGCTGGGTTGCAGCACCCTAATATTGTGGGATATCACACTGCTTGGATGGAACATGTTCAACCAGCAAGCCCAAAAGGGGAGTACAACATTAGTTTTGTGGCTTCTATCTGTCAACATGACACATCACACATCCTAAACTGGCTGTTGCTGCCCAGAGAAATATTTGGGATCATAATAAACAGCTTTCTGAAATTTCCCCAGTCCCTAGTATGGCATTAAAAAAAAAAGACAGCTCTGGTGCGGGAAAGGTTAAAACAAAAGCAATAGCTATATTGTAGCACAACTCCATGGTGTATCAATTTTGGGAAAGCCGTGTACTGTTCTGGTCACTCCATAAATGATTTGAAGATATAAAAATTGTGTGTGGGGTTGTCTTTTTATAGGTTTTGCATTCATAAATATAGTATCTGGTCTTACTTAATATAATAATTTGTTCTTATTAACTATTGAAATTTTAAACCACCTACATGTTCATTTTACTAAAAGGTAAAATTTTACTATAATCCAATGGTACACTCGGTCTGTCTTTGTAAAATGTTGTGTTTCTCTTCATCCATCTTGTAGGTGAGACAACTTTGAATTTACTGTCCCTCAAAATGTCTTCTGGGCAGAGAAGTTCTGAGTATGTATCCTATGTATCAGTAAGAACAATCTCTTTTGGTCTTTTTCAAATAAAAGCCAAAAATATAGCAGAATGTTGACTTAACGTATAGCAAGGATCTTTTCTTAAACCACATAATATAAAAATATATATTTACCTTTGCTATTCCTTTTGTCAGATTGAAAAACAGTACTGCTTCACCTTGTTCTTGATTGCTGAAAAATGTTTCCATGCCTAGTTATTTTAAAACTTGCTGGAGGGGAGAGTAGAGGTTTTCTATTTAATGTGAAAATCCTACATATGAGTCTGTGCATATAGAAGCCACAGACCACTTCTAGAGCCCAAGCATGGAAAAGGCTGCATGTTTGGTAGGCACAAGATTGACATTTTGCAGCTAGCGATTCCATTCCTACCTGTTGAGAGCTGCTGTTTGCTCCTCCAGTCTGCCATGCCCTGCTGCACACTACTCCATTCTCCTTCCCACCCCCAGCTGTCAGGAGACTTCCTGGAGAAGGGTGGTCTGATGCAGAAGAGTGAGAGGTGACAGCAGGCCCTGTTAATTACGCTGTGTTAACCTTGCTAACCAATGCAAACTCTGGCACAGCGTTTGAGGAACAGCAGTAGCAGGCATTTTCTCTCCTGCTCACAGTTCTTTGTCTCTCTCCTTACATTTCTTGCAGAGATCAGTACAGCATTCAGGATATGGAAGACAGCAGTTCCATTGTCTTTGCTGAATCTTCCGGTGGCAGAGACCGTAAAGGAAATAAAATGGATGCATGTGCGCTACCTGTTGAATTGCCCGAGAGCAGCTGCATGAATAACACAGTCGATGGATCAAGAGATAATGAAAATCATCCATCAATTGTATCTCCTTGCAATCCTGCTAGCCTTGGCAGTGTTAGTACAAATGATTCTTGCGCTGATGAAGAATACTCCCAGAAGGGGATATCTGTGCGGCATCAGTGTCAGGTAAATGCGGGTTCCTCTTAAACATACTTAGTTACTCCTTGACACATGTGGAGAATAATCTTCAGCAACTGTGCAGCATAAATCCAAAACCTAGCTATATTTCTAGAGATGGCTCTTGCGCTTGTTTGACTGTTTTTATTTATAATATTTTAAAGCTGCTCTTTCATATAAAATATCGCAAAGTGGTATGCAACCTTAAAAAAAAAGTGCTGCAATAAAAACATCAAACGTGTCAATGGAAGCTGGTTGGCAAGGAATCTCAAGTTCAAAAGATCTGTCTGAATAATACTGTTTTCTGAAGGTGTCTGAAAGTGAGCAGGGATGACTTCTGCCTAACCTCTACCAGCAAGGAGTTCCACAGAATAGGACCTGCCAAACCACAGGGACATGTTGCAACACCAGAAGTGTCCCCTTGGAAGACCTGTTATTTATTAAAATGTTTATAGACTGCCTTTTATTATTGAGGTGGCATACAGGATTAAATAAACGTTGATATATCTGATGAATTTTGCTTTCCGATGCTACGATTGGCAGCTTCTTTCTTTGGGCTGCCTTCTTCTTGGTTTACTTTATTCTGTTTGTAAACATGTCCCATCTGACTTAATTCTTGAATATGCACATCCTAGTTTTACATTTACTTTTTTTTAATCTTTTCCTACTCTTGGGAGCTGAGAAGGGGTGGAAATGAATGCACATTTTCACCTAAAATGTAACAGCCCTGGTGCTCCACTCCTCAGGATGGAAAGACTGGGGGAAATGGATGGATGAATGAATAAAATCTTACTTTTAAAAATGTTTTGGAAGTTGTACATGACCTGATAAAGTGGTGTGTGGGTGCATGTGTATGTATAACACACTTAAATGTTTGTATTTTTCTTCCCAGATAGAGTATCACCTTATGCTTCACATACAGATGCAGCTGTGTGAAATTTCATTGTGGGACTGGATTGCTGACAGAAACAAAGTATGTTTGAAAACAGAGGATGCTTCTAGTAAGTTTTGTTTTTGAAGATAGAGTGGTGGGGGAGATTAAATGTTAACGTGATTTCCTGCCTTTAAGATAGACTTAAAATATAAATAAATATTCTTCTCTGGGCAGCTGTAAAAAGTGCTTCCCGTATTTGCCTATAAGCTGATTTCCATAACAATAAAGGCAATGAATCTTAGTCTGCATTTGAAAGCGGCAAATGTTTTCTTCCTTATTTGTAAATCCTAAAGCCAGGTTTCCAAAAAGCTATTTTCCATGGGCGGGTGCTCCTGCTCAACCCTCATGATCCTTCTCCCTGTCTAGCTGGGATGCGGAGAAGAGAATTCTCATCTTTGTACTGCTGAGGTTTTGCCTCATCTGCACACACCACAACCGAAGAAAATCCCCATTGAAAGGAATGGCTTTTCACGTTGCACTCTGGAGTTTTGGAGCTGGCAGCAGAGGGACAGAGAGAGGGGCTTCATCTGCCAGCTCCAAGACTCAAGCACTATATGAGATGCACAGAGAACTTGGGAGAGCGGAAATGGTCAGTAGCAAGTTGCCACCACAAGTGTGTGGGCCCCTGCTTATAGTTGCAGAGGTGCTGTAGTTCATTGCATGCAGGAGGTCAAGAGTTCAATCTCTGGCATTAGCAGGTAGGGCTGGGGAAGACCCTTTGCCTGGAATATTGGAGAGCTGCTACCTGTCAGAGCTAGATGGACCATTGTTCTAGTTCTGCTTTCCCCAATCCAATATCCTCCAGATGTTTTGGCCTATTCCTATGGCAGATGCTGTATTTTCATATTAACTTCTTTGTTAAAATAGTTGGACGTATTATGCTGTCATTTATAAAATACTTCACTCCCCACTCCTTTTTTAAAGGTCCTTATCACCATGTGGACAACCAGTGGACATTAAAGATCTTCCAAGAACTGCTTGAAGGAGTGTATTATATCCACAGTATGGGAGTCATGCACCGGGACATTAAAGTAAGTAAAATTCTCACTCGGAGCTTGGAATTGTGGAGGAGGTGGGGATTATCTCTGCAGCTGGGGCACAGTTGGTACAATTTCTGGGCCCAATTTTAACCTTTAAAGCCCTAAACAGCTTGTCATGAGGCTCCCCAAAAGACCGACTTCTCCCATATGTAGCCACCTGAACCTTAAGGTCTCTCCAGAGGCACTGCTCCAGGTGCCCCCACTGGAAAAAAGGTGGGTAGCTACCAGGGAGAGGGCCTTCTTGGTGGTTGCCATCCTGGTTATGGAACAACTACACCAGTAAAGCTCACCTACTGTGTTCTTTGTGGTCTTTTCAGTGCCAGGTGAGACAGTTTTGTGCACCAAGGTGTGGTCCTCCAGAAGTTGTTGGGACTCCAGCTCCCATCATCCCAGGCTGTAATGAAACCACTATCTCTTGAACTGACCGACCTCACAGGGTTATTGTGAGGATCACATTGTTTGTGTAGTGGGGAGAAACAAATACACTATCTTGAGCTTCTTTGAGGAAAGGCAGTATAGCGATGATGACAAGAATGAGGAGAAGGCAGAAGAAGGAAGTAGAGGGAGGAGGAGGTGGAGGAAGAAGTAATAATGGACAATAAAGCTGAGATGCCTATAGCCCTGACCTGGTGAATTCTTTTGCATTTGTGATTTCATTCCGAGCTTTGGGAGCTGATTCCATTGCATCAAGGGAGCTATTGTTATGATAACCAGAATCTTAAAAATGACCAAGAAACCCTGCCATACAAGTGGAACTTTTTGTATGTAGAAATCCACTCCCATTATTCTTACAAATCTTTTACCCTAACAGACTGGTTTAAGTGGACGTTATTCAAATAACACTCGAGAGAATTAGTAATGCTTCAGAAGATAAAGCCAAATTCAAGTTTCTCACTAATTTTTCTTCAAATTTTATTTAATTTAAACAAGGAAGCTTATTTTTGAAAGCTTTGCGGGGCCCTTTTTCTGCTCTTCTTGTCTGATAGCGTTCCAAAATGTGTGTTGCACAGTAAATCAAAAATAATTTATTTTTGAAGCATAGGAGAACTCTTGATTGATGTATATGGAATGCCACAAGCTGGTTGGAATCACTCCTTTTAGCCAGAATTTCATGTTACCTCGATATACTTTCCTGATGTTGAATTTGCAAATATCCTGCAAAGACAAGACCTCTGAAGACACTCTCAGGAGCATATCTTTCAGCAGTCCACAGCATGAATGGCTGAGTGCTTTGGGTAAACGACCTTCCCTGTTTGTTAATTTCAAAGGATATGATAAGCTTAGCAATCTCTTCAGTACGTCTCCCTGCCTTAGATTGGTCTCTTTTTCAAGAAATAGGAAAAGTGCAGACTCCTCTTCCTGCGTTAAAGCGTTAACATCTGCGTCATTATCAAGCAAGAGGTTTATTATATCTCTTCTGCCACTTCGGCAAGCGCTGTGAATAACTTCTTGCCCTTCCCAGTCTTTCATGTGTATATCTGCTCCATTGCACAGCAGTAGCTTAACACACTTATCACCTGCTGCTAAGACTATGCCAGCCTTGCAGGCTGAAGACCAGACAGCAAAGTGGAGCGGAGTTTCTTTGGTATCTGGAGTTGCGAGATTGGCGTTCGCTCCACAGAGGAGTAGCATGGAAATTGCCTGCTGGTCAAGGATTTCAGAAGCTAGGTGAAGAGCAGTTTGGCCTAACCTATCCCTGTCATTTATATTGGCTCCATTCTTCAGCAGGTGTATTAGAGTTTGATGATATCTGTTGGCTACAGCTAAATGTAGAAGGCTGTGGCCATGGTAAATGATTGCGTCAGAATTCACCTGGAAGTCTTCCTCTGGTTTGACGTGAGGGTAGTTTTCTTCATTGCACTGTGCAATTCTCTGATGCATGTTCAAGGGACATCCTGCAGTTCTGTATTTGGGAAGTGATATAACAGGTGGTAAGATTCCATACAATTCCTCTTCCATCAGCCACCACCCTTATTAACTGCTGGGTGGTTTTCTCTAAAGAATTTGTCCAGTATTACCCTTCAACAATCAAGCAAAAACTATATTTCTTATCGTTTCTTCTTTCTTCTAGACCATAAAGTCAGTGTTGCCCAATCTTTATCAGTACATGTTGTTTGGGTATGAGGATGCAAAAAGTATGATAAGGCACATGTCAGGGGTTCAGGGACAGAGGCACAGGGTAGGCAGGAGATGGAGAGCGATGGGGATGAATCCCAGGACAGCGAGGAAGAGGATGACAATGACTCAAGAGATTCCATGAGTCTTTCCAGCGAATCAGAGGATTCCCAGAAGGGGCGCCGGTGGTCAGGGCCAGGAGCCCCAGGGGACGTGTCAGGAGCAGGGGGCCAGCGGGGATCCCAAAGTGGCAGCTGGGCGTCAGGACCAGTCTCCCCGCCAGAGTGCAGCGAAGGGGTGGAGGTTCCAGTGTATCAGGGAAGCAGCTCCGGCAGCAGAGAAGGGAGGGAGGTCGGAGCAAGCCACCCTCCCGGAAGGGGAGGAGTAGTGAAGGGAGTAGTGTAACTGTCAAAAGGAAGGTTAGAGGTTGGGCGCGCGCCTGAGTTCAAATGTAGAGGCGCACGGAAGTACAGGGAGCCCGGAGGAGGGGCCAGGTCCCAAAGCCCGCAGGAGGGGGGAAGAGCAATCTGGGGATTCCGCGTCAGGGGAATCCAGGAGGGGCGAAACCCCAGCGGGCAGGAAGACCCTGCGGAAAAGAAAAGAGAGGAAGAGGTGGAGCAGCGCAAGCTTCTTAAACTGGTGTAGGGGAGGGACTGACTCAGAGGGGACTTCAACGGTCTAAGCGTAACAGACGTGGGGCTGCACGCCTTGGATGTGAAGCAAACAATGAACTCCAATAAACACTTTTGTATATAAGAAGAGATTGGCGTTGGTCTTTTGTGAGCTGAGACCTGAGGCAGCCTTGACAGCACATATCATGGATCATCTTAGATTAGCGGCAACCACAGAGCTGAACCTGAAGGTTTGGCTACTAAAGGTTTGCTTCCCTCTGCTACTGTCCTCCCTAGCACCACGGCCCGCTGGATTCCCAACTGCAAGGTGCCTTGCTTTATAAAGCAAAGCCCCTTAATTTAAAGGAGTGGAGATTGTGCCACACACAGGAGATTCTTTGTCCTTGTGTTGGCCTTCAAAGGACTTGGGGGTCCACTAGTCAACTCCAAATGAGGTGGTGCCGTTCTAATGCATATGATAGGTTTTCCATATGCAGTCCCCACCCCTTGGTGTGACCTTTAATCTACTGAGCTGGGGGAGCGTGTGGCATTACTAGCACAATGCTGGAAAGGCATACAAGAGTGTAAGCTCGACTCTTAGCAGTGGGCAGGGCTGGTGTTAGGAATTGGCAGCTGTGGGCGCCTGCAGAGGGCTGGCAGAAGCCTGGAGGCCATGGTCTCTTTGGTGTAGGACGTTCCAGAGAAATTATACAATTTGGCTTTTCTTGGCATGACCCAACCAAACCTGGCTAACGTCTCATTACTTTTCTGGACTTGCTGCTGAATAGCTTTGGCCAAGCATATAGGGTTTTCTTCTGCCCACCAAAGGATTCCCAGATCTCTTATCTAACTATAATATATAGTTAAGCATTACCTTATTTCAGGAGGTTCAATTTGAAAGGTGCTTTTCATATATCTTCCAAGCGGCTTCCTCCCGAACTTTTGCTGCCATATTGGTTCCGGGGGTGGAGGGAGGAGAGAGATCCAGAATAGGTATCGAAGTTTATCTGATAACCCTTTTATGCATGTTTGAAGTACAACTAAGAGTTTTTATTAGCCCTATCAGAAGGGCTTATATCAGATTGCATTTATGATGCACGTGGCCCCATATACAACTGCCATAAAACCTGCCTTTCCACTCTGATTTGAAAGGGTGCGTGCTTCTATAGAGTACCATATACAATGACTAAAATTTTCTGGAAGAAAAGCTACACTTATTTTGCATGCATGGAAAACTGTTCAGTTGTTGTTGTTTAGTCGTTTAGTCGTGTCCGACTCTTCATGACCCCATGGACCAGAGCACGCCAGGCACTCCTGTTTTCCACTGCCTCCCGCAGTTTGGTCAGACTCATGTTTGTATCTTACAGAAGTGCCTAGTTTTTGAGGTGCTTTTATAAATCTGTAATTATTTAAAAAGTTGGCCAGTTTTATAAGAAGTGCGTAATATTTATTCTCAAATCTTATTTTACATTCAACATGTAGCCCCATGCTGTAAACTGAAAAAAGTCCACTAATTCAGTAAGTGTGCTTAGACCTGCAATCTTACTGCAGTTCTACTCAATGGGGCTTAGTAAGTTTTGGAATTCCTGGGTTGTTGAACATAATGGGGCTTACTTCTAATTAGACATGTAAAAGACTGTTATCAACCAGCCTGTTCTTTTAGGTATGGGTACCAAAATACTGTGACTTTTTCAGAAATCAGAGGAACACCTTAACTAATCAAAGGCATTAATATTCTGTTTGGTATTAATATAGAATCTGTGTCCGGCTTCTGTATAAATATTGCCTGTTGAACTTTATATATGAAGGTCTTATAGTATCCAGACACTGTTGTCTTTTAGATTATAAGGAGAGTAGCAAAAACAAAGTTCTGTCATATAACCTTAAAATTCTATAGCTTATAAAAATATCATTGACTTACTATTGACTTAAAACTTGGCATACATGAACTACCTGCTGAGGTCTACAAAAAGTGCCCAATTTCTAACTGACCTGATAAAAACTGCCACAGCCACAGCAAGTTAAAAAGTGATGAAAATTCCCCCCACGGGTATTAAGAAATCTCAAATTCTTTGGTAATTTTGGTGAAAATTACTGATGTACTTTCTTCAGGCTTGCTGCAGAACACATACTTTCATTGGTTAGGTGAAGTTCTAGTCAGCCGTTTAAAGGTTGTTCAGGTTTTCCTGCCCCATTAAAATATATTAAAAACAAATACTATCAAAATAGTGTCAGGCATGACAGAAAACAAAATGGAAACTAAAATTTTGCCAGGAGAACAATTTTTGCAGAGGGAGTCACCTAGTGGCTTATATGTAGAATGTCTGTCCCTTTACTTATGAAATATAAATGTGTGTACAGCAGTTAGATGAGGTTTTTTTTTTGGCTCTGTGGACACACTTGGAAACCTAAGAAACTGTCATGGGGACCATATGTTCCATATGATCACGTGCACCCAGTTTGCCATGGATGGCATGCATCCCACCCAACACTGAACCTTCTCTCACAAATCACCCTGTCCCAGGAAAAGTGAATGGAGGCCAAGTTGTAAGCAAGCACGGTTTGTGATATTGCATCATTGCTGATCATCAAGCATGTCTGTTAAGCCATCAGCCTTGGCTTCCAATTTCCTGAGTTTATGGAGCCTGAACCAGCGTGAGGTAGTTTAACTCTGATCTTAAACGGGGAAGATTCTTGATAATGGAACAGTAAGTTTTAGACATATGATTACCCGGAAAATAGTTGGTTCGTGGACCAAGAGGTAATACATTAAACTTTGAAGTGTAGCCCCATCGTTGTCCATTACAGTGTCAAATAGCATTTTCTGCCTTTCATCTAATTCATGGGGTGGTTTCTTCCCATAGGAACCTCTAATCAGATTGCCCATGTTTACCAAGAGAAAATGTGTAGCTGAGAACCCTTAGTTTGGAGGAAATGCAAAGGAATCTTGAGCCATCGTTCCTTTGTGATTATGCACAATGCCTGGTTCTAGAACCAGCCAGATGATACCATGGCTCTCCTGTGTGGGCAGAGGGAGGGCTGAGCTTAGTTCCTAAAGAAGCTGTGCAAGAAACAGAGGGTTTGCGCAGCAGAAGTATATGTATTGCCTTTTTGTACTGTTTACCTGTTTTGAAACAAAATTTTAAAAAATTCCTTCCAGTAGCACTTTAGAGACCAACTAAGTTTGTTATTGGTATGAGCTTTCGTGTGCATGCACACTTCTTCAGATACACTGAAACAGAAGTCACCATACCCATATATATAGTGGGGAGGGGTATTACTCAGAAGGGTGATGGGAATGGGTGATTGGCTGATAGGTGTGGTAAACCTGTTGGCAACTGTTAATTGGTCTTACAGGAAAAAGCAAGGAGTGAGATGGCTAAAAATAGCTTTATCATGTATAATGAGATAAGAATCCAATGTCTCTATTCAGACCGGGTCTCTCCATGGTTTTAAGTTCGGTAATAAGTTGCAATTCAGCAACTTCTCTTTACAGTCTATTTCTGAAATTCTTTTGTAATAAGACAGCTACTTTGAGATCTTGTATAGAATGTCCTGGGAGATTGAAGTGTTCTCCTACTGGTTTCTCTGTCTTGTGATTCCTGATATCAGATTTATGTCCATTTATCCTTTGGCGTAGGGTTTGGCCTGTTTCTCCAATATAGAGGGCAGAAGGGCACTGTTGGCATTTGATGGCATACAGAATGTTAGAAGATGAGCCATTAAATAGTCCTGAGATGGTATGTTTGATATTGTTGGGGCCAGTAATGGTATTGTCCAGGTGTATGTGGCAGCAAAGTTGGCATCTGGGTTTATTTCAGGCTTTGGTACCAGTGTCCATGTTAAGTCTGGTTGTTGTATTATTGTGGGTGAGGAGTTGTTTAAGATTGGGTGGCTGTCTGTAGGCAATGAAAGGTCTTCCTCCCAGAGCTTGAGAAAGAGAACTGTTATTGTCTAAAAGAGGTTGTAGATCTCTGATGATGCGTTGAATTGTTTTAACTTGTTTACCTGTTTGTCGATCCTGGCCTACATCTGCATGGAATTGTTATTTCATCTGTCAGTCACTTTATACAAAAGTAAAAATTCTCAAAGCGAATGAACAAGATAAAATGCAACGAATTTAAAACCGTAAAGATGTAAAACAAATAGTGAACAATGCAAAATAAACCTATCCACCCTACTAAAAGATTAGCACCATGTAGAAAGCTTAAATACCAAAGGTCCGAGAGGCCCCCCCCCCAAGCCTTGTGTCTAAATGTAGTGATGGCACCCGATGTGTTTCCCTTGGGAGTACATGCCACAGACCGACCACCCAGCACTGAAAAGGCCCGTTCTCATGTGGCTGTTGGAGTAACTGGACATGAGGAGTTAATTTCCTTCAAGAGCGTAAACCACCCCATGGATGAGCTTGTCACAGGTACAGGGTCAGCCAAGCCAGTTGCTATGGTAACTGCCCAGTGCCTCAGCTATATCTTTGATAAATGTATGTCAGCTCAGTAGTCTGTCCGTCCCTTTGCTGCCAACTCATCTCTAGAGGCAGACCAAAAACAAAGGCAGATGAGAAGCTTGGACTCTGCATCAAGCGCAGCTTAGTTCTTAAATTAAATGTAACTAATGAATGAGTGAGAAATGCATGATTTCATGCATAAAATATTCAAAATTTGTGAAATATATAACCAGCTTACATTACCCTGTTTTCACAGCCCAGAAATATCTTTCTACAAGGACCTGACCACCATGTGAAAATAGGAGATTTTGGGCTGGCCTGTAGAGATATTATACAAGAAGATACAACCCAGTTGCTAAATGCAAATAAGATAAATGGTAATTTCAAAGCAGTTTGGCCTTTACTTAAAAATTGGCAGTGTGGTATCCTAAGAATTAATTCTAAATTTTGTCTTTTTTGTTGCATAGATCTAATACATACTTCTGGGGTGGGTACTTGCCTGTATGCCTCACCTGAACAGCTACAAGGCTCTCACTATGACTTCAAGGTACAGCCACTCAACCCCCAATTATTTCTTTATTTATTTTAAAACTTTACCTCTGTTGTGATAATTGGTCATACATGTTCAAGAGCATTATTGATGGGTGTCAACAAAAGCAAGCTGATGGACAGGAGCTGGAGCAAAGTCAATCAGTTCAAAAAGAAGGCACTAGAGCCATGTGGTGTAATATTCAAAATGGAAACTGCTAAATGCAAAAAGTAAAAATAGAGTGTTCTATTTGCGATGATGAGAGGGAACAGAACAGCTGCAAACAATTATTTATGCCCACAGATGAGGTAAAAATGGACCGTGCATGTCAAGTGGCCTGATTTTATGGTGGACAAAAATATAATGGCACTCCAATGTTTGTTTGAAATTTCATGGCTTATTAAGTATGGTTGCATGAAAATTACCAGCACCTGTTTTTTAAAAGGCGTTTGTTTCTGGGCAAGCTTCTTGAAACATTAGAATGTTCTTTTCTGATATTTTTTACAGCTGTATCGCTGAATGTGGTTTTAGGCCGTTTGTAATGCATTCATAATTTCTCTTAAGAAGTAATTATTTTGTGTGCTAATGCTCATATTTCTCTTTTCTGCCAATAGTCAGATATGTACAGCTTAGGTGTGATCCTGTTAGAACTCTTCCATCCATTTGGAACAGAAATGGAAAGAACTGAAGTTTTGATGGGCTTAAGAAATGGCAACATCCCCCTCTCCTTTAGCAGGAAATGGCCTATACAAACTAAATACATTAAGCTGCTTACCAGTTCGGTATCATCGCACAGACCAACTGCGGGTCAACTTCTTGAAAGTGAACTCTTCCATAATTCAGCAAATGTAAGTTTTTACTATATATTGGCTTTGTAAAAGAAGGCCCCTTCTGATTCTACATTCCGTGATATGAGGGAGACTTCTGCAGGGTGAGCTTCATTCTTCGAGATAGGATTTACTTGCTGTTTGGATCAGGCTAAAGGCTCACCTACTCCAGCTTTTTGTCCCACAACTAATCATATTCCTATGAGAGTTCTGGAAGCACTTTCCCCAGGTTACCAGCATTTTGTTATTCAGAGGTATACTGCCTCCAACTGCAGAGGTGGAACAAGCTGCCGAGAATGGATGGGGGAACCCATCCAGATGGGGAGGGTATAAATAATAAAATTATTGTTCTTGTGGTTGTTATTGTTATTAATATTAACATTATCCTCCTTGAATTTGCCCCTCTCTCTTTTAAAGCCATCCTAGTTGGTGGCCATCTCTCCATCTTGTAGCAGTGTGAAGTACTTTGTGAGCCCCACTCTCATCCCGCTCCCTTTTCTGGCCACTTCCAGGTTGCAGCTGTGTGCGTACACACAGTTGCTTGTAAATTGGCTGTTGCCTTACCTTGGTTCTCAAATTTAATCCGTTCTGGGAGTTTGTTCGACTCCCGAAACTGTTTGAAAACCAAAGTGCGGCTTCCAGTTGGCTGCAGGAGCTTCCTGCATTCATTCGGAAGCTGTGGAAGCCTTGTCGGACATTGGGCTTCCAAAAAACGTTTGCAAACTGGAACACTTCTGGGTTTGTGAGGTTCAGGAGATGATTTCTTCGACAACTAAGCCATTCGGGAACCAAGGTACCACTGTATTGCAAAAAAGAAATTGTGCAGGCCATTCAAAACTGCTCCTAGCAAGGTTAACATTTAAGGAAGGTAGATAATTATTTCCTGAAGTTCCTACACAAAAGGATAAAACGTACTATACAATGGTACCTCTTGATGCGAATGGGATCCGTTCCAGAGCCCCGTTCGCATCCAGAAGCAAATGCAACCCACGTCCGTGCGTTGCGATTCAGCGCTTCCGTGCTTGACGTAATTTTGAGCGTCTGCGCATGTGTGAGCAGTGAAACCCGTAAGTAACGCGCTCCATTACTTCTGGGTCGCCACAGAGCACAACCTGAAAATATTCATCCCGAAGCTACTTCAACCCGAGGTATGACTGTATAGCCAGCGTTGACATATTACTTTAAAAAAAAATTAGTTTTTTTATGTAAAATGGCAGTTTTATGGTGTTAAAATCCTGTGTCATTTTAGTCATAGTACAGTGGACCCTCGGGTTATGTTACCTTCTGGTTCTATTGTGCCGCGCGTGCAGAAGTGGTACCTCTTCTTACGAAATTTTTGGGGTGTGCACGGACCCCTGGAACAAATTTAATTCGTATCTGGAGGGTCCACTGTTTAAGGAGATTCCTTAAACCCCTTCTCACTCACAAAGAACATGGATTTGTTTAATAAATCACAATTTGGACTGAAATGATTTTGTTTTACTACCTTACAGTATTCTTGGTTTATTTCTCTGAGCATTAGTAGTTTTGAGACTTACTGGCGCTGTGGTCTAAAGGACCGAGCCTCTTGGGCTTGCTGATTGGAAGGTCAGCGGTTCAAATCCACAGGACGGGGTGAGCTCCTGTTGCTCTGTCCCAGCTCCTGCCAACCTAGCAGTTTGAAAGCATACCACTGCAAGTGGATAGATACTGCTGTGGCAGGAAGGTAAACGGAGTTTCTGTGTGGTCTGGTACTCATCACGGTGTCCCGTTGTGCCAGTAGTTTAGTCATGCTGGCCACATGACCCGGAAAGCATTCTGCAGACAAATGCTGGTTCTCTCAGCCTGAAGTGAGATGAGTGCTGCATCCCATAGTCACCTTTGACTGGACAACTCCCACCATCTGTTGGCCATGCTGGTTAGATCTAATGGAAACTGCAGTCGCCAATATCTAGAGTTACCAAGCTGGAGAAGGCTGTATTAGCATTGTGACTACTGCTGGGAACTACATTCATTTTCAATAAAATTGTAATGGCATTACCTTTGCACATTGTTCAAATACCATACTTGTGTCTCCTGTTTCATTTTTAGGTTATTTACAATCTTCAGCAGAAAGTGATGCAACAAGAAGAAGAAATTAAGTTGCTTAAAGAAAAAATCAAGCTATTGCAAGAGAAAGATGAGAGAGACAGAATTCAGCAACTTGGCTCTCCTGTTTAAGTAGAAAAACAAAACCAAGTATTTATATCATGTTATGCAAGATACACTGTTTTTATATAAAATTGCTTAAAGCAGCTTGTGTGCATATGTCGTATGTAGTTTGCCATTGTCAGAAAGAAGAAATGCAGATGTAGGCATCATGTACATAAATGAATGGGTTGACAGTACAGTGGTACCTCTGGTTACAAACTTAATTCGTTCCCGAGGTCTGTTCTTATCCTGAAACCGTTCTTAACTTGAGGTACCACTTTAGCTAATGGGGCCTCCCGCTGCCGCCACCGTGCAATTTCTGTTCTCATCCTGGGGCAAAGTTCTTAACCCAAGGTACTACTTCCAGGTTAGCGGAGTCTATAACCCGAAGTGTTTGTAATCAGAGGTACCACTGTACTGTCTCTAAAAGAGGGACCAAGCACTAAAAGATATACACAAAGGGCAAGTGATGCATTTTATTGACATAAGACCTTTGACAGTTGCCTTCTAAAACTTCATTCACAGGCTTTATATAACCCAGGCTCACAGCACACATGTAAATATAGAAAATATTTCAACTGTGTCCCTTTTTATAGAACATATTTAATTTAGCAACTTGAGTACAGAGTTAAAAGGTGCCAAATTCTCACAAGATTTTAGCCACTTCTGCACATTGGCTGGAACAGCGTTGGTGCTCCCTGTCTGCTGAAGTGCACACCAGGCCACGACGTCAGCTACTGTCAGTTCATTGCCCACCAACCAGGATGTCTTGCCGAGGGCGGCATTCATAGATCGCAAAACAGCTGCCTTTTCTTTATTGCTCCCTTCTTGCAGTTGGAAGATGGCTGTGTCTACCCAGCTGTCTATCAGAGTTGCTGTAACCGCATTGTGCTTCTGACCAAGTAAGGAGAACAAGAACCTAGCAATATTTCCTTCTCCTTCAATGGGACACATGGTTTGTACGCTGAACTTCATCTGGGATTTTGGCACTGAAACAAACACAACGCAACAGAACATTAGACAAGAAAAGCAAGCGCATTGAAGAGACAGATACATTTCATTCAAACCATTAAACACAATTATAAACAAGTCCCATTATGCCATTAATTGCTAGCCAGATTTTCTATATAAGATACTGATTTTTTATAGAATATTTGCATATAGTCAGCCATGCTACCTTTTACTTACAGCTGCTAGGAAATGACCCCATGAGAGATTACGGAACAGGCATACTAACAGATTCCTCCTAATCCAAGCCTGGCAATTGGGATAACTCTGCTGCCATTTCCAGCTTCAACATTATAGCATTATGCACTTTCTTCAAAAAGTAGGCAATGTGTACTGTTACTTTTCAGTTTCTTCTTCCAAATACACCACCATAGGCCAGCGTTAACTTAAAATGGCTTTGTCAGTTAAGGTAGCATAATAGCAGAAGAACTTAGTTTTATTGTTTGAAACACTGAAGACTGAGTATTATATGCTCCTTTTCTGCTTTCACAACAGAAAATTTTACTTAAGCTAAATACGAAACATCTTAACTACAGCAGAAAGCTTAATTCATCTTGTAGCTAAAAACCAGTAACTGCCTAACAATGGAACTTAAGTTTATTTGAGCACAGTTAAGAGCAAGTTAGCAAACACACTAGGATTATTAAAATGCTTTATAATTCCTCAGTTGAAAGTTAATTTGACAATTATAGTTTTCTTGTAGAGATTATATAATAGAAGCTTCATAGCAATATTTTTGAAACTACATTCCTAGGAACTAGGTTACTCAAATTTCTCAGAAGTCCTTTGAAGAGCAAAGAATGAAAGACTCAATGATCTTCCCTGCAACGTACAGCTATTGACCTAAACCTGCATGAATGAAAAGTGAGGTCCAATGTAGCAGGTTAACTCATGCAACAGGGCTTCTTCTTCTTCTGTTCCCTGTGCACTTCCAAAATGTGGGTGCTTGGGGGACACCCGGAACAGATTTGGGACATGGGAAGGGGGAGAAGGGAGTCCCATTGTGCAGGTGGGTGGACATAATTTGATGTTGTCATAAGTGTGCCTATCAGATCCTTCTGCATCATACAGGAGGAGAACAGAAGCTTAAAGGTGAATTATTATTGGCACTAGAAGTGACTCATCTACTACAGCTCTTCTAACAATGTATTCTGTTGTCTAAAGAATGACCATGTTGTGGACAAACTAGTTGTTGAGCTTCCCAGTTGCAAATTTATTCATGGCCAGCGGTTGGCCCATCTGCTGCACATACACATTTATTGTCATTAGACATCAAGAAATTGTGTGCTACTCGTAACATGTTAACGTTAATGAATGTGCCCCTTTTCCTAATGTGCTGGACTTACCATCTTTCCAAATTAATGTAAATCCCAACTGATACTCATGACGCGATTGCTTCTTAGGCTGATCACCAAAGCATTTCAGGAGATTTTCTGGCACACTCTTCACAGATGAGTGTGTATGAATAGCTGATAGTATCTTATAACGCTCACACAGCAAGCCGTGGAGTATTAACAATGACAGTGGTGGGTGATCGGGGTTTGCATTGATCACAATATCCTTCAGAGCTCCATAGTCCTGTAGGAAGATAAGTCGCCATTAGTAAGTTGTTCAAGTGAGACATTCATGCATTGATTCACATCCCACTCTTGCTTAGCACAACACACAAACACCCTCATTAATTAACTGCAAGACACACAAAACCAATGAAGTTCTACTAAAGGCTTTTACAACTGGCAGCCGACCTTTAACATCCACCAGATGAATGGTTCAGCTGAGAACTACAAAGAGTCGCAGACCTTTAGAAGAGTTACTGGATGTCTATTTATGCACTGGCTCATGAAGAGAAGTCTTGTTCCACTTTTAAAAATAAAAAAATACATAGAGGAAAAGGAGGCTTCTGTCTCCCATGATTAGTAGTAGCATCCCAAAAATGTTTACTTTCAAAATTTGTGCAATCAATGTGTCTTTTGGGAAACAACTCTATTCCTGAAACAACAAAAAACGACAGGAAATCCATTCCAGCCCAAATCTACCAGTCTCTCATTTATTTTAAAACACTCAATATATTTAAAAATCATACAATAAAACTGCTAAGTAAAAAAAGATTAAAATACAAAATCCACAGTAACTAACAACTTGAGCCACATCCATCATAATGGCCATAAAATGCCCGAACAAAGCAATATGCAACCAGCAAGCACCAAAACCAAAACTGATAGGTAAGAAAAGATACTAGATCAATTTTTAAGTTATGGAGCATTTTACCTGCACTTTAAAGCCAATTTTGTCCCATTAGGTGTCAATCAAAGAACCAGGCACAAATTTCTTAACAAGTCCCACAAGATCTTATATCATCATTTGGCTGGATTCAGTTACTATTAAATTATTTTGTTGATACTTTGAAACAGATGCCATATTTGCATACAATGCTGAGGGACAACTTGTTTTGAGTTTTTGTACCAACCACGATAAAGCTTAGACAAGCAAAGCAACTGCTGGAAACCAGGGTTAAACAAGGATGGTGGGCTCAGACATAACAAGAAACCACTGTTAACAGAAGACAGCCATACGTCAGGTTCAAAATACAGATTCGTATTCTACTTTATTGGACACAATCCAGTTAGTTGGCTGGGGTGGGTTCAGACCGGCAAAGAAACCAGTTAAACAAAACAAACCATGTCTTCAAGTCATGTGGAAACCAGGCCACTGAATTAAGCTGAGGTTTTGTTTGTTTCCAGAATTGTTAAATGCTTGATTTCTGATTGGCTTTAAGAAATATTTCAGATCTATTATCAAGCTTAGTTTTAAAACAATGAGACCCTGCTCACTGAATTCATTTTGAGTGCTGGTTTGAATGCTAATAACCTCATTAAAGCTTAGCTTTAAAATAATTCTGTACCCCTCCCACCTATCATAAGGTGCTTCTGTGGATTTCAGCTATGTTTTAGTGATAAGTCATTCTGAGTGTTGGCCTGAATGCTAATTACTCCATTAGTCATCATAAAAACTTCAACAATTGTTAAGTCAAATATACAGGAATTGTGGTGTAGAGAAAGTTAATCTGAACTTGCCTTCCCAAGTAAATTGTCAAGCTCTGCAGCACTAGCAGATAAAGGAATGTGTTCATCTGCTTGGATTATGTTTGTTGCATCAAAGTCTGCATCCGGTGTTTGGATCATCTTTGAAAGTCCATCCACAGCAGCTTTCAACTCATACAAGCGTTTCAAGATCTCCTCCTGGCGGGATTCAAGTGCCTGAAGAGCTGGATCAACTTCCTCCTAAGTAAAGTTCAATTGGTAATCACTCAGGTGTTTTAATATTGTGTAAAACAGATGGATATTTCCCATGTACCTCAGCATGCGCTGTAGCTTTAACACTCTACAAGTCTCCATGCTAGTATTATCCATCATCATGCATACATGCACATGGGAGCTCTGCCAATATATCAAGGTTCAATACAGGTCAAGGGTGGGAAATACAGGTGGGAAACTGGATACAGATGTAGGACTGGATCTGGCCCACTGTCCACAGGCCATTTTGACAAGTAGATATTAAGTGATTCAGAGTTTTCGTGCTTTGAAACCGCTTGCTGCCTTTAAACAACAGGGAAAGAGGCTTATATCCGAACTTAGTGCTATGCTACTCAGTGCTAAGACTGAAGAGCAAAAGATCCCTGACCTCCAATCATAGGCCTTTTTATTATGCAAACCACTTAAGAGAAATTTGTGATCAAGTGGTCTGTAAATGCAAAGTAAAATTCCCTAAGTTGTCAGGTAACTGACAGGTGGGTGTGTTTTGCGTACAATGGCCAGGCACGCCTTATTAGGCCTGCGGGCTGGTTGTGTCCTCCACCACTAGCATAGGTAAAACAAATGTAAGTAAGCCTTTTAACCCAAGTGCAACCATGAACAATATATGGAGGTAGGATATACAGTTACTCCCAAATAACCTTTTAGTCAAGCGCAGCTCTATCCTAAAGCTATTCCGAAAGAAGGAACTTGGAACACCTGACTTGTGCTGCCCTGCAAGATTCCTGGAAGAACAGCAACCACATATAACCGCTTCAGCTGCATACACAAAAACATTTGATAATATATTATTATTATTATTATTAAAGGTAAAGGGACCCCTGACCATTAGGTCCAGTCATGGCCGACTCTGGGGTTGCGGCGCTCATCCCGCTTTACTGCCCGAGGGAGCCAGCGTACCGCTTCCGGGTCATGTGGCCAGCATGACTAAGCCGCTTCTGGCGAACCAGAGCAGCGCACGGAAACGTCGTTTACTTTCCTGCCGGAGTGGTACCTATTTATCTACTTGCACTTTGACGTGTTTTGGAATTGCTAGGTTGGCAGGAGCAGGGGCCTAGCAAGGGGAGCTCTCCCCGTTGCAGGGATTCGAACCGCCCACCTTCTGATCGGCAAGTCCTAGGCTCTGTGGTTTAACCCACAGCGCCACCTGCGTCCCTATTATTATTATTACTATTGATTAAATTTATATACCACCCTTTCTCTCTAGATCTCAGGGCAGTTCACAACAATGTAGAGGGGAGGGGGTAAGCTACAATTCCCTGGATTCCTGGTGTGGTGTGGTGTGGTGTGGTGTGGTGTGGTGTGTGTGGTGGTGTGTGTGTGTGTGTGTGTGTGTGTGTGTGTCTTTGTGTAATGTAAGGATTGAGATTTAAACGTATGGACTGTCAGCCGCCCGGATGTACAACCCGAGGCGGCCTCAGGCCTTGGCGCAACAACCTCCCTCAGCCCCGGTTGGGAAAGTGAAAGCGCTGGCCAGCGCCTCTCCCGAGACGGCCAGGCCGGGCTGAGGAGCCGCACCTCGCGGCCTAGGAAGGGAGGCCAAGGAAGGAGAGCCCTCGCCCGCCCCCCCCCGACCCTGCCCGCTTCCGAGAGCGGCGCCTCTGGGCCGCCGCCTCCTTCCTACCTCGTGAAGCAGCGGCGGCGAGGCGGCTGACGGGAAGCCGCCCTCGGGGAAACGGTGCATATTTCCAACCCGGTACATGCAGGCGGGAAGGTGCTCAGCCAAGACCGCCGCCGAGCCAGGCCCCCCATGAAAGGGCCTCACCTTGTACATCGGCATCGTGGCTGCCCGGCCGGCGGCTCCTCGCTGACTGACTGGCACAGAGGCCCCGCGCGAGCGCCACACCCACTGCTCTTCTGCCATTGGAGGGCGTTCGTCCGTGACCCGCCCCCGACTTCGCTTCCTATTGGCCAGCGCCGGATGGGTGACACCTCGAAGGTCTTATTGGCTCCCGCTGGCGGGAAAAGGCGGCGCTTCTTTTCTGCCGTTGGCTTCGTCGCCTGAGGAGAGTGGAATCTGATGCAAGCGCGGCGCTAACGAGGGAACCGCAGGTCGCGCCTGCGCAGTACGGTCGAAGAGGCGTGGAGGCGCGGCGCTTCCCGCAAAGAATTCTGGGAGCTGTAGTTTGTTCTGGCCCAGCGCGAAGTGAGCTGCTTTGGGTTGCCTCTTCTGAGAGGGACGTTCTGAGTGAGGCGCTGCTTAGACCTTCGTGCTTGCTCTTGATTCATCCCCTTATGATGAGCGGGGTGGCGTCGTTTTCATATTGCATTTTGGACATTTGACAAAAAATAACTTCCCCGCCGCCGAGGAAGAAGGAGAAAAACAGCAGCCCCGAAGCAACGCCATGGAGCTTGCTCTTCCTAGGTAAGCGCGCGACAAGATTGCAGCTTGCTTTGCATTGGCTGTGGTTGCTTTTCTAGGTCGCTTTTCATTCACATGACTCCCGAAGCGGCATGCAAACAATAAATAGCAACAACGTGAGTAAAATATAATAATAGAGCATCACAAATGCAGCACAAATTGTATAAAGTAATTGGCCAACCGTTAGCAAAACGATTGCAATCTATAAAAACCTGCGGGATTATCTTAGCCAGTCGAGCGTGAGACTCTTCATTTCAGGGTTAATAATGATCTGATTTACGAGTCTCAAATCCGGCCGTTCGGATTATTTCAACCAATTTTGGGGCTCGAAAGCCAATTCTGTTTTTTGTGTGGTTTTTTTTTAGGGACCAGCCTTCTAAAGCTATCAAACCAATAGACCAGAAATCTGTCCATCGGATTTGTTCAGGACAGGTGGTGCTGAATCTGTGTACTGCGGTGAAAGAACTGGTGGAAAATAGCATAGATGCTGGTGCTACCAATGTTGGTAAGCTTACTGTCAAGTGCGCGTGTTTAGCAATCTTATTAGCATGTTGCTTATGTTGGTGTTTGCACGTGCAGGGAGGGAGGCATGTCTGCAAACTGGCAGCTTTTACAAATGGAAAAGAGAACAGAAGTAATAAAAAAACCACGTTTGACTAAGAGTGTCCTGGCATACATTTTGAACGTTAAAAGGACAATGTCTAGAAATCCCTTCACTGCTGTAAACCTATATGTGGCAAAATGTGGTGATGTTTTGTAATTGTTATGTGACAAATATTCTTTATAATTTGTAGAAGTGAAACTTAAAGATTATGGAGCAGACCTTATTGAAGTTTCTGATAACGGTTGTGGTGTAGAAGAAGAGAACTTCGCAGGCTTGAGTAAGCTTTGTTTCATGCCTCGTTTTCTATATGCAAATCTGTCAGATCAGTTTGGTTAAGAAAAGCTATTAATATAATCTCAGAACCAATTTTACTTTCCAGTTTCATGCTGATGGCGAAATGCAAAAAACATCCAGGTCATGCCACATACACAGCAAAGCTGCATTTTAAAAACCATTTACTTTAGCAGCAGTACTTGTCATCCTTAGAAATATTTGTTTAATGACTACATATCTCACCCTTGAAATAAAACTCAGTCTTCAGTGAGAGAGTTGAGAGCCACAGATGATTAGGTTTGACCTCAACAGAACAGAGAGTTCGGTGGAGTGTATCTTTTATGTGAATTGTGGGGTAGCAGTTGGATTGGGGGGAAGTAGCAGAAACGAAATTGTCTCCACTACTTCCTGTCCCTCCTCATTGCTTTTGCTAGCAAAGTCACTTAAGAGTCTAGCAAGAAAAGAAATCTTGATAGCACTTTACTGAACAAAAATGAACAAAAATAGTGTATGTAATGTTCAGAGGAAGAAACGGAGAGGTTTTGTCTTTCTTTATTCAGGCCTTGTACTCAGTACAGAAACATTAAACCAGATATATGGAAGAAAAACTCCCCCAGAACTCACAGCCAATCAAGGCACATGCTGCCTCCGCCTCCACTTGCTCAACTGACTGACAGCAGAATTAACTCTTAAGATGCAAACTGAATGAGCCCTACTGTTGCAGTTATAACAGTTTCCTTGACTAGGTTTTTGAGTAAAGGCTGCTTTGTCTTTTGATACTGCCACTCCGGGTGATGAGAGAAATCTGGGCTTCTCACCAGTGTTGGTGAGTAGGACATTGGTTGACTGGGAAGAAGCAGACTTGAGTGGCTTGAGAGCTGGCAGTGTCATCAGGGAATATTTTTGGGCAGAAGTCCAAGATCTACTCAGAAGAAAAAGCAGGAGGCTCCTCAAGCACACATTTTGAAATAATGCATGTTGCCATCTTTAAAGAAGAGGCAGGGCATACAAGTCCATTAATTCCAGAGTCTAAAATTAGGTAATCTCAAACCAGGTGTGGCATATTTTTGGCCCTACAGATGTTGTTGAACTACAACTCCCATCAGCCCCAGCAAGCATAGTCAATGGCTAGAGGTGATGGGGGTTGTAGTTCAAGTTCCCTGCAAATGTTTTAGACTCTGGACTTGATGGACTTATGGAACTTACTGCACCACTGTGGGGAATACTGTGTTATTTGCAAACCAATAATTAAACATACGCCAAACCACATCATGGATATAAAGCAATAAAGTCTTGACTCAATTGTTTTAATTATTTTATGCTAGGTTATATTATACAAAAGGCATCTGAATGACTTCTTGTTTTATCTTACCATTTATTTTTCCAGCTCTGAAACACTATACTTCTAAGATACAAGACTTTTCTGACCTTACACGTGTTGAAACATTTGGCTTTCGAGGTGAAGCTCTGAGTTCCCTATGTGCATTGAGGTAGGATTCTTCTCTGCTTTAGTGCAGAGCTCTGGCCAGATCAGTTGGCACATCTTATACCACAGTCCTTTCCCATTCCCGTAAGAATCTTTGAGCAGAATGGGAGCCCAAGTTTAAAAGAAGCAAGTTTTTACAATTTAAAATTGTTGGCATTAAATGCGGGGTGGTTTTGTTTTTTTAACTCCTGGAAGCTTTTGTTCCCCTGTAGCATTTATTTGTTCTTTTCCTCCAGTGAAGTTTCCATCATTACTTGTCACAAATCTGCAAAGGTTGGCACACGCTTGGTATTTGACCACAGTGGGAAAATCACTCTGAAGACCCCCTGCCCACGACAACAGGGGACAACTGTCAGTGTGCAGCAGTTATTTTATACCTTGCCGGTACGACATAAAGAATTTCAGCGCAACATTAAGAAGGTAGGAGCAGCTTACTAGTAATGTTGTTTTTAAGAGTGAATGTAAGAGATCCTAACAAAGGCAAGGGCCATTGGAGGGAGTGAACAAAGGTGTTCCTTTACCAGATGGTAAAGTCAGATGGGAAGGATCCAAAAATAAACAAGAAACTAGTTCTGAGTAAACACCTGCCTTCCTTCACAAATATGCCTAGTAGATGCAAAAAAAATAATGTTGATCATTATCATTTTTATTATTACACTTGTTAGTCGTTTTTCTCAGAGTGACCCAAAGCAACTTACGTTAAAACCAATTAAGAACCTCCAAAAAACACAGCTATGAAGATAAAAGGCAGGACTTACAGATGCCACCACACGAAAAGAGGCCAAAAGCCTGGGTAAAGAGAAGAGGCTTTGCCTGGTAATGGCAATGGTGGTAACTATTTTTAGTTTATATAGTGCTTTAGTGTTCAGTGTACTTCACATGTGATTATAGTGTGGTAATCCCTAAAACAACCCTTTAAGGTAGGTCAGTACTATTTTCCATGTTGCAGTTGTATGCCAGAGACTGAGAATATGATAGCCTTAGACAAGCTATCTTGCAAGCTCATGACAGATGCAGGTTTAAGTGGGAGGCTTTGTGGTTCTCAGCTTAGTCTTTTAACCAGTTCTATTCACCAGCCCTTATTATTGTGTTGTTATAGTCTATGCGATGAGGTAGGATAATAAGCCATGAATTAAAAGGTGTTTTAAAGTGGGAGGAAAATGGCAGTGATCACGCATAGTCTGTGTAAGCATGCTTCATTACGTAGTCACTGGAAAATCATCATTATCTCTTTGTTTTTGCCAGGAGTATGCAAAAATGGTTCACGTGTTACAAGCATACTGTATCATTTCAACAGGAGTTCGTATTAACTGCACCAATCAGGTTGGCCAAGGGAAGAAGCAAGCTGTGGTTTGCACCAGTGGGAGCTCAAACTTAAAAGAAAACATTGGAGCAATATTTGGACAAAAGCAGGTATTACTGTTATTATTATTAACATCCGTATCGTTACAACTACTAGTCATATAGTTGTTGCTGCTGCTACTGCTACTACAGTGAACTAATGCAACAGGTACTTCTACTTCTGCACAGTTAATGCTTTGTACAGTTAACAATGGAAAGAAAGTTGTCCTAGTGACATTGGGTGGTGCTGTGCTTTGAAACCCAGAATGTTGGGCCTTCAAAGAGCAGCATGGAGCTGTTTGAAAGCCCTTTGTCAGCTGCCCTGCACTGCTCCTGAAACCTCCAAAAACCAGAGGTTTAAAGAGAAGCGTGGGGCTGTTTACAGTTTCCCAGCAGCCCTGTGCTGGTATATGAACCTCTGCTTTTTGGGCAGTGGCTGGGAAGGAGAAGCAAGTTCCATCAACTACCACTTATTTCCAGGTGCAGAGCTTGGTTCCTTTCGTTCAGCTACCCCCTAGTGATGCTGTCTGTGAAGAATATGGCCTGAATGTTTCTGATATGCCAGCCAATTTTTATACGTAAGTAGAAGATTGTACGCACCTCACAGTCTATGCAGCTTCCCTATGTTTAATTGGCTTAGGCTGCAAATCCTAAATCCCTCCTTACATGAGGGTAATGCCCACTGAATTCAGTGGGACCTCTGAGTAGATATGTTTAGGATTGTGGCCTTAACCATTCAGCTTTACAATTTTAAGGTGTGTCAGTCACGTCTATTAGTCTTCCTTGCCACCTGGAACCAATCGAGGAGACTGCATGAAAATTATTGCGTTCTCATTTTAAGCGTTTAGGGCAAAGATATACTAAATTAGGCTTAAGTGAAATGAGTCCCACAAGCTTCCTGGTTGAAGTTCTGGGTTCTCTGACAGGTGTACCAGCTGTGTTGGGCATGTCAAGATGCTCAGCTTGGAATAGTCATTCCCCACAGTTCAAGGGCAGCTGAATAATAAAAAATGAATGAATATTGTAATCCATTTATCTTTTATATTTAAGGATGTGTGGATAGTTATTTTCTGGATATGGGTAGACCTGCTGTGACAAAGTTTGAGAACTTTTGAAGAAGGACCCAGGAATTAAAAGCTCATCTTTTATTTTTTAAAAAAAGCCAGTGTACCTGGCATAAGTGCTTAGCTTCCTCACTCGTTCAGCAGTGAGTGAGAAGTTTGCTGGAGATTGCCCTTTCCCAGGATGAAAGTCCGTTGACAAGTGGTGACAGATTTGCTGGTGTGCGAGTCTGTGGTAGCTAGGCAACCCCACAAATTTCAGCTTTAGTCTTTTTGAAAGAAAGAAAAAGAAAGAAAGAAAGGTGTGTCAAATTGCACAGCTTCTATGCTTTTCTTCTTTGGAAATATATCCTCGACATATTTACTTTGATCAGTATCACAGGCTTTGTTTCCCGTTGCGATCATGGTGTCGGGAGAAGTACCACAGACAGGCAGTTCTTCTTTATCAACCAGCGGCCCTGTGATGCAGGCAAGGTATGGCTCTCTCTCACAACACACACAATACCTTCGTTCTTCGCTTTTACAGCCTTCGAGCTGTAGTTTGCCTTTCCACCCACTGTGTCAGGGAAGTGGTGCAACATTACCGTATTTTAATATTTGGTTGGAAGCCGCCCAGTGTGGCTGGGGAAGCCCAGCCAGATGGCAGGGTATAAATAATAAATGATTATTATTATGTCTGCAACACCTTCTTCTGGAGAGCCAGTGTGGTGTAGTGGTTAAGAGCGATAGACTCGTAATCTGGGGAACCGGGTTCGCGTCTCCGCTCCTCCACATGCAGCTGCTGGGTGACCTTGGGCCAGTCACACTTCTTTGAAGTCTCTCAGCCCCACTCACCTCACAGAGTGTTTGTTGTGGGGGAGGAAGGGAAAGGAGAATGTTAGCCGCTTTGAGACTCCTGAAGGGGAGTGAAAGGCGGGATATCAAATCCAAACTCTTCTTCTTCTTTTCTGGACAGGTTTCCAAAGTTGTGAATGAAGTGTACCACATGTACAACAGACACCAGTATCCATTTGTGGCTCTTAATATATGTGCAAATTCCGGTGAGTCACACACATTTCTCTAGGAAAAACTTGAAAGATGAAGTATGTTTATGTGTGCAGTTGTTGTTTAGCAGTTGGGATAAACATCCTGATTCTTTGTCACTCGGTTGGCAGTAAATCTCAATTCCAATACTCATAAGCCAGGTTGCCACCAGGCCATTTTTTTAAAAAAAGAGCTTGGTTTTCTTCTTTCTTTTTAATAGAGGTTTGATAGGCAGAAATCAACGTGAAGCTTTCCATGATATGCTGCTAGACTACCCGCTGCTGATAAAAAGCAGCAAGAAGTCTAGTTCAAAAGCTGATAACCCTACTTCAAACAAATGTGTGCTGTTTTTTTCCCTTCAGATTGTGTTGTAAATTGATGCATAATCTCTACACTCTGAAGTGCATTACTCTTAAATTTTACCCTGTTGATAAGAAATCTTCTAAACCGGGGTGAAGTGCCTGAATTGGCTTGTTCACTGCTAACAAACCACAATACGAAGCCATGGTTTGTTGTTTACTAATGAACTTTAGTTTGTTTTAACTAGAGCTTGGAGGTGCATATTCACCTAACACCCTTCCTTAATCATGGTTTGTTTGCCCACCCAGATGCTCACCAAATTGCAAAGGCACGAGGCAAAAAGTTGCTAGAAGATTTTGGAGAGACAAGGCGTGGTTCATTTGTTTTTTGTCTGCAGGACAGCTTTCGATTAATTCATTTGTTAAACATGCTATGGCTTCGCTTAAGAAAACTATGACTAAATGTTAATGTGAACCAAGCCAATATCATTTTATGTCTTTGTTTTTAGAATGTGTTGACATCAATGTGACACCCGACAAAAGGCAAATAATGTTGCAGGAAGAGAAACTACTATTGGCGACTCTAAAGACTTCAATGTTGGGGATGTTTGGCAGTGATGTTAACAAACTCATTGTCAACCAAAAATTGCCAGATATTAAAGGTAGGAATGACACCAGCCATTTAAACCAACTCCTTTTCTAAGTGGATAATTTTGCTTTTTTTAAAGTGCATTGTTAATGGGCTGGTTCAACTGATTGTGTTCGGCTACACACAGTGCGTATTTCCTCAAATGTCAGCCCAGCTGTATTCCCTGGGGCTTGGGGCAATCACTTCCGCTTAGAATTCTGGCCTCGTTTAGTTAGAAAAACTCAGGCACAGTTTTAATGTGATTTCCTGCAGTGCCTTGCATTGCGGACAAGGCATCAGGTATCAATGATTTCTGTCTGCAGTTGTGAAATGGAGCTTGGCATTTTCACAAGATGGGTCCCAAATTGGCCTGCTAAGCTGTTTTCCCTGAATCACATCTGCTTGCTCCAAACTTGATGTGTTATGGGCCAAGTAGAGAAGTGGCAGGTGGTGCACAATCTGGAGCCTTAAAGTACACTCCCAATTGTTGTCAGCGTCAATTGATGGTGACTGCAAGCCTGCTGGATTTGCTGCAAGACCAAGTTCCCAATGGGAAACTCCACTGCACAGCTGATCAGTGGGGACTTCAAGCCTCACTTGACTTGGATTTCCTTTTGTAGCATAGCTTGTCACATTACAAAGAAAAAAATTGTCACCCAATGTCATCGTGAAGCCAGGTGATTGACAATTGGGCTGGCCTCCATCCAACTGTCAGAGTGATCCACTGGGGTTGGGGGGATCTAGGATCCAGCTGGCTGGCCAGATCCATTTCCCCACCCCTGCTCTCGCTGTTCTTTCTCTAAATGGAGCCTCGGAGTTCTCTATTGGGGCCTTGATTTTTTCCTGTGGGTTGATTTTTAAATTGCAATTTAAAACTCTCCTCTCTTCGCCCTTTCTTAGGAAATTTCACAGTGCTTCAAGAAGAGGTAGAAAGCCCTGCCTTGGAAACTTTGCGTGGCTCCTCCTCTCAGAATCTGAGTGCAAAAGAAAAAACAGCAATCACTGTTGCCAAACTTAGGGAATCATTTTCTCTCCACCAAGTGAAAAAGGCCCATTTTCATGGTGTTGAAAACGCCAAACGTCAACAAAGTTCCTCTTTGCAGAAAGAACTTCCGGCATTTTTTAGCATTTTGGATTCTCCAAATAAGAAGACTGGCTCCAGCAAAGAGGCAGAGTGTGGAAGAGAGGAGGACCCAAGTACATTCATGTTTTGGGGCAAAAAACTCAAGAAATCAGCAGAAGATAGAGATTCTGGTTGTGGGAGCACCTCAGCAGAATCGGAAGTGGGTTTAAGCACGCCAGAAAATGGTAGCTGTTCCAGCTGTGAAAACGCAATTGGCTCACCTCTTGAAGATTTCCCTATTTTCAGAGAAGTTCAAAGTGGCAGTCTTGAGACGAGGGGAGATTTCTGGGGAGCTGAATGCAAATTGAACCAAAGCAAAGAGAGCCAATTATCCCAGCAGGCAGACAGTTCACCCCCCAAAATGAAACGTTTTAAGATGAGCCAGCCTCTTTCTCAGGTGGCCACTCCGTCAAAGATGGAGAATGACCGGGATTCTTCAGTCCTATCGCAGTATGATGTACCTGTAGAACTGGAGAAGAAAACCGTACCGTTGGAGTTTTCTCTGAGCGCACTGATGGGCAGAGTACAGAAGCTAAGCCAGGAACAGGAGAAGAAAGAAGCAGCGCTAAAATTCAGAAAATTCAGGGCAAAAATTAGCCCAGGAGAAAATAAAACAGCAGAAGACGAATTAAGAAAAGAAATAAGGTATTTGACCTTTTAAATTCCTCCATTGGCAAAGCAGTGGTATCTGTTTGACTTGAAAGGAGTTGGGATGGCACATCTGGAATATTTGCAGTGACCAGGAAATCCTCACTGTAGAGTAGGTGAAACTTCGCTTTGCTTTGCACCGTGAGACACAGCTTTCCATCTTACGTTCCCATGCAAAATTCTTCCCAGGTTCCCATATACTCTGCTTGAGGGACAGCTGGGCAATGCTGCTTACACATCTGTCCTTGACCATGAGGTGACAGAGAGAGCTTTTCACAACTCACTGTGATGCTCACTGTAACTTTCTGGAGCGAGTTGCTAGTCTTTTAGGCAGCTGGCCACAAGACCCCAAAAAACTGCAGACAAACTCCGGCTCCCTCAGCCAGTAAAGCAAGATGAGCGCCGCAACCCCAGAGTCCTTCGCGACTGGACTTAATTGTCAGGGGTCCTTTACCTTTACCTTTTTAGAAAACTTAAAGGGCTGATAGTTCCCCTGCCCTAAAATGCAAACACATTTTTAACCTGCTTTCCCCACCCTTTCCCTATATACAGGAAAGAGATGTTTGCTAAAATGGACATAATCGGCCAGTTCAATTTAGGGTTTATAATAGCCAAGCTGAACTCGGACCTCTTCATCATTGATCAACATGCTTCAGATGAGAAGTACAACTTCGAGATGTTGCAAGAGCACACTGTTCTGCAGGGGCAGAAGCTGATCACGTAAGTGTCCCAAGATGAGCAGCTGGCCGCTCAGTGCAGTCAGCGAAGGCCCTGCTGTTGGACCAGTTTCGTTGCTTTTTTATTGCATGGTAGAGCTTCTTTGGGAGTTGCTCTGGGTGTTCAGGGAGCAGAAGAGTGGGGTAGAAATACTAAGTACAGTGGTACCTCAGGTTAAGTACTTAATTCGTTCCAAAGGTCCGTTCTTAACCTGAAACTGTTCTTAACCTAAAGCACCACTTTAGCTAATGGAGCCTCCTGCTGCCACCGCGCCACTGGAGCACAATTTCTGTTCTCATCCTGAAGCAAAGTTCTTAACCCGAGGTACTGTTTCTGGGTTAATGGAGTCTGTAACCTGAAGCGTATGTAACATGAAGCATATGTAACCCGAGGTACCACTGTACTAGCTGAATGGCAGTGATTGGATAAACATATTTTTAACTTGTGGCTGTTTAAAGAAGCACATACTTGGGATGGAATGAGATACAGCTAACAAAGGTAATAATTTGAATGCAAGCTGATTTAAGGGGGGGTGTATGTTAGGGCTCATAAAAGGGTTCTTTATGGGAGTCCCTGGGGCTCTTTTTCCTCCCGCCTCACTTTTTAAAGCCTTTGTTTGTGCTTTACTTTGCCTATAGGGTGTCTGGGTCCACTGCCAAGTACTTTGCAAGTTGAGGCACCAGCAGTCCTCCATCTTAATTTCTCAGGGGTAATCTGTAAATTAGCATATGCAAATATGTCCCATGAACCTGTGTCCTGAGCCCCTTAGGTGAGGCACCCCTAAACTCGGCCCTCCAAATGTTTAGGGACTACAACTCCCATCATCCTTAGCTAACAGGACCAGTGGTCAGGGAAGATGGGAATTGTAGTCTCAAAACATCTGGAGGGTCGAGTTTGGGGCTGCCTGCCTTAGGTACTTAGCAGCCGGGTTAGAATTGAAAATTGGCCACAGGTTATGGTGGGTTTTACAGCATTTTAAATACTTTTTAAAAAGAAGTTTAGCTGTTCTTGTATTCAAAGTTCCAATGAATGCTAAGATGAATGTGAGGATGGTCTTTTGATACATTTGAGGTTAGGTTTGGCTTACTCAAACCCCTTTTCCCCTCTGAACTTCATAAAAAAGAAGAGGAAAAAAGATAGTAGTAACAAGCATTTCATTGGATGTATATTAAAATATCTCCATCTGATCTTTGGAGGAGCTTTGGGATCCCATCTGCTTTATTCATTTAAAGTAGACTATACCATTTAAGGAGAGTCATGGCTTTCCCTAAACAGTTGTGGAAACTGTAGTTTAAGAGCTACAATTCCCAGTGTGGTTTAACAAGCCCTCTTCAGGGAAGTTTGGGATTGGTTGGTGGGGAACAGGGGTCTCCCCACAATTCCTAGCACCCTTAAACTACAGTACCCAAGTGGCATGAGACTGCTTTAAATGTATCAGGTGGGGCCTAACTTTTGCCAGAATGTATCAAGATAAACACTTGTCACACTAACTTCACACCCTATTCTTTTTTCAATGTCTCCCATTATTTCAGGCCTCAGAATCTTAACTTAACTGCTGTAAGCGAAAGCATTTTAATGGAAAACCTGGAAATTTTCAGAAAAAATGGATTTGATTTTGTTATTGATGAAGATGGTGAGTTTCCGCCTAAATGGGATGCTAATATCTAGGGTACAAAGATCTGCCCAAGTTCCTTTGCCCAAGTGGTGGTTGCTGTCTCTTTCTCTCCGACACCAATACCCACCGAAAAGCAGCAGCAGTGTATAGTATGCAACAATCGTTCGCATAGGTCCTTGGGAGTAATCTCCATCCAGCTATGTGGCAAGTAAGTAGGGATTGCTTTGGACTGCATTGGTTCAACTTGTAGAACACACTGAGCTTTTTTCACCCAGCTGAAATGCAAGCAATTTTGCAAAGCTAGTGTCACCACTTATACCGCTACCATGAAGTCAGGAACCCCATCAAAGGAAAGGAAAGACGTATCTAGCCTCTGCTTCATTGTTTTCTTCCTTTTCTGACTTCCTCCATGTAAATGAAACTTCAAAATCTTGTTTGCTTTCACTTGCCAGAGCAAGAATAGTCTGTGAGTTATGGTGCTCTGGCAAATGTCATTGCTCCTGCCCTGAAAAAAAGCCCGGAAGCTACGCTACACTTCTGGAAATTTCACCAGCTTTACATCCTAATAGAAATTATTCTTTTCTCTTAGCAGTGCCTTGGGGTTTTCTTCTCACAGAGTTTATGTAGTATAGACAATGGAACCAAGTAGGTGGGCCCAGGGCTATGGTTCCTTCCCACAGTAGCGCTCTCCGTCCTGGTGAGCAGTTGTCAACCTGAACATTATAGACCTTTCATGTTGCTATGGGATAAAGCAAGACTAGGGAAGCAGCTCCCATGTTGCTATAATAATAGTCCGGAACACAACCTCTCCACTGTGATATTCATGGAAAGAAAACAGGAGATGTTCTGCCTTGTGCTTTCTGTTTTTCACATCTCTCTTTACTGTCTGAATCAGTTCTTTGATGTTTAAAATTAACTTTAATAATTGGGTTTTTAAATTGTAACCCACCTTGGGACCTCATGGTGAATGGCTGGTAAGAAATCTGTTAGTATTAACAGTTTCTACCTCCTACTCTCATAGGAAGAGCCTGCTGGATCAGGCCAATGGCCCATCAAAGTCCACCATTTTGTTTTCACAGTGGCCAACCAAATGCCTATGGGAGGCCCGTAAGCAGGACACAAATTCTAGTGTAATGAGGCAGGGAGGTATGCAGACTTGTGAAGATGGGGCAGCGTTCATCTCTGGAGGCCTGGGGTGTGAAAGGTTCTATTTTGGACATGAGAGAGAGAGGAGAAAGGAGAGGAAGTGAAACAGTTGTGCTTCCTGTTTGTCCGATATTGGTGTCGTGACCAAAGTTGCACCTAACTGCAGCAGGGCCCATGTGTTACGAATGCCCTTAATTCTTCATGCATCCGTTTTTCAGCTCTGCATTTTAAAAATTAGAAATCGTAACACGAAGGTAGAAATGATTAAATTTTAAAATTATTTTTGAGACACGCTCCATCTTTCAACAGCTGCCTTAATCAGGGTGTGCGTGTTATTGGGTCGTTGTTTCTATTTTGACTATATATATATATATATATATATTTTGTTCTGTGAACCGCCCTGAGACCTCCAGGTATAGGGCGGTATTTAAATTCAATCAATCAATCAATCAATCAATCATCAGCTTCATTGCACACACAGATGAAGATCTACATTCGCAGAGCCACATCAGATGCTCTTGCTGCATTAAGAGCATACGATTTAAAAATCTAAATTTCAGGTTTTAGATTACAAGTGGGAATTTTTCATTTACTTTTGGCTTTTTTAAAATGTACGCATGAAAAGTGTAGTGGCTATTAAATCATTCATTTAAAACCTTGCAGCTCCTGCTACCCAAAGAGTTAAACTCATCTCTTTACCTACAAGCAAAAACTGGACTTTTGGTCCACAAGATATAGAGGAGTTAATCTTCATGTTAAGCGACTGCCCTGGAGTGATGTGCAGGCCTTCCAGAGTAAGACAGATGTTCGCTTCTCGAGCATGTAGAAAGTCTGTAAGTATTAATCCGTTGGAGGTTTCATATTTATTTCTTGCTTTTCTATTAAAATAACGCTCAAAGCTGCTTACTGGATAACGGGACATAGGAGGGAACTTCCTTTTTTAAGATTAAGGAAGTAAAGTATGTCAACCAAAAATAGATAATGATAGTACTGACCCTCATGAGACTTTTAACATTTTATTTTTCATCTACAGGTGATGGTTGGAACAGCGCTTAATGCAAATGAGATGAAGAAACTCGTCACCCACATGGGTGAGATTGAGCACCCTTGGAATTGCCCACACGGAAGACCTACCATAAGGCATATAGCCAATCTAGATCTGATTTCACAAGAATAACGAACCTTTATGCACGTTCGTTAGGACATTTTTAGCATTTATTCCATTGGCGGATGCTATTGAGACCTCTTTTATAGGATTGTGATTTATCACGATAGTCTTTTTCTCCCTTTGCATCACAAAAGATCAAGCTTACCATGTTGTTCAAGAAATAAACTACTAGATGGGCAAAATGTCTATGCTGATGCAACTAAGTGTGTGTAACTGAGGTTATAGCTGCTCATCTCTTGCAACTCCCACCATGCACCAAACCCCATGATCCTTGGATCTCTGCAAGTGTTTTATCACAACACTGGCATAGATCCACGGTGTCTCCCCTTATCCCTGCGCAGGTGAGCTGTCATTAAGTCCTGCAACACCTTTTACTACCCTTTTAGAACAAAAAAGGCTGGAAAATCAAGCCAGCACCTGTTTCTATGGATTAAGGCTTGGTTTGAGTTATGTTGCTGCCTTTGGTCTACATCAAACTACGTGTGAGGCAGGGAGAAATTAGGTTTCTCTCTTCAGGGTTTCCCCCCCACGGCAGTTCCTTTTCACCTGCCCTGTAGGTGAACAAAAAGCGAAGGAGTAGGCTGAGATACTTTGTCCTGTGCACCAGACAATTGTCTCAAAATTATGGGACGGTAGGAGGCAATTTGTGGTGTTCCCCTTGGTGGTTATCCAGTGTAGTTCAACGCCTAATAATCTTGAGAGCCCAAGAAACTGTATTTTCTGCCCACTGGGTTGGCGCAGCTCTGCCCTGGTTGGTTAATCTATTACAGAATGATCTGCTGGTCATTTATATTAGTGTAGCTTCACTGCTAAAAACAGTTTCCTTTTATTAAATAACTTGTACATAGAAAGGATTTGTGTACATACGTTCTTACTATGGATGGCCTTTTGTTTTTACAGCAGATATATATTTAAAATATTTTTTTAAAAAACACAAATGAACGTTCTCCAGCTTTCTCATTAAATGATTTTCCTAAAGAATTTGTTGTGGTGTGTCTTCAGTATCTTCATTTACCCAGACACTTCAACCAGAAGCTGACCCTGGGGAAAATCTTGCCTTTTGTCTTATGGCACCTGCCCTTTGGAATTCCCTCCTGTTAAATGTTAGATGCTGTCTCCCTTTTCAGTGTCACCTCCCTCTTTCAGCAAGCCTTTCAAGCAGAGTCTGCATTTGTTGGGAGTTAATTTTAGATGTTCTAATTCATGGGTAGGCAAACTAAGGCCCAGGGGCCGGATCCAGCCCAATAGCCTTCTAAATCCGGCCTGTGGATGGTCTGGGAATCAGCATGTTTCTACATGAGTAGAATGTGCCCTTTTATTGAAAATGCATCTCTGGATTATTTGTGGGGCCCGTCTGGTGTTTTTACATGAGTAGAATGTGTGCTTTTATTTAAAATGCATCTCTGGGTTATTTGTGCGGCATAGAAATTCATTCACCCCCCCAAGGTCTGAGGGACAGTGGACCGGCCCCCTGCTAAAAAAGTTTGCTGACCCCTGTTCTAATTGTTTTATTGCCTGAGTGTTTGCCACCTTTAGCTTCTTTGGGGTGGGATATAAATTTAATAAAAAGTATATGTGCGAACGGTTGAACTTAATTGAAATGCCAAAAGGAGGCTAGGGTAGCTAGCTAAATCTCAATTTATGAAGCAAGTAAGGCAAGACAGGAAATGCTATTCTTTGCCAGTGTGAATGAATAGAACATTATGAGATTAACTTGTGCTGGGGTAAGAAAATAATGTATCTTCAACTTGTACAAATTTCAGCTATCTGAAAAGCAGCAGTGTATAATTCACAAGTTTATAGTTTCACACACACCTCAAAAAGAATGGTCCACTGAAAGAGGTCTCCAGCTTTTTCTCAGGTACTAGTTACTGGAGCAGATATTGAAATTATATATAATCTCAAATGTATTATTCTGGACATTAACACTTGGCACCATGGCTTCCACTCAGGGAGCTTGTGGCCTTGGTAAATGCTTTACGATGCCAACATTTTCTGGACTTCAGGGTTGCAGAGGGTAATAAACATAGAGTGCAAGATACAATTTCCATCCCAATATCTCCACAATACAGTGGTACCTCAGGTTACATACGCTTCAGGTTACATACGCTTCAGGTTACGGACTCTGCTAACCCAGAAATAGTGCTTCAGGTTAAGAACTTTGCTTCAGGATGAGAACAGTTTCAGGTTAAGAATGGACCTCCGGAACAAATTAAGTACTTAACCTGAGATACCACTGTATATTTAAAGCTTTAAACAGTCATGGCTTCCCCCAAAGGTTCTTGGGAGATGTAGTTTGTTACGAGTTATAAAGGTTGTTAAGAGGCCCCCTATTTCCCTCCCAGAGAAACAATTTCCAGAGTGGATTTAACAGTCATTCGTGCTTCACAGGAAACTCTGAGACTTGTAACTCTGTGAGGGGAATGGGGCGTCTTCTAAGGACTCTCTGAACCCTTAACAAACTACATCTCCCAGAATCCTTTGCAGGGTGAAGCCACGACTGTTTAAAGTGGTATCATAGCGCTTTAAATGTGTGGTGTGGATGTGGCCTTTAACAGAATTGAGCCGAGAGGAAAATGGGGACAAAGCTGGGGCACAACCAATAATTGGCTTTCCCTCCACCCACTGTTGGTTTCTCTTCCTTCTGCCCCATCAGTGCCAGTTTGGGCACCCCCACCACTGGCATAGAGCTTGTTTTGTTTTGTTTTGTTAAGGAGGCTGTGGCAATAGGCTAATAGGTGATGGTCCCTTTAAGAGGAACAAATACTCTCCTTTCACCCCTCCCGCCCTGAGAGTGGTTACTATGGTAACTGTCCGGGATTGAGACGCTGCAACCGCTGCTGCTGCTGTTGCTACTTAAATCTCTCTGCAGAGAGTTTCTGCTGGAGGTTGGAGGCTAGAAATTCTCTGTCCTTTTGCTTGTGTGAGTAAGCGATGGACACCAACAGCCCCATCCAAGTCTGAGGGAGGTACTTTTGAGCAGCCCCAGCCTGAAGAATTTTTGCGTCTTCCAAATATGTGGACTGCAATTCATTTTTTAAATAAAATCCTTTTTTAAAATAGTTTTTTTTAATATAAAAAAGCTTTTTTTTTTTTAAATGCCATTACTAAGGGACTAGATCCAGCGTGCTTCCAGAAGGGAGCTTGATGTTGGAGAAGATTTGTTCAGTTGCTGTAAACGGGTCACGAGCACAACAGGTGTGTAGGGGTGTGTGTGTGTGTGTGTGTGTGTGTGTGTGTGTGTTTAAACTGGATTTTCCCAGGAAAGATAAATCTGAAGGGAGTGGGATATGGACTGGCAATTTTGCGTGTGGATGCTGCAAATAATGATGATAATAATAATAATAATAATAATAATAATATCATGAGCACTGTTCACACAATAAGCTCTCATATCCAGGCACCTCTGTATGGTCAACTGTGTTCTATGCTGCCAAAAAATCCACAGAGTAACAATTGGGGGGGACAGACACAAAAGCACCTGTGTTGTGGCATGAGTGAACTCAACTGGAGAGGTTTCGACTCCTTTCCAAAAAGCCATTTCCCTATTAAACAGAAGCCTGCTTAACCACATTGCATATTCCCCACTAAAATGAACACACTTTATGTTCATTACTTAAGCATGAAATGGACTTATACAAAATTAAAAGGGCAGGAGCCTTGTCTGGTTTGGCAAAAAACAATGATTTCGCCTCCTTCCCTGAATTCCGGTAGCAATCCTATGTGAAGAATGTTATTTATGACTTCAGTTATTGTCTGAATTAAAACAAGGAAATCCTGTAGTAAGTGGCTGACAGGCCCTCTATTCTTAGAGCTCTGTTTCCCCCTCCCTTAATTCTTTTTATTGCCCTTGATATCTCTTTTGATAACCCTCTTGCCACCTTGTAGAGTGGTAGGGACAGCTGGATCATAGCCTCTGTCTCTTGACTTACGCTATTGTTTTAAGATTAGTGTGTTAAGCTCTTGTTTCCTAGTGCAGTGATGCTCCATCCCATGATAAGGCAATGCTTCCCTTGGTATTGGCCAGGCATAGGCAAACTCGGCCCTCCAGATGTTTTGAGACTATAATTCCCACCATCCCTGACCACTGGTCCTATTAGCTAGGGGTGATGGGAGTTGTAGTCCCAAAACATCTGGAGGGCCGATGTTTGCCTATGCCTGGTTTTGGCTGATGGCAAGCGGTGCTTCAACTTCCTTGTTCACCGGGTGCTTAAGAGTGTGATTGTTTTGTTGGACTCAGGTAGAGGAAGGTGTCATCAGGCATGTTTATCAACAGAATATGTATATATATATCCCCTCTCTCCCTTTACAGGATCTGTAAAGTTTGAAAAGTGAAGGAGGCAAGATATCTAGGGAGTCCTGATTTTGGTACAATTCAGCTGCGATGGGTAAAGAAAAGAAGAGAGACAGTAAGAAAGGAGAAAAGTCTTTGCCTCCTCCTCCCGCACACGAGCCCTCAGTAGAACCTGCTACTTCTGTACAGAACATCCCACCGGCTGTAAATCAAGTGGATGAACAGGCAGCAGCCCAAACAGTTCCCCAAGAAGAGGTGAAAGAGGCAGTGGCACTTCCACCCCCAGAACCCATTGAGTATGAGGAGCCGATTCTGACTCAGCTCATTGTTGAAAGGTAAACTAGAAGGACTGGGGTGGGGGGTGGAGGACTTGGACTTAGACTATGTATGTGTGGCTGGTAAAGGTAAAGGTAAAGGGACCCCTGACCATTAGGTCCAGTCATGGACGACTCTGGGGTTGCGGTGCTCATCTCGCTTTACTGGCCGAGGGAGCCAGCGTACAGCTTCTGGGTCATGTGGCCAGCATGACTAAGCTGCTTCTGGCGAACCAGAGCAGCACATGGAAACGCTGTTTACCTTCCCGCTGGATCGGTACCTATTTATCTACTTGCACTCTGACGTGCTTTTGAACTGCTAGGTTGGCAGGAGCAGGGACTGAGCAACGGGAGCTCACCCCGTCGTGGGAATTTGAACCACCAACCTTCTGATCGGCAAGCCCTAGGTTCTGTAGTTTAACCCACAGTGCTACCCGCGTGCCTGTGTGGCTGGTACCTAAGGTTAATAACAGGCTTAAATTTATCAAGTTCATGGCAAAGGCATACATTTAAAGAACTCTCATACTACTTTAATAGCTCCTTCAAAGCATCCTGGGAAATGTAGCTCTATGAGGGGTGTCCTAACAACACTTTGCACCCTTAGCAAACTACATTTCCCAGGATTCTTTGTGGGGGTATGACTGTTAAATAGTACTTTGTACTTTATACTACTGTTATAGTAGTATAAAGATGGTTTACATGGCATTGAAGATGCGATCTTGCAATTTACTAGCTAATTCGAGGCTGTGTCCTCTTCTTTCTGGCAGTGTAAACAGAGCAAGGTAATTATAATATAATAATTATAATATATGTTTTTTGAGTTTATTTGCTAATATATCCCCTACTTTAGGGTTGACATATTTCAAAAAGTAAAAAAACCAGGACACTACATTTCAGAAATTCCCCCCGGATATCAATTCTGCCTTTGAAATCCCGGATGTATGGAAGACCTACCCTACTTTAATCCAAGGGCTCAGGGCAATTTGTAAATTTCAGACAAATATAAAATGATTGTGCCCACTTTGAGATTGGGAATCTACTTAATTAGATGACTCTGTGCTGGTTTCTGAGTGAGAGTTGTTGTATTTTTGCGTACCTTAATGCCCTAAGGCAATATTTTTCATCCCTGCATCTGCTGGGGGTTCCATTCCATTTTGCAACCTTACACCTCCAAGACTTCAGTGATGTTAGAATGAATAATTAGTACCAAGTTTTATCTTTGAATCTGTAAATGTTAAAATAAATTACTCATTCTCTGTTTTTGCTCCGTTTTTTCCCTTTATTGGGGAAGCAGGGAGAGTGGGATGGCCTTCTGCAGAATGCCACAACTTGTTGCAGAAGTTTCTCAACCCCCAAAGAGTAACCCCCCCCCCACTATTTAAAGGGGTCATGTGTGTGTGTGTAAGTAACTACATTTAAGTGAAAACTTTACTAGTTACACCTTCTCCACCACTGATGTACCCTGGTGAGAAAAGTTGTTTTACAATTTGATATAGATTAATGCTTCTATTTCATGCTCGAAATTATTTTGTCTGCTCATTATATGGATTTATTCAATACCAGTTAATTTTAATCTTAAGAATTTCCACCCTTTGTAGCTATGAAGGAGAAAAAATCTGTGGGTTATATGAGGGAGAAGGAACAGCTTGTTTTCAAGGAGGCAATGTATACAAGGTGAGTACATTTGATGGTGGGCTCTGTATGTATGTTTTTTTGGGGGGGGAGGGTGACCCGAACCTGTGAGATAGGCTCAGATTATTGCTTTTACTACTCCGTGGCTGTAGTGGTGTCATTACCAAGAAGCTGCTAGTGTTAGACTCTAGATTTAAGTTGTCCCTCAGGCAGCAAATGTGAGTTAAGGTCATTTCCACACCATACCTTTAAAGAACTCTTATGCTATTTTAACACTCACATCTTCCTCCAAAGAATCCTGGGAACTCTAGTTTGTTAAGAGTCTCCAAATAATTCCCAGCACTAACAAACTACAGTTCCCAGGATTCTTTGGAGAAAGACATGAGTGTTAAAATAGTATTTCTATACCGCCCTTCATCTGAGGATCACAGAGCTGTTTATAATATAATACAATCTCTCTCCAGGGTTTCAGACAGGACTGTTTCTTAGCCCCCACCCCCCCAGAAATTCTCTTTCAGGTGTTTAGATATCCCTATTTTCCTACTGTTTTGTTGTTTGGAAGTTGACAAAACACAGCTATATAAATCATCACAAACTGCTATAATTATAATTCTTAGCTAAATCTTTTAAGCTTTTATGGTGTTTTATTTCTCTGGATATGTATTTTAAGTACACTTAATTATTATATTGATTGTTAACCCCAGATCAATTGCTTTTATTGTTTATGTAGAGAATTATGCAGAAATTCTGGTTTAAATATGTTGGCCATTGGCTGTAATAAACACTGATTGATTGATTGATTGATTGATTGGTTGGTTGAAATCTGTGTTTCATTTTGAAGGGCATGTTTTCTGAAGGCCTCATGCATGGACAAGGAACATACACGTGGGCTGATGGAGTGAAGTATGAGGTAAAGTATCATGTTAAATGGAGCATCATTGCAACTACCTTGACGGCCCTTAACTTGCAAGTACATATCTTAGACTCTTGGCCAAAGGATAATTTCCATATGCGTATATTAAATCTTATGTCTGTGCTTGTTTGTAGTGATAAACCGAGAACCTGGGCTTAATAAACCATACTTTTCAATTTTTAAAAGAAAAGGTATAATGCATAAATTTCCAGGTAAAACAAGAGATCTCTTGTTCTAGCTGTGAATCTCTTTTGTCCCTCCCCTCACCCCTCTCTCTAGGGAAACTTTGTGAAGAACCTACAAATGCATCATGGCAGTTACACCTGGCCGGATGGCAGCGTCTATGACGGAGAGGTAAAGAGCGGGATCAGGCATGGCTTTGGCATGTACAAGTGTGGCACCTACCCTGTTTCGTACATCGGCCAGTGGGTCGAAGGCAAAAGGCATGGCAAGGTAAGTAAAGCACCATGGCTGAAGCATCGCCTGGATTGCTGGGGCAGGAAAATCTCTGCTGTCCCGTCCTCAGAGCTGCTACCAAGTCTAGACACAGATTTAAGAATTGCTGAGTTGCCTGAAAGGGGAGAGACTCCATCAGGCAAGGCCTCCTTCCACCTGCCTTGCCCCACCCTCTAGTCTCTGCTTCTCAATTTGTATTGTATTATTTTATGTTCTGAGGCTTGCTGTTGTTTTATTGATTATAGTTTAGAAATTATTTATTGTAACTGTTCAGTGAATTTCTGTTTAACTTTTATATGTTATTATTATTTAATACTATTCTAATGATTGTTGAATGTTACTTTTTTGATGTAGGTTGCCTATTTTAAAGTTTCATTATCACATTTTTGTATTGCATTAGATTGTTATAAGATGTGCATTTTTTGTTTCTTCAGCTTGTAAACCGCCTTGAGTATTGTAAGATAGAAAGACGGTATACAAATTAAAAATGATGGTAATGACAAGGTGACTGATAGCAGTCCTCCTTTCACTCTTTGTGAGTTTTCTACTTTGCGATTGGTGTCATAGTTAAAAAGCAAACAAAACCGGGCCAGATCCAGGCTTGTGGGGGCTCTTGGCCTCTTCTGGACCCCCTGTTAGGGAGACTTACCTTTTAATTATGGTAGGTTAATTATGGTAATTATGGCAGCCAAGCTCCAATGAATGTGTGCCAGGTGTAAGGAAGCAAGATGGCATGGTTTCCATTCTGACCTGTGTCAGTCAAATGTAGCACAATCTCCATTCTGCTGCATGTTGTCTTTAGACAAAAAAACCAACGTTATTCCTCTTGCTGTCCAGTGTGGCTGAATTTTACATAATTAATACGCTTCCACCCCCATTTCATTCATTTCAGTGCAAAGGAAATGCAAATATGGAAACGGTAATCAGTTACATATTGTCCGTAGACAACAACAATGGTCAGTACTAATCATATTTGCAGGACTGATTTCCATTCCAGCATGCTTCCTTCCAACACCACTACCTCACAAGCTGGTTTTGAAATTGGGCAAATCTAACTGTTTTGGTTTCTCAGTTTTTCCCAGCCTTTGGTTCTCCATATTTCCACATTAGTTTACAGTCCTCCTGAAAAATCATGACCATTTTAATGCTGTTTTCTCCTAACCTGCACTTTTTTGTATGCATTTTTTTTCCTGACATGCATACAGTATAATGAGCTTTTGGGTGTCATTTTCATGGATACATACATTTATAATGCACACTTTACCTTAGTACATGCAAATGCTTAGGCACTGGTTGATTAATGCGCTTGTATGATGTGCTTTCAGGGCACCATTTATTACAACAGGGAAGGTTCTTCCTGGTATGAAGGTGACTTCGTATACAATGTAAAAAGTGGATGGGGAATAAGATGGTAAGTTTTAGAACCTTTCTGATTCAGCAGATCTTTGGACACATATCAGCAGGACACATATCTGCAGGAAACTCACATTTTCATTTATTACATGTGCATCAAGGAAGCCAAGGTACCCTCTGTTGGATTTCCCTGTTATGTCCTCATAACAGCCCTGTGAGGTAGGCTAAATGGAGAGATTGAGGACCAAACCACATATTATCATGATTGCATGTTCAAAACAATATACAGTGGTACCTCGGGTTACAGATGCTTCAGGTTACAGACGCTTCAGGTTACAGACTCCGCTAACCCAGAAATAGTACCTTGGGTTAAGAACTTTGCTTCAGGATGAGAACAGAAATCACGCAGTAGTGGCGTGGCAGCAGTGGGAGGCCCCATTAGCTAAAGTGGTGCTTCAGGTTAAGAACAGTTTTAGGTTAAGAACGGACCTCCGGAACGAATTAAGTACGTAACCAGAGGTACCACTATATTTGCGATGGGCCACACATTTATTTTAACAGAAACCAACAATAATGGCCTTTGCAACTGGATTTTGTTTGTTTGTTTAACATAGAATGATGACCAGTCTTAAAGAAACCACCAAGGCAACTTGTGATTTGGCCTAAGATTTGCCAAAAGTGAGCTTCTTGGCTGAGCAGAATTCATAGTTTCCTCAGTCACTATCCCACAATTACATATTAGGTATCCTAAACGTGAATCAAGTTGAAATGCGCTAACTGTCAAATATGGTGTTATGCGTTTGGTTGGGCTATCTTAAATACTGTGGGTAGCCAAGGACTAATGAAAAAATAATACTGGAGACCTCTCTCCCACCTTTGGAATGTAAAACCCATCAGAGTTTGGGAAGGTGGCATCTTGGGAAGCTTTTCATTTTATATGCACTTTAAAAAAAATAATGCAAATACTGTAGCAGCTACTGATTGAGGGGAGCAGTAATTATCGGGATTGAAGCAGGTGAGGAGGGAGTATTTAACCTTTTCTTCCTTGCTGCAATGAAAATTACTCCTCCAAGGTTGCTGTTTGCATTGGGAGTGAATCTAGTGACCTTCCAAGGTAGACTTCCTATAAACATGGAGGTTCCGCTCAGCTTTTATTGGTAATATACTTCTCCTCCACTGTAATTTTCTCTTTCCCCCTTTTAAAGCCATCTGCTGGTAGCTGCATCACATCTTGGGGAAATGACTTCACATCATCCAGAAATGACTTTATGAAATGTCAGTCTATTTTAAAACAATATTCGTTGGGATTGCCAACTCTGCTTTCTTTGTTCGTTTGTTTCCTTCGTAGTTATAAATCTGGAAATATCTATGAAGGCCAGTGGGAGAGGGACATGCGTCATGGAGAAGGGCGGATGAGGTGGCTCACGACGAATCAGGAATATACCGGGCAGTGGGTTAATGGCATACAGGTAGGGCTGAACTACTTGGATGTTAAAGTGGTACAGGTTATTTTTTTTGTGTGGAATTGTGGGAAGGAATGTGGAAATAACTAAATTAATGGTTCTTATTACCCTGAGTAGTACCGAGTTAAAAACCAAAGAGGAATGTAAATGGGTAAAATTGATGGTAATTGCAGCCAGACAGGTTATAGCGAGTAATTGGAAAAATGCAGAAGAGTTAGGGGTGAACCAATGGAGGAAAAAACTGAATAATATTCTAATTTTAGAATACCTAACTGTGAAGATACACAGAATGAAAGGGTTTAAGGTCAGTGAGAAAGAGGAGGGTTAGTTTGAGAAGATATTGAATTATTTGGGTAGGTTTGAACAATATGGGGCATTAAAATGTTAAAAGTTAAATAAACCTTGTGGAGGGAGGAGTGTTAAGGTATATAGAAGTGTACATATGGTTGATTTGAATATGTTATTATTGAATATTATTGAATATGTATATTATTGAATATGTATACCCAATGTATCAGCTGCCCGGGGGGGGTTTCACTGTTTGTGTTTTGGTGGTAGGTAAAAAGTAAAATATTTTTAAAAGTGGTACAGATAGGACTCAAGTAAACATTAGATTAATTGTGTGACTTGGAGCCACATCAGGGTTTTGTTTTTAAATCCTCTCCATGGGAGGGCAATTTCCATTAGCCTGCAGTGTGGAGGGGTAGGAGATCCATCTCTTTCTTCTGCACCCAATTACCTCCCGAAGCAGCAATTGGTGATAGAAGTAAAGCTCTCATTAACATATTTGTGAAAGCTACTCGTTACACGGATGATCGCCATGGCTAATAATTTCGCAAGGATCATAGGCTGTCAAAATAGGACTACCTTGTTAAATTGCACCCCACTTTTAGACGTGTAACTCATGCATGGTCCATATATTAGGGTTTCCAAAACTTGGGTCTCCAGCTGTTTTTGGACTACAGTTCCCATCATCCCTGGCCACTGGTTCTGCTAGGTGGAAATGATGGGAGTTGTAGTTCAAAAACAGCTGGAGACCCAGGTTTGGAAAACCCTGGTCTATATGGAGAGCAGCCATCTTTCTTAAGTGGAATTTTACAGAAACCAGGAATGCTCCTAACTGACACACTCTAAATCAGAGATAGGGAACTTCTGGCTTTCCTGATGTTCTTTGACTCCAGTTCCAATCATCCATGGACCATTGGCCATGTTGGCTTGGACTGATGGGATTTGGAGTCCAGCGGCATCTTGACGTTCCTCATCTAGCTTCTACCATATTCTCTGGTTAAGTTGGGAATTCTTGGGAAGTTGGGACGTCATTACTTCAACCAAAGGCGTTCTTGAAGCAATGTTGCAATGCAACAGATAATCTGTTCCACAGTGCTCCTTGGTGTTGTTCACCTAATTCACCTAAGCATTGGCTCCCAGTACGTTTCCGAGCACGATTCAAAGTGTTGGTGCTGACCTTTAAAGCCCTAAACAGCCTCGGTCCAGTATACCTGAAGGAGCCTCTCCACCCCCATCGTTCAGGCTGGACACTGAGATCCAGCGCCGAGGGCCTTCTGGCAGTTCCCTCATTGCGAGAAGTGAGGCTACAGGGAACCAGACAGAGGGCCTTCTCGGTAGTGGCGCCCGCCCTGTAGAACACCCTCCCATCAGATGTCAAAGAGATAAACAACTACCTAACATTCAGAAGACATCTTAAGGCAGCCCTGTTTAGGGAAGTTTTTAATATTTAACGCTGTACTGTTTTTAACACTTGATTGGGAGCCGCCCAGAGTGGCTGGGGAAACTCAGCCAGATGGGCGGGGTATAAATAATAAATTATTATTATTATTATTATTATTAATTAATTATTAATTATTAAAATTATAATTCTAGTGCACTCGCTGAGAGTTGGTTTTTTAAAATCTTTTTCAGCACGGCTATGGTACCCACACTTGGTATCTGAAGAGAATACCCGGATCACAATACCCCCTAAGGAATGAATACGTGGGAGATTTCGTCAATGGGGACCGCCATGGACACGGGAAGTTCTTCTTTGCCAGTGGAGCAATGTATGATGGGCAGTGGGTTCACAATAAGAAGCAAGGCATGGTAAGATTTGGGGTATGGAAAGCTCAGAAACATGGCATGAAACCTCAGCCTCCTCACTGGAACTGTAAAACAAGTGTTGCTGCAGAATAAAGGGTTAAATAGAGCATTGGCAAAGCCTCTATATCTATCCATCAATAGCTAGTTCTCAGCATTCTGTTGCAATGCAGTGTGGCCCACAGAACCCTGCCTACAATGATGCTAACTGGTGTGTAGTTGGCCTGTTTTTATCTCTGCCATTGGGGACATAAATTTCCCTTTCCCCCCCTTCAGGGTAAGCTTGTGTTCAAGAATGGCCGTGTCTATGAAGGCGAATTTATCGATGACCATATGGCAGAATATCCATCTTTTCAAATTGACATCATGAATAACCAAGATCTGAGTGGCATTCGGACGACGAGTCCCTTTGGCACTGGTGAGGAGCCTGAAGTGTGGCGGAAAGTAATTTGGGTGTGTAGCACCTTGGACCCTCCAAGAAGTTGCTGAACTACAACTCCCCACAGCGCCAGTAAGCATGGCCAACGGCCATGAATGATGGGAGCAGCAGTTCAGCAACATCTAGAAGACTAAAGGCCCCTCGCACCTGGACTAAAGTGAGGGCAGCTGGAGTTAAAATGCATTTAAAAAATGTATTTTATGAGAGTGAATATGTTTAGAAATGCACATTTTTGTGAGGATTTCAGTATCGTATGTGTGGAGTAGAATTATGGTGGACACCAGTGTTGTGTGGTGAATTTTTTCTTAGGGGAACAGTTAGGAACAGAGGCGCCAGCTTACGAGGGCAATTACGGGGGTGTTGCAGGCTTGAGCCTCGCACCTCCCTCCCTAAGCTAGACAGAAGCTTCCCGGGCTTTGGGAAGGAGATGCTAGGGGAACATTTAGGGGGCTGGCCTTGTCCCCCTAGTCCACTGACCACACGCCACTGGTGAACACAGGCAACACAACGTCAACTCGAGAAAGGTTAATAGCGCAATCCTTTTTCTTTCTTTTCAAAATCATTTTTATTTGATTTTTCAAATATAAATTTACAACAAAATCAATCACAAATCCATACAAAGAGATTTCTCTGAATCGCAAGACTCCATCCCCTCCATGGGTCCTAATTTCAATGCTTACAACTGCATATCAATCCGTTCTCCACATTTTTGTCCATCTCGTTTATCCATAGTATTTGTTACTTTACAAGCGAGATTAAAATCCTGCTCATGTTTCCATTTGCTTACAATGGCCTCTTAAATAAATTGTAACCCCCATTCTTTTTTAAAGTTCTTGTCCTCTTGCTTCCTGAGCTTCCCAGTTAGTCTTGCCATTTCAGCATAGTTCATCAACTTGGTTTGCCATTCTTCCCTGGTCGAGATTGTTTCTTCTTTCCATCTCTGGGCTAATAACATCCGTACGGCCATTGTCGCATACATAAATAGTATTTTCTGATCCTTTGGAATCTCGGTACCTATAATTCCTAATAAAAAAGCTTCTGGTTTTCAAAGGAACGTTATTTTAAACATCCCCCCCCCCAGTTCATTATATATCATATCCCAAAAGGTTTTTATTACCTTACACGACCCCCAGATATGATAAAAGGTACATTCTTTTTCTTTACGTTTCCAGCAGGTATTTGTGCTTGCTCTGTACATTTTTGAATAGCGCAATCCTAACCATGCCTGCTCATTCCTGTTGAATTCAATAGGTCTTGCTCCCAGGTAAATGAGGTTAAGATTGCAGCTTGATTAATCCATTAGGTGTCCACCGGGGTCCTCAGGTCTGCTTGTGCCGATGTTGCTCTTTAAATTTTTGTAACAAATAATTCTCAGATTGATTTCTTTCCTCCCACCGCCTGCCCCACTGCGAAGAAAGTATCAAAGTTGTTGATGGCCCAGATAGTACATCTGCGCTGGGAACGAATATAGAAATAGATATATCAACTTTGTTGGCTATATTTCCAGAAGAAAACAGGGAAGAAGAAATCAAACAGGTAAAAGGGCTTTACATTTATGATTTTTTTTTTAAAAAACGATTTTTAATTTCAAGGAACAAAACATACCCGTACAAGAAAAATATAGCTTGGTAGTTGTACAGAAAAGAAAGAAAAATAGAGGCTGATGGTTGTAGTTTTTAGACCTACCAAAAAAGGCAATGAAATGAAGGTTCCATGAGTTGATGGAGGGTGAAAACCGTATTTGATTGCCTTAACAAAATCAATAATATGATACCAGGTTGTACAGAACAGGCATGTCCAACTAGTCGATCATGATCTACTGGTTGATCGCGGGATGTCCATGGTCGATCCTGTGATCCTTAGCGACACCCCCCCCCAAAAAGAGCTCAACAACTTTGCCTGTCAATGACAATGGGTAGATCACAGGCGGCATTATTATACTGTGAGTAGATTGCAGTCTTTTGGGAGTTGGACGTGCCTGGTATAGAGGTGTGAGTCTTCCCTTCATGCAGTGTTGGAAATGTAAACCTTCAATCTCTCTGTCAGTCCGTCCATCTCTTAATATCTGGGCAGGATTCACCCACCAGCCCTATTGGTGGACCTCTGCTTGTGCAATATGGCTTTCCCTCCACTCTCCCCCAACACCCCTTAAAATTATCTCTGCATGGGGTCAGGAAATCGCCCAGAACAGCACACTGGAGCAGGAGATCATTTGTTCTGGCAGACTGAAATGCTTGAGCTGATGGAACATTCAATGTAGCACATCATTGAAATCCTCCTTTAGTCTTAATTATTGCTACTGATCATAGAGTTTTCAAGGTAGACTACAAAAGGGACAATAATAATAGTAAGATAACACAGAGACACAATTAATGCGTAGAAAAACCCTTTCCCCAAAGAGCTTCATTAATAAGTCAGGCTGGCAAATATTAATAAATATGAGGTATATAAATACAAATATATTTTATTATACATATCTAGCTTATTTAATACGACAAAATACTTATACTTTTTTATTACCGATTTTCTATAGAAAACTATATATATTTGTCTCCAGACAGAGTTTGCTGTATTGAGATATATCTCGGAACTGAGGCGAATCTACACCTTCTACAGCAGCTTAGGATATGACCATTCTCTTGATAACACTTTCCTGATGACGAAGCTTCAGTTCTGGCGATTTCTAAAGGACTGCAGATTCCACCACTGCAACCTTACGCTTGCTGACATGGATAGGATCCTGAATGGTTTGCATTCCTAATAGAATAGACTGTCCATGTTATTTTAGTAGTGGCAGAGCAGCAACCAATAAGCATGGGTAAATAGCCCATTTGCAACTTAATGAAGCCAACGCCTTGCGTTGAAGTTCAATGATTGGCCCAGTTCGCATGTGTCACTAAATCATGGTGTGGCGGTAAATGGAAGAGCCTCCACAAGTTTAAGCAAAGCCTTAGGTTTGTGTGTGTACACACACACACACACACACACACACACACAGTCACCCCACATGTCCCAATCAGGGGGTTGGATCCTGCCTGTCGTTGGCTCTGGCTTCACCTGCTGTTGGTTTCCCTTGCTTCTGCCCTACCAGTCCCGATGGGCACAAGCCACCACCACGTGGGGTGAGCCTCATATTATGCCTTTACTTTTGGTACAGTTCTCTTGCTATTGTTCAGTTAGTGTAGCCGGTAATCCATACTGGATGGAAGGGATATAACTGTTTTATGTGCATGACATAAGTCAGTTTTCAGAATGTCTTTACCCTAAAATAATTATAATTAATTACACAAAACATAAAATACACACCAAGATTTTCAGTTAAAGTCAGGAATGAAAACAAGTTGACCTAAAAAAACAACAACTCGTTAGAACTCTACCTCTGCATTGCTCACTGTATACAGTACAGTGTTTCTGTTTGTTTTTCAGATAAAACATTACTTGAAGAGATTCACTCTCCATATGAGACTTTGCTACTCCGAATGTTTTTGACATATCTCATCTATTTGTCCTTCCACATCTATCATAAGGAGTTTGAGTAAGTGGCTTGTCCATCAGCTAAGGTAGCGTCGAACCTGAGAATAGTTTGCTGAAAAGTCACCAGTTTAAAATCTCAACACAAGGCACCTCCAGGCTGTCAGTAGGTTGCTGGAGGGGTTCAAGTGTATATTGGATAATTAGAATTGTGCCATTAAAGTAGATTAAAGTGCTGTGTTGCCCTAGGTCAAAAAAATCCATTTCTGAAAAATAGACTTCTAGGATTTTGGAAAGTGACAGGTAATTGCCTTGAAAAGTGTTGAATGAGCAAATGATTAATGGGAAGATGTACAAACACTCCACAAGCAAATCAGGATTAATGCTTGTCATGGAACTTCCCTGCAAACAAATTGGAACGAATGTTCAATTCAGTTTTTAAAATGATTTATTTGATTCTTCCAACATATAACATGTACACACAGAGACACACAAAATAATATATATAATAAAGTAAAACGGGCACAAGGTTTGAAGCATAAAGACTCTTTTGAAACTGACTGGTATGGCTTTATTATATATGTTCTTAGAATGAAGACAAAGAACATTATAAAACCTTTTGCTTAATGTAAACTGTTGATTGCCTTCTATATAAACGGTTGCACACGATAGGAACTGAGAACGTTGTTTGGATGTTCCTTCGGATGCAATGCCCAACTCCCATCTTCTGGATTAGGGAGGGATAGTTTCTAAAAAATTATTGTTTTTGGATCCATAAATAGTCAACATAGTTTTAAAAAAACAAAACAAAAATAACCAAACCAATTAGCTGATGAAAAACTGCAGCCCTACAACACATAACTCTAAAATGCAATCTCTTCTGAATTTCTGAAACCTGTTTCCTCCGCATATCGCAGTAGTGACTGCTATATCGAATTACTGTTTTAACTCCAGCAATACGAGTCCCCGCCTCTTCAAGTGCTTCTGCAAGCTGATGGTCAAGAATATCTGTCCTAACGCCTGCCAAATAAAAGGTGGGCTATGCATTTTGGTTTGGTTTGGATTCCTACATTTCCCCAGATTTCATTTACGCACAGATGTTTGGGCCTTTTTCATCATCTGGCTCTTCTCCCCCCCTGCCCCCGTTTGCCTCTGCAGGCATCTTGTTCAGCGACCGGCAACAAACAGTCTACGCTATCAATTACATTGACAAGTGTTGGGAGATATTCAGGGCCTTTTGTCGACCAAATCCCGTTGCTCCGTACGAACCGACCATGAAGATGAGGCACTTCCTCTGGATGCTGAAAGTAATCACCATCTCAAGGATTTATTTCGGGTCTTGTTAGTGACGGATGTTATCTGTCAGTGTTGGTTCATCTCAGGTTCTCATTTTTCCTGTCATCCATTCTCTGCATTTCCACATCAGTTTGTTACAGTGGTGCCCCGCAAGACGAATGCCTCGCAAGACGAAAAACTCGCTAGACGAAAGGGTTTTTTGTTTTTTGAGCTGCTTCGCAAGACGATTTTCCCTATGGGCTTGCTTCGCAAGACGGAAACGTCTTGCAAGTTTGTTTCCTTTTTCTTAACACTGTTAATACAGTTGTGACTTGACTTCAAGGAGCAACTCATAGAACGCGGTGTGGTAGCATTTTTGAGGTTTTTAAAGACTTTGGTGATTTTTGAAGCTTTTCCAAAACTTTCCCGACACCGTGCTTCGCAAGACGAAAAAAATCGCAAACCGACAAAACTCGCGGAACGAATTAATTTCGTCTTGCTAGGCACCACTGTATTTTGGTATTTTTTTTAAAAGCCCTCATGAAAATTATCAATATTTTAGCACAAATTTCTCATACTATACAATTGCATAGAATTTTTTCAGTTTTTGTATGCAATGGCGGCCTAATATACACATTTTCACAAAGCATGTTTAACCTAATATCGGCATGTTTTCACAAATATATGCCTTCGTATTTACAGCTTATTGTAGCTTTTGCATTTTTAACACATTTTGGCCCATGTATCATTTGGGAGAACATGAACTAGGTAGCAGCACATGCCAAATTGAGAAATTTGGATAACACTAACCATTTTGTTGTTGTCGCTTCATTCTCCAGGATTTAAGACTCGTAAGCAAGCAGTTAACCGCTACCAAAATTGTGAATATACTGGCCAAAGACAGCCCTTGTGTGCGTGATGGAGATGACACTAACTTAGAACATGAGGTATATGTATTTCGGGAAAGTGTGGGGAAATATGGTCTGGGTGTAAATTTCTGCGGCTACACTGAAAAGAGCCAATCCACTTCAGGAGCTGGTTGGGCTTGGACTGTCCTTCGCCCAGAAGGAACTTTGTTTAAGAACAAAAGCTTTTGCTAGTTAATCAATATGATGAGTCATATAAGATTCTAATGTAGAGCTGAGCCACTCCAAGTGGGACTTTGGGCGAGTGAAATTAAACTGCCCCATTTGCTTTTTCCTGGCATCTGTTCCATGATCCGGCCAGCATCAATTGCCCACCAGGCATCATTCCCCCTTCTACCACAAAGATCCAGAAGCATGGTCCTCACTCTGATTTGGCATCGTTATTGTTAAGTTGTGGGTGAACATATCAGACGACACAGCGATTCTTCAAACAGCTCTTGTTTATTCACAGGCCAGAACAGAACTGAACTGAAGGGTTCATTATTAATGATTCTGGAGCAGATCATTATTAATGATTCTGGAGCAGATCATTAAGCAAACAGTCTGTGAGCACCTAGAAAGGAATGCTGTGATCACCAATAGTCAGCATGGATTTCTGAAAAATAAGTCATGCCAGACTAACCTGATCTCGTTTTTTGACAGAATTACAAGTCTGGTAGATGAAGGGAACGCAGTGGATGTAGCCTACCTTGATTTCAGCAAGGCATTTGACAAGGTGCACCATGATATTCTTGTAAAGAAGCTGGTAAAATGCGGTCTTGACTATGCTACCACTCAGTGGATTTGTAACTGGCTGACTGACCGAACCCAAAGGGTGCTCATCAATGGCTCCTCTTCATCCTGGAGAAGAGTGACTAGTGGGGTGCCACAGGGTTCTGTCTTGGGCCCGGTCTTATTCAACATCTTTATCAATGACTTGGATGATGGACTCAAGGGCATTCTGATCAAATTTGCAGATGACACCAAACTGGGAGGGGTGGCTAACACCCCAGAGGACAGGATCACACTTCAAAACAACCTTGACAGATTAGAGAACTGGGCAAAAACAAACAAGATGAATTTTAACAAGGAGAAATGTAAAGTATTGCACTTGGGCAAAAAAATGAGAGGCACAAATACAAGATGGGTGACACCTGGCTTGAGAGCAGTACATGTGAAAAGGATCTAGGAGTCTTGGTTGACCACAAACTTGACATGAGCCAACAGTGTGACGCGGCAGCTAAAAAAGCCAATGCAATTCTGGGCCTCATCAATAGGAGTATAGCATCTAGATCAAGGGAAGTAATAGTGCCACTGTATTCTGCTCTGGTCAGACCTCACTTGGAGTACTGTATCCAGTTCTGGGCACCACAGTTCAAGAAGGACACTGACAAACTGGAACGTGTCCAGAGGAGGGCAACCAAAATGGTCAAAGGCAACCAAAATGGTCAAAGGCCTGGAAACAATGCCTTATGAGGAACGGCTAAGGGAGCTGGGCATGTTTAGCCTGGAGAAGAGGAGGTTAAGGGGTGATATGATAGCCATGTTCAAATATATAAAAGGATGTCACATAGAGGAGGGAGAAAGGTTGTTTTCTGCTGCTCCAGAGAAGCGGACACGGAGCAATGGATCCAAACTACAAGAAAGAAGATTCCACCTAAACGTTAGGAAGAACTTCCTGACAGTAAGAGCTGTTCGACAGTGGAATTTGCTGCCAAGGAGTGTGGTGGAGTCTCCTTCTTTGGAGGTCTTTAAGCAGAGGCTTGACAACCATATGTCAGGAGTGCTCTGATGGTGTTTCCTGCTTGGCAGGGGGTTGGACTCGATGGCCCTTGTGGTCTCTTTCAACTCTATGATTCTATGATTCTATGGTTCAGTCAGCCTGCTTATATAGAGCTCCAGTACAATGTAACTGTAACAATTTTCTAAAACTATCCGATCACTGAACGTCACTTTCGATCCCTTATTTGCATAACTATCTACAGTATCCCCCTGCTGACCCAGGGTGAGAACTTCAGTACATAACAGTTATGATGCCATGTCATCATGTGGTGCTGCCTTGATGAGGCAATCAGAGTGAGGGCTGTGCTTCCTGCCTTATCTTGAGAGCTTTGCAAGGAAACAACATACCTGTCAGCAACCAGATAGCCCATGGGTAGGCAAACTAAGGCCCAGGGGCCAGATCCGGCCCAATCGCCTTCTCAATCTGGCCTGCGGATGGTCCGGGAATCAGCGTGTTTTTACATGAGTAGAATGTGTCCTTTTATTTAAAATGCACCTCTGGGTTATTTGTGGGGCCTGCCTGGTGTTTTTATATGAATAGAATGTGTCCTTTTATTTAAAATGCATCTCTGGGTTATTTGTGGGGCCTGCCTGGTGTTTTTACATGAGTAGAATGTGTGCTTTTTTTTTTCCCTTCTTCTCTTATTTTTGTAATATGTCGAAACTTTAATAAATATTTTAGAATGTGTGCTTTTATTTAAAATACATCTCTGGGTTATTTGTGGGGCATAGGAATTCGTTCATTCCCCCCCAATATAGTCCGACCCCCCACAAGGTCTGAAGGACAGTGGACCGGTCCCCCACAGGTTGAGAACCACTGAACAACAAGCAATAACTCAGTGATGTGAGACCTCTTGAAGGTCCATCACTGGAACCCACAGTGAAGTAATCTCAGACTCCAGATTGGCTCCACCCATCCAGGCTTCTCATTGGACCCTCCTAGGTTGGAAAGGGCTATGAAGAATTTCCTGGTCATACCGCATCCCTGAGCAACAATGATTGTCCTACATCTGGTGTCTTTTGGCGTGTTCCTCAGCGCTGACTCCTGGTTCGAACGCCGAACACAATTGCTGACCTGGCTCCTCTCTGACAGCTGCTTGCAGCTCAGCTGTTTCACAGGTCCCTAGTTAGGACCCCTCCAGGAATATTTTGCCACATGTTCTCGGTGGATTAGCGGTGGGTTTATTCCAATTTGGTTTGTTCTGCAGCGCTTCTCCAGTGCAGCCAAATTATTGCTGTCTGGAGGGGCTGTAGTGCAACAGAAGAAGGACAAAAATAAACCAGAACTTTTGTGGACTAAAAAGTAAGTGGATTTCAGCAGGAAAGACATGCACTGGTTGGAAAAGAAGCAACATGTCCATCCCAAAACTTTCGCAGGTACAAACGGTACTGAAAGTGGGCATGACTAAAGAATATTAGGTCGTTTCGGTAGATACGATATAATGGAATAAGTAAAGATGAGTTGATGAATTTGATGAAATAGAGGAGGTTTAATTATATTACTTCAATTTTAAAATATGTAAATGAAAATAAGATTAGAGGGATTTGCTGGAAATACGATTTGAACAAGAATACAAAATTGGGAGGTGAGAGGAGGTCAATGGAAATAAGTAAAGGGAAAAGGATATGTAAAGGTTTAACCTGCTTTTGTTTTATTTTTAACTTAATACATTTTTATATTTTTGTTAAGTTTTCTTTTTTATTCTATCTCATTGTTCTTTTTACTTGTTTATTTTTTGCTCTGTTATGGTCAAAGTTTTCTTTGTACTCTGTATGGCTTTTCTTTTTTTCTGTGATTTTAAATTTGGAATAAATATTATTTAAAAAAAAAAGAAAGAAAGTGGGCATGACTAGTTAATCATAAGAAATGTGCAATAAAAAGTTGCCTGGAGGACCCTTTGATCTTGTCGATTAGAAGTGACTTGTTCTCTTCTTCCTTTGTTGTGCTACAGCTTGTTTTCCTGGAGTTTTTCGAAGCTCTGCTGGACTGTGCCCTGTTGTACGTCACCGATGAGATGCTGAAACAGCAAGCGGAAGAATCCAGTCATTCAACAAGTTCCTTCAGAACAGATGAGTTCATAGACCCGGCTGCTGGGCCTCCTTTGGCTCAGGACTTGTCCTCTGTTCAGGTTAGTTCTCAGAGCGTAAACATTGACTCTCTTCGCTACAGGTAAGGGATGAGTTAAATGCAGCAGTAGCCTTTCACGAGGTTTGCTGGCCTCCCAAATTGAGTTTGGGCACTTTCCGGAACGGAAGCCAGACATATCAAGCAAACTTAGGATCTTCAAAGAGGGGGCAGGTTTGACAGGGTACGTTGGCCCCTTACAACCGTCAGGAACAACGCCTCAACGCCTTCCACATCAGGAGGATTTGGGGCATCACATGGCCAGACAGAATTCCCAACAACAGTGTGTTCTCTCAAGTCCACATTCCCAGCAGATTTGCACTCCTGTCTTAGTGACGTCTATGCCAGTTTGCTCATGTCCACAGAATGGAAGATGGTAGGATCCCCAGGGACGTGCTCCACGGAGAGCTGGCTTCTGAAACCAGCCCAATCGGCAGGCCTGCTCTGCATTACAAAGATGTCAGTAAACATGACACGAAGGCTGGCAACGTCACCTCCGCCATGTGGGAATCCCTCACGGACGACCGCAGTGCCTGGAGACGGGCAGTCAAGTCGTGTATCCATAGCAGTGACCAGAGGAGAAACGACCACTGGGAAGACAGCAGGGAGAAGAAACGCCATGGTGCATCTGCAGCAACACAGCTGGACACCTTCACCTGCCCCAGCTGCAACAAAACATGTCTCTCCTGTATCGGTCTTCACAGCCACAGCAGGCACTGCAGCCACCCAACAGCTTGTCCTCAACCCCAAGGCGCATTATTCCATTGTCTCCTGAGACAGACAGAGGCCAACAACAACAGGCCCCTTATGTGAATTCTACCACTCAACATCTTCTGGGAACGAAAAGGAGTTTAAGGCTGTCTTCATGGACACAGTCTTGTTTTGACTTCTCCGGGCCTTAGGGTTAGAAGTTGCTGGCAGCTCAGGGGTAGGGTTAACCCTGATCTAGATTGACCAGTGGTCTGCCTTTGGGGGTAAGGGGGCTTCCTATGTTCCTCTGGTGGTAAGACTCCCGGGGGCCAAAGCACTAGCAGTTCTGAGGAACTATGATATCAGTAAACACCAAATGGCGCTGACTGCTGCCATGGAGAACGGGGGGGCAGGGGAACTGGTCACACAAGGACAGTGCAAGTTTCCTCTGCCACAGAACACAAGGACTCATGGAACGAGCCCATTGTGGGGGCAAAGGGCAGGCAACATCACAAGGGTCCTAATTTTTAAAAGGTGACTGTTAACTCAGTGATAGGACACAGAGTTTTTTTTGTAGAATGTCACAGGTTCAGTTTTTAAAAAATCAGATGACGGGAAATACTTCTGCCTGAAAACCTGGAAGCTCAGTCGGTAGAGCATGAAGCTCTTAACCTCAGGGTCGTGGGGCCAAAGATTCCTTCATTGCCGGGGGCTGGACTAGATGACCCTCATGGAGCCAGCTCTGTAATTCTATTATGCTTCTAGGCAATGCTGGGCTTGATGGACAAAGGCCACATCAGCACCATTCATTTAAAGCACATTTAAAGCTCATGGGTTCTGCTGGGAACTATAGTTCAACCCTCACAGAGCCACAGTCCACAACACACTTCTCAAACTACAGTTGCCATAATTCTTTGGGGGAAGCCGTGTGCTTTAAAAGTATGGTGTGGATGTGACCACGCTCAGAAATGAAGTTCTGGTGCTGGATCTAGACACATCAAAGAAGCGTTTCAGTTAAATGCGTTGTAAACTTTGTATGAGAAATTGGGTTGGCAAAAATGGAGCTCCACAGCAGCATCCGGTGAGTTAGAATGCATCAACAACACATATAAAGTGCTTTTTCTTTGCCAATGTAGCTGAGTCCTTGATCTAGACCTATGTGCTTGCATATCTTTAAAGCACAATACCTCTAACTGGAGTTCAGAGGGGTGTTTTCGTGTGTGTGTGTGTGTGTGTGTGTGTGTGTGTGTGCGTGCGCGCGCAAGTGTCTTTTATCCCCGCCCCCATATAGCACCTCCAACTAACTACAGTATTGTTCTTATTTTCTTCTATTCTTTTAAAATTATCAGTCCGTTCAAACCAGAAGTTTAAGCAGTGGCGAAACAAGCACTGAGACCACAGAAACCCAGCATGTCAAGGCTTCCACAAGCAAGATTGTGCATTTTGTGGATGTTGGCAAGGGAAAGAAGTCCGAGGTCAGTGGGGTGATGAAGCATAATGGCTGTTTCGAGGTCCTAGGTCCAGGAAGGACTTGGAGAGTTTCTTGCTTGAAATCGCAGAGAGCTGCTGTCTGACTCAGTACAAAGCCACTTTCCGTGTTCCCAGGAAAGGGCCTTTTCAGTGGTTGTCCCCTAACTCTGCAACTCTCTTCCCTGGAAGGCCCACCTACATTCCTCTCTTTAGTTTCCCGAAAGATGATGAATAGGTTATTTCGGAGGTTTTTGGGCATTGTGGAAGTTGAATTGCCCGTCATTCTCTACCACTGCAATCTGTTTATTATGTTGCTACCTCTGCTTGCTTTCTCGTAGGTTGTCTGATGTGATCACGTGATGGAAGCAGGGAATCACCAACCATTTGGGGCCACTGCGCATGTTTGGAATGCTGTGGGCGCCAGTCACAAAATGGCCGCCGGGGTTGCATGGCATAACACAAAAACGGCTACCACACCCAAAAGAGCAGAAAAAGAAACAGGGACACAACATGGTGTGGGCACACCTTCCTATTATATCCCCCTTTCAAGCTGGGGAGGCACTTATAGCAGACTTCACTGTGCTCAGCCATAGAGAGAAGCACTCTGTATTATTATTTTTTGTTCAGAGTACAGTGGTACTTCGGGTTACATACGTTTCAGGTTACAGACTCCGCTAACCCAGAAATAGTACCTCAGGTTAAGAACTTTGCTTCAGGATGAGAACAGAAATCATGCTCCGGCGGCGCAGCGGCAGCAGGAGGCCCCATTAGCTAAAGTGGTGCTTCAGGTTAAGAACAGTTTCAGGTTAAGAACGGGCCTCCGGAACGAATTAAGTACTTAACCCGAGGTACCACTGTAGATGCGAGGGCAAATGTTCAGACCTGGCGCCCAGTGAAATGTGGGCATGTGGAAGAGGCCTGAGCTAGTGCAAACAGGTATTGAGCAGGAAGAATGGTGTAATGTGGATTTTTGAGGGGATATTTACTGAGGCTTTCTGTGGGTGGCGTAGGAAGTTCTGGCAGTTAGGCCTGGACGTTGGGGCATTGAGTTGGGGCATTGAGATTTGGTTCCCAGCCAATGTTAGTTTACCTCTTATCCCCCCACTTGGGCACATGCACAAAAGCATCTTCCAGACAGAATCTTGTCGTGGGTATACCTGCAGGACCACAGTGTGGCAGCACCTATACTTTGGAACTCCCTGCCTCTTGACATCAGGCAGAGGCACCTTTGCTGTAATCTTTTCAGTGCCTGCTTCAAACATTTTTCTTTAGGCAAGCCTATTCAGACAGGTAGCAGCTACATGCGTTTCATTTCAATTTTGTGAAACAAATAAATGGAAGAGTAAAGAACATTGACACTGTTCTCTTGAGTCTTTGCCATGAACTCGTTTTTGAACAACCTCACCTCGGCATATATTTATTTTTGCTTTATGTTTTAATTACGGTACCAGATTTTGAAAATAACACGATCTAACTCAACAACTCATTTTTATTTTTTTATTATCTTTTTTCTCATTACCACAGAAAGGAAAAGGCAAAAATGGAGGAAAAGAGGGCAAAGGATCTCGGCATGGTTCAAAATCTCCCAGTAAAGAAAAAAGTCTCTCTCCTCAGGGTGGGTCCTTGGAAATTCCGGTCCTTCCAATCTGAGCCTTGTTGTACAGGATCTTTTTTTGCTCTGAGGGAAAAACTGGCATTGAAATTAATGTGGTTCAACTAGGCCTTTGACAGTTTAACATCCTGTAATGTTTTAAATGTGTTTGTGGGACGTGTGTGTGTGTGTGTGTGTTATTGGCTCATGTAGTTTTTTGTTTGTTTGTTCCTGTTATTGCATTTTTTGTGTTTTTATCTTGTATCTTTATGTTGAGAACCGTGCTGAGTTCTACGGGTGATGACACCAGCATTTAAAGTCAGTGCGGTTTAGGAAGGCTCAGCCCACCACCACTTTGATTCAAAAGGGCATCCGGTTGTAGTCAACAAAAACTTGCTCCTTTATCTCAAGAACTATAGTGCAAAATTTGGTTGTGGTAACTTAAGAGGTGTCTGAAATGCATAGAGAACAGGCAAAGAGACAAATGACTTTCAAAAATATATAGCAGATGCTTTTCTTCCTTTCAGCCATGAGTTTTAATGTCACCTTCTCTGCTATCGTGGAAGAGAAAGAAGAAAGTTCAGCTCCATCACTATCAAGCGTGGAAGCAGAGCAAGAGTCAATTCTTAGCGCTCCCATGAAGGAATTAGCAGGTGAGAAAACTAGAGCTTTTTAGATAGCAAGCTATCAGGTATGGATCACTTTTTTATCAACGTAAAGAATCATTTTTGCATTTTTGGAGTTGCTGTTATTGATATATGTACGTTTATGTTTGGCACACCCACCCACACAATTTCATAACCCAGAATGCAGTTTCCAAAAACCTTTGTTAGGATTTATTTTGTTAGCTTTCATGTTTAACCATTGAGCAAGCTAAAGATGTTGCACTTTTAGTATATCTCTTTGTTTTCCTATATTCTGGGTGTTTTGTTTCTTTACTTCTGGATTGTGTTGGCACCCACAATAAGTTGACCTTTATTTATTTGAAAAGCATTCCCTTCTCTATCCATAGCTGTCAAGTGTCCCTTATTTGGCGGGACAGTCCCTTATCCCAGCGCCATGTCCCGCTGCTGTCCCTTATTGATGATGTCTCTTAAATTTCCCGGGTTTCAAAGGAAGCAGCTCCTCTCCCTCCCTCCCTGCCGACCAGGGAAGAGGGAGGCTCCAACTGTGTCACTTGGCTGTGTTGCTCACCCAGTAAGGAGTCTAAGAACGACTGGGGGTGGAGCTTGCATGCCTTGTGCCGATCAAATTGGCCGCGTTGCCTGGGGACTCGCCTTTGCTCAGCGCTTCCCAGCGGAGAGGTGACGGTGGTTTTCCTTGCTGCATCCCCTTTGCCGGGTTGCTGCGCTGTGGGAACCACCACTTGAGGCTTCGTTTGGCTGCTGGTTGACTAAAATCCTTTATTTTGGCTGCTGATCCCTTATTTTCGAGGCTGCTGGTCCCTTATTTTCAAATCTGTAAGTTGACAGCTATGTCTCTATCTAATCTAATTAGAGGTGCTGCTTGTTGGAAGGTTCACACTGAGCTGCAGATTGCGCAGTATTTGAGTACACATTCCTGTAAGATTTCCTGCTGTCACAAGAGGGCAGTAAAAGAACACCAGACCAGAACACAATAACTTGGACCTTCCTTTTTTGAAGGCTTTCACAACGGGACAAGTTGCTCTGACCCCACAGCTAAGTCCCAAACGAAGCGTGCTTGAATTCTGCAGTGGATTGCAAGCCATAAGCCATAAGCCAACAGTATTGCACAGATGGGGAACCTTTGGCCCAGGGTCTAAATACAGCCCTCTATGCATCTCTGTCTGCCCCCCAGGACTCTCCCCGGGGCCATACACCTCATGAGATACACCCCTCACTAACCCTGCTTTGCACCCTCCTTTAAAAAAAGAAAAGAAAATGTTACTGATTTTTTAAAATAGCAAAATAACAATCCCCACAACCAACATCCCACTACCCTTCAAATGAAGGTTCCTTAGAAGAAAGCATTGTTGCAAAATGTCAGGTCTGTGCACCCATCTTGGGTGCTTTTGTCTGGTTCGAATGGATCCCCAGACTCTGATAATGCTGCTTGCTTGCCTGGGCAGAGGATGGAAAGGAACTAGCTTACCATGCAAAAGGTAAAATTCACATTTGTTGCTCAGCCCACTTTTAATTCTGGCCCTGCCTATTCCGCCTCCACCGCCCCACCTTCCCCCACCCCTGGATCCACATAGGATCTTCTGCATCCTAAGCATGTGGTCTGCTATGAAGCTATGATAGTCTTTCCCCTACAACAGGGGTTGGCCAAAGGGGGTGCTCTGCTGCAGAAGCGGCCATCATCCTCAGCCAGCACAGCCAATAGCCAGGGATGATGGCAGTTGTAGGCATCACACATAACTGGAGGGCGCTTCGTTGGTCGTCCCCTGCCCTACAACTAAAACTCCATTTTATTTCCCATCCCCTCACTCCGCCGTCTTGCAGATAACCTCGAAAGTGCAAAGAACGAGCAGAAGGACAAACTTGGTTTATGGATGAGCCAGATATACATCTTTTTTGTCAACAAATTCTTTGCCGGCTACAAACACTTGGAAGTCGTGAAAGAAACCATTATAGACAACAGGATTCGGCACGCTGAATTCCTTGTACTGAAGAAAATCCAAGAAGCTGAAGAAGAAGCAAAGTGAGTTTTCAGCTTTTGCTTGTGGATCATGGTTTCTAACCTGCTCCCAAATTTGGCAGGAGCCTTGCCACATGCGTTCATAGAATCATAAGAGTTGGAAGGGTCCATGAGGGTCATCTAGTCCAACCCCCTGCAATGCAGGAATCTCTTGCCTAATGTGGGGCTCAAACCAACGAGCCTGATATTAAGAGTCACATGCTCTACCAACTGAGTTATCCCATCATAAAACAGGGTGCTTTGCTAGATGGCCCGGCTGTTTTCATTGGAGACATGCTGGAAATACCTGGACTTCATTGCTATAGTCTGCCTTCTATTATGCCAGATTGAGATTACATGTTCACATGTAAGGCTAAACTGTGCCTTAGCGTTAGAAGTAGCTGTAGTGAGCCTTGATTTTTAATGAACTATATCTATGGAGCTAAGGAAGCAAAGTGAACAGGGTATCTGGAAAAATGAGAAACTTGAGAGAAAGAACATACTTATCCATGCCACTTCCAAGTTTGAGCCTTAGGCTCAAAATGCTCAAATCAAGAAGACAGTGGCAAGTACCACTGGTCATCTTTAGAAAAAGAGTTAATTTTCTTCACTAGGGGGTAATTTACTTCCTTTGCTTATGCTGATATGATTAAGCAAAGATCAAGATTTAATATATATATTTAACTGCCGCTATATCTGTATTGTCTCTGTTATGACCCAATTGCAATTCAATGTATTCCTGTTGTGTTTTATGATTATTATTATTTTTTTTAAATGATATTTATTAAAGTTTCACAAAAATACAGAAAACAAAGAAAAAAGTATAAATTACAGCAAAAAAGCAAAAAGTAAGAAAAAACATACAAAATAAAACAGTTAAAAACACACTAATGTTCCATAACCTATCTTCCTTACTCATATTTCCCCAGACCTCCTCATACCTCCCTTCTTTGTATTCCAATTCAGTTTGTTGGTTCAGCAAATCCTTACCATTAATCTTTTACCCAATTGTTAACCTTTTTTTTCCCCCATGTCTCTTAAAGCATTACAGCTAAAAACCTCTTAATTTCTATCCAGCATCCTTCTAAAGTCCTTAATTTTACAATCTTTCTGTAAATAGTCCTTAATTTTTTTCCAGTCTTCTTTCACCGACTCTTCTCCCTGGTCTCGGATTCTGCCAGTCATTTCCGCCAATTCCATGTAGTCAATCACCTTCATCTGCCATTCTTCCAAAGTGGGTAGATCTTGTGTCTTCCAATACTTTGCGATAAGTATTCTTGCTGCTGTTGTAGCATACATGAAAAAGGTTCTGTCCTTCTTTGGCACCAGTTGGCCGACAATGCCCAAGAGAAAGGCCTCTGGTTTCTTCAGAAAGGTATATTTAAATACCTTTTTCAGTTCATTATATATCATTTCCCAGAAAGCCTTAATCTTTGGGCACGTCCACCAAAGGTGAAAGAATGTACCTTCAGTTTCTTTACATTTCCAACATTTATTATCGGGCAAATGATAAATTTTTGCAAGCTTGACTGGGGTCATGTACCACCTGTATATCATTTTCATAATATTCTCTCTTAAGGCATTACATGCCGTAAACTTCATACCTGTGGTCCATAACTGTTCCCAGTCAGCGAACATAATATTATGTCCAACATCTTGTGCCCATTTAATCATAGCAGATTTCACCGTTTCATCCTGAGTATTCCATTTCAACAGCAAGTTATACATTCTTGACAAATTTTTAGTTTTGGGTTCTAACAATTCTGTTTCTAATTTTGACTTTTCCACTTGGAAGCCTATTTTCTTATCCAAATTATATGCCTCCATTATCTGATAGTAGTGGAACCAATCTCTCACTTTATTTTTTAATTTTTCAAAACTCTGCAATCTCAATTTATCTCCTTCTTGCTCCAAAATTTCCCAATATGTCGGCCATTTGGCCTCCATATTGAGCCTTTTCAGAGCTTTTGCTTCCATTGGTGACAGCCACCTTGGGGTTTTATTTTCCAATAAGTCTTTGTATCTTATCCAGACATTAAACAATGCTTTCCTAACAGTATGATTTTTAAATGCTTTGTGTGCTTTGACCTTATCATACCATAAGTATGCATGCCATCCAAATACATTGTTAAAACCTTCTAAATCCAAAATGTCTGTATTTTCAAGAAGTAGCCATTCTTTCAGCCAGCAGAAAGCTGCTGATTCATAATAAAGTTTAAGGTCTGGCAGGGCAAATCCACCTCTTTCCTTGGCGTCAGTTAATATCTTAAATTTTATTCTGGGCTTCTTGCCCTGCCAGACAAATCTAGAAATATCTCTCTGCCACTTCTTGAAACAGTCCATCTTATCTACAATTTGTAATGTCTGAAACAAAAACAACATTCTAGGCAATACATTCATCTTTATCACAGCAATACGGCCCAGCAACGAGAGTTTCAAATTTGACCAAATTTCTAAATCTTTTTCACTTCCGTCCAACATTTTTCATAATTATCTTTAAATAAGTTCCCATTTTTGGCTGTCATATTAATCCCCAAGTATTTCACTTTCTTTACCACATTCAATCCTGTCTCATTCTGAAACCTCTCTCTTTCAATCGGTGTTTTCTCTAAAACCTTAGTTTTTAACTTGTTCAATTTAAAACCTGCCACCTGACCAAATTCCTGAATTAATTCTAAAACTCTTTTAGTACTAGATTCTGGCTCCTGTAACGTCAATACTAGGTCATCTGCAAATGCTCTCAATTTGTACTGTTTAGCTCCGACCTGTATGCCCTTAACCAACCGGTCCTTTCTAATCATATTTAGCAAAACCTCCAGGACCGATATAAAAAGCAGTGGGGAAATTGGGCACCCCTGTCGTGTCCCTTTTTCTATCTTAAATTCTTCCGTAACCACATTATTTACAATTAATTTAGCCTTTTGTTCAGAGTATATTGCACCTATACCATTTTCAAAACCTTGGCCTACCCCCATCCCATGCAGATTCTTCTTCATAAAACTGTTTTATGATTTTCCTGATATTGTAAGTGAGCCGGAACTGGTCTGTGACCATAATAATAAAAATTAATTAAATTAATTAATTAAAAATGATTAAGCAAGGTTTGCATCTGAACATGAAGCTGGCTGTTTCAATAAGGGATGGCTCCTTGATATCGTCCTGACATTTGTCTGGGTGCCATTTATGGATTTGTTGTTTCGTGGCTCACATGTTCTGAACTGTGTTACGACTTTTTGGTTTAAGAGACTCTGATCCCCCAACTTCTCTGTCCCACCCCACTCTGGCCACAGGCTTAATGCTATGAGGGAGGCAGAGGAAGCCAGAAAGCTAGAAGAAGCTGCAGCAGAAAAAGCAGCTCAGGAGCTGGAGGAAAGTTTGTGCAGAGAGTTGGAGGAAGCATCGATACAGCTGCAGTCTTCGCCAAAAGAAGAATCCCCTGTTTCACCACAGGCGCCACCAAGCACCAAGACTACTGGAGGTGGGAAGAAGAAGAAAAAGGCATAAAATGAGCAGCTGTACAATATCAGATTATTGTACCGAGGCATGCCGAATCCAAACATTGCAATTCATGTTAGCTTTGGGTTACAGGAATAATAAATATCGGAGCAATAAAACTGAATAACTTTGTGAAGAAAACCGCACACGAATAATTCCAGATGCCACCAGGTTTGTCAAAGAACTTTCAAACACAACCACTATAAGCCTTTCTTTCATTTGGTTGCAATACTGTGCAGTTCCATGAGACTATAAGTCAAGAGGACTTGCTTGCAAGTAGACAGGCATAGGATTGCAAGTATCCAAACCGCTGGTGTAATGCCCAGGTAGGGTCACCTAGGAAAAAAATATAAGAAAGGAAAGGAGCTTATTTCCAAGTGAAATGTGCAGGGGTGAGATCAAACTTTAAATATCTCACACCCTTCCATTTTTTAGAAAAAAGTTAAACACTGATAAAATAGAGATGCTTCTTCTAGCTCCGATTCAAGAATGGGATGTTTACGATGCTTTCTGTAACTTCAGTTGAACCAACGTATATAGATTAAAATAAAATAAAGGGTATGTGTTGTTATTTCGCACAACTTGGCTATCCTGAAGATGTGTTTCCATGTTAAAAAAAAAAGGTATAGAAGACAAGGACCTAGAGATAAGAGACAGAAGCAGGGCTTGCAGAATGGTAATCTGGGAAGAAACACCTTTGCAGCAAAACTTGTTCACTATCTGGCATTTCTGTTGCACAAACTGCTCCTTTGACGTAGGATCACAAAGCAGTAAGGGATCAGTAAAGTCATTAAATTCAAGGCAACTCCATTTTTTAAAAAATGTATTTTTTATTAAAGATTTTCTTAGTTTACAAAAGTATGTGCAATGTCCCTCACTCTCTCTCCTCACACCCCCAGTAACATTTTTTACAGATCAGTTTCATTTGTTGAGACATTCGGAAGAAAAGGGGGAAAGAGGTGGGGGGGGGGAGGTGAGTGGGGGTGATGTCAGGTGGTGATGTTTCTATTGTACTTAATATATGTGGGGTTTTGTGTCAGCATCGCTTGTGCAGGTTCTCTGCTATTCACTTGTGTTCCTTTGGTGGTGAGAGAGGTTGGGGTTGGCCTAGGGTGTGGTTGTTTGTTTGTTTGTGATTGGCTGTGGTGATCTTTGTTTCATGTGTGAGTGGGGTGGGTGGGTGTTTTTGAATCAGGTTAGCCATATTGATTTGTATGCTGTTGGTGGAGTTTTGTCATTCTCTTGTTGGGCTGTGTATGTGATAAAGGGAAGCCATAACGGTGTGAAGGCGTCTTCTTCTGTTTGTTCCCCTGTCAGTTTCAGTCTATTGGTTAATTTTTCTAGTAAGGCTGTTTCCGATACTATTTGGTTCCATTGATCCATGCTTACTCCTGACAGGTCTCTCCAGTGTCTGGTTATGGTGTTTCTGGCTGCTGAAAGTAGGTGGACTATGAGTTATTTGTGGTGTAAATGGGCATTATTGTCTTGGAAGATGTTTAGTAGGGCCAATTCTGGGGTGATTTCTAATACTTGCTTAGTTATTTTACATATTTCTCATATGGCTGTTGTCCAGAATAGTTGGATTTTGGGGCACTCCCACCACATGTGGAGGTATGTGCCTGTGGAGATGCACCCTCTCCAGCATTTTGGTGAGGTTCCTGGGCGTATTAGCGCTAGTTTTCTTAGTGTTAGGTACCACCTGAAGGTGAGTTTCAGAGTGAGTTCTTTTCTTTTCGTTGATATAGATTTAAAGGGGGGTTTAGACCACATTCTGGTCCATTGAGTGGGGTTAATCTCATAGCCTATGTCATCCTCCCATTGTTTTTTGATTGCGTCTAGGGGGTTCGTGGGATTTTGGAGTAGTATTTTGCATATTGCGGATAGCATCCCTTTACGGTATCCCTTTGTTGTTAGGAGGAGGTTTTGAAGGTTGTCAGGGGCCTAGTTGCTGCTGATTTTACTGCTGGATTGTTTAAGAGGGCAACTCCATTTTTGAGGGGAGCACAGCTCGGTGGCGGAAGAGATGCTTTGAAGGCAGAAGGTCCCAGGTTCTGTCGGGTATCGAGTGATGTGAAGTCCCTTTTCCCCAAGACCCTGGACAGAACCATCTGTCAGCATAGACAAGATTAGAGTGCACCACATCATTCTTTCCTCCCCCAAGCCAAATACAATGTAGTCACCTGGCACCCCAAAAGGTTAGATTCCTGTTGTTGTTGCTGCTGCTGCTGCTGCTTGCCTACAACAATAGTAACTGGGGGCTGTCAAGTCCTTCCTGGCTGGGGCTTGCCAATCAACTTTGCAGTTCAGGTCTGGTTTAAGGCATTGCAAAAACATCCTCATTCAGCAGAAAGCTCTGAACTAAACTGAAACATCTAAATCTATTTACTATGTTCCCTTTCCCTACATTAATCAGGCAAAGCCACTCCCGACCTAAAGAGGGGGGGGGTTGCGGGCTCATGCCCCCGTCTACATTCTCGCGGGGCTGGCGTCAGCCCCGTGGGACTCAGGGATTCCCCAGTCTCATTAATATTCATCACCCTCGGTGCCAGCCAATCAGCTGGCGGTAGGGGCGGGCTTACCTAGGTGCTCTTTAGGTCGGGGCAGCCCTGACTCGCCCCTTTTCTTCTCTACAGCAGCAGCGGTTTCCCACCCACCCGCCCTCTAGGTTTGCATTCGGACTTTGCTATGGGCTTCGGCTGGTCGCCGCAAGGGGCCTGGTAGGAGTTTTTCCATTTGGCTAATTGGCTGTATTTTGAAGCCACTTGGTTTTTTCGCCTACCTCGTAGCAAACGTCACAACTCCTTGGTTTTGGCGGTTAGGCATTGGCAAGGGTATTGTTATGCAAATGAAGTCGGGGGGGAGGAACGCCATCACCTCCCCCAAATCTTGAAGGGTCATTCGTTAAAGGACTCCGGGGGGCGTCGCCTCGTCTGAAACCTACGGAGGCTAGGGCCTAAAGCGCACTCCCGAGCGGTAACCCCTTGGGGAGCGCCTAGGGATGTGCATCTCGGGGGCTCCCCCTGTTGGTGCTTAACCCTTCCCGGTTAGACCAGATAGTCTGTTAGGGCCAATGCCTAAAGCCAATACCACTCTTACCTGTAATCAATAAAGTTGTGGCCATTTTCGCCCATTAACCTAAATTCTGATGTCCGGTGTCTTTATTTACTCCATCTGTGGGAGGGGGCGGGAATCGCCACGCAACAGATTTTAGTTCTTTAAAATGTTTTTAACAGAAGTGTTTTTAATGCTTGAAATGTGAAAAGCTTTTTTCCTCCCATGTGATGGTAAAAATGCATTGAGATTATGCATACTGCAATGAAACTTTGATGAATAATGATTTCCTCCCTTTTAGAACGGTTTTTTGTACTATGTAGTTGATGCTTATTTAATTGATCAAGTGATTAACTTGGAGGATTGATCAATCAAGGTGTCTTTATCTGGGCAATAGTTCTACTAGCAATTTATGATGGCTTTGTTTCAAATGCAGACAATCTTTTTTTCTTTTTCTTTTTGGAAGTTGCTGTGTGCAAAATGGGGTATGAATAGGCTGCCCTCAATTTCCTAATGTGGTCAGATTTCCCTCTGTTTCATGAAAGTGGCTATTGTCTCAACTTTACAAACATTTTGTCCCCCACAGAAGATGAATGATATAATTTTATAAACTTTTCTCCAGAGTCAAGAAAGAGGAAGAAGGTCCATTAAAATTGTAACAATGACTAATTTTATTTTTCCAGTAAAATATTCACATAATATTATCTGAGAAATGGAATGACACTTGTTTAATTCAGACTAATTTTAATTCATTTGCACATAAATACTTTAAAATCTAAAAACCATATGATCAGAATGTAGAGTTTTAGTAGAAATTTGATTCTTACAAAGCAAGTATTGCTCTACTACTGTCATTATTCCAGTCAGTAATATGACTAATAACCTGTCACAGAAAACCAGAATTCTTTCAGGATATTTTAAAGCCATCTTCAAAAGAGTTAGCCCCCAGCTGATCAATCCAAGAAGAATATATTGTTGAACTGTGTTGCACAAAGTTTCTTTACTTCTTCTGAGGGAAAAAAAAAAAGAGGAAATATTATTTTAAGACTTAGAAGTATGGCACTAATTACAAGCTACAAATTGATCCTGTGTGGCTTTCTAGTGACGTGATCCGTAAATGTTTTGTAGTCATTTACAGATCATGTCACTGGAAAGCCACACAGGTGGCTTTCTGAAAGGTTCAGCTTAAATTTAAACATCACTGTTGACAGAATAAAATCTAAAAGCCTTCTGCATAACCCCTTCCTCTCCATGCACCATTGTAATGCAAGAAGTGTCCATGGGACTCTCAAGAGTCTCCCCCAGCACCCTAATACAAAAGCATCAATTCTTTGGCGATCAGCCTTCTTTATGGTCCAGCTCTCATTTCCATACATCACTACTGGGAAAAACATAGCTTTAACTATACGGACCTGCTTTTTAAGATGCTGCCTAGGTTTGTCATTGCTTTTCTCCCAAGAAGCAGGCATCTTTTAATTTTGTGACTGCTGTCACCATCTGCAGTGATCATGGAGCCCAAGAAAGTACAATCTCTCATTGCCTCCATTTCTTCCCCTTCTATTTACCAGGAGGTGATAGTTGAAATAAATGACTACTCTATTCCTGTGTAGCTCTGCTGCAGTTTCCCTCCCCTGTGTCAAATTTAAACTGTAAGCTCCTTGGGACAGAAAGCTGTCCCCTTATGTTTTGTAAAATATAATGAATTCTACATATAAGTAATGAAAGTGTTTTAATAACACTTAAAAGTGGTAAAACTAAAAATACACACTTTAAAAAAAGTTTCTTACCATTCACTTCAATCAGGTTTGCATTTTTCTGATTCAAAATTACATAGAGCTCCCGCTGATCAGATTTCTTGCCAACAATCCAGTAGTCACTCATTGCTTTCACTATGATTTCCTCATCATCATCAACCCTAAAAGGAAGAAGTTGGTATGTGCAAATCTTAGGAGGCCTCAAATAAGTAACAAAGGAATAAAACAAAGCAAAAACAGTAACTAACATATAAAGCAGATTTTAAACATCGCAAGTGGATCGAGCTTTGGTTTATTGTTTTAGGTTTTCCTCAAGTCTTATAGATTAAGTAATTCTTATATCTGTGGTAGGATCTGTACCACACTGACACAGAATTCCTGGAGAATTTGCTAATATTAGTATCTAGCAGCTTCAATTCCTGGGACTGCAAAAAACATTACACAGCTTCACCTCCTAAAAGAAATTTGCCTGTTCAATTCTGCGGCACCACACAAATTCTATCTAAAATTCTCCAGTTGTGATATGTATGTATGCATGTATTTAGCCAATGTAGTCTATCTGACAATGTGCTGAGCCTGGATCTGGGAGACCTCTGTTCAAATCTCACCTCACCATAAATCTACTGGTTTGATTTTAGAAATTCCTTCACTCCCTGCCTCACTTTCCCTATCTGTAAAAAGAGCTAATAATATAATGATAGGACTTTACAGGTGTTTTTTCTTCTTCTGAGGATGAACAAGATAAGGAAACATTACTCACTCAGAATCTTTAGTAGTAGTGAGATTTATAACTATTATCATACTACGGAGATTTACACTCCTGGTGTATTACTTTGACTACAGCATTACAGCTAAGGAAGAAGAAAATTGCTTCCAAGTATGCACTGCCAGATCTAACTATGCAAACTGAATGATATTCAGATTTTAACAAAGGCAGGGAAGAATGCTACGTCACCTGGTGAAGTCACTGTTGATATCACCAAGAATCTTCATCAAGTCAGGATGAACCGACGTGAGCGAGATATTGGGCGTTCTCCTCAAGTGAATTGTACTTTTCTCTGCTAGGTTCATGTGATTGAAATAGATAAATTTAAATTGAGGTTCCTTCTCCGACCTAGGAAACAAAGAAGGAAGTGGTCAAATAAGCAAGAGGAAGGCCATTTTTGCAAAGAGAGTTGAACGTCTATCTAGAGTGGCTTACTACCATATTGCCATATGCTTTAATTTTTAAGTCAGGATCGAAAAATTGTTCCCAGGAGCCATTAAAATATTAGCAGCTGTCAGACTGTGGAGTGATGTCTACGGTTTGCTAATGCCACTTCAGAATCAGGGAATTCAGAAAGGCTAAAGCGCTGATCCTGAGAACTGCTGAGCCAGAAACAAAAAGAGACAAGAAGTCTGGTGCTGCAGTGCAACACCAGAGAACATGAGGCATTCATAGAATCATAGAATCATAGAGTTGGAAGAGACCACAAGGGCCATCGAGTCCAACCCCCTGCCAAGCAGGAAACACCACCAGAGCACTCCTGACATATGGTTGTCAAGCCTCTGCTTAAAGACCTCCAAAGAAGGAGACTCCACCACACTCCTTGGCAGCAAATTCCACTGTCGAACAGCTCTTACTGTCAGGAAGTTCTTCCTAATGTTTAGGTGGAATCTTCTTTCTTGTAGTTTGGATCCATTGCTCCGTGTCCGCTTCTCTGGAGCAGCAGAAAACAACCTTTCTCCCTCCTCTATGTGACATCCTTTTATATATTTGAACATGGCTATCATATCACCCCTTAACCTCCTCTTCTCCAGGCTAAACATGCCCAGCTCCCTTAGCCGTTCCTCATAAGGCATCGTTTCCAGGCCTTTGACCATTTTGGTTGCCCTCCTCTGGACACGTTCCAGTTTGTCAGTGTCCTTGAACTGTGGTGCCCAGAACTGGACACAGTACCCCAGGTGAGGTCTGACCAGAGCAGAATACAGTGGCACTATTACTTCCCTTGATCTAGATGCTATACTCCTATTGATGCAGCCCAGAATTGCATTGGCTTTTTTAGCTGCCGCGTCACACTGTTGGCTCATGTCAAGTTTGTGGTCAACCAAGACTCCTAGATCCTTTTCACATGTACTGCTCTCAAGCCAGATGTCACCCATCTTGTATTTGTGCCTCTCATTTTTTTGCCCAAGTGCAATACTTTACATTTCTCCCTGTTAAAATTCATCTTGTTTGTTTTTGCCCAGTTCTCTAATCTGTCAAGGTCGTTTTGAAGTGTGATCCTGTCCTCTGGGGTGTTAGCCACCCCTCCCAGTTTGGTGATACATTTGGTGATACATTCACATTTTGTGATACATTTCTAGTGAGGTCCTCAGCTTGGCCCTGACCAAGCTACCAAAGTTGGGAGATCAGCTTGACCGACAGCCCTTCCCCAACCTGGTGTAATCTAAAATATCAGGAGGGCCAGCATGGCCAGTGGTTGCGTGTGGCAGATGTTATAGTCCAGCAACACCTGGAGGGCACCAAGTTGAGGAAGGCTACCCCAGATGAAATTGGGGGGAATGTTTTCTTTTGGCTAGAAGACCCTAAAATTCAGGTTGCCCTGCAAGGCGTTCCCTGTCCTAAAACAACATCTAGCTGTCCATCTGCTGACATCACCGGGGGGGGGGGAGAGCTTTGATCCTGCCACTTTGCCACTGCATTCCCTTGGTGAAGCAGACCCCTGCAGCCAGCCAGACTGAACCCTCTACTCATCAGCTGGTGAGCAGAGTGTTCAATCCACACTGGTGAAGCAAAACTGCTCCCCTGCCCCGTGGGTTGACTTTGACAGGTAGGTGGGATTGCTTACCTATCAGCCACCTGACATCATCATGGCCTGCAGAGATGGGGAGATAAAGAGGTAGCCTGCTGGACTAAAAAGGTTCTCCACCCCTGCTATAGTCCAAGAAGCATTTGTTCTTGTTCAGCAGACCGAGGTCAGGAAATGGTTCAATATTCTGGAGAAAGGTTAGGAAAGCCATGGAGAGCCTTGTATCATGTCTAGCCCAGCACTGTCGACTTTGACTTACAACAGCTCTCCGCAATTTCAGGCAGAGGTATTCAACATCACCTGCTGCCTGATTCTATTCACTAGAGATGCCAGGTATTAAATAAGGCCCCTCTGCATGCAAAGCATATCTGCTCCCTCATTGCATTGCAGTCACATCCCAGCTAAGATCTGCTGATGGCTGCTTGCTCCAAATTCAACAGGTCAACATTTGCTAAGCAAAACTACATAGAAGTTTGTTTAAAGTTTTAAAAATATAATACAAACAGACTGCACTTTGAACCACAAAATGCACCTGTAATTAAGAGATTTACAGGCCTGGGGAGGGGGGAATGAAAAAAATTATCTGGTTTCCCCCCCCCTTATTTGTTTCTGAAAAATTGAAGATGATAAAAAAAAAAGCCCTCGCTTTTTCCTGTCCCGTCCCACCCCACCCCCTGGCTTTTACACATTTACTGCAATCTGAGAAACACATGTCAGATCAAGAGCTGGTCAGTTTGATCATTCTAAACTCTACAGATACTAGGGTTGATGCTGTTGTCTACGATTCTGGAAAATCAAATGTATTTTGACATTTGCAGCTTGGTGCTTCCCCTTGCAATAAATGTCACATGACACCTCAAACTAAAGCTGGTTAACTTGCTCCGTACGAGATCAACCCAGCTGTATTAGCACTAAGAGACGCTGCAACAGGTTCTCAGGATGCCACCACATCAAAGTTTAAGGCAGGCTTAATCAGATAAGCTTCCATCACTTTCATCTGCCAGCACCATTAAAAAAAAAACGAGCAGTTTGGTCCAGTTACAAGCATAACTGGCAGCTTTGATAGATTCAACAGTGGGTTTTTTTAAGATGATGAGCAACATATGTCCCCAGGGACAAATAAGCTGACTAAACACACACACACACGTAACTTTAAACTGTGGCTGAATCTCTTAAAAGTCAGTAGACACCATAAATGTTGGGGTTTTGCTACAAGACTGAAAAGCAGCTCAGAAACGGAGCAGGAAAAAGGTTCCTGGGCATGTGCGCATGGCTCCAAAGTCTTTATAGGAGCCCCAAGGTTTGACTTTTTTTGCTTTTTAAACGGAAGTTTATCTGTCTTTTAAGATCCCAGAAGTCATAAGGGCTGGCTGTAGGTTTTCTGATGTGCTGAACACAAAAGGTCATAGCCAGAAAGCACAAGATGTTCCCTGGGCAATTTTCCTGACCTCCCAGCGCATGAAAATGTGATGTAATCAATAGCAGTAACAAGCAGCTAAGAGACAAAAAAGGCCCCCACCCTAGTGGTTACTGACTTCACTTCGTTTGATGGGGGCACTCAAAGCAGCCCTGTGAAGAAGAACTTAAGGTTTGGGAAGGTAAGTATGAAACCACAGTATTAACTACAGCCTTCTGGTTTCCTAATATTTTAAGCCTCCTGCCAACATCCCCAGTTAATCACTTGCTTTCACACTATTAGTGGCCCCAGCTTTCAGAGAATATGTTTGCGACAAGCCCCTTGAGTCACAGAAGCTGGGATAGTTGTTTGGTCAGTAGATCTCTTATAGTTTGTTTATATTTTACTTATAAAATTTAAATGGTGTCTCATTACTGTGCATTTATCTGCATTTTTGCTTGTCCCATGCTCTGAACAGTTTCCCTGGTCATTTCCCAGGGAAAACCCACTCTTTAGTGCTAAATTGGAGTGATCGTCAATCCGAAGAAAACCTGAATTGCCATTTGCTCTGACTGAACACTAAAGAGCAGTTTTCCCCGGAGGAAAGCAGCAGGACAAGAGGAAATGTGGATGACCTGAGGCTTCTGAAGAAAAGGGTCTCAGGAAATAGAATTGTTAACTGTTTTAACTGTTTAAAAAAGGAGCCTTACCTTGTGACTTCTTGCATAGTCCAACTGAATTAGCACAACTGCTTTCTCATTCTATTGCAAATAACAAGAGCTAACCTTATCCCCCTCCAAAAAGGAACTTTCTTCTTGAGTCACCAGGCAGCAAGTTTAAACAAGTGGCAGGCTAAAAGGATTCAAGGTTTTAGAGCTCTGGAGCTCAGGGCCCCTCCACCCACCCTTTTTACAAACAAATCAGGATCAATGCTCATTAAATAGTCAACATCTCTAAGCAAACAGATCAGGCTTATTAAAGAGGTTGGCTGAACCTCGACAATATGTTGCGGAAGAAACCTGCAACAAAACACCAGTCTGGAGGGACCCTTACCAGGAACAGATTTCTGCTGCACATTCATTTTCACCATCAAACAGGTTCCCCTAACCTCAGGGAGCCGCAGAGTCAGCTGTGTGTCTCTCCAAGGAAGCACAGCCATTGGATAGGAGAAGGCTAGCCCTTTTATCACCCTGGTTGTTCAGAAATGGGCTAGGAGGCAAGGTTGTAACCTCTCTCCCCAGCCCCATTCCTCATACATCCCAATGTGTGCCATAAAACACCAGTGAAAACTGCATGCTCCTTGCCCCACTGTACTGCTTTGACCATGCAGGGGTGAGTGGGTGGGTGAAGCAACACCATACCCATTTTTTTGAGGCTCCTTTGCTTCCCTGGGGAACATACCTGATAGGACACCTGAGAGGAGACCTGATGGGGCAGTGCAGACCTCTGTGGCCTGGCTCCCTCCCCGTGCATTGCATCCATTTGCCTCCAAACCTGGGATGAGAATGAAACCAACCAAGCAAATCTACTTTTGTCATCCTTGGAGGACAAGGTCTCTTTCTTGACACTAGGGCAAAGTTTGCAAAGAAATGCCTCTTCTATCCAACCTGAAAACAGCCACAAATTGTATAAATGGGCTCCTTATCTCTGTTCCTTTCTGGGGAGGCAGGGGGACCCAATTTATTATAGGGGATGAGAAATAAGGACGACAGGAAAGAGGATGCTGCGCTGCCACAAGGTAATAAACTGGGGGTGGGGAACCTATGGCCCAAAGGTCTAATTTGGCCCACTAGGCATTTCCCCCCCAAACCACACCCACATGCCCCACCAGCTAAAGGCATAACTGTTGTCTGAGGGCAACCATTCCCCCTTTGTACAGTGGTACCTTGGTTCTCAAACTTAATCCGTTCCAGAAGTCCATTACAAAACCAAAGCGCGCTTTCCGATAGAAAGTAATGCAGAATGGATTAATCCATTCCAGACTTTTAAAAACAACCCCTAAAACAGCAATTTAACATGAATTTGGCTATCTAATGAGACCACTAATCCATAAAATGAAAGCAATAAACGATGTACTGCAGTCACACAATCAATCAGTAGCTGAACCGGGTTCCACACAGTCACAAAAACAAAAACTAAATAGTGAAAACAGACAGACCTTAGCGTAACACTCAAAACAGAAGTGTGACACTCAAATCACTTGCTTCTGGGGTTGCAAGTTGTTTGAGAACCAAGGTACCACTGTATTGTATTTTTGTTTGCTTATTAAGAGTGTAAGCCTGTAGGTGGGGAGGGTCTTGTTTTGATTCCGTGTGAGCTGCTCTCAGGCTGAAGAGCGGGGTACAAATGCTCCAAGTAAACAAAATAAAAATAACTTTGAAGTCATTTTCCAAGCAGTTTGCACTGACGCCTTTCAGCACCAACCAGCTGATGGGTGCTGAGAGACATCACCTTTGAAGTCCATTTCCAAGTGGTTTGTATTGAAATCACTTTCAAACAGACTTCAGAAGGTGAGGCCCTTTCAAGTTGTCAGCTGCCCTCATCTACCTGCCAAGAGTTGTCCTGCAGGGCCCGGGGAGGGGGTAGGATCCAGTTCCGATCTCTGTATTATATAGAGCATTTCCTCACCCAGCTGTAGCCACTGGTGAAGGAACTGTCTTACTTGCTCACTAGTGGTAGACCCAGCTACCTGCTGCATAGCATCGCTTTGCATTGCAGTGGCCAAGAAAATAGTAGCAGACATGCTGCCAGCCGAAAGGCAACAGAAAAAGAGGTAAGCAGGCCCTCCCTGAAGATACTGCCCATGTCTGCAAAACCGGCATCTTATAGAATTGTTGTGCTGTATACATTCTTCATTGTATACAGTTTGTCTCTTCAGACAGACAGAGAAGGCTTCTGGATAAGGACTAACAAATTGGAGGCGCTAAGTTATTTGGGGATAAAATGCAAAGGGACTGTCTTTTTCCACATTGTGACAAGGGTTCCGGGGGCCTTTGTCAGCTGAAGATCAGGGGGAGGGAAAGTTTCGAAACTTAAAAATAACACAGAATTTTCAATATGTTGCCATGAATATGATTTGCTTCCTATTTTAGGCAGTTCTTAAAATATCTGCGCCCCTGTTAAAAAGCTGATGTTGTGAAACAGAAATAAAGAGAGTACCAACCCTGACATCCTTTTGTTGATGTTGTATTGTTCACATATATCTGAAGCCAATACTGTGAGCTGAGGCCCGACAATGCTGTCAAGTTTACGGCAAAAATCCAACGTAGGCTGTGTAGAGGCTGTGAAACAGTTTGGGAAAACAAACCAACCAACCAATGATACTTCCCTTCTGTGTGCCACAACCACATCACATTTAGAAGATCACACCCAATATTTACAGCAGTAATAGGCAATCTGTCCACCTCCAGGTGTTGTTGGACTACAACTCCCATCCTTCCCAACCACTGGCCATGCTAACTGGGGCTTGATGGGAGCTGGAGTCTCAATGACATTTGGGAGGGCCAATCGTTCCCCAACCCTGATTTACAAGGATAATGGAGCAGATTCAACTGTTTGTTACACTTGAGGCACTGGGATTCTGTACATTCAGAATAAGAACTCATACCTAAGAAGCCCCACCTGACCAAGAGGTGATGTTAGCACTGAAACAGCTGGAAGATCAGATGATCTAACAATTCTGTGCATAAGAATATTTAAGAACCTACAGCATTTTTTGAAATTCCCTGTACTCTGCAGAGTTTCCTATAAGCAATCCTCACTGAATTCAGTTGTTCTTACTTCTGAGTAAACATATATTGGATCAGGCTGCCTCTGTGCTTCTACTCCATTATCCATATTTACCCTTTGATGACTCATTAGCTGAGTGCCAGCATCACTGTGGACAGAAATTTTACCCTTTTGACTTGACACAGTTAAAAAAAAGTAAAAATATTTTCATTATAAGATGCTGGTAAAACTACATACAGCAACATACCGTTACAGTTAATGCCCAAATAACCATGGATAATGCTCAAATGTCAGGATTTGTCAAAAACAAGAAGACTTAAAAATTCCATAGCTGTTTCAAAGAATATTACTTGATACTCACCATCAATCATAAAGCAGACAGCTGCACTCATAGCCTGCAAGGAAGAATAAATTTATCATAATCCGTTTTCTGTCTCATGGATACACTTGACTATTGGGAGTTAAGCTCTGTTCAAGAATGTTGCTGTACTTTCCTAAATTCGTAATTCTGGGGAAGCTCCCATGGGACATGGAGATATTTTAGACCATGACTTCTGGAAGACTTGCAGCCTTCCTTATACAGTTGGACTCCCAGTTCCCATCCATACCAGCCAGCATAGCCAAAGATCAGATTTTTTAAAAACTGGAATCCCACAATATCAGGAGGGCCACAGTTTCCCCATCCCTGGTTAAGACCCAAACCTATGAAGATCTGACAGGGGTGGAAGAAGAGGAGTGTCATCTAGTCTGCTATCTCTGACCTCTGACTGACAATGGGTCTCACACCTACAAGCCTCAGCTTTCCCAGGCCCAGGATCTTAGATTCATATGAACTGCAAAATATATACCGTATTGGCCTGAATATAAGCCACACATGAATATAAGCCACACATTTAAAATTCAAGGGGGCAAAAGAAAAAGAAGACAATACCCGAATATAAGCCACTCCCTTAAAATTGGTGGCAACCACGTGGTCTGAGGAAAGAATTGCATGGCGCACTGGGAAATGATGGGGGGCTGCCGAAGGCGCCCCGACACTCCCCTGATGCACCAGCTGTACATGGTGCAGCTGGGGGGGAGTTTGTGTAGGGAGACACCCCCCGCTCCCTAACAGTGGCAGGGGCAGACTGGGCAAGAAGTGGCGGCACTGGAGGCCACCCGCCACCCCCGCTCACCAGGGCTTCAGCAGGAGTTAAAGAGTTAAGGGGGTGGGGTTCACTGTATGTCTGTTTCAGCAGCGATATCAGGCTTTTTGTAAGGTTGTGAATATAAGTCGCACTTTAACTTTTCACGGTTGGAATTTGGAAAAAACGTGTGGCTTATATTTGGGCCAATACGGTACCCTAGCATTACACTTTGGTTCCTGCATGATCTGAAATGAACTCTGAGCTGCGTTAGAGCAGGGGTGGCCAACGTGCTGCCCTCCACATACTGCAACAACAATTCCCACTAGCCCCAGCCGGCATAACCAACTGTCAAAGCATAATTTTTGTGCATGAGATAGCTGGTAGTCACTTGTAGCCACAGCTCCTCAAAAAAAAACGGCCGGGGGGGCGGGGAGATGGAAGTTGCAGTTCAACAGCACCCAGAGAGCCCCACATTGGCTACCCATGGGTTCGAGTTCTTTGCATCCTCAGAGAGCTCTCACAGTTCTTTGCAGCAAGCTGTGACTTATACATTATCTGCTGGAATTATAAATCTCCAAAGCCCGGTGTCATTAAAATGCTCCTCTCCTGAAATATGAATGACAGCTGGCTACTCTCATTGCTAATTGTTATGGTTAACTTGGGGCTTTTCTGTGTTTCCCAAAACAGTACTGCAGTGCATGATGACACAAGAGCTGCAGTCAAATTTTATGCATGCTTAGAAATACTTCTGATTTTAGTGAATTTACTTCAAAGTAAGTTGGCACAGGACTGCGGCCTTACAAAGGCTCTGACAGACAGACATAACCGGAAACAATTTCGGGGTTCTTCCCCAGCTCTATAGATCATATCGCCCAGGAAATGAGAGAAGCTGAACTCTTTCACTCAGAGCAAGATTTCTACATATGTACCTAATTACAGAATTGGAGTACAACTTTATTTTTCAGTGAACAGGGAAAGGTGCAAGGTTTACCTTATAAACAATTAAATGAAGCTCTTCGTAAGTATCCTCTGTGTTTACAAATATTTTGGGGAATCTACATTTCGCTTCTGGATCATTCAGGTTCAACGGTCCAGTAAGAAACCTGAAAGGCAAAGATGGGACTTTATTTATCTTGTTTATGTAAAAAAACCACTATATACCACCTGTCATCTCCAGGCAGTGTAGAAGAAGGTAAAATGGGCTCGATTCAGACACAATGCCAAATTTTAATATCTTTTGTATTTGTATTGTAAAATTCTAAATTGTGAACAATACAAATACAAAAGATAGTATTAAAATTTGGCATTGTGTCTGAATTGAGCCCATGCCCACTTGATATTGCATTGAGCCAGTTATAGACGCTGCATAAGCAGGACAGACTACAGTTCAACTCAGAATTGTTTGATACTGATTTCAAACTGTTATGGGTTCAGTCCTTTTTATAGGTGGAGAGACACACAACTGAACTAATCCACCAAGTTACCCTTTGCCTTGCCTTTAATTTACTGCAGCATCCGATTTATGTTAATAAGTCAGAGGTTGAAAGGAACTAAATTATTACCTCTGGATAACTGACCTTGTAAAAACAAGGCCTCAAGCCAGGGAAGGGGGAGCTGTGGCTCGCCAGATGCTGTTGGGCTCCAACTCCCATCAGCCCCAGTCAACATGGCCAATGGTCAGGGATTATGGGAGTTGTAGTCCAACAACACCTGGAGGTTTTGATTCTCTGGCCCAGTGACAAGAAAGACTACAACAGATGTAAAACTGCTACCTTCCATAGTGCTGTAGATTTCCGGACATTTCTGTATGTATTGGGGAATCTCTCCCTGCCAACTGAAACAAAAGAGATTGCATGGTTAAGGAAATTTCCCGCCCCCCCCCACTCCTAGGAGAAGAAAAATTGAGCAGTTTTAAAAACAGGAAATAGTAGTAGTTTCCTATTTAAGTAAGCCAAGCCACACGACTCACCTCTGGTTCTATATGCCTTGGAAACAGGGATGTGGTGAGATATTTGTATAAAATTCTCATGTCATCTTGTTCCAATCCACTCCTGGAATGTTAAGAAAGACAACATTATAGCACATGATGACAAGGCTGTCCACTGTTTCAAGTACTGTTAATTGCTTACACATAAAACTGCCACAGGCTTGTCAAAACAAGCTTACATTTCTTGCCCAGCACTTTCTCCACTGATTAACAGCAGCTCTCCAAGGTCTCAGTCAAAGGATCTTTCCCAGTTCTATGATCATTTATCAAGAGATGCAGCCTGACTGACTTTCTGAATGGAACTCACAGTGACCTGCCACTGAGCTACAGCCCAGCATCATTAATGAAATCAGGCTACACAAAGAAATAGCTCACAGAAGACCCACAAGCTGGCAAAGGCAAAGGCTCACCATCCATGAGTCTTGTGTCTTATGTACAGTATGAACATGACAGGTAAGATGTTGGCTGCCTAATGTAATTTGCAGGAACACCTAACACATCCAAGCTTAGTGTAATGATTTTGGATTCATGAATATAAACCATAGAGTGAGCACTGGAATCTGCAGAATTAGGCAGAGTTCTGCAAAGCAGACTCATGCCTTTCTGTTCCAACGAACTTGAAAGGCATGGCTACATTTCCAGTTTCACTAAGCTTCCAAAATAAAGGAATGTCTCCGAATTATAAAGCACCACTAGATTTAATAACTAGCTTTGACACACAAGCACTGATAAAGTCTCAACCTTGGTTTATAAACAGATTATGGGTAGGCATATGACCTAGAAACTTGAAAAACAAACTTGGCTTTGGTCCTAAGTTTCTGATGTGAGTCTGGGGCTTAGCTGACTCCCAATGGCAGGAGTTCTCCTTCCCTATTTCTCACTGTAATGTACAAAGCATGCCCACACGATTTAGTTGCTCTGGTAAGTTTTCGAATGAATTACTGTGGAACTCCTAACATAAGCTTACTGTAAAAGGGAAGAAGTGAAAAAGGGAGAGGAAGAAAAACAAACCCAGGAAACCCTAATCTGATTTAATTATTTTATGCAGTCATACGTAGATTACTTCTTGTCTAGGCTTGGAGCACATTAGTTCTTGACTCCTTAATCACTTTTGAATAGGAAACCCTTGAACTGCGACTCTCAAATGAAACTGGATGCTTGGTGCAGCTGTGCCGTGTCAATAAACACCCTGAAAAGAAACGCAGCTGAAGGGGAACTGCCAGGTTTAAGTTACAAGGATGCTGCAAACTGTAGACATTTCTTTGTTTCTTTTTAAAATGCAACATTTCATATCAGTGAAGTCATGATGGCAAAAGGGAGCTGTGAATTGCTGGAAAACATGCCGCCGTTCCAATTTTCGGGTTCCTTTATTTATTTACACACCTTCATATCTTTTACTTCAAAATTGAAGACTCTGAAGAATGACATTTTTAATGCCTCAATGGACTAATTATTATCAAGATCCTCAGAGACTGAGGATGATATCCCATGTTAGTTGTACTCGGAGAAGACCCATTGAAATCAATGAACTTTTTTTTTTTTTTTACTTCAGTGCAAGCATGACTAAGGTTCAATAGAAACCACATTTTCCCTTCCTCCTCTGCACTACTGATTTCAACGTGGAATAGTTGATGTCAAAGCCTCCTGGACTGCTTTGGACTGCTTTGGGTAGCTTCCCAAAAAATATTAAAATACCATAATACATCAAACATTAAAAGCTTCCCTAAATAGGGCTGCCTTCAGATGTCTTCTAAAAGTCTGGTAGTTGTTGTTCTCTTTGACATCTGGCGGGAGGGCGTTCCACAGGGAGGGCGCCACTACAGAGAAGGCCCTCTGCCTGGTTCCCTGTAACTTGGCTTTTCGCAAATTATTGGATATACAAAACTAGGTGTCTTTGAGGGGGATGGATTTGAGGCATCTATTCACTCAGGTACCTACCAGATAAGCTGATCATTGTAGAGAAAGGCAGTATATTTGACTATGCTCAAACTTTCTTCCATCTTATTGATGAATGACTGGATTTTCAAGTAAGTCATTTTATCCAATGGGAAGAAGCTGATCCCACAAAAAACATCCAGCAGGTCACATGACTGTAAATGAAGTGTTTGCAAGTACTGAAGAATAAACATAGAAAAGCTGTATTAATGGCTGCCTTTGTTTAAAAACAGCGGCATGAAAGACATGACAAACACAATCTGGCACAAGTCTCAGGCTCATGCCCTCTCTCCTGTTCAGATGCAAGGTGAGGATATTGAAAGCTTCCATTTCTGCTGTGTTCTAGACAGAAGTTACCCACTTTCACCCAAACCTCATTAATAAGCCAGGATGCAAGCTATGGTTTGTTGTTACATCTAAACCAAATAGCCCAGCGATGGAGTTCCTTTCCAAATGTTGTTGGACAACAACTAAGACCAGTTAGGAGTTTGTAACGGGAATTACAAAGAAAACCAATAAAAACAGTTGTTCAAACAAAACAACAAAACAAGGAATGATGGGAGTCCAACATCTGGAGTGCCAGAGGTTCCCCACCTGCAACAGCCAATCCTAACTGCAGGTTCATGACCGACACCAGTGTATTTTTCACATCTGTGTGACAACATCTCACTGACTTGTACTACAAACATTGGAAAATGTATTTGGGACTCTCAGAAATATGAAGCCCACCTTTTTCTAGCACACCAGTGGGCAAATTCCTGGGAGGCATGTCTGGGTACTGTATTTCTCTACGGTGAAAGCAGTAATCAGCAGCCAACAATGCAATAAAGGCATGGGTCAAGGCAGTGTGGCACTTGATACAGCTGTGTTGCTTCTCTGTCGCCTGTCTGGAAGCGGACGGCAGGAGAGGCAACTGGCCATTGCAGACTAGAAGCCTCAGAGGATAGGTAGCCGGGTAAAAGAAGTACTTCTGGAGTACAGGAAACTGGTCACAAAAGGAAGAAGGTGGACAGAGGAGAGCTGGAAATTAAGAGGAACAGAAAGGAATACAGGAAAATTGCCCTTGCCTCAGAGGAGGCAAAGACAAGAGGTGAAGGGAACAGTAAGAGGAGAAACTAGAGTTGTGGAGCCTGCTGGGGAGTCATGTGAAATGAAAGAAAATGCATTCAGGAGTAATAGGAACTACTTCAATAAAGAAAACTGTAGTATAGCATCCTGTAAGGAAAGGATTGCCCAAGCTCTGAGAATTGCTTATGAATTAAGGGAGACTGGGGCTCTGCATATTCTATGGAACTTAATAATAATAATAATAATAATAATAATAATAATAATAATAATTTTTATTTATACCCCGCCCTCCCCAGCCAAGGCCGGGCTCAGAGCGGCTTACAAGCAATAATAAAAACAAGTTGAATGATTACAACTTAAAAACAAAATTAAAATACAACATTAAAATATTGAAACATTAAAATATTAAAATGTAGCCTCCTCGCAGGAGGAGAAGGAAAAGAAAAAAGAAAGAGAGGGAGGGAATCAAATTGGCTCCAAGCTAAAGGCCAGGCGGAACAACTCTGTCTTACAAGCCCTGTGGAAAGAAATCAGATCCTGCAGGGCCCTGGTCTCATGAGGCAGAGCATTCCACCAGGCCGGAGCCAGAGTTGAAAAGGCCCTGGCTCTGGTTGAGGCTAATCTAACTGCCTGAGGGCCCAGGACCACTAGGGTGTTGCTATTTATGGACCTTGAGGCTCTCCGTGGGGCATACCGGGAGAGGCGGTCCCGTAGGTACGAGGGTCCTAGGCCGTGAAGGGCTTTAAAGGTCGAAACCAGCACCTTAAATCTGACCCTGTACTCCACCGGGAGCCAGTGCAGCTTGAAAAGCACTGGATGAATATGCTCCCATGGCAGAGCAATAAGGGAGCAAGATCCTAAGAACAGGATCACGCAGGTCTGCTACATCACTCAAATTTAACTGCTCCGTTCTAGCAGTTATCATTTGGCTAAAAATAAAGCTGATTCCCCACTAGTCTTTAGTCATATTCACATTTTAAGTACTACAAACAAAACACATTTTTAGCATCACTCATGAAACAACAGCTCGCACCCAGTTGTAAGTGGGTGCAAAGGTTTCAGAAGTGCAAGCAGGTTTCTTCAAAATTATTTTGGAGGATGCACACAACTTTTTAATATATATATATATATAAAAGATTTTACAGCAAGGCATGTCTGCTTTCAGAGCATTCTACACCCAAGACAACATGGATCATCAGGCCACCAGTGCTGCACAAGCTGCCAAATTCTAACACTCTATTGCTGCTTTGATAATAAAAACTTACCCGATGGAAGAATTTCTCTAGTCTGTCTTTTAGTACTCTTACACCTCCATCTTCCATGGCTTTTCGGAATGTTCCATTAAAAAGCTAAGGATTATTGGGGGGCGGGAGGGAATAATTGGGAGTACTGAGTCATTACAAGCACATACACTAATCAAGATATAATCAAATGACAAGGGAAGTAGAAGTGCTAATCCTGTAATTCCTGTTCCCTAATTTTAGATGCTTTAGGAGCAATAAATTTGCATTGCACTTATTCACATACAGAACGATTGTGATTAAGGTGAAGCACCAGATTTCTGCGATATCCTCCCCATTTCCTGCACACACCTTAACCAGCAGATTGTGCAAATTATGCAAATAGCAACCACTACCTATGTAGGTTTGTGAGAGATGAGTTTACATGACTTGAGCCAAGACAGGTAAGTATTTGCTAAACTAGCAGGCTGGTTTGCAAGGCAAACTAAACTTTGGGAGCTTTGAATGAATTTGCAAACTATGGTTTGCCACAAACCAGGGAGGGAGAATCACAGAAATCATAGGAGTTGAAAGGTCCTTAAATGCTTATCCACACAGTGCCAAACAATGGTCCAAAACGGAATCTAAAGAACACTGCATCTGGCGCTGCACACCGTTTTAGTTTTGTGCAGAAGCACATGGCAAGCTATTTTTTAAAAGAAAAGACTTTCCAAAGTGTTTTGGCATGCAAAGATGTCTTCACTTCAAGGAAAGAAATCCCACCGGGCACACCCAAATGTTTTTGCACATTGAAAGGAAGAAAAAAACAAAACAAAAAACCCCCAAATGTTTTTGCACACTGAAATTATCTCTCCATGTGCCAATGCTGTCTCACAAGGTTAGCAATTTTTTGAAAAGGGGAAAAATGCACATTGCACATCATAAAGCTAATGCTGTATCCAGCCAATAATCAGCTAATTACAACAGTCCTTTGCCAAAACAGAAGTAGGAATTTGATGTTCACAGAAAATGTCAATGTTGCTGCCATTTTGAAGAAACTGAGATACCCCACCCAGCCTGTTACTTTGAGTGGGACCATCTGGCATCTCCCTTCCCAGAACTGTTTCCTGCAGAAGCCATAATACCTGAATTTGCTCCCTACCCCTTTCTCCTTCTCTTAACTTCTCTATCGGACTGTAAGCCACTCTTTTAAATTACAAACAACTCCCAATTTACACGGGGGTTATGTTCCAAGGCACCATGCATTTAAGTGAAATTGGGTATATTTGAAACACCACTGGAAAAGCCTGCAAAGACCCTTTTTGTGACGTTTTTGGGTCACTTCCGGGTTTGGCATGGTCGAGCACGTATCGGATGTGCCTAAAACAGTTGCTCTCTTTATTAACTTCCATGAGTACAATTGTCAGAAAGGTGGCTTATGAATGTAGTAAATAAAGCGTTCAGCATCGAAGAGATGCTTCTGTGACCCAAACTTTGGGAAAGAATGGCACTCCATGAATCAATGGGTATGATCGGGTTCTGCTATGGATGTGCGAAGACAGCTTCTCACACCCCAGCATGAAAACTGACAAAAATCATATATCTAACTTACCTTGTACATGTTATAACACTGCTGTAACACTGAGCTATACACTTTGTCCTGTAAGATAGCCAGAATCAAAGAGTTACTACAAGAAGAATCCTATGAGGTCATCATTTAAAAGGTAAACTTTGCTTTTCTCTGTCGAGACATCAAGAAAAACAGTGCTGCAGCACTGATAACATCAGATCCAAGAAATAATAATAATAATAATAATAATAATAATAATAATAATAATAATAATTTATTTATTTATATCCCACCCTTCCCAGCCAACGCTGGGCTCAGAAAACATATAACAGTTGAAGAAATGCTGCACAAAGTTCATAGCCATTGCTGAGAGATCCTTATCTGAGGTTAGCTCATATTTTCCCAGCAGCAGGTATGCTGCATGCGGATCACTGTTCAGGTGAGGTCCACCTGAGTCATATTCTGGGCAGAGGGCACAAATACTCTAACTTTGTCATTGGCATCTGTATACGTCTCTAGAGACAATGGAGTGCACCTGCAGGGGGTGAAGTCAAACTGCTGGAGAATCACAGAGCATGCTGTGACTGCAGAGACCGGTAACTTCTAACTGCTGCTTCCTGCGCTGTTTTTGCTGCGTTAGCAGCAGCAAAGTGACCTCTCCAGGGCACAAGCCTGGGCATTGTGTACAGAGACAAGAAGACCCCTCTCTCGGCCTTGCTGATGTGATCCAAAGAAAGCACAGCAACACATAGGCACCAGCTTGGCTGCAGGAGTTGCTGGAAGGCGCCATCCAACCAGATACCCAAATAGGGCACACTGTGGACAGGTGGGGAAGGAGAAACAAAAAGCACAAGCGATGCTAATAATTACCAGTAACTCTTCTTCTTGATACTCAACAACCGGTTTACCATCTTTGTGTTTTTCTACTATGGGATTTCGTACAACCTTGAAAGTGGAACAAAACAGACGTTAGTCATTGATTTAGAGTTGCTGGCTCAAGGTGATCAGCAATACACTAAAAGAAGAATCAAATACAAAAAGGAGACTAAATCTCTAACAGTGAAATCCTATGTATGCATCCTCGGGAGTCCTACTGTGCTCAAGGGCTTACTCCTAGGAAAACATGTGTAGGATTGTAGCCTATGTTACCCGACACCAACTTATTCTTTTGAAGCCAAACTAATGGAGACCTCTCTGTCTAATTTATTCAAGTCTGTAGTGTATCTATTATATTTTTATTTATTATATTTTTATTTATTTATTTATTTATTTTATTATTTTATTTATTTAAATTTGTATCCCACTGAACTGTAAATAAAACCTCTAAGCAGTTTACATAGAAGATACATTAGAATCGCCAATCGAAATCAGTGTTAAACGCAGGTTTATAAAAGCAAAACGAATAAAATCAACCATTAAATTATGCATTCTAAAGTAAAGTTGCAGATTAAAATGCAGACCAGCTTTACATATCTGGGTAGGCTGGTCTAAACAGAAATATTCAGCAGGTTCCAAAAACAATACAGTGAAGTCACCTGCCTGAGCAGTGAGCAGAGAGTTGCAGAACACAGGAGTTGCCACACTAAAAGACCGTTACAAATGTGGAACGAACATCATGTGTCACTTGTATATCCAAGTGGCTGAGCAGATATATATGAGGTATTACAATCCTTTAAGTAAACTGGTCCCAAGCTCTTATGGGCTTTGCATACTAACACCTTCAATTTGGGCCAGTAACAAATCAGCAGCCTCTGCAGTTCTCTGAGCAACTTGTGAAAAAGGTTGTCCATTTGTTTCCAAACTCAGTGTAAACTCAATTTAAAGTGCTGGTGTTAATTTTTAAAGCTCATGGTGCCTGTAATGGCCTAGAGCCAGGTTACCTCAAGGACCACCTTCTCCTAAAGGAATCTGCATGAACCCAAAGACTGGCTTTATTGTCACCACAGGCACAAGGCAATTTTGGTGATGGCCTCATATAACAACAACAACAACAACAACCACCTCTGGCTGTGTTTCCCCAGCCACTCTGGGCGGCTTCCAATCAAGTGTTAAAAACAATACAGCATTAAATATTAAAAACTTCCCTATACAGGGCTGCCTTCAGATGTCTTTTAAAGATAGGATAGCTGCTTATTTCCTTCACATCTGAAGGGAGGGCGTTCCACAGGGCGGGCGCCACTACCAAGAAGGCCCTCTGTCTGGTTCCCTATAACCTCACTTCTCGCAGTGAGGGAACCGCCAGAAGGTGCTTGGCGCTGGACCTCAGTGTCCGGGCTGAACGATGGGGGTGGAGACGCTCCTTCAGGCATTGCAGTAGTCCAAGCGGGAGATAACTAGAGCATGCACCACTCTGGCAAGACAGTCCACAGGCAGGTAGGGTCTCAGCCTGCGTACCAGGTGGAGCTGGTAGACAGCCACTCTGGACACAGAATTAACCTGCGCCTCCATGGACAGCTGAGTCCAAAATGACTCCCAGGCTGCACACCTGGTCCTTCAGGGGCACAGTTACCCCATTCAGGACCAGGGATTCCCCCACACCTACCCGCCCCGTCCCCCAAAAACAGTAATTCTGTTTCGTCAGGATTCAACCTCAATCTGTTAGCTGCCATCCATCCTCCAACCGCCTCCAGGCACTCACACAGGACCTTCACCGGTTCTGATTTAAAAGAGAGGTAGATCTGGGTGTTATCTGCATACTGATGAACACCCAGCCCAAACCCAACAGAGAAGTCTGTTGGGCTCCCTCTCGTCCCACTTTTAAACAGGCTTTGGATACCTACTAGTTCAAAGCATTTTTAATGCCTGCTGCTTTATTTTTATTTGGTTTTATCCGAATGCTGTGTTAATTTGATCTCCTTCTACTGGTCAACAATAGAAAATGGCCTTTCATACCGCATCACGGTGTGGTACGCTGGTTTGACATCAACTGATAGGAAGTGACTACAGAGAGTGGTAAATACAGCACAAGATATTATGGGCTGTCCCGTGAATCCGCTGGATGAAATAGCGGAAGAACGTTGCCTCAGGAGCGTGAGGAAAATTCTCAGGGATGATTCACACCCTGGCCGGCACTTTCTGGATCTCCTGCCCTTGGGCAGAAGATATAGAAGCATTAGTCGCACCAACAGGGTAAAGAACAGCTTCTATCCGTGGGCTGTTAGGCTGCTGAATGAAAAGATAACAACAGGGCAACTGATTTTCGGGTTTGGTGTGTGTGCGTCAGTAAACGAGGGGAATTAAGACTAAGAGAGCTGAGTGGGGGGTGCTCATGTAGTCTCACTGTGTACAAGTTGTACAAGTGACAATAAAGTATTTCAAATTTCAATTGTTTTAATTGCATGGTTTTATTGTTTATTTTGATGTTTTACAATGCAGTCTTAGAGATCAGCAGAACCGAGATCAATAGAACCTACTCCCAGGAAAATGTAGCATATTAAAGCCTTAGTGTTGCAAATTGTAATTGATTTTGTTCTTTTTTTCTATTCCAAATGGCCTTTTGAGTATAACTACTTATAGAAAAGCATAAAATAATTGTGCTGTTTCAAGTTCTTCCCTTCCACTACATAATCTCCAAAACACTACAGTATTTGAGGAGCATAATTTCATGTCGTCTTTGAGAAGGTGCTAGTGGCATGCAATGTTTAATATCTGGACACTGGAGATGTAGATTTAATCCTTGCTTAGCTATATGGTTCACAGGATAGCCTCAAGCTAATTATGAAGCTGGATTATGGTGCAAGGATACTTTCAGGGCCAGTTCAAGACATTTTGCTGCCTGAGGTAGAGCAGCAAATGGTTTCCCTGCATCTGCACCTCACTCCCACTTCCCAAGCCAATGAAAGTCAAGTTATTTTGGTACCAGAGATAATTATTCCACAAACAGCTCTCTTCCTCCTTGCCATTAAAAGTACAGTAAAAATATGTTAAATAATGAACAATCTGCCAGCCTTTCATGACAACCCAATTTTGCTGCCACACATTACCCAATAGTAGGGATGCCCCTGTGGGAATCATTTACAAATAAGCAATGAGAGGGGAAACATAAGCAAATTATGTGTCCCCTCTCCATATTTCCATTCATGTCCAAAAGGGGAAGATGTGCTTTCTCCCAATGTAAAGTCAGAAGGCTCCTCTCCCCGCTTTAGAATACTCAAAGCAGCTGTGATAAATCTTAAATAAATGCTTAATAGAACAGTATCATGCATTTAGGTACCATAACCATCCAGAAATTTTCTTCAGGTTCATTGAAGAACTGTCTGTTTTTCTGGGTGTGTAGAGATTTTGCCGGTTTTGAAGGACTAAAGGTCCTAAAAGAGTAAAATATTACATGAATGAACACTTTAGATATTGGAGTGTTAACCCTTACCTATTAACTAGGGATGCAACATATAATTGACTAATTGATTTTAAAATAAAAAGTCTAAATATATACTCCAATTAATTGAACAGAAGACTTGCTTCTTCTTAAATGGTGACTCCTAAAACACATAGGTGCATCATCAAAGAACAAAAAAGGCATGCTTCTTGTTTCAGAAGTACTGTTTTGTCAATATGTAAGCATAATCTGTGTGAGAACCAGTGTGGTTTATTGATTAGGGTGTTGACTAGGTCTAGGAAAACCCAAGTTCAAATTCCCACTCAGCCACAAGGCTCACTTGGGTTAGTCGTTCTCTCTCATGCTAATCTACCTCACAAGGTGAGGATAAAAAGCGGGGGGCAGGAACCATTTATGCCACCTTGAGCTCCTTGGAGGATAGGCATGCTATAAAAGCAAAAAATAAATAAAATAAAACTTACATGATTAATTGACTAAGATTTCTCTAAATTGGCTGACAACCTACAACTAATAAAAGTATAATACCAGATTGCCTAGCAACATGCTTTTTAAAGCTTATTTGTAAATGCACCTAACACATTTAAGGTGCCTTATAAATAATTAAATCATAAATAAATGGGATAGGCAAAAATGTGGAACTTAGTACCTTGTGAACTGAACTATGGCTTCACATAAACCAACACTTCTAATTTTTTCATTCTTTTCAACTTCATTGGGGTAATAAAAAAGAATCTTCTTTTCTTCCTGAAGTTAGAAAAGTAAACAGCAACAATTAATACAAAATAACTATGTTCAAATAAAGTTATCTAAATTAAGTCCTGACACCTCACATTGTAAATGCAGTACGTATGCCTTTCGTAGTAATCCATTTTAAGGATTCAGCCAAATCCTTAAAAAACGCCTTTCTGCCAAATCCAGTGTGCATTTTACTTTGTTGTTTACTACAGTGCATCTATTAGAAACATTTTTTAAAGCCCTGGGAATTTATAGATGCACATGTATAAGATAGGTGAAGATGACAAGGAGTTATTTATTCAGGACAAAATTATCCAACTAGTATAGGTACATCCACAGTTGTCGAAGTGAAAGGAAACTTCCATGTGGAATGCCAATACAATCTCTTTAGATACAAAAGCATCCCATTTTTGTGGCTGTCAGAAGGTCATCTGTACGACCATAGCTGTAAGAGTGGCCCTCTGTGTCAGCCCCATGGCCCAACCAGATGCCTACAGAAAGCCTGTTAGCAGGACCTTTTGTATGTCTTTTAGATTCAAGGTTAGGATGCCCTTTTTTATTCTACAATGGACCCTCGAGTTACGTACTGCTCTGGATACGTAACTTTTGGGTTGCAAACGCAGCAAACCCAGAAGTGTATGATAATAATAATAATAATAATAATAATTTTTATTTATACCCCGCCCTCCCCACCCAAGGCCGGGCTCAGGGCGGCTAACAACCAATAATAAAAACGAGCTGAATGAATACAACTTAAAAACAAGATGAAAATACAACATTAAAACAATTAAAATGCAGTCTCATCACAGGAGAAAGGAAAAACTTCCGGGTTTCGCTGCGCACATGCGCAGAAGCACTCTGCGTGCCGCACGCATGCACAGAAGCACTCTATCGTGCTGCGTGCATGTTCAGAAGCGCTCTGTGTGCGCACCGCACGCGTATGCAGAAGCGGCACCTCCAGTTACGGATTTCTCAGGTTAACTACGGACCCCCGGAAGCATTTAATTTGTATCCGGAGGGTCCACTGTATATATAATGCCTAGAAAAGTTAAGAAATAATACTGTGGACTGCTACCACATCTAAGGATAGTCATTGTTCTATGCCATGGGAGGTTTGTCTGGTCTCCTTGCTTTTCATTTTCCATTTTCCATTATCTGCTTAAGACAGTTTTGTTTAGCCCCCCCCCCCGCCACTCATTCATCAATGCTTTTTAAAAAACTGATCTGCCCACTGTACTCTTTTATGACCATATTAAAGTTTTTTTTAAATGTAATTTGAATTTGTCTTATGAATTTATTCCTAGTCACCTAAGCACACTCTCTTAGAATGTAGGATATAAAACATCTTAAATAAATAATGAACAATACCGCAAAGATCCAGGTTTAAGTAAATGTTATACCTGGATCTTGTCCTACTGCCATCTCCACCCTACAATGCAACCTAAAGTCTCAAAACCTGGTGATGCATTGGTTGCATTAGATAGGCTTGCAATAGAAATGAAACACACACCATGCACATTTAAAGGGCATTCTGGAGACTATACTTTACCCTCCACGAATCTACAATTCCCAGCATCCTTGACAAACTACAGTTCCCAGAATCCTTTGAAGGGGGAATTCTCGAATTATTTGAATGTGATTAAAAGATATGTGTATGCATATGAGCATCCCGGCAGAGGCAAATACATTTTAACTTATGTTCGGCGCTTAAAGAGAAAAACGTAGGCACTTTAACAACTGTTAAATAGCACCAATCAATTAATTAATTTACTTCCCTCTTGCGCCTAATCAAGGATACAGCTTCCTGCCACTCTTTATAAAAAGTTTTCAAAAATGGTGTTTTGCACTGTTAAACTCTATGCTATGTCTGCGAGGAGGTTCTTTTTAAATGCGAGGATTCTTTTCCTTTTCTGAAAAATAAGAAAATTTAAAAAACAACACTGTAATATAAAAGATTTTAAAACGCCTTTCTGGTTTAATAACAAAACAAAACATTATGATTCGACCTATTTGCCAAGCAGCCTGTCATTTTAGAGTCTTTGGGCTGAGAGACTCCTTCCTCGGATCTGCCCCCTCTGTCTACTCCCGTGTTCACTTGGCAGCCGGAAAAGCCACCGCGCTACGTCTTTCCGACGTGACGTTTACCCGTGAGCTAAACATCGACCCGGGCTTAACCGCATTGAGCATCTGCGAAAACAAACCACCTCTGCACTTCCTTCCCGAGACTGGCTTTGCAACTCGTTGCGTTGCTATCTTTGGAAAAGCCAATAAAAATCGATTTATTTCTTTTTTTGAAGGGAGAAACGAAGGAGAGTAAATGAGAGCAATAAAACCGACAGCAATAAGGACGCTTCGCTTCCCTCTTCGGAGCCCGTCACGCCCCCCAGTTTCGCAGCCTTCGCCCCTCAGACGGAAGGGCCGCTTTCTCTCCCCCCACCACCTCCAAAGTCGCCCCCTTACCTCGCCTTCTTTGGGGCCCAGCCTCGGGTTGTAGATGAAGAAGCTGAGCAGGGCCGGCGCCAGCTGCTTCTCTTGCCCGGCTCCCCCGGACGCCGCCATCCTGGGCCTGAGGGGAGAGCCTCGCCTGCTGGGCCCGCCTGACTCCGACGCCGCCGCAGCCGACCATCGGAGGAGGAGGCGGGGGGGGGGGAGCGGCTCTCAGGCGCCTGCCGCTGCCGGCCAAGGAGCTCCCCTCACGGGCACCGATCCGCGCCTCGCCGCCCCCGACACTTCCGCCGCTTCGTCCGCCCCGGAAGGGATGCGGCGCCGACCCGGGCCTGCTCCCTTCGCCTCCCGGTTCCCTCACCGCGAGGGCCGCGGGGCGAAGAGGCCGAAAAGGCGGCCTTGAAGGGGGGGAGGGTGTCGGTGTCTCTGCCAAGGTCTGAGGCGCCTGAGAAGCGAGGAAGGAGGGGAGAAAGGCTTTCTCGTGCTTTTGTGTTTCTCCCTCCAAATTACTTATTTTTATTTATTGAAATTATATGCCGCCCTGTACCCGGGGGGGGGGGGGTCTCAATGCACTCAAACACTAAACAGGAGCCCAAGGAGAGGCACTCCGCACATGCTCAGAGGGACCCTGGTTAGTTGGTGTGGCCTAGGGTTGAGCTCTGCTTGGCTCAGGTTGCAATGCTGGCACACTTACTAATTATTATTATTATTATTATTATTATTATCATTATTTTATTCATTTACAGGTTTTTAAACTCTTTTTCCCAGCACGCAAAAGTGGCAGCAAAACAAGCGTAGTCAGAAAGAGGAAGCATACAGACATTTGCAGGTGTTTATCTCCCATAAATGTTTCCCAGGGAATGTGTAATTTCCGTTTCCCGCCACCTTTCATCAGAATGGGATTGTCATACCAGTTCAGTCAGATGATCGCTTGCTATGCATTATCAGCGCCTAGGATTTGGCCAGCAAACACCTCCCCACCCCCACCCCCTCAACAGTAAATCAGGTTCTTAATCATAAGACAAAAATGTTGTAAATCTGGTGCTGATACAAAGGGATTTCGTGCGCGGCTGATGTGTCATTCTCAACATCGGTCTAAAGACGGTGTTACTGTTGGTGCCCTTCGTAATGAAATGTTTCGCTGGACGTGCTAAGAACTGTGACTCCTTTTGGACCAGGGTCACTGCCAGCGACAGGAAAGTGGTAATGCTGCTTAAGATCTGGTCTTAGCAAAAATAAAAACCAGTTAAGTCTGATGCTATTGGAAGATGCTGCGCCCTGTGGCTAGAGGCGCTTGAGGGTTTTGTATTTGTGTGAAGGACAATGCATGCACCTGCCATGAGCAGACAGAAGCATGTAGCACCTTAGAACTAGGCCAAAAAGGCAAAATCTTTTGTTAGTACGCTCTGGAGGGAAAAGGAAAGAAAGGCTACAATCTTGCACCTATTTTTTAGGAAGTAACCCCGTTAGACATTATTTCCATTGGAGAAATAGAGAGCACTCTGATTTCTTTGTAGCCCCTGTGCTTTCAGGTGCCAGAGTAGATACTTTCTCCTCTTGAGTAGATACAGTGTTACCTCGGGTTAAGTACTTAATTCGTTCCGGAGGTCCGTTCTTAACCTGAAGCACCACTTTAGCTAATGGGGCCTCCTGCTGCTGCTGCTGCACCGCCAGAGCCCGATTTCTGTTCTTATCCTGAAGCAAAGTTCTTAACCTGAAGCACTATTTCTGGGTTAGTGGAGTGTGTAACCTGAAGCATATGTAACCTGAAGCGTATGTAACCCGAGGTACCACTGTACTTTCATGAGTTTTCTCTGTATCACAGTGGGAAAGTATATTCTACCTGGTTCTCTCTTCACCATCTCCAGAGGTCTCTCCTCAGAAACATTTATAATTATAATTATTATTATTATTATTATCATCATTTTTTCAATTTATATACTGCCATATACCTGTAGATCTCAGGGCAGTTCACAACTCAGGAGGGTTTTTCTTCTTCTCAGCAGCCACTTCCCTCTCTTTCCACTTTCCTAAAATTTTATTAATGCCAAATCACCTCAGCTAAAGTCTGTTAGTCCTCTGGAGTTTCAAGCCCTTGAAAAAGGCAAAGATCTCCTATGGGTTCCTTGGAAGCATTTCCTGCGTCTTAACTGCTGCAAAGTTCAGCAGTTGTGTCTGCAGCAACAGTCGCGACAGGAATCTTGTCTTGAAATAGAAACCAAAGAGGAACAATTGTAGGGAAGTTGCTGGGGAAAGGCGCAAGTAAAATTTATAGAATGGGAACTTTCATAAGCACAAGCAAGAAATACAACCCTATGAGGTAAGTTGGATGTTCCTGTTGGGTTAGGGCAGGCTGAGATAGTGACTGACGCAATGTCACCCCATCAGCTTCACAGCCAAGAAGGAATTTGGGTTTAAGCACTTCCATCTCACTGGCCCAAATGATATAGTTCAATGAACACTATTTATCTGGGATAACCTCTGATTTTTCTGCCCCCCTATAAGCCCTATAAGGGTTGGATGCTCCTCTCTATACGAGCATATTATAAAATATAATTTATTTATCCATTTTATTTCTCAAAGTTGTATACCGCCCTATACCCGCCGATCTCAAGGCGGTTCACAACACAAAACTGCAACACAAAAATAATAATTAAAAAAACAAACAAACCAATAATCGTGTACAATGATAAAATAGAAATCCCAACAAAAGCAATACAATTAAAGCAACTGGCTTATGGAAGAAAAGAAGTGCAAAAGCCAGCCAGCATAAAAAAAAGTCTTCAAGAGACACCTAAAAAAAGTGAGGATGCCTGCTTGCATCTCTGCAGGAAAAGCATGGGAATGGTGACACTAAATGCCCACTTCTAGTTGAGATTTCTTGGGCCTCTGTTATAATTTACAGTTGTGTGAGGGGGTGACTGTGCCTGCTGGCACTGCTTCTGCCATCATGTCCCTGCTAGTCCCACCCCTGCTATCCACACCTGGTGGTGAGAAATTTTTACAGGTGAGTTTGCTGTACATACAAATGCTCTTCCTGAGATATGGAACCTCAATTGTATAAGGGTTTGCATCATAGGGGGACCCTATGTACAGTGGTACCTCGGGTTACATACGCTTCAGGTTACATACCCTTCAGGTTACAGACTCCGCTAGCCCAGAAATAGTGCTTCAGGTTAAGAACTTTGCTTCAGGATGAGAACAGAAATCGTGCTCCGGCAGTGCGGCGGCAGCAGGAGGCCCCATTAGCTAAAGTGGTGCTTCAGGTTAAGAACAGTTTCAGGTTAAGTATGGACCTACGGAACGAATTAAGTACTTAACCCGAGGTACCACTGTATGTAGAACAAGCTGCTCTTTAAAGTGCTCCCCATCAACAAACGCTATAAGAGAGGAATGAATTTGAGCAGGAACAGAAACTGAGGCCCCCTTTAGAAGAACAGTTAGGGCAATAGGGTGATTTGGGCAATAGTTATGGCAGAATGCCAGACACAGTTCTGGCCATGTATGTATCAGGTAATACTGGTGTAAGATAATTTTTGTCGTTTAGGAACTGCACGGTAAACACCAAGAGAGAGGGCATTACACCGTGGTTAAAAAATAAAGTAAAATAAAATAAAAAATGTCCTGGGATGACACAGGCTTTTCATAAGCAGTTACTGTATAAACCATTACAAGATTAGGAAGATCACTGCAATGCTAGTGTACAAATTAACATTAGGAGGAAAGAATGATTGTGGTTCCAATTTCACCCCATCTTCTTAATTGTGTGCATAGTAACACCAAACCTTGACATTTGCAGAGCGATATTAGATAGTTCCCCTGTCTGAAATTTGATTCTTAGCCTTCCCATTACACAAAATTAAAGTGCTTGTCAAATGTATTTAAAATGAATTGTGACAGTGGATAACCTCTAGCGGCATCAGAGAATGAAAAGCAACTTTATTCCTGTTTCAGCGTTCAGTATGGGTGAAGCATAGATGTTGAGGGGAAATAGGAATAATTTAATAAACAGCAGGGCGCTGTGACTTAAGTTCTGCTGACTGTGTTTCTAGACACTATTTGCAGCATTTCCATCAGCTAGAGAATATCAGACATAACAGAAAAATACCCCATAAATCATTCTGGGTGTCAGAGATGACAGCAGTAAACAAATATAGTTGACTGGTCAAATAGTTCGTTGACAGCCTGTGGTCTAAAAGCGTTGGTAAAAGTGTGAAATTATAGTCAGCAGTTTGATGTTGCTTCTTATAGCAGAGTTGCAAAATGAATAATCTGGTTCTCCAATAACCCTTGCCCCTTCTTTTCCAAGTATACTGTAGGTTCCTATTTCTCCAGCTATCTCCGATATGATCCCTGTTTTTAAAATTCCTCTGTCCTCTATTTTCCACCTGGAAAAGTCTGATTTCCATCAGGTCTTTCAATCCCCCTAACATTTTGTACTAAGGGCTGTCCCTGAAAAGCTTTTGAAGAATCTAGGTGCCTAGGAACACAACTTGAAAGTCAAGCCCCTGCCTTAGCATGTTGCAAGGCTTGTATTCTGACTTTGCCTGAAGCAGCAGGGACTGGGAAGATGGTTGAATTCGGGCTGTCATATGTCCAAAAAAAGCTTGACAACTTTTGGGGTGTCCTGGTTTTGACGTTTTGAAATATGGCAACCCTAGTTGAATGGCTTGGCAAGTGTCTAGCAGGTGGTTTTCTTGCTACATAAATCTAAACAATGGCATTTGAATATATCCAATGTTTTACATTTCAACAAAACTCAAATATGGAAAAAAACGTGTTTCAGCAAACATTGCTCTGCATGTTCAGTCAGTGGGAAAACAGCAAACAAGAAATTCCTGGCAGATTGTTTTGTGTCTTACAGGATGTCCTGCAAGAGGAAGTATGTAAAAATGTGGGGAACATTTGCTTCAGGTCTATACTTGTGCTTTCTCATTTGTGATGTTTGAGTTGGAAATGGTAGATTTCATGTGACTGGGTGGATTTCAGAGAAACTGTTATGTTTCTATGTTAAGTTTGGATCCTAGAACAATAGGCAGGTAGGATCCTAGAATGCAACAACTGATTGGCCTGCAGGAGCAGCCCAATCAGGCTTCAGGAGGGAAGCAGAATCAGCCAATCAGACGGGACCCATTGTGTAAATAATGTATATAAAGCCAGAGGTTTGGGGGGAAATTCATTCACTGTTTTACGAGCTGCAATAAAGAGCATGAAATCACTACACGACTCCAAGTATATTTCACTATGTAATGTCACTTAAAGGCAAACAGTCTTAATTAAAGATTTATCTACCCCTTACCCCAATGCACATACTTAAAAGAACGCCTGCCATGAATAGCAATGCTTTGATCTCTGGAACTGTGAAACAATCTTTGGAGGAGATCCTTTATTATTT